ATACTGTATACTGTGCCTGTATACTTTGGCCTTCCTTTGAAGATGAGTCCATCTTTATTCCTTCAGATTTTACTGATTCATGATGGTATAGTTTTCTTGTTGTACGTTTGTTCTTTATTGAGCACTTTGGTTTAGTTGGTTAGGCTTGACCCTCAAATGTTTTAAGCTTTAATGTTGAAAGTGCACTCACCACAACAAAACATTGGTAGGTAGAGTGACTGTGTGCAAGATGATGGAAAACCTTTGCCGTCCTGTCTCACTTGTCCCACTTTCATACACTTGGCAAAAATTGAAATTTTGACGGAAGCATATCTTCTTCAACATCCCTCCTCTCAGTTTGTTATTATCAGGTTGTCTCCCAGTTGACATATTACATACCAAAAAAGTCGCCAAAATGCATTAGCAAGAAGCTAACAGGATGTAGATAAGACATTGAAAATACCATCACTTTTACATCAAAAAGTTTCTTCGCTTTTATGTCCTTTGTCCCATCCTTTCATCTGTCCAGGTTTTATTTCTACCTGGTTACCTAGCAACACATCTATGCCACTCAACTTCCAGCTTCCAGCCCAGCATGTGCAGAGTGCTTATGCTGCATTCGAGTTACCTCGGAAGTCAGATGTTGGAGCTGAAAATGACGTCACATCCGAGTTACCGGCGTTTCAGTTACAAAGTTGGAAAAAAAGCAAAATCACAGGTGGACAAAGAATGCTACATCCAGGAAAATTATTTTAGCGTTTGCCTTTTTCCGAGTATAACAAGGACAAGGCAAGCGCTAGAATAACTTTAGTAGATGTAGCCATCTTGTTTCTGCCTCCAATTTTGCTTTTTTCCGACTTGAAACACCGGTAACTCGGGTGTGACGTCATTTTCAGCTCCAACATCTGACTTCCGAGGTAACTCAAATGCAGCACAAGGCCAGTTTCAGTTCAATCGAGCCTAAACATGGCAGAGAAAATTGTTTTTTAATTGCATTAGGTATGTTAATCAGACTACGAGAAGTTCAATTAAGAACGAATTCAGTCTGACGAATGTGTTTCTGTGTTTTTTAAAAGTCCTGTCTCAGTCAGACTAAGGGAAATAAACCTTTTTTTTCTTACATGTAAACATACTGATAGTGTCCTCCTGTTTTGCTCCTCTGGCCTCTTCGCTCAAAAGGTAAGATGAAACTAAAAATGTGTGTGTTGCTTCAGTTAATTGGACTAAACTGAAGTTGCATTTAAACATATACAGCATTAGCGTGAAAAAGAATATGACCTGAAGTGAAAGTACATTTTAAGCTGACTGTTTTTATGTTTCAGTTTATAGAAATAACTCTCATCACATTTTCTCTAAAATAAAGCGCCACATTTCTCTCTCTTTCAGGCACCAAAAGGAAGGTGTTCATGTCGTTTACACTCTCCACAGTGCTGATTTTACTTCACAGCGCTGAGACATGCCAGGCAGCATTTTAAAATAAACCTGTTTGAGAACTAAATAGACGCTCATGCAAAATATAGAGAGCCAAAGCAGGATTGAATAAATGAAGGAGAGACATAGAGATCGAGATGAATGAGTGAGGTGAAGGACTAAGAAATTTCTCTCCCTGATGGGTTGTCAAAATCACTTTTCACTAATGTCCCTCTTAACCCTGAATATGTCACTGCGAGCACACACACACACACACACACACACACACACACACACACACACACACACACACGCGCGGGCCATTCATTTTCTTGAGCCATCTGGTTGGAGCTTTTAAAGCCAGTTTAGTGGGACGGTGAGCACAGACAGAACAAGACAGAGAGGCAGAGCAAGGTGAAAATGGGGACAAGTGCGTAGAGTGAACAGAGACAAAGCAGAAGCACTGACTTTCTAGTCACCCATCATTTGCATCAGAACACCTCATGACGGTTTGCTGGCTTTCTTAATCCCTAAAGAGGAAAATTAGGTTGGTTCAGCGCCAGAACTTCGGTTGTAACAAGTGGACAAGCCTCTTGGCTTTGAAATGAAGCTGAAGTAGATCATGTTATTTCTAGTCGAGGTTGACACCATTGATTGCAAAGTGAAGCACAATCATTTAAACTCTGAATAACCTCGGAGGAATAAAAAATAAGGTCACAACAGAAGTGCCACTCTTTTCAAAAGGTGACTTGAAGTTGGCTCTGCTTGTCAGCATCTTGCATCAGCCTCTTGTCCAAAATTTAGTCACGTCTGGCTGAGAAGAAAACAAGATGTCAACAGATGATGCAGACGCGCCAAGACAGCAGTTACAAAACAGTTTGTTTGGTGGCTGGCTTTGTTACCTTGCATGGAGGTGGGTAAGAAAATAATCCCACTTCTACTGTCATCCAAATATGGTAACTTCTGGCTCCAAAAAACAAGATGCTCAAGTAGGTTACTGCCAGCAAGTGACATCCAAGCGTCAATAGATAGTTATTTTATTCAACCTTTGTATGGCCTTGGTTTAGAAGAACTGAAGAATTATGATTGCAAATGTTTGCATGGGGGCGGCACAGTGGTTAGCACTGTCGCCTCACAGGAAGAAGGTCCTGGGTCCGAATCCGGGTCAGGGCGTTTCTGTGTGGAGTTTGCATGTTCTCCCTGTGTCTGTGTGGGTTTACTCCGGGTACTCTGGTTTCCTCCCACATCCCAAAAACATGCAGAAGTGGGGTTAGGTTAATTGGCCAATTTCAAATTGCCCATAGGTGTGAATGTGAGCGTGGATGTTTGTTTGTCTCTACATGTCAGCCCTGCGGTGAACTCGCGACTTGTCCGGGTGTCCTCTGCCTTCGCCCGAAAGATGGTGGGATAGGCTCCAGCCCCCCCACAACCCCTAATGGGATTAAGCGGTAGAAAATGGATGGATGGATGTTTGTATGGATATCCTGCCAGAACTTTAAACCATGAACATCTTGTGACAAAAGGGCGCTGCTAAACCAACTTCCGAACCCCTAAATAATCTTTATTTTGAAGATTCTGCACAAGGATGAATCTGCGGGTGTGTTCTGATATCTGTTTGTGCCTCAAGTTGCACCATTCATCAGAATTTCAGTGACTATTTGCTGTACAAAAGATAACAGTCTACAAGCAGAGCACATATGTAGTGTACTTGAATTACTGAGTCAGATTGGAGTGACTCACTGTGTGCCATAAACTGCAACTACGGTAATGTTTTCATCATTTCATAATGATCACCGACCAACAGCGGTCATCCTGCAGTGCTATTGGACCACATTGTTGCTGGCAGAGGAGTCATCCTGACTGTTTACTGTGTTGTTGACTGAATATGAAAAGAAACAGATCCACCAGAGCTACATGTCTGATTTAGTCTTTGTCATGGGCAAAGTGGATCTGAGAGAGGAAGTGAGAGAGAGAGAACTATCTTGTACAGACACTCCAGCTCCGAGGGTGAGTAGATGGTAAATGGACTGTGTTATACAGTGCTCTCTCTAGTCTTCTGACCACTCAGAGCACTTTTACATTGAATCATACAAGATTCTTTATAAAGAAATCAAGACACACCATACTTGCATGGGTTTATCTGTTGCAGTAGCTTTTCTTGGCATAACTCTACAACAGGAACAGAGAAGACAGCAAGTGTGACGGCCCAAAACTGATGACAAAAAGCGGTGATAGATGTTTCCGTACTGGGCATAAAAGCAGTCTTGCTCTCCCATAAATAACAACACAATTGGTTTGACCTTTTCCGCCTGTGTCTTCAGATGCTGAAACAATATGCCAGTTCATATTAAATGTAGAGTGGAGTGGTAGAGTGGTTTCTAACTTTAGGCAGGGGGGTAAGAGAGGAGTGAGTGAGTAGATCAAACATAACATTTTGAATTATACCTCTAACTTAACCTCTTTTAACTTCTTGTGATTGTAAAGGTTCAGTGAGATCTTAAGCTCAACTTCCAGACTAAAGTGTTATAGCCTGAGATGCTGTGTGTCTGTGTGGGCCTGCTGTTCATTTTTGTAAGTGCAGCCAAAATGGTCAGACTAATACGTATGTCAGCCTAACTAGAGATTAGACAAAGAATGAAATGGTGTGTTTTGAATCGATGTCAAAGAGTTATCGATTACTTGGCTGTGTACTATTCAAGAAACACACACAAATGAGCAGCTTTATCATGAGGCCATTCAGGAGGTGTCCAATTTCCCTTCACCAGTCATTGATAAGCATCCTCTTTGCCTGTCACTCAGGACTTAGACTGATTCCCTCTCATCCCAGGAGCCCAATTTAGTCACCACAAGAATCTATCACATAGCGATGCTATCTGCAAGTAACCGAATCTGCCCCCTACTCTTCCATCTGTCTTTCCCTCTGTGTCTCTCCCCTCCTATCCACCATTCTCTTTTCTCTGCCTCTCTACCTGCTCCTCCTCTTTATTCCCGTTGTACTTTCTCCTGTTTTTCTACCCTCTGTCTTTCACTCTCTGCTATCTTTCTGAGGGACCTCACAAACTAACCTGCAGCCGGGAGAACCTGGCTTTGCATATAGATCATATCCCTGTTGACAGGGGATAGAGAAGAAAAATGTCTGCATCGCTTACATATGAAGCCTTTCAGTGATGTGATGGATGAGTTGCATTTAGCTTCAGCAAACTTTTGAGACATTTCACTGATATGACTTGATTAATGGCCAAGTTGGGATGGCCACTACAAGAGGGAATCTATTTGGAAAGGAATTTCTCCTTAGAAGATCTCAGATAAAATACTAAACGGCTGCTTCTGTCAGTCAGTGCCCCCAAACCAGAGTCCAGAAGGGACTGACTGACAAAGCATATTGACTAGATTCATGTGTGATGTACTAAACAGTAAAACTAAACAGGCAGTATAGCTTTAAAAGGTGTGTTATATGTTTTTAAAAGGGCTGTCAGTTATAATGTATCAATTTAAATGTGACAAAGGTCCAAATTTAACCCAAACTTTTTTAAATTACACGCTTATTTTCTTTTTTCGGCACAGCAATAAGTCAAGTCGGTAACACTTTTTTTGACGTCTATCTCTATTAACATTATAAATATATGTATAATGTGTTATAATCATGTTATAACACTGTATAACTATAGTTATAAACACTCATAAATGATCATAATGCTTTATAGCAGTAATCATAACACATTATAAAGCATTTTATCAAGACTTACAAGGTCAAGTATTATAATGTGTTATAACTGTTAACAACTCACTGACAATGCCCACATAGATAATGCAATGCAACTGTTGTAAACAGTTATAACACATTATAACACCTGTCATGTCATGATAAAATGCTATATAATGTGTTATGATTATTGCTATAAAGCATTATTATCATTTATGAGTGTTTATAGCTATAGTTATACAGTGCTATAATGTGATTATAAAGCATTATAAATATATTTATAATGTGTTTAAGAGAAAGGCATCAAATAAAGTGTTACCATTAAGTCTTTGCAGCATCTTCAAACGTCCCGCTGCCATCACAATAGAAGTAATAACACCACTGTGCTTTTGAATCACACACTGCACTCTAAAAAAGCTACAAAAAATGAGCATAGCCAGTAGTTCAGGTAGGACAAGAAGTCAAGCTCAGCCCACGGTAAATCAGCTGATCATCATGCCAGCTCATATCAGCTGATAGCTCAGCCGATAACCTTCCTCAAATCCAACTGGCAAATGTCAGCGAGGGCGTTTCATTTACACTGCCTGCCCTCTCTCGCTGCTTCCTCCGCAACTACTTTTTAACCCACCTTCACTTATACTGTGTCTGATCTTACTAGTCTTGTCACTGGTGTCAGCTCTGGGGGTCTTCACTATTGCTGCTCTCTCTGCCTTGGCTTTTCATGGAAGGCAAGGAGCCCACCAAACACAACCATACTGTCAAATATAACTAATGCATGCAAGTTAATCATTCTTCTGAGGAAAGTGATCCTGAGTGAATAATATGAAGTAATATGTACTTTCTATCAAAGAAAAAGCAAAACATCACCAAAATATTTCAAGTTGGAGCTTCCTCCTACAAGCGAAGCAGCCAGTTAGGCTGATGTCAGTGGTTAACCTCTGCTCTGTTGATATGGACTCAAACCCTGTTAATAAAAACTGTACTGAAATAAACAGTGGAATTTAAACATGCAACTACATATGAAACTTGTGGAGATAATGTCTTGAAAATTCAGGGATTAATCACCATCATAAAATGCAGTCTATTGGTAGCCTTCATTTTTTATCATAAAACTCAAAGAGTCATCAGCATTAAGAGAAAAAATTGGAGGTATCATAAATTGTGATTGGCTGTTCACCCCCAGACACACACTTCTTTTATAATAGGCCTCAGAGATAAGGGAAATGGTAGAGGAGATAAAAGACAACCCTAAAAGAAAAAGGCCGGAGTCTCAAGACCTGAGCGAGCATGCGTAGCCTGTCAGCACTAAACCGCAGACAGGATATTAAAAACCGTAATTATGAAAATTAGATATTATTTAAGCCGAGATGTTGCGGAGCAAAGACCTTAATTAATCCATATCAACTGGTCAAATGTCTTCTCAGCATCAAGGGAGAGAATATCCCCAGGGTTTTGTGACCTGGGAGCGCATCTTTTAATATGAAGCAGATGTTAAACATAATCAAAGTTGCATCTTAATTTTAATGAATCCTGCAGGGTCGTAATAAGTGCCATTAAATACCACACGGCACCACAAAGTCTGAAAAGCCTTTGCAGTGGCTGGTTCAGATTATTATGCGACAATATGGAGTACATAAAATAAATGGGTATCGCGGGGGGGCGGGTGTTTTGAGGAGTGAGTCACTGCAGGAGATGGGAAGGTAGTCCAAATTACTCAAACTGGGCCCATTTGAAACTGTGATCCAAACACTTTTAAGGTCCTGAGTTCAAGAAAGTCTCCTAACAAATCTTATAATTCTGAAGGAGAAAATGGGTCTCCTCCAGAATGCAGAAATATAACTATGTACAAAACACATAGTATGTGCTATTTAGGTAATAGAAATAGTGTTTTCTTCGATAATGACACATCTGAAAAAAGTAAAATACACATTCAGGATAACCATCAGGTTGTAAGATCTATAAAAAAAATAAGACCGCAGAGCAAGAATAGAGAAATGGGGGAGTAAAAAGAGGAAATGTTATCTTAATAATTTAATAAATTTTAAAAGGAAAGTGCTGCACATGTTTTTGCAGGAATGTACACAAGTTCAGAATATTAAATTTGTAGAAGAAGAAGCTAATAACCACTGAATGCCATTCTGTTTTTGGTCAATGCAAAGAGTTTATTGCAAAGAGGAAAAAGGCACTCATGTACAACTCCATGTCCTGAGTCAAGGTTACAGATGGAAGGCGGGCACAGGAGGAGGAAAACATCATTAAAGTTATACTCTGCTCAGCTCTGCACATTAAGCGTCTCATTAAAGGTGTGGTTTGACATCAGGTTTGGCGTGTTCCTGCAGTTATGGTCTTGTTTGTGGGAAAGCTGCTACATAGACACATTTTTTGTTTGTTTGTAGAAGCCTGACGCTGAAGTCCATACCGCCGTCAGCACAGCAGACACTGTGTCCCTTGGCAGCTTTCAAATTAAAAGCCCAAACCATTCCTGTCAAGTGAACATTATAAAGAGCCAGAGACAGTTCCCTGTTTTTGTCCTTTCTCTCTCTCTCTGAAATGTATACATATATACATGCTAAGCAGTTTCTATCTCTTCGGGGAGGCCTTGAATTGCTTGATGCTAGCCTAAACCAGAAAATATGTGTGACTTCTACCTCAAACCCAACCTTGAGCCACTTCTTAAGTTCATAACCAGCCCATAACTGAGGCACATGTCTTAACTTTTGAACTGATATTCGTCCTTGAAAAATAACCTTTTCTGTTTTCTGTTATGTATCACCAAAGAAATAAAAACAAGTAAAATCACATTTTTAAAACGAATGTCCCGAAGATGTACATCATCTTTATGAACCTTATCAGCCAGTAAGACTGAATCCAGAATCTTTGCTATAGTGATCCAAACATCATAACACATTTTGGAAAGCATTTTATTGATTATTTCTTATTTGTCTTTATTTATAATTGATTATAATAAAGTACTTGAACCTCGATTGAAGGTTTTTGAAAATACCTTGCTAACCTTGTCCCCTGGTTTTAAAAAGCCCTGACTCTGGTCAATGCGCACACTTATTGACCGTTATGATCCCATACTGTGATAAATGGATCAGTTTGCAAAGGGCAGTGGCTTTTTTTTTTTTAATCTTGTAAATTTTAATTTACTGGGCATAAAACCCTTTTAATTCTGCCCTTTTGTAAACTTGGATGTCGAGTCAAGGCTCTTTGGGTTTTTAGTCTGGACTGTATAGTGGCTCAAGGCTTCAAACTGTGTCAATACCTACGCTGCATATTAATGCAAATGTATGTAAATGACTAAGGCTGGATGTAGCTGGCCCCATTAAAAGCTGTGTATGATAAACCTTCATATTAAAGCCTTTCAATTCAAGCCCAGGTGGATCCCTTGATGGTAGCTGGTTTTCTTTCTAGTAGGCAAAGTCTGCAGTCTCACATGCAAAGGTTTTGGAGGTCGTGGAAGAGGGAATCCCTGAAGATGACTTTTTAGAGAAACCAGCAGATCAGTGTCCTGGCCTCTTTGCCTCTCTTAGTTACTCTCTTGAAACTGCCTTGCTGAAGTCTCACATAGATGAGGTTTTACAAAAGTAACATTTTTGGAGTCTGGAGATTTAAAAAGGAGAGCTTTACAAGGTGTATAGTCTAGACATGCACCCTTAAAGCTGTCTGTCTAAGTACAACCTGTAGCTAAAATACTAAAATTAATCTAACAAAGTAAATTTGTAGATGAAGCTGGCTTTGTGAACTCACATTTCTGCTTTACCAAAGTGTTGCCAAATGAACTGATATCTAAATTCAGATGAATTAGAAAATATCTATTTTCAAATTTGCTAAAATAAAAAGAAATATTAAAGGTTCTGTCTTTTATAACTAGCAAATGTGCAGCACTGACCTGCTGTACTGCTTCAAACAGAAGTTGAAAAATCCTGGTGACACGAAGCTGATAATTCAGTGAAAGGCTGGTTCAAGACTGTCTTCCTGGATGATTGAAGGTGTCTGCTCTAAGCTGCGGCAAAATCTACTGTAGAAATCTCTTTTATATATCAAACAATCCTCGGCTGTTTTTCTTTAATATAACTCCTTCATAAGAAACACCTCATGTATGTCCTTTATAGCTGCTGCAGTCAAAGTTTAAATACACGTCCATCAAACGCGTCCTTGCCAAAGTCATCTGTTGGCCTGCCATCACTAACCAAATGACTACCTCGCCTTCATCCTCTCATCTTTCTCCATTTTCCTTCCTTGACACAGATCTGTATCTTCATGGGAATAAAGCCATCTTAGCATGTCATGTTTTTTAATATCCCCCGGAGCCCTCTATAAATATTTATTAAAGATGTGCCATTAAGATGGGCCAAAAAGGACCCAGTGCTGGACTATAAGCAAACACCTTTTGTTTAACTGCTGTGATACACTGCTAGTTTTGAATCTGAAATGCAGGCTCAGTGAGAAAGACAAGACCTGAGGGACATTTGTCCACCTGTGCAGCTTTATGTGAAGTCATGACTGCCTGTGATTTTGAACGCTAACATGTGAGAGGGAGTATTTTTCTCAGTCAACCTGATTTTGACTTTGAGATTCACACAGGTACTGTTGGTTTTCTTGCTAAAGGTGAGTCAAAGCTGCTAAATCACAGTTATAGCCATGATCTGTCATATCTGGTAAAGCATAGGGAGTATTGTTTCAACAATTGATCTATAGACTCACTAGCTATGTTAACATGTGCAAAATTTCTTGATCTGATAAAAAATTTGAGGGATCGGATAATCTGAATCCACTGTTCATACGGGCGCAAAATCAAATAATAATCAATATAAAGCATTTGGACATTTGCAGAGTTGTCTAATTTCGCTAAAACAACCACAGAAGAAGAGTTGTATTCATGCCTGTGCCGTCAACAAACCAAAAATCGCGGTTCCCAATTCAGGAGTTTTACCTTGTTGAATGTTGTCGCTAGATGGCGCCCTTGTGTACTTATTTAACTGTTCTGTCAAAGGTTTCTCTGTACGTGCAGATGTGACATCATTACGCAGTATGTACGCCTTGTTATGTTACCGGAGGAGCAGACACGGCACCTGTGTTAGAGTGTTAATAATGAAACCTCCTGAACTGGCCTCAATAAATGAACCAAAGGCTAAAGAGTGAAGATCGAGTCAGGTAAGAGAGTCACGGTCGGAATAAGTGTTTACATGGACGCGTTTCGGAATAACAATCAGAATATAATTTCTTTCTGATTGAGGCAAATTGGATCAGAGTCTTCCAATCGACATGTTTACATGACACATTTGTATTCCGATCGGGCATTTATTCCGATTATTTGTGTCCATGGAAACGCAGCTTCTGAAAGGTTTGCATCCATTCATTGGAGTAACCACACTGTCTACAGATAAAAATAAGATGAGGGGACTGTTTCAGCACTCTCCCATACACAACATCTGGACATATCATCTGGTTATTATTATCTACATTCAAGTTTCACACATGTAAAGGTTAGACAGTTCAGACTCGTTGAGCGAGGTTGGAATCCAACTTTTCCGTCAGGGACAGGACCCTTGTAACTTCACGCAGAGGTGAACTTCTTTTTAAAATGAGAATCATAACCTTTAAAAGGAGTCATCAATGACAATGTCATATAGGAACTTTTACAGGAAAACGTTTAAAGGCAAAGAGTGAGATGAGCGAGAATCCTGTAAAGTCATTGTGTTTTTAAGGGGCTTCATAAACTTTGTCCTCCTTTGTCTTTCTTTTTCCCTCCTCTTTTTTCTTTTCTACCTTTTCCTCGGTCACGTCCGCCCTCTGGCCACTCCACCTTCCCATTTGGCGTCTGTTCTTTCTGTCCTCCTTCCTTCTTCCTCAAAGGCCCGCTTGGCCCACTTAAGATCAGTCACCAAAGTAAAGTGTGTCTGTGCAGCTTTGTGTGCCTGTCTGTAAGTGTGTGATCAAGCTTGCGGTCAGTTTTGCTCTAATTATCTCAAAAAGACCTTCACTACAGCTATATTTATGTTCGTAAACAATCCTTTCATATTCACTCTGAGGGAATGTAAGGTGAAGTAGAAAAGCGGAGACACTGACAAGAAGGTTTCTTTTCTTTCTTAGTATGCAAACAGAAGGTCAAAGGACCAAACATGTTATTTTCTGTAATCCTCACATCAATAAACATAATTATGCGCAGTGTTTGGAAGGTGTCAAATTGCTAATGAGTCCGTCTGACCAGATTTAAGCCTCAATATCTATGAAAAAGCAAAGAAAACCACAAATCAATAGAGATCACAGGGGCAGAGCATCAGATTCATTCGAGAGTTCAAGACAGCAAGGGTCACGTGCAGAACTGCATGTAAAACAAGCGATGCAACCCTAACTCCTCCATTGTGATGCATGAGCTTTGAACTACCATAGGGTTGAATTAGCATAAAGGTTGGCGCACTGTTCTCCCACTTATATCTGGAGTTGGATCAACAAACAAATGAAATCAAATCAAAGTAAGTTTGATTCTTAGTGCAATCAAGTTATCGCCCAAACAGCACAACAGGCCACTTTCATTCTCAGCGGATTAAACAATCCTGCGACTAAAATGACATCTGGAAGATTAAAAGATGGCAGCTGCAGTAAGAATGAACATTTAACAAACAGAAGGAGCATTATCTTCTTCTACATAAACCCTTGATACTCAGTGCTCCTTGATACAGGATATGAAGCAACCCAGTTCAAAATGTGATTAAACAAAAATCAGTTATTAGTAGAACAAGAATCCAATGAAACACTGAACCCTCGAAACATTTTCAACTTCCATTTAATCAAATGTGAGGTGAAATAACAAAGCAATATTTTTGCACGTATTTATGTTAAAGCAAATAAGATTAATTTAAACTTACACCCAGCTCTTGGTGAGTATAAAGTCCTCTGTAGATTACCAGTTTCCACAGTGCAACATTTTGCGAAATGGGTTGGCAGCATTTTGTGTTGATCTCCATGATGAATAGAATAGAAATATCTGATGACTGGTCTGTGATCCTGCTTTTCTTGCTCAACAGGAATAATGATTTCATCTGCTCAGTGGTAGTGTGCAGCTAAATTAATGCTCATTGTTGCAAATGGTTTCATAATTCAATGTCATTGTTGTATTTTTAATTATCAACTCGGTATAATGCTTTATTATATTTTTATGAAAGAGAATCAGGGCCACAAGAAGAGAAAAAAATAATTACAGGAGGGAGAGTTTCTTAATTTAAATTCTGACTTTATTCATGTCGACTTTAATCTCAAAATTCTTAATTTAATTTCAATATGTTTATTTCTTTTAATGTCAAACCTTCAGCATTATTTGGGACATTTTGTAATGTTGAAATTTGAACTTTTATCTCAAAATTTCAATGTAGAAATTTCTACTTCATTGACATAATTACTATTTTTTTAACCTCAAAATTTCTTGAAATTTTCGACTTTAACTTCATTTTTTTGATTTCTTTCAATGTTTCAGCATTATTCGTGACATTTTGTAATCTCGAAATGTCAACTTTTATCGCGAAATTTCAGTTTTTGATATCGAAATTTCGACTTTATTGATTTAATTAAGATTTTTTTTTATCTTAAAATTTCAACTTTAATCTCAAAATTTCGACTTTATCTCCTTCCTGTACTTATTTTTTTTCTCTCCATGTAGCCCTAATCCTCTTTCGTATATTTTACATACCTTTTTATCTTTTACCTTTTTATCTGTTAGTAAATTAATAGAAGCTTTATCACTCTGTTAGCATGTTCATAGCAATTAAGAATGATAGCTGAGAGGAGAAGGGCCCCTAGTGTTTGGACAATTCAAGCTGCGTCAATTCTGTGACAACATTTACTGTTGTGTGGGCATCATACCATAAAAAAGACGGACCTTATTTCTTCATGAACAGCTTAAACCACAAAACTTGACTGTTTCAATGTATGGCTTAAAATGTGGACTCCCAAATGAAGACACAACTTTTGAAGAGCTGGTCCAGCAGACTCCAGAAAATCAGTCAAAACTGTTTTGTCTCCTTAGTGACTGAAGAAAAAGAAGGTAAAAATATTCCCTGCAGCTTATTTTGTTGAGCAGGTCTTAGTGAACATTTACTTTCTACATGGTTACGTTATCATCGTGCTACACAGCAAATAGTTGTCTTCTCCTCCTCCTCCAGAGCTGTCTCTTAAAAATGTCTTTGAGGTAGTTTTATCGTTCAGTCCAAACTTCTTTTTATCTTTCAGCTGGATGAATACTAATGACAAGTCTGCACTAAACTCTAAAGATGTGTTTTATAGCCATCTCTGTGCCTGTAAAAGAAGCTGAAGAGAAAAATGATTACCCCATCTGTCTGAGGAATATGCAGATGAGATAAGGTGGTGGAGGGGAGGGACAGGTCAGAAATATTGTGCCATAATGGACTGAAGGAAAATGGCCTCAGCACCTCTACAAAAACATGTAAAAGCAGTTGTTTGAGAAAAGCTTTCAGTCTAATGCAGAATCACAGCCAGCAGAGATTATTCATCTTTTCGTCTGTAGATTAAAGGCAAACTTTAAGACTTATAATATGTGTTAACCCTTTGTCACGGGGGAAATAATGCTGCACCGGTAATGCCTATAGAGTTCACTCTTCTATATTAAAACACTGGGACAGAGTGAGCACATATTTTGTTAATAATTGTTGTCACTCAGGAAACATCTTTTTCTGCTATTTTTTAAATTTTCCCCTTCATGAAACAGATCTGAGTTTAATATATATATGTTCTACTCGTGTCTCAGTAATTACTTTTTAAAGTTATTTTTAAGGCATATTAGAAAGGACAGCAGAAGAGAAACAGGGAATACAGAGCATCTCACTTCAGCACCGCGCTGCTTTCTCTATTTAATGGCAGTAATCTTGTAATGTTGTGAGCTGCCTTTACTCAACACTGGTTGGAAGTGAAGTCTCAGTTACTTAGAAGTTTCTGTCAAGCTGGTGATGTGGATGAAACAAACATTCGAACATCATTAATAATGAGTTATGACATTTAGGTGTGTCATGTGCATTTATTATTAAAATTAGGTAATATGTCACTCCCCCTTGTCTTGCATTTCCTGAATTTAGGCTAAAAGCTTTTTTCTTTCTTTACATTTTTTATTGATGTTTATATTGAAAGGGCTCTAGTTTGGTCATAAGCACAGTAAACCATCAAGGGGGCAAAACAAAAATTATAGAAAAAGGTACACTACCTTAGGTTTTGTACAGAAACTCTAAAGTAAACAGCAAGCGCTTCATCTCAATATGATGAAAAATGGTTATGAGACTTATCTCTGATTTACAAGTAGACATAAAAATGTTGCTGGCCTGTATTTAAAAACCAAATAATGTGAGGTTATGCTTGTTCGTAAACTATAAAAGGGCAAAAGGATAATATGTGCCCAATAAAAAACTGAAAACTTTTCTCTTAAATATGAAGCGGTAGCAAAAATTCAGTAACTGATGTAATCTTTTTTAAAATTTGTCTCAGAAGAGATTTTTAAATCCCCTGAAAGGATCTAAGAGGAGGAGCACAGACTCAGAAAATGTTACAAAAAGTGCTTGTCAATGAATTATTGATAATAGCACAAAAGGATTAAATATCTTCTGGCTTTCAAGTCTGTGCGTCTGTCATCAATTTTTCACTTTCTTTTCACTGTTTTCACAACATCAGTGACACCTTTTCTAAAGCGGGACTTTCTGTAATACACCTGTTATTGATCAGTGGGATGTCTGACAGCAGAATGGTCCTACTAAGCATTTGATCCAGTTCAAGAGCGCATTGATCCAACTGCAGCTTCCTGCCACTCCTGCAGTCTCTCAGCGTGGCTTTGGATTGGGTCTTGATGGGATCCCATGAGAATGAATGGTTCAACACACATGTAATGGACATTTACATTATTTTTTAATGTATTCCTGGCAACAACAAAAAAAAAGCTCCTGTGAAGAACGACAGGTTGATGTTGGTTATGGTGCTCCCTATGGACCAAGCAGCACCCCTTTTTTCTTTGCCACGCTTGTCTTTTACTTCCATTGGTGTTTCCTGATTAATCCTTCCTCATTTAATGTGTCACTCATCATTAGTTTTTGCCACAGAAAATGTAAATAAAGTCTGTTTCTTCAAGATGAAGAGGAATAAGAGGAGGAAGAAAAAGAAGGGTTGTGTGAGGTACCTGTCTATAGTAATTATATCACCCACAAGGGGATCCGGGTCAGCCTGGTGTAGTGTTGAGAAACAGGGAGGAGTACCAACACAGGAGCTATGCTATTAACCACTGCAGACAGGGGCCAAGTCAATCCCTTTATTTACAGAACCCCAACACTACACTTGGTGCGAACAAGTACCTCAAACAACCCCTCTTTAAAGAACGGACCCATCCCTTTATTTAATGTATCGCAGGTTTTCTACTTTTTGAGGCCTGCTTTCAGTCCTACCTTTGATTTAAATTTAGTTTTGTCTGTCAAGAGTACAATACTATACGCAAGTATGCTCCTATACTTTCTTATGAATAATATATTTTCATTCGTTGAAATGATGTGTTTTTAAAGATACTCTCAAATGAGCTTGTATTTGATTTTCAAAGGCTTGCACCAGTTTATTCGTCTTAACTGACGTTGCAAAGATATAGTTACTTACATGTGCACAATATCTATCAAAGCTATGTTAAACATTTGTAATAAACAAGGTCATTGCATTCAGATAAGTCATTTAACAATGCTGTGTGTGTCATTCAGTTTTTGAGAAATATAGATGAACTGTTCCTCCAAAAAAGAAAAAAAATAAATAAATCAGAACGGGAGAAAGGAGACAAAATATGTTGGCTTATTGACCCACTGACCAGGTGCTGACTGAATAAAGATAAAGTGCAGTAAAAGAAGAAAATCTGGGACAGAAATAGAGAATTACTCTTTCTTTCTCCCTTTGAATAGAGAGAGAAGTGAAAAAGTACAAAAAGTCATATTGTTGGCTTCTTTTTATTTGTGTTGTAGAAATCACTTCACGTTGGTGTGTTTTTTATATAGAGCATTGTGTTTCTGCATTCATGCATGTGTATGATGTGTGTGTGTCTGTATGTGTGTGTGCATGCCCACATAGGAATTTGATTACATAAATCTTTGTGTTTTCTGTGAGGAAATCAACAATAACAATATAACCCTGGGGATCCTATTAGAGAGCAGATCTCTCCAGTGTGTGTGTGTGTGTGTGTGTGTGTGTGTGTGTTAAGAAGTAGGAGCCATGTGGTTAGAGTGATGGGTGAGCTCCCCCAGCTTATTCACAGAGGCTCTATTTCAATGAGTTTTTTTTCCCCCCTTTTTTTCTTACCTGCAGAATAAGGAGCAGGCCTCATGCATGATGTGTTCCCAGTGTGGGAACATCCAGTGAGGGAATGGACCCAGTTTTCTCTGGCTGAATAACTCACGTTTCCAAATCCGGATATTAAATGTGCCACAGGTAAGTCAAACTTGCGTCACACAGCATTGCCTGAGTCGAAATGGTTCTTTTGAATCCTTTTAAATGCCATGAGAACATTCATGTATGTTGCTGCTACAGGGGTATATTCAACTGTGAAAACAAAAAGACTCTTATTTCGAAAGGGAGCTCTTAAAAGACTCCAAAAAAGTGATTCAAATCATTGAAAAAGAACAACTGGTGAATCCAAACACAGGTACATTCAGCTTAGAGAAAACACACCATCCCACATGTTTCATTGGCTGTATTCTGATCCTATAACACAGTACGCTGTGCTATCACAGTAGGACAGCTGTGCAGTCATGTCGCTGAAGCATGCTACCACACTGACACCATGCTAATTTGACTGTCAGCGTGTTCATTATAATACAAGAGAAAGCAAAGGAGAGAGAGAGAGAGAGAGAGACATGTTCTGTCTCACCATAATCCAACCGAGCTGCATAGTGTGGTGGAAAGAGTAAAGGATCTTTGAGCATGAGTTCAAGTGTGTGTTTTTTGTTTGTTTTGTTTTTGTGAATCTTAGCTTGAAGCATTTTTTTGTGCTGTGGGGAAATTTATAGACATACAAAACACCTAAGCTAAAAGAGGTTCAGTAAAGAAGGAATGAGAGCTTTTGTTTTCAATGGTAGACCTCACCTTTTGTGCAAAATATATGCAGTCAACATGGTTTCAAGTGTTTCCAGCCTTAAAATCTACAGTATAATATCAATGTCAGTGTTGTAGTTTAAATTGTAAACCCTGAGTCTCAGTCAAACCTTCAGTGTTCAAGTTTAAGTCCCCACTATAAAAATGACTATATGACACCAGTGTTTCAGTCTGAACTATTCACTGACTGCGTGAAACCTTTGGGATGCAGAGAAAATATTTCATTAAATTAACATGTTTGTAGTTTAGAGATTCTTACTGGTCTAGTCTCTCTCTGCATTTGGAGATTTAAAGCTTCTGTGAGGAACTTTTGGTTTGTGCCAGTTTTGGCGCCCCTACGTGGACAATAAAGTCTTTGCTAATCTTGTCCTTTAAATGCTTAAGTAGTGTCTCTTAACAAAAAGTAATAGCTGACTTTTGAGGTCAAATTCATCATTTATTCTGAGTATTTTATGTGGAAAAAACGCCTGTTTCCTTAGCAGCTTGGCTGACCCCTACCTGCACACACAGGTAAAAATGACAAGACAAAATTGTCAAGCTTGTTGCTGGTTGTCTTGTTTGCTCTTGTACATCATAAAAAGCATTAATGTAAATTTCAGTATTTCTCATGAATATCTCAAAACTTCTTACAGTAGCTACAAATGAACTTCCAGCACTGTGTATTGCGCTTAAAATGTACATTATGCCTCTCTTAAAGTGTAGTCACACTGTTCAGTAAATATTAAATTACAAAACATTGCTGAAGTTTGAAGTAAACAACATTATTGTTGTCTTTGTAAAATGATATAATCCAAAGTACTTTTGTGTATTAAGATCCTAATTCTTGTCTAATCCAAACAAAAAGATTGCAGCGCAAAAAGTGCTGCATATCTATGCCTTGCAACAAATTAAAGTGGTGATGAGATTAAATAAATACCACCTAAAGGGTTAGGACTGATTGTTTACCCTTATTTCACTAATTATAAAATACAAATAAAGTCCTGATTTGCATATTTAAAAATATTACTGAGCTGATCCACTGTAAAGGTTGCACCCGAATAATTGTTCAGTATTAACCTTGACTTATCTATTATTAAATGTGTTTTCTTGACCTTGAGGGTTAGTATTTAGCTACATAAGAGGGTTATCAGCGTAATCAAGGCTTCTCTACTGCTGCTCTAATTGAACAAACAGTCTTTACATGTTGGGTTTGAGTGATTGGACAGAGGATCATGCATTGTTTCATCACCTGATTACCTGTAAGGTAAACATGAACTTGCAAAGGTCGAATCTATGCAAGTGTGTTTACTTTATTTCTGTTTAGTGTATCTCATTAGACCTAAATAAAATAATAATGAAATAATAATTATAGAACAATAAACATCTTATTTCAAGACAAATAAGTTTCTTTTAATCAGAATAACGTCTTGAGTCAAATAAACTTCTTTTACAAAAGATAAACACCCCAGTAACACTTTACAACAACCACAACTTATAAATGGTAAATAGACCATTTATAGAAAGCATATAGACCATTAATGAATTGTAAATTTAACAATTTTGAAAACCTAAACCTAACCCTAACTTTACAATAACCATCTAAGTAATGTTTATAGATGGCTTAAAAAACAAATATTAATCATTTACAAAGTGCTACTGACACACATTTTAATCTGTATGTTTTACAACCAATATTTAAACCCTTTATAAACCTTTAATAAATATTCCATTAATAATTAATGAAAATTATTAATCATAATTTCATTGCTTGTTAATGGCAAAGTAACTATTAACTTACATTAATAAACTATCTATTTGCCATTTATAATTGATCTATATACCGTTTTTAAATGATGATTAAACATTAATAAACTACCTATTTGCCATTTAATATTGATCTATATGCTGTTTTTAAATGATGATTAAACATTAATAAACTATCTATTTACCATTTATAAATTATGGTTATTGTAAAGTGTTACCAACACTCTTTTCACCCCATTACAAGCAATCCAGGTCTTATTATTTGCTTGATGTATCTTGAAATAAGATCTTTTATCTTTTTACTTGAAATGTTAAAAAACTCACTTTAATTATTTGCATTGTAGTTCATCTGTCTGTTGAATCGCTTTACTTAATAAAACCCACTCTCTGCTGCAGAGATTTCTTTGTTTCCATGTTGCAACCAGAGAGATTAAGATTTCCATATTCACTTCTTCAAACAAATCCTCATTTATGCATCTGCAATGTTGGGCTGCATTACGTTCTTCAGCTGGAGATATCAACCAGTGGGACTCCACTTTGCAGCTCACACACTTGAGCTTCAAATGGCATAACTAACTCTGTAATCTAATCACTGGACAGTGTTGTAATGTGGTCCAGAGCGCAAGCCCCAGGAAACTGCCTGGCATACAAGCAATTAATTAACTTAATTGCATGGTTAACTTAATTGATTAGCTTGTTATTTGGCTAGCTTAGATATGGCTCCATTGCACAGTGAGATAATGTAGACATAATGTGAGGATCAGCCTCGTGGCAGCAGTGGTTTCAGGTGTCTTTCTCTTTATCCCCTTTGTGAGTGATTAATTGATGTTGAATTGTCTCTCCACCATCATAAGCTTAATTGGGTTTATTTATTAAGTGTTAGCTGAATAAATCCAATCTAACAAAAAGATGATAAGCAGGGCACATGAGAGTAAGCTAACTTGTGTTGGCTTGGTGCTAATGTCACAAAGATTAGATGAACACAGTATGAGAATGAGTGGTTCAGGTCAGCCCATAATGGAGTCTTTTGTATGGAGTTCATAATGACAGCACAGTTATAACTTATCTGAAACTGCAGTGTTACAAAAGATGGAGACAAAGACAGGAGAACAGCATGCGTCTCCTTCATTCTGAGGGTTGGTAAAGCCAGAGGCGTTTATCAGCACAATGAGTTGGCCTCAGATTTGGCCTCTGACAACTGTCATATCAACACAGCTAAAGGGAAGGGCGGCCATCTTGTCATTCTTTCATTCTTTCACCCCTCTTTGTTTCTGACTCCGTGCTCCAGTTCTCCATTATCTCCTCGCCTCTTCTCTCTGTCTTCCCTGTCTGACTCGTCCTAATCTCTCTCCGTCTCCCTTTCTGCTCACTCATCTCCATTCTTTTCTCAAACTCTTCCTCCCTCCCCTCCTCTCGCCGTCTCTCTCTCCTCCATCTGCAGTGTGTGAGGGATGAGTCTTCCTCCTGGCCTGAGTATATTAGCTCCTGACAGCTCCGACCTTGTTAGAACCAGAGTGAGATGTCCACTTTTACAGCAGGAAAAGCTGCAAGGGCAACTCTTTTTTTTACCTTTTAGTTTTACCCTTGAAGACGGATGTACATAAACACATCATCATCAGGGGATGATCATTAAGAAGGGAGCTGCCAGCACCAAAACATCTCTCTTCACCACTCTGTGAGTCTATTTTCATCTGAAGGACTACAGCTAGGCCATCCAGATTCTTTTCTGAAGCTCTTTTTTTCGTGGGAAACTTTTTCTTGCTTCATGATAGATTGGTGTCTACGCAGCACCACCCACTTCACAAGCACACCTTGATTTTTACACTTCTTATAAAAACCAATTACCAAATTCCATCATGCTCCATGGCACCATTAAATGAGCTCATTAAATACCTTTAGGATTACAAATCAAAGTAATTGCCAATTAGGATTTACCTAATTGTTTAAAACTTGAAGATCTGATGCTTTTTCACATAGTTTGAAAATCTGAGAGCAAGTCCAATCAAGGCTTGATTTCCAGCTGAGCCATTCTGATGATTGATGCTGACTGAAGTAGTTAATTAAGTAAATAATACAAGACAAACATAGAGTAACAAGGACCTACAACATGTGAACTTACAATAGCTGTTTACTGAACCTTCAAAGGGGTCAAATTACAAGGAAAGTAAACACTATCCTGTTACTGTATTAACAATCTTATAAATGACATCTACTGAAGCTGAACTCCAAAGCTTAAAATCAAAGGATAGTGAGTTGATTTAGTCATTAGAGTTGCATAAAGATTGTCCTGTTTAATAATACTGATGACAGCCTTGATTTGGATAAGAACATTATTGATTATATGCCTTTCCTTATCCCTTCCTTAACCCTTTCAAATAGGTGTGGTAGCTTGGATTTGTTTATTACTGATGTTGACAAATTGGTTAAAGGGATATTCCGGCGTAAAATTAATTTAGGGTCAAACACACCATAACACTGAGTTAGACACCCCCTTGAAAGATGAATGTTGCCAGCTGCTTGCTTTTCTAGTTATACCAACTTTAGTAACAACTGCAGGATAGCAATACACAGCGATCTGAGGAGCCATTAACAAACCTCAACCAAAACGCCACTCTATAGCCACAAATAATGCTCAGAACAGCACTCAACTTCATCAACAGTACATATCAAGTCCAAGCCACAGTACTAGCCTCCAAACATCTTTTTAGCTTTGCCTAATTTCTTTAGCAAAGAGACTAAACACATCTCACCTACTCTCTTCCAGCAGCCGCTTAAGTAGCGAGACCTCAGGCCAGTCCATCACGGACTACAGCGGGGTGACGCAGCTCAAGGAAGAACATTTATGATCATTACTTTATCATTTCAAGCGGCTGCTAGAAGATTGTAGTTGAGTTGTGTTTAGTCTCTTTGCTAAAGAAATCAGGCAAAGTTAAAAAGATGTTTGGTGGCTAGTGCTGTGGCTAGGACCCTATATGTACTGTTGATGAAGTTAGGTGCTGTTCTGAGCATTATTTGTGGCTATAGAGTGGCGTTTTGTTTGAGGTTGGTTTATGGCTTCTCAGACCGCTCTGTATTGCTATCCTGCGGTCATTACTAAAGTCGGTGTAACTAGAGAAGCAAGCAGTCAGCCGGAAGCAGTCATCTCTCGAGGGGGTGTCTAACTCTGTGTTACGGTGAGTTTGACTCTAAATTAATTTTATGCTGGAATATCCCTTTAACTCATATGTTGTAACCTGCAGTATGACCTTATGCCCTCCAGGTTTTCAGTAACCATTGTCCTTGAAGCCGCAGATTAAAGAGAACATTCAATACATTTAAGTTTCCCGCTCTGAAAAGGTAATTGGCAGTCTGAGTCGTGCATCACTCTATCCTGGTTTGTTTTTGAAATGATGTATTGCTTCCTGTATGTTATCCTGCTTATTGCTTGGCTGGTTGCTTTATCAATAATCTTACAAATGGTGTTTCTGAAAAATGCCTCTTGGCAGTTAAAAGCCTGTTACCATATATAGCATGTCAATATACATTGAAGGTGATCTGCATCAATGAATCACAGCAGCACCTCAGTACTGAGTTCACAGTATGTCTTACTCACAGCAAGGAGGAAAACATAGTCTCAGAAAGGTGTAATTTGTGCTTGTTGATAAGTCTTGGTGTCCCTGGTGTTTTTTGCCTTGCATCTGAGTTTCAAGTCCTAACCATATACTGTATAAAACATGGGAAGTTTCAGGAACATTACCCACTGGTTTTCTGAGTATTGAAGCTTTTGACAGCTAGATGCCATGCTGACAAAGAAGTGGAGTTGAGCTGACCTTTAGCCTCCTCGCTTCAGGCTACAGTGTGTCAGCCTATCAATCAAGTCAGCTGTGCCTCTGATAATGCAAAGCTTGATGCTTCAATATCTCAAAACTAATGTGTCATAAAAAATTGCCCCTCATGAAGATTTTTATTTCTGTTGTGAAGCTGGGTTTTTTAAATGGGTGTGTATACTGCTTCTGATGTGTTTGGAGTCAGCCTCAAGTGGACAGTTGAGGAACTGCAATTTTTAGCACTTCTGCATTAGCTTTCTAAAGACCAGAGGCTGCTGCTAGCTTGTCCTGAGAACAGCTCTTTGGAAATCAGGTGGGCATTTAATGGTGTTAAGCCATTGTAGTCTCATTTTTATTCATATTTCCACCTTTTGCTGTTAGTGTCACTAAAAAATTAATATAAAAGTGTTTGCACAAATGAGATGCAGTAATCAGAGACCATGATATATGCATAGCCACGTTTCTCTTTGCATAAGCACCATATCCTTGATATGTTTAAAACAGGATAAGGCTCATAGTTAGGATATTCAAGTCCATATAACTGCACACATTATTAAGTTCTCTCCTTTTTTCTGCTAAAATGTTTGTATATTTTGTGTAAATGTTAAAAATGATCAAATCAGGAATGGAACAATAACAGTGTGTGAACTTAGTGCATTATTTTCCCCTCATCAGTTAGCTCTCTATGGTCTATGTTAAATGTCCGCTTACTTTGCAGAATGATGTATCTCACCAGCCTCAGGGTCGGCTGTGGAAACACCAACCCTGCTGAAACAGTGAGGCCATTTAAATAGAACTGTAAATCAAATTTTGCCACAGGGTGTTAAAGTCCATTTTCTCAGTCCCTCTCACAAATATACGGAGCATTCGTACAATATATGGACGTGCCTAAGGGTTTCTCTAAATTTAGGAAATGGTGTATGATGGAGGTCTGTCTAATGTGAACTCCAGGTGTCTAATTGCTAAGTCTGCACTGTGAGTCAGAGCGCACAGCAGATCCAGCACTGCTGCTGTATATACCAATAACACAGCAGAGTGGACTCATGGGGAGTCATCACAGGAAGTGAACACTCGCTGTGCCAATTTGCTTACCCTTTATTTAGCGCATATGCAGGAGTTAACACACACATAACCTAAAATATTCAGGAAGTACCACTCATGTGTTTGTCCTAGTTGCATTTAAAAAGGATTTGGTCATGCACAGATTCATTTTTACGCCTCCTGTGTGCTGATATTTCCATGTAGACTAGAGCCACGCTTTGGGGTTGGTTGACTGGAGCTACACGCTGAAGGTTTTTCTTGTAGGGCAAAAAGAACACGGCCATCGTTATTTGTAGGCAGACTTGTGCTGCTGGTGCTTGACTGTGAACTGAGGCAGAGCTGCAGAATACTTAAGTAGTCCTTTGCTATGCATTGCCCCTTGGGCTGATAAGTTTCATCAGTGGGAAGTAGTTAGGTCAATTGGGCTTAAAATGCACTTTTTAGAGTGTTTGGCTGGGATGCTGAGGTTGTGGGTGGATTTAGCCTCCAAGCTGAGAGGCTGATGAAATGTTTGATAATAAAAAATAAAATATGTTTATTGAAATACACACACACACACACACACACACACAACTACTGAAAGTATTTCTAGATAGAAGTAGGCAAAGACTTCAACTGTTAACACAAAGTCTGCCAGAAAACAATCTTGCATGTATGTTCTTTATCACCTTTTTTTTTAACATCCATGGTCTCAAAATATAAAAGTATCTTTAAATCTTGTCACTCTGGCTCTGCCACAAAGTCTTTAAAAGAGCACACTCAGCCACCTGCTCTTTGGTGTCCTCCACTGCTGCTGTAATATAGCAGGGGTAATAGAAAACCATAAAAGGCCTATGCCTGATGACAGAGTAATAACAGTAGATTTAAACTGTGGCAGCCTCTCCCAGCCATTATGACCAGTACAAATGCGTGTCTAGTTGCCTATAGGTTGAGGTCAATGACTATTGTTTATAACGTTCATTATGTAAAAATAGCAGCTGTTCATAAATTGATCATTTCTTCTCTTCAGTGCAGTCAAGGAAACCCCCAAGATAGAAATATAGAGTTCCCTGCTTTAGGTTAGCAAACATGAACATGATAAATCCCAGGTTTATGTACAACTAATTCAGATATCGATTGTGCGCTGACTGTAATTCATACGGTGTGCTACATGATGGGTGGTATAGGAGCAAGGCAGAGAGCGAGGAGATAGGAGGAGGCAGGGGAGACTGGCTATACACAGAGGCAAATAAATGGCTGTGTGTGATTCACTGCAAGGAAACTAATATCAGTAGAGTCATACTGATAGGCACACACATGCTAATACATATACAGACCGACTCAGAGCCGAGAATTTTCCTGCAGTGTTGAAGAGTGGCGTGTCTGGGATGGGACCGGCCTCATACAAATGGCTGAGAATGCTAATGAGCTCACAAATGGGTCAGGGAGATGTAAGTGAAAGCTTTACAGGCGTGGCTAATTATGAGGTAGCCGAGCATCCACCAAAAGGCCAGAAAAGGTAGGGATATGGGATGTTGTGGTCAGGTCGGTTGCTAATGAGCTTGTGCTGGCACCGCAGTTTAATCAATGAAAGCTAACTAATGGATGGGTCACATCAGAAGAACTAACTGAATCCGATATATACTTGTAAACCCTATTTTCACTTCTCTTTTCTATTCTGTTTTAAATTAATTGAGTGTTTTATAATGGCAAAGTTCCTAATTGAGCTTGTTCACTCACTTACCATAAACTCTTTTCACTATTTTTAATCTGTTTTAAAACTCATTACTTCCTATGTTTAATGACACCCAACCCTTTCAGACTGTTCCTATTGTCAGTCAACTTTAGTAACATCTAACCTGATCCCCATCTGTCATATCAGATAAGTTCCATCATTGTGAGTCTATTTATTCATCAAATTCGTCAGAGTAATTAGAGATGACACATTAATAATCCCTGTGAGCCACTTCATTAATTCATTAATTCGTAAATTACCCACTAATTATGAAAGTTTTTTGTCTGATCTGCGGAAAATTTAACCCCTAAAAATTAGATTTTTGTAAGTAATTCAATCTCACAAATGAGCCCGGATCCCTTTTCTGTCAGAGCTGAGCACATCTTGAATTCCTCTCAGCCATGTCTTGAGCTTCTGCTGCCATCCTCTGGTGAAGAGAGACTTTGAGTGCGAGAAGAACAGGCTGCACAGAGCACTGTACTGTAGTTCATAACATTTGTACCACTGCTTAATCAAGCAGATAATGAGCAATAAGATTCAGGGCTGTCCATGTGAGTGTTTGTGTGTCAAAACCTGTGAGGGACGGGGATTTCAATATAAATATTTATGCCCGGCAAACAGATCAATGGCTATTAAAAAGGTCAAGGGCAGATGATGATGGATGTTGGCTGTATGTATTGATCAATTCTGACCGCAGTAATGAATTACAAATGCGCACACACACACACACGATCTCTCTCTTACACACACACAAATACACTGCAGACCAAATGATAGGGATTAATTCATTGATCATGCTTAATCTGTCATAATTAATTCCATAGGAACAAGTGTGATGAGAGCAAGCCTCCATTAAACAGATAAATTATTCAACATGAGGAGGAGGTGGACCTGAGATAAATGAGCGTGGGAGGCTGGTGCCAGCAGTCACAGACTGGGGCTAATTACAGTCTTTTCTTGGAAACTAGCGCAGGTTAAGTTACAGTAATAGTTTGATGAAAACACCTTAGAAGTGTAATTGGAGGCTCGGGTTAACACAACAGTTCACAAAGGCGCAGAGGCTCCATTAGAGTCGACTTTGAATAAAGTTGGTGATGACATACCATGAATGTAAAACTTGTTGACCTACATAGCTCTTGCGCTTGTTCATTTTTAGCAGTGAGGGAGCCGCTCTCAGTTGGAATAATTGCGAGATTAGTCCCAATTCCCTAACAACTATGTATACACTGACTTCAGTAAGTTTCTTCCCTGTTTGTAGAGTTTGTTTTCAATAATTTAGCCCTATGAAAACTTAAATAGTTTAAAGAATATTTAAAGCGTATCCAAAGAAATACTGTCAGTAAAAGTTAAAAAGTGCATAAACTTAACAATACACCTGGAGCCAACTGTAGTGCTTTCAAGACGAGAAGTCGGTGTATGCACTTAGATAAAATATGCATACAGTCTCTGTTCCAGGTTTATATATCCCTGCATATGCATTGTTCTGTATTACATAGCCCAGCCGTTGTGTAAAGGTACACACTGCTTTGTTGAGCACTCGTTCTGTTAACTCTAACATCCTGTAAGGCTGCCAGCTCAGCCGTTGGAGTTGTATTAAAAAGTCATTACACACTAGTGTATATGCAATGAGCTATAAAGACTACTGCAGAAAATATGTAGATCCACTAAGCTTTTAAATTTCTCCCTGTGGTCTATATAACAGTCAGATAAGTCCTTAAAAATATTTGTAAAAGTTAATTAATAAAGATTCAGAAACATATTCTAACAACATCATTTTTCACATCAGTCTTTAGCTTTTCTCTGTGTCTTTCAGCGCAGAATCAAAGGCAAGCTGCATCCATCATGAACGGTGATTGAATCGGATTTTATTTACTTTCCAGCATCATTTACAGCTGTATGCAGGCACAGAGGGAAGAGAAAATTAAAAGGTTAGTGAGCATTTGGCTTTTTTGAAATTATAAACCCAAAACACTGAGAAGTTTTATCTCCTTCACAGGTGATCTCACCCGCTAAAATATTTGTTTGAGCACGCCATCATCAAGACATGAACTCTTTACACTCCTAAATATTAGGAACATTTGTCGAAAACCTGTCAGGGATCAACGAGACCATAATGAGTTTTTGAAGTGAGTCGTTTCAAAAGGTGCTGACTAACACAGCTTTGGTTTTTAATCTCGGATTCTTTGACAAACCTGCACACATTCAATAATGAAAAAAACTGAAGTAAAAAAAAAAGTAATTAATTACAGAATAGAGCTACTGGTGCTGCAAATATACAGTAAAGGTCTATTTTGAAGAAAATGTAGCCAGCTTATGAAATCACTCTGAATATGAGACCAGAAGTCTCCAAAACACTCTCTTCACTGGATTTTCATGTTTTCATCAAACACTTTTCATGCAACTGAGACAACAACCTCTTCCTAACATCCCAAAATGAGCGCCTTCGTAACCTAATTAATGTATTTACAATGTTTTTATGATTTGCTTGTTGTCTGTTAGAAGAAGGTTTCTCTGCACAGTGGACAGGTGGACTTGTTGCTGGAGGTGAACCATTTGTACTGAAAAAGATAAGGGAAAAGGTGCATTAAAAAGAGGATTTAAAGAAGAGTATAGTCATGCAAGAGCATGTGTTTATATTTAAGGTTTATATTTATATATCTATGCAAGCAACACAGTTTGTATGTTTTACAGCCAGCTGTAGGTTTTGTATTCACTGAATTTGGTCCGAGTCAAAGAAAATTCTCATGACACATTTGTCCTCTCTGCTATTGTTCTCTCTCTTTTCTCTCTTCTTTTGCAGCAAAGGCACTGCAGATATTCTACACACACACACACGTATTACTCACCAAACAAGCTGAGTGGAATTTCTTTTTGCAGGTGCGGCAAGCCTTCTTGGGCAGGGAGTAGTTGGAGCCGTGGATGACGGAGAAGCAGATCATACAGTCCTCTATTCCCTCGAAGCGCTTGTCCACGTTGTTCTTCCACAGAGCCAGACCCTCCATTATACTGCCATTCTGAACACACAAAACACATACAGGATTAGCATTTTCTACCTCCTACCTACTCTTTTTTTTTTTTTACACATCCATCACACAAAAGCATCTTCCAGGCAATGTGGACCTTCATCATCCAGGAACATTTCCAGGTAGTGATATAACGTTACCTCAGGCCTTCAGACGCTTTTAAAACACCGCCTTCTCACATTGACTTCTATTGTGTTTCTACCTGATGTGTGAGGTAGGTGCTCAGTTGCAACATCCAGTTCCTCCACTGTTGTACAGCAACGCCAACGCGCCGCCCACTCTCGACAGTGATAGAGCCTAGAGGATGGTTCTGTGGCAGCTGGATCACCAACTCGATGAAGATATCATCCACAGAGTAGGTGGCAATCACCTCCCGCGCCGCTGATCGGGCTTTCACCTGTCGCAGAAAGATAAATAAGTAAAATCAGCTGTTTGCCCTGGCCTTCAGGGGTCTGTCAGTCAAGTAGACAGACTTCTACTACATCTTTATCCTACAGCGTCGTTGTAGAAGCGACACATTCGCCAACTTACTGTCATATTTTCAAACATTTGAGTGCTGGAGTGGACAGACGAGATCTCCTGCGCTGAGAGGACAGGACTGACATATTTCGTTGTGAACTTCTCCACGGCTCCGCTCACTCTCTTCTCCTGGCTGTTCCACCACAGCCGCACCATGGCAGGCAGGTCCTGCAGCGTGCTGTAGCAAACACTGCAAGCAAGATGTGGGAGCTCCCACTCAACACTTTTGCCCTCTGGAGGAATGAAACACAGGAGGGAGGAATTTCAGATTATTCATTTTTAACCACAATGTAAAGACAGGTTGGGAGTGTGGGCTACTTACTGTCAACAGCAAGAGACAGGCTCTCTGTAAAGAAGGTTTTGGACTCCTTTGACTCTGGCCCTGCGCCTGGATAGACGGGATTCTCTGGCATCAGTTTAAAGAGGTGAAGGAGGAGCTTGTTGAGGGAGCAGCTTCTCTTAAGATACTGAGCGTAATGGGCGCGCAGCTGGAGATGAAGAAGAAGATACTTTGATATCAGTAACACTACATTAACCTCCACATTGAATATGGAAAACGTTTTAAACAGCAACCAAACCCTCTACTACAGAAAAAAAGAAAATCTGTTGTAGAAGATCCTGAAGAGATAGATTTGACCGACCTATCAGTACTTACATGGGAGGGTGAGGATTTGAAAAAAGTGAGGAGTAACTTCCAGGCCAGCAGGTATCCCAGGATGCAGGAGTACTCCACACTCAATGGCTGAACTACAGCGAACTCTCCTACTTGCAGCCCTGCCAGAATGCTGTCACACAGTTCCTCACAGGTGGACAGGATGGCCATGAGGGATGCCGGAGGAGAGCTTGTACACAAGAATTAAAACCACACTGTCATACAGATACTTATACTTTTAAAAGCTAAATGATAACACCCAGAATGTAGTGAATATTTCATGTTAAAACCACCATTACATGACTTACAGACATGGTTCATCTCTATCATCATCAGACTTGCTCGTGTCACCTTCTCCATCACACTCCGGCAGCTGAGGCATCACCCTGCATAGATAATAAGTAGTAGTAGTATAGATGTGACCCTCAAATAAGTCAACTAAACTAGTACAGCTTCTATTTCTGCTAAATTAAGAACAAAAACACCCTGATTTCCAAGCCAGCCAACAGCAAACAAACAAAAGCCCTTACTTTTCTAACAGGTGGTAGACAGAGATCTGCAGGGGCCTGGCTTTAAAGAGCAGCAGAGGACAGAAGGTGTTGAGGAGCGTCTGGAGAGGCTCTGGCAGGTTGGTTTTCTGGTCTGCTATGAACTTTGGAGGCAGTGAGTTTTGTGTTAGCTGCTGCACAGGGACGTAAGTCAGAGCCGCACCAACTGACTGCAACACCGCCAAAGGAAACACAGGGTCATCTGGTTCTGTGAAGGTTTCTGCAACAGAGACACATTTGACTGATCGGTTTTTATACTGCGATGACTGATTTTGGACAAAGACAATGAATCACTTTACCAATTGTGATTAACACTTTACTTGAAGCCTATCTCTATTATAGATATATACACGTGTATAATAATATATGTGCATTATAAATATATGTATAATGTGTTATAATCACATTATAGCACTGTGTAACTATAGTTATAAACACTCATAAATGATCACAATGCTTTATAGCAGTAATCATAACACATTATAAAGCATTTTATCATGACTTACAAGGTCAGGTATTATAATGTGTTATAACTGTTAATAACTCACTGACAATGCCCACATAGATAATGCGTTATACATATATTTATGATGTGTTATAATTTGTTTATAAACTTGTATAACTATCATTATAAACACTCAATTATTATGATAAGGCCTTATAACAATAAGAATAACACATAATAATAACTGACCTTGTAAGTCATAATAAAATGCTTAAAATGTGTAATTATTATTGCTATAAAGCATTATGATCATTTATGAGTGTTTATAACTATAGTTATACAGTGCTATAACATGATTGTAATGCATTATACATAGATTTACAATGCCTTATAGAGATAGGCGTCAAGTAAAGTGTTACCGAATTGTCATTCTTATTTCTTAGCATACCCTCCTGAGATATAATCCACACACACACATACACACACCTGTGATGGTGATAGGTAGAGGCAGCAGCAGATTGTAGATTCCTTCAACAAAAAAGTCCCTCCATTCACTGGTTAGTTCTGCCGGAATTCTCTCCAGTACATCGGGGGAAGACGATGAAAAGAAGATGTTCAGCTCCACTATCAATGCAGCGTTTTCACACCCAAATAGCTGCACCCATGGGTTCCAGAGACTGCTCACATTTTCACTGGCAGTCTAGGATAGGAGGAGGGATACAGTCAGACTCGAAGAGATACAAGCAATGCAATCCACAAATAAAACTCGGCTTTCCTCTTGATTTAGTTTTCGATTTTAATCTTTTTTTCACGACAGCAGCTGGGATCAGAGTCCAGGGTTAATTCTCTTATAGAAATGCACAGTGTGTATGAGCCCTATCTAACCTCCAGCCAGGCCAGCATCGAACACAGCAAGAAGTCCCACTGGATGCCCCCAAGAGTTATGGGATAGTGAGTCACCAGCCAAGACAGGAAACGCATCATCTCCACAGTGAGGTTCAGCTGTTCTGCAGTTGCTTTAGACAGATCGCTGCAATAGAGGGATGTAAAGTAACTATCTGAATTCAAACCATTAAAATGATACAACAACCCTGTAAAACCACTGTGTAATTGTTTGTGTCACTATTGTACCTGCCAAAGAGGAACCAGTCCTCCTTGCTGTTCCTCCACTCCATCAGTGTCACCAGAATAGCCAAAACAAACTCCTCATCAACATGTGTGTTCGCTCTGAGACAGCACAGCAGCACAGCCAGACTCCCATACACATCTGTGACACAAACAGCCCAAAAAGGATTTTGCAGCATGGTTCATGTCCAAATATTTGTGTCTAGTCTACATTTATATGTGAAGGTGTGTGTATTCTTACCTTCATTGTCTTGCCAGTTGATTATTCCAGCGGTAGCCAGGACAACAAGAGCCTCTCTGTCCTCTCTGGTCATGGTGGGGCAGAGCACCTGGAGCGTGCTCAGTTTGCTCTGAGACACTGGGAACAAACTGACCAAAACACATCACTTTAAATATCAGAATAAGTCTTAAAGATGGCAATGAGACTAAAAACATTCAGACATCACTTGAATGGGACACCACTAACCTTTCTACATGGCTGTAGAGTTTCCTTATAGTGGCGCTGTGAGTTGATGCCAAATTGTTGGTGTGGATGTAGTTTTCCAGAGCCAGAGACCATAGACCTCCATCCTCCACTGACCTACAGAGTAGCAATACAATCAAAAAAGGACTATATTAGGCTGAAAGACTTGCTTGCTTAAAACAATATCAATGTGGTTAAAAATTGCTGTCTTGTTTTTGCATGTTTATACAAAAAGTTCCAGGGCTGAAATAATTCCTCGAGTACCTAAATTTCAAAATTTTCTCTGCCTCGAGCACTCGTTCATTAACTCCAATCCTCACTGTTTAGCACGTTTTATTTAAAAGGTGACACAACCCGCTTACGCCACCACACTAGAAGGAGGAGTAAATGCGTTTTTTTTTTGCCGAGCGAAAAAATGAATGATGAGAGGGGCTTTTCTTATGCAGAGCACCAGTAGCTCATTAGCACTTAGCCTCTAAGTCGTGGGTGGAGACAGCACTGCTCTACATGCTAGCCTGCAGGCTAACATTGCCAGCGTAGTAGCAGAAGCAGGTAACATAGGAGCTATTCAGCTCTCGGACAATAATGTCTTTAGAGGCATGATGAAAGCTAATCTCATAATTAGCTGTCTTATGAGCGTTTCAATCCGCTAACGTACACGCTTGTTCCGTGTTCCTAGTTTTTAAAAAAAGGAAAACAATCGATTGGTCAGTATTAAGTTAAATGTTTTATTTTCTCTTGTGTCTCAATAATTGCAATTTAACTAAAAAAAATATGTTTTATGTGATTACTCGACTAATTGATGGAATACTCTGTAGAATATTCGATTATTCGATAGCTGCAGCCCTGAAAAGTTCCTTTTTTTAACTTGAGAAAAATCTTTTTTATCATGGATGGCTCGATAACAAAAAGTATTTCTTATTGGAGAAAAATCTGTGAGTGGTACTCACCTTGAGTAAAGAGTCTCCAGCAGATCTTTCATCGGAACAACGCCATGAAGTCCCTCTGACAGCCCCCAGTCAGTGAGCAGACTGTGGTAGGCAGACACTAAGGCCGGGCTGTACTCTACCTCCTTACACCACTGCAGGGCGTACAGCAGCTCTGAAACTGTCAGAGAGAGTCAAACATATTTAACTAACACAAAGTTACAGGACATTTTGTGTGTGTTCTGTATGTGTTGGTCTGTATATGTTTACCGGTGTACTTCAGGTTTGGTAGGTGTGGAGAGCATTCTGCCTCTTTCTGGTCACTGGGTGAACATGAGACTGCTCTGGTAACCTTCCCCAGCAAGGCACACACACAAAGGTGGGCTGGCAGCTTGACTGACAACCTAGACTTCCACAAGTCTATGGTGGGTTTATCCAAAACCCCTCGGTACCGGCCAGACAGCAAGGGAGTTTTGACCCACTGAGGAGCACGGAAACGAAAAATAAGGGGAGAGCAAGACTAGAATATCAGGTGGAATCTTCTGTGGAGGGTTTAAGTCCCCAGAATCCTTCAACAATAGATGCTTCATATCCGGTGTATACTCACCTGGGGAGGTAATGCTTGTCTGATTTTTGTCCATTCTGTTTGGCTGGGCGTGAGTGCGGTAAAGAACTGAGAGAGAATGGAGGAGTCTGGATCGCAGACGGACATCATTGCCTCCACCAAGCTCTCCACCGCCAGGACCAGAACCTGCAGACTACAGACAGAGTGTGAGACAGAATATTAAGATGTGGTTGCACTGATTGGGCCTATACAAAAGGATTACCACATACATATTATTTTTGATTTGAATATGGAAGTTTTTACCTTTTAATGCTGGGGACAGCGAGGAGTTGGCCTGACACCCAAAGGGCTGCACTCTGCAGGAAACCCCCTTCAGCAAACTCATAATCAGGTTGTTGGGTGAGTGACCGGACCCCAGCTACACATACTTTCCTCAACTTACTCAAAAGAGAGTCTGTCAAAGGGACATCAAGAAGTGGTTTGTCAGGCAGATGTTACACATAATGTATACAAGTATTCATGCACCTCAAGAGCGCCTACCAGACAGGTGAGAGCGTGTTTGGTCCTTAGCGATGAACTGGAAGACGGTGAAAAGTAGTTCCTCCGCAGAGTGGAGCAGCAGACAGTCTTGTACAGAGGAGAAGAAGGTGGAGGCCACGTCACAGATGAAGGAGATGAGTGGCTCCATGTTGCCCGCATCAGACAGACTCTTGGCCTCTGACAAAGTGGCGTGGAGCTTCTCTAAGATCTTCTCCATGTACACCTCACCTATCAGAGGCTCTGCGCAACCAAGTAGATAAGGATATAGTTGTAAATGTAGACACGATAAGAAATCTGTGCACAAAACATGACAAAGAAAAACGCTGGTGAGTTTGTTTACCGTTGTTGTGGTGCTGTGATAGCACCAGACTGATAAGCATCCAACTGTGGCTGCTCGCAGAAGAGGCAGAGCTGGAAGAGTTGCTTCCAACCTTGCAGAGCTCCCCGGTCAATCCCAGGAGCCGCTCGCCCAGAACTGAACCTTTCAGCCAATCTCTACAGCTCTGAAGAGTCTCAGGGTCAGCGCATGCCTGAGAGGAAAGTAAGCAGTGCAGAAGTTTACAACACTTGAAATTTGATGTATGGACAGTTAACACACACAGAGTCTCGTGTAGGTTCATTAAAGTCTTTGATTTTGAAGTGAACACAAGGATACAAACCCTCTGTATGATTTGTAGGATGATCCCCCACTGTAAATCCATCTGCAAAGGAAAGTTAAGATCATGAATGTAAGAAAAAGAAAAAGCAGCATAACAAAGAGTTTAATCTGCGACAGTAAAAAGGATCATTCTGCTGCACGTTACAGAAAAATCTAACTGGATCAAACAACTGAAGTTACCATGGTGATGTGGTTAAGCATGCGGGTGGTCTCCTGTGAGCTGCAGCAGTGAAAAGAGCTGAAGACCATCTCCACCAGGTGCTCAGTGTCCCTGCGTCCTTTCTCAGCCAGCCACATCACCACCTGCTCTAGCAAGAACTGCGCCGCTGGATTTTTCACACTCACATCGTCACGCTGCTCGGCTTCTTTTATTCTATCGTCAAGTTCGACCAATGTCTGAAACAGGCAAAGTTCAAGAGAAATGTAAGTTCATCAAGAAAGTGTAAGCGGTGTTATTCTGCATGTCCAAGTCCATGATTCATAAATTAACGACAAAACTTTTTCAACACAAGTACTCCCCTAAAGTGGAGCAGATTTTTCTATTACAAAGACTAATTAAACTCAGAGGAGGCTCGCAACGATCAAAAGTGACTGGAAGGGAAATTCTTTCCAAGTGTAGCACAAAACTCCGGCCCTGTCTCCTCTACATATTTTTCACAGATCTGGCTCTTACACAGAGAAACTACACTCAAAGGACTCCTGAAAAAAACAAGATAAAAAATGACTGATTGTCAAAGACATTTTTTATATGTAATCATCAAACATTACTTACGCTGAAGACTCTGGGAGTGTGGAAAGACCGCAGGAGGAGGGAGAGAAAAACAAGATGTTTTTCAGACTTTTTCTCATTGACATGCACCAGGCACAACTGGGCCAGCTGGCACACTACATCCTCAAAATGCTGGGTCTGTGGGGAGCAGATCCTCTCATTCACAAGCTCAGAGTCTGTCAGCATAGGCTTCTCCGCAGTCTCCCCGTCCACTCCAGTTTTCTCGTTGTCATCTGGCTTCGAGAAACTGATCTTGACAGATTTCTTCTTCTGGGCGTGCTTTCTTTTCGCTTTGTCAGGGTTACGCATCACCTGGAGAGAGAAAAGGAATTGAAATTAGATTTATTTTGGCATTAGTTTTTGTTGTTGTTTCACTTTAGCTGCCTTTTAAGACAAGAACAGCTGTGGCGGCCATATTGAGCAGCTGTTTTGTTCACTAAATGACGATTCTGAACCAAAACTCTTCAAAACGAGCTCACCTGCAGCAAAGTAGCTACCCCTTCCAATGCTTGTGGATCTGCTTCCTCACTGTCCACGTGACGCACCAACATCTGACACAGACCCTCCCAGAAGTCTTCGAGGAGCCCTTTGAAGACATCCTTGGTGTCATTTGTTTCATCCTCCCCGAGTAAACCTGCTCTCTTCTCCCAGGAAACCAGCATTCCTGTGACAACCAGGAAAAGAGGACCCGTCTGAAGGGAGGGGTTACCGAGAGCCTTTTCGAGCAGTGGGAGGAGCTACGAAAAAGACAAAAAAATCAATGTCAGAAGGGTAGAAACTTTAAAGAGATTTGACATAGACAGGGACAAGAAATTGTTGTTTTGTTGTCCTACCTGCAGCGAAATGAGCATGTTTCGTAATTTTTTGGGTTCAGCTTCTTCTCCTGTATTGTGCATGATGCAATACCTCAGGCACTCAACAAACGAGGTCACTATAACCGCACTTTCTGATGGGCTCGTGGCTGCACGCTCACTGGACAGACTGAAATACATAAACACTTATAGTCATAAAATGATACAGGATTCGTAGATAAAAACAAGAGCAATTAAAGCACTGTTGCACTAATTCTTTGAGAGAAAGTTGTCAAAGGTGAAAAAAAGCAACCATTAATTCTGTCAAACTCGACTAAAAACTGCATTTAAATCCCTAAAAATTTTAAATATCAAAAAACAAACTTTACCCTTGCATGACTGAACTAAAGAAGGTGGTGTAGAAGTCCAGGGTTGGATCAGTGACTTCTTGGGGCAGCTTGCTGAGGAACGGCATTAGGTTTGGGTGGAGGGCTTTAGCCATGCCTTTACCCCCTTCCTTGAGGAGAGTCCAAAGTTTCGGCAAGAAGCCCTTCTTGGCACTCACATGTGTCCAACAATCCTGAAATAGGAACGGGATCATTCAAGAGATGGTGACATTTGTACAAATTTCACAGCAACTGCTTTCACTACCTACAAAGGCCACTTAAAAATATAAAGAGTAGCAGCATATTTACACATCATTAGTCAAATCTGTATCTGTGAGATTATCCTTAACAAACAAGCTTACAGGAATCATAGAAACGACATGGAGGACAGCTTCCCACACAGGAGGCAGCACAACAGGATCTGTGTCATCAATACTGAGGAGAACAGCAGGGCAGAGTCGTGCTGCTTCAGCCTGAACCAGTCCTGGGGTGAACTCGCATAGAGCGCACACCATCTCGAAAAAGGCCCCCCGCACCTGTGGATCGATATATTTGAAGAGTATTCTTGAAATAAGATTATTTTATGTGTTGCAGGTAAAATAAGCCACAGAGACAAGATCAGAAAATATAATTTAGATAAAACCAGAAGTGAGTTACACAGAGAGCCGCCTAGAGATGTTGAAGTTACAGAGATGTTAAAGTTTGTTTTTCTCACTACAGATTTGATGACATAAAGCTCTCATGTAACCCAAACTCCTCTGTGCTGTATGTTTGTTCTTGTATAACAGGTTAAAACAAGAGAAAAGAAAAAAGTACTTGTCCATGATAACTTAAAAAATAGTCATATTCCAGTACCTGCGGTGTCTTGTGTTTGCTGTACTTCCAGAACTTTCCAGAACTGACAAGATTTGCTAATCTTTCCTCAAGAGCCGTCCTGTCATCGGGGAGCAGCAAAGAAAGCAGTCTCTTCACGCCCAACAAAGAACTGGTCAGCATGCGCACATATTTGGTTTCCCTCTCTTCAGCCGTCACACTTCTGAAATACAGAAAAGATCTGGTGTCTCAGCCCATCTCTCTAAGAAAAGCTGTATTCACATTATAAGAGGAACGGACAGATCCTCCTAACTTACTGCGGATCACTCAGTGTGTCAGCCGTTTCCTTTAACAAAACATCTTGAAGTACCTGCAATGCAAAAATCAATTTCACTTCAAGTTCAGCTCTTTAGACTATGCCTTGTCCTCTCTGATTCACACCCTTATTACTCACATTAAGGATTTCATCCTTGCAGAAGCTGAGAGCCTCGGGTTGTTTAGCGGGAGAGAAAGCAGCCTGAAAGGCCTGGCAGGCAGCAGAGGCTGCAGGTGTGTAAGGGTCACACTGGGACAGAATCCAGTGGCCCATCAAGCTCTTTAGAAAGGGGGCCAAACTGCGGCGCACTTTCAGCACCAGCTGCTCAAAGGCCTGCTGGGTGGCCTCCCTGATCCTGCGATCGTGATCCTGTATGGACATAATCATAGACAAAATGTAGACACAGCAAACATCTGCACTCAATGACACTGAAATGTCCATTTTTACTCAGCTGTAGTTCAAGGGCCTCTGTTGATCAGAAATATTGTTTTTGATTGATCAAAACAGGACAACTTCATAAGTATAAAATTAACCAAATAAAGATTCACTACTGTCATAAATGTCTGGTGAATGAACAGCTCACCACTGCTATCTTGCAGTAGATCCTCGGCCAGTATGGCAGGACCCCCTTCACCTCTTCAGCGTCCCGTTCTTGACACATGGACCCAAAGTCCTGCACAGCCTGAGAAGAATTCAGAGCATTAGGCAAACACACACAGCCAAATCACACTCAGTTAAACTAGGTAACATAAACAGTAGTGGAGTACCTATCTAAAGGGATATTCCGGCGTAAAATTAAGTTAGGGTCAAACACACCGTAACACCGAGTTAGACACCCCCTCGAGAGATGAATGTTGCCGACTGCTTGCTTCTCTAGTTATACCAACTTTAGTAACGACCGCACGATAGCAATACACAGCGATCTGAGGAGCCATAAACAAACCTCAACCAAAACGCCACTCTATAGCCACGAATAATGCTCAGAACAGCACCTAACCTCATCAACAAGAAATACAGGGTCCTAGCCATAGTACTAGCCACCAAACATCTTTTTAGCTTTGCCTAATTTCTTTAGCTAAGAGACTAAACACAACTCACCTACTCTCTTCCAGCAGCCACTTGTTTGTTGCGAGACCTTGGGCCAGTCCATTACGGACCACAGCGGGGTGACACAGCTCAAGGAAGAACATTTATGATCTTTCTTCATGGTAATGCAATCAGACTGAGACGCTAAGGCAGAAGAACTACCGCGTCTGCAGTGCAAAATGATTATTATGATGATTATTATTTCAAGGAAATGATAAAGTAATGATCATAAATGTTCTTCCTTGAGCTGCGTCACCCCGCTGTAGTCTGTAAGCCGCCGGAATATCCTTTCAAAGAGTTATTTCGTGGCGGATTAGCTTCCTAGTGTGGGGTTGGGTCTGTACAGAAGATAAGACAGTGTCTTGGACTCACTTTAAGTCTGGTGACAACATCCCTCTTGGAGAGTTTCCTGAGCACCAAGCGGAAGTCAGCGTCCACCAGGTTATCGATCTCCTCTGCTCCGTGGACGGCAGGGACGTAACTCAGCTCTGAAGTCAGCGCTGTGTCAAAACCCACGAAGCCAGGAATGACACCACCCTCCCGGGTAAGCACCTCAGCGGCTCGGCCACTACTCGACGGCTAGAAGCAAGAAAACCATTCAGATGACAAAGGAAACAAACAAGTATCGCAGTTAGCCGGACGGAAACGATTGGTTATGAAGCAGATGGACAACAGTCACATGCAGCGTTAGCTTTAAACCCGAAGTTTACGCTCGGTTTTGTTGCCACTATTCTCTCTTTAATGGTGTAGGTTAACTTGTAGTTACTTACCCGAACATTTCCTTTAGTTCGTTGTTTATTTTTACCCCCCATCGTGAAACATTTAAAGTATACTCTTCAAGGCTAACTTTGCTGTCACTTGTGTTGGCAGTGGACAATGATTCCAAATGAAGTTGCCGACAGGGCTAACGTAAGGGAGCGAATAACTTCCGGTCTCTTCCAAAGGATTTCAGAATAAAGTGTCGTTTGTTGTATTTTATTTATTAATTCTTTTTTATTTTGTTTAGTTTTTTTAAGGTTTAGGTCAGTTTATTTGTTTGACAGGACCAATTATTTATGTAACAGCAGAGTTTGAGGGAGCCATTAAGCTAGTCAACAACTGTTCCTGGACGGTGTGGTCTAGAAATATATACAGTTCAATAAAGTCTGGCAACTAAAACAGGACAAGTGCCACAGAAGGTACTAAACATATAAAATGTTTAAGTTTTCACTTTATTTTATTACTGTGGAGAGAAAGAACACAAGTAGCCAAAATAAATATGGTTAGTAGAAAAAAAGAAGTATAAGTAAGAACCCCAAATAAATTTGCTGCTGTTTAAAAAGGTCTAACTCTTCCCTACAGAGAAAGGCGTAGCCAAAGTTAGTATGTTTACAAGATATATTTTTTAAAAACCAACAAATCTCTTTCTATTTCTTCCGTTCTCTAAAATACCTTTACTTTCAACAGGAAGTAGAAATACAAAATGTACTAAAATATGACGACTTGATAACAGAGTTCTTCCTCGCGTAAATTTGTGGTGAACTAAAAGCGGTGTGTGCTCATCACTGCCTCTCATGACCACATATTACAACTGCAGTCCCGCAAATAAATAACACCAATGGCAATGAGAGCATGGGCTACAAAATGAAACCTTTATAATGACATCCAGGAGCAAAGTACACAAAAATGTCACTTCTTTCCAGAAAATGTTGGGATATGACAAAACAACCTTTGGGTTTCTAGATCTCTGGACACCATGGTGTATTTTATCAATTAATTTTCATCATGTGTTTCACAGTTAAGATGTATTTGACTATTGTACAGTCTGAAATTGTCTACCCTCTGTTTAGAGGTAATTTGTTTTGACTTCCACCCACAAAGCATCACTGCTCTCTCAAAATGAATAATTTAATACTCCATAAGGCAAACTATTAATCAAATTCATCTGCATACTGCCTTGTTTTTTTTTAACACACAATTATGCAGGAGTCAGGGGTTGATCAACTTTACTGGTTTGCAAGTTAAAGGCATTGAATAGTTCACTGAACATTTTGCAAAACAATTACAACACAAAAGTAATATTTGACCACAACCTAAGATAAGTTTTATATTCAGTATTTGCAGTTATGATGAAGAAATATGCTCAGTCTGTATGCTACATTCTTAACCTCTGTAAACAATGTCCGTCAAACAGAAAGCAACGTGAAGCAATGTGACTTTCAGTGTGAAAACACTGATACAATAGAAGAGATACTGTGTGTTACTCAACCAGCTAAATCTTATTATCAGGTGAGCAAGGCCATAAGAAGTCAAACTAGAAAACAGCACACAGGTTAATCATTATCATCTTTAGGTTGTTCACCCCTGTCCCAGATGAAAATTAAGTCCATAAAGTTGTGTGTGATATTCCTGAAAATAAATATTTTTTTATATCATATGGGGTCAAACAGCACAAAACACAAACCAGACCAGCGTTTCAAATCAAAAATATTTTAATAAACACCCTTCGACATAGATCATGACATTTACAGAGTTCTACTTTATTTGTGTGAGATAGATTTAGTTCATAAATCGTTTTTTAAACACATGGATTTCACTTTTAAAGAGTATTTTGCACTGTACCTGTCTACAATCATGGCTTCTGGTGTGGAGGTCAGTTGTGTGTAAAGCTGGATTGGAGAAGGGTGATGAATTGAAAGTAAACAGGCACTGAACATTTCACACGTGGAATGAAGTAGTCGTTTATTGTGCGCTTGATGTTGAAGAACTGTGTTGAGAACTGTGTTGAGAACAGAAACCCAGCTGTCCCTGTTACTTCATTTGAGAACTTGATTTGAATGTGAGAACATGAGGGTTTGAAACATCTTCCTGGCAGATATTCTCGTCCCTCAGCAAAAGAAATCAAGAAGAAAAGATTGTGCCGAGTGCTTTTTATTGTAATAGATGATTCCTAGTTATCCTAATGCACACTCTTCAGTACACCTATCTGGATCGATGTGGGGACAGGGTTCACTGTGGAGCTGACGGGAAGTATCTATGTACATACATCAAAACAGCCGCGGGTGAACGTAAGCGAACCATGTTTGGGTTTGTTCTTTGTCAGTTTGCAGTAGATAACCAAAACAAGATGACAAAAGACAAGAATAAGTGGGGCTGACTGTACCAATGACTTCTTGTAACTCTCTGTAAACACCACACCGTTAATCTTAGAGACCATATGAACGTTAGAGTCCCTGAAATTTATGGACTTGTGTCAAAGTAAGTCCTTTTCAATTAAGTGTGCCAAATTTAAAAATTACAGGCTGTTTTATTCTTCTACCAAATTCTTTCCTCTGAGGTTAAAACATTCTCACTTTATACTCTATAATAATATATGTTACTCCATTAAGTATCCGTACACGATTCTCTCCAGAGTAATAAATGCTATAGTTGGAAAAATAAAACTCAAGATGGAAATTCAACTGCATTTAGAAATCCTTCAAAGTCCACAACAAATGTTTCCATCATATTTTCACATCATATACCACAATCTAAATGTACTCCCCATTGTCTATTACACAATAGATTATCTGATAAGGCTAAATAATCATCAGTCTCAAAACATTCTGAAATGATCAGGGAGACCAGAGTCTCGATCTGTTCTCGAATCAAAGTCACAATCAGGATTCCCTTCAGTCGTTCATGAAGATGAGTCTGTGAGTTTTTGCCTTGTGATGTGTAAACAGCCAAAAAAAATACACTGAGGATAAATCTATGAGCCATTTTCAAAAAAAAAAAAAAAAAAAAACATAAAGGGAATGTTGTTGAATCCTACATGAACTCAGATTTCATTTCCAGTTAACCAATAAGGTTGATTTGTTTGTGTCACTGTAAAGTTAACTATTTTAGAAATACAATCGGTGTCTTCAAAAGAGACAATTTAATTTTCATTGAGCCAAATTTTCAGAATAAAAAATGTCACTCACTATAGATGGGTTTCGTATTACTGATATGTCCTTGGACTGTTAAGGCTCTCAGTAGGACAACAAATACTTCCGCTAATGTATCTGTCAATTAAAAATGTGGTGTGGTTCATCTCTCACCAGCATGACTTCAAACAGGGGTATAAAACACGACACATTTAACCCACCTGACAGGACACTCTGTTTCAGAGAGATCTTGGACCTTTTTATCCTCCGAATGACATCACATCTTTTCAAATCAATGTGACAGCTGAACTTTTACATCACCTTAAAAAAAAATCTTTAAACGACTCAAAATAACAACAAAACAAAACAGTCTAACCATCTGTTTTCCATTGAGGTAACCCCATAGCGTCTGTGAGGGCCTGGTCCTAAATCATCATCCCAGTGTGAAGTCTGCTCCAGGTGGAAGCACTGTGGTAAAACGAGGGTCCAGTTTGGGCGCAAAGCCTTTAAAGTCCCTGGAGGCCTGAGTCCCAAACACATCAAGCAACTGTCGGTGCATCAGAGCAAACCTTACAAGAAGAGACGCAGAGTCATTCTTCTGTCATCATGAGAAAGAAAAAACACACCTCTCTCACACACACCGGGAATGTTGACACGGACAGAAATGCTTCAAATGAGTACAAGAATGAAAGATGCAACAATGAAGAAAATCAGGACCAGTAAAAATAACAACTTAGCTTGAAGCCTATTCGGGTAAAGGTTGTTCTTTATGAATTTTATCTTTGTTACAAATTGTATTTTAATGCAATGAATTCCACTCGTGGACCCAGGACCCAAATAAATCTTCCTCAGAGAAGCAGAAGTTAACTTTGTAAAAGTCAATCAGACTTTAATTTCACTATATTTAAGAGAGCAAACATTCAATTAATCTTACAAATTTACAAAACAACCTCAGATTTAATTTCCTTCACATAAAAGGAGATTTATTTTGAATGAATTAGTGCTTCAAAAGCCCCTATCACCTGCTTTACATTTCAGACTGAGTAAAAAACTTCATTTTTATAAGGTACAGTTAAATTAAAGCTCTAGTGAGGAACTTTCTGTGTTGACTTTAGCGCCCCTGTGGACTAACTGGTACCCCTTACACCATTACTGATTTATCCATCCTTGTGAAAATAGTTTTCATTGTTAGTGTTAGACGCGTCACTGTTCGTTCCAGTCTGTTTCATCACCCATCAAATACTCTACATAGAAGCTTTAAATTAAACACAGCTTATCTGTCAACAGGGAGAGTATTAGCCTCGTAACTCTAATCTGTAACCCTGTCATATGAAATCTGTTAGGATATTCAACAGTAATGAAAACTGTAAGAATAAAATGGATAAAAATTGTGATGCAGTTTTACATAAATACACTGTAGGGGGTTCATATGATGTTATCTAAGCAGGAATGTAACTGCCATCAGTAAAGTCCTTTTAAAGATCACTGAGTTAACTGTACATCTAATCCTTTTAGGTCAAATTTCATGTCATCTGTACTCAGTCTATTCTTATTCAAAAGGATACCTAATAATTAAAATGTCTTTAATCTTTACAAAGGAGTAGATTCTTATATGAGAAGAAACAAAATACATGTGTTTCCCAGCTGGGAGATTCCTCTGTATATATTCCTACCTGCCCTTTGTTAAACGCAGCAGGAATTTCCAGTATGCTGGCCTGAGGTTCTGCACTTCCATCACAGCCTGTGGAGCAGGAAGGGGTCAGATATTATTCCCGCACTCGACAAAAAAAGATGTGAGTTGGTATGAATGTTTGTGCTTGTGTTACTTACAGCCTGGAAACAGATAGCAGTGGCGATGGCGTACAGAACTGTGTCTGCATGGGGAAAGTAAGGAAACCGACCAGCTTCGATCCCCTTAAAGTACATTGTCTGAAAACAAAGAAGCATAAAATATTTGCTGGGTTATGACACAGATAAGATCTGGATACAGACTGAGTGTAAATTTGATCTTTTTCTTTGTTTTTGTTTTTTTTGACATTCCCTTACCTCCACCAGCTTTGTAAAGAGATACATGGATATTGTGGTGCTTTTGTAGAAGAACATTGAAGTACCAGCCAGGAAACCTTGACAGACATAGAGAAAAAGGGAAAAAGTTGTGGACTGAACTTATTTGATAAGCTGGGACAGAGCAAAATCAGGAGGATGACTGATCCTCTGGGAACTTTATCTATTGTTGTTTTACCTGCAATCAGCGCATTGAGTTCATCATCAATGTTACGCAGCCAGCGCAGCAAACAGCTTGTTCCCTGTGTGAAAGAAAAGCAAAAAAACATGTAAAAACACAAAGCTCACATAACAACACAAGTGACATTTAGTATAGGGGGAAAAAAACAGAGGAGACATCAGATAATAAAATAAAACATTGTTTAAGATTGAGTACTGGTTGTTGTATTGAGATGTCTTCACACCCTAAAAAAAACCTGATAAGTAACAGAAAAGAAAACATCAGACAGAAAAACGTATCTCGAGCACAAATACCTTGTAGATGCTGACAAAAGATCCTAGGAATGCTCCAAGCTGGAAGTTCTCTTTATTATAGAAGAGGGAGGGGAGCCGTGAGGGCTTAGAGAACATCTGCCTGAACGCTGCCGGCACTTTGATACAACACTGAATTAGGTATCCAACGCTGAACATCCTGACAAAACTCTGGACGACAGAAGTAAACAGAGAGGTATTCAACACTGTATTGTCAAAAGCGATTAAAGGAAAATATAAGTATTTTAGAGTCTTACTTTGACACAGTAGCAAATGCAGTTGTCCTGGTAATGTTTACAGCATCTGTGTCTTGGACCTTTTTTGCATCTGGAATGTTACGAAACATTAAAGTCATTACTACGCACTCTGTGGAGTTAATGTGTGCCTGTTTACATGTTTGTATCCTCTAACATTGATTCTAGCAGCTCCCTGGTGTAGGCTATCAGAGTTCTCCTCCTTGAGCTTGGTCTTTCTACTGATGCCTCAGAGTCCTCAGTGTCTATAGCAGCAGCTCTCTCCACGGGCCTCGAGCAGATGGGTTCTGCTGTGACAGGGTGAGTAGGAATCTCCTCTTTGCCAATGAGAAACCTGTGACAGATCATGCACATGACACCTGTTTGCTCATCTGAAAGCTGACAGAAAGAAACGTAAAGCATGAACATTAAAAAACTTACTTTAACGCAGAGAATGCAAAGCCTTTTAGGCCGTCTTTACTCCTGCAGAAGAATAACAAATCAAACTTGGATTAGGTAAAACCGGTTTTGGTTTTTTTACAGTTTGAGGCAGTCCTAAATGACCAAACGGCCAATGTTTCACCTTCCGGTGTATGAATAGGTCCTGTGTACTGTTCTGCTCTGACCTGAAGAAGAACATGTAGAGTGATGAAGTCACACAGAACAAGAGCACCTAATGGGAAAAAACAGACACAAAAAAGGGCATCAGGATAATATTCAAGACACCCACAGGACTCTGACTACAAATGTTATTTAACGTAATTATCAATGTTAACAAACTCTATTTTGCATCAACACCCACACATCATACATACTACCTTTACTTGCAACTCATGTAAACCTCGCCTTCCAGCTTACCTCTCCATGTTTGATTGGTGTGACAACGCCACGTGTCACTGCCATGCGGAATAAAGTCTCAATGGCCTGAAGGAAAATAACAAAGTCATTTTTCATTTAAACAAAAGCAGATATCTGTTCATGTATTATAAAGCTTTTTGCTTAAATGAACTGTAGGCCTTACAAGATTTGTCATGTATATAGTCAGCAACCCTCTCCTGGTGGTGGAAGAAAAAGGACAGACATACAGATTATTAAGAGAAACAGAATAACTTTTTGCAAAACCAAGTCTTATATTTGAGGTGTGTGGAGCACCTAATTAGAGGGATATCCTGGTGTAAAATTAAGTCAGGGTCAAACACACCGAGTTAGACTACCCCTCAAAGATGAATGTTGCCAACCACTTGCTTCTCTAGTTATACCAACTTTATTAACGACTGCAGGATAACAATACACAGCGGTCTAAGGAGCCATAAACAAACCTCAACCAAAACGCTCAGAACAGCACCTAACTTCATCAACAGTACATCTAGGGTCCTAGCCACAGCACTAGCCACAAAACATCTTTTTAACTTTGCCTGATTTCTTTAGCAAAGAGACTGAACACAACTCACCTACTCTCCTCCAGCAGCCGCTTGTTTGTAGCAAGACCTCAGGCCAGTCCATTACAGACTTCAGCGGGGTGTCGCAGCTCAAGGAAGAACATTTATGATCATTTCTTCATGGAAATGCAATCTGACCGAGACGCTAAGGCAGAAGAACTACTGCGTCTGCAGTGCAAAATGATTAATATGGTGATTATTACTGCAAGAGAATGATAAAGTAATGATCACAAATGTTCTTCCTTGAGCTGTGACACCCCACCTCGGTCGATGATGGACTGGACTGAGGTCTCCCTACAAACAAGCAGCTGCTGGAGGAGAGTAGGTGAGTTGTGTTTAGTCTCTTTGCTAAAGAAATTAGGCAAAGTTAAAAAGATGTTTGGTGGCTAGTGCTGAGGCTGGAACCCTATATGTACTGTTGATGAAGTTAGATGCTGTTCTGAGCATTATTTGTGGCTATAGAGTGGCGTTTTGGTTCAGGTTTGTTTATGGCTTCTCAGACCGCTGTGTATTGCTCTCCTGTGGTCGTTTCTAAAGTTGGTGTAACTCGAGAAGCAAGCAGTCTGCAACATTCATTTCTCTATGGGGTGTCTAACTCAGTGTTAGGGTGTGTTTGACCCTAAATTAATTTTACGCCAGACTATCCCTTTAAGATGCCACAAACAGTGCAACTTTAAAAATGTGTTCTATACTGGGACTCATACAGTGGCTTCAAGACAGCAAATGAACCAAGAAATACGTCATAAACACAGATATTAACCTCACCTGCTCTTTCGCTCCAGTAGGATTGCAATATATGATGCAGGCAGAGCGGAGCCAAACCCAGCCGACCAGGAGTAGAACCCTCCCAACAGCTTCCTAAAGTGAGGAAAAAGTTATTCCACAACAACTGTTTGATGTTTAAGTAGAAAATAACACAGGTAAATAAGGAGGCCTTAATAAACACCTTTTTGGAATCATCAAAGATTATTCACACATTTGTTAAACCTTAAGAATAAACAAAAGGATGTTCACTTAATTTTATATACAAGGAAGTTTTGGAAGTTTTACAAGGAACACCGAGATACACGCCATGCACAAACAGAACTAAATACTTGGCTTACATGTGTGAGTTTGCTTTGTTCATGCTGCTACATAAACCTCAAAATTGAGTGATTAACATTTTCACTATACCTGCCAACAAACCCGTTTTTCCCGGGACTCTCCCGTATTTCAGACCTATCTCCCGCCCACCTCCTAAGCTGTAAACTATATTTAAGCAGTGTTTGTTGCAAAATGTACACTTCAATGAAAGGGATACAAACGCGAGATACAACATTTACATTGATAGTCTTGCACCGTCTCAGAGTGATGCGTTCAGGGCAGCCTCAAACAAAAGAGTGCTGTACAGATGTTCAGAGAGCCTCATACGGGAGAGCATGTAAAACATATGAGGACTTCAACACTGATATTAGTGGACTAAATAAGTTCAAGGCATATCGTAGCTATTGTTTTTTTATTACCATTTGTTATTATTAAAACAAAAAAAAGTGTGCAGCTTCACTTATACTTATTTGGATAAGCAGTCTAATTACAAATACTCTCATAACTGGCTCATATCTACCAGGTAACCCCAAAACTGCCCGGCTCGTACCACAAAAATCTCCCAGATTTTATAACCCAAATGTTGGCAGGTATGATCTACACACGCCCACAGATGCATTGAGTAAGTTTATGAACCCTTATGTAAGCATTCTGTAAAAAAAACATTAGTGTAAATCAGAGTAAAGAAATCCCCTGTTGATGTCAGTCTTTTACCCAGCCCATATCTGATTTACAGCAAGTTGAGCGTTGCTGCAACAAAGGGAAGTTCTGATTTTAGTTCCTCTAAAGTAGTTGCCGGAGAGATTTTGTTTAGAACAGCAAATCAGTGCCGGTTGCAGATAGCTCAGTCAGAGAGGGGGAGAGAAAACTACCCTGAATTGGCCATAACAAAAACAGCTTACTTCCTCTTTGCACACTGGTATTAAGTCTATAATTGATATGTCACAAATGAGAGCATCAAAATTGTTTTCGTGAGGTTATCGGATCATCTCCACAAGCATCCTGAACTGAACTGCATGACCAGAAGTGTGTATCTCTGTGTAGCGTCAACTGGAGCTACTAACCTGAGAATGCAAAAGAAAACGATGTAGAGACCTCCATTGGCAGTGAGGAAAGAGGTAGACCACAGGATCTCAGGGAGAAGCCTTTTTAAATAATAATCCTTCTTCCTTCTTCGTAGGACTGCTGCTATCTGCACAGACAAAAAGACAGACAGATGGTGAGGGGACAGTCTGCTCAGAGTCACATCTGATTAGAAGATCATCTCAAATTTTAAGATGCAAATGATCATGAATGTTTGCCTTTGGGGATGATAATAATGTTTTAACAGCCTTATAGGATTAGAGAAAAGCACAACTGCAGGGATGATAAATAACTGGTTAAACGAGTTAGCTGTATCTTGTCTGTTTGCATAACTGAACATTTATCAGATGGTGTTTTGAGGGGCTGTTAGTTAGCTTCTATTACAAACTATCTATGAGTATAACTGTGTTTCTAAATGTCAACACATATCGTGTATTGTTTTCCCCCTTCTTTCTCTCTTTGTACTTGAACTTAGACCCTGATTACCTGCCCGGCTAATCTTTAACTTTACAACGTTTCCTCACCAACTAGCTGTTTGTTAGCCCTACCTGGTTAGCAAGCTAACTTTAGCCTCCAAGTCTTCAAGTGCAAATGCTGCAGGTCAAACGTGTCAAACTCACCAGGTAGAGGGGGGCGTATATTTTGAATGAGACCTCGAGAGCACCCCTCGCCACGTCCACCGCAGACTGCACGCAAGACGGGTTCCAAGTGTGACCGATCTCGTAGCAGTTGTGCGGTATTTTACTGAGCGCAGCCATGTCTCCAACCACTACTGACAACCAACAGCAGCAGGAGGAGGAGGAGGGCGGTCACGCGCTGCCTTGCGCGTTCACTATCAGGACAGCGCATTCGCGAGAGACATGCACGTGCACGGCCTTTTTAGCTGTTTATTGAGACGTAAAAGTGTGTGCGTTGACAGCCTTAAAGGGATATTCCGGCGTAAAATTAATTTAGGGTCAACACCGTAACTCCGAGTTAGACACATAGACTCAGTCTATGGTGAGACACCCCCTTGAGAGATGAATGTTGCCGACCGCTTGCTTCTCTAGTTATACCAGCTTTAGTAACGACCGCACAATAGCAATACAGAGAGCCATGCGCTCAACCAAAAAGCCACTCTATAGCCACAAATAATGCTCAGAACAGCACCAAACTACATCAACAGTACATATAGGGTCCCAGCCACAGCACTAGCCACCAAACATCTTTTTAGCTTTGCCTGATTTCTTTAGCAAAGAGACTAAACACAACTCAGCCACTCATGCATTTTTCATGTTTTTTACATTTAGAACTAAGGAATTTGAAGATTTTTACAGAATGTTGTTTTAAGATGACCTGATTGCACAACTAACCCTGAGATACTTTATCTTTTCGTCGTCAGTTTTACTGCTTATGAACTGTAGCATGTCTGTGTCTGCAGTTATGTGTTTTTGTTGCTGTCTTGACCAGGTCTACCGTAAAAAAAAGATTTTTATTGTCAATGAGAACCGCCTGGTTAAATTAAGGTTGGATAAAAATTATACAGTTTTTGTTACCCTTGCAAGCCAATCTTTTTTTGTGAAAATTAGGTTTGATACCTTGTTTATTTGACCAATAGTGACATTTTGGAAAAACTTTTATCAGGCTTTTGAAGAACGACAGCAGACTTGAAAATATGGGTCAGTAACACTGGTCATGTGTGGCCTGGTTTAGTTCTTCTCTCTGTAACAAATCCATTTTTTCTCAGCGTTGCTCATGTGGTAGAGACGCGTGATTTTAATAATGGAATTCCTTCAAGAGAGCATATATGGCCCTATTTTTACTTCCCATATCAACTCGGACACATTATCTCACAGTGTCAATTGCCATTTTATGCAGACAACAGTCACATCTGTCTCACTACATAATCCAAATATTGCTATCTCTCACTGCCTGTCTCTCTGGTTGTTGTGTATGTAACAGCCATCATACATAATAGTCTTTTCTGAATGAGGATAAAACAGGAAATTCTTTAAAAAAGGTATCAAAGTATCTGAAAATATTTCACTTGTTGTCAGGGTGATTTAACCAACAAATGAAATCAAATGTCACAAACATGCGAGTGATTTAAGATTCAGATTTAAATGTTAATCCTCATTTTAACGGTTGCCAAAGTCATCTCTTTTTATCACAGAAAGATAATGGGTGTTTAACTGTAATTGTATTGTTTTTATGATCCTTGTAACAGATATATAACAGATACTGCTTTGTGAGCTGGCTTAGATTAGGTCTATTTATAGTCTGAATAACTCAGTTATCATCAAAATTGTATAAAGACAATTCTCACAAAGTATTGGGACAGTTTAAACTAACAAATCCTTTTTCAATGAAAATTTTTAAACTTTTTTTTTGTTACTTAAAATTGTGTACAAAATGGAAATGTGCATATATTCAAGTTATGAGACATTTTTTAATGTTCTTGCTCCAATTAAAGATTTAAAAGTTTCATCCTCCAGATTTTATTTCCCTTTTCTTGTTGTCAAGACTATGGTTTCCAAGACAGGAAGGGGAAACATGGGCTCCTGAGTAGTTGTGGTACTAGTGGTAGATTCAGCCATTTCTCAGTCAGAGGGTTTAGTGTTTGATCTGCTGTTTACATGTGTCTTGGGTAAGACACTTAACCTCAAACTGTCCCTGGTGCAATTAGTTATACTGATGGGTGTTTCTCATGGCAGCCTCTTCCATCTGTTTGTGATTGTGGTGAGACTGTTGTGAATGTGACCTGTGATGCAGTAGATGGTCTTAGCCAGTACAATAGGTACAGTGCATTTCTAATTTACCATTCCTATTGGAAAAGGGTGAAAAAGTTATGTTGTTTTCTAACGCTTTACGATCATAGGTTCAATCACCATCTTATCGCTTAAAGATGAAGCTTCAACCAGATATCGTAAAATGCCAAACTGCCTCATTCTGAACACAAATACACTATTCTGAAGTTGAACAACACAAAATTTGACACATGATGTCAACCACATGATAAAATTTAACAAAGGATCTGTGGTTCTCTAATTACAGTATGTTCTTTGTCCTCGAATGACTTCACCAGTGTTTCTGTTGCATATCTGGTGACACAGATTATTTCCTTAAATATTGTCAATTCCCAACAAAAGGACAAATATTTGCTGCGTAGGAGGGCAGAATGGGGAAAATAAAAACAAAACAAGGGTTACAGACTTATCTGATTATCCTGTTTGTGTCTTATCGCAGTGTCCCAAAGCTATTAGTTTACCTTAAGTGATCTCTCCACTTGCATTGTTCAGAGTTAGTCAGCAGATGTCAGCCTCAACCCTTCAGCCTTTGGTTCAATGTTCAGTTGTGTGTGTGTGGGTGGAATATGTTTTACCAGAATAGGCAGCCTTGAAAAATCCCCACTTTACGAAAGACCAGGGCTGTTCAGTTTTGCTGCCATTAAGGAAATTCCTGAACAACACTTAACATAGTTCATTTCGCAAGTAACTATGAGAAACTATCATAGATTTCAAGAAAGGAAATTTAACAGTTACAAATATATTTCTCGTGGATATGAGCTTTGTTTACAGATCATTTATGAGGGTTAAGAAAAATAGGCGTTTCTTGGGAATCATATGAAACATTATTATGTAAAACAGCATAAGTTTTTAACAGAAAGAAATTAACTTATACATCAAATACTCCAAAAAGTTATTTGGCTCTGAAACCTTTGCGTAAACCCTTGTTCAGAGGCATCCACCAGAAACCAAAATGTTTAAAATATCATGCTGACTGAACTAAGTTGAACAAAACAAGAACTTCATAGTCTGTTATAAAGTTATAAAGTTATAAATGGACCTAAATTGTAGACACCAAATAAGTGTAAAAATGTGAAGAACTTTATAGTATAAAAGTTATCAATGAACTTATATTGTATACACCGAATAAGTGTAAAAATGTGAAGAACTTCTTAGTATGAAAGTTATAAATGAACCTAATTTGTATACACTGATTATGTGTAAAAGTGTGCAAAAAACATAAAGCCTATCATGAAATCTGAATACCCCAAAACTTGGGGACATAGACCAGCTGACTGCTGATACGCTGACTCATCCTATCTGGAGAACTGACAGCTAATTGAGACGACCCCTGGCGCTTGAGTCTGCATTTTGACATAAGTAGATGGATTACTCTTAATTTCCCAGGTGCCATTTTTAATAACATCTTCAAATCATAATCAGCGCGGGAGCACTGAGTGGTTATTATCCATGATACCGGGGGAGGCGGTCACTGCGCGCAGTGAGCCTGAATAGACCGACTGTTTTCCTCCACACGGTTTCATAAGCGCTGAAACCCCAGTGCGCTGCATACTCGCGCCCCGTTTGCATGGACAAATCCACGGAGGTCTCCACTTGTTACTCCTGAACCCAAAGATCCCACTCTGATTGAACACTCGGTGATCCCAGCGACTCTGAAGGGGGAGCACCGTGTGAGCATGGCTCGGACTTCGGGGCTGTTTGTGAGTTGTTTGTTTCTTCTCTCCTCCGCCGCGGAAGGAAAGCGCAGCAGGGAGAGAGTTTACTACGTGGGGATCATTGAGGACGCGTGGGATTATGCACCCAGTGGAAAAAACCTGCTGAACGGGCAAGACGTCCAAGATGATGAGTGAGTTTTGATTGTCTACTATTGACTTATTTTGGAAGTGTAATGTGAGGGTAACTCTGGGACCAATAAGGTCATTAATGGGATTACACATGGCGATTATCAGCCAATCTGAGAGCGGGCTGCTGAAATATGTTAGGTCAATAGTTTCCCAGAAGGAGCTCAGTGGGTCATGCTGTCAGGTTGTGATCATGTCTGGACTTCTTCAGTTATGCTGTGGACTTTTCACGGCTGTCTGGCTGCAGGTCCTCATGAAAGATGACAGTATTTGACTGACTTTTGGTGAATGACTGTCTTCTTTCATGTGATTAGAGGCTTCCTCTGCTATGTATGACACTGACCAAAGACAGCTGCTTCTGTATAAACAAGACAAGAGTTTGCATCTAAACAGCAATACTGTGATTTTACACAGAGATGGAGTTACTTCAGAATAAACTGACAGGTGTGAGAGGGTGTAATGAAGATATCCAGGAGTGAAAATAACCAGGATGTGCTTCTCAATTGTGACCCTTTATTGTACGCAGGCACAATTTAGAGGCAAAGCTGAACCCACAAATAATTGTTATTATTTGGTGCCCAATGCTTCCCCACTGAGCATTTTTTGGTCTAAAAGAGGTCTAATAGACGTCTAAATGTAGCCTATACTACTGGTCTAAATCAGGCTACCACAGGTCTAAAAATGAAAGTTTTTAGTCTAAATCTGGGCTATATACTACACTATATATTGCGCAACAGCTATCATAATTATTTTGGTTAAGTACTTGGAGATCAGTTATGCAATTCACAGTTGCTTCTTGAAATAAATAGTTATCAAATAATGGGTTAAAGTGCCTTGTCTTGTCTACATTGTGATTTTTATGCTGACGGAGGCAGATTTTCTAATAAATGGGACACCTAACAACTGTTGATAATGTTTTTAAGTGTCCAGCCAAACATCTGAGGAGAAGCAGAAAACTTTATCTTCTAAAAGCACCCAACAGATTCAGTCGGATAAGGTATTCTACAGAGACAGACAAGCTTTTGCACTATAAGTGCAGTGTTGAACGCTAAAGATAAATGGATGTGTTTTAAATGAATGAATTTGGGATAAAATCATTATATTTTCATGATAATTGTGATGAATTTTCTCAGGTGGTTAATTTCCTTTTGTAAAACTGATACATCCTGACATAATATAGGAAATTTTACGCCTTTCTCTCCACTCTGTGACAGTGCCAAACACATGTTCACACCAAGACCACCTGTTTTAGTGTAAATTATTCTTATCCTCTCTAGAGATCATGAAGCCTATTTATTGTTTTGATTTGACAGTTTTAATTCTTGGGCAGGTAATACCTGCTTACTCCTCCAATTTAGGGCTCTCACCGTACGGTGTCATTACAAAATATAAACAGCAGTCCATGGGAACCACAATGATGTGTGTTTTATTATAGGTATATTGAAGTTGCATTGGATTTTAAATACAGTTGTGTCATCCCAAAAAACTTAAGTATCTGGGTGGTGAAGTAGAAAATCATATTTTGCTGATGTGGAACATGATGACGTTTGTTCTAAGAATTACTAACCACACGGATTATCAAATGTGCATATCTCGGTAGATTTTTACCACATGTATCTTCCTGTTTTTTGAATAACCAACTGCAAGATCGCCTCTGTTGCTGTGGAGCACCCTATTCTTCCCACTGAACATTTTTTGGTCTAAAAGAGGTCTAATAGAAGTCTGAATGTAGCCTAGATGACTGGTCTAAAATCAGGCTACCACAGGTCTAAAAATTTAAGTTTTTTAGACGTCTAAGTTTAGACCAAGTCTAAATCTGGGCTATATACTACACTGTATATTGCTCAATGGCTATCGTAATCATTTTGATTAAGTACTTGGAGATCAGTTATGCAACTCACAGTTGCTTTTTGAAATAAATAGTTATCAAGTAATGGGTTAAAGTGCAACGTCTAAATTTATTAAAAATATACAGAATCTAGACGGTTGAAATTAGGTATGAAAAAAAAAAAACAAGAGGTCCAATAGCCGTCTATTGCTCAGTGGGTTCCTATACCTTTAGTGATAGTTTCAGTTAGACCTGACTTTCCCTCTTTTCCTGTCATAAGCACGCTCTAACACACACTTTTGTTGCTAATTCTCCTCTCTTTGCAAAAGCCTGTAATGAAATACACAAAAAGAGCTGATTGACTTGAGATCCTTTATTGATTCTTATTATAAAAGAAGAAACAAGGGTGACAAGTATAACACGGTAAAACAAAACTTAGCATTTTTGGTTGGAGAGTAGCCATAAGATCACACCAGCATTTTAGGATTTTGTCTTTCTTAAGAGGAGAGTTCAAATCGCCAAGACAAAGTGACAGTTAAGCACAAAAGAGATTCTCTAACAGGTGGATCTGGAGAAATAAAAGGGGTACAGGTTTGACAGGGACACTGTATAGAGAAGAAAGTCAGGATGATTTCAAGGACCAATGAGTAAGAGTGGCCCAAAAAATTGTGAGGATATTTGCTTCAGAATGGACAAATGAGATATTTAGCTAAAATCCCTGGGGTTAGATAACGGTTAAAAAATCAATGAAAATAAAACACAGTTAAAATCAAGCTTACTCAGTGTCTCAGCTGTATTGGTGTATTTTAGAGGGCGACTGTTTGCACTTAATTGCCTTGACCAGGTGCTCGTAGAAAACCCTCAATTAGCAGGCTGTCAACAAGTCTGTCAATATAACCCGTGTGCAAATTTAGTAAAGGTAATGCTTTCTGTTCATCCTTTTGCTTTGGTTATAGGATATACAGTAGCAAAACTGTGTAGGCAACAGCTCCAGTAACAGGTTATTAGCCCACAGAAACCTGTAATAACAATAATTACAAGTCTAATTGTGAGAGCTGCCACCAGATGCATTTAGTTCTGCCATGTAACACCTCTAATTAAAGTCAAATAATCTGCAGGATAGATCCAAGGCTTGTGTTAAGTCTAACAAAGTGTGTTACAATGATCTCACCCTCCTTTCTGTGTACTTATTCAGATACTGGTAATGCTCTTCGTGTGGTTTTTTATTAAGTACAGACAGTCATGAAGCTGGTTGACTAAAATAAGGTGATTAAACTCATGTCATGATCTTATTATGGTTATTTGCTTCAGTGTTTGTCTTTTTCCTATTACTTTAATATCACATTCATGTTACATTTAAATATATTGAACTGTCTTTGTTGTAAATAATGTGAATATTAGAGAGAGTGAAACAAACTCATGTCATTGTGCAACCGTGTATTGTATAATATGACAGTACCCTGACCCTGACCTTAAAAGATGTCAAAGAAAACAAGATTAACAGCTGTCTTTCTCTCCCCTCCCACTGCTGCATCTGTGTCTTTTATCTCAGGCATGCATCTGTATTCCTGGAAAGAGGACCTCAGCGTATTGGCAGCGTTTATCAGAAAGCCATGTTCAGACAGTATACAGATGCTACATACAGTCAGCTGAGCCCCCGGCCTGCCTGGCTTGGCTTCCTGGGGCCTGTACTGCGAGCTGAGGTCGATGATGTGCTTGTGGTCCACCTGAAAAACTTTGCGTCCAGGAACTACTCCATGCACCCCCATGGAGTTTTCTATGACAAGAATTCAGAGGGTATAATATGATATACATATACACTATATGCAAACCTGAAAACACACACTGAAAGTTCTTAGAGAGGAATGTCTGTATTGAAAGTAATGTTTCGCTGAGAGGAAATGTAGGTATACTGGAGTTTTAACAGCTCATCTTCTTGTCCTATAGGCCAAGATAAATCAGGCTTTTTGTTATTAAAAACCATGTAAATGTTTTGTTAAGTATAATGTCATTGAGGAGCAGTCAGGTGTTTGTCTGAATGGACAGTTTCCAAAATCAGACTCTTGATCAAACTTAGTGATGTCTCAATATTCAGAGACAAATGGATAAGATTTATTTCATCTGATAGTTTTTCACCCTAACTTCTCCCCTTGAGATGTTTGTCTGAAAGTGTGGCACCTTTGTATTCACTCCTTTGTCTCACTGCCATATGGTCTCAGATAACAGGATGCTGTCAGGCAGAAGTGAAAAAAGAACAAGAACTCTCTCAAAGACAGAGAGTCTATTTGTTCTGATGTACAAAAAAAAAAAAGAAGTGAAACTTGGCAATTTCAACCCCCCCCCCTGCCAGGTATGAATCTTGGGAACTTTGCAGTTCTTTGTTACACAACAAACCTCCCTTCCCACTCCTCTGTAATGAAACATCCTACCTCTGAGGTTTTCCAAAGCCAAACAGGAACTGAAACCACAACCACATTTTTGTTGCTATAGTTTCCTCATCTAAAACAGATAAAGTTCAGCAGTCAAGGAGCCAAACTTTACTTAAGATGTTAGGAATCTTTCAATCTCCTTATGACAATTCCTCAGTCACTTACATTCACATGGACCAGACTTCTATGATGACTGCAGCACATAATCTCAATCTGGAAGTTCTACTAAATTGTTGTATCTTAAACTTGGATCAAGTGTAGTGTCCTCCCTCTCAGTTTAGTTTTGTGTTAGCTTTTTTATGTTGAGGCGTTTCACAATTTCACCCATTTCTTGTGATTGTCTGACTAGCAATATGTAAATAGTTTCCACCAGGCCAGGAAAGAAGAGAATGATGCAAAAGAGGTGAAAGGGGAAGTGAAAATGTCAACACATTAAGACAAATAAAACTGATCAAATCAGCTGAACCATGACATGTTGCAAGTTAAAAGTTGGTACAGAGGTTAAGGAAATACTGCTGAGGAAGACAGAGGTCATTTGGGTGTTTATAGATCATACACAGTTGCACACGTGGAGGCTGAGAGCTTTACAGAGATAAGAACGACAGAGGAAAGGGATATGACCTAGATTTCTGAGACCTCTATTTAAGAACAGGGTTATAAAACCATCTACAGAAAATCACTGTCTTCATGGTAAATCTTTTTACCTTTAAACTAAGGTCTAAAAAACTTCTTAGGATTTTAGCATTAAAGCAGTATCATTGATTTTTTTTTTCAGAGGGTAGAAGCAAACAGACTTATCAGCTCCTTACACTTAAGAGGAAATGAAAAGTACCTCAGTATAAACACCTCGAATTGGTCTTTCAGGGGCCCTCTACCCAGATGGGACATCAAAAGCGTTGAAAAAGGACGACTCTGTTCCTCCAGGAGGCAGCTACACCTACCGCTGGGAGGTCCGACCAGAATTTGCCCCAACAGATGATGATGCGAATTGCCTGACCTGGGTCTACCACTCTCATGTAGATGCCCCCATGGACATCTCTTCAGGACTTATCGGGGCTCTACTAACCTGCAAGAAAGGTATAAAGATAAACTGTTGTGTTACTACAGTGTGTACTGTGTTCTGTCATGGAAAAATCTGTGTAGTATGCAGCTGAATCAGTGCTCAAGAGGTAGAATGAGATCTGAAGAGCAGTCTGGGCATATTTATTGTACAGATATAAAAATCTCCTGCCAGGAGCATCTCTGTGTCAAGGGCAGTTATCCAAAAAATGTCCAATCTGGCCACACTCTGATGTTACTGGTCTGTCTGAGTTTTGCCATCTTCCTCCATGGGGGATTTACTGTCTTGGCGGAATAGGGTTCTGTATCGGAGGACATACATTCACAACTGGTGGTTGAGCAGGTGGTTGTGGGTGTATGACAGGCTGTACCACAGTTGGCATCTACGCATGGTTGTGCATATCTCCAAGAGTTGACCACCATCGCAGCTTAAATCTTTGTTTTTGCTTTGCAGCCCCTCCCAGCTGTAGTTGTGTCCATTGTGTCTATGAATATTCTTTTCTGCTCCTTCCTTCAGTCTCCATTCTTCCTCTCTGATAGCATGTATTACGTGATCACAAAACTGTGCATGTGGTATTGAGGTCAATCTAACAACTTCCTCCAGTCTGCTCTGGACTTACGTAGGAAGAGCCTCAACAATGGAGTTCCTGAACAGTGTCAGTAGCACTGGGCTGCTATTATGTTGAGGAAAACGTGCATGTATGGATGAGATCTGAAGATCAGCCTCGGCATCTGTGTTGTACAGATGTAGAAATCAGGACAGCTGGCACACAGAGTCTAGACCAGAGTCTTCGTAAGAGCCCTGAGCTCTATGCTGGTAAGTGTGCTTGTGTGCACCTCTCAAGAGTGTGTGTTACAAGTGCAAGTCTGTCTAGGTGTGTATTACGAGTGCGAGTCTCATCTGGCTTGATACCAGACGCCTGGGAGGTGAGCCAAGGACATACTATATTGTCTTAAAATCAACAGAACATTAACACTTCAGGAAACACTCGACTTAGCTTTTCTGGCAACCACCAGTGGCAACATGACTTCAACAGATCTAGAAACACTCAGGCTGACTCTACAAATATTTACAACACTGATCCTCCAAATATCTCTGCCTTTTATAAATCATTGGCATAACTGTCTATGATTTCCACCACAGTTCGAAGTCAAATTGTCTCAAATTAATCAGTGTAACTCTAATTGCTTTGAGATTGATGCCCCTTTTTGGCTGTTTGTGTTCACATTTACTGTCGACCGGGACAATGTCAGGAAATTTCAGGAGTGTGATACATGTGTGAAAATGGCTTTTGTGGCAGAATTATCCCTGGAAATAAATTTTATCTCTTCTCTAGCCACTCTATCACGTGGAGTCCCACAAGGCTCCATCCTCGGCCCCCATCCTTTGTCTTTCCCATTAGTTAATTTCATCCAGGGGCAAGTCTCCTTCAACTGTTATCCCAGTGGCCTTCAATTCTATCAAACCAGACAAACAAACGAAGAAAAATTAAAAAACTTGTCAGGTAAAATAATACTTCAAATTTTCTTTTAAAGGTAAATGGCTAGCATTTATCAGCTGTCCATCTGTCTCAATCAAGAGTAAAGTCCACTCTCATTAGCTTTGATCTATTTTGACATTAAACCCTCTATCTTATTTGTCCAATCTCTCACCAGTGTTGTTGTTTTCACTCACTGTGTACACAGATCAGCAGGTTGTCCTTACTAAAGGTGTTTCCACCTGCTTGCCACAAAAAAATGCTAACTGGTTCAAAAAAGGGAGCGTATAACTAGCGGAGCCTCTTTCCAACAGCTTCCAAAACACTTCACAAGTGGTTTCCAGCTTATTCTGTTTGTTTTTAAAGCCCTGAATGGCTTGGCTCCCTCCTGTAAAGCAGACCCCCTGAGCCCCCGCACAACCTCCAGGCCTCTGAGATCATCTGACACGAGCCTCCTGGCAGTCCCTTGCTTTGGTCTTAAACTTCGAGATGTCTGCATTTTTTCTTTCAAAGACCCTGGACTGTGGACCAGCCTTCCCTCTTTATTCTGACCCACCCCCTCTGTTGACTCTTTTAAGTCTTAAACATGCTTTTATTTGTTAGTCACAGAGCCTCCCCTGCCTTGAATAGGCTGTTTTTTTGTGTTGGCTGCATTGTTTGCTTTTCTCCCCTCCTGTTCAATTGTTATGCTTTTCCGTAGTTTCAGTTTTGATGCTCAGGCTTTGGACCACCATCATCTCTTACACTTTTCTAGAACTACTCCATTGAAAATTTTGGAAATTAATTGATTTCTGTCAAATTGTTTTTGTTTTGGGGTTAAAAATAAAATTTTAGAGTTAAAATGATCAGCAGCATTGACTCAAAAGGTTGTGTGAACTCTCAGATCTCATGTCATTGAGGCTTTAGGTGACACAAACATCTTGGTCTTGACTCAAAGAAACAGACTGATATTTGTGAGAAATCCTACAACAGGTGCCAAACTTGAAGAAGACTGAAACGATGGTGTTTGAGTCTAAGTGAGTGGGAAAACAAAGACAAGTGGTCATCAGCAATGTGTCGATCAGCTGGCTCTGCTTTTACAAAAATCCAGGCTGAAGTTTATACTGACAGTACACTTGGCGGAAGTTTCTCTTCTGGACTGAAAGAAATTATATCTTAAGAAGTTGATACTATTAACCAATGATTCTCAGAAGGTGTCAATACATATTAGATGACAACCTGGTGATTGTTTTAACTGTTTATCTATAAATCAGACGTGTCCCTCTACACACTGTTACTTAATATTTAATGTAATGTTGATACTGTAAAACATAATGTTTATTTACCTCATGTTCATAATCCACCTGTAATATACTGACATGAATATATTTTTCTAAACCTCTCTTCACTCTTCATGGTACATATTTGCTCTGCCATTTTATATATGTAAGTTAAATGTCTGGTTCGAGGTTGTACATGCTTTGTAATTTTTGCAACAATTTTGTAGAATTTCATGTTTACTGTTTGTAGATAGAGGGCAAAGTTTATTCGAGTTCATTTCCTAGTATGTGTACACATACTCAGCCAATAAAGCTGGTTTTGATTCTGCTTGTGTCTATAGAGATTCACAATTCCAAGTGAGGGAGGATGATGGAAACAGGAAAGTCACTATGCCTGTATTATGAAAGGGTGTGCTCTTGTAGTCTTTGTGAAAACTGCTCCGTTGTTTTGTGTTGTTGAAGTTTTTTCTGGCACTTGAGGACAAGCCCAAGAACAAATTTATCAAAGGAAACATAAAAGTCTGACATCCACAAAAGCCAAGGCCCAAGAAATTATTAACAGTAAAAATCAACAAAGAGAGCTTCACAAGAAAAATTACAAAACTGGAAAAGTATTTATAAAAGTACATTTTTATCCTTTCAAACTTGCATCCAGTGTGTGCTAAAATCCGAAGAGTAAACTCCTATATGGGCTTTATCACATATGTATGTTTCAGTGTAATACTTTCCTTTTGTCTGCCTTTTTTCTGTGGTTGCAGGGATTTTAAAGGAGACCAACAAGCCAGGTTCTGTTGTAGATTCAGCCAGAAATGATGTGGACCAGGATGTGTTCCTGATGTTCAATGTGGTGGATGAAAATTTGAGCTGGTATCTGGAGGAAAACATTAAGAAGTGTGGTGATCCAGGTGGGGTGGACCGAGAAGACCCAGACTTTGAGGAGTCCAACCTGATGCATGGTGAGAGAAAAGTCTTTAACTTGTGTAAATCAACATTTTCACTGAACTGTAACATCATCAGTAATCGTGCCAGAATGAGGCATCAGTATTTCCAGTCCCCCTCAACATAACTCTGAGATAAAGAAGGTAAACCAGCCGGATGTGCTCTGTTCTTCCTCACCTTTCTTGCCTCTGTCTGTGTCTTCCTCCTGTGTGACAGCGATAAACGGGTACATGTTTGGTAACCTGCCCGGGATTGAGTTATGCCAGCACCGTGCTGTGGCCTGGCATTTGTTTGGCATGGGGAACGAGGTGGATATTCACTCTGCCTTTTTCCATGGAAACACTCTTCTGGACCGCGGCCACCGCACTGATGTCCTCAGCCTGTTCCCAGCCACGTTCGCAACAGCCCAGATGGTCCCCAAGGCAGCAGGGAAGTGGCTGCTGACATGCCAGGTTAATGACCACCTGCAGGGTAGGACATCTTACCTTTCACTTCTGTGTGACCTTTGACCTCTCTGCCCTGAGACTCAACTGCTGATAAGAAAGAATGCATTTTTGAGAGGTGCACTTCTGTTACTCTGTCAAAGCATGATGTTAGGAGGGTGTGTTTTTGACTCTGAACATGCCAGGTCTTGTTTCCTTAAAACGATTCAAAGTCCAGTGAGCAAAGAACTGATTGAGAAACACTTGCTCAGCATATCATGAATAATGTTGACATTTGCAAAACCCTTAAATTGTATACAAAGGACAATATACTTACTGTACACATAATGCTTTTGTGAGTTTCACATGATATGTGCCCTGTAAGACCCTCATGCCAACAGAAAAAGAGAACCAAGTAATACGTGTTACGTGGACCTGGGTGTATTTATTATTTTACAGACTATTAAATCTGACTATTCGCAGACGTTGTGTTGATTTCCCAAGACTCCAAAGGTCATGTTTTTACAAGAAGCATAAACTTGTCTGTGTCATTGAAGGTCTGTCTCTGTTTCTTTTCCAGCTGGGATGCAGGCTTTTTATGAAGTGAAGTCATGCGACAGTGAAACCAACTCCACAGAGATGGGCAACGGTGTTGTGAGGAATTACTACCTGGCAGCAGAGAAAGTCCTGTGGAAATATGCCCCCTCAGGGAAGGATCTGATAAACAATGTATCACTAACTGAGGCCGACAGGTGGGCAGAAACATTATCAGATTTAACAAAAAACACTGCATCAATCGCAGGTTACAAAAAGGTTGACTCCTAAATGAGCATTTAGCCATTTCTACAGAATTAGTAGAAGTAGAAGGTTTCATATAACACATTTCTCCGAACTAGAGGTTATCCTGGATCATGACCATTTATCTTCACAGTCAATTTGCTGAGTTGTGAGAGTAGGAGCGCTGCTGACAACCTTGCCAAAATTCATATCTAGCCAAAAACAGCAGAGGTCTTCATTCATGCAATCTTTGCAAATTAACATCTTAATCTATAAACTTTCAAAAATGGCTTACACCTCTAGAATACATTTGAGTCAGCTTTTGTAAAACTATTTAATGTCTATCACCTCACCTTTTGCAAAAAAACTTTGTTGTTCGGTTATGCAGCTTCATGGTAAATCTCAGATTTTGATTCAAAGTTCATGCAGTCTTTTTTCTTTTTCTTTTTTTTTTTAGCAGGAGCACACAGAATGACACAAGAACTACATCAACACTCAAACCAGACCATACAAAAAATCAGACTTAGTATCTGGACATAGTACAAATGACATAGTATGGCGAGATAATCTATCATCTATGGTTGGTAAGACAAGGGTCTCTCACCAATTCTTGTCTAATCCTCAGAGGACTCATTATTACATAACCACCTGTTGACTGTAAATTATCCCTCTTAGCAACTTCAGGCGTTTACAACTTCACACAAAATGTTGATTCAAGAGTAACCCTGTTGAGATAAAAAAAAAATAATAATTATTGACACATCTTTAAAAAATGTCCGTCTGATTTCAAAGGTCACACCGTTTCCATGGCAACAGATTTTAAAGAGCCTCTTTGGGAGACAAATTAGTATTGAACTTTATATTTTAAATTCACAGTCAAACTTTCACATTCTTATTTGTAATTAATTAAAGATAACAGACTCCTGCAGGAATATTTCTGTTGACATTTCTATCATCATTCAGACATTGACATGCCTGAAAACATAAAAGAAACAATAGATATCAAACTATCATCAGTACCTCTTATGGTTTAATGTAAACAGAAACCACATTTTAACACACCCGGGTGATTAACTAAGGTGACAAAAAAGGACATAAGAGATGGAAATTCTTACGGAGTGAATGTATGCAAAAGTGAAATGCAGAGGTGTGCAATAGTGGTGCGACTTTAGAAATGAAGCAGCCAGTTGATATCAAGCATGCACCTTGCACTGGGATAAAAAAAAATTCATTGAGTCTTTTTGTCTTCCACAAAGGTGCCGTAAGAAGTCAGCCAAATAGCAAATGTTCTAGCTCTTTCTGAAGTGCATGGGTCTTGCAGTTCAGTACAGGAAAAGCATTCTTAAGGGTCTACTTGTTGAAAATGGTCCAAGCCTGGCCTGAATCCTAACAGAGATATCACTGACATTCAAAAAATGCATCCTTAAAAGTTTGAGAAAGACAGTGTGTACTTATAATACCCCTATAAATAATCACTGCTTTATTAAGAGTGCACTCCCCTTTTAAGGCTTGCAAAAACCTCTTAATGACATTTTGTTTCTGTGTGTGTGTGTGTGCGGGGTTATGAGTGTGTGTGTGTGTGTGTGTGTGTGTGTGTGTGTGTGTGTGTGTGTGTGTGTGTGTGTGTGTGTGTGTATGTGTGTGTGCATGAGGACAGACCTCTGGACACGGCTGGTTAAATACCATTCCTGCGGCGAAGCAGCTTTGTGGTGTCTAGAGTAAACGTGTGGATAGTGATGCAGTGACTCAGTTGTTATTGTGTCTTTGTTACTGTTGCCTGGCCTGACACAGTGAGGCCCGACTGACTGGCCGGCTATTTGCTCTGTTTACTTTTCCTGGAGTAAGAAATTACACACTGCATTCCTCATCCAGGACACGGACTGCACACTGCAACCTGGTCATCCTTTTTTTCTCCTTCACTGACAACATCCTCCTGCTTTGTATCCTCTATTTCCCACCCCTTCCCCTCCCTCTTATAGTGCACCCGAGGTGTTTTTTGGGACAGAGGGAGGAAGGATTGGCGGTACCTACTGGAAAGTGAGGTACATAGAGTACACAGACGATACCTTCACCACCAAGAAGCCCCAGGATTCACACTTGGGAATCTTAGGTAAGAACATATAAATCTCTCTTTTCTGTTTGACTTACCTGACTGAGTTCTTATTGTTTAGTTTTTGTCTGTTTATGTTTTTCTGTTTAACAGGACCAATCCTGAGGGCAGAGGAAGGGGACACACTTCGAGTGACATTCATGAATTTGGCTGACAGGAATTACAGCATCCAGCCTCACGGCCTTCACTATGACAAACACTTTCAGGGGAGCAGCTATGAAGACGGTAAGGGAGCAGACACACACACACACACACACACACTAGCACAGTCAAGAAGCAGGGAAACTATTTGTTCAAATAAGCAGTAGTCATTTAGATTGATAGACTTTTGCATGAAAATTTCCTATACATGGATACAAGGAGGACCAATCAGCATGTTCGTGATGCAAACAGGGATGAGTGAGGGCTTTAAAGGGATATTCCAGTGTAAAATTAATTTAGGGTCAAACACTCCGTAACACGAGTTTGACATCCCCTCGAGAGATGAATGTTGACGACCGCTTGCTTCTCTAGTTATACCAACTTTAGTAACGACCCCCCCTAGCAATACACAGCGGTCTGAGGAGCCATAAAGAAACCTCAACCAAATCCTCTCTTCCAGCAAACACTTGTTTGTAGCGAAACCTCAGGCCAGTCCATGACAGACTGCTGTGGGGTGACGCAGCTCAAGGAAGAACATTTATGATCATTTCTTTATCATTTCCTTAAAGTAATAATCATCATATTAATCATTTTGCACTGCAGATGTGGTAGATCTTCTGCCTTAGCGTCTCAGTCTGATTGCATTTCCATAAAGAAATGATCATAAATGTTCTTCCTTGAGCTGCGACACCCCGCAGCAGTCCGTCATGGACTGGCCTGAGGTCTCGCTACAAACAAGCGGCTGTTGGAAGAGAGTACGTGAGTTGTGTTCAGTCTCTTTGCGAAAGAAATCAGGCAAAGTTAAAAATATTTTTGGTGGCTAGTGCTATGACTGGGACCCTATATGTTCTGTTGATGAAGTTAGGTGCTGTTCTGAGCATTATTTGTGGTTATAGAGTGGCGTTATGGTTGAGGTTTGTTTATGGCTCCTCAGACCGCTGTGTATTTCTATCGTGCGGTTATTACTGAAGTTGGTATAACTACAGAAGCAAGCCGTCTGCAACATTCATCTCTCGACAGGGTGTCTAACTCAGTGTCACAGTGTGTTTGACCCTAACTTAATTTTATGCCGGCATATCCCTTTAAAACTAGTGATGAACCTCGGTGATTCGTTACAGACAGTGTCCGTAGTAAAAGATCTGAGAAGAGGTGTGCCGGTGCAGAGACTTATTTAACCATTGCTCACCTATTACATCTAATTTTTTACGTGAGAGGTGAGAAATTTAATATTTTTACAATAATTCAAACAAGAAGAGGATACCATCAATGAAAAAGTTTAGCCTATCCCCAATCCAGGACCAAAGGAGGCATAATTGTTGGTTGATTATTTAATGCAACCTTTTAAAATGTAACTACATGAGGATACAAACATGAATATATTGTAGATGCCGTAGAAAAAGGCACAAAAACACATGGTGTTAAAGGGGAAATCATCAGAAGAAAAATTGAGTTTATTTTGTTTACTGCCCCAAAGGTGTCGACAAGCCAGGCTCCCACGTCGCTCCCAGAGAGACTTTCACCTACACTTGGCAGGTGCTGGAAGGTCCGTCCTCTTCTGATTCCCCCTGTATCCCCTACCTGTACTACTCTGCCACTGATCCTTCCAAAGACACCAACTCTGGGTTAGTGGGACCCCTGCTTGTGTGCAAGAAAGGAGCACTGGGGGAGAACGGGACCCAGGTGATGTATCTCCATCCTCACTTATCTTGCATTTTGTAGAAACCTTTACCTCAAAGTGTCAGTTCTTTCTATTTTTAATGGCTTGAAGTCCAATTTTCATAGATCGATTTACACTGAACACTGTAGTAGGAAGGTAATGTTGAGTTAAACTTTAACTTTTCTTTTATCCCCACATTTATTAACCTTTATTATGTGTGCATTGTTTGAACAGAAAGATGTAGATAGAGAGTTTTTCCTCCTGTTTTCTGTCATGGATGAGAATGCGAGCTGGTATTTGGAGGAGAATATCAATGACTTTGGTGGTGACCCCGAGAATGCAGACTTTGAGGAGAGCAATTTGATGCATGGTAATCATTCACTTTGTTTTATTAGCACTCTGCGCCAATGTAACCTAATAAATATTATGTTTTATTAGTGTTTCTTTCTCTTTTTTAATTCTCACCTTCTCCTTTCAGCTGTAAATGGGCTGACGTATGGGAACCTTCCTGTACTGGATATGTGTATCGGGGACAGAGTTCAGTGGTACACATTTGGCATGGGCACAGAGGTGGACATCCATGGGGTTTATTTCGAGGGCAACACCTTCAAGAAGCAGAGCACAACACGGGACACTATAAGTCTGTTCCCTCACACCACTGCTGCCGTTACCATGGAACCGGATTCTTCAGGTTTGTCACAGACGAGCACAAACTAACAAAAAAACATCGACAGCTCAGGTCGACTCTTCTAAAAACAGACTTAGATCACCATCTGTCAGTGCTGTCCTCTGCCAGATATACCACTCAGGAAAGAGTATAGTGGGGAATGTAAATAACTTGAGGAAACAGGAAATGGACAAATTTGTTCTTGATGGTGTTACAGTAGCCTGTGGTATGTTCAAGGGCTTCATGCAAGTGACATAAAACAGAATTTCCACAATTTATTACGCCACTCTGTTAGTTTACAATTTTAGACTTTTTTACATAACTCTTTTTGTTTTCTTCAGTAAAATATGCTTAACTTTAGTGTTTTGATAACTAAGAAAAATTGTATTTTATGAAATCATAAATGTCAAATGAGGATGGAGTAATCTTTAGAATAAGAAAAAAATGAATACAGTTTAACATAACTGCAAATGGAGTAAAGAGGACAAATCTTTTTGGGTTATGAGAATTTCGTTTGCACATCCAGCTGCATACGAAGCATACATGCGTCTCTGCTCTAACGGATGTTTATTTATACCTATTTAAAGATTAGTAATGATTCTATTAGTCAGAACAACAATAAAAAGTTGGTGAGAAAGTCTAAAAGAGTCTCCTCCATTACAGTTGCTTTGAGAATTGTCAGTCCCCGCTAGGTTTTTGGTCTTTTCATCTAAATTTTCTTGAATTTTGGTGTTATAGAGGTCAACAGATTTTGGAACAAAAACTAAAATTCTGGAGTTTTGCTCATTTTTATCCATGCAAAGGTACAGGGTGTAGTAGTACTTCGCTGGACCTGGTCCCCATCCATGATGGCTGCCATGTTTCTAGAGTTACACATCACAAACAAATTAGCAATAATCACATGCATTAAAAAACTAAAGGGTTAAAATTAAACTAATGGAAAAGGATATTTATCAAATGTCACAGGTTTCTTGTGGTCAAGGGCCATCCTCATTTAAAGAGCTTCACCAATAGGAGAAGTGAGCAGGGGAAGATCTGATCGGTACTCACTGAGATAACAATACACAACATTACATTTTTATGTCCACAATTCCACATTTACCTTCAGAATAAGAGCTAAATATCAGTAGAAACCTCCCTGATAACAAACAGGGAGAGATGGTGCGTATCCTTCTTTTTTCATCTAAACTCATTCTCCAAAATCCAAATCCTCAACCTCTTCCCCTCCTCCTGACAGGTACGTTTGAGGTGAGCTGCAGAGTGACGGACCACTACTCAGCCGGCATGAGGCAGCAGTACAGAGTGAACCAGTGCTCGCAACGACAAGTGAAGAGCACACACGCGCGTTCAGCTAAAACTGTGCAGTACTATATCAGTGCCGAAGAAATCGAGTGGGACTATTCACCAGAGAGGGATTGGGAGCTTGAGAAACACCACGCCACATTAGAAGACAGGTGTGTGACGAGGATAATGACGGGATGATGTATTTCAGTGCTCTGTGTTTAGTGGGATAAGTTATTACTGTTTGTTAATGGAAGCAAATTATCACATGTCTCCCAGCCCAGGCAGCATATTTGTGGCGAAAGGGAAAAACAGAATAGGTTCACGCTATAAGAAGGTGGTTTACAGAGAATACACTGATGACACCTTCAGAGTTGAGAAGAAACGGCAACCCAGCCAACAACACCTGGGGGTTATTGGTAAGAATAGCTGTTTTTTTTTTTCTGTTTTAATCTAAAGAAGACTGAATATGAAATGGAGTTTTTTAATCAATTTATTGTGTAGGTCCAATAATCAAAGCAGAGGTTGGAGAGCAGATTATGATCACATTCAAGAACAAAGCCAGCCGGCCATACTCAATCAGCGCTCACGGAGTTAAGGCCAGTGGCACACACGTTCCTGTCCAACCTGGTGAGAATTTGTTCAAAAAGTCATATCCTTTCTTTTCAAAAGCAAAAGAGTCTGAACTTTTCTGTATGTTCTTCTTCCTCCAGGATATGTGGTCGAGTTGACATGGGACATCCCTACAAGCTCTGGTCCGGGGGTCTCTGATCCAAACTGCATCTCTTATGCTTACTACTCCAATGTTGATTTTATTAAGGTGCATAATACACAAAAATGGCAACTCAAAAAGAGTACTAGCCGGGATTTCAGCGTTGAAAACAAGGGTGATTTTAACAAGATTTAACTCTGACCAGTTTTAACCAGTTTTCCAACAAATAAATATGCAGTAGGTTTAGAAAACTAAGATGATAACACAACAACAGAAACCAAAACAACAAGGTGAACTAGAAAGATAATCTGTGGTTTGAAATTATGAAGTAAAAATCGTAAAATTTCAAATCCTACAGAGAGCCAAAGACAGAAACCAGGAACCTTGTGATGTGATGTCAAAGCAACAGTCAGAGGGAGCACGTATTTCACAGTGCCGCAGTAAAGAAATTGTCTAAACATGCATGCTGTAACAACTTAGAAGATTTACATGTTTGTGTCTGTTTATGGGCAGGATCTGTACAGCGGTCTCCTGGGGCCTCTTGTGGTGTGCAGGCCGGGGACTCTACGGCGCGGTGTGGGGTCAGACAGACAGAGGGCTGACGTGGAGAAAGAGTTTGCTTTGCTCTTTATGGTGAATGATGAAAACCAGTCCTGGTACTTAGATGACAATATCAGGAATTATCTTGGCGTCGACCCTGAGACCTTCACGCCAGATGAAGACTTTGAGGAGAGTAACCTGATGCATGGTGAGGGATTAGTAATATGGGTTGAGGTTAAATCTCTTTTATCCATGTCAGAATTAAGGCTTTGACTGATGGGAAGCTGTGAAAAAAGTGAGGTCATCACACCAGTAGCAACATTAGGATGGGGTGGAATATGTCTTTTGGTTGTTGTCCCTTTCAAAGCATTTTGCTAAATTTTACAATACTCACACATGCCACACAGGCCTTTGATTTTGTTCTTAAAGACGCCTTTTTCTAATTCCTGTGGTGGAAATGAGCTGAACTTACAAAAATGGTTCATACTGATGAGGAGATTTGATAAATTTTACATTGTGAACTGTGTACATCGATGTCTGGGCAAACCTACACACAGTCTAAAACTAACAAAATCCAAAATATTGATACTTTTGTACTTGGTGCATTGATGATATTTTATTGTGCGTCTGTGTTTCTCTGAGTGTAAATGTCTCTTTCAAAGGGATCAATGGAAAGCTTTACGGTAACCTGCATGGACTGGTCATGACACAGGGCGAGAAAGTTGACTGGTATCTGCTTGGTATGGGAAACGAAGTGGATATGCACACCGTTCACTTCCACGCTGAGACTTTTACCTACAAGGTACATAATCCCATCTACAGCTTTCTTTTTCTTTTGTTTCTTAATCAAAAAGTAAAGAGGAGTAGTTTTACAAAAGTAATGCTAATGGTGGTGTTGTAGTACAGTAAAAGCCCAGTCTTCCTGAGTTGTTTTGATGTTGATCCCTGCGCTCCAGATGTTGACTTTGGCATGAGGACCACTCACACAGGAAGCTTCTTGGTCCAGATTTACTTTGCTCTGATTTCCTTATCTTTGTTCCCCTCTGATGTACTTTGTATGCGGCGCATGTGTTTGGCTGGGGGCTGACAGACTGACCGCATACATCGCGCAGACGTCTTTGACCTCTTTCCAGGGACTTTCCAAACTGTGGAGATGGTAGCAGGGAACCCAGGGACGTGGTTGCTTCATTGTCACGTGACTGATCATATCCATGCTGGCATGGAGACCACTTTTACAATCAAAGGTGTGTGTGTGTTTACATGATAGTAAATTCACTCATTCAATATGTGCATCCATTGACGTGATTTTTTCTAAAATATAACTTTTTTTTGTTGTTGTTTAATCACAGAAATGTCATCAGGAGGTAAGTACTTATTTCTTTATTCAATGATTAATAAACAGTTGAAATGTTACACATGTACAACCTGGTGTAAAAACTATGTTATTCAGTTCTTTTTTGATATTAAAGATAAGTCACTTCTTTGCACTTTAATATTACACACTGTCAAATGTAAAATAGCTTTAAAGCCATTTTAATGTAGAAATTTGGCATAAGTTTAATCAAACAGCCTTATGTGAAACTGAAATCTTTAAAATTATGTCCACAAATACATTTTTTAAACAAATATAAATAACATGTACGATCTTGTTTTATGCATCCAAGCACTTTAAAAAAAATGTAAAACATGTTTATTTAAAGGGATATTCCAACGTAAATTTAAGTTATGGTCAAACACACCGTAATACTGAGTTAGACACCCTCTCGAGAGATGAATGATGAGACCGCTTGCTTCTCTATTTATACCAGCTTTAGTAACGACCGCACGATAGCAATACACAGCAGTCTATGATCCACGTGCAACCAAAGCAAGTTACAGAATCTGCTGAGGAACAATCCATACAAAAATCAATTGAGATACAGCCTGTATTTGAAACGATGAGTCATAATGTCTACATAGTGCAGAAAGCTCCCATGCATCGGGTAAACTTTGCTGTCACATAATAATTTACTAATCCCAAATGATATTTTAACAAAAATATGTGTACCCTCATGTTCACTATGATGGTTTGTTGCTACACTCTTAAGAGTTGAGAGTACAACCCAGTTATGTTTTAGTACTTTAATAGTGTATTATATGAATAAATAGGAACCAATGGCTGCCTGGAACTGCAAACAACAGAAAATCAAATTTTCAGCGCACAGTAGCGTGAAACCCTAAAGCAACTAGCTCTGATATGCTCCATGACTAATCTGGGTTAAGCGTGCTTTAGCAGTATTGATTATCCCATGCAGTCTGGTCAATGTCACAGAATACCTTTCACTGCTCTTGTCTGGTTCATATCAGGTCAGGAGTTAAACAGCAGATTGCACACTGTTTGTTGGTGCTTTTGTTTAAACACTATGGAATGTGTTGTTGGATTGTTTCTTTATTTGCACAGGTTTTAACAGAGATAGGGAAAAATCATGTGAGTCAGGCTTCCCGTAAGAGCTGCATCACCTGAACGTTGCACAAGACACATTTATCATTTAAAAAATAGTATTGCATTGGAATTTTAGTTTAAAAAACGTTGAAAATGTTTTAGGTGGTTTCAAATTGTGGTTATCAACATGAAGATATGTGACGGTGAATGCACCAAATGATGACAGATATAGCAAAGAGACTAATCAGGTATCAACCAAAGTTTGGCATTGAGGTTTACTCACTTTACTCTCAATATAGAACATGTCACTCTAATCATGTCAAGCCTTTTATTTCTAACTCTTTATCCCTACAGCTGCGGCAGTTGGATCTAAAGGCTCTATCGGGACTCTGCTGCTCCTGCTGGCTCTCTATCTGGTGGCTGTAGGTGAACTGCACTAAAGAAGGGATTCTTATGTGGCGTTCACACTGAGCGCGAGTAAAATCATGCGTGCGAGTGAATTACATTTAAAGTCAATGCATAAATGAGATTGGACAGGCATTCTACTCGGGCGACACGAATGATGGGTAGGGGAGAGTGGGGTGAGTTGAGCCAAAGGGTAAGTTGAGCCACCCCCTGTTGCTTGGAATTGGTATAAGACATTGATTATGTGACCAAATATTTAGGAGATGGGCATCAATTCATGGAGTCTGTGAAGGTTAGAAGCACATGGGACATTTACTTCCAACTCACTCCATACACGGGGTAAGTTGACCATAGGAGACCACTTTTTGCTATATTATCAAGACAGTTATGTTTACACTTATTCTGTTGGTTTGCAGGGATACACAACAGCTCGAAATATATGCAGATACACTAGTTAGACACAAAACTATGAAATATGAAAAGTGGCTCATCTTACCCCACTCTCCCCCACTACGCATCACAATATTATTTTACTCTCGCTTGGTGTGAACGCAACACTGTGTTGTACATTAGTCACCATGACAGAGGTCATTGATGCACTTCAAAAATCCAGGGACAAAATCACTGTTGTAAGGATGTTATTTATGTTTATACTGAAATAAAAAAAAGCTGAGCTAACACAAAATATATTCAGATATACTGTGTTTTAAATCCAGAGCATCTTTATTTTATTAGAACAAAAAGAAGCATTTTATATTTGTGTTCTGTCTCTATGTTGCCGTTTGCTGGCATATTGCACTGTGTTTATATGTTTGGATGCTTAACAGAGCACAGCCTTACCAAATATTTGATTTCTGTCATGAATGTGCAATAAAAAGATTTATTAAAATACAAATCTGCCAGTCATGGGTTCTGTTTTTTTTCCCTTCAAGTGCTAGTCTCAAAAGTTACCACAAGATGGCGTTAATTCAACTTGGAAACAAATTCACAAAACGAGTCACAGATGCAAACCTGTTGAACTGTACCCTTTTTATGGGAACCAAACTTGAATTAAATAAGTCATCTTAATTTGATTTAAGGATTACAAATCTTAGTGATTAAAGAAAATTGGTTAACAAGCGGACTCACGTTTTTTCAGCGTCTCTCACGCTGATAAACTGCGGAAACTTCTCAGACACCTTTTCCTACACGACTTAATGTATCTGATCAGATCAATTCTACTTTGATAAACTGCAGGAAGTAAAACAACAGCATGCTTGATTAAATGTGTATGATGTCTGTGTCTGGAGAGGGGAGTGGATATCCTCAGTCGGTGATTGAGTAATCGACGATGGGTGAGTCAGATGCCCCATCAATGAAAACAGACGGATAAAAAGTGAATTTGAATTTCAAATGGAGTTGTTTTTCACCTGTAATCTGCTCTATTGATCACAGAATTACCACATCAGTGTTTAGGTAGATATGGGATCACAGTGGTCACTCAGGGATCGATTTGCATAATCATTAAAGTTTCACTGTGATGAACTGAGAGGTGGCAAACAATAGTCTGGAAAAGTACCAGGTGTCGACTAATCATGGCTTGTTGTGCAGATAAATATTACTCCTTAATTTCCTTAAAGTGGTAGAACTTATTCTGGTAATAAAGATGGGGTTTCTATATAACATCGATGACTGAGTTTTGGTAATTACTTGAAGAGAAGTGCAACAAAAGAAAGTAAAAATGGGAAAATCTCTATTCTGCGCCTGTCTGACCTCATCCTTCTACCTTCTCACCGGTAAACCCTGAACGCACCACAGCAGACATCAGTAAACATGCAACAAACTGAATCAGAGGTTTCACCGCCCCTGCCTGCCTCTTGCTGCCATTGATCGGGACTATAACACATCCTTATCCTTATCTGCATGAGCCCATCATGTTTTCCAACGAGCCTGTGTTCACATAGATTTTTCCGTTTCACTCACAGTTGGCACTTTTTACGCATTATTCATTCCAGTATTTTCACTCTGCAGCAAAAACACACCACGTTTCCAGTATTTTCGTATCAAAGTTTTTGCCAATGGAGTTTTTCTGCTATGGATTTTTTTTCTCATGCACTGTGTAGGCTAAGGTTCAAGCGCGACACAGCCACCGGTCGATAGGGGGCGTAGTGTGGGGTCGCAGAGTATATAAACCTGGCTGTTTACAGACAACTGCTCACTGAACTGATCCAGAGTACATCATCAGGAAGCCTGAAGCTGGATGTGCTGCTCACACACAGGAAAGGTAAGATAGTTTCCCTATAGTGTTGTTTTTTTTTAACAAAAAATATAATTTGAATCAAATACAAATCTAAGAGGGAACAGATTTCTGTTTTAATCAAATTAAGCCAATAAATATAGTGATTTAAAATGAATAGCCAGGGATTGTAGGATGTTCATTTGCTTATTCATTTTCAATGAGATCTAAATCTTACTCTGCAAACTTTTTAATTATCAGCTGAACAGATTGTGTGTGTGTGTTTGCCTGTGCACTAGTGTTTGTGTGTGTGTGTTCATTTGGCTGTGTGAGCAGATTTGTTTATTGTTTGTCTGGCATCTCCTTTATGTTTCTGATGCACCACAGTAATTGCAGAGGAAAGTCTCGGTTGGATGAGTCTGTGAGGACTTGAGAGGGGGCGTATGAGGGGAGAAAAGAGGGGACGGAGAGTGAGGGGGCCGTGTGTGTGTGTGTGTGTGTGTTAGAGAGAGAGAGAGAGAGAGAGAGAGAGAGAGAGAGAGAGAGAGAGAGAGAGTCCTATTTTTCTCTCCTGAGTCCAGTTCGGACCAGTTAGTAATTTCCAGTGAACAGCAGAATCTCTGTGATGGATGCTGTTTGGTTGTTGGGGGCTGTAATGTGATGTAAGATCTTTGTTCAGAGCACAAGAGTGATGTAATGATCTTTGCGACACCCAGACAGTTAATAATTCTCTGACTTTTTCTTCTTTTAGTCATATTAACACTCGTCTGTGAGGTTGACATTGAGGTTTAGAAGCAGCAGAAGCACGTGTATAATCCAGAGTTATCGCTTCCTCATTTTTGTCACATTTAATCTTTACTTGAGTTCAAAGTTAAGTGCTTTTATCTTGTGATGATAAAAAATCAAACCTGTCCGTCCTCCTGTTACATCACTGATAGTCTAACTTGTAAAAACCTCCCCCTTTCCTCTGTCATCCCCTGTCTCCACAGAGAAGTGATCAGTGATCGTTCATCCTCTTCATCAGTCAGGGAGCTTCTCTCTCCTCTCCTTCACTTCTCCTGTTATACTTTCTTCACAACCATCATGGCTCCGACCCTGGCCTCAGCATTTGCCAGGCGCTGGTGGATGGCGGTGACAGCCATCATTGAGAATCTGCTCTTCTCTGCCGTGCTGCTCGGATGGGGATCTCTCCTCATTATGCTGAAGTCAGAGGGTTTCTACTCATACCTCTGCAGTGAAGAAGGTGAGTTACAGCTGATTCATTTCATACCCTAAAAATAAGGATTATTTTATTCTGGTCATAATATTTAATTGTCATCAATTCTCTGCATACTCAAAGTTCACGGGTACGTAATGTGAACCTAATGGTTTAATAAACTTCTGAAATTGAGATGTTGAATGCAGTTTAACAGGAATTATGTAACACACTAGGCCTCGTCTTTCTATTCTCTAGGAAGACTAAGTGTTTTCTCAAAGGGGTTTATTACCTGTTCTTTATGGTCTGGGGAGATAAAACGGGAGCACTTACAGTCAGCAGAGTCACAGGTTGACAAAGTGGTCCAAAGTTTAAGAGTGAAAAAGCCCCTGTGGCTCCGACTGATGTGTAGACATGGAAACAGACTGATCAAACTGCGATCACCTTGGTCCTATATAAAGTTAAGCAACCAATTATGTTCATTATTATGAAGTTCGTATAAATACACACAGTAAGCCAAGTGTGTCCTTGCAGAGACTAAGCAAGAAGGAATGTGAAAAGACACCATCCAAACATATTCTTTGGACCTCAGATGACTCAGTGTCTTTGCAATCATCTTTTCTGCAGAGACCTTTCTTATCCATTCGACACAAGACTGTTGGTTTCATTCAGCTTTTCTCTCCCACCCGAATAACCGCTACTATCTTCTAGCAAGTGTACACAATTGATTTTACAGGACTTGTAACCTGGAGGGTGTTTTTTCAACATTTAGCACATAGGAATACTAATCTTCAACTGCTAATTGTTCCCATTTGTGACCATTAGTTGTTTTTGATGGGGTTTTTTTACTCATGATCAGCAGCCCCACTTCAAGGAGTTAGCACAAAGGCCGCCTATCACTAAAGGGACAGAAGAACATTCAAGTCTTTTGTGACTTCCTGGTGAGCTGCCACATGTGGTCTTATCTTGTCCTGATGACATAAGAGGTAGAGGACGGCAGCACTAACTCAGCTCTTTTCACACATGTGACGGAGGGCCAAGAAGATCCAACACAGGCTTTTATTACTGTAATATGGAAGTGTAAAGTCCACAGATAAAGGACATGCTGATAGTAAAGTGATGAACAGTGGAAACCAGACTGCAGGGGTGCTGATGGTAAAGAACAAGATCGTGGATAAAAAAAAGATAATGATGGTGCAGTGTAGATAACTTTCATGCACATACAGCAAAGATATTGCAAGGTTAGGGTGGGAGGTTTTTTTACGTGGGCAGTGCAGTGAGTCCAAGTCAGCATGAAGGAAAATCACATGGAGTAGTCTGAAAGCCTTGAGCTGTCATTGAGGTCAACAGGTTCTTGCGGGAGAAGCGTTTAAGCTAGCTGAAAGATCAGAGAGTGAATGACTCCTGTGCAGTTTTTCTGCTTGTCCAATGCATCAATTATTTGAGTTTTGTTTGATTCTGCCACCCTTCTTATTTTTCTGTTCATACTAACAACCCCTACAGATCAAGTCAATAGGCATTCCCTGGGCAATGATATTGCAATAGCTTGCCCAATCACATCCTCTTGCAGTATTTGATGTGTTTAAGGTCGACGTTAGTGGAGGCCAACCAGCAGCTCCTTGAAGTGTTGCCCATCATCTATGAACTGGTTTCCTCAAGAAAACCTCAGCACCTTGTTACAAAGCGCGTCATGGTGTTTCACACAGGGATGCTATAGACATACTCTCTTCTGACGACAACAAAGACGTTGAGTGACTGATACCATAGAGGTGTTAGTGAGCAAGATCCAAAACATATCAGCACATCCTGAGCATGAGTAACAAGGTCTCATACTGCAGCTCTCTCAGGGCTATGACTGGGCGTTTTGTGCCTGTCAGTATGTTCCATGTAGTAAAAGTAAATTCAATTCATTGCCAAAGTGAAATAAACAACCACGTTCTTGGTATTTATGCTAAAAGATTTAAACAATAGCAGAAAACGTTCAGGTATTTGCACAATATAATGCGACTTATGTCTTGACTGTGAAGGTAGGAAATGAATATTTGTTTGCCCCTGTCTCTAATCTAGACTTAGGTTCCTAGTCTGAGTGTTGTTCATGCACCTAACTCAGCACGTGTTGACCTCACAAGTGGCCAGTATGTGTTGATGTATCAGGATCCTGTGAATTAGCAGAACTCCCATCTTGAAACTTCAACTGAATGAAAAGACGCCACAGCTCCCCACACATCAAACCGTTGGCAGGAGCATGGCTAGTGGAACCTAACTTTATACTGTCATATAATTTATACTGCAAACGTTTGTGACAGCATCAGCAAGAATGTGAGATTGAACACAACATGTGACCTATGTATCTGTCCTGTTCTAATGTATTCCTAACTCATTTTTTAGGTAACAGCACCAGCTACAATCTGTCCCAACCTCTTGAAACCCCGGTAGCAGACGAGTATATTGAGTACTATGAGAGTGAGGGTGGCGTGGTGGGTCTGGGAGATGGTGTGGAGATGAGGCCCCTCGTACCCTTGGATGGGCACATGAGGATGAACGGCTGGCTGATTTGTAAAGAACAGGACGAGATGCTGAACCTGGCATTCACTGTGGGCTCCTTCCTGCTCTCAGCCATCACCCTGCCACTTGGGATTGTCATGGACAAATACGGTCCTCGCAAGCTCCGACTGCTGGGGAGGTAAGCTAAGACAGATGTGCAGTAATGAAAATGAAGTGTTTTAATCCCATTGTATCAGTAAAATCTTGATAGTACTTGCACCGCTATGAAAAGTGTTTGACCTATCTATCTCCTTTCAGCACTTGTTTTGGATTCTCCTGTCTACTCATCGCTTATGGTGCCTACAAACCCAATGGTAAGTCCATCTAAACAGTGTTCATTCTTACACTTGATTTAAATATACATTACAGTGTTGAGTCTAATGCAACTTTGGTTTCTGCAGAACTCTCTGTCCTTATTTTCATCGCCCTGACTTTCAACGGCTTTGGAGGCATGTGCATGACATTCACCTCTCTCACGGTAAGTATTTGGTTTATGATCATGACACACCTGATACTTGCATGATGTCCTGCCTGATACTTGGCTTCCATTATCAAGGGTCTGTGTCACGGTTTCTACCCTGCTTAGACAGTTTGTTGGCTTCCTTTTTGTTGTTTTTGAGTTGTGCTTCTTACTCTGCACTCTCTACTCTTATGGACATCTGAGCACAGGTTTCGAATGCTGGGAAAAGACCAGAGTTAAAAGGGAGTAACAGTTTGTTATTTCACGCAGAAATACCCCTCTAATGTGCCTGCCCTAAATGTGCTTGTCACTTAAATTAATATTTGATATCTTAACAAACTAGGAAATTAGAGAGCTTGCAGGCTAATGAGAGGAGCTGCATCTCTAACTGAGTGTTGCAGAAACCATCTCCTATTTGTTTCAGGAGTATTTCCCTTTGAGCTGCGAGATTAGCTTTTTGTGTTTTAACACAAAATAAAGAAATACTTCAAAGTTAAGATGGAGAGTTTAAAAAACAAGTCAATCATTAAATCTTGCAGCAGACCCAATAAAGATGACCTTGGGATTTCATGTACCTTTCTATAATTTGCCTATGGTACTCACTATGCTATATTTAGTTTTGAGCCTTGAGCAGGTATGAGCAGAATGCAACAGAGGTCCAATTTCCCCAGAAGAACTCGGATTATTGGACTTCCCCTTAGAGACAGCACAGAACTAGAGAGAAAAACAACTGATGCTCTGTTAAGATTCCCAGTACACCCCTCACTATTTTTCTGCATTCTTTCTCTGCTGTTCTTCATCCTCCTCTTCTCATTACTCCAGCCTGCAGTCCTGGGTTGTGCCATGGTGATGCTGTTCACTAAAGAGGGGCTCTACGACAGTAAATCACCCAATTAAGCACCCCCTTCTATACTGCCACAGACTTTTATTGTGAAGTGTGATATTTCCCACGTGGTATTTATTGCATACCTCTGTATACTACCTTTTACTCCATGTCCCTCACAGCCTAACATAGTACTCTACAAAACCTCAGTGTTGGGTTAATCATTAGACTCTGTGCACCCACTTTAGTCCTTTAATTATGATTCCTCCTCAGACCTAAAGGCATTTATTTTCAGCATGGGCCTGTTGAGTAATATCTCAGCAGCCACCACTGGCTTTGTGCCAGAGTTAGCTGTCAGGTCACCCTTTCTCCTTCAGGTTTGCCCAGCAGCTACAAATTTACCTTTTTTGTTCCAGGATATCTTAAAGAGGTCTTCCAAGAACTCCTGGTGATGTTAGTGGGAATTAGTCTACTGTAACTTTGCGCTTCAGTGCGCACACTCTCTCTTGAATTAGCAGCAAAACACACAAGAACACATAGCATACCTCTTCCTCAGATTTCCCAGTCTTACGTAATTAAACTGCTTGTTGTTGTTCAGCCTCTTGAAAGCAGAACAGCTTGCGAACGCCTTTGTGTTCAGATGTTTTGCCACCCACTGTCTCCTTTTTTCTGTCTTTCCCCCAAACTCTATGTTCTCCTTCCCAAAACAGGAGTGAGGACAGAGAAAAGAAAACTTACCCTTACCTCAGTCACCCCGTAACAACTCCAGCTGCAGCAAATTTGTCAGTGTTGCGTTTGTGCGTGTCTTTTCCTAGTGATCCCTATCCCCTTGTTGTCTTTTATCTTTGCTTATGTTCTCCCTGGAGAGCAGATATCTGCTTGCTAATTGGTTCGTACAGTCCGCTATAACCTTAATGTCATGGGCAACATCCTCAGTGCCCTCAATATGTCTCAGGCTTCACGCCGAGAGCAGCTGAGATCACCGGGAACTTTAGCAGCAAATGCTCTAACCTTTGTGCTCAGAAACACTATAGGATACAGGAACTCCAAGTCTGTGCACATGCCTAGAACTGGTGTGAAATGAGGTGACTGTCTCTTGCACTTAAAGCCACTTCTGTTTTTTTCTCTCCCTCTCTAGCTTCCTAACATGTTTGGGGACCTTCGCTCCACTTTCATCGCCCTGATGATCGGTTCATATGCCTCCTCTGCAGTCACCTTCCCTGGTGTGAAGGTAAGAGACACTGACAAACAAATCCATTGACTCTCTGAGTAACAAGCACATCCTAAACCACTGAGATGTTGAATCGAACATATTCCAAAAGTAATACTACTCTGTCATTCAACTGCTCTACTTAAATTTTCTGACAAATGTTTAGATTTTACATTAAACTCCATTGTCCTTGAATACACCAGAGATGAATGTTGCCAATCGCTTGCTTCTCTAGTTATACCAACTTTAGTAACGACTGCACAATAGCAGTACATAGTGGTCTGAGGAGCCACACACAAACCTCAAACAAAACGCCACTCTATAATCACAAATAATGCTCAGAACAGCACCTAACTTCATCAACAGGAGATATAGGGTCCTAACCACAGTACTGGCCATCAAACATTTTTTTAGCTTTGCCCTAATTTCTTTAGCTAAGAGACTAAACACAACTCACCTACTCTCTTTCAGCAGCCGCTTGTTTGTAGGGAGACCTCAGGCCAGTCCATTATGGACTACAGTGGGGTGACGCAGCTCAAGGAAGAACATTTATGATCATTACTTTATCATTTCCTTTAAGTAATAATCATCATATTAATCATTTTGCACTGCAGACGTGGTAGTTATTCTGACTTAGCGTCTCAGTCTGATTGCATTTGGACAGTGAGGTCAGACTTGCCCGAGGTCTAGCAACAAACAAGCGGCTGCTGGAGGAGAGTAGGTGAGTTGTGTATAGTCTCTTTGCTAAAGAAATCAGGCAAAACTAAAAAGATGTTTAGTGGCTAGTGCTGTGGCTGGGACCCTATATGTACTGTTGATGAAGTTAGGTGCTGTTCTGAGCATTATTTGTGGCTATAGAGTGGCGTTATGGTTCAGGTTTGTTTGGCTCTTCAGTCAGCTGTGTATTGCTATCCTGCGGTCGTTACTAAAGTTGGTATAACTAAAGAAGCAAGTGGTCAGCAACATTCATCTCTCGAGAGGGTGTCTAACTTGGTGTTACAGTGTGTTTGACCTTAATAATTTTATGCTGGAATATCCCTTTATGTGCTTTATTTGTCTGTTAAGGATTTTGTTCCCATTGGTTATGTTTTGTTGGCAACAGGTGATCTATGATTTTGGCGCTCCTTTCATCACCATCCTGGTGGTGTGGGCAGCCTGTGCTGGAATTGTTTTCCTGAACTGCTACTTCAACTGGCCACTGGAACCATTCCCAGGACCCGAGGACATGGACTACACGTGAGTCATACAGATCCACACGCTGATGCATGGATAATAGGAGAAATCCCACATGCTCAATCCTTTGCTGCGTGGGAGGAATGTATTATGAGCAATCTCTTGGGTGTCCAAGTATATGGTTCAGTTATCATCACCTCTAACACTTATGTAATATGTGCAAGAATGTGCACAGTAATGCAGCCAGGTTAAAGTCTATCTGCTGAGTTTTGCACTTGTAAAGGAAAGTCATCCCACGGTCATCCCTTCATAATTAACAATGCACTTTTGAACTGCTTGTTCAGTAATATGTTAGCGACGTGAGCAACTCTACTGAAATTAAAATGTGTCATCTATGCAGTCATGTCCAGTTTTATGATATTTAATTTTAATGAATTTATAAACCTCTCCTCCTCCTCCTCTTCTCTCTCAGCGTGAAGATTAAGTTCAGTTGGCTTGGCTTTGACCATAAAATCACAGGAAAGCAGTTCTACCAACAAGTGACCACCGTGGGCCGCCGTCTCAGCGTGGGCAACAGCCTGAAGCAGAAGGAACTGGCGACCAAGGAGGGACACAAGCTCTGCCTGTCCACCATGGATCTGGAGATGGAGTGCAAGCCGCAAAACGAGAGTAAGAGAGCAAAATTCAAAAGCTTTGGTGCACATTTAATGTGAAGACACCGTGATTGTAAAGCACATTATTTATCCAATGCTTTGTTTCTTTCTGCTGCAGCCCCATCATTCTTGAAAACTATCACCACCCCAGTCTTCCTGCTCAGTCTGCTCACCATGTCCATCACTCAGCTTCGTCTCCTGTTCTACATGGGCGCCATGAACAGCGTCATTGAGTCCCTCAGTGATGGAGACTTCAATACTGGTCAGTCTTAATGCAACTTTGGGGCTCTTTTGCATATTAAATGTATATAAAAAGAAATGGAAAAAAAAGTTTTTCCAACATAAAGTTGCTTCTTGGCATGTCAGACTGCTTATTTACTTTGTGTCATGGCTCAAAAGCAGCTGATTTATTTGGCTATAATTCAATTTTCAGTGGAGAAAATGGAAGTTGGTAAGACAAAGTTCATATACTTACAGCAGTAGTAGTACACTTTCAAGCTCACACAATTAGGAAATTAACCTTTAGTTATGTGTAGCTTTGTTCCACATCTGCTTCTCTTTGGATTTTGTTTTTGCTAGCGTTGTTATTTCATTATTTGACCTTGACTGTAGCCAGTAACTACCAGGTACCATTCACTGTACTCATTAACTAACTTTGCCCTCAGCACTTGCTTGTACTTGAACTCGGTTCACATGATTCCCTTTTCATTTATGATTACTCCCCCGGTCATACAGTCTCTCATTATATCGTCTTTTGAGCACATAATCTTTTTCATTTGGGTCAATATGGCTACACCTCAAAGAACTAATGATTAACTATATTGTTGTAGTCATTAACCAGGTAGAAAAGAGTCCTGAACCTCTTATTTCATCACCTTTTATCTTTCCTTTAGTCCAAACCTTTCAACGTGCCGTATTCTTCTCAATATATATGCATCATCGCCCTTTCTCACAATCGCTTTTTGTCTGCATCATGATCCCTTTCACAGTGAGTCTGTACTCCTCCATCTTTGGCGTGCTGCAGCTGCTCTGCCTGATGACCACGCCTGTGATTGGTCAGATCATGGACTGGAAGCTGAAGGACTGCGATGATGGCGAGGAGGAGAAGGAGCCCTGCAACAAGTGAGTCAAGTTGAAGTTGTCTGGTTTAGACTATTCAGAGGAAAACCAAGAAAAAGTTCTGAAGGACACTTTTCTGAAACTTCTTGTACTGTTTTGACCATCAGGGGTGAGCCAAAGAAAAAGGGCAGGGACAAAAAGATGCAGAAGGTGACCAATGCCCTGAGAGCCTTCCTCCTCACAAACATCCTTCTGGTTGGTTTTGGAATCACCAGTCTGATACCAAATCTCCCTCTGCAGGTGAGTTGTCCACTTCTGCTCTTAGATAAATAACAGCCTTTAGGAGTGCGTAAGGAATACAGCTAAACTGGTAGTTCAGTCTCTGTCTTTTACTCTAAATGGGTTATATTGTTCATTTTTGTGAGTAGATGTGAAACAGCTAAATGGCCAAATATCTAAAAAATTAACAATCTTTGTACAGATGTATAACTTTGTGGGAACATGTTCTGTGTTTATTCCATTTATGAAGCAGGGAAGTAGCTAGGCTAACTTATATTTTCCTGCTACACTTGGTTAAGACTGGAAACACTGAAACATATAAGATATTACAGCTTAATTTATGGTGGAAGTAAGATTTTGCTTCATCTGAATAGCTGTTTCCACATGTTTATGCTAAATAGCTAGCAAGCAAAACCCTGGATACAGGTTAATTGAATTGGTTCAAATTAGAGGCAAGTAGATAAAGCCATGCTAGCTAACTGTAGGGGTATGAGGTAAGTAAGAGACATTAATGTTAGCAACAATGCAAAAAGGTCCCATAAATGTAAAGCCTTCTCTTCAAGTCCCTTAAGACTAACTAAAAATGTCAATGCAGATTAACGTCAACTTTTTGTTTTCATCTTTTCACAGATTGTGTCTTTTGTTTTACACACTGTGGTGAGAGGATTCATCCACTCTGCTGTCGGCGGCCTCTATGCTGCTGTGTGAGTCTCACTTTACTTCAGCTACACACTCTGCTCATTATCACCATCATCCTCATCTTCTATGTGAAACTAAAACTTCCTCTCTGTCCCTCCAGGTATCCATCGTCTCAGTTCGGCAGCCTCACAGGCATGCAGTCTCTGGTTAGTGCTGTGTTTGCTCTCCTGCAGCAGCCTCTGTTTCTGGCTATGATGGGACCCCTGCAGGGAGACCCTCTCTGGGTGTGTAGACAGTCATATATGCATGTATTAAAACACTCACTCATTCATTGATAAAAACCTTCAGGCTCATCTAATTCTATTGTTTATCCCCTCTTAGGTCAATGTTGGACTCACTGCTCTAAGCATGTTTGGCTTCCTGCTGCCTCTCTACTTAATCTGGTACAGACGGACGCTCACCAAGGAGCTGCAAGCGAAAGAGGACAATGCAAAGATCTACATCAAAATCAATGGCTCTGATATCCCTGAGGCCTACGTCTAGAGGAATCTGAGTATGACGACAGATTTAACTGGCAAGTAATCAGTAAAATCTTCATACCGACGGGCTACTGGATTTAGTTATTTTGAAATTCACTTCTAAACATGCTGACAAAGGTCTTTCTTGGGACTATCACATGAATTTGTCAAAATCCCACCAAGATGAACTGCACGTCCATGGAGGAGGAAACGAAAATGTGGAAGAAAAAAAGGAGAACGAAAAAGAGGAAAGACTGAAAGGAAGGAGGCTTTAGTCCTCTGTATTCCCCCAAATCCTCAAACTTCTCTTTTTATTCCCTGAGCACATAAGTGCAGCTGCCTCTTACACTAGACTGCTTGAATCTACCCAAAATACGCAGAAAAGGAAAAGAAGACCACAGTTAATGTTCACCACATCACATTCAACCTCACATTAATCAGAGTGGTTTTATTATATGCTTTTTGTTTTCTTCTTTACGTGTTGACTTTAAATCATCCTGAGTGTAAACCTCAACATGGTGCTACCTATCAATTCACCGGCTGTTTATTTTTACAGGTGGCCTTAGGTAAGTGTGGACTAAATGGCATTAATGAGCGACAAGGAGGAGAAAAGAGCCTTATTGCTCATGTTTCTCGGCATGATAAATGTTTAGATTTTCTTCCTTTTTCTACAAGGCTTAATTTTTATATAGTGCAGTTTATGATGGATGTGTTTTCTGTCTAAGGGATATCAAACAAACTGCTGTTAGCAATGTGTTCTTGTGTGTTTAGAGTATTTATTTTATTCCTTCTTTCTTTTTATACTTTAAGTTTACCATGGGTGCCTTTTGAATATAACTCGATAGAAAGGAAAATACTTTTTCATTTCTGTTCATAATTTTTTTCTCATCTGCGTCCTTTTTTTAAAACTGTGATTTCATTATGACACCTTGGCTTTAGAAGTTTTTATTCAGTCTTTCTACCGTCTATTTCAGCACTTTCATTCCTGTTAACTTCTCTACATTTCACACATCACCCATCAGCTTCCTTCAGCACTTCTCTCCTGATTCTTCATGTTGGGAAGTAGTCCCACCTCATGTTTTTTTTTTTTTTTTTTACTTTACACTCACTTTGATAAATTTCATCATGTATTTTAAACTTCCCTGTGCTGACAGCTATGAGTGTCAGATGGTGTTGGCAGAGACGCCTTTGATGCATTAATAAAGAGGTTAAAGAGATGTGTTTTTTGAGGCGTTCCTGTTAGAATATGGAAGATTTTTGAGGGCTAATAAAGATGAGTTGATCTCTTGATCTTGTTTGTTTTTCCTCTTATTATATGATAAATATCCATTAAACTGTGCTGGTGTATTTCTTTCTTGCTTTAAGCTCTTTTCGGCTAGTATGAATGATTAATTTATGACACATTACACAAATTGTAGGTTTCAGCTTATTTTTAAACAGGTTGTATTTCATCAGTCCCCTTTGACAATCTTTTGTTCATTGTGTGTTGAAAAGCTACACTAGTGTAGTATTTACTATTGTAGTATCACCATTGTTCCAATGACAGTACTATTTATTTTAAGGTATAAGGTAAAATTTCAGAAAATGTCCAAATAAAAGAAAACCCAAAAAGGAGGAGAGAAATTGGTGCTCTAGTTTCTTTGGCAACTCACCAGCAGAGGTCAGTATAAGCAGCATCTTTGTAAGGGCAGATAGGATACCTTTGGATCATGCGTCTCTTCTCAAACAGGTTAAAAATGGCTTTAAAGGTACTCAAAGAGAAAAATATGTATCTGTAGCTCAAAAAAAATGCCATTTGTGACTTGTGTTATCCACAATATGCCTTAAATATCAAGTGCAAAGAACATGGTGTCTCCTGCCTCTATAGTTGTTGTGGGGCTCTCTCATTCAGCAGTGAGATGAGAATAACTGACTTAGAATATTTCTCCCACCAGATGTTTTTATCACTTCTGTCAGCGCACTGTTTTAACACCTGATACTGCCCCTGTTATCCATCACCCGACACCTCAGCCCCTCTTGACACCTGAGAGCTGATCTGGGGGCGGCATTTCTAGGACAGGCCTGGTGTTCCTGCTGCTACTGCAACTGATGGTTCACCTGTTTGTTTGTTTGCTGGCTCACCCCTGTGGTGTGTTCAACACAGTTCAAAAGAGCAACACTAAACCGCTGCCCTCTATCTAAGGCACTTCATATTAGACTGTAGAAACCAGGATGTCTGCCTTACACTTGTTGCCCCCCAACCTCACAAGTGATGTCTCAAAAGCATTAACGTTATCATAATTATTATTATTATCATTATTATTATTGTTGTTGTTGTTGTTGTTTTGTTGTTGTTGTTATTATTATTAGTAGTATAATGTCTCTAATTATTATTTTCTTATTTTCTTTCTTGTTCAATTGTCTTGTTCAAATTATTATTGTTATTATTATTATTATTACATTCAGAGACTGTATAGATAGATAGATAGATAGATAGATAGATAGATAGATAGATAGATAGATAGATAGATAGATAGATAGATAGATAGATAGATAGCACAGAGGAGGAGACAGAGGAATGATAAGCGGATGTTGGCAGACGGATACAGATGCGCTATAAATACGGCAGCAGTACGCTGTTACATAATTTTAGACTCGCACAAACACACGCATTCACATACTGCGATCTCCGGGATGTGGGACGGGATTAGGGACCTGTGATGCCCTGTCATAGTGGAGCGTCACGCGCCACCACCGTCCTAAAGACCCTTTAGGTTGACCAAAGCGGAGTCAGGGGACTACCAAGGGATAGTTCAGTGAATTAGACACTCATCAACACAGGTTTTTCTACATGGATTCAACAAGCTTTCATATAGATACCGAGATGAAACCGCTACTTGGTTTAAAGTCACAGTGGGACAAAAAAAACACGTCACGTCCGTCCGTGGCTGAGTGTATCTTACGGAAAGAAAACGGTCAGGACTCCAGGAGGCTGATGATCCCAACAGGACTTGCTTAGAGAGCTGAGCAGGCTGACGTACCGTGCGTCTGTGCCAGCGGTGGTGGTCCCCGTGTCATGCCCGTTTATACCCTGACGGTGAATAACCAGGCTTCTACGTCACCGTGACGGCGGTGACGCAGAGGGTGTAGCACACTCTAAAGAAAAGTGGTGCGGATATGTATCCATAGTTTATGCCATTCAGTTATTTAGTTCATCTTAGTTTGTCATTTATGCCTTCTTGTGGCCAATTATTTTCTTAAACCCACTATTCTATTTTTTACAAGGCTATTTACCTAGTTTCCAAGCAACACATGCATGCTGTTTAGCTTTCAGCTATGGCAAAGACCATATGGAACCGGTATAAGTGACGAAGAGCACTTCACTTCACTTCATTGATCTGTCCCTTGGAGGGCAATTTGTTTTGCAGCAGACAATCATACATCAAGTTCAAAAAACATACAAATATAAATACATGAAGGTGTACAAGTAGGTGTACAAGTGAGCAGCAGATTGCACTTATACTGGTTCCATACCAACTGAGCTGTATACAGCAGAATGTTGCCGACCGCTTGCTTCTCTGGTTATACCAATTTTAGTAACGACAGCAGGATAGCAATAAACAGCGGTCTACCACTCCATGTGCAAACCTCAACTAAAAGGCCACTCTTCAGTCACAAATAATGACAACAGGTGATTTTTTAATAATCAACACTACTTCCATACTATTGCGGCTTTCCTAGTACCATTAAAAAAGTCACTTGATGCAAAGGATAGGTCCTGTACATTTGTATGACACATTGCTGCTGTTCCAAAGAAGCACCCAATGTTCATTTAAGTTTTGTAGCTTTAATAACACAGAAAAAATGCTTCTACAAAGGCCAATGATTAAGCACGCACATCAGATGTAATATGTGTAAACTTTGGGGCAAAACAAAGAACATAAAGCGCAGTCAACAAAAATTACAGCTGCCTAGGCTCACCTCTCCACCCTAGAGCAGGTGAGACCACCCCTTATATAACCTACCAGTTTTCAAACGCAGTGCCCACGTGACCTAAGCCCAGTGAAACCAATGGCAACCAGACAAAAGTAACTGAACACAGGATAACCAATCAGCAAAGCAACATTATGGCTCCTACATATACATTCTGTGACAGTAAAAACCAAGATACAGTTTTGTCCACAAGGGTCGCCAAAATCAACACAGACAGAAAGGTCCTCATGGGAGCTTTAAAGCATTTAAAATAATCTACTCTTAACTGTTACTGGAGTAGATGAACAGGCTTCAAACTGAATTTGCATGTAAGTAAAATAGTAGTCTACTCTCTCAATCAGTCCCTTGAAACAAGGGCTGGGCGATAAAACGATTATGATACATATAGAAAATTAATTTCCCACGATATCGATATTAAACATGGTCAATACGCTTCTTGATAGCTGCCATTCTGCCATGTTTTGGTAGAATATACGAATAGCCAATGGAAAGGGGAGTTGCTCCTGGTCCGCTTCGCACCAATCATGTACTGAATTAGAACCAAGTGGCAAACAACTTTGAAGTAGCAGGCTGCAGCTACATGCCCCCATAGCACTTTAACACGTGAAGCCAACAGCACTGTCTGTGAGAAAAAAAGAAAACAAGGATGCTCCCGGCAGAAATGCAGATGAAGGCTCAACAGATGATAACATCGTCGCAAACACTGGCGCAAAATCGTTGGTGGTGTGGAGGTATTTTTGAATTTTGAGGTCAGACATGAAGCAGAGTAATGTGCACTGCAAATTATGTCGAGTACATGTTTCCGCAAAGTCGGGGAATACTTCAAATCTTTTTCACCACCTGAAGCAGTGCCACGCGGCAGAGCATGTACAATGCAAAAGGGTTACAAACCCTGAGAGAAGCAAAGAGCCCACAGCGCCTGTGCAGCCGAAACAGCCCACCATTAAGTCCTCTTTCTCTAGCGCAACGCCTTACGACAAAACATCGAAGAGATGCAAAGACCTCACAGATGCAGTAGCTTATTGTATTGCAAAAGACATGCTACCAATAAGCACTGTTAAATTTTACATCACGATATATATCGATATTGACTGATATGAAAACAATGTATCTTGAAAAACTTTTCCCTATATCGCCCAGCCCTACTTGTAATTCATGCCATTATGCATCCTTCAACAAGACCTCAGCATCACAGACCTGGCACTACCTCACCGGGCCCCTGGGTGGACCCTTCCTTTCTATGAGTGTGCTCTGCTCTGCACAGGCCTCACAGCTCGCGCGCAGCAGCAACGCCGCGCCGCGGCCCCGATCAGGAAGTGAATGTGAAGAAAATAAGCGACTGTGGTGGTAGAATGACATAGAGGGGGAGAGGTGGGAGAGAAACGAGCGGGGAAAGAAGAAGAAGAGACTTTCAGAGGGAGGGATCGAGCCCTGCGTTTTTTGGGACCTGTATATTCAGCAGCCACGGCTTCCTCCCTGGGAAACACTGACCGCACCGCCAAAAAAATGCTTATAAAGGAATTGTAAGTAGCTGTGTGTGAGTGTGAGTGCGTCTCAGGATGTGTGCGCGTTTATCCGTCTGGTTTGCAGCGCTGACATTGTGGCCAGTCTCGCCCTGGAGTGGAATTACAGGAGTGCAGGCAGGGTGATGTCGACACCCCCGTAACTGTGTCTGCTTGGTTACATATAAGCCACCATTTTCCGTGCTAACTCAAGTCTATCATATTAAAATATCCACCCAGCAAAGCGAGGGAGAAATAAAAACGCGGCGGATGTAGTTGCATCAGCAGCCGGCGCAGGCATGGCTGTGCCCTTCACATTTGCATCACAATCCTACAAGTAAGACTCCCGTGTTGGAGGATGATAAAACATCCTTTTACTTTGGTGCTAAAATGAAGGATGCTCGAGAGGAGTGGTGTTGCTGAGGAAGAGATGTAAGCCCAGCCAAGCCGTGCCGTGCCGTGCCAGCGTCCATCCTCATAAGCCGCTGTGGCCATGTTATTGATGCACGGTGAAGGTGAAACGCCTGATGGGAGCATTCCGGCATTTACTCCTCCTGCTCTGGAGGAATGGAGATAGCGAAGTGTGGGTATGGAGGGGGGGGATGCTGGAGAGGATGCTGGGTGGGAATGGGCATGCAGGTAGGGGAGGTGGTTGCAAAAGCGTGAGGGATGAGAGAGGGGGGAAAAAATGGCAAATGGCGAGGTTTTGACGCACCAGTCAGACATTTGTGAGGATGTGACAGCTGGGCCAAGGGGACAGGATGGCATGGGATGGAAGATCGTGAGAGGAAAGAGAACTATTTGGTGAATTTTAACACATCACTTTAACACATGGCTTCTGCAGGCCTCAGTGTGCTGTGAGGAGAGCTGAGGCCTGACCACGATCAGCTGGTGCTGAGGAGAAGGCAGATAGATTGGAAATAGATATTGACCCTTATATAGGAAAGTAGACATCATTCATGATTATCCACCTTTGACAGAGTCCTGGTCCCTCCATCCATATATATATTTGTAAAAAATCTACAAATATACTAATGTACTAATTTTACAATCAGGTCCTTGTGACAGTGACTGTATATTGACAGTCTCAGCTTCAAAACTACGACCCAGTTTTAAAAATCGGTATTGATCAAAGTCTGGTGTAAACAGTCATGCATTAACCAACATTTACTCTTGTCCTCGTTTCTCCCCACATGTATTTAATCAATTAATGGCTCGGCACAAAAATCTGCAGGATGAGAGTGATGGCATGGCTAAAGATCTGAAGTGATTAGGGAGAGTCTGGGTCTCAGCAGTCTGCCTGCAAATTAATTAAATCGGTCACGATTAAATGCTGAATGCACGTATACACACTGTCAACACACAAGGCACACCAACAGGCTTTCACACACACACACACACACACACACACACATACACACACACTGAGATACCATCATGGGGGTCAAGAGACAGTGAATTGATCCAGGTCCAGCTGTAGTACCGACACTGCACAGCTCACCTGAGCCACTGACCTAAATCACTCCTGGTCCACTTTTCTTTGCCACTTCCAGAAGCTTTGGCAGCTTTTTTGCAAAGCACCACAAAACAGGAGCCACTTTACGATAGATCGGGTGATTAAAAAAAGAGATAGAATAGAAGAGAAGTAGAGGAAGAGAAGAGTTAGAGGGAAAATGGAGAGAAGATGAGAAGACAGAAAAGGAAGGAACAGTGGGACACCTGATCCTCCTGTCACGACCTTAAGAGAAAGAGAGCAAGAGAGAGAGAGAGCGGCTGAACTCCTTTTTAACTTAAGCTCAAGTTCTACTTAATACTTCATATTCATGTACACGCACATTTAACTACTGATTTTTTTGTGTGTGTGCAGCCAACAGACAAATATCTGCAAACTTTATGTAAAGAAACTTAACATTTACTCTGCGTGGGTGTAGTTTCCCTATTTTGACACTGCAGACAGTTTTTTACACTGTTCCTGCCTTCCTCGCAGCATCTGGTCCCCCATCCGATGTCTGGCTGGGACTCAGAGCCAGATTACAGTCAGTGGCAAGTGGGAAGCAGTTGGGATTATCTGAATTTAGGCATTCATCACACAGTTGCAAAACAAACTAAGCTGCGTACTGTACAAGGCCGGAAACTGGTGGTCTCAGGTTCAAGAGAAGGTGTGCAGAGAGAAAGATATGTGTGTGTTATGTGTGGGAAAAACACTAGCTCTTTACAAATGCTAATACTGTACATGGGAGGACAGACCTGTTAACTTTACTGTGACTGTGTTACCAAATAATTTCAATAGTAGCCTCAGTTTATGTCATTGAAACTAACTTGACAACTTGTGACCTGCATTATTTATCCAAACCATCAATAAAGATCTTTCAGGTTATGAAAATATCAATCATTCTACAATGGTCCAAGCTGCAGCACAGGATAGTCATTGTGTTTGACATTATGTTACCATAATTCATCAGATTAAATTTTAGGTTGAATAACATCTTGGCGCAGTATTTCTTACTTAAATCTCCTGGTAAGAGTTTTTGGCTGGTTATAAAGCAAACCAAAACTAATTTTAATGACTCTTTATGACCTAAAAAGAAGAAAATAGATTATTTCTGTTTAATTGTTCATAGTGTGTTTGTTTAGCAGGATGCCATTTATGTCAGAAAACACCACTTTGATACGATTGGAGAAAAAAAACAGCAGAGACCACTCTGTCCACATGGGGTCAAAACTTCCTTGCAAAAGCATTAACTTCAATACATTATCCTGGGCTGATAATGGACCACTGAGTTGCTTCTAACTTATTACAATTTTCATTCTTCATAAAGTGAAAGATTTTACAAGCATACTCCCTGCACTTAGTTTTCCATTGTCCTTCATTTCAGTGTCAGTGGGCCTGCCGCCAGCCGGGCCATTGTGCACAAAAGCAAATTAGTTCTTGGCTCATTCTGAAAGAGAGTTGGCATGGCATGTCATCATTTTGTTGGTGTGCAACACTGTAACTTCTATGGCCTCTTACAGCTTCTTTCTCAACGCAGTTCCCGTAGATACAGGCCTAAAAGCACCAAAACGAAACATGGCTGGGGAAAGGGTGAGCCAAAGATGTCTTTGTGCATGAATAATGTGAATGGCCAGTTTCCTTAAACAAAGAGAAATAGACCAGACCTAAGCCAGATTCTTTGACACAGTGTAGTTCTATTTAACTCCTGTTAATCACAAAACTGTACAAATTTCCATTCACTGGAAGGCGCTTGTCCTCACCTGCAAAATCATGGAAGGGTTCTCAGTATGTTTGAAAATGTGACAATAAAGAGATAAAGTAAAAATGCTCCAAACAAAAAAAGAAAGAACAGTTTCTGTTTGGTTCATGTCCAAAAAGCACCTCAGCAGATGTGACAAGTGCAATCAGTAACTACATATACTATAGGCTGACAAAGCTGTGTTTTCATTATTATGGGGCAATGGTGTATATTTAATAGTTCTCCTTTGAAAAACAAAATTATTCATGCCTAATGAGAGTTGATTAACCCCACACAAACATGTTCAGTTTTACCCAAAGCCATAAAGATTCCTCAGCTGCTTGGTGCTTTGGTTTAAAACATTACAATTTCAAAACAAGACAAGTAAAAAGCTGTCTTATTAAACTTAATATATTTAAGTCATATTTACGTGACAACTCTAGGTAAATGTCTGATTTCCAGATATACCAGGCTAGAAATAAGAGTTGAATTGCTTGTAATGAGTGAAAATAAATCCACCAATAGGGTAAGAAAACTTAGCTGTCAGTTTTTTTAGATTATGAATGAATTTTTCCGAACAAAGATCGCTTTAATTCATACTACAAGACATTTTATATATACATAAAAACATACACATTCTTAACTCTGAGTTTGAGGTATAGATATAATCCTGAGCCAAATCAAACAATCATCTATATTCCATGATAAAAAAAAGCCTCCCAGTTAATTTTAGAATTGAATTGAAAATCTTTATTATGTTTAATAATATTGAAAATACTATCTGGATCCAAGTTTTTCTGATCTTTTCACACCTTACAAGCCTGTTTGAACCTTAAGGTCCTCAGTCACAGTCCAAACTGAGGACCAGAGGGGACCAGGCTTTGTCTGTCAGGGCCCCCACTCTTTGAATCACTTGGCTGAAGGAGGTCAGACAGGCGAGCTCCTAATTGTCTGCACACTTGATTCACTGGGGGCACCATAACTGATGCCAAGTACCCCATAGGAGCAAAGAATCAGAGAATACATGAACTCTGTCAAATCACCAGAGGAAGGCCACTCAGCCTGTTGGCCGTCTTAGCTTATCATACTTTGGGGATAGGTTCATAGAAAAGACTCGAGCTTGTCGTCAGAAATGGTGTGTGTTGAGATGATTTCTTAAGATGTTGCTTCATAATGCTACTGTGCTGCTTGGTGGATTCTTGCCAACAGGGCTAGAAGAATGTCATATTAATGTTAAAAATTAACACCTACATTATTTAGATTTTTGGTTCACCATAATGCTCTGGGAAATGGGATCTAACATTAGCTTAATATTTACTAACAGATTGAAATAGATGACATGTCCGTTAAACCAGCGGAAAAGTAAGACGCTTCATCTGTATGTGTTCTTGTCCTTACTGTAGATGATTTCAGCCACAGTTAGATAACACACAAACTAATAAAAAGTAAGTTCAGGAGGAAAGTGTGAGTTTATTTTTTCTTTTTTTCTTCTCTTACAGTCGAGTGATTCTCCCTATCTCTGTGGAGGAGGTAAGTTTCATTTCAGTGTATCTGTGTGTGTGCGTGTTTGTGTGTGTGTATATATTTACGGTCCAAGGCTCTGCTCCTTCTCTTATCTGATTCTTTGATTCACTGTATTTGGAAAAGTGCCCATCATTGGAAAGCTGTTCCTTTGCTCTGTGGGTTTTTAAGTGTTTATTTTCAAAGCTCTGTTCAATGCTTCCTTATAGAAAAAAAGAGCAGCTTTTCATCACCTTGTGAGATAAACTCTGATTGAAGATTGAGGATGGTTTCCATCAGATAGAGCGATGAATGAACACAGTCAGCAGTCTGTCACTGTCCTCACCCTCATTCCTCCTTGTGTCCCCTGTTATCCCCGTTTCCTCTGCAGCTCGCTCCTGCTTCTGTTCAGGCCTGCATTAGAAATGAGTCACCTGAAACTACCTCCATGACTCCTACTGAATGGCTTATCACCTTCATATATAGCCTGTATATAGTCATATTTGTAACATGGATAGCAGAAATACACTGAGAGCTAAACATTTGTCTTCTACCCAAAATTCAACCTCTCTCTGTACGCTTACCTGTTCATGAAGCCAAATGTAAGACTTGAAAATATCTTCTCTTTCTCCATGTTAAACAATGTTACACAAACCACAAAACAGCAAACAGAGAAGTGACTTCTTCCTTTTGCATTTCCTCCGGCTAATGGAGGCCTCGCATCTCTACGTTAACTGCTGCGTGCGTGTGTAAGTGTGTAGACTATATCTTCATTATGGCTCTACATATGACAGCAGGTTTCCTTGGAGGCTGCAGGCCTGGAAACGAGGACTGCTATGTGGCCATTTGAATGAGAGAATCTGTGGTTTTTGATGTGTGGCAGTGATCATTTCTGAGTGTCTGGTTAAAAACCTTTTTAAAGTGTGCATGTGTGAGTATAGGTTTAGGATGTGCATCCAAATTTTAACTTTAAATACTCTGACATAGTAGGGTTTGTGCATAATTATGTTTGGGTACGTTGTCCTTCTATTTGCTGTAATATAGATGATCCTAACCAGTCCAGATGTGTCCCCCTCACTGATGGACTGTAAATCCAGGTCTAACCAGATGTGATTTTTGTACAATATTTGATGCAGGAATCAAAAATCTGACTTAAATATGATCAGCAAAGGCTAAATACAGATGAGTCCAGAGCATCACTCATTCTGCATCCCGATTCTGCTGTAGCTGTTTTCAGTCAGTTTAAGTCTGTCGTAATTCAATGCAACATTATTTGATTAGATTTTCTGTTCTTTTATTTTGCAGTTTTGATTTGATGAAATGGAATCCTTTTAAAGTAGAGTGGTTTCCTTTTCATTGAGGAGGAACAAAGTTGTTTGAAGGATGAGTGACTCTATTCTAGCTGCTTGAGGTGGGAATGAATTAAATCGTCTGTCTTTTAGCCCTTAGGCCAAACACCGACCCAAAGCTTTATCAGTTCTTTATTTCTGTGAAAGAAAAATGTTCTGATGTTGCTCCACCCTAGAGGCCAAGGCTGATGTATATTTGTCCAAAACTGCTACCCAGGAGGCTTTGCTGTCCTGCTTCTCATTTATCCGGTTGACAGCTGACTTGAAAGAGCCGTCTTATAAACCCTGTCTGGCACAGGTTATGTGTCTTTCTTTTTCATCACTGATGCTGCAGAGGAGTAACATTTTAAAAGCACATCAAAGTTCAAAAGGTCATGGTTAAAAGGAGCGGAGTCTGGAAAGTGACTCATCTGCTGACTAATGCTTTTTTGGTTCCTCTTTGAACCTCAGAAAGATGCCTAAAAGAGTGATCATCTAAATCTGAGCAAAATGAGAAGCTGTCTTTTAACGAATGATGTCAGGTTCAACAAATTCATGAATTCAAATGTTGATTCACACTCATGGCTCTTGTTGTGTGGTGGTTAAATGCCAATTTAACCAGAAACAGCCAACACACGAATAGGGATGGGCATCTCCAATAATCCCTACGTTCGAGTAATCAGTAGTAATAGTAATAATGCATCAAATTTCATAGAGCACGTTATCAGAGACCCTCAAAGCGCTTTACAGTGGATAACTCATTCATTCACTCACTCACACAGTCACACCCTGGTGGTGGTAAACTACCTGCCCTGGGGCAGACTGATGGAAACATGGCTGCCAATTCGCACCTATGGCCTCAGTGCTCACAATTATACACCAGTGGGGGACACACACTGGGAGCAAAGTGGATTAAGTGTCTTTCCCAAGGACACAACGGACAGACTCGGGATAGGGGGGAATCGAACTGCCAACCTTCCAGTTATTGGACTACCGCTCTACCTCCTGAGCTACCGCTGCCCCATCATATTACTGTATGAACGATAATCGAGTACTCACAATTCATATGTGTTTTCTTCGTTAGCTAAGTTTTCAGCGGTATGTCGTACTGTGTGTCTTAAGGACAGCAGTTTTCAAGTCCAAGTTATTAAAGAAAGACAAGTCATGGTAACGTTAGACTCCGTGGTATGACCCGTCCACGAGTCCACGGTGACAGTTACTTTGTACTTTTGGACAACACCTGCAAAAGTAGTTTAACAATACTTGAGAGTAACAATGAGTAATTGATTACTCAAGAATTCGTCCACACAACATTATATCCATTTTCAAACCACACCATGGTACAAGTTGCCATCTGTTATTTGAGCTTATTTACATTCTTGTTGTCAAGCGATTTAGAATCATGGCAGTAGATGTTACCAGAGCTACAGCGTCATCTAGAGGCAAGTGTCTGCACTACAGCTTAGACATATGGCTGACATTTCGGGGCTTCAGTAAGAAAAATATTATTTTTAATGACTAATTCGCGCAAGAGTGACTGTTGGTTAACTGGCTGCACATTTCTCTAGTTGCAGTTTTTATCTTTAGATGGGGAACAATTTTTTTAAGGGTAGAGCTTAGCTGTGGCTGAGGTGCTTTTAAAAAAAGTGGCAAAAATGTTGAGTTTCTGGCTCCTATATCTAAGAATTTTATCGTACAATGATTTAATCAGTGTTGCATAAAAACCTAATAATCCAATGTTTTCATTTGACTTTTTTTTCCACATAATCCACAAAACAATGGAAATAGCCGTAACGATTATTCTTGAGAAAACAATGTAATAATTCGGATTGTAAAGACTTGCCACATCTTTGTGATGTTGTGTATCTGGTCCAGCTTTGTGCGTAGGTTATATGGTGGATTAGAAGTGATTAAGAAATGAAAGGAGCCATTGTCCTGAGTTCAGACTCTCACATGCTGCACAATCGGGATCAGGAGGATGAGGAACGAGAGGAAGGAAGGATGAAAGGAGGTTGAAGTGTACAGTTTATGGAAGAGGAAACACAGTGAGTGAAAAAGGTGGAAGGATAGGAAGACAAACAAGGTGGTATGAAGGAGATTAAGAGGAAAAAGTCGCGATCGGGAAAAGGATCAGAAGAAAAAGTAATCCTCAGCCCAAGATTGAACTAGATGAGCTGAGAAAAAGAAAAAATGATATATGAAGGTGAAAGCTCACTGATCTGTGGGTTAATACATCAAACACACACACTCCCTACCAATGTCCATCCTGTCCTCCTCTTTTCTTTTGCAGTATCAGGTGGGCCAGCTCTACTCTGTGGCAGAGGCCAGTAAGAACGAAACAGGTGGCGGTGAAGGAGTAGAGGTGCTAAAAAACGAGCCCTACGAGAAAGATGGCGAGAAGGGACAGTACACACACAAAATCTACCATTTGCAGAGGTAAGTGCGTTTGTTAACTTGTTATTGTGGGGCATAAAGCTAAAAGCTAACAGTGCGGCTAACAACTGCAGTTGAAAAAGATTTATTAGCCTCTTAGCGAGTTAGCATTTTAGCACTTTGTGGTCACCTATTAGTTTTGAATGAGGGACTAATGTTTTTTTCTACATTATAAATTTAAAGCAGAGGTTTCTAACAAGAGGATTTTGAGTCTTCACAGGTTGCTATATTCTAGTTATTAGCAAAAATGCTGCTAGCTTGCTAACTTTAAGGAAAGCAGTATGTCAGCATTTTGTAATCATGGTTTAGTGCAGGGGTCGGCAACCTTAAACACTCAAAGAGCCACTTGGACCAGTTTCCCACAGAAAAGAAAACACAGGGAGCCACAAAACCTCTTTGACATCTAAAATGAAGATAACATTGTATATATCTTTTTTTTTTTTACCTTTATACAAAGTATATAAAAAACTGTAGCGAGTTGCATTTATGAAATAAATGAACTATTTCGGCGAGTGTCTGTCTTCTTCTGTAGTTAAACCGCAAGATATCAAATTCTACCCGGATACAGCAATGCTGCTTTTTGATTGGCTGTTCAGTAGATATACTTTATTTGATTGGCTTGTGCGTGGCACGCAGCTTCTGAACTCTCGGAGGAACTCAGTTGATTTCCCCCAGTTCCATAGTTGAAGAAGTGCAACTTGGTGGACATCACCGTGTTCATTTAAATGCGTGAGAAATACAATGTGTGGTGTGTGAGCGTGTGGGGAATGCGTGTGTCATACGCTGAATGCGTGAGACTTGAGAGCCCTGTGCTCACGCATCATCGATGTACTCCCGAGCCATGCAAAACGGTCTTTGCAAATGTTGCACTGAACGCCTTCCTTTTCAGTCTTGGTGAAGTTTTCCCACACCACTGATGTTTTAGGTCGGGATTTGGGTTGGGTTGTGTCCATGTTTTTCTCAGCCGCTGCCTCGGCCATGGCTGTTTCTTTTCTGTGCGTCCTGCTGATTTTTACACGCCGGTGTCCATGGACATATATAAAGACCCGACGAATCGATTACAGAATTTGTTGGCAACGGATTTTTTCGTCACGACGAATCTACTTAATCGATTCGTTGTTGCAGCCTTAATAGTTTATTTAATGTTACAAGAGCATTATAATCTTTGAATTTAGAATTACAAAAAAAAATAATAATAATACAATAAAATAAAATTCACTTAAGTATTTATTATTTATTTTCCAAATCCACTGGGAGCCGCAGCTTAGGGAAGAAAGAGCCGCATGCGGCTCCAGAGCCGCGGGTTGCCGACCCCTGGTTTAGTGTGTTAGTTGTCTTCCTGCTTCCAGTCTTAATGCAGAGCTAGACTAAGGAAATCACCTGCCAGGTCTAAGTTCATATTTTATCTGCAGTCGTGGCTGAAATATTCAAGTATGTTAAAAACAACGACTGCAGCACCACCATTAATTCCAGCTGACTTGTTTTCACCTCACTTTTTCTTGTAGTAAAGTGCCGTCATTCGTCAGAATGTTGGCTCCAGCCTCAGCTCTTAACATCCACGAGAAAGCCTGGAACGCATACCCCTACTGTCGCACAGGTAGCATACACAGACACACACACACACAGACATAGAGATACATGCACTAAAAAGAACAAGCCAGGACTTCTACAACACCTGTCTATATAGCTTTTTTTTTAAAGCGAACGAAAATTTCACATGGTCTTCCTTGGAAGTGTAAATACAGCCGAGCGTATTAACTTAGAGGTCACTCAGATGCTGATCTGTTGAGATCTGTTCTCTGGATACCTGTGTGCGCGTCTGTGTCTCTCTTTCTCCACCGCTCCGTCTCTCGGTATCTTTCAGCCTCTGTCACCTTGAAGGAGCTGTTGAATAATTAACTGTATGTCCAGTGAGGAGAGCCATGCAATCTCTCAAGTCTTTCAGGCTGGGATCATGCACGCACTGCTGGCAGACAGGCAGCCATCTTTCATACTAACACACAGCATAATATAATGCATGAGTCACACAAACACACACACAAACACACACATACACAACGTCCACAGACAAATACTGGAGCACAAATCTCCTTGAACATTCATTGTCCAGGAATATGAAAGCTATTTAATCTTGTATTTGTCCCTTAACTGCATTATTTTCTGTCCTCTCTGTTTGCTGCTGCTCTTTATTTCATGTGGCTCTGCAGTTATCACTGTAAGTATGAATATTTTTTTAACTTTGTAAATACAAATTCCGTGTATATTGACACATCAGACAAGCTTAACAAGGATGTCTATACAGCGAGCAAATTAACCTGAAAGTCGAGAAAGAAACGTGATCTGTTTCATGAACAGCAGCAGTAGAGCGACTCTGGGTTTGAGTGTGTGTGAGATCTGGGGACTGACTCCTGTCTATTGGACTGTATTGGTTTTAAACTTGTTAACATTATACTGCCCACTATTTTCTTTTAACCAAGAAATGTTTGTTTGTTTTTCTGCAGAATGAATATATGAAAGATAACTTCCTGATCAAGATTGAGACATGGCACAAACCTGACATGGGACACCTTGAAAATGTAATTGTTAAAGATTTCTGGAAGGGTATCTGTGTGCTCGAGCAGCATTTGAAGATGAAATTAAACAGTACATGAGGGAAACAAGAGCTTGTTTACACCTCTAATGCATAATTATGAATTCTGCTGTATCTCACACCTTGTTTGGTGTTTTTCTTCCATTTCCACTTCCTGTAGCTGTTATCTGTGTACCGCCAACATTTCCCTGCGCTTCAGCTTCTTTACTTGTCCGTAGAGCAGAAACTGCTCCATTAACTCTTATGCATGACATGGGAAAATAATCCCTCATTAATTAGCTCCCATAATTGCTTTTGAACAGTGCTTTAATAGATAAATGTTTGCATGATCCTAAAAATATCAAACTGCTTACTTGCAAAAAAAAGTAAAAGAAGGCTCCAGAGTGAAATGTGTCAATAATTTCCAAAAGACTTTCTTCATGGTTGATGTGATGGTAGTCTGCAGTCTAACACCGCTTTGTGTTTCTGCTTCAGGTACATGGTTTGGATGCTGAGACCTGGAAGAAGGTAGATGTAGTCTATATTGATATTGCCGACAGAAGCCAAGTGGAGATGAAGGTGAAAATGGGTTTCTCTGTATTCACATCTAAGTGCTCACAGTGACTGATCTCCATCAAATATCACTCCAGCTGTGTTGTTTAGCTTGATCTTGTCTATCTCTGTGCAGGACTACAAGCCAGAGGAGGATCCCTGCAGGTACAAATCAGTGAAAACAGGACGAGGCCCACTAGGACCAGACTGGAAGGTACAGAGTACGCTGTTAATGTCTCTGCTGATTCAGATACTTTCACAGCTGCTAAACAGGCCAACCTTCAACCATATCAGAGGTATAAATCATTGATGAGCAAAATAAAGAAAATACCGCCCATAGAGAAACCTGTTGCCTAGCAACAATAATGTTTATTCAGTGTTTAAATAGCTTGCACAATGGATAACAGTGTATAATAATCTGACCTTGAGGTTGTTTTATATAAACTGAATTCATATTTTCAACTTGGGAGGAGATGACACTTTCTCACATCCAATATTTAAATTTCAACTGCATATGTATCTGTAAATAATGGGATTTTAAAGGATACTAACAGATTAATCAATAAAACAGATGTAATTTTATTTGAATTGATCACTGGTTGTGGTGAGAAAGCATATTGAAACCCCCAATTACATTTCTAAATATTTAAAAGTTTAGATTTTTGTTTAGTTTTTGTTTATTCGGTCAAGGTTTAGCTGGGAGCTCACTCAGGAGGAGACCATTCAGCTCATCAATCTGGGAAAATAACTGTGTGTTTTCTCTGTGCGCTTGCAGAAAGAACTTCCAAACAAGAAAGACTGCCCACACATGTGTGCCTACAAACTGGTCACGGTTAAATTCAAGTGGTGGGGCCTGCAAAATAAAGTGGAGAACTTCATTCAAAAGGTTTGTTCATAGTTTATTTGGACTGTGGGGTATACAGCTGTCTGTCACTTCATGATTATCCACAGCATGTGGACAGCTATCTACGAGAGGATTACTGGCAACTAACTGTTTCACAGGATCTAACTAGTAAATGTTAATTTCCTCCCTGTCAAATGTGGTTGTTGTGTGTTTGTGTGAAATGTTGAGCCACTGTGTTTCATATCCTGCGAGGACTAACTGTCTTACACATCTTGTTAGCTTGCAAGAAGTAATAGTGGAAAATTACCACTCACTATGCTGTGTAGAGTAAATGGGCTGCACCAGCCTCTAGTGGATAAACAGGGAATTACACATCTAATCAAAGAGCTTTAACCCAACATCTGAATATTTGTCCAAATTTACTTGAAAAAGCAAAATTAATCAGTCTGTCTCTTTCGTTTCACAGCAAGAGAAGCGTTTGTTCACTAACTTCCACCGTCAGCTGTTCTGCTGGATCGACAAGTGGATCGATTTGAACATGGACGACATACGTCGCATGGAGGAGGAGACGCGCAAGGAGCTAGATGAGGTAAGCTAACGAAAAGCTCATTAGGATGTGGACAGAAACTGTGAGATCCTGAAAAATTATTTGTTCAAAAAGTACTTTATTTAGCAATTTAGCAATTTTAATGTAACATTTTTTATGTGTATTTCTTTTTCTCTTCATGTTCTTCAGATGAGAGTGAAGGACCCAGTGAAAGGGATGGTGGCTCTGGAGGACTGAGGTTGTGTTGGACCGTGAATGCTGCTGCTTATCAGGTGTGGTAGATACAAACATGATCAATGACATTTAAAAAGGGCATCATTTTCCTTTGACTATCAGTGTAAACAGACTATTTTAAACATGTTATCCTTATGTGTAACTTTCTTGAGCTGATGGATTACTGAGTCGTTTTTGGTCACTGTATTAAATGATCCGTTATCAATCAGTGATAAACTGTTTCAGCATTAATCTTATTCATCTGACAGGCACACTGGCATAGCAAATATAACGAACCAATCGTAACATGACAGTAAAATAATGTAAATTACAAGACATGGCAGCATCAAAATGCAAAGACTATAGACTTGTTTTATAAAAGTTTCAAATCTTGGAGTTGTTTGTCTGACTGGAATCCGTCACCTCTATTAAAATTTTGCTCACACCTTAAGAGCGATCAGGCATGTACATTCATACTTAGAAGCAGAAAAGAAAAATATTGAATCAATAACTGTTATTAGGTTGGAAACTGATCAATTGCCCACTTATTTTGCTGCAGCTGAGGCAGTTTGTCACCAAACTCAGACTATACAATCCATCTCACTCCTGCTACTTCTTCACAAGTTCCCTAATTTTCTCAGCTTTAAGTTGCAGAACATGACGTGTAACCACAAAGATCACATCTATTACTACTAGTTGCATCTGTACTCTACTGTATAGTGCTAAACAGGTAGCACACAGGGCGCCAACGAACATAACTTTGCTGGAGTGAAAATGAAGCTGATGACACAGTGAGGAAGCAATAAGCCGGGAAACCAAAGGAAAAGCTGAAGGAAGCTCAGAGACTTAAATGGATTTGCAGTATCTGTGATTTCACTATAATTGACACCTTTCAGATCAGTACAAAGATCTCTAAGACTATAAAGCTATGATGCAAGTTTAAAAAGAAAACCATTGATGTCAACATCAGTATCAACCTTCAAAAATCCAATAAAGGTCCGGCTTAGATTTTCGAGGAGCATGTCAATAGATAATCTCAAGGCTCCTTATCAAAAGATGGAGTCTGCCTCTTTTCACACTCTTTCCTCTTCTTGTCGCCTCCAGACCAGAGTACCCAGACACCAGCGGATTCACATCCTCCTCCTATTCCAACTGACAACATCTGACCGGCCGGTCCAACAAACCCCCCACCCGCCCACACCCATCCTAGAACAGTCTGGTTTTCAGGGACCTGGACCCAGTTAACTCCATCATAGCCCTCCTCCCCTGCCCACCCATCCATCTCTATTTGTTTCTCTCCATCCAGTGTCTCCATCTTGTAAGCTGCTCTGAGGCCTCCAGTAGCAACACTAGATCTCGTCAGTCAGTCAGTCAGTCAGTCCCTCCTCTCTCTCTCTCTCTTCCTCCTCTCTTTTTTCTCTCTCAGCCTCTGAACTGTTCTAAACTACAGAGAAAAGTGTTGTTTATCTCTGCAATTTAGGATTTATTTCTTTTCAAGGTATCCCACTGGTGTGTGTATATATACCGTATATCGGGAAACTGAAAATTGTATTGAAATATACAGTACAGTATAAATATATATAAATATAAATATATATAAACAGGGTTTTTAAAATGATTTTATCTGTAAGTTTGTCTGTGTTTTTTTCCAGATCAAGTTGTTCTGCTCAGTGTTGAGTTTTCCTGTGATTTCTCTTTCCTTTTTTGATTTGTCATTGTACCTCCTTCTCTACATTTGTGTCATGCGTTTATGCAGTGTTTCTTTCTGTTGGTCAAGTCCACAAACCATCAATGTTAGGTCAGGATAGTGCCGGCAGAGTCCGCTATACTCTAAACTGATCAAATAGGATTTTTTTCCTCCCCAAGTAGCTTTCCTAATACGTTGAAGCGTTCAATGGCTTTTCTGCTGCTTTGTGAGTTTGTGTGTGCTTCTTTTTGTGAGTATGTATAGGTGTGTGTGTTTGTGTAGCGTTGTAAGATTAACAAGGTTTCTAGTTTTTTGTTTTTTTTTAATTTTCTTTCACCTCATCATTTTTAGCTCTTTAAATTCACCTGGCTGTTTCAACAGACCGATTACAGTGCAGTAGTTGAACCAAGACATAGAGTAACGCACACACAGGTACATAAACAAAGACAGAGATAGTATACAGAAACACATAGAGGACCAGCCAGTAGTCAGTATGTCTTTTGTTTTTTTTCACATTTTCATCCTACTGAAAGATTCTTTATCATTGCAGTAATTTTTCCATACGCAGCCATCTCCTCCAGCTTGCTGTAGATAGATATAAATGGTTCTTTCAAAGTAAATCTGCGTCAGTTCTTGCCCTGTCACCCATCCCATCACCTCCAGTGGATAAATGGTCTTATCCAGCGATAGCAATAACTACCATGAAACGTTGGTCTCTCCTTTGTCATTGCCAGTCTATCATACGCTGCTGTTTATTCCTATCCTGAAAAACAGTTTTGGTTGAGTAATTGAACCCATGCTGAAAGTCAAGAATAGTGATATTGTTTATTTAGATATAAAGATGGTTATGTTGTGATTGTCTTTGGATTGTCCTGAAGTTGGACAGCCGTGATAGTGTACTTTTTGTTTGTTTTTCTGGTATATGCATGAGTGTAATGAGTGATGTACAGTGGCGTGTCTGTGGAGAGATCATGATGCTGGCTGGTAAAGTGGGTAGGAAATAATGAAGTTATAATAGCAGGCCCCTGAGCGTACTTCCTCTTGTTTGATGTCTGCCTGTCCTCGATTAATTCAATCATCCTCTGTTTACTTTCCAACCACCTCGGTTAAATGTGTGGAAACTTTAGAGAGCGAGCAACAGATCACGTGGAAAAAAGCTTATATAATAATATCTGATCCTCATGATCTAAAACTGCCACCACAGTAAATATATCATTAAATTTCTGCATTAAAAGCACTTGAAACACAAAGATATAAAATTAAAGGAGGGCCAAACTTGGTCACATATGGACAAAAAATATAAACTTTTTGTACTTTTAACTTAATATGCCTGGATTTAAAGAAATACAGTTCCAGTTTGCAAATGAAAATTTATTTATAATAATTTATGGTAGGTAATAAAAGTGGATCTTATTGGCTATACAAATATATGGATGTAAAAGACCATCTAAAGCTGCTCAGGGCACAAATGCTCAAGCTTATTACATTAGACATAAAGAAAAAATAACTTTTGTAATTTTGAAAATCAGTGCTCACCCATCTTATCACTCACTACTAAAAAGTGCTCATAACTATGAGCCACTTCCTGTTGCCTCCTCTTTAAAAAGAACATTGGTCTAACCCTCCCACCTTCCTCTGTGTTCATTCAGCATCTCACTTACTCACTGTCTGTCTGTGATGGGGCTACCAACTGAGTCATGGAGATCTGTGGATGTACTGTATGTATTGACTCTGTAAATAGTAAATAAAATTAATGTAGATGAACACATATATATATAGATCAGACTGTCCTGCCAAACCTACAGCACATCTTTCTTGACACTTGATCCTCCGATTCCATCGCTAAATATTCAGCATTACAAAGAAGTTGCTCTCACAGAGGTATTATATTGAGGAAAAGTAGAGTTAGATTTGCTGAAATTTAGTGCTGATAAGTCATTTTGAAAAATACTGTCATCTGTAGACATAAAAAAAATGTAAGTAGATGGGGGATAAATAATTAAAAAGCTAGGCAAAAACTCCCTGTTCACTATCTCCTCTCCTGCTCACATTCTTCCTTCTTCACAGGGACCACGTCTCATTGGCAGGGCAGTGCATAAATATATATTTTTGTTCTGAGTGTTGTTGTACCTCTGTTGTCAGTCTCTGAACTACACTCTCACTGAAAAGGAACATACAATGGCAGCTTGGGTCACTTCAGTGATCCCCATAATTAGCTGATAGTGTCAGCCTCGGTGCAGTGAAGCCTCAGTGGAGATTTTGCCCTCCTGAGCTTAGCGATGGGGGTTTCTGGAGAAATAATGTACGTTTGAGAGCAGCTTCAATCAGGCTGCCATTTTCCTCTGATGTGATACTCGTGGTGGGAATCCCAAATGCTGTTATAGTATAACTATGTTTCAGGTTGCTATTTAAATATCAGGAATCTGAGAAAATATTAACACTGCCTCTTCATTAACTCATGACTAAAAAGAACATAAATCATGAAAACAGCACCTTTTAGCATAATATGCTAATACCAACGGCTAACGTTAGCATTCAGCCAATTCCTTGCAAACATTACTTTAAGCTTGCTAACATTTTCGTTAGCTTGGAACTCAATTATTCTGTATCGTACTGTGTAAGACTATCAAACAGTAATGTTAGCTTGGACGTGTTTGAAAGCTCACTTTAGCCGTTGTTAGTGATCGCATCCAGCCAATTACCTGCTAACATTACCAGGAAACAAGAGGAGTAACATTTTAAGACTACAAAACTACTGTTATCAACCCTGTTTATGTTTTATCATGTATCATCGTTGTGAAGGTGTTTGAATGTTAACGTGATACGTACGTTACCCTCAAACAGATATCAGAAACCGTTTCTAACCTGTGCTAGTCCCTCCTGCCTTTGGTTTTATTGTCTTTTAAGTTGTTGAGCTGTTAGTGAATGATAACCATACGTCATGTTCTTTTTACTGATACAACTTGCAACCTAGAACAAAGAGGAGTAACATAACGTTTGCAGTACGGCTTTTTAGCGCTACACCCTGAGTATTAAGTCACTGGAAAATTGCCACCGCACAAATATAGTTGATTTTGGAAGGAAAAAAGTGGAGACAACTTTATATGGTTATTTGAAAACAGATACTGACATAGGTCCATTCAAACTTGTGAGAGAACATGATGTAACAGAGACAATCTCATAGATATCTGTTGTTAGATTCCTCGGTTTATAATCAGAATATGAAACCAAATGACTCTACAATCCCAAACTGTTTTTAAATCGTAAATCTCTCTTTCTCTCTGTCTCTCTCTTACTCTCTCTTTCTCTCACTCCTGTTAACTTGTCTTCTGTTTTTCTTTCTTTTATTGTGAATTTGTGCCTTTTTGTCATCTTATCTTCCAATAACACTACTGTACATTGGAGACGTAAAGAAATGAATAAAAAGAAGCAAAGCAACTGTAAGAAGTCTTTGATTTTTTTGTTTTACTATTTTGTATGTATATGTTATACACATGCAGTCAAAGTCAAAGGTAGACCAGGTTTGTAAAAAAAAAAAAAAGTACCCTTTAATTTTGTGCTAATTTTAGATGAAAGAGTTTTGTCCAAAGTCTATAAAGCAGTTCAATCAACTATAAACTGTAGAAATGTTATGTGCTGAACTATTTCTGTGTCTAGCATGTCCCAGTTTGTGGTTTCCCTCCCTTTTGATAAAATTTTATGCTTGGCTATATGTTTTGTGGCTCTAGCCTTATACTAGTGAGGCAGATGTAACAAACAAATCTCACCTTACTTTCAGCGTTCGAGCAAATAAGTAAACTTCTTCCCCACTGCTTTGAACAAATGTTCCTCCTGTGTTGCCTAGAACAACATGGAAAAGCTAAATTTAAAAGCTGGTTAGATTAAAGTAGGTTTAGCATTAGGCATGCTGTCGTAAGTTTTCATAGGTTATTGTTCTATTTTTAGACAAAGTAAATCATTATTTAAAAATAAACTGAATGGCATAGGCAAGTGAGATAGTCTTTATCAGGTACTTTGGCTCGGCTGCTGGTGTCTTTTCTTCTGGGTCTGTTTGAATGATCTTGCAGATTAAGATCATTTATGTAAAATAAAAATCTACCAACACATACAGTACTGTGCTATAATGATGAAGCTATTCAGCAGTAAACTCACTTTAAATGAGCTCCACTTTCACCGCCTACAACAGCTAGGAGCTGAGCTAACTACTGCATCAGTCGTTACAATTTAAAAGGATTATATATTATTCTGAAATGCAATTTTCCTTGTTTGCATTAAGTGCATTTTGTTTGTCTGGATTACATTAACCCGAATAAGATTTTAAATGCACGATTTACACTTTTAGAGTAATTTTCAATGTGGTATTGCGCTTTAAATTTTCGTGAAAAAAAATCGGAGGTACTGCTGTCAGTTACCACAAGTCGACTACAACATTGATACTGTTAAATCTTGTATATTGCCTTTTTAAGTTTCAGTTTTCATAAAATGTTTAAGACGTTTAAAGTTGAATGCAAATATCAGTTATCGTCTCGTGATCTCTGCCTATCAATACAACCACCACTATCAATATCTGCCATAGAAAATCAATAGTAGTAAATCTCTTGTTTTAATAGCATTTTAAACTACTTTTGCTCTAATTAGGCAGAGAGAAACAGCCAAAGAGAGACAGAAAATATGGCAAGCATGAAAAAAAGCAAATGCAGAGGCCATGAGACAAGTCATCTTGTGTGAGAGTTGAATCAGCCACTGTTACGACATGAACTGTAATCTCATCATGGGGCACATGTTTTAACCACTAGGCCAAACCAGCACCTCGGTTTCTGTCACTATCTGATTTCTAAGTGAAGTCATTCAAGTCAGAGTAACTCAGAGCTTGGTCCTAGTCCTTGAAGACAGTTCGATCTTGTTCGAAATGGTTTTAAGTATCTTGTAACAAAGGTCATGAGTTGCCTTTTTTATTTTTTATCCCACACGGATTACATCTTTAGTTTTGTCAATGCTTATAGGCCAAAGACTGAGTATAGGTTTCGCAGACTGGCAGACAGGTGACTTAGATGTTATCAAACATGCTATTATAAATATAAAAGCTAAAATTGTGGTCTGAAGCAGCAAAAGTGACTGAGTGTTTGCTGTAAGTGCAACTACACAGTTAAAAATATACACCATGAGTTCAAATCCAGGCTTTACATGCTTCTACAGGCCGTGCATCACCTCACACTTAGTTACCATGATAGATTTTTAAGAGTAAAATGAAAACATGCTTGAAAACCTCCCAAAAAAGCAAAGGTACTTCATCGGAATGTCATTGGCCTTTAGGGAGAAATTACAGATATTTCATGTAGTTTGATTAAAACAGCACAAATGAAAGCCCTAAGACATTCCACAAGCGTAGAAAGTAAAGGATTATTTAACATACAAAGACGGCTTTAGTACAACAAATGCCATGCGTCATGGTGACATTCAATAAACAGACATGTCCATTCATGAATAAGATAATACTCGCTCACCAGGTTATTAACCAACCTGGGATAATAGCTTGATCCGATGTTACGCTTTAAGTCCAGAGCAGATTGTGTGTGGGACAGAGGGGGAACAGCTGAGACCCAAAAGAGAAACTAACAGTTAAACAACGGGACTCACCGCGGGAAAGCAGTCTCTCGACTCTCCTTTGGAGAGCTTCGTCATCTGTGCACAGGGGGTCTGCAGCTTTTTCCAGACACCACGAGAGAGGCGCACAATAACAGGTAATGTAGATTATGGATTGTTAGACTTTTTCCCAGCAGCTACGTAATATAACAAAGACTTTGTAGATATTTGATTTAAAAGACTAATTATTTCACCCACAGCTTTTTGATTTAAATGATAGGTCAAAGATCATAACAAAACTAAAATTTCTCACACAAAAAGAAAAATACATTGAGGCTTGTTGCATTTGCAGGTCCCTCCATGTGTAAAATAATAGTAGCATCAAGACTGAAGGTCACACAAGAACATAGAACAGCCCAGCAGAGCTAACAGGGAGGCTGTGTGTTGAGGGTCAGATGTTACTATAATTGGGTATTTGCATTGTTTTAATATATTTTTGCATTATATAAAATGAATTTTTACGCTTAGTTTAGAACATTTAGTTTTGTTGTTGATCCTTTCAGCTTTGGATGCCTGTGTGATAAGAGGACAATAATTCCCGTTTCTTAATTCGTCTGGGAACGAGGGGTAATCTCATTCACTTATTTAAGTTGTAAAACTTTCAGACATGGTGTGTTATGAATAATGTGAAGACAGCCAGGTTCTGTCACAGTGCGCTTTTGGTTTAAGCTGCACAAATCAACACTTTTGTATCAATTTATCTGAAACTGTGCTGCTGTCTCCCCATTAGCTCAACAGAGACTTTTACCATGTTCAACTTCTTAATGTTGCTTTTGGTTTTAAGCATTATAGTTTCTACTGGCTGTCACAACCAAGACAACTGTAAAGTACCTTCCCAACATCAAACATCAGTTAACTCTAGCAGCTAATAAGAAGCTAAAGAGGCCAAGGAGTTAAAGCCTTTGTCCTTTAAGAAATGTCTGGAAACCAAAACAGGTACGGTGTGTAAATTAGACGACCATTAAAATAAATCATGGCAAGACTTGCTAGTTTTAGTGGCACATGTACAAACACATTAGCCAGAACATGATTCAAGGGAAAAACTTTGCTTATGCCAACAGAGACAGGAGTGAATTTAGTAACTTCACAAACAGAAAATCTTTGTCCATCACAGAAGAAACTCTAATTTCATCCACACAGGTGTCCAACTTTACATGGATCAAATGCCTCATCGAAAACACTTTCAGATGAGCATACCGTTTAATCATTTTGTACACACTTTCGTCATATTTATAATTTTACCTGTGACCTACATGGCACTGTCACTTTAACACGGATAGAGCCGACGGTGATTACACCTGATTACAAAGCCATTTCTGAAATGACTTTGAGGCATCAGCTTTAGGTCAGTTCTACCAGGACTGTGCTCCTGGTAAACCAGCTTTCGCAGAGGCAAAGTTTTTATTTAACTGTGTGTGTGTGTGTCATCTTTATGTGCCATCTGCTTAGGTTTATTTGTGTTTATGTGTTGCCACAGGAGAGACAATGAGCACTGGAAGAGTTCGAAGTGTGGGGAAGGACAAGTGCAGGTAAGATCAAAATCACATGGACCTCTTATCTAATTGTTCTCTCGTGTTTGGAACAGGGCGTAAAATAATCTCTGAGCAAAAGCACAGACTTCAGGCGTAGAAAGCACCTGTTCAGACTGGAAAGCACAGAAAAAAAAGAAGGTATTACCCTGCTCTGTGGAGTCTGGATTGCCTAACCTTCGTAAGTAGCTTTGCGACTGCTGGTTCTGAGTCCTACCTCGGCTCTGTGACAAAACTTAAATAGTTCTTTATTCATCTTTTCTCACTGGACCGGTGACCCTCCTTGGTTATCCACTTAACACTTCTGCTTGCTAAAGAATGCGCTCTAAGTCTCTGCATGTGACGCTGTTACATGAAGAGGCAGGGGGAAACGAGGCACTTAAGATTAGCTTTATTCAAATGTTCAAGTTATTGCATGAAAGACTTTTCTGGTTGTTTCCATCCCTGAAATTTCCTCTCCAACTCCCAGATCAGATTAAATGCTTCTGACCTTAGCAATAAAAATAGTAAATAAAAGCACCTACAGAGAACCATCAAATCCATTCTTCATCAAACTGAAGGCACTAAAGCTCAAGGATTTGGTCGACCTCAAAACAATTCAGATCATGTACGAAGCAAATCAGAATCAGTTACCACAGGGCATCCAAAAGTGATTTCAAATAAGAGAAAACAAACATAATCTCAGGGGAATATGCATTTTTAACAAACAATCTGTACGTACAAACACAAAAATGCACTGTATATCAGTCAAAGGAGTTAATCTGTGGAACAGCTGCAGCGAAGAAATGAAAACCTGCAGATTCAAACTTATTTTTATAAACCACATTCTGAGTGGATATAAGAGAGAAACAGAAACAACGTGCTTTTGTTTCTGATATATTTCCTTTCTTCTGTGCTGTTATTCCTACACATGCTCTGACTGATTAAATTATAGTAAGACAACAATAAAGGTGTAGGACTAGATAAGTTTTATCAACTTCATCCTTCACCATTTTGAACAAAGTATGATTATCTATGTTGCTCAAAGCCGTGTCTTTAATTGTTACCGGAGCACATTGTAAATTGTATTGATTTTGTTAGTTTTTTTTAACCTGTTTGAACAAACAAATAAACTCAAACTATTATGATCATTTTGTTTGAACAAGACCAAATAAAAACAGGATGTGAGAATGTAAAGTTAGAGTACTTTTACCTCTATAAAAATGTGAAGAGTATCTAAATACTAGCTTTTAGAGTACTTTACCCAAATAATCATAATAAATCAGATGTTCAGTGTAAATTAAATTGGCTTGTACTGCTGTAATACCATCTGGGACCAAACTTGGTATTTGTAATCTCACCACTTGTGCTTACAAAATCTCTAAACCATTAAGGTGTTTGAAAGAATGCGTCAGAGCTGCTGATTGCTTAATGTAGCCTATTATGTGCCTGCAAATCTTTTATGTAATGTCCACTTTTTCTGTGCTGTAACACTGTTAGGTAAAAGTGAGCTTTTCTTCCTAGAATTAAAAAATAATAATAAAACAACAGCACCAAAGCTGACTGCACTGTATGCAGCCCCTCACCTCTTTCATATATAACCTTTCACCTATATGAGATGAGGCTGGATTGAGGCCAAAAGAAGCTCATGCTTTAGTGCACTATTGTCTCAAATGTAGTGCATGAACGTTTGTGGAGGTTTGCATTCATTGTGCTCAGCTGATGGAGTGCCTGTATAGTAAACCTCTTAGGAAACTGTAGGGTTATTTAAGTCTTGCAACAATACTCACATAATGATGGAGGATCAGCCACCGGCCAGCCTCCTCTCCTCTCCATGCGAGTTCTTTCTCACGCACCAACACACACACATGTTCACATGCCCGTCTCCTGCCTGCGATTATAATCCAAATCTGACTCAATCATGCCCACATTCCTGAGTCGGCCCCGCAGCTTTGTCAGTCGTTGCTCTGTTGGTGCGTGACCACATGGGGCTGTGACACGGACATGGGCTGTAACAAACCGGAGCAGCAGACTCCTGGACTCTCGGTATTTGGAGAAACCTGAATCAGAAGCTGCCTGTGGGCACGTGCGGAGGGATTCGTACCAGGAGTCAGTTCATGTTACTGCAAGAGGCCTCCCATGGCTGCGACCAAAGACAACTGAGGAGAACTCCAGCAAATAGACTTATCCCCTCCACTGGACTTGTTTTTTTGGGGACATACAGGTAACACATTTTTTAAAGTTTAAACAACATGGAGGATTTTAACGATGGTCCACGGCTGCGCTCGGACAGCATGGGCAGCTCTGCGTCTCAGAGCTCCAGGTCCAAGACGCTCCTCCGGCAGCGGCTCAACCAGCTGCTCACCTGTATAGAGGACATGAGCTCTGACGACGAGGCCAGTGAGGAAGTTTCCCGCACTCTGGATGAGGCCTTTCAGCTGTGTGGGCGCTACTTCCCCTCAGACGCTTTCAGGTTGACATATCACATATCCTTATTCTTACATATTTACAGAGATACATACACAGGAGGTGTTCAAACTCTCTCAACCTACCGAAGATATAAGGCTAAGAGAAATAAGGTCCCGTAGAGAAAGACTCAAAAGGCTGAAATAGAAATGCAAAACCTGAGGAAATAAGTAAAGATGCAATAAATGTGGATTATGTCTTTTCCTTTAACTGTTTTTTCTTTTTTTTTTCTTTTAAATAAGGCTAAGTTCATTTTATAAAATTATTTAAATAACGACTTCTGTGTTTTAACCTCAGTAGGGGAGAGTAGGTTAAGTTGAGCCACTCCCCGTTGCTTGTAAATGGTTAAAGAGATTGATCATGTGACCAAATATTTAGGAGATGGGCACCAATTCATGGAGTCTGTGAAGGTTAGAAGCACATGGGTGAGGGTTAGACATTTATTTACAAAAAAAAAAATTCACTCTTGAAAGTGAATTTAATCTGTCATAAATTTTATTAGAATTGTGTTCAGACCAAAAAAGATCATTTTAAATTTGTTTTATACATCAATTGTGGTATCTATGAGCTACAACATGAGGTCAAAAACATAACATAAAGGTCCACCATTTCAGTTTAGAGGACTATAAAGTCACAATAGTAGTTCTGAGGTAAACTGAGCCAGTGGCTCAACTGAGAAAGTAAAAGAGTCTGATGAGAGAATCAGAGTTCAGTTCTCCCCTACAGTTTATTTTGAAATGATTTCAATTAAATGAATCAGATATGAAATTAAAGGCCATTGAAGCATAAAATAAATTTAGTCTGGCATTGTTAATTTATCCCAGGCTCATTTGACTCATAACACTGTGCTTAAACAATGATTTAAAATTAAAAATGTAAAAAAAATCTTCAAAGCTAGAGTCTTTATTTAAAGAAAAACTCACCATAAACCTGATTGTTTGATATTTGTTTTTAATTTGACTGATTTTTTTTGGTCTAACCCTCTGCCAGACTGCACATGGTGACCTGGAACGTTGCCACAGCAGAACCCCCTGAAGATGTCACCTCTTTGCTGCAGCTGGATGTACAGCCCCCCACAGACCTCTATGTGATCGGGTAAGAAGTAAAAACACACTGATGCTAGAGGTTAGACTGAAGGATCAAAGTGCCTCTTTTAATGATCTAGCAACATATGTCAGCCTGTTGGGTGTTACATTGTGTTGTGTTGGTGTGTGTGTCAGCCTGCAGGAGGTGAACGCTACACCTGTGAGGTTCATCTCTGATCTGCTGGTGGAGGACTCCTGGAGCCACCTCTTTATGGACACACTGGCACCCAGAGGCTTTGTCAAAGTAAGAGAGAAATGAGGGAGAAAAAGACTGCTGTAAACAGAGAGTTACATTTTTATGTCTGTTCTGTGTGGAGCGCCTGAAATAGACATATTATAGTTTAGTTAGGTAAACCAAAATATGTCTAAGAATTTATGGAGTTGCATGGCCTAAAAATGTCTAAGTACAATTTTTGGATATTGTGTAAATATTTTTTAAAACTTTTTGTTCAATTTGATTCTTAAATACATTTCATTTAAAGTTCCTGTCAGTTTTTTTTGATTTAGTGAAAAAAAAAAAATCATATTGATGCTTTTTCATGATATCCAATGGCAAACAAGACCATCAGCGACAAGATTAAAGATTTTTATATACTCATTTTAAAGGCCTCAAATCAATGCTGGGGGGTAGGTAACAGCCAAGCAGCTGAAACACTTTTCATTTAAAATATTGAGAAGAAATGCAACATTTGACTATCAATAATCAGCAGGATGAGATTTCTGTCTCTACTAAAACATGTTCAGGACATGAAAAGCAAAGACTACTTTGTCCACAGGGGTAAGTGGACACACACCAAAAGTCCCTTTAAAGGATCAAATTCAAGGACATGACTTTACTTTGGATAATGTTCATTTTAGATGGTGTATTTCCACACATTTTCTCTCAAGGACACATTTTCCTCAAGATTTGACCTCCTTTTGGATAAGTCTATATCACTCTACAGTAAATGTACTTAACAAAGGACATTACATTCATTTAACCTCTGTTATACTGCTGAAACACAACTTCTAAATAGGGGAAAGTCTGACAATGTTCAGATTTTTCAGACAAGATGTAAACACAACTACATTTTCTTTTTTGTTATTAAAGTTTTTATTTTTCCTTCTGAAAAACAGCATACAGATAGTATATCCAATGTAGTTTTACAAAATATACACACAACTACAACTACATTTTCTATTGATTTACACTATTTCTATCACTTATTAAAGCTACTGTGATAAACTTTTGATCTGGGCTGTTTTTTCTGGCTGCTTGGCTAATGCCTACCCCCCTTGCAGCGAATGCAGCCTTTAAAATGAACTCATCAATCTTGTCACTAACACTCTTGTTTGCTTCTTGGTATCATGAAAAGGCCGTTATATGAATTTAAGCTCATTCCAGAAAGATAAAAAAAACACCTTACGGGAGCTTTAAGTTGTGTATTTAAATCTTCTCAAAAAAATATTGTTAAATGTCACATGATGAAAAGGGAAAAATTGTCTGCAAAGATCAAATAAGCCTACTATATGAAATGAATGTTGAATAAAATCAGCCTCCATCTGTGTGCAGGTCACATCAGTGAGGATGCAAGGTTTGCTGCTACTGGTTTTTGCCAAACAGGCTCATCTCCCCTTCATCAGAAACATCCAGACCACCTACACTCGCACCGGCATCTTTGGCTACTGGGTAAGAAAGTCCAACAACAGACAACAGCACCACTAAACTGTGCACACCAGGAATTCCATTGACATCAGATGCTGTGGGGTATGAAAGGCCTGTTGTGTTTGAGAAGCGGAGTGTGTATGAGCTTTGATAGGATGAAAGTCCAGTAATGAACAGTGAAGCCAGTGAGGTTACAGTGGGACAAACACTTGCGAGTCAGATGGTTTAATTCTTAATGATGCAAACATTACATAAACATTTTTACTCTGGTTGAATGAAAGTTAATATCAATGTAGTTTTAGACTTCGAAGTTAGACGTTTAGACTAAGAATCCACAACTTTACATGTCTGCATTATTTATTCATTTTTTACACATTATTCGAATTGTTGTGCGTCTTTCACTTTACTCTTTCCCACCTTCTTTGTTTGTCTGCCTCAGGGAAATAAAGGTGGTGTGTCCATGCGTTTCTCCTTCTATGGTCACATGGTGTGCTTCCTAAACTGCCACCTCATGGCACACATGAACTACGCACTGCAGCGTGTTGATGAGTTTGAGTACATCCTGGACACACAAGAGTTTGACATCTTAGACACACCCTACGTCCGTGACCACAAGTCAGTATGTCCAAATGAACACAAAGTGCTCAATACAGATGCCATTGAAATATATGCAGCATTGGTTGTTGATTAGCAGCCGAAATAAAGCTCCATGTCCTTCACAGGGCGTTGTTCTGTTTGGGTGATCTGAACTTCCGTATCGCCGACCACGGTTTGCACTTCCTCCGCTCGTCCATCAACAGTGGACGTCTTCATTTGCTGTGGGAGAGGGACCAGGTGAGCTGTGTTAATAAGCACACACAGACACACATTTGCACCACCACTCTCACTCGCTAACATGTTTCATGGCTCTACAGCTCCTCATGATGAAGAAGAAAGAACCTTTCCTGCAGGAATTTGAGGAAGGGCCACTGAATTTCAAACCCACCTACAAGTTTGCCCGTAACTCTGATACCTATGACACCAGGTAACGTGTAACAAACAGTGTCTTTTACAGGAATATTCATCTCATTCCACAAACTCCACCTTATTTCTGTTTGGATTTTGCACAGCTCTCAGAAGACATGGTTGCATTTTAAGTAAGACACACTTGTTTTTTCTGTGTTGCATGCCCCACATTCCCTTATTTCCTAGTCACTGCACCATCTGTCCTTTTTCCTCAAGTGTTTGCCACCACTTCTTTAGCTCACACCCCAAAATAAACAAATGGGAACTCAGAGCATACATAGCTTAGTTTGGAGCAGCTCTTTCAGAGTCAAATCCAATCCTGACACCAGCACACGTGTGTGTGTCTCTCTCAGAAAGAGCACTTTGGCTCTGCCCCTAACCATGTACAGACCCAGACCCCTGCAGCGCTGCAGCACCACCCTCTTCTTCCTCCTCTCCTCCATCTCCTGGGGGATGCTCTCTTTCTGGTTGGGGGCTTGGTACAGGGAGCTAAACCCGCAAAGGTGGGTGTCTCCATTGATAAGCAGTAGGAATATGTTAGGGCCCTTTGTTGTAGAATAATCACCTGGAAGGTTATACACATATAACCTTTACATAGAAATAATGGAGACACATTAAATCAACAAGACTTCAAAGGTTTATTTAACACAATAATGTTGAACTGCAGTCACTCCCTCCTGCACACCCCTGTTGTTTGTCCCTGCATATTTAACATTATTATTGTTATAGCAAATGTGCTCATAGATAACACTTCAGTACCATCTCGAATGATACTGTTAACCCTAACATCCACTTTTTCTCCACAGCATGCTTCACTGTCACCTCAGCTCTGCACTGTATGTGCGTGTGCAACTAGTCTGTGTCCTTAAAGGGATATTCCAGCATAAAATTTATTTATTTATCTCTCAAGAGATGAATGTTGCCAACCGCTTGCTTTTCTAGTTATACCAACTTTAGTGACGACCGCACCATAGCAATACACAGCGGTGTGAGGAGCCATCAACAAACCTCAACCAAAATCCTACCCTATAGCCACAAATAATGCTCAGAACAGCACCTAACTTCATCAACAGTACATATAGAGTCCCAGCCATAGTACTAGCCACCAAACATCTTTTTAACTTTACCTAATTTCTTTAGCAAAGAGACTAAACACAACTCACCCACTCTCTTCCAGCAGCCGTTTATTTGTAGCAAGACCTCGGGCCAGTCCATTACAGACTACAGCGGGGTGACACAGTTCAAGGAAGAACATTTATGACCATTACTTTATCATTTCCTTGAAGTAGCAATCCCCATATCAATCAATTTTCAGCGCAGACGTGGTAGTTCTTCTGCCTCAGCGTCTCCATCTGATTGCATTTCCATGAAGAAATGATCATAAATGTTCTTCCTTGAGCTGCGTCACCCCACTGTAGTCTGTAATGGACTGGCCTAAGGTCTCTGTACAAACAAGCGGCTGCTGGAAGAGAGTGGGTGAGTTGTTTTTAGTCTCTTTGCTAAAGAAATCAGGCAAAGTTAAAAAGATGTTTGGTTGCTAGTGCTATGGCTAGGACCCTATATGTACTGTTGAAGTTTTATTCTAAGCAGTATTTGTGGCTATGGAGTGGCATTTTAGTTGAGGTTTGTGTGTGGCTCTCAGACCGCTGTGTATTGCTATCCTGTGGTCGTTACTAAAGTTGGTATAACTAGAGAAGCAAGCAGTCGGCAACATTCATCTCTCGAGGGGGTGTCTAACTCTGTGTTACGGTGTGTTTGAGCCTAAATTAATTTTACGCTGGATATTCCCTTTAAAGAGCATTGTGTCCAATAGTTACGTATGTTGTTACTATGGTTGGCATGGAATTGTGACCTGTCAGGTAAGCATTAGTAACAGAAAAGTTTGTTTTGAATATTGGAGATTGTTGAATTCTGTTTTCTTGTCTTTGCTCAGTGGCAAGAAGAGGAAACCTGCCTGGACTGACCGGATCCTCTGGCGTATCAAACCCAAAACTCCTCCATCAGAGAGTAATGATGATGATGATGAAAAGGCATCAACTTCTGCTGATGATGAAATCGATGAGTATCCACTCCTGGTCACTCAGGACAAATACACCAGTGACATGAGCTATGGAGTCAGTGACCACAAGCCTGTCATTGCAACCTTCAGTTTGGAGGTGAGAGCAGACTTACTGTAAGACACCAGGACCCACATATCGCCTTTCATTCCTTCAAAATAAGAGTTTGAACTTTGTCGTCAAAACTCATCCTCTTCTTTCATCTTGCAGCTGAGAAAGCACTTTGACACACCTTTGGTGCACATATCTCCTCTGGGTGTATGGAGCGCTGACCAGGATGCACTTCTTACTTATACAGTCCAAGAGGATTTTGAGTCCTCCACATGGGACTGGATTGGCCTGTACAAGGTATTTTTGTTGAAAATGAAGTAAAACAAACATACACAGTAGATGGATCCACACTCATTTTGTTGCTCTCTGCAGATGGGATTCAAGAGTGCATCTGATTATGAAACCTTTGTTTGGGTGAGAGAGGATGACTTGCCAGAGACAAATGAAGTCATACAGGTGATGTAAAAAAGAGGAAAATGTTTCATGTTTACACAAATACTCTAAAAATTTGATTTTAATGTCTTTGTGTGTGTGTTTGATGCAGATATCTGTGGATAAGAATCGCATCCCTCTGCTGGGAGGACAGTATGTTTTGGGCTACTTCAGTACAAACATGCAGAGCATCATTGGCCTCAGTGCTGACTTCCAGGTGACTCTTATAATCTCATATCTCATAACTCAAGCTGTGAGTTTCATCAGAATTAGCATACATCTTTTAACTGTTTTTTTCCAGCCAATAAGAATAAAGGCTTGACTAGCCAAAAAACAGTCATCTATCAAACCAGATAGTAAAAAGATGGCTGTTTCACCGAACATTTCTGCCACAGCTGAGTTTAATTCAATAAATTGTACAGATAAAAAGATGTTTATGGATGACAACTGAGTTTCTTTGGTGAAAAATCTCTCTTTGTTTCAACCTTTTAGATACTAGAGTCAAAGCGTGCTGTGATGGAAGGTCTCGTCCCTGAGAACGTCAACGGGCTCAACAAATAAAAATAAAATGAAGGCTGTGCCCCATCCGATTCATATTCTCGGGAAATCCTCCAGGAATTGATCCAGACTTTTAATATTTCCCAAGAGAAACTTTATCATTTAAGGTGGACAGGCTGAAAACAGCCACCACTCCATGCTGTTTTATTGGACTTGAACTGTATTTTTTTGTTTCAGACTTTGCCTTAAGAGTTCACATAAAGTTGAACTGGCTCTTACTGGAATAGTTTCCATACAGAGAAGGCTAATCACTATAATGAGTCTCTGTAAGCTTATCCACAAGCTTTTCCTGCCAGTTTGAGGAGAAAATACTGAGAAAAAAAATGAAATTAGTGGACATGCACTGCAGGTCAAAAAAGTCCTTGGTCAAGTTGTATTTGGAGATTATTTTACATGGTTTGTCTTTGTTTACAGATGATTGTACGATTCAAAGTATAGAAAAATCTATATTGATGCAGGACATCTAAGGTCAGGATGAGTAAAATGCAGCTCAGAAGTCTTGCTATGGATCATTTTTAACAACAATTGGACCCAATAGGGAGAAATTGAAAAATGTAATGTGGATTTTGAAGTAAACTACATTCATATATTATATTACTGTAGATATTCAAAATATGTATATGATTATATGAGCCTGGCAGGTACCATAAAGAACCTTAATGCAGTAGCAGAATCATAATGAGAACATATATTTGTAATGAAGTTGGATTAAAAATGCTTAATGATTTGTTATTGATTGATCTTGCTCGAAGCCTCTCAGCTGTAGCTCCTCAGATCAATGTGAAGCAAGCTCTTGTCATGTGGTTTGGAAAGTGATTATTGTTGTCAAAGAAGAACAAAGTGCCAGATTTCTGTGTTTTCTGACTCTGTGTGTGCATGTTAAAGTGAAAATGGATGTATTTAGTTGTCAGACTGATGAATTTATTGAAAAAGTAGCTACGTATCACCAGAACAGAATCTGTACGTAGGATAGGTAATAGCATTTTGTGTTTTATTGTTCAGATAAAATAAATATATTACAAACTGGACAAACAAACCTTTTGGTTTTTGTAACAAAAGTTTCTGACATCCAAATTAAAATAAAAAAGTCCTTTTTATTTATTTATTTGTTTGTCTGAACCCCATTAGCCTCCACAAGGTGGTTGCTAGTCTTCCTGGGGTCCAAAAACTTAAAATCACAATACAATTACATTTTAACAATTAATTATTAATAAATACAATTACAGATTCAATTCATGATTCTTCACAATGTTAAAACATTAAAATCACTCCAAAAGCTATGCTTTTATATTTCATTCATACATATAGTTTTGTTTTAAAGTCCTTTTAAAAAGAAAAGTACTGCTAATTTGCTTTGTGCTCCTAGGGAATTGATTCCACATTTTCATAACACTGTTCTCCTCATACAATTGGACTTTGAGAATGGAACAATTAAATGACCAGAGCTAACCTGCTGAGTGACATGTTGATGACAAAAGCCACCGAACACAAATTTGTCCACAAAGAAAGTTGGATACCCTCAGAATATGGCAGCATGCATATGGCAAAGAATATTTATATCTAGCTTGTTCCATACCTTCAACCACTCTAAGGTGGTGTGCATCTCATTCACATTTGTTCTAAGAACTGACAAGGGCTACCCTGGCAGCTCTATTCTGGGCAAGCTGCTGTATTTTCAAGCACCCCTGCCCTGTCCAACGCTGGACCAAATGACTGAGCAGTACTCCAGGTGTGACAAGACCAGGGACTGGACCACTGTTTTCATGACCGTGGGTGGAAAGTATGGTGCACACCAAATCTGAAAATGTATCCTTCCTAAAATATATATAATGTATTATGTGTACATTATGTATTATGACATGTATGTATAATGTATGAAATTTTGAAAAAAAAGATCAAACCTTAACGATCAACCATAATATAATTGTAAATACAATAAATTACAATACTATTTAGCATTTTACTAACTTGATATCACACTATATCATGACACACCCTATAATACTTTGACATAATCCTTGAACATAATATTTCTCTGTGGTATAGACGGTTCATATGTTTTACTTGAACAAGTTCTGCAACTATAATTTCTATAAAAAGTCTATTTTAGAAATAACTTGCACATAACTTCCATCAATATCATGAGGAGGACAGGTTGAATGTACGAAAAACAGCGTGCAGTGTCTTTAACTGCATCTCCCATAATTCCGTGCGCGACAGCGTTCACAGATGTGTCTGTTTGGAGTATCTCTCCTCTATACGCTCTTTGGTACTCTGCACGTGGGGAGTTTAGACACATTGATACAGCTCTAAAGGTAAGAATAACTCTATTATTGTCAAATATGATATCAAATATAGCCGGACGCAGTTGTATAATCTGTACAAATGTTACCGTGGTGTTATCGCCGGTTAAGGAAACGTTAGAAATGTTGTCTAGCAGCATGCTAGCAGAGTTAGCTTAGATAGCGTTCAGTTGACATGGGCTAGCCTCAACTCTTAACGGCTCATTCTAGCTTCGAGTTATATGGTTTGGTCCAAAAGTTGATTTTAATAGTGATAAAAGTTGCTTTACAACACACGACTTATTCTGTTCGCTTAGTTAACGAAGACGATCAAGCGTCATGGTAGTAGGTCCCAAGGATAGGTCTACTCAAATGTGTATGTATGTAATGATTTTGGCCCTGACATGTTTTTGTATGATAACTTAGGTAGATGTCTCACTGATGTTTGTGGATGTGAATCTATTAAAGGATGTCGACTGAGGACGTGGAGCGGCTGTTGATCCAGTTCCAGGACGAGGATGGGGAGGTCCTGGGTTCACCTTTTGATGTTCCTCTGGACATCACCCCAGACAAACTACAGCTGGTCTGCAATGCACTGCTACAGAAGGTGACATATAAAAATACAGGACTCATCTGGACTAGACTTAAAGGGATATTCAGGCGTAAAATTAATTTAGGGTCAAACACAGCACAACACTGTGTTAGACAACCCCTCGAGAGATGAATGTTGCTGACCGCTTGCTTCTCAAGTTATACCAGCTTTGGTAAGGACCGCATGATAGCAATAGACAGCGGTCTGAGGAGGGTCCTAACAACAGCACTAGCCAACAAACATGTTTTTAATTTTGCCTAATTTCTTTAGCAAAGAGACTAAACACGACTCACCTACTCTCTTCCAGCAGCCGCTTGTTTGTAACAAGGCCAGTCCATTTCGGACTACAGCGGGGTGACGCAGCTCAAGGAAGAACATTTATGATAATTTCTTCATGGAAATTCAAACAGAACAAGACATTAAGGCAGAAGAACTACAGCATCTGCAGTGCAAAATTATCATAAATGTTCTTCCTTGAGCTGCGTCACCCTGCTGCAGTCCATAATGAACTGGCCCGAGGTCTCGCTACAAACACGCGGCTGCTGAAAGGGAGTAGATTAGTTGTGTTTAGTCTCTTTGCGAAAGAAATCAGGCAAAGCTAAAAAGATGTTTGGTGGCTAGTGCTGTGGCTGGGACCCTACATGTACTGTTGATGAAGTTAGGTGCTGTTCTGAGCATTATTTGTGGCTCTTTGGTTGAGGTTTGTTTATGGCTCTTCAGATGGCTGTGTCTTGCTATCCTGCGGTCGTCACTAAAGTTGGTATAACTAGAGAAGCAAGCGGTCGGCAACATTCATCTCTCGAGGGGGTGTCTAACTCGGTGTTATGGTGTGTTTGACCCTAAATTAATTTTACACTGGAAAATCCCTTTTAAGTCAGTGTTTAGGAGCCGTTAAGTATTAAGTCTGTATGTGTCATGAGGTGTTATGGTTGCTGTGGTAACGTATGGGAGCTTGGGTCACGTGAGGCACGGGGTGAATGCCAGGTAGTTATGAAAAGATGTGGCTTACTACAGTCAGATGGAGAGAGGGGAGCGGGTTAGCTGTAATTTTTGTTGACCGCTTTGCTTCGCATCACATCACATCATATAGTATAGCATCACTCTGCTTTTGGTTTGCCCTTTGTTTGATCCTGCTGTATACCAAAAGGAGTCCTGTGTGTGTGACCGTATTAGCAGATGTATCATTAAACACAGTGAAAGTGCATTCTTAGCCTCATGCTTGTCTATGGATATAACGATAGCATGTCGGACAAATACTGGACCCACATTTTTCCTCTCAAGCAACAAGGTCGGTCTTTGGAGTTGCTACACAGTGTTAAGTCAGGATTTTGTGGCTCTCTAATGGTATATATTTGTATCAGTTTGAAATTTAATCTCAAACAGTTAGTATTACTTTGTTTCGCTGCAGGAGGAGCCAGTGCCACTTGCATTCTTTGTTCGGGGAGAGGCTGAGGTTGTGTCCAGTCTGGGGTCATGTGTGAAGGCTCTGGGAGTGGAGACAGAGCAGATCCTGCCGGTGGTGTACCAGCCTCAGGCTGTGTTCAGGGTCCGAGCTGTTTCCCGCTGCACCAGCACACTACAAGGGCACACAGAAGCAGTCATCTCCACTGCATTTAGCCCCACTGGCAAGTAAGTACCCCCAGAATGGAGACAATACATTTTCCCACTTTACAACAATCAGAAAGGAAGAAACTGAGCATTTTAAATATAAAAGCAAAGATTGTAAAAGCTGTTAATGAATGTGTTCTTGTGTGTTTCAGATATCTGGCCAGTGGTTCAGGTGATACCACAGTGCGTTTTTGGGACTTGATGACTGAGACGCCTCACCACACCGCCAGAGGTATAAAATCATGTTCGCAAATAAACATAATTTACAACACAGCCATTTCAATATGGCTAATCATTACTTTGCATCCCACTGAACTGAACTCTTTGTTTATTTCAGGACATACACACTGGGTACTTAGTATCGCTTGGTCACCTGATGGCAAGAAACTGGCTTCAGGGTGCAAGAACAGTCAGGTTTGCTTTAAACACATGCACACAAACCTGTCTGATCTGCAGTTTTTAGACAAATCCCATGAGCATTTTGTGTATGATTTTTGTGGTGTTGTGTTTGTAGATTTGCCTGTGGGATCCACAGACGGGTACGCAGATTGGAAAGACTTTGACTGGGCACACCAAATGGATCACTTGGCTCTGCTGGGAACCTCTTCACCTGTGAGTGATCGGTTCAGTACTTTTTTTTAACTTCTGTGATACCTTTATGTTCCCGCTGAACACAACAAAAGTACATGTTAGAAAAAAACATGATAACTGAATGTCTGATTGCTGCTTTGGGGTCCTGGCATTATTCATACAGGCGCAGTTTCACTCTTAATAGAATACAAAGGTAGTTAAATTATATGAAAGACCTTAAACCGTGACATGGAAGCTTTATCGCGTGATTGATTCTGAACTGGAAACTGTATTTTTTGAAGAAACGTCCCTCTGCTCTTCTCTTTCATCTTTCAGTAACCCCGAGTGTCGGTACTTAGCCAGTAGCTCTAAGGACGGCTCCATCCGAATCTGGGACACTGTGCTAGGACGCTGTGAGAAGATCCTGACCAGTCACACTCAGTCAGTCACTTGTGTCAAGTGGGGAGGAGACGGACTCCTCTACACATCCTCCCAGGACCGAACAGTCAAAGTGTGGAGGGCCAAAGATGTGAGTGTCTGTGGGGGTGGCTGAGATCTCCAGTGAAATGTTGAACTATCATATGAGCTGAAGAGAGGGAGGTGACCTTTTACAAAGAGCTATCCATCCTGGCTCCTCCACCATGCTTTCTCTTTTTGGTTACTTGTTTAGTGCATAATGTGGAGGCGGCTTTTCATATTTTGTGTTAGCTAATACTCAAAGGAAATACATCATGTGTCAACAACAGGGTGTCCAGTGCAGGACTCTCCAGGGGCATGCTCACTGGGTGAACACCCTGGCTCTCAGCACAGACTATGTCTTGCGAACTGGAGCTTTTGAACCTGCAACTGCAACCGTCAACCCCCAGGACCTCACTGGGTCATGTAAGTATCATGTAAACTTTGTTATAGTATGCCTTCTAGCGTCCAAAGGAGGCTTTTTTTTCTCGTATGATTAAAATAGTGTTTACATTTTATAAACTTCTGTGTTCCCAGTGGAGGAGCTGAAGGAGAGAGCTTTGCAGCGCTACAACAAAGTCCGGGTACGTACTGTTTAAGGTTTGAATTGATGTTATACAGCTTGTATTTATCTTTTGGATCGGTCGCTTTACTCTTGTTTTCATTTGCCACAGGGTCAGGCTCCAGAGCGTTTGGTGTCTGGCTCAGATGATTTCACTTTGTTCCTGTGGAATCCAGCAGAAGACAAGAAGCCTCTAGCCAGGATGACGGGCCACAGCGCTCTGGTCAATGAGGTGCTGTTCTCTCCTGACACACGACTCCTTGCCTCTGCTTCATTCGATAAATCCATCAAAATCTGGGACGGACGCACTGGAAAGTAAGAGAATACTGCAGCAAAGCTCTTCAGCTGATCTGGTAGATTAAGAATCAGTCCATGTGTAATACTGCTGTCATCCAGGTGATGGCGCAGCAGACATTCACATTGGGTCCGTTTCACGTAGGTGGTTCAACAAACTCTGAGTCAAATCATTAACTCTGAGTTGATCTACTCTGAGATAGGAAACTCTGAGTTTCCGGTTTCACAACACCTGATTTGAGTCAGTTTTAGTAACTCCAAGTAGTTTGACCTGGAGTTAAGCACGTGCACGCCAGACATAAACAGCCAGCATCTGTGGAGCCCAGATTCATTGATCAACCAATGGAAACAGGGAGAAGGAGGGGGCAGCAGCAAGCCAACGGCGAATTACAGCACGTTTTTAAAAGAAAGTGCAATACAGCAGCAGCTGCAAAGGAGAGGGAGAGGGCATGGGAGGAAATTGCTGCTCGCGTCAATGCGTAACTTTAAATCTAGTCTTGTGCAATCACAATGACAGACTATTGCAGGGGAAACTGCTTGCATGGAGCAAATTAATTTATTTTATGTAGGTGCAATCCAGCGGGACAAAAACGCACTTGGCAGCAGCTGAAAATTAAATATAAAAACATTGTGCAAACAGGTGAGACATCGGCATTTTCTCATTTTGATCATGTTTTACATTGTCAAGTAAGTATTAAGTGGCAGTTTGATCCCTTAAAAATGCTCTTTTCACACTCAAAAATGAGTTTTACTCTGTTATGATGTTCTGTTAAATGATAAGGAATATTAAACTAACACAGACTTTCACTCAGCAAACAGAAAGAGGGCAGATGCCAGAAAAACGGGTTTAACGGAGGCAGAGGTGCCCCCCCCCCCCCCCCCACACACACACACACACACACACACCAGTCCGACGACGATCGCTGGGGGGGGGGCTACTCCACCTCCGTTAAAGGTGGGGCTGCTGGCCCATCACCCGTTTTCTGGCATCTGCCCTCTTTCTGTTTGCTGAGTCAAAGTCTGTGTTAGTTTAATATTCCTAATCATTTAACGGAACACAATAAGAGAGTAAAACTCATTTTTGAGTGTGAAAAGAGCATTTTTTAAGGGATCAAACTGCCACTTAATACTTCCTTGACAATGTAAAACATGATCAAAATTAGAAAATGCCGATGTCTCACCTGAAACTCTGGGTTTACTGAGTTAAACCTGCTCCCGAGCAGGTTAGGTTCACGGAGTCTGTTACTATGGTAACTGACCGCGAGGTTGAGTTACCTCTCTTTGTGAAACAGGTTAGAGTTACCCCTCTCTCTCTGGTTTAACTGACCCTCCTTTGTGAAACGGAAAACTCAGAGTTTCCCTGATTTCAGGGTTAACAGACTCTGAGTTTCCATTAAACCTGCTACGTGAAACGGACCCATTGTGTATTCATGTCTGCCTGCTTTTCCTCTCTTGAATAGGTACCTGATGTCCCTGCGTGGACATGTGGGGTCTGTGTATCAGGTGGCATGGTCTGCGGACAGTAGACTGCTGGTCAGTGGCAGCAGCGACAGCACACTGAAAGTTTGGGACATGAAGACGGGAAAGCTGAACATGGATCTGCCGGGCCACGCTGATGAGGTGAGAGAGGGAAACTGCTTCTGCTGCCTGATAGTCCCTTTTTTCTCTACCAGTGTCTATAAATAACTAGCTTGCTGTGTTTCTAGGTCTATGCAGTGGACTGGAGTCCAGACGGACAAAGAGTGGCCAGTGGCGGGAAAGACAAATGTCTCAGGATGTGAGTCAAGAGTAAAAAAAAAAGCATCTTTACCCAACATTAAAAAAAGGTTCTACACAGGTGAACTGAATTCTTAGTGTTTCCTCACACCTTACTATTTGATGTTGTGTTATATTTACAGATGGAGAAGGTAACCTCACCTGTGCTCCCTGACCTGACTTTTGCTGAGGACTTCAAATCCTCTACCTTTGAGAGACCTGACAGCTGGAGGAAAGGTGGCTAGACTGAACCTAATCCTATATTTGGCTGTGATACCCATGGTTCAAGGAACTACGTGTGGTCATAATGCCATTGGTTTGAAAACCCTTCCAATATTGACAGTGTAAATCAGTAAAGGCTTCTTTTTACTGAGCTGAAGTTTTCACCAACACAAAGGACAGTGTCATGTATATGACATAAGCCTGCATGAATACACATGGGCCTAGACCTTAGGCCGTGTCCATAGTTATACTGAAGTTTCAAACAATATATCCATATACTTTATGGAAGTACATTAAAACTAGAATATTTAAATGACTGCCTACATAATACTGTCTAAATTACTAAAACCAGATCCAACCAGCATTGGAATGATGCATTTCCCAGCATCCTCTGCTTCGCCCTAAGCCTTAGGTTGTTAGATGAATGGCAGACTGTTGGTGACAGGTGCACCTAGGAGGTCAACAGGTGGGCACACTAATACCTTTCCTCAGTGATGTCTGTGTTGACCTCGCTCGCCCTGCAACTTCAGCTTTTAATCTGCTTGTTCCTATCAGCAGAAGCCTCTGACGGCCAGTTTGTTTTTTCAGCACACGCTGAAGCCGAACGTCAACAACCCTGAGCTGTTGACGTCTTCTCTAATCAAAATAAGCAGTTCTGAATTCCTGTATATACCTGGCTTTGTAAATATTTATTCTGAATAAATACTTACATTACTGTTTTAACCAAAAACTGTACAATGACATTTATTTATCTAGCAGGTCTTAGTTATTAATTTTTGATTGCTTGGCAGACGATTGCATATCCCTGAGCTGATGGTTTAAAATCTTGACTGTATGGTTGGTAATGACAAATATATATTTCCAACAAATATATATGTATACAAATACAAATTTTATATAAATATATATTTTTTGTAATCAGAAATTAGGCTCCTATAAAAAAATTATACAAACTCTAACATGTGCTGCTCTGTTTTTTAGATCATCAAACCTCATTCATTGTGAATTTTGAAGATTGTCAATCTTCTCCATACGAGTTTATCTGACGTAACTAGGCCTGTCGCGATAATCAATAAATCGCCTTATCGCTCGATAAATAAAAACGAGGTCGGTCATTTTGCCAGCCTCGATAATTGACGTGCGTCCTCTCTCGCTACTAAACACGCTGGATGAGAGAAGAGGTCTCACTCTGCGCATTTTTCTCGGCACCTGGGGGCGTTGGCTCTATAGCGGAATGAACGGAGTTAGTGAACCCTCCTGTCAGTCATTCAGTGTCTTTGTTACGAGGGGACACAGACTTTTGGTTACAGTGCTGCAAGTGAGCGTCGTGAGTGAAAAGCAAGCAAACAGAATGAACACGACAGCTTTGGTGTCTAAACCGAACGCAACAGCCCAAGTGTGGGAATATTTCGGCTTTAAACCAGTTTTGTTTTCATCAACCACAAAACTCCACGTGTGTGCGCGCGCGCGTGTGTCTGTGTGTTGGAGGAGCACAGCAGGCTGATGAGAGCTGTCAGAGCGGACCTAAGCTGCTCCTATATGTTTAGCGTTTAACTGACTGAGTTTTGCAACTCTGTTCGTCATTTTCGTCTCGTCCCATCAACGTAAACGCACTTTCGTCTCGTCACATTTTAGTCATCACCGACTTATGTTTAGCTCGTCAACGTTACGTCTTCGTCGTGGGTGAAATTAAAGTTTATCACTTTTGACAAGGTCTACTCGCATTATTATGCCATTTAATATCATTATCTATAATTTAAAAAACGGTGTCAATAATATCGTTTATCGGCAATAATTTGTAGCACAATTATCGTCCAGCAAAATTTGTTATCGTGACAGGCCTAGACGTAACACATTGCCAGAGACAAACCGATCAGATTTATAAATCACAAGTTTATTGAAACAATGTCATGTCCACATGTTTCATCAGGGGTTCCCACATCTGCTCGGACGAAATGTTTTCTGACAAACCAACATGTTTGAGTTTTTCCGACACAAACTCTTCCATTAATATCAATGATGACTTCATATCTGATATGCTGTATTAGGTACACATGATGTTGTTGGCCTGTCTCTGAAAAGCAGCAAAGCGTAAATACAGTTATACAATAATAAAAATGTTTTCCAGTTAATGAAAACCAAACAGTAACAAATAGCAGTGAAACAATACTCTAGCTCTTGTTTGAAATGTAACAAAGATCTGCTCCTATCGGGGATATTACATGAGAGATTCTGCAGTAGTTTGGCAAAAAGGAGTAAAAGGCTTCTGTGCAAGGCTGAATGGTGCCACTAGGTCTATCAAACCGCCTTGCCTTATCACGATCACATACTTTATCGAGCCTCTGACACATTAACTGTCCGTGTAATATCTTTCAGCACATGTAAACACTATAGTAGACAAAAAGAGTGCAATCAATGAGAGCTAAACAACATGTTCATTAGTGAGCATACAAAAAGCAGGTTAGCTTGAGGTAAAAAAAAAACATTAAGGTGACGATACCTGACTAAAGGAGAGTCTGTTGGATGAATTATAAAAGGAGCACAAGGAAATAAAATGTTTCTGAAGAGTTGAAATCATGTTTTTTCATCTGTAAGGGTCTGAAATACCCAAGTACTCCACCTAATATTCCCTATAAAGCTGTAGATTCTCCACCTCTTATACCCCCCCCCCCCAGTTGCATATGATTTTCTTCCCTACGGTTCCTGTACTAATTTCCTGTAATTAACTGACCCACCTCCTAATCGCAAGACTACATGTGAAATTGTGCTACATATATTTTGGTCTCCTAAAATATGTGCATATGTTTGTATCATAACAACTAATGCTATTCTGGGGTTAGTCTGTGAAGCAGTCTGCAGTAGAGGAACAGACTTGACCAGTTTGTAGCCTCAAAACAAAAGTTTCTTTCGGTTAAACAAGATACATCGAACAGAATACAGCCTTGCTCTGTTGTCAATAAAAATGCAAATGCACAATGCAAGCTATCCGAAGCCCATGAGCACGACCCAGCGAGGAAACACTGTAAATGTTTTGGTTAGATGAAGCTGCGAAAACAGTCATTGAAGCTTTTACTACAACACCGATGTGTGTTTAAGCACTGCAGCCTGTTTACATCTGCTGGTCTATGCTCTGTATCAAGTTCTCAGTAAATCAAAGACACATTTATGGTTTGATACTACGTCTTCACTCTACAAACAGGTATCACAACCAGAGTCATGAAAAGCTAAAACACCAGTTACATGTAATATCCCTTTTTAACCTGCTAAATTAATCCCTTCTTCTTTCTGTGTAATTCTAAACTTTGGTAACCAATAAGTGTGCTCTTCTCTAAATACACTATTTTATCTGGTCATAAGACTCAAAACAGTCTACGACTTTGGTCAGATGAACAGGGTAACGCATCATGACAATGCTTCATTCGCCTTTTTTTCAATTCCTCGGTATAAAACAATCTGTCATGGTTCCAAAGCCTCATCTAAAAACTGCTCTCACAAATTGTCTTCTTGTCTTTTTCTGCTGCGTTGTTCGGACCGTGACGACTTTATATTCAAACTAGTAAAGATTACGCATCCTCTGCTCAGGGAATCGCAGAGAGCCAGTGTGAAATAGGATAGAGGTGTTGAGTTGTGCGTAGCATGAGGCACTGGTCTGTGCTTTCCTCTGGACCTCTGCCCTCCCCCGAAGCCATTGGGTCTACTGGGTCTTCCACACATTGTTGAGAAGTTTGACCACCTCCTCATAGATAACAAAGACTATAGCCACATCCAAGCAAACCCGGCCGAGCCTGGGAACAGTTCCTTTGTAAAACCTGCGGGACAAAGAAGAAGAGATCAGAGGAAATGGTTGATAACAGAGCAGCATACAGCACGCATCAGGAGAAGGATCAGGACCACTCACGCTTGCGGTCCTTCCTGCTTCAAGATCTGGAAGGCACAGTCCACTGTGTTTTTATAGCGATGCGCCTCCAAACCCTACAAGAAAATACACAGTCCTTAAAACTTGAAAGACCCAAGAAGAGTAAACAAGCCATTATGTTGAGTCTCCCACCTGCATCCGTGTCTTTACTACATCCAGAGGTGTATTTCCAAAGACACTTGCAGCTCCAGCTGTTGCACCAAACATCGCCGTGACGATTGGGTGCATTTCTTTTCTAGGGTCGTCACCTAGAGACAAAATCGAAAAGTTGGATGAACTGTAACTGTGATTCCTAAAAAAAATCTGATATTCTTTGGAAATGAGTCAGATTTCTCACCTTTGTACCAATTCCGCAGCAGGTTCATCACATAGAAGCGGATCGCCTGATTGGTCCCTTGTTTCAGCACTGTGGCGGTTAAACCTTGATACGTCCCCCTCACGCCTGAGAGAATCAAACAGAATTTGTTGACGAACACGAACAGATTAAATTAGAGCGACTTCCACCATGTGGATCCATGAATCTCTCTTACCCTGTTCTCTGATAATCTCACTGACGCCATGGAAGAATCCTCTATAACGAGGTCTGAGGGAACACTGGTCATGGATCAGCTTCACCTGGAGGATGTTGAGGATTTAGTCAGTGCGCTGTTCATTCAGATTAAGCAAAAAAATGTGCTAATGCATCAACCAATAGACCTTGAGAGTCTCCATTGGACACACAATCACAATGGCTTCAGCGATACCAGCTCCTAGACCGCACAGGAGGCTACGTGTGTTGTCTAGTCGACCCGTTGCATCTCGCATCGGGTTGCTGAGCATCTCAAATGTTCCGAACCTGCAAGAGATGGGAGACAGTGTTAGGGAAGTGAAACAAAGGGGATGGATTCTTTTGAAATTCATGGTTAGTTCAACGACAAAACTTCAATTTACTGTGTCCAAACATTACTCATTTGAATCATCATTAAAGTCATTGTTTGCAGTAATAACAAATCGAACTAACTATTATTTTAAGAAGCCTTAACTCATCTTTAAAGACCTAACTGAACTTTCTGAACTACTTCAGCTAGCTAGCCAAACTAGAAAAGGCATTTAATGAAACTACCTTGATGACTCATAAGCATTATGATCATATTAATACTGGGAAGTAAGGTATTGATTGATTTGGTTATTTTGAATATGCAAACCAAAAATATAAAAAATAAAACATTTAAACATAAACCACAGAAATACATATTTGAAAAGGAGTGAGAGGAAGAATAACTTATGAACTCCCACCCCTTCCCTTTAAATAATAACTACCCACAACAAGCTTCCTTGCAATTTGTTTAGATGAACCTGATACTTATAGATGAATAAAGTACATTCATGACTGTTATAAAATAAAATCAATATCCACTTAATACAGCACACACATAAAAACAACACAACAAAATAAAACATAAAACAAACAATAATCTCATAACATTAAGTGCTACCCAACCCCTTCCTTATCCCTGTACCTCTTAAAAACAGTGTCTTTATACCTCATTTTAAACTGTGTCATGTTTGAACATTGCTTTCACTCCATGGAAACCTGTTCTATAGTCTCACCCCACTCAGTGAAACACAAAAACCCCTCCTCTTTGTCCGAATCAAAGTTAATCTTTTCCCTTAAATAACAACTTCCCTTGCGCATACTAAATGATTTCTGTATATTTATTGGTAGATGACTATTTTTAGCTTTAAACATTATTCCAGCTGTTCGATACTCCACAATGCCAGTGAATTTTACCAACTTGGACAGCAGAAATAAGAAGTGTGTGTGTTCCTGATAGCCAACATTGTGTGTAACTTGTATTGCTCTTTTTTGAATGGTGGTTCGTGGCTGTAATGATGTTTTATAGTTGTTGCCCCAAACCTCAGCACAGTATTGGAAGTATAGTGAGATTAGGGAACAGTAAAGAGTGTGAAGTGATTTCTGATCCAAAACCTTTTTTGCTTTGTTTATTATTGCAATGCTAAAATTAAAATCAAATCAGTAAATTAAATTATGTTTGCCAGGAAAGTCAATAAGTGAAGACATGAATCAGCATGTTGTTGGGAAAGGAGAAATCTCTGCTGTAATCCCCAAATGCGGCTACTTTTTTAAATACAGAAAATGATGAGTCATTCCTTTGACTGCTAAATATCAAATTCACACCCCAGCCCTACAATAATGAAAGGAAACAAATGGATACACACAGCAACTGCTCTCATCTGTTGCAGCTCCATGCTGATTCAGTCTCCTGGTAATAAATGTATTTGTGTGATTGTTTGAGAGCTGTAAATTATGTATGCATTGTCACCTCACTGCAGACTTGGGTATCGATCCATAAAGCAGGGAGCTGAGACCTCGATACAACCCTCTGAGCCCGTGATCCTGCACAGTCAACTTCACGCAGTCACCTGCACATACACAGACACACACAGAGCATCAGGGAGTTAGTAACCCACTAGAGGCCCTGGCACACAAACCTGCACTCCGTCATACATGTCCCAGTGACCTACCGATCCCTCTGTACCGTGGTGGGTTGGCTCTCTCGTCTAGCTGTAGCTGGGTTTTTACGTACTCTGTTGGAAAGGTAATACAAATCTCAATTCCTCCTGCGATGCCTCCTAAAGGAAAGGAGAAGGAAAGGAGAGAAACGTCAGTCAGGATTTGTTGACTCATTGTGCACAACTCCTCTTGGATGATCTGGGAACAAGAACTAGTTTGCTTTGACAGGATCATAGATAGAAGGTGGATAAAGTGCAGTGAGGTGTTAAATCTAGATCAATACTTGGTGTTTTAATTAAATGCTAATGTGAAATGTGAAAATGCAGCGTCTGGAAAACTGAAGATCCACTTCAGAAGTCTTACTGCATCATTATACACATTCAAAAACAGCTATCCCAATTGATCAAGATGAATATTAACCGAGTATTACATGAGAAATAAAGGAAAATCAACATGCAATTCCAAGCACTGCTGTAGCATCACTGCTGGCTCAGTGACCCAGTTCTGCATGGACAGCCTTAATGGGCGACAGATTGAGATTAGGCAGTGATGTGCAGAAAGCAATACAAGCCTACGCAGGGAGAATCTGCAAGGTCTAAAAAATCGCTTTGCTCAATCCACCTGCAAGGATAGCCTTTCCAGGATGCGTTATTTTCCTCCCTCCGACTGCGGCCGCCGCCAGGTTTCTCCTCGCCGCGTACGACCGCCGGTGATCCGACAGAGAGCCCAGACCCGCGGCGGCCAGACGGCTGGATGAAGGCAGTTGATGGGGGGTAGAGCTCGGTGATCCCCTCCTCGCACCGGAGCTCTCACACGGCCCCTCACGTACCGAAAACGGCTTTGGCAGTGAGGACATTTCGCTTGTAGGAATGTGTCGTTGTTGTGTGGATGATCTCAGCCAGACAATGTCACACAAAAACAACACAGAGAGGACGGCCAATGTGGTGGCAGAGGGAGGGAGCATCAATATTCAAATAGCGGTCAGGTGATGGAGCAGGCGATTGGCTGCTCATGCTGCCTAATGTCATTACTCATGTCACGTGACCAGGCATGATTGTTGGTGACCAATAGCGTGGGAGAGGATGTTTTACGGATGTGTAAAGGCTAATTTCTGGGTTGAGTCTGTCAGCTGTTGTGATAATCCACAACAATAAACCTTTTTCTCCTCAAATGCCTTTAATCTGACCATCCTATGTTAGTTTATACCAGCATATAAGAGTAGACAATCTCTTAAAGTAATAGTAATGTAGATTGAGAAACCTATAGTCTTGTGTTTTCCAAATGACTTGAGTTGCTAGATAGATAGATAGATAGATAGATAGATAGATAGATAGATAGATAGATAGATAGATAGATAGATAGATAGATAGATAGATGACAAATTAAAGTAGTTTTATTTTATTTTTCTTAACTGTGCAATGTCCAAAGGGAGGGTGAAAAAGTGCCATGAGGGGACCATATAAAAAATGCAACAAAAATAACTGAAATTACGCATTCATGAACAAAAAATTCTGTAAAAATATATATATATTTAGAAACAGTGAACTTAGTTTCTTTTCCACCCATTCCTGGGGCATGTGAGTCTGGTGAAGACTCAAGATGCTTGGCACAATAACAGCTGCAGGAGAGAGAACCAAAATATGGCATATTTTGAGTGAGTAAAAATGACCAGCTGACTGAAATAGTTCTTATCACCATATGAATTCCCTTGAAAATCACTACTTTGTGATACTTATTCATAACCACTGCGCTAAATAAAGATAGCATGCAAATTCCAAGACCACTACCACTGACCTTATTCGCCTACATGCAGTTATCAAATCAACCAAAACATACTTTACTCTCTATCACTATTGCTGGGTGAAAACCACCTGAACACATGTCTGTAGGAAAAGGGTTTTGGTTCAGGGAAACAAATATGCCTTCAAAGATGTCAAAGGCAATGCTGAAGCTACCCAGAGACCCATGATGCTCAGACAAACGCAACATAATGAGAATCCCCTAAACATGTTTGGTTGGGTGAAAATCACCTGGCGATGGTGTTCTGGGGTTAAGGCAACATATTGCCATCATACGCATATTTTCAGGCTTTATATGAGGTGCAATAACATTGGAATGATTACTATTATAATGGGATATTATAATGGGACAAAACACCCCATTAATGATGGGACAAAGAAACCATTGTGTGGGCCTGGCCAGTGCGTCTGGTGCAACACTATCAGGAGTTTGCCATATTACTGTTGCCTCTTAAGCCTTGTTGCCTTAAATAGTCCTCTCGCCATGCCAGAGCAAACACACACTCTCACACGACACACACACACACACACACACACACACACACACACACACACACACTGCCTTCACAGATTCCCCTTTACAATCAAACTGGGTCAGTGTTTCTGCTCACAGCCCCTAACCCCCGTTGAGGACAAATTCAGACACACAGAGGGTCATGAGTGTCAGAGTCAAAGCTAAACTGACCAGTTATTATACATGAGGTTCATTGATTTGCACAAGCAGACATAGTCTAATGCTGATATTTTATTTTGTAGGTGTCCACAGCCCCCTTCATACGAGATCGTATGAGGGGTCAACTCTGGCAGAAAAGTCCAGTTCAGGAGGGAGCTGCGGGTAAGAGGACATAATTTCCTCAAGCTGTTCTTCCCCTTCTTCAGTGTTTCCGTTCAGAGAGTAGATTCTTACCTGGGGGAAATGATCAACACAAGTATAACCTCAAAGTAAATGTTAACAGTGTAAATGCTTTTTCAGGAGGAATGGGTCTTTTTTTTTTCTTACAATAATCTTATTGAGAAGGCGCCTTCTGGTCAGTCGGATGTGCAGCAGCCTCGCCACAGTGCTGATGTCTAAGAAAGCCCAGACTCTTAAGTCCTGAAGACACTCACACAGTTCGACCAGCTGCAGCAGCTCCTCATCCAGGGGTTCACTGCAGTTGCTCAGATCAAGGGTCAAATACTATAGGCAGAACAGATAAAGGTTACCGAAAACATGCTAAAACATGAATGTACCATTTGTACTGAAATTCATTATTTTCTTCATTAAATTGTGACATGTGGACTTAGATATTCATTAATATTCAGGAAAACTGTCCCTATCTTCAACAAAAACAAACAAAATGCTGCACATGTACAATGCAATAGCTAACCTAGTTTACAACCGCCAAGATGTTGGCCATCAAATCTTATTCTGAACTCTTTGAGAATAGTTATAAGGAGAACTTAGTCAAACTTGTAACTCCAGATCTCAGCTAATCTAAACCAATCATGCAAAAAGCCTTGAATTCAGTGTAACCCTGCTTTTCTACACTTTCTGCCTGTTGGCAAGCTGTTTCCTTTGCACTCTGACCTGCAGACTGCGTCTGTACTGAGGCAGCAGGTCAAGTAGGACAGGCCTAGCACTCCATTCGCTATCAATAGAATAGAAAGCTGTCATGGTGAATCCTGTCAGGGGAATCTCAGGCAGCAGGAATCGTGCAAGGCGGTTAGTGTCGATGATCTGGTCCACATCGAACCTGACCTTTAGCCCCGGGCAGGTTGAGGCCAAAGATGTCCATGAGCTGCCTGACACCGTCTGTAAAGAGGAAATTAAGGTTAAAAAGTTTTGCTGATCCAAAATGAGAGCTGTCTGAAAACAGGAAGTCTGAAAAATCTTTTGGTTGATTGATTGAATGATAAGCTACATATGATACAATGAAAAATGTTTGAACCTTGGGGTGTCCTTTTGTAAAAACATCATATTTAATTAGCTTGATTATGTTCTGCTCAAAACAACACTGTAATCCTATCAAACCATGTTGCAGGCAGCATCGTTTAAACGAATCGTGTCCTAGCTAACATCACTGTTATCTTATCATTAATCTCTGCTATTGATAAACTTACCATATAACACATACAACAATAAAGCACAGTAGTCAACTAGCTAGACAGTGGGGTTTTGCCATCACACTACATGTTGGCATCAAACTGTTTCTTAGCTGATTTAAACATTCACTGAAAATCTCGCCTTCCCTAAAATAAATAACACTATCAAACAGTATTCAATACTTTATAAACTGATGGGGAAGCTGCTAAGAAATACTTTTAAATAACAGTTGCAAAAATGGTTGATACATGGTGATGGAGTATGATGGTTTTAAGTGTTTCTTGTTGCCAGTGGTACTTTTTTTTTCTTGCTTACATGTTCATGGTGCTCATTCCAACTGCAACGCAGGGCCAGTGTGTGCAGTGGGCCCCTATCTCTACTTGGTTGCTGGTTCTGTCTATGCGGTCTATACTGGAGAGCAGCTAGCAGCTGATCTGACAGACAAGAGTAACTCAAGCTCAGGTTAGTGAGACTCTTTAGATGGCCCAAGAAGTGGGGGATATGGAAGTTTGAGTGGACATGCACCGAGCTGGAAAAAAACTTTGTTAAGTCCAACGTTGAGATGAAGTTCTGGGGTGAGAGACGCGTCTGTGAATATACCAGTGCAGAAAGCAGGTCCAGACCCTGATTGAAGAGGAAAATGAACAGAACTTTAAGCATAGTCTGAATGATTTTCTCAGTGTAGAAATGCTTTAGAGTATAAAGTCACACTCTTTATCATGGGGATGTAAAGTGGTTGAAATCAACATGCCGACCTTCCCTTTAGTTGATAACTAAGCTCTTTGTCCTAAGCCACAGCCAGACCAATAATCTGAAATCAAGTGTTTTCTAATCTTAACTCAAATTTTAATCCATTTCACATCAGATGCCAATTTACTAAAAAATGATTGAGGCTAAACTTGGTTGGAAATAAATGCCTGCTGATTAAAATGCCTTTGTTCAAATCTTTAACGAGTTAAGTCAATTACTCTTTTGCTCTTTTAGAGTTTTATGGCTCAGCCAGTGCATAGTGATACCTTAAACACTTGGAGTCCTAACAATAAGGCATACTCTTCATCATACACCCAGCAGAATCATTTACTGGTTTTCAACTTTGCAAACACTATTTATGCTGTTAATACTTCATCAAAAATCTAATCACAGTGGGGTTTCTAACAGCATTTCCCCAGAATCTCATGAACTGTGAATAATGAATGAGTCAGCAGTAGTGCTGTCAGTCACTGGCAAAGGGATACTGGAAAAAGATGAAGTTATTAGTGGCACTGATAAGACTGCCCACTTGAAGATTCAGTGTCAGGGTCCATTCGTTATATACTGACCAACTCTACCTGCCTAACTTTGAGATTTGACTTCTTTGCGTGTTTTTTTCTAGTCCTATTAGGAAGCCCCAGTGACTTATCTACACATGTACTATTCTTAAGTGGTGTTTTACTTACATGAGCCAGGTTGTTTTGCATCCCATACAGACAAACAGATGTAAGACTTAATCCCCCTCTGCGAAAAAAGGCAACCAAGTTGTTGACTATAGAGGCCCTTTGACTTGAGGTCCATTGGGTCTTGTCCAACTCCAGCTTTATAATGTACATGGTGTGGAGTGGGGCCCTTACTCTGTCAAAATAGTTTAAACAAGAGGAAAAGATTCATTTGGATGCTGAATTATTCAAATGAAGACACTTAGACAAGCCTCTAGAAAACCATTGTTTACCTTGTCAGCTCAGACAACAGCCCACTGATGGTCTGCTCCAGCCGCCGAGCCATCATGGGCTTGCGCGGAGGAACCACCCACACCTCCATTGTCTGCAGGTAGACCCCTAAACTGCGGGCATAGGGCACAGCAAGGCTGTACTCAGAGGGCCTGTGTCTGGAATGGCGACCAGTGAAGTTGAAGTAGCGAGAGCGCCACAAAGATGGGGAGCGCATGACATGGTGCCAGTGACGACAAGTCAGCTGTGCACTCCGACGATCTCGGTCCTCTAGAAACTCAAAGATATGTCTAAGGCACATATCAAGAAGAGACCCCCAACCCACTTCCTGCTCTGAGCTATCCCTCTGATCTTCATCAGGCGGGTCGGAGCTGTCCCTTTCAAATTCTTCTTCTCTGTCACTTTGAAAAATGTCAATCTCCTTATCCATTTTTCTTCTTTTGTTTGCAGTATCACAGACAAGTGTGTTTGTGGAGAGTGTACAGCTGGATTTGAAGAGAGGTGTGTGTTAGTTTCTGCAGCCCAGTGCAGTTAAGCAGTCAGATAGTAAATGACCACGGGGGAAGATCTGACCTCAGGGTTGTACTGGCCAGTTCTCAGTTCCGTTGTTCTCATTCAAAATTCTTCATCTGCACAGCATTGTGTATCCATTCAAACTCCTATATGTAAATGGCAAATATCAAAACACACAAAATCACAGAAAAGTGCATACGACTGGTTCAATTTTCTCATTAGACACCATTTGTGGAAAGTGTAAGAATACTAGCCTGGCTGGGTCATCCTGTTGAGTGAATCAGTTGATGTTCCTTCCCACCACAGCCTAGACTTCGGCCCATAGAGAGCGTGTATTCCCGATCAGAAAATAACCGTGTTTCCACTGTTACCCGGACAACAGGGAAAGGCAGCCCCTGATTGTTCCATGTGCAGTGGTGACGTCTAACATATGCTGCGGGACTTTTCAAAGCTCCCCACTGAGCAAAAGACATATATTAGACGTCTAGTCTAATTTTATACTTCATTTCAACGTCGGGATTCGGTCTATCTTTAGACGTGATTTATACTTCGCCCTCAGCTTCATTTTTCGATAACTTTTTATGAAATAAACAACTGTAATGTGCATAACTGACCTCTAAATACTGGAATACATTCCTTATGATACCGTGGAGAGAAATGCAGCGTGGTATAGATGTAGACGTCATTTACATGTATAAATGTATACTTCATTTCAACGTCGGGATTCGTTTTTTTTTTTTTTTTTTTTTTTTTGACGTGATTTAGACGTCAAAATTTATACGTCATTTCAACGTCTACATATAGACCGAATCTAGACAATCGATTTTAATCCACGATTCAACAGTTGATTATTTAAAATGATAACTGAACGTTGCAGAACTGATATCAATCTATGGGACTACTACATAGACTGTATACCCCGGAGCGTGACCAGTGTTTTCGCCATATCCGGTCAAAACGTATATACGGCAAAAAAAAACCCAACAACGTCGGATCTTAAAGCCTGCGTCCTGCTGAGCACTCGACAACAAAGTTGGTCGCTGAAATTCAATTTAATTATTAGATTTCATGTGTTTTATCCGTCTCGGTAACGCCGGCTGCCGCCGTGACAATAATCTAGCCACCTTATTGGTGGAGCACGCTCACGTGACCGACCGTGCAACCACTTCGAGTAGATTCTGATTCCGCCAAGAGCGAAGTAGTCCGTGATAAAAGTTATCGGAATAGCCGCAATACTTCGAGATTAGCGACAAAAAAAGTATTTGGTAGCTCTGCAAGAGCCCATTTTAACACCCGTTTGTAGATCGTACCATAATCGGACCATAACATGAAAACGGCTTCAAATTGTGGACCGCACAACATCCGGCTGAAGCATTGCGCTTTGTCCATACTCGACCTCACGACCGTCGGACTACACCAGAAGTTCCAGGCATTCCAGAGTTCGAGAGTTATACTTTCTGCTGAAAAGAGGTGGGTGCTGAAGCAGATATTATAAAAAATGTTTATTTTTGCAAGCTTTGGTCCTCCCACCGTCGTGCATCATGATGCGTGACGGTGAAATGCATTTACAGCAAATGTTAAACTCGAGTTCGCATGTAGCCTGGTTGCTACTACGAGGGCTAGCTTGTGGCTAATTTAGCCTGCGTGGGCCCAACATAATCAAATAGTCCATGCTAACGTGTGTTGTCGTGAAAGTAAATAAGGGCCTGCTCTCTCTGTTGGAGCCAAGATTAAAAGCTGCTAGTTAGGCTATCCATTAGGGGTGGAACGGTTCACAAAATCCACGGTTCGGTTCGTATCACGGTTTTGTGGTCACGGTTTTCGGTTCGGTTCAGTATACATTGACTGTTACAAAAATCAATTGCGTCTTGTATAGTAAACTGAAAGAATGAGGCAGTCTGACATTCAATACATCATTGTGACAGTCTTAGGTTAAAAGGTAGGTCAGATTCTGGCAGTGCAAGAGAGGAGACATAGTTCCAACATGCTTTACATTTATTTGGCAAAGGATATCTCTATCTATCTAAACAAAAAGTAAAATGGCTCTTATAGCTCTGACCCTTGAATTAGTGCATACAAAAGAATTTAACTTTACTATTTTACAAACAACATTATATATATATTAATGAAATAAATAATCCAAATTAAGAGGTCATCAATATAAAATGCAGCATAAACCAAATTTAACAGATCCTGTGCTCTCCTGCACTCTCTCACACAACTCTGCTCATTGTATTATCATGTTCTTCTGCAAGAAGATCAGTTTGTCCACATTCTCTGCCAAGAGACGAGATCTACTTGCAGTGACAATGTCCCCTCATCTCCCACTCTGAGGTAATGTAATGGACAGTCACAGTCAGGAAACTTTCAGTTGCCCTGGAGGTCCATCCATCGGTAGTAAGAGCAACATAGGCTGTGTCAGACAGTTCTTTCACAATTCCCCGTCGGATCTTTTCATAAAGTGCGGGAATTACCGTGCCGCTGAAGTGTTTGCGAGAGGGGCTCTTATATCGTGGCTCGAGCGCCTTTATCATGCACTGAAGTCCCGCACCCTCAACCACGGCGTAAGGTTGCATATCTTTGGCGATGAAACACCCCAGTGCCTTTGTTATGCCCTTCGCCCTGTCCGACTTGTCATTGTACGGCTGTTTAAAAGCTGCGGGGAGAAGTTGTGCAGCCTTGCCCCTCCTTGCGCTGTCAACAGCCACACTGGGATGACGTCTCCGTAAATGAACTGACATGTTAGATGTGTTCCCGTTAGCATAAGCAATGCGTGTTGCTAGTGCTGGACGATAATTCGATAACAATATATATCGATCGATAGACGTGTGGTGCGATAGAAAAAAAACGGGTCGATAAAAAGTTCGATAGAAAAACACAGTTTCCCTTTCTTTTTCATCATAGCCTATCATGTAGCTTTTTACTACAGTCATTACTTCCTCCCAACCAATCACAAACGCAGACCCAGGTACGCTACGGCACCAAGCCCAGCCCCTATCAAACCACAACAGACAGCACGTGTATTAGAAAAAATGAGACAGCAAGGAGAAGCGGAGGACATTGTCCCGAAAAAAGGTTTCAGTAGTTCACCAGCATGGCAGTGTTTTGGTTTTTAGAAGTCTGACAAAAAGCGAACAGCGGTCGTTTGCAAAATTTGCAGAAAATTAGTAAAAACGAAGTCTGGTAACACAACCAACTTGTTTTACCATCTAAACCGATCGCACCCGCTGGAGTACGAGCTGTGTCGGCCGCGCCGCGGCTCCACGTCATCGTCGGAGGAATCCTCTGGAACCGCTGCCAGCACCAGCACAAAGCATGTGAAGCAGACCAAACTGGACTTCGTTTCTTAACAAAAATACGACAAAGCGTCCGAGCGGCATAAGGACATCACCCATGCAGTAACATGCTGCATAGCGAGGGACATACTGCCAATAACTACCGTTGAAAAGCCTGGCTTCGACCAGCTTCTAGCCACTCTCGACCCGCGATATGAAGTGCCCGGCCGCAAGTATTTCTCAAACACAGCGCTTCAGGCATGAAAATGGGTCAGGGGTTGAAAAGGTGAGAAGGGTGCGGAGGAAATACGTTCCGGTGTAGCTTCTTAAAGTGGAAGAAAATGAGCTCATATTTTACAAAGACGCGAGTATTTGGATCATGGCTACTAGCAGGGGGTGCATTCGGCAGGGGTGCATTCTACGACACAACACCGGCGTGGATAAGTCCTGCTTCTCGTGCTTAGTTTGTGTCAATCACATGATAATTAAAAAAAATAAATCTCCCGACCCCGGGAGAAATATTTCAGTGTTCAGACACCAGGCTGTGGGCAGTTTCCCACACAGGTAAAACTGGTAGTATGCTATTCCCACCTAAAGCTATTCTGTTTATTTATATACTTATTTTCATCAAAAGACTATTTAAATATTTATTTATCAGATTTTCTGGTCACTTTAGTCTTTATGTTTGTCAGTATTTACTGACGTCACTCAGGCCACTTAAGTTGATTTCTTTTTTTTTTTAAGTTCTTTTTTAAAAAACTTTCAGTTGTGGTAAAATAAAAAAGGTGGTTGAATAAAGGTTTGAATTTGAATTCAGTGCTTGTGTGTTCTTTATTAAAAATAGGTCATTAAGCAATAGCATAAAACATCCAGGGCTGCAATTAAAATATATGTTAAATAATTATAACAATTATATCGATAATTATCGATATCGATCAATATGATTTATTTTTTATCGATATGCTTTTTTTCTATATCGTCCAGGCCTACGTGTTGCACAGTACTTGCACACCGTCGCACTTTTATCCACAACTTTCTTACCGCCTTCATAGTTCACCCTGAACGCAAAATGCTCCCATACACCAGACCTATATAAAGCTGGTGGCGCATCCTCGAGCCCCGAGTCTTCTCCGCTCGCCATGTTCACAGCTCCTCTACAACTAATTTCCGGGACACACCTGTAGTTGCGCATGTGTATGACCCGAACGGGATGCAAGCGAACCGGACCGGGACGGTCAAACCGAACGGTTCAGTTCGGTTTCTTAAACCGTTCCATCCCTACTATCCATTAGAAAATGAAGTCTATTTTGGTGCCAGTACTGTTGTTTTTGTTTATCCAGTGTTATTTTTTTATATAGTTAAATTTGTGTTTAACTGTAATTGTCATAAATGTTTTTTTCACTATGTGTGGTAGAAATGGGACCCATTAGTTGAATTTTTCCAATATTATTTGGTTAGTGCATTAGCAGTGCTATAGGAAATGCTAATAGTAAAAATCTAAAAGTACTGGTATTGACATATTTTTTTTATCAAGAGCAAAAGGTATTCATTATGCAGTATGACCTGCTTCACAAGTTGCCAATTGTACTAAAAAAACAAACAAAACAATTTTATAATGGTTGATCTACAAGCTCACACTGTTATTAACATTATTATTTTTCTTTCTTTTTTCCATGTGTTTTCTCTCCAGCAATATTGAATATGGCCTCTAATTGTTTGAAAGAGCGGCGGAGAAAAAGAGCTAGGGAGGATGATTTCTTATATGAATTTAGCAGTGATGAGGATGTGTCACAGGAGGACACACAAGAGGAGGGTCTGGCAAGTCAATCTGGCCAGTTAACAGACAACACTTCAGGAAGTACTTCTTTCAATACAACCTTGAAGGAAGAGCCTGATAATCAAGAGGACTACGGTCATAGTGAACATCCAGACGCAAGTGATAAAGAAACCGAGCTTGTTGACTTGGAATCCCAAATCAAAGATGAACCGTCAAGCCTAAGAGAGGATGTGGCAGCTTGGGCTGTAGAAACAAAGCAGACTCACAGTAGTGTTAATAAGATGTTGGCGATCCTCCGCAAACATGGCCACAATTTGCCCGAAGATGTCAGCACACTATTGCAGACTCCGTGTGTTGTGGACAGTAAAAAAGGTAAGAGTGTCATAACTAAAGTACAAAATGTTATGTAATGTATTTTAATTATTGAAATGAATGTTACTAAATCATATCTTTTCACTAAGACTTCCAGCGGATGGTCGTGGAAACACTTTTGGAAATCCGCCATGAATTGAAATCGCTCAACCAGCAGGGGGACATTGAAGATGAGGGTGAGCGGATACGTCAGTTGCCGTTAAGGACTTTGGAGGAGGCTCAGCGCATGTCGTTGGAAATCGATTGGCACCCCAACATAAAACGTTCACTGGTAAGTCAAATAGAGATGCTAAAAATTATACAAATCTATACATTAGACACTCTTGATAATTTGATTATATCATACAGATAAAACAACTGTCACGCCTTGGAGGGAAGGACATTAAGACCTGCACACGCAGGATCCTGGACAGGTATGAATATGAATACTTGAAAATGAATGCAAGACAATATTATGGTCAATGTCATTAATATAATCATGTATTGTTGGTGTTTATCAAGTCTTTCTAGTGAATTGCAAGAGTACGCAGTATAAAGGTGCATTCACACAGGCACTTGCGCAACGGCGGCAAGGGTTTCTCTGACGTTTTAGGGACTTGTTCAGCAAGTAAAGAGCAGCACTAGACACGGTATCCGACAAGATCGAGGGAAAACCTAGAGTGGGCATGACGTAATGCGCAACGCAAATGACGGTGGCAAAGTGACACATTTAAGGACACGCGACGCAATGGCCCCTCGAGACGTGACAAGTTGAGTCGCCTGTCCGATGTGAACGCACCTTAAGAGATTTATTTGTCTTTGATATCCATTTCAGAATTTTACACAATGACGTGCAGAGGAAGTACAACCTCCTGGGTGGAGGACGCCAGGGGAAAAAAAGCTTAAAGGAAACTGCTTTCTTCACAGTTGTTCTTGGTAAATGAATTATATCTCTGCAAGTTATTACTTACTCTTGGTCATGTTACTGTTTTAAAGCCTGAAGCTGTAAAAAAGTGAAGAATCCTTCCAGACAATACTAGATAATTTCTACACTAACTATGATTCACGTTTCTTTTGTTTTTTTTTCTTTTCGCAGAGTCTGTTCGCACTAACTTCCCGACAGCAACAGAGGAACTGGTCGCAGCATCGATTGGGGACCATTTGAAACAGGCACCAGCTCGATGTGGTGGGAGGGGCACCACCAGAACACCACCCTGCTAATTTTAAAAAATATATATATCAGCGGATTTAGACCAGATGTCTAATAAACGTTTAATCAACGTCTATGTCTATACCTGGGTTTATAATTGGTAGAAGCATGAACGTCTAACATAAAGACGTTTAAATGAAAACGTCTATTTGATGTCATTTCAACATTATAGACGGAACAATTTATGAACAAACATGTTTAAACGTATAAATCAAAACGTTTAAACAACATTTAAATTTCGACGCTGAAAAAACGTTCATTTCTATACCTCTGTTATACCAAATTTAGACTAGACGTATATTACACGTATAATCAACCTCAAAATGCTCGCTGGGTCCGTTCATTCAGAACGCCGTTAATTCTGCAGTTGACTCTGCAAAGTCAGCAGAAATTGTTTATATCCACAGAAGACGGCGGATATAAACGATTTGTTGCCCTGTTGTCCGGGTAACAGTGGAAACACGGTCTCTGATTGGCCCGGTTATTTTCTGATCGGGAATACACGCTCTCTATGGTCCGAAGTCCAGACTGTTGTGGGAAGGAACATCAAGTGATTCACGCAACAGGATGGCTCAGCCAGGCTATAAGAATATAGGGAGACTAGGCTTAATAAAAATAAGGAAATAATGTTAAATGCTGTTGACCTCTGAAGTGACCTTAAAGGGGACAAGCAGACAATAATAATAGATGGTTTGCTTGGAAATAAATGAATTCATAAAAAAATGAATCCTGATATTTTTGTATTTCTTAAGGATAAAGCCCATTTAAATATGACAATGTCAACAGTTTGATTAAATAATGTTTCCAGCTTCTACATGGAAGTCAATCTGTGCCATGTGATTTTGAATCTAAATATATATACAGCTGATTTTTTTTTGCATCAAAATCAGACTTTGAATTTCGATAACTATTGAATTTCCAGCATGCATTTTTATTTCTTACGCTTATTTTTTCACAATGATGAAATAAATGAATTCATTAAAAAAACTGGTCGCTCAAAATATTTGTGTTGTAAAAATTTGAAGAAAAAAAATGCGTCAAAAAATACAACATAAAAAAATTCATTGTCATAAAATTCAACATGAAAAAATTTAAATGTCAAAATATTTAGTGTTAAACAGACCGACTCAACATCCGGGTAACCAGGCAGAAATAATCGATTCCTCAGTCTTCCACTGGGGTCGGTGCCACGTGACCAATCTAGCATTATTTGATTGGCTGGACAATGGATGATTGAGCCAGGAATCGATTGCTTCTTCCTGGTTACCCAGATGTTGAGTCGATCTGTTTTACACTGATTTTTTTTACATTTTTTTTTATTATGACATTAAGTGTCAGAAACAAAAATGCATGCTTTAAATTCAATATTTTTGAAATTCAAAGTCTGATATTGATGCAAAAAAAAAAAACAGCTTTAGAAATTCAAATTTAAAATCAGATGGCACAGATTTACTTCCATATTTCCCTTTCTCTTCTCTATTACTGCATTAAGATGCCTTCCCCTGAAATTTAGAGGAATAAAGTATAATAAAAAGCAGACTGATACAGTGTTCATACAGTTTATTTGAATTAACACATCATTAGAAATATCACAGACAGACAGTATACATAAACTCAAAGAGAAGTTAGGATGATTATGGCTGAACTTAGGCATTAAAGGCAGGTGACTCACAGAAACAGGGTGCACCCAACATTAAGGTTGTGTTGTATGTCCTGAGAGGAACAGCAGAGAGAGTAACTTGCTTGACTTTCTAGGCATTTTCTCCGATGATCATTTCTTTGTATTCCTCAGTCCCTCAAAAAGCAGACACTTAGCCTAAACAGAGAGGGAGAGAGAGAAGGTAAACAAGCTGATGTACTCTGGATTGTTTAGTGGAAACTGAGGGCTTGTCCTCTCTATTTTTGCCTGTGTGTGTGTGTTTACAAGGATTTGTGCCAACCTCATGCCAGCGTAGTGTGTCAGCAGGCAGTCCCAGATGACAGTGAGGGCAGGTGTGTGTCTGATCCGGCACCTCCTGATTTCTATGGCCCCAGCACGGCCCCTCGCTGCCCCACAGAGGGCGGCACGTAGAGTGGGAGGACCAAGCTACGCCAAAGTGGGGTCGAGGGTCTGTCTGGTAGTTCACTTTCTGGCCACTAGAGGGGGGCGTTGATAAAGGATTTGGATCTGTCTCCTTCATAGACACGGGAGAAAGAAGAGTCACCCTATCAGCCCCAAAATAAAAGTGGACAGAGATGTTTCACTTGGTCATCTAAAGAGTTATGATGAAGGGGGAGATCAGTAGAGCAGCATACAGTCTGAACTAGAATGAGAAACATGGAGCATCTTGTTATATTTTGATGCACATATATCTCCAAAAACTAAACAACATATCAGCGCCACATTGCCTTAAGTATCAGGATCCTGATTCAACTGTGCAAGACACAGAGTCTGTTTTGAAGAAAGGCAAGCGAATAGGCAGCCTACAGGTGCATGCTTCTGCAACTGCTCTCTGTATTTCTGTTCTTACTTTACAATTTTATTTTCCTAACTTTACAAATTTAATCTTGTAGCCCTAATCCTTTCTTGTAGTTTTACACTTTGTACACTTTTGAGTAACCCTCCTGTGTTAGCTTTCACTACACACCCATTATGTTAAGGGTTGGTTTTGACCAGTGTCTTAAATGAGCTGTAAATTACACTAAAAACATTTCTCTATCATCCAGTTTGATTCTCATCTCTAGTTTACCTTGTTAGGCTTCATTATCCATGAAAATATTGCTTATAATAGTTTTTGTAGTGAGCCTCAGGGCATTTCTTTGTCAGGATACCCCTTATACAAGCATCTATACTGAACTGATCTCACATGTCTAGATATGCCCAACATTGTTTTTTTTGTGCAGGGAAAAACATGGCAAAATGAGAATTTCCTAAATCTCGCATGATAGGAAGAGGATCTGACTTTCAGTGTGGTGCCTGACAGTGCACTTATGATTTCAGTTTTTGCTCTAATTACTAGATATTGATCTAACCGGGTCAACAGCGACCCTAACACGACAAGTGCCATAATTTTAACAAGAGCATTTTATAATTTAGACAATTTAATTTGTATTATTTTTGTTGTTGTTGTTGAAATAGAGGTTCCTGACAAAGTCAAAAAGTCTTGATGTAAAAAAACCTATCTAAGTGATTCTTTTAAGCATTTAAAATCAAAATCGGGTCAGTACAGACCCTAATACACGGAGAGGGGTAAACTATTTTGTGTAACTTTGCCCTTTTTCCCCCCCCCATACCTTGCTTTCAGGTGTTTTTTTTTCTGAAGACAAGTATTTATCACATTAACATTAACATTAATAGATATGAGTGACTGCTCTGGCTATATGTCTGGCACATTTCTCTACACATAGTATTATATTACAGACAAAAAAAAACTTTTTTTTCAAGAGAGGATAGAAATTTACTGTAAGTTTAAGCTTGCCTTTATTAGCATATGAACGATTACATCCCCAAAATAGGATTATTACTTGTAAAAATGCTCGTATTTTATTGCACATATAAGCTAAAGGAGCTGTCACTTACTGTGTAAGGAAATTAGAGATAAAATAGGTTCATATTGCTGCTCACTGCATTTTAACTATATCAAACCCTGTGTCATTGTGGTGTTGAAACCTGTTTCTGAGTTTCAGGACGATACTCTGAGTCCAGAGACCTCAGGCAGTACCAGCAGGGTTCATGGGGGTGATCTGAGAAGAAAGAGGTAAATGTCCTTCAATGTGCATTTGTGTGTAATATATTTACTTGTTAGGGTGCAGATGTGGGTGTGTGAATTACTTTGTGTGTTGGAGGGATGAGATGACACTGGAGTGGGGGTCAGCTCTTCCTCTGTTGGCAGGGGGCACAATGGGAGGTATTCAGCATCATCCGGTGTGTTTGCGTCCGTCAGAGTCTCCTGTGATATAGTCTCTGGATTGTTGTTACATTGATCCTTCCCATCCTTTAACATTCACACCAAACAAAGACAAAATATTGATCAACAATCCTAGGTATGATGCTCTCTCTGCCAGAAAATGTGGCTATAGTTATATTACAAATTCTCAATAAGTGTTGAGTTTCTTGTCCAAACCTCTTCCACTGATGTTTCGAGGTTTTGGGGTTCCTCTTTCCCTTTGCAATAGTTTTCAATCCGCTTGTCAGCCTGGGTAGAAATCGTCCCACTGAGGTTTGAGAAAGAGAATTCAAAAACATGCCCTCCTAACAGCCGGACTAGAAGGTTATCAGCCAATCCATCTTCAGCAGGTAACCCAGACACGGCTTATACTGTTACACCCGAGAAGAGCACCTGATTAGGCACAAATATTCTCACTCTCCCTGCCTTACCTTTGGGTGCTTTCTCCTTGTTCCTCCCTCTCTTCCTCCATTCTTGCTCATGTGTCTCCCTCCCAGGATGCCTGATATCTTTCCCCTTCTTGATCCCTCTATTTATTCTCTTTTTCCCTCTCGTCCTCTGCGCCTCACCCTGTTTTTCACTCTACTGTCTGTGTTCCCTTCCTCTGTGTGTGAAACGGAAACTCCAGGCTCTTAATATTTCATGTGTCTGAATAGCTCACAAGCAGGTTGCTGTAAAGAGTAATCAGGTGAGGGCTCTGGTTCCTCAGCACAGTGGTCTGCTTTGACATATAGGCAAGACTGGTTACACTAAACCTAAATCCAAACTTAAATCTTAATAAAATATCTTTATTCAGAACCAATAAATGATGGACAAAGATTTTGGCCTTTTCACGATAAAGATGCTTCTTGGGAGCACAACAACAACAACAAAGAAAACAGGTGGAGCTGAAGATAGCTAAACTGAAGGGAGGCATTAATTATGTGCATATGAGGCCAGCCTAGATATTGGATTTAAAATGAGATTTGAGTTACTTATACCAAAGTATTTATGCTGAATGACACTCAAAAAACACTCAAAAGCAGAAGTTTTGTGGTCATAGTCACTAGTTTGCAAACTCTGCAAAGTCAATTGAAAAAAAATCAAACAAACACTAAACGTTATTGTTAAAGATCCCGTAAGTAGTTTTCAGTGTATGTCAGTTTTGGCGCCCCCTGTGGGAAAAGCCACCCGATCTTATCTTGTCCTTGATATGCTTCAGTAGTTCTGTTTTGACCAAAAAAAAAAAAAAAACAAACTCATCTGGGAATGCTGACTCAACCTAACATTCAGTCAAACTACAGGAGGTGGGACTTAAACTCCTCACATGGGTACAGTGCGCTTGCCAGTCAGCCAAGTCAGCAGTGTCTCTGATTTGCAGATGTTGTAGTGTTGTGTCGTTCGCGAATGATTCGTTCAAAAGAACCAAATCTTTTAAGTGAACGTACTGAACCGAATCACTTCCTTGAGTGATTCGTTCGTTTCTTACTTCAGTTGAGCTGAAGTGAAAAACAGTATTACCAGGCCAGCAACCAGCGAATGAGGGACCACATGCATCGACGCCTGAATCACTTGGCGAACGAATCACGCATTGAACTACACTCTCTGGAATCATTTTTGTAGGACAAAACTACCTTTTTTTTCACTGCTAAATTGCCACCACAACAACTTGCATACAATAGGACAAAGCATGTAACAAGTAGTGCATTAAACCAGCAGCATCCTATCTTTGCAGCAGTTTGTGGGGGAACGGTGCATGTTCAGTGTGAATACTTCTAAATGTTCAGTGAACGAATCACTTACTGAGCCCAATTTACCAAGCAGACCTGATAAATAGCATAACATAGGACAGTACACTTAAAACATCATGACTTATAAACAAGTTTATTTTTACAAACCTGTTTGCCAAAGCAACACAGCCAAACTATGAATTGAACTGAATCCTGAAACGTTCAGCTGTGTATCAGTTCAGGAGGTCGGAGTCCCAGGCTTTTCCTAAATGATTCAGTGATTTGGTGAACGAATCTTTTGGATGAGTCTTTTAAGTGAACTGATTCTACTGATTCAGTACATCTAAAAAAAACTGCTGTGGCCATCACTAAGAAGTTGTAAGCTTGATGACTTCTATTTAAAAAAAAAATACACCCACTATACCGTAGTTGCAGTGGAAGCCCCAAGCGAGTCAGACCAAATTGGGTCCTTAAACCAGTTTCTTTTTGCTCTAAAAATGCCCTCTATCAGCTTAGTGTGTACGTGGTTTCTGGTGCCTCTGCAGCTATTCTCAAGGAGGCATTCAACAAACTGCAGCTTTATATCCCCTCTAGCACAATTTATTTCTTTTCTTAGATAGATAGATAGATAGATAGATAGATAGATAGATAGATAGATAGATAGATAGATAGATAGATAGATAGATAGATAGATAGATAGATAGATAGATAGATAGATAGATAGATAGATAGATTGATTGATTGATTGATTGATAGATAGATAGATAGATAGATAGGTGAGTAGCCTTAAATGTATTAAACTTTAGATTTGTTTTTCCCCCATTTTTCTGCTGCACTTCACTTAGTTTCATCTTCCTCTTTGAAATCATTGAGGTCTGCCATCTTGTGTTTACAGTCGTATTTATAGTAGCTTTTATATAGCTGGAGTGTGAAGATGTATGGACTGTAATGAACTTATTCTCCCAGCAGATGGGGGAAGAGCATTTCCTTTATGGCTCAGCAGAAAAGCAGGACAAAAGCCTCATCACTCTCTCTGGGAATTTCTACCTCTTTTCTCCATTTGGTCCTCCTTTCATTACATTTTGTCTCCCCGAGTGCAGGAGCATCTCTTTCATGAGCAGTTCCCCCCTTCGCTCTCATCCCTCACGGTGAACTTCTTCACTGATACAAGTTTCAACTACAGAAACTCTGAAATAATCCTGTTTCGGCGTGATAGGCAGCACACATGAATGAACGCCATTTTCAAACACAATTATCTGCTAAATTATGCGACTTGAGTTTTAATTTCAGGGTCGTTTCTTGAAGAGCTGTGGAATTCATGCGTGTCTGCGTTGGTGTGTGTGTGTGTGTCTGAACCGTGATTATGTGTGTGTGTGTTGTGTGTGTCTTCTCCAGGCACTCACTGATGTGTGTGTCTGTACGCGTCTCCCTGTAAGTGCACGGCAGGTAAGGAGTAATTTGAGTGTTTTTCCTGTATATGTGTGTTTTTTTGTGGGAGGAGGGAGACAGGAACATAAGTGGCGATGACTCACCAGTCTTTTGTGACAGTGGTGCAGAGAGAGTGCTTTTCACCCATTCCTCTCTCTTGGGGCTTGCATCCAAAACAAGAAATGGAGTGAGAATAAAGAGAAAGGAGAAGATTTGGTGTTGAGGCGCATTAAGGGGAAGTTAGGGAATAGATAATGAAAGGGGAAAGAGGGTGTAGATGGGAATGGGGCTAAAGAGCAGAACAAAGAAAAGAGAGGAAGAGATGAAAGGAGAGAGCGAAAAGACAAGGGTTGGCTTTTACAGCTCTGCCTCAGCTCTCCTAATAGCTGCTGAAAGCATGGCTGATTAGGCACATTATGTGACAGAGACAAAGGTAGTTTACTAGAAAGCAACATAAACAAATATATGAGAGGAGAAGCATGATGGCGTGGAGTGGACTGAATCTATGAAGCTGTTTGAGGTCAGCAACTGATCAAACATCTGGACTTGTATAGGGATAGACATAAAGAGCACATCCAGACAGAGATTAGTTGAACAACTGAATACGTCTTATGAGGCGGTTTACATTCTTCAAAACATACATTTCATAGCATTTTTTTTGCCATTTTGTGTAGGTGCTCAACTCTTTATTACCGCCCCGCAGATATCTATTTTGTAGATGTTTGCTGTCTCATGTTTGTCTCATATGCAGTCGGATTTGAGACATCTACAATGACAGCAGCTTCAACATCCTGAAGACCAGACTGGCATTGAAAACTCCCCCGAAAAAGCCACCAGTCACAGGTTATTAAAGCTCAGTACTGTACTCTTTACCCAAGTACAGTCACTCAAAATGTAAACAGTGACTTTGAGATCCAGATTGTGTACTTTCATCTAGTATGGAAAGGAGTGATTGTGGTTTGAAAGGTGTTGGCTGAAGTCAGGAGCGCTGAATGTGAGATGGCTACCTTCTTTTTAAGTCTTGTCACCATGAGCGAAAGGACACGGATATCAAAACCTTCTATTGGATGCAAAATTGTCAAGTAGTGATACTTGATATTTTCAGGACTTTTTGGATTTTTTTGGTGTGACAGATGTAGAAACAACCATAAGCTACCCTATCATCTACAAAATATCTTTGTATACACAACAAAACAGCTGAAATGATCATGCTATTGTTGACAGAGCAATCTTTGTGTTCCCCAACAATGTTTGAGGGATGAATGATATACAGCTTTTTGTTGATCATAGAGGGATATCAGGTTATCATTCAGATTTATTCGCTCCTAAGTTCAAGTCCCGTCTTTAGAAAATTGTCTAAAGTCTCAAGAAACAGCCGTCTTCTCTACAACCATCCAGATTTAAACAGTGCAATAGTCGCTTCAAGTGATTAACCATGATACCAGATTGCAGAACAAATCAAATTAGTCATGGGTAAACATATACCGATTGAAGTTTTCCAACTTTGTAAAGTTTAATTTTGAGCATTTATGTCTTTATTCTGAGAATACGATAGTAGATAAAGCAGGGTTAGGGTTAGGAAACTGAAAGGAGAGTGGAAAATGCTGCGGTCGCAGGTTGAGATCGAATTCTGGCCAACTGCTACAAGGACTATATCCTCTTTACATTTTGCATGTTGAAGCAAAAACAGAGCCATGTAGTTTGCAGCTTAATGTGTATGTCTTTCAACATTTTTTATTAAATCATGTTAATAGAAACTATAACTTTGTCCTTATAATGTTTCACTCAAAGCCTTGTTGGAGGGGAAGAGGCTGACACAAGACACACGTATTAAAAATGACATCTGTTTAGATTTTACAAGGACTCAAAGCAAATCAAGAACCATTGCAAATGATAAAAATTATGAATTTAATAAAACTCATTTGCAGTGAGAAAAACATTGCTTCACACACTTAAGCATTGTCAAAAATTTCAAAAACAATCAGTCAGATACAGACGTGAATGCTGTTCAGTGGGTCACATAAGCGTCTTGACATGCCTTGGTCTTTAACTCCGAAGTAATTACATCAAAAAACAAATGCAGCAGCACAGAAGGGTCAGGCTGTAGGTTAAATACCAATTAGCAGCATTTCTCTGTTACAAAAGACGTGTGAAAATAAGCACAAGGGCTAATTTTTACAAGGGAAAGTAACACAAGGCGACTGATATTGCTCTAATATAGTTTGTATCGGTGCATGAGGTGCATCCCTGCCTCAAACAGTCATGGTGAAAACAATGAAGAAAGGTCTGATTACCCTGCACAGCCTTCAGAGTGCAAAAGTGTTCAGAACGTAATCTGGGTTTAACCCAAATCGCTCATCTTTGGAGACAGAACCGGAACAAATAGCATCGTGATTATTCCTTAAAGCCAAACACAAAGAAGACAAACAAAGGAAGAGCCGGAGTAAGGTAAGCGGGGAAAACATTTAACTGGAAATACACAAACACACTGATTGCCAACAACCATTATCAAGATACTACAGGTTGCCATGCAACCTAATATGGCCCATTTCTGAGTCAGTGGCAGAAGCTGAGATTTTGCATCATTTATACTGTTTAAACCATTTTAACTAACTCTTGGCAGATTGAAACTTTCTCTGTGACATATAACATATTTAATGTTTGACAAGCTTTGTTTGTGTTAAACTTGTGTCATTTCTTGACTCCATATACATTGTAAATTCTGTGCCCCCCTGACTTTCACAGGTAAAGGTTGAGTCACTCTTGTAGAAATTAATGACCATTGTTTAATCAGATTTTGAAGGTCTTATAGCTACAGTTATTTAAAATTCATTCATCTAATGGCTGACATTTTTCCTTGTGTTTCAGCTTTTGTAAATGCATGAGCGTCTTGGGGCCATTACTGATAAATTGCAGTGCTGTCAGACTCTTTTGTGCCAGGAGCTGGATGTATACCAATTTTTTTTTTCTTTTTTTTTCTACCTGTAAGAGTTGAAGCCTTTGAAAGATTCAAATTGCATTTTAATTACAGCACAGCTACCAGGAAAAAACATAAATGATTACTTTACGGGCATAATGTGATCCAAAGCTTGACATGCAATTATCCCATTTCGCTGGACAATTTTAAATCTCAACTGTGTGCAAGAAAACTCTGATTTTAAGGATGTAAACAGCAGCATCACAGCGATACTGGAAAGGTGTGAAAAGAGGACATCATGCTCCTTTTCATAAGGATCCCCTGCGTGGAGCTCATGCATTGTCTGGGTGGACATGCTTGGGCAAATCCTCATGTCTCAGATTTATGAAAGCCAAAGAATGAGGACAAAAGGATTCATATTCCCTAAATACTCAGTACATAGATCACACAGTTCTAACACAAGTGTCTGTGTAACATGAATTGACTGTTTTTACATGACAGCTACGGAGACGACCATCCATCGCACATATGGGAGATGTCAAGACCTGGACAATACTCGTGGCTCTTCTTGGTTCAGATCAATAAATAATTGATTTTTTATGTTGTTGTTTTATTTTTTGCATTTTTTCACATCTCCCTGTAGCATAAAGTACATCATAGCTGCTGTACAATCAAGCAAAAAAAATAAAACACTTTTTGTTTTTATGGATTATCCTTCCCAGTGCTGTTCACAATCAACATTCATCAAGATACAAACTTAATGCACACTTTCTTCAGTATTGTTTGATTGTTTAAATCTGATTAGTTTGTCAAGCATCTTTTTAAAATATGCTTGTAAAAGTTCATTACTGGTGTATGAACCAAACTCTTAAAAGTCATAACAGAAAGATACTCAAGATTTACTTCGATTTTAGGCAACACTTTACAATAAGGTATAACAATAAGAGTATAGTTACTGAGGGACTAATAATTAACTTTTAGTTCATGGTCAGTTCTTCAGGAACTCCAGACCAAATTTCAGAGAAGTAGTTACTATAGATTGTATATAGAATGGACGCCGAATGCCTCCTTGCTAGGTGAAGCCACTCTGAGAACAGCACCCTCTGGTGACAGGCTGCAGTAAAGGTCATAAATCCCGCCTCTGCCAGCAAAGCTAATAGGGCTGTGGACAAACTTAAGAAATTAATTACCCAGAAAACAAAATTTTCTCCCCTCTGCTTGCGATGTTGACATGTAGTTACTGTAAGACTGGTTTGTACTCAAGTCCTCTTTTTTTCTGTACAGCTCTATTTTTAAAAGTTATTAGGGGGTTCATGTTTTCTATGATTGACACTTGATACAGCCTATGGGCATACGAAGATTGAGTAGCTCACCCGGGGGATACGCTGTTTGAGCCAAGTGTCATCACAGTGACTCAGCGACTCTTCCACCGAATGTGTACAATGCTACTGCGCAAGTGGTGAAGTGCGTACAACGCTACAGCGCAATGTTGGTTTCAGAAAGTGGAGAAAAAACAAATTACTGAGAACTTTTCGGCTTCAAATCCGTATACTGCCAGAAGGCAGAATCAAGTTGTCCATACAGTCTATGGTAACTATTCATTAGTTCCTCACTAACTACTCTGATATTTGATAAGAGGTTACAGAAACTCTGACCATTAATAGCTACTCAATTATTATTTCCTCACTAACTACTTCTCTGAAACTTGATCAAGGGTTACTGAAGAGCTGACTATTAACTAATAGGTACTTTATCATTTGCAACCCGTTTAATAAAAAATGGTGTTGGTCTAAAAAAGGGATGTTTCTGAAACCAGTGGTTCTCAAGTCCAGCCCTTGAGGCCCACTGTCCTGCATGTTTTAGATGTTTCTCTGCTCCAACACACCTGATTCAAATGATCAGCTCGTTATCAAGCTCTGTAATGGCTTAATAACGAGCTGATCATTTGAATCAGGTGTGTTAGAGCAGGGAAACATCCAAAACATGCAGGACAGTGGGCCTCGAGGACTGGACTTGAGAACCACTGTTCTAAACTAATGCAACCTCCACTGAATTGACTTTCTCTTACCTGTGACAACTTTAGCGTCAGTCTTCAAACATCATCAGGATTTTACATTCATGAAATATAACATTGATGGTAACCCTTATTTTCTTCTTTCACCTGTTCCAATCTTGTTTCACTTCTTCATGTTTTGTACTTCTTTATGGGTTTGTACGAGAGCTCTGATTCAGGTTTCAGTGATGCATCATAAATATGATCCTTCATACGTCAGATTTTGAATAATAAAGCTAAATTCTACACAATGTACCTTTAAGTATGAGGCGGGTACTCTTTAGTCATATTCATCCACCTCTAAAGATATACTGCTCCTTGAGCTTTTAAATGACTGACTTCTATAGCAACAAGCAGCAAACAAATGCAAAGTGATTTATTCGACTTTGTAGGTAGTGAGCATTAAATGCTGTCGAGTATCTTAACCTGAGATATAAGTAAGATAATGCTTTAAGAAGTGTCCATTATAAGGATTATTAAAGTTTTGGTGCATTATGCCTTTCCTTTATATCACCACAGTATACCAGATGATAACCTGCGGACACTAACCACAGATAAGAGAGTGGTGTTGATGTACTTTTCCTGCCAAACTAATCCTCTGCCTTTTTCCACAAAAGATACAACCATCCAGTATGATAAGACTGCTGGACATGATGCATTACTGCAGACATACTGTATAGTCTCACTCATTTTTTCATTTCAGTCATAAATATTCAGCTGGAATATCTACAGAAGGGAAAAAGCAGTAATTAAAAATCTGAATTCATAGCATGCTGTCCAAGTATAATTCTACAAGCCAAAGATAAAGCCACGAGAAGTCGTTTTCCAATCAACTGGTGAGAAAGCTGACAAGATAACACGTGAGCAGAGCATATTGACAGCCAGCTAATCACTGTAGCCGTTTGTAGCCCTGACAGCACACAAAAGCTTTGTTTTGATGCCAAACAAGTGACGGCCAAAAACACTTCAAGGAATTATAGCAGGAGTGCATCTTGCCCATGTGAAGCCAGAGTGAGAGGAGGTGTGGAAACAAGATATGGCAAAACCTATCAACCGAACACCTTTTCAATGCCTGATTGGCTGGCTCGAAGCAGAAGCGAACATGACTCAATCTTTATCTTGAATGCCAGCAGCTAAATTACTATACAGCCTCAAAGAGAGTGTGCATTAGTGTGTACGTGTTTGCGAGAGTGTGTTTGAGTGTGTGGTCCTGCGCAGTAAAGTGTACAGATGGATGACTCATCCAGCAATCATGTGACTCATCAATCACTGCAGTTACAATTTCCCTCCCTCCTTCAGAATTTGCAGTTTCTCCTCTTTTTCACTCCCACTCCCACTCCTATTCTCTTGATCATTTCTGATTGTCTGCAGAGAAAATAAACTTTTGCTTTTAGGCTTTTTTTGTCTTTGTAAAACTGCACTCTTTTGATAAATAAATATATATAAATGTATAGATGTGTTGCGCTGTCTTTTACCTTCTCAATGATCTTGTGTTCCTGCTGTATTTGCTATCCAAGTACAACATAGCACTCACCAAAAAGCCATTAAAAAACTGAACTTTAATAAAATAATTGCTTTTATTTTTTATCATATAGCAAAACTAGTAATCATCATGCTGTTATTTACACATTGCACGGGCATATTTATTTCACACTGTACATGTTACAATGCTAAAGGTGACATCAACAACAACACTCTCCTTTTACAAGACAGATGGCTTCACTGCGGACACAGTGGCCCTCTTCCTTTGAGATTAATTTTTTTTATGTTCACAGTTTATTCAGAGAAAACAACCATCTTGAATTCCCCATACTGTTTTATTTTTTCTCTTTTTTTGTTCTTTTTTTTTTGTTCATTTTTTAAGATGCAAGTAGAAAGACGTGCATTTAACGGTTTAAGCACAATCCCTGACTCCCCGGCCTGAAACTTCTCGATGAATTTTCTTCTGATAATGAATAAAATGTTTGTAGCCTCTTGTTGGAAATCGGTTTAAAAAGGCTGCAGAACATACAGTGTAATTTCAAGTATTTTCTTCTTTTTTTGCAAAGAAAGTAAAGATAGAGATATGATCGGAGGCAAAATGATGACAAAAGAACTAAAAAATGAGCGAATAAAGATGAAAAGTGAAAGAAAAAGAAGGACTCCTTTAAATTCAAGCAGTCCTGTAATGCTGCTGATGATAATGGTGAATCTATGGATGTGTTGACACGAGAACATTTGGATCCCGGAATGATTGAAAACCCTTTTGTCCACCAGTTTGGAAGTGTTTAGTGTTAAGTTTGTGCTTTTGGAGTCCACAGGGTTTCTACATTGGGACCTGTCGTGATGATAATATCATGTGTTATGATGTTTCCCTTATAGAACCATGGTACTTGTAAGGCAAAAGTCTCAATCTTCGAACTAAATTGTGTCTATTTGGCACCTTCGCAAGTTGCAACTGTTTAAAATTGATCCAATCCAGAATAAGAAGGCAACTACTCACATCCAATATAACAAAAATATGTGTCAATATTTGATAATAACTTTTTTTTTTCCTTCATATTTGTGCAGCTAAGAAATCATGGATCTACTCAAGTTTTGCATTTTGACTTACAGAAAATGAAACCAAAGATAAACAGTGATGTTGTAAACATGGTTCTCTTGCAATGGGCACATTTGCTTGTGAATGTGTAAAAAATGTGATTGTATTATAGGTGTGTTGATGCATGTGCGTGCCTGTGCATGTTTCTGTCTGTCTGTCTGTGTTTCCTTTAGAAAACTCTGAATAATGCATCAGAGATTGACCTGAATGGAGGCAGACATACACTATGGTATGTTCTGTTCACAATGTAAACTGAGCAAGAGGCTGAACATGGTTACAGGGAGCTTAGACTGGGCACCTTCATCCTCTCCCTGGTAGAGGAAATCAATAGAAAATACAGTGGTTTAAAACAACAGAAATCTGACTTTTTACTGCTTGACCCTTAAATTTCCACCAGGCTAAAACACCGTCTTTATTTTTACCGCTTCGTTAGCTGTTCTCCAAATACCTTACATTAATCTCACCTCTATCAGTCTCTCAGATCTGATAAATGTCCAAAAGGTCCCTCAATACATTCTGCGTTTCATGTAGATCCTCTCAATAAAGTTTTCCAGCTCCTCCTCACTGTCCAGCTGAGGCACCAGCCCGTCTTCCTCATAGTCATCTCCCGGCGTTGCTTGTGGGTAATAGTAGGGGGGTCGCCTGCCTCTCCTGGGTGGGGTTATTGGTTTTGGTGGAGGTAGGGGTTGGTAGGTCCGTGGGTGAGGAAGGATATAGTTAGAGATATAAGGGGTGAGAGGCAGGCGTGGCGGTGGCTGCTGTCTCCAGCCCTGACCACGGTTCTTACCCCCGCCCCGGTGCCTGCGCCGTGGGGCCTGGAGGTCAAGTTCCTGGGGGCCGAAGGGCTGGTCTCTGGAGGGGGAGGGCTTGCCATAATACTGAGGTTTGGGATACGGGAAATAAACGGGGTAATATGCACGATATGGCTTCTGGTAGTACGGATAGGAGGGGAAGGCTAAAAACTGTTTCTGGGGTTTGTACCAGTAGTCAAGCTGCTTTTCAGGCTTGTACCAGTAGTCCTGCTTATATGACTTGACTTTGTCCTTGTGCCATTTCTTGTTGGACTTGTTGTACCTGTAAGGGTTTTTCTTGGGGTTTTTTGAAGCTGTGTAGTGGTAGATAGGCGGAGCAGCCAGAGGAGGAGGTACCAGAGGCCTGAAGCGAGGAGCAACCGGGTTGCTGTTGATCGGCTGCTGCTGCAACTCTTTCCTTTTCTTCTTCTTCTCCTCCACGTCACTGATAATCTCAATCACATCATCAGCCGGCAGGTGGAGTTTGCTGCTGATCTCGATCAGGCGGTCGATCATTTGCTGATCCATGTCGTCGTCGTCCTGGTTCACCTCCTCGGATCGCTTGTCCTCGGCTGTGTTTCCAGCTGTGCCCAGGCTGCTTTTCTGCCGCGGCTTCATGTAGGACTGCTGCTGCTTCCTCCCCATGTACTGCAGCAGCATGTCTGAGGCGATGTCTGCCAGTCTCTGCTCCTCCTCTCTGGCTCGCTCTGCTTCCTCCTGCTGCCGGAGCACCTCCTGTTTCTCCGCACGAGCTCTAGCCTCCTCTTCCATGTGGGAGAGGCTCTCCTCTTCTTCTTCCACCTCCTCCTCCAGCTCCTCTCCTTCATCCTCGAAGTCGTCCATGAAATTCCCTCCCTTCACAGGTCGGTTGCTGGCCTGGTTCTCCTGCCAGTGCAGCTTCTTCCCGGCTCGTGCCAGCTGTGTGTTGTACGCTTTGTAGCCCTTGAGAGGAGGCAAGATCTCATTGTCTTGGAGGCCCAAGTCAATATTTTGGAAGTAGCCTCTAATTTTTCGCTGCAGGGCCGGATCGTCACCCTGTTGGGCTGAGCTTGGGTTAGCTTTGTTCAAGAAACTTTCCAAATCATTTCCCTCCTCTTGTCCCTCATCTTCCTCTGCACCTTCCTCCTTACTTAAATTATCAGATCCCACCTCCTCCACAGACCATCCCTGATCCTCCTCTGACCTTGAGTTCTTATCCTCCTCATCTCTTTCTTTTAAGTCATCACCCTGAGCAGCTGTCAAATGGCCTACAATTAGCTGTTCAATAGCCTTATCAGCCACTCGCCCAACCCTCCCCTCCACCACCTCCTCCTCTCCCCTCTCCCTCTCTGTCTCCCCTGTTCTCCTTATCTCACCACCCTCCGAGCCTTCATCAGAGGGCTGCTCCTGACTCTGATCCTCCCCCCAGTCTCTGATTTCACCCTCCCCCGGGTGGTCCAAGGCCTCCAAAAGAACAGCGAGCACCTGCGCGGGGTCCGTCGCCTTCTCTGACTGGTCGTCTCCACCTTGGACCCGGTCAACCGACGCGTTGTTGTCTGAGCTGAGAAGACTCTGAGGCGGGGGCGAGGAGATGATGAAGGGGGCGAGGTTGTCCTCTTTTAGGTCTGTCTGGGTGCGCCCCTCCACCCCTCCCTCCCCTCCCTCAACCCGCGCAGGGGCGGTGCCAGCCAGCTGCGGAGTGACAGTGAGCAGGGCAAATAGGATGAGGTGGGTTGTGGAAGGGACGTGATGACAGGTCATGACCATGCAGAACCAGCAGGAGGGAGGATAAGCACCTGGAGAAGAAAAGGAGATGGTAGAGGAACAAAAGACACATGAGAAATAATTCATCTTTTTATCTCTGAAATTTTCATTAAGTAGAAGTAAAAAGCAAAATCCACACATTAGGATTATTTAAATAATTCCAGCTTTTGTTTGAAGAAGGCCATTGTTAGATGTTGCAGAGAGGGCAAATGATAAGAAGTCACAAAAGGAAACGAAACGAAAAAATGCTCAAGAATGCCAGTTTCTGATTAACAGACATCACTTTTTTTCCACCTCTGAGCCACCATACAAAAGCACTTGACATTATGTGCAGTTTTCAGTCCGGGAACAAAGCAGTCAGACGTAGTTTGACAAGCAATCCAAAGGCAACAAAGAAAGTTGTAGCATATTCATTTCGTATCTGACGTTTGACACTTTTGATTCAGAGTGTTTCTCAATGAAAATCAAAATCCAGTTTTACAGCAAGATGTTTGCCTTCTCTGCGTAATATCGGGGAATCAAAGCAGGCGGGATTTTTCCTTTTTTTTTTTTAGATTATTGAAATGAATGTGCTTCTCAAGTGGAAGGCAATAATTTGCATGCAGGAATTGCGCTTTGGAGCTAAACAAAAGCCATTTTTGGCCGTAGTCGTGCGTCAGCCCGGTCATTATCTTTCCGGCTTGAATAAATTAATGCATGATTGCCTTTTCCTGTCATTTCCTATGCTTTAGCCGACTAAACTGTGACATTTAGGAAATGCACATTAAAAGAATTGAATGCCCAAGCTCCATTTTTGGTTTTAGAATAAAAAAATCTTACCTATTCCTCAAAGCCAACCCAACCAGAACGCACGCACCCGCCATTGTATGCGCAAAAACGCGAGTTTATTTTGCCCAAAATAATAACAATAGAAAAATACAAACAGATCCAAGCCCTCTCTCTCTCTCTTTCACTATTAGCTGAGATTTCGATATTCCAAGAGCACGAGGCGAGCTGGACGACAGTCGAGAGGTGGCACGCGCGGGGAAGTCATGCGTTAGGCTGGTGGCCACGGTTGAGTTATTTAACCCTCCGGTCCCTGAGCGCTCCATCCAAATTATAAATGAGCTGGATGTTGCAATTTTAGGGGTGAAAGCCTAAGGGGATAGAGGAACAGGGGGGATTGCAGTCAGAGTTTGTCCCCCGTGCGTGTGCTGTGGGCATATTCCCCTCTGTGGCAGCGGCGGAATGCAGACAAGCTCACATTTGGGCAGCAGAGCTCAGCGTGGGGACGAAATTTAACTATTTCCATTTTAATGAAGTGGATCACTAAGAGGAAAAACGAAACAAATCCACCTAGAGAGATGACGGGCCTGTGGTAGATAATGGTTTATCTGCATCAGATAAAATGATTGAAGATTTACACTTAAAATCTTTCATATTTTAAAATTAATACAGATTTTTTTTTTTACATTCTGGTTTTTAAAAAAATCAGAACTTAAAAAATACCAGAGTTTTTACGCGGGATGCTGCGCGAAATATTTCTTAGATATAATTTTGCTCATATTACAATGAGTTATCCATTAAACAAATCAACATATTCAATCGATTTTTGTCGATAGAATAATAATTTATTATACTATTATTATTGAGTTAATACATTTCATAATTTTATTCGAATTTTCTCCACCGTGAATTGTCACAGCAAAAATGATTGGATACTAGTTTAAAGTTCTCTATTATTTGTTTTAAATGCCTTTGTATCTAGGTATGAAATTTAGAAAGAGCTGCAGTGCACATGTGAAAACTGTAGATTTAATCAACAACAGTCTCAGTCCAAGTTAAAGTTAAAACCTCCAGAAAAAAAGATTTGATTCATAAAAAAATGTCTCTATTCTCAGTATGCCTCAAAAAGCCTCATTTTTTAAAACAAATTCAACAGAAAATTAAGAATCAGTAAAAAAAAGCCTGCATTAACTCATGAATGATGAGATTTCGTTTCACTTACCTGAAGTCCCACAGGGGGTGGGAAAGTGGTGAAAGTCTGAACGCGAGTAAAGCCAAGATTATTTCATGAATGTTGGATCACCTGAGAGAATTTCACTTTCCCCCGCTCTCTCTCTCTTTCTCTCTCTCTCTCTCTTGCTCTCACTCTCTCTCTCTCTCTCTCTTTCTTCAGCCCGTGACCAACATGGAGAAGAAGAAAAAAAAACACTGACGGCTCTCTTTATTTTGTTGCCTTGCGTGTTTGTATGGCAGCAGCACTGGTGCTAATGTACAATTGAGTGAATGTTTTCAGCCCCACGGTCAGCGCAACTTTATTGTATATACCCTCACTGAACCACGTGACCCCCCCCCCCCCATTCCCCTCCTCCCCCAGCTGCAGGCAGTGCTGACGTCACTTCCATTGATAAGAATGTTGGTGTGGAGATGGCACTGTGAGTCTAGGCTGGCCCCAGCTGATGAATGAACGGAAATGGCATGAATGAAATAGTACTTTTCCTGAATGAAAGGAGAAAATTGTAGAGAGCTGGTACGCAGCCATTTTTTTCCCCCCTCCTGCTCATACATTAAAGGTTAGTGTGTTGCTGCTTCTTCCTCTCTCCTTCCTCTCGCTCTGGTTTGTTTCAGATTAAGAAAAAAACAAAAGTGACCTCATCCCCCTTCATCCGCAGGCTATCAATAAGGGTCATTTGATGATACTCTATAGCGCAGGATCGATGAGTTGCATCTCCACTCCAGAGGGCCGGTCTCTCTCCTGCTTGTAGGCTTTTGTCTGAGGTGGCCCTGATCCTCTGTGGCTGCACGGCTCACAGGCCAAGAGAGCAGCCGTGCCTTGCTGCTCAATTTCTACTCAATTTCCAGGGATTGCACAATTTCCACCCGCTGTCTCACATTATTTCTCCCCTGCTCTCCATCTGTCGGCAGCACATTGTGCTCTTGACATGGCCTCTCATCACTGCTCTTTTTTTTCACATCACATAGACACGAGTGGATAACCCCCCCACTCTTTATAATGAGGCTGCAAAATGCATGCTTAAGTAGTGTGTGATGATTTACCGCTTGAATTACTGCAGGATGTATCATGAATTCCCATTGCTCACCATTCAGAAAAGATGAAGTCACTATGAGTTCATGTGATTAGTAAAAGCTTAATGGATCATTAATAAATGAATATTAACACAGTGTCTTCCTACATACATTTATTCATGTGCCACCAAATCAGTGAGAAGATGTCAAACTGATGCATTTAACCAGCCTCTTAAAAAGCAGGACATGAGCTGATTTAATGACAACATTAAGATCTAAAGTTTGCTGCATCTGTCATGTTAAAGTGCGACTGCTGAATCACAGATGTTAAGTGCCGGCTGCTAACTCACAGAGGGATAGACAACCATCTTCAGTTAGCTGAAGTTGTTATGAAGTAAGAGATAAAGACATAGTCTTAATGTTAATGCAGTGGAGAAACTCTGAGTTGGGCGATATGAATAGCTGACATATAAATGGAAAACTATGAAATATAAAGGCTTAATTTTTTATACAAGATCCAGCTCTGTTGCATGATAATAAACCTGTACTGACTGCTCTTTTTAGTGTTGGTGTCATTTCTTTTTTGGTCCTTTTTTTTTTATTTTTTTTATCTATAAGAATAAAAAATACTGTGTCCATTTTTTTTTCTATTTGATTTAATTTAGTCCAAACGACTTTGTTAATGCCTTCAGAGGCAGCCTCTATGGAGCAGGTTGAATATAACAAACTCAAATGAACACACCAATGTTTTAACAGCGAGAAATGCTGCATTACAGCAGAAGTGTAAAGTTAAATTTAAAATGAACACCGATAATCGGATTGATAGATCAACAAACCAACTAAACAACAATAAAATGACCAGAAGAAATAACAAGAAATGTCGGCTCTAGGACCATTTAGTGATCTATGATTTTGAACAACAAGCACAAATAACAAAGTGATATCCTGAAGAGAATATCCAGTAAAAATAACAAGTCCAAAACAAGCTTTTTCCCTGTGAGCATTTTTCAGCTGATTAATTGTGAAAGGGGGCAGCTGAGGCCACTAAAAAATAAATACAAACTATGAACTCTGGTTTAAAAGTATAAGACTTTCTCCAGCATCTATTCGGAAACAATTGAATGTTAATGTTTAGACCAGTTTTGCACAGTTCAGGTTTTGCTTTTGTTTGTTTCCAGGAAAGATTAGGAGAGAGACAAAAAATGTGGGGGGAGAGCTGGAGATGAAATGCACTTGATAGAGGCAGGGCCAGGAATCAATCCTTCAGCCTCTGTACAACAAGTGAGCTATGCTTGAGGCCTTAGACCAGATCTTACATCACAAATTCACACAGAATTTAAGTCAGTGTCCAAGTTGCATCTAATAGATTTTGCTAAAAAGAATGTTTTCAATGCATCAAGATTGTCAGAGGAAAAAAACTCAGTAGGAGACAAAGGTTTAAATCCTATGACCCTAAGCAGACAAGCCCCAAACTCTACCCTAGCAAGCACTGAGTTCTGCAAGCAATACCGACAGGTGTTAACCATAGACTGTATATCCTATAGACAACGTGGTTCCGCCTTCCGCCAGTATACAGATTTGAAGCCGAAAAGCTCTCAGTATTTCTGCAATTTTTCTCCACTTCCTGAAACCAACATTGTGCAGTAGCGTTGTACGCATTCGGCGGGAGAGTCGCCGAGATTGGCTGTGAGCTACGCAATCTTTGTATGCCCATGGGCTGTATCAAGTGTCAATCATAGAAAACATGAACCCCCGAATAACTTTTAAAAACGGAGCTGCACAGAAAAAAGGGAATTGAGCACAAACTAGTCTTACAATAACTACATGTCAACAATGCAAGCAGGGGGGAGAAAAAATTATATTCTGTGTAATAAATTTTTAAAGTTTACCCACAACCCCACAGGGATTGCTGGAGGAGGCAGGATTTATGACCTATACTGCAGCCCGTCACCAGAGGGTGCTGTTCTCTCGGTGGCTTCACCCAGCGAGGAGGCAGACGGCGTCCAATCTATATACAGTCTATGGTGTTAATCAACTACATTAGCCTCCCTCACACTGCCCACAATGCACTATGGTTGGTCATGACTGTATGACACATAAAACGTATTTAAACTGGGTTGCCAGCCCAGCTCAGTTGGTAGAGTGTCCCTGTGTTAAAAGGCTAGAGTCCTTACTGCAATAGATGTAGGCTCAAGTCCTGGTCCCAGCATGATTTTGTGCATGTCACATCTCCCCCTTTCTCACAACACTTCTTACCTCTCTTAAGCTGTCCTATGAAAGTAAAAGGAAAAAAGGCCCCAAAGAAATCATCCAGAGAATTATAATGAACTGACATCGCTGCATAAAGAAGATTTTAACTACCATTGAACAAGAACTTTAGAGAAATGATGATGGCAAAAACCACTTCCATCCTCCTGTCGCCCTTGAAATGCGCAATTTATCAGAGTTAGCAACAACAAAAAAGGTAGAAATTTTAGTTATTGCTTGTCCAACCAAATAAACTGACAGGAACTACGCCAAAGAGCTGAAAAACAGCTTTGCAGACGACAACAGCAGGCGACGACAGCAGGTATTCACACCCTTCACCAGCCCTGTTCACACCACTCTACCACTTCAGTTCAAACCTGCCTAAAGATCAGTGAAGAGGTGTGTCAGCTCTGTCAGAGGTAGAAGACCAGGAAGACTCCAGGATCTGATGGTGTGTCCCCCTCCTGTATGAGAGTCTGTGCTGACCAGCTGGCCCCCATCTTCACTCAGATCTTTAACAGATCTCTGGAGCTGTGTGAAATCACCTCCTGCTTTAAACACTCCATCAACATCCCGGTCCCCAAGTAACCCTCCATCACAGGGTTAAAGGGATATTGCGGCGTAAAATTAATTTGGGGTCAAACACACCGCAACACCGAGTTAGACAACCCCTCGAGGGATGAATGTTGTCGACCACTTGCTTCTCTAGTTATACCAACTTTAGTAGTGACCGCATGATAGCAATGCACAGTGGTCTCAGGAGCCACACACAATCCTCAACCAAAGCGCCACTCTATAGCCACAAATAATGCTCAGAACAGCACCTAACTTCATCGACAGTACATATAAGGTCCTAGCCATAGTACTACCCTCCAAACATCTTTTTAACTTTGTCTCATTTCTTTAGCAAAGAGACAAAACACAACTCACCTACTCTCTTCCAGCAGCCGCTTGTTTGTAGCGAGACCTCAGGCCAGTCCATTACGGATTACGTGGGGTGACGCAGCTCAAGGAAGAACATTTGAGACGGAGATGAGTCTGCATACAGACAGGAGGAGGATCAACTGGTCCTCTGGAGCAGTCAGAACCACCTGGAGCGGAACCCCATCAAGACTGTGGAGATGAGAGTAAACTTTAGCAGGAGCCGTCCTGCACTCTTCTCCCCTCACAATCCTAAACAGCACGGTGTCTAGTGTGGACTCATCCTGGTTCCTGGGATCTACTATCTCCAGGGACCTGAAGTGGACCTTCATCCGCAAGAAGGCCCAGTTAGAGGTTGTACTTCCTGCGACAACTCAGAAAGTTCAACCTCCTTCAGGAGCTGCTCATCCACTTCTACACTGCCATCATCCAGTCTGTTCTCTGCACGTCCATCACTGTTTGGTTTGGGTCTGCCACAAAGCAGGACAGGAACAGACTGCAGCAGACAATCAAATAACTGTTTAATTGTTTATCTTTATAACCTTTAGAACGATGATTGCTTCTCCCAAATATTCTAACTGCAGACATCATCCTCTCATCTGACATATACCTCTATAAACCATAATTTAGTGAATAATGTCAATACTATATAAAAAAAACGTATACCTAATGTACATAACCCATCTGTGATATAATGACGTATGTTTTTCAATCACTCACCATAACAGACTTGTATATACAAGTTAAAAGTCTTGTACAAGCTTGTGCACATGCTGCATTCGAATTAGCTCGGAAGTCAGATGTCGGAACTGAAAATAACATCACACCCAAGTTACCAGCGTTTCAGTTACCAAGTCAGAATAAAGCAAAATCGGAGGCGGAAACGAGATGGCTACATCTTCAAAAGTTATTTTAGCGCTCGCCTTGTCCGAATATATGGCAAGCGCTAAAACCGACTTGGTAACCGAAACGCTGGTAACTTGGGTGTGACATCATTTTCAGCTCGGGCTTCTGAGGAAACTCAAACACAGCAATATTTTCTCATTTTTGGAATATTTGATGTTTATTGTTTGTGCACACATACTTGGCCAATAAAGCTGATTTTAAATCTCAGTCAGTGCTCATTTGGCATCAGCTCTCTGGAGAATATGCTGGTTTATAAAAGGGTTTTAGATCTCTTTGTTTCATGCCAGTGCTCTTGGAACAGATTTTGACAACACTATTGATGCAGTTTCTGCCTTTATCTGTGAGGTGTTGATTGTACCACAGTTACTTTTAAGCTCATTTTCACTCGCAGACTCTACAGGCCGCATTTAAAACAACCACGTATGTGATATAAAGTTGGCATGTGGCCGTAAGCTGACAGAAATTGGTGAATGATAAATTATGAATCTGTCATTATTATTATTATTAACATGAAAATTGTTACCATGGATAATTCATGATGTTTATGCCTCATTTATCAACATAAAAGACGTGACTTATACAACAGTGATGGGTTACATTAGCGTGTTATTTGTACTCTTATCATACCTATAAATCGGTGCATGTGTCTCTATATTACATGCAATAAGATACTACTAGCAAAAACAGTTCCTAATTATAAGCTTTGTGCCCCCTGAATGTAATTCTGATCATGATTGATAACAAACCAAGGAGAACAATCCTGCAGCTTTCCTGAAAAAGTGGCTGTGCAGGAGTTGACATAAGTCTGCCTGTAGGTTTTAAACCTCAGGAGTCCTGCCTGCCGGAGGATAAGAATCAAAGGCTTGCAGAGGTAAACAACTCCAGGCTGCAGAGGGATGCTTTGATTACATGACCCACTCATGCGAATGCACCCCTGTTCCTTTCTTCAGCTTTTTTTTTATTAAAGATAAAAAAAAAAAAAACTTTTTACCTCCCCTGCCAACCACCAGCTCCCAAGGTCTGCTGTAAAAGAGCATTTCGTGCATTACGGTTCAAGGGCAGATAAATGAGCAGTTTCTCTGTCATTCAGCTTTCCTGTTGAACTGAACTCGACTGTCATTCATGCAACGTAGAAACAAGTTGATTCACAATGTTAAAGCCGAGCACATTTCCATACGCTCTGTCAATGCCATGCCTCCTCTCTGGCCTTGTGTGACACTAAATTCAGCTGTCAGTCCTCATTTAGCGTCAAGGCTTTTGTTCCCACACATTCGTGAACCTTTCGCCGCATGTGTGTACGTGAGCAGGAACTTGTGTTAATATTTGCACTGTACTTTCAGTTAACCACAGGCAGCGATTCTGTATTATCAGAGATGTTCTAAGGTTAATTGGATATTAGCTGAAGACGTCAGAGTCACACGAGGACGGCTTTATTGGGCAATTATTGTGCGGTCTGATACGAAATGTCACACTCCACTGATGTAAATGTTTCATATTTTATGGTCTTGTCTGATCAGAAAAATGTAACGTGTGAACAACTTGAAAAATGATGTGAAGTGTTTGATGACTCATCTTGAAGAGGGATTAAGTGTTAAAGCTTAATGAAGACCCAAACATACAAGTAAAAATACATCTCTGCAATGCTGCCAGCTAAAAACCTGCCTTCACAATTTCTACCTGGAGACTAAAATGGACTAAATTTTGTTTCAGTTTTGAGTTAGAATCCCTCCATGTGCACAAATATGTGTATTGCATTAGCAGGCAAGAGATACGCACACATTAAACGAAGTTATAATTTGTTGCAATTGCTCGAGGCACTGCATAACCTCTGTTTGATTAGATTTTGTGCAAGGGGGGCTGTTTGCTGCAGAATATGGCTGCATTTGCACGGCAGTCATGTCATTCTGTGTATGTGTGTGAGGGAGTCTTTTGTTGAAATACTTGATGGCAGCGGCAAGCTCATGAGGTAAGCATGGAGCCGGAGGGCAGATGCTGATATAACGGTCTGGCATTATCAACTGCCACTCAGCATTAGTTGGCCCCTTACCCTCACTTCATGTCCGCACCCCCACACTGACTCACACTCTGCCGCCTGCTCGGCCACTCACATAGATTAACACCGGTACACCGTGCTTGCATTTAATGGAGTACACACACTGCAGAACACACACACCTCACAGTAATAGTTCCATTTCTCTCTCTGTGCGGTGTGTGCTCTGTCTCTTTCTGTCACACTCACGCACACACCTCTCCTCTCTTACTGTAATGTACATTACACACAAATGGACCTCTAAAGGAGGTGCAGGCATGCTGTCATTGATGGCCCACGTAAAACCGCTAAGAAAATAGGGCAATGAAAACAGGGCGATGGTTGTATCTAGATGGCCTTTTGTTCCATTAAATCAACTTCCAAAACAGAAACACTGACATGCTTATAATAGAGTAAGATAGGGAATTACAAATCCTACAGTTTTAGCAGACATTTGTTCCACAATTATGCAAATGCATGCTGGGAATCTTTCGCCAAGTGTGCTAATGCTGCTCCCTCGCACAGCAAAGGGTCGCTACCTGGAAGTGATAAAATAGAGCTCATGATTAACAGAAGCTTTTTCCGCCTACGCCACTTTGTCAGGGGAGGGAAGGACAAGTAATTGCACCGTAAGGTTCCTACAACACAATGCAAAGCTGAGACTTGATGATGCGTGCAGGACCCTGCCGCCCACACTGTAATCTACTGTTTCATCTAGAGTTTTCTTCTCTTTTTTTCTCAGATGTGCTTTTAAAAGTTAGTATTTCCTGCAAGGTACGTCATCCGACACAAATTTGTGTATTTTGTGCTGGAGGTTACAAGAAGATTGGTGTAACGGTGTGGAAATTAATCCTTATTTAATTCTTGGATTACACAGATTATAGGGATTATCTTTTCCATGCATTTATCCGGCCTGTTTGTCAGGTACAGGTACAAGAGGTAGGAAGGTGTTGGTTTTTGTGATTGGGCCAAATGTTTGTTCGTGTTAGGCAGTGCGACACAACAACATCTGCTCTGCTTTGTGCTTGCTACTCCTGTGTTGCACTGGGGGTTTGTGAGATTGTGTTGTTTAGCAGCTGTGTTTGCATCTGGAGAGTGCTGTACTAGAACAAAGTGACAGAATAAAAAATTAGTATCTCATTAGTCTCTCTGAAGAGTCTACAAATTTTTCTTTCTCCAAAAGGTGAGAATGTGGCTACCCAAGCTGACCTTTTAGAATTAAATTGAGCATTAAATCACATCTTTGTCTGGTTTTCTCACTGTCATACCGTTGGTATGACATCAGTAAATGAAAATCATAAATAAGACGGTTATCTTTGAAAGCGTTTTGCTATTTACGATATAAATATTGAAAAACTTGTCTTTTATATGGTACTATTAAAGTGGCATCAGATTGACTTATACCTGAATACTGAAGTGAAGAAAAGGTTTGGATGGATGGAGAATGTTAAAACTATATGAAACTTTGTCACCAATGTGTCAGTATTTCGATCAAGTATCTTCTGACTGATAAGTACCTTTCTATTTAACGCAAACAAGTAAAAAGCAAAAAAAAAAACTAAACAAAAAAAAGTTTGTATTCTTTTTTGTTCTATGCACTTTATACATTATTGATGTAGTTGAACCTGGCTAAAAAAGATGAAGTCTGACAGTTTGAATGGGACAAAACAAAACTAAGCAGTTTGTTTTGGGGGATTTTTTGATAGGATTCTATATAGCCCTAAACGATACAAAACAATCATGTGCAACAATTCTCTACAGTTGTTGTTGATTATTTATTGCATTAAAATGTGCCTGACATGGTGGAAACCTGCCTGTGAGGCATTGGCGACATGTGTAAACTGCTGCGCCAGTCTACTAAAACACCACTTGACCAGCTGCGCTCCACCTGCACCAAAAGCTGACCAGTTTTGTATCAGCAAGCTTACAGCGCACTTTCTACACTATCAGTGGGCATGAAAATGCCACTGTGCCAGCTGATTCTGACGACACCTCCCCCTGCTGTGCGGCCACGCCCAGCTTGGTGGACCTCAGGGCGCCTCAGTCTACCAAAATACCAAACTGGCTGTACGCCGGGCTGTGCCAGACTAAAATACCACTGCACAGGGTGCGCCACCCAGCACCGCGCCACTGGCGGGCACAAAAATAGAGCCCAATGTCTTCTCCGGAGAAGTTTACGTTACAAAGCCAGTTGACAATAGTTCAAAATAGATGATAAAATGTAAGTTAATTGTGTTTATTAGTAAAAATTATGGACTTGTAGTATTTATAAACATACATATTTTATGTTGCTCTACCGTTGTCCTGCTTTTTCTTGATTTTACTCACTGTTATGTTAAATTTCAAGTTTTTATATTTATTGCAATAATATCGTTATTGTGCTATTTTCCACAATAATCGTGAGGTGAAAATCTGGTATCTGGACATTTCTAAAAAGCTGACCAGTTTTGTATCAGCAAGCTTACAGCGCACTTTCTACACTATCAGTGGGCATGAAAATGCCACTGTGCCAGCTGATTCTGACGACACCTCCCCCTGCTGTGCGGCCACGCCCAGCTTGGTGGACCTCAGGGCGCCTCAGTCTACCAAAATACCAAACTGGCTGTACGCCGGGCTGTGCCAGACTAAAATACCACTGCACAGGGTGCGCCACCCAGCACCGCGCCACTGGCGGGCACAAAAATAGAGCCCAATGTCTTCTCCGGAGAAGTTTACGTTTCAAAGCCAGTTGACAATAGTTCAAAATAGATGATAAAATGTAAGTTAATTGTGTTTATTAGTAAAAATTATGGACTTGTAGTATTTATAAACATACATATTTTATGTTGCTCTACCGTTGTCCTGCTTTTTCTTGATTTTACTCACTGTTATGTTAAATTTCAAGTTTTTATATTTATTGCAATAATATCGTTATTGTGCTATTTTCCACAATAATCGTGAGGTGAAAATCTGGTATCTGGACATTTCTAATCTGCTGATTCAAGCCAACTTTATGATACAATAAATGATATAATACTATGTCTAGGATACAAAAACATGAAGTAAAATAATATGCTGCAATTCGAGATATTACAATGTAATACAATATGACCTGGCACAATCCAGTACACATCATTGGCCCTTAAATGCATGAAGCTGCCTCCAAGATAGGTTGGCATCAAAAAATTAACCACAGTCATCATGTATACAGAGAATTAAATACCAAGGGTGACCAAAAACCACATTTATTGTATATTTTTTATATAACACTTCTTTAACTCGATGCTTAATAATACTTAGTGAAAGAGATTAAAAATACCACCAAGACAGGCCTCAGGAAACACTATTTAACAGTTTCATATACACACTATATATTGTGACAAAAAGTCTTCAATGTGATCCTGACTCCAATATTCTCAACATATTTTCTGCCTCCATTCCCTCCGCTCCTTTAAAACCTTCAGCGGCGCTGCCAAGAAAAATGTATTTCCATTCATATTTTCCAACGACTGAACATCATCCTTTCATAAGTAATTTGTGATGGGCTAACACTTCCAGTTTGATGAATACAGTGCTAAAACCAATATTTGAATCTATAAACCAATATGGATGATATGAGAGGAAAAAGCTTTGAACAGCTGCTGAATGCCAGACATCTATCGCATAAATTAGGCCTCTGAGAGGAGTTATGGAGGGAGTCGACGGAGCCCCCAAGAAGTGGATTCTGCGTGAGTAATGTTTCTGAATTTTGTTGTGCACTGCTGTCCTCCTTTCTCATTGTCTTCTACCCCAGAAATTATTTACCCTCTTGGATATTAGCTGTAGAATGCAGAGTGCAACCTTTGAGGAACCTGGCGGCGGCAGTGACGGATGGTGTTGGAGGCCAGAAGCAGGCGATGAATTTGAGGTTGATGAGGCGACTCATATCAGAGCGTGCGACATCAGCGCTCACCATCAATCTCTTCCCCTCTTCCCTCAAGACATCTGGCACATGCATCAGCAAACACACTATTGAAAGAGAATGGAACCAAACCCTGACTAAAAACACACGCAAATGCACACACACACTTGCACATGAACATTTTTCAACACAGTACTGCACATTCAAGGCCTCATGACAAGATACTGAGCCTGCAGCCAGCTGCCTCTAATGTACTACACTAGATCCTGGTATAAAACTTTAATAGCATAATAGCTTGCATTGACATCACTTTAAATTCAGTGGACCAGAGAGCAAAGATAGTCAACCTCAAGATGGACTGGCATGAAAGAAAAATCCTCTCTGAAACCTGCAGCGTTACATGAGCCAAGTTTTGGTTATTTAATGTGCGTCCTGTACTGACCTAATTCATTATCTCGTTGAAAACACTGTGTTTGAATACATTATTGGGCAAGTCACAGCTTTAAATTCTTTAACGCTAGGGGGTGATGCAGAGGATTTACCCCTACAATGGGTAAATCACAGTTTTTACATGTATAAGTTCAACAAGCTTTTCATGCTCAAAGGTAACACTTGCACAAAAATAGCGTGATAAAAACTAACTATAACATCAGAAGTCATGTTTTAGAACAGATTTGGGCATTTTATGGCCCGAGGCCCACATCCGGCCCTTTGGATGTCCCTGCCCGGCCCTTCGTGAGGTCTGACGAACAAATTATCAACATGCTATTCAAGTGTGTTGCCTTTATTTTGAAAACCTAGCCGTTGTTTTATTTCCATTTGGACGCATGTGCGTACATCCCAGATCTGCATTCGTGAACAGAGACAAGTTTAAACATTGGCAAAATATCCCTAGACGCTTTATAGTTGCCAAGTCCGCTTATTATAAAAGACTTTAGGCTTGTTTATCTCAGAAGTTGCTTGTTAAACTTGTGAGTCACGGGTGCTCTTTTTTGGGCTTGTTTTTAACCAGTAGTTGCTTATTTGGGCTTGCTTTTCTGTATGTGTGAACCCCCCTGATTTGAAGTTGAAGTTATTGTTGGTTTGGTCCTCCAACACAGTTCAGGTTTCTCATGTGGCCCCATGTAAATATTAATTGCCCACCCCTGTTTTAAAACATTATTTGACGTGCACTTAAATTATGTAGTTTAGTGGTTATAATGGAGAGGGTGGGCTTTTAGACCTAATGCTGGGGGTGCATTTAGTCACCACTGTGACTAAATGCACCTTAAACTGAATCACTTTTTTTAATTTGGGTACAACCAGCTGGCCCATACCTGATGATTTAAGGGGAGTGATTGGGCTTTAGTCAGTAAGCTATTTAGATTGCAGGCATTATTCAATTTTACCAAGTGTGTGTCAATGTTGTACTGATGCAACTGTGGATTAACGGCAGCAAGTACCACTGAGCTGTTTTGGTGTTATTTTACATCACATTTGGGTCACTGGATCAAACAACTCTACCTTGTGTGGTTGAAACCTGTGATGCTCAAGTTGAAGAAGTAAATAATTATAGTTGCCAAAAAAAAAAGTCATTATTACAGGCTTACACTAGTACAGTTAAGTCTTTTTTCTTCAATAATATGGGAATCAAACTGCTTGAACCTTAGAGTAAACATTGTTTGCTCGTTTTTCAGCAAATGTCTGTAGCCCAAGGGGCCAGTGTGTTGAGTTTGCATGGCTATTTTATCTCTCTACACCAGCTGTCTGTGATGCAACTATAATGAAAGTAACAGTATATTTGTATGCAGACCTCCTTTTTTGCATTCTGCAGCAGAGTGTGCTTGTAGGTAGGTGATTGTGATGTCCTCTATATTTTCTGTTATCATTTGTCAGAGTATTTCTCTAAGCTTGTGTTTTCATAGTGATCTGTGGTTTGTGAAACGCATTAAAAGATACAGATGATCTGTTTGTGAATCCTTAATGTGATCTGTTTGCTTTCGGTGATCTTTTTATCGATCCTACACCTGTCTTTGTGGGCTTTTTGGTCTCCCAGCTTATCTGCATGTACTGTACAGTAAACCTCATGCAAAAACACACGCACAGGCTGCACATAGCTGTACACAGACTATACCTTGAGGCAGACAAACAGAAGGAATGAGATTGGTAAGTCCTCCAAAACTCCTTGTTGAAATGAAAACTGTTATCGGTTATCAGCACACCACCTGACTGGAAGGGAAGTAATTTGAAAGCCGTTTGAAACACGGTAATTTGCCGGTGTGACTCATCGCCAACACCTACAGTCACAAAACCTCTGATCCTACAGTGGAAGAATAGGATAGCAGAAGTGTGTGTGTGCGGTGCAAGATACACAAACAAGCTGGTGTTTGAGGTTTAAAGATAGAAAGCCATAAGGAAGATGTGTAGCTTCAATCATACAATTATGGATCATACATCAAAGTACTCCCTGATTCCCTGCAGGGTAATGGAAACATTTTATTGCAACAAGTTTTGCCCAAAAAACTGCTAATTGTACTGTTCAAAATATACTAAATTTCGAGTTTTTCATTCAAGTAAAACACATTAATCCTGCAGTGGACGTAACTATAGGATGGAGCATCCCATTTTATTTCCAGGCAAGTCAACAGATATTTGTATTGATAGATATCCTACGCAGGTTTGTTGACATACATAAAGCATGTCGCCTGTGGATTCAAAGGATAATTAGATGCCTGAGATACAGAGCGAACTGCCTTCATCTTGAATCCAGAAAGGAAGCAGGGGTCCAGTTAATATAATTTGATGACAACCCGATAGTGTCACAGAAAAATAGGACACACTCACTTGAGGTGTCAGGCAGGGTGAGGGAAATTATCATGATTAATGCAGGACTACAACTCGGCAGAAATGTAATCAGTCTCTCTCTCTTGTTAATCATTATCTCTTCCTGATTAATTTCTGCTCAAGATTTGAAACAAGATATCAAGCTTCACTGTGTCAGGCAAAGACCTCAAACAAGACTTTAAAATATGGATACATTTAGAAAACATCCATCATATGATGAGCGGTAATTTTTCAGGAAGGAACAGTGAGGCGATGGAGTGAGCGGGTAAGCTGTGATTATTTTTACAGTAGTTATTAAGTCACTGCTTTTGTACAATAAGTTTGAAGTTGACTGAATTAAAAAACTATAAAAAAAAACTTAAAACGACTAAAACTCATACCTTCCTTCAAACTGCTGCACAACAATAATTGGGGGATTATTCACAATGAGGTGTCCATTACCAGTAATTAAGGGACAATGGAGTAATATATGATGAGCAGGTGGTTATGCAAATTTGAGTTCAGACAGGGTGAGCGGGTCTTACTTGGGATTCTAACACGCATGACCATCATTTCATTAGGGTTAGGGTTATTCTATCTAGTTACCCGGAAACAGACTAAAGACATAAACAAGTTCCTCAGACTGCTTCGCTCACATCAGTGCAGGTAACTGTCATTATTTTCTGACTTTAAAGACCAGCCAGTGACAGAAACTTTCTTTTTCTTTTTTGCCACAGTGGATTCTAATGTATAGCATACCAATCAAAACTATATATTTATATATATATAATTTGATAGGGCTTGGGTGACGAGGTTGTCCCTGACATTGCTCATTGCTCTGTTGAGAATTAAAGACTGTTGTTATAAGTTTTGAACTTTTAAATACACTATTTACCAGAGCTGGGCAATTAGTGAGAAAGGCTGATCATTAAGACCACTCAAAGAGGCTGCTATGTAAAGCACCCATCAGTACTAACTGGTCTGATTAACTAATTAACTGTCTGATTTTCATGATCTCTACCCCGGCCTTGCTAGCCTTGGTGGGCTACCACCTGTTGTTCAATCTTTTCCATCTTCTGAGTCCGAAAGGTTTTGATTGCCACTGTTCAGATTACTGAACAAACCTCAGTCCAATAACAAAGGTTGTGTTGGTCAGAACCTTGGGTGTGTTTTATTCCAAGTGTGAAATAAACAGTTTTGAACAACAAAAGACAACTAAATGATGCCACGGAAGAGAAAAAAACAAATGACTAATTGACTTTTGGTCTGACAACTTCATAAATGGTCAATTTAAAACGATGCGACACTTTTCAATTTATTTTCAAGAGGCAGAGAGATAATTGACCATACGCCAATGTCAGGTGCATGCCAGTTTGCAAATCAATCAGTTACGACTCCAGACAGATCTAGTTCACGTTGTTGATGACAACAGAACAACAGTTTGTCAGTGATTGCTCTGAGGCCCACCGGCATAATTGTATGACTACATTTTTGTTTCCTTTCCTCTGAATTCTTCGTTTCTTTAGGCTCAACTTTTGAAGATTCAAAATAAATCTGAATTTAGTTTAGCACATAGGTGGAAAGATACTGCTTTTCTTCTTTTAATACTAAAAATGCACTGGGTAAAGGGTTGAAATAATGCCACCGCACCCCCTGTACTGAGATTATCTTTTGAGTTCAATGGAGTTATGGGACCACCTCATATGATCTCTTAATATCAAAGCTGATGTCAGGATATTTCAGGGAGATGAAGGTTTTATCCAAACTGAAACTGTCGTCAACCTGCTGCAGTTTACTTTGAAGTGGGAAAAACAAAGGCAGACAGCTAAGTCTGGATAAAAAGTAAAGTTCAGGAAGACATGGAAATCAAAAGTTATCAGTTATTCAGGGGGAAACTTGGGTTGATAATGTCAGTCTAAATCCTGAATATCCAGAATTTTTTAGTGCATCTAGACAACCCAGATGGTGCTGAAAACTGTTCAGACACTTGAAGACCAGATCTTCTCTTTTCTCGAAAATATGGGAAAAACAGCGGTTCTGACCAAGGTACCAATCCAGATTCCTCCTCTGATAATAGTCAGAGCCTGGTTTTTGGAGAATAGTAATAGTAATCGCAGGATAAAGACTGGGTTTCCAGGCAGAATAACAATCTGTCATACAACATCCTCTATACTTATTCTTAGTTAAATTCATGTTAAATGTGTTAAAGAATGGTACAACCAAATGAGATATAATATTTAAGTGTTCGTAGTGGCATTTGGAGGACTTTAGTGGGTGTACTTAGAACAGGCTAACTATTACCTTTCTTCCCTGTCTCTGTACAAAGTCACAACCATTTCTAACCACCCTCATGAATATCAAAACAGAGCTTGTTCTTGCAGATGACCCAACCCTGTCAACCACAAAATCACTGAATAACAACTATGTTCAGGGCCAAAGTCATGGCTTCAGTACAACAACAACAAAAAAGGGACACAAAGAAATGAAGCATGTGGGCAAAAATGGATGGTGGCTCATGTACAAGGAGCCAGATAACAGATTATGGGGTTTACAGATTATGAAATGGCATGGATAAACCATTTAGGATTAACTGTGGCATTCATCAATTTTCTGAAAATAGTTATGAAATCTCAGAGGGGGTATTTTTTTTCTCATGTAAAAATGCCTTTGACCAAGATGAAGCAAACCATAAACAAGAAGTCTGTCCAGTTGCAAAATGGTGCAAATAACAAAGAACACACATTTGTGTAAATCTAACAGAATAAATAAATGAAGTGTCATGTTTTGGCCCGGGGACAGGTGGAGCAGACGGTCTTGTCATATATTTCCTGTGAAACATTCCGTAAACAGGCCCCTTTTGCAGCTTTATGTGGGTAAAACCTTAGCTTGTAAATGTGAAAGGATTCAGGCAGTAAACAGCAGAACAAAAGCTTCTATCCAGCCAGCTCAGTATTCACCAAATCCATTTTACAGATAGTGGCATACAATGAAATTTCCCATTTATTTATCTGTCACTTCTGCTAATCCAGACCATGATCTCCATGAAACAAAGCCATGTTTACTGTACGCAACAGAATTTCATAAACACTGCTCATGTCTTCTCTATCATTTCAACTCATCACAGCCTCCATAATAGCTTCACGCATTCTTTGCATTTTCTGTTTTTCTTTTCTCTATCTCTCCTCTCTGTATGTTCCATTTCCAGGTATGAGCATGCTTATCTTTGTGTGTCTGCTGGTGTTGGCGGGAGAATAAGAAAGCACCGACAAGACAGCGAAAGCAAGGAATTAAATAATTGAAAAAAAAAAAAAAACCTCAGTGTGTTAATTGATGCCAAAGATTGTGAATCCCTGCCAGTTTAAGAGAAAAAAAGAGCCTCATCATGTCATGTTAGTATGATAAATTAAACTGGCTGAGACCGAGCATAACCAAAGTGCTCTGTTGTCAAAATCAGAGGTTGCAGTTGGCCTAGCTGTTCAGACTTGAAGCACTTTGCACCTTCAGGTCATGTATTTATGCGGCGCTGTGTCTTCAGAAACAGAGACAGGAAAGTGTAGCGACTGAAACAGATAAACTGGTACAGTTTAGGGTTTATAACTGCTAGGTGGCCAACACTAGGGTGACCATATTCTACTACGCAGGGCAGAGCGCACGCAAAATTTTGAGGGTTTTTCTGGTTGGGTCAAGTGATTTTTTCTTGCTTCTGACTCAAATAAATACATTCATTTATCTCTCTTTTTTCCCCCACATGGAAACGGCTTCCATACAAAACTCTGGACATTTGAAGGGTTTTATAAACTCCCTCCGGACAAGCCGGACAGCCCTCCAAAACAAAATTTGTCCAGGCAAAAGAGGACGTATGGTCATCCTAGTCAACACCCTTTTTCCTGAAAACCTGCAGAGCTCTCATTAAGAAGCCATAATGGTTCCTAAAGCAAGGAGTCGTCATAATTACTGTTTTTCATGTGCTGCTAACTTTCACTAGTTTAAAGCACAAGTGCAACCTCCAGTCCAGTGTCCAGTGGAGGTAAAGGTGAAGCCTGCACCTCGGACTTAACACAAAACTTTCAATATAATCATAACTTAAACGTTTTTGCTGAATCTGTTTCTTGTTGTTTGTTTTACAAGAAACAGATTCAACTCTGCTTTTGTTGAAGTCAATGTTTTTGTTAGTCTAACTTTCAGCTATCTTGGCTGAAAGTATGTTTCCAAACTCAGCTAATCAATGTTAATTTTTGCTGAATGGTTTAGGATCTGTGTATGTTTCTCTTAAAAAATTATTAATCATATTCTAGTTGAATTAAGTAAACCTGCTCCTCAAAATAGAGACCTGATTCCACAAATTTTGTAAACATGCTAGTTAGAGAGTTTTCGTGTGTTCATGTCATTTAATCACCACACATCAGTCACTGTCCTTGAATGAAAATAATTATTAAAAAAAAAACAGCAATGTAACTGATTGCCAGCCTGAATGGAGCAAACAGTTTTGTCTTGTCATTTTTTTATGAACAGAGGTTTTCATTGGTAGTCTGTATTTTGCTTTTCATTTTCATCTTTTGTCTCTGTTTTTCTCTGTTTCATCTTGCAGAAAAATCAATGTGTCAATGAACAGACCCACTTATCATTTTGCATTGACAAAATTCGCAGTGTCTGTTTTCAAGGGCTGAACTGTGAATTCTCTCTAGTTGGTGGACTTAAACTTAAAAAAAAAGGAAATAAGATCTGAAGATTTATCAGCTTATCTAAATCTGCTACAATACAAAACATAATACTATCACTAAAACAAATCCGTGATATTTATCACTTTTTTTTCAGAAATGACAAATGAAGACTTGGATAACAATGTCATTTTTTTTGGTCCATTTATCTATGGTAAGTGAGATGCACTCTACTTACTCGAAGCTCTGTGTAAATCAAGCTTTTGTCTCTGTCCAGAGCTCATATTAGAAAGTAAAACAGGGCCTATGCCAGGGTGAAAGAAAGCCGGTATGCAACAGAACGCCATACCGGGAAGACATAAACAGCAGTTTACAGCCGGTACGCAGCGGTACGCAAACTTTAACCCCTGCAGTGTATGTATGCTACATTTGCTTACCGTGTTGCCGGACGTCAGTCTGCACTCTGCATTGTAACCGCAGTAATTCAAAAGGTTCGTGCTGCTTGCGAGTGAGTATTTGCTTCCGCAAACAAACAAATTCCGAAAATGGAAGCGCTCAATGCGAACTTTTGATTGGACGCTGGTTGCCGAGGCGCTGGGGATCGCCTGCCGCCTTTTGCGGAAGGAAGGGACCTTTTAAAGAGACAGCTGCTTCAATCTTAATGCAGCAATAAAACAAAATGCAGAGAAAATTTGATTTTATGTTCAAGAGAAAGAGAATAAATATATTCTATTTATGACATACTTGAGTAAATTGTGCAACAGAAGCCTGCAGATGACTATAAATGTGATTTATTGTTCTCAAATTACTTGAGGATTTGTATGTGGCTTTAAAGTATGTCCCTATTGTATTTTCCAGCTAATAAATCACACATGTAGTCATTTGCAGGCTTCTGTTGCACAATTTACTCAAGTATGTCATAAATAGAATAAATGTATTCTTATTTGTTGAGGGGCACCTGTTAAACTTGTGTGTGCTCCTCTTGTACAAAGCCTCCAGTTACAGTACATGGAAGAACCTTATCCTACTTTCACCCCTGGGCCTATGTAAAACCTATTTTTAACTTCTTACGAACAAACGTCTCTCCTCAAACAAGTATATTAAACCTATATATTCAACACATACTGTAACGGCGACGCTTTATTTATTTCGCCCAACAGTTATTTTACTGACCGGACCTTGAACACATCATAATGTGATACGGTAGCTACCTCGTTTAGCTAGCTCATAAACTCTTCCCCTGGCGATTTTTATCAACATTAGACGACTGTTTTGTATCGGGACTTGCTAAAAAAGTTCGTGTTTGATTTCCAAAGCTGTTTTGAGTGAAGGAGGTAACTTTCCCAAAGGATTACAAATGACCAGAAGTTGTTGGTCCTTTCTCAACATGAAGACACTCGAAGGTAAGCAACTGACTACCGGTGTTTCTCTTTTTTATCACCTGTTGGATGGAAATTGCTGGAAACTTGAGTGGATAATACATATGTTTGTGTGCTATTTGATTAAAATGTAGCACAATTAATGGAATAACTTCATAGGACCCATGAGACTTGATAAAAGTATTTTTAAGCCCAAAGATTACTGATTTTCAGGTTTAGAAAGTGCATGAGCAGGTCCTTAACAGAGCAGGGTTTTGATCCCTATCTCAAGATGCACAGTAGGCTATGTAAAGCATGGTAAAAGATGAATCTGTTAATGGTATTATAAAACATTGCAAGGCAAAACAAGAGTAGCAACTGTGAGGAACTTCAAATTATTCAACAATAATCCAAAACTTTATGTTTGATCTTATAATGGTTGTATTGTAAGAAAAGTACCCAGAAAGATCTTAAATGGGGTGTTTTTAGAGCATTTTTCTGTCAATCATCCTCTATTTACATGCAAAATACTCATTTTTGTGAGTGGTACAACTTTTTGGTTCAGCTTCTTTTCAAAATTGTTATTCATGATTTTATTGTTATGAATTTATTGCCATTAAGAGCTGGCTGTTACACCGTCTATCCATCTTAATAAACATGATTAGTCACTGCCTCTCATTCTTGGTCACCATTGGTAATTGTACCTGGGCTCAGAGCTCAGAGCAGTGCGATCATTCATAAGCTTCAATCATACACTTGTTTCTGGAAATTCTGCTCGCTGTGGGGAGCTGAGCTTAGGAACAAAGGAAGGAACAAGCCGCTCATTACCTTTTAGTGTTTTGTAATCCTTGAATATACGACTAGACAGACCGTGGCAATGTGTCACTGCAGATTTGTTAACTAAAAAAGTCATCATAAATATCAGATCTACTTTATGTAGCAACTTTTGAAACCCTAAAAATTGATTTGTACACTTGTGTACTTCAAGCAGGGTTAGCTTAAAACAATTGCTTAGAAATGTGTAGAAATGTCATGTTGGTTGACTTGTTAAAGAGTGATTGTAATGTTCTTCCTAGAGCTGCGCCCCCCACCTCAGTCGATGATGGACTGGTCAAGGTCTCGCTACAAACAAGCGGCCACTGGAAGAGAGTAGGTGAGTTGTGTTAAGTCTCTTTGCTAAAGAAATTAGGCAATGTTAAAAAGATGTTTGGTGGCTAGTGCTGTGGCTGGGACCCTATATGTACTGTTGATGAAGTTAGGTGCTGTTCTGAGCATTATTTGCAGCTACAGAGTGGCATTTTGGTTGAGGTTTCTTTATGGCTCCTGAGACCGCTGTGTATTGCTATCGTGCGGTCATTACTGAAGTTGGTATAACCAGAGAAGCAAGCAGTCGGCAACATTCATCTCTCAAGGGGGTGTCTAACTAGGTGTTACGGTGTGTTTGACCTTAACTTAATTTTACGCCGGAGTATCCCTTTAACTGGCAGGCCTATGTAGTTCCTTTTCCAAGTTTTTTTCCAACATTAATGCACTTTAAAGTATATTTATAGCTAGCTGAAGTAAGTCTAAAATCAGCTAATCATTCAATAGTGGAGATACAGCTGAGGATGTGGTACTTAAGTTGATAATTAGTTTCTAAATAAAAGATATTTTGATTTCCGAGAAGAACACACTTCTTGACTGATTATATGCGATAAAAGCAGCTGTTTATGGCACATGTTCAGTTTTAGACACTGATGTACGTTAAAAGAACACATCCAATCAGTGCGTCAGTCAGCTCAGTAATTCTTCAAATGCTGATGGTAACTTTGTGATAATCTCTTTTTAAGGCAAACCTCTCTTAAAGCTTATTTTCAGCTTCCCTTTTTGTCAGAGATTAGCTATTCACTGAGATGATGAATCTGATTTATCTCAGATCAGACTGCCTGCAGAAAACAACCCCAGAATTACTAAAAATAACCTGAAACCATGGCCTATGACGTATATGCCAATCAACAAGATTAGGGGTGTTTTTCTTTCATATAGAGGAAACAGCAGACATTACAGTAATGGTGCAAGTTTTTGTTCGCCTTGTTTTTGTAAATGAATAGTGAAATGCAGATGAGCTCTCTGGGAGGGGGGTTTGAGAAATCAGACTGCACTCATGTCAACACTAATAAGCCTCTTTTTATATCTGCCTCTCTGCAATTTATACTGCGTCATTATTTTAGAAAGTTTTAGTCAGTTTGTTTTCCTTTTTTGCATTAACTCTGAGTGCTTCTGTTACTTTGAATAGCTTTGGTTGGTTGATGTTTGTCCTTCAAGATAAAGGCATGTCTAAATATAGATGAATTTGTCTGTTGTTGGTTGGTTATAAAACGGTGAGTGCATGTTATTTAAATGTGTTATTATCAGGTGTCTCTGGGTCAGCAGATTTGTTACTAAATTGGCATTTTTCGAACAATCCTGATGGTTCGCAAATAATTTACAGTTTTTTATTTCATGGAATGGCTGTTACGTCTTATGTCCTGGCATTTAAGCTTTAAATGTCACTTGATGTTGTACATTTTAGACATTTTTTTATTCTGTAGAACACAGCAAAGATGACACAAGGGTATTTTTTTATGTGGTTATAATAAAAAACATATGTCAGAATATAGGAACCAGGACAAATTCTTCTTTTTGCTGGTTTACTGTTGTATATCATATTTAATTTAGTATTTTATTCACAGTCAAGTCCAAACATTGAAGTTTTTTCTTTGGCATTTTTTATAGATGTAGAAGATTATAGCAGCAACTGTATGGTCTCCATCTTATAACTTTAACGTCTGTTTGTGTTTTCTTTTCACTCAATCTTGTAACACTGCTGAAACCTGTCCTGTGTCTGTGGTTTGTGGTTACCATGTGTCTGTTTTCTTCAATTTAGTTGATGCCTTTTTCACTCTGCAGCTCCTTGTGTTTTAACATCCCCTGCCATCCTTTGTACTGCTTTCCCACTTCATAACATCATTTCTTTGTTGTTGACTCAAGTTGGGTATCATTATATTTTATTTTGTTGATACCATTATTAAGACTCATTTATGACCAAGTCCTTACCAAGTCTTTTCTGTTATTATTGTTTTACCCCCAAAAAACTTCTAAAAAAATCTGGATTTGACATTTGGCATGTCATGATCGCACATGTTTAATTCTTGTTTTACTTACCTTTAATGTTGCCTTGTTTGTTAGCTAACTAGCTTTTATCCTATTGATTTTAACATGGATTTAAACCTTGACTTTGGCATTGGATTCTGATTTTTCTGATTTTTAACTAACAAGACACGCTGTATAGTCTCGGTGTGCTAACCCCAGCTGCTTTGGGTAAAAGAGGAGAGTGGCAGACCCACAGCACCAGAAACTGACAGAGTTGTTTCAAGCAGCTGACAGTCAAAAGTTCTACATTTATGCTTGATTTGATGCAAAATGCAGAACTGGGTTTTTAGTGGAACCGAGTCTTGACCCCCAACTTTTTACCCCAACACTTTGAGAATTTTTTCTTATAGAGGAGCTGAATTATTCTATTGTTTTGCTGCACAGCAGCCAAACTCTGGAAATAGAGCATTTAGAAAAGGAGAGTGAGATATGCTAAAAGTTGAAATGACTCACATCTGCAGGGATCTTTAACTTCCTAAAGCCTCCAAATGAGCAGAATCTCTGTCAGAGGGACTGAATGGCACACTGTCTCAGATAAGCTGTATTAAAGAGTTAATATTCATATCTGACTGTATTAAATGGAGTTCTTATACAGTGCGATATTCAGACTACATCACGTTTTATGTTGCTGCTCTGACTAGCCTAGGCAGAGAGATATGTTCAGAAAATGGGCTATGTAGGCTGGAGGCAATCATTTTAATTCAACAAAGAGAGATATTATCTCCAGCCTACTGTGTTTTCTAGGCATTACAAATTCCTTTTTTTGTCAGCGAAAGTCTTCATTAAAAGACTGTAATCCTCAAAGTCTGCTTTAAACATCGTCCAAATTTATGCCACACATATTTCACGTTTGAAATAAGCGTTGGATCCTCCCAACATTTATCTCTGTTGAGTACAATCTGGTTCCACAACATTTAAATCATTCGCCCACACACGGTCTCTGTAAAATTTTCAAGCCAAAAGGAGTGTTTTGCTGTTTGTTCTCTGCATATGTCTGCAACCTGTCCTGATTATTATTCAGGAACTTTCCCATGTTTATTTCCAAACTGCAGAGAGAGAAGGCGGCGTGCAATTTCCTTTTGTACGCATGGTGTTTCTACCTTAGGGTAAACATGACCCTGTAACAGAGCAGAGGGTTTTTGTGTCATTCTCTACATAGAAAGGCTATTCTAAATAAAGATTTACATGCATCAAAGCTGCAGTCACGTGTCGAGGAGGAAGGTTTGGCTTTATCAGAAGCGCCCAGGATGTACAAATGATTTATGTGCACGTGTCACAATGGATAATAAATAACACTAACACTCTGGGAAACCTTTGTACAATCAAGCCACGTGGCTTTGATATTGAACACACAGCTTACAGCAATCTGTGAGCAGAATACCTTGAATTATCGCTGTCAGCTGAGGGGATAATAGTGCATGATCCTCTCTGTCAAACTGAAACAACTAATACCCTATACAAAAACTATTGCGCTCAAAATATAATATTTCATCAGACAGCTTTGCTGCACATTTGTGGAGGCTCTCCTGAGGATAAAACATCTATCAGAAGCAGAAGCGCATTGGCATACATCCTCTCAGCCACATGTTTTTGTGTAACTAATTGGATATCCACACCAAGTAAAGCACAAAATTGCCTTTTTTTTTTATCCCTCCTGCAGAAGTAGATGCAACCCTCTCTGCAGGGCGTTGGTGGGGCACAGAGGCACACACATTTATGAGTCATACATTAAATATGCTCTCCCTTCCTACTTGTATCATAAACACTCAGAGAGAGGGAAATGAAACATCCCCTCTTCCCTCTTTAACTACGTCGCTGACTTCGTCAGACAGCTGAGAGAGATTCTCTGCTCTCCATCCTTTGAGTGTTTCTCATCTGTACCCTCCAGCGGCCCCTGACTCCTCTTCTTTTACCCTGTCTGACACTCAGAAAACGCTGTTTTGACTCCCCATCTTAGCAGTGTGTGTGCAGTGTGTTTGGCTGAGGAGATAAGAGATTAGCATGAGTCAGATAATGATTCAGGACGCCAGGTGGCAAATCATGCACTCTCTCGCTCTCGTTTCCTCCCGCTCCCTCACACTGTCACTGCTGCTCTGTCTTTCATTTTTGTCACAACTGCTTTTTCTTTCGTTTGCCCCCCCCCCCTCCCCAGTATTTCCTCCCTCACATTTTCATTCCCCTCTCTTATGTCTCCCCATGACTCCCTTTTTCTCTTTTTCCCCGCTGTCTCCCTCTGTTGCAACTGTGGTAAACTCAATAACCTACAGGGTTCACAGGGTGGGCGTGGACAGGTTAACAGGGGAGATAAAGAGGGTAAAGACAGATCGAGTGAAGAGGGGAAGCTGGAGGGGGTGGGGGGTAACGTAGTGGGAGAGAAAGAAGCTGTGGCCAGATGTGGAGAGATAAACAGGGGAGCGTGTCGGATCGAGCTGGAAATTGAGCACGAATCTCAAGGAGCGTACAGAGAAAAGGCAAGCTGCTGGCATGGTGCGCGTGATGGTGGGTAATTTAGAAAGAGTGGGACATAGGAATGTGTAGTGAGAGGTAGAGAGGGTTATAGAGAGCCGTGTAGAGGTGGATGGAGGCAGGGATAGAGAGATAGAAGGAGGGGTGGTGATCCTGGGGGCCTGATGACTCATGGCTGTGCTGCGGTTTGTGCGTCACTGGCGCTGGCTGGAGGAGGAGATAGTGGAGAGGTCTACGCATTTAATTACAGCCTTCCAATTTAGACACACTGTACACACGCACCTACACACTCATACACTCACGCTAAATAATATCAGAAATAGTTGTCTTACATGTACACTAATTTGTTACACATCCACATGCAAGTGTGCAGCGGAGGTAGGCAGGCAGGCGCTCCCAGAGATGTTCGTGGAATCAGGCAAACCGAGAGCGAATGTTTCTTTTTATTTTTTTTTCTACATTTTTCCATCACAGGTATCGAGCTAATGCGGTCACGAGCGTGTCAAGCCTGCACGTTCTCTCTGTGCAGTCATCCCATCCCAGACAGACCTTCAGGCACAAAACTTATCAACCCCCCCACACACCCCCCCACAAAAAAAAAAAAGAAAAAAAAAAGTCCAAAATACCAAACGGTACCCTTTGAGCGGTTGCACCACAGGGTTTGTGACTGGAATATGAAATAGAGACACAGACATACAGGGAGACGTGTAGGACTCGCTTTGATGACGCAGTAAAGCAAACTCTTCTGCTCCCAGATTAAACTACACGCTTGATAGCTTTCAACATACAATCTGAGCCGCATGACGCTCCAGTCTTCCTGCTGGTTAAAGGTCATCTTTGTAGGAGCAGGATGTCTGCATCACTTGTCATGTAGTTTGATTATTTATGGCTGTGTGCTTCTGAATAAGACATGTCAGACTTTAGGTTTCCGAGTACAACATGTGGGTGTTTTTTTTTTTTTTGTTTTTTTTTTTTTTGCAGGGTTAGACTGTGGAAGCTGTCACCAGGCGGGTGAATGCTGTTTCTTTAAATTTTGCATACATTTAACTCACTCTCACTGTTTCGCCGCCAAACATTGAGAAAATTAAAACTCCGCGTGAACTTTGCACTAAAAGTATGTCAACCACAAGCGCTTTTTGCTAAGTGGTTGACGGGAGACAAAGGACACATGCAGAAAGAAATGAGAGTTTGAAATGGAAAAAGAACATCATGTATTACACTTGGCAGAACACATAAGAAAGAGCGGCAGCTGTGTTATATGATGGCGGTGACACAGATCTTTGACAATATGCTTCTTTGTGAAAGAAAATGTTTAACCTTAATGGTCGTTGAAAAAAAATGACTCATGTTAGCTGTACAGGTATCCAATTTAGTGAAGTGCTTCAAGTGTTGATTATTAAAACTCGCAGTGCAAGCTAATTTTCTTTTTCCTTTCTTTTTGTGTTGTTTTAGTTTTACAAAAGAGTGAAATAATTACCCTAAATTAAAAATCAGGAAAGTCTGATGTATTTTATGATACATGTTTACATCAGGGGACTCTAAAACCTTCAAACTGTGTTAAAAAAGATTATTTTCCCACACACATTCTCTTCATCTTTTCTTTATTTATTCCCTTTTTTCCCCACAGACACTCTAGTGCACATACAGGCTATTATTTCCATGTTTTTATTTACCTGTAGTTGAATAAACGTGTAATCTCAAAGAAAGAAAAAGTCAGATAGCTAACCGGTGGCACCTGAACACATCAATTCTTGTCTTTTCAATAATCAAAACCTGGACGTGAAGTGAAACACATTTGTTGTTTTTCACTGATCCACATTCTGTGTCAGAAGTCTAAATTTAACAGATCCACAGCATGCTCTCCATAAGCTCTTTGGCCACTTTTCCTTTGATTTGTCTCTCTTTGACTTGCCTCTCCTGTCCAAACACATTACCCTCCTAGTGTGCCAATTATCCCCTAAGAGGCTGCATGCCTCGCTCTTAAACAATAGGAGCAATCAGTTGCCCTCTCTCCCTCTCCCCTCTCTCTGCGCACCCCCTGTACTTTGCTCTCTTTTTCAGCAGCGTGAAAAGGGGGGGATAATTTTTTATTTTTTTTTTTACCAAACAACAGGAAAAGGCAGAGGGAGGAGAAAGGACATGAAGTAAGAGATTTTTAGAAATGAGGGAGACTGCTGATTTGTCAGTTTTCAGAGTCTATATAGCAGATATGAAAAAAAAATGTATGCAGATGTTTTTTTTTCCTGTCCTCTACAGGGACAGCCAAATGCACAGCTGTTCTATCACCTTGACACTAATCCTCTTAACCTCAGAATACACAAAAAACTACACTCATACAAAGTGATCCTGCCACAAAGAATCAAACAGAGGTCACAGACTGCAGAAAGTGTTGCATTTCCACCCTCAGATGGAAGCCAAATATATAGTTTCACCTCATCAAATTTTCTAATTTTTATTTGCTGCTCCTCAAACAAGATGTTCAATTCGTTTGTTTACCAGAGAGCAGTTTCATTAACCTCCAAAATAAATCAATCTGTAAAATTAATAAAACAAGACAACAGTAATAATTTTTGCAAATGTACCAGATAAATTAGTAAAAACAAATTATGAAAAATAATCTACTGAAATTTCTGATGTGTCATTTTTTTTTTTTTAATCAATTCAGGTTTTTTTCCCCCAGCAGTTTTCCAGGTCTTTCAATTTAACGCCTATTTCCCCTCTCATTCATGTCTTTTATCACAAATCGTCAGCGGCCTCGTCCCTGGGGAGGGAAATCCCAGCTGTCACTAAATAACTTCTCAGATCACACCAATAAAGCTAATGTCCACGGACACCAAAGGCCACAGAGTCCATTTAACAGCTGCTTAACGCACACACCCGCACACGCACACAGATTGCTGTGGATTACTCTAAACAGGCTAATGATCTCCTCAATGGGACAACTGGGACTCTTCTGAGATCGTCTTCAGCCTGAGGCCCCACAGGGACCTGAAGAGAGGCTCAGGGGTAATTACAATGTAAATCCACATTTGTGTGTCTGTGTGTGTCCCTGCTGTCCTGCGTGTGCGTGTGTGAGATTAGGCTAATCTACAATCAAGCAGCTTTGAGTTTGCAGAATGTAGAAAATAAAAACTGTTTCGACAGTCATGTTAGCTTATATATTTAATCCTATTTTAAACCTTAACATTTTCTGCTCTGACATATTGAACCGAACAACCTTATGAATAAAACAATGTGGGCCTGAGTGCAATATATTCTATCAAACAATAACAAAGGGGTGGAAATACCACAAAGGAGTATAATTTCATGCACTTTAGATTTTCGCAGGCTTTAAATTAAAAAAAATCTGCTTGAAAATTTAGTTTTCAAGTGATGATTTAAACAAAGCAAGAGTTTCCATGTTTGCTTTTTGCTTTCCTCAACAAGGTTAACCTGCTTCTCCACTCAAAGAAAGTACACAGTAGCTGCACCTGCTCTGCACATTAAGTGACATTAGACCTTAAAAACCCTAAGATGCAGATGACAGGGAAATAGAAGGACAAGAAGTGGAGGAGAGCCTAATTGAGAGGGAGAGAGGGATGGGGGTAAATGGATGTATGATTGATGCAGGATGGATGCAGGAAGAGAAAGAGGGAGAGAGACAGAAAAGAGGGGGAGAAGGAGGGGGAGAAAATGAGGTGGCAGGCACAAATTGGTCCTCACCTTTCTTTTTTGTGTCATTCTGCCTTTGTTTCGCCTCATAACCCCTCATCATCATCATCATCATCATTATTACCCCTTATCCCTTCTCTCTTTTCCTGCCCCTCTCTGTAACGCTTACCTTGCCAATCAGACGGTAACATGACATTAGGGCTCATTATACCTGGGTGGATGAATGCTCTTATTCTGGAGGCCATGTAGTTTCCTTAGGTACGCTGTTACATGTAAAAACCTGTTTTCTGTTTTTTTTTTTTTTTTTCCTTTTTTTTCATTGGATCTTATTTCCAGAATTACGGAAGACACAGGGTATTATGTAATTCAGACATACAGTCCTGTTGTCCCTAAAGAAAGCGCTGATAGACATAGCAAGAGAGTGTAAAGAGAGGAGAAAATCACAGGAGAAGAAAAGGTTGAAAAAGAGCCATAAACGCTCAGGCAGCAGAAAAACATTGTGGTCATCTGCAGTGCGATGAGTCACCTGTAGGCAGCACACAAACACACACACACACACACACACACACACACACACACATACACACACAAATATGCACAAACCCAGAAGAAACAGCCTTTGCAATCACAGCCCACAGCTGTGTAACTACAATACCATATTGTCTCATAAACTGCATTCACTGAATGTTTCACATAGATACATCTGAAACAATCTTCTCCTGAATGCACGAGTGAAAATCTGAAAAAATAAAAGCATTTAAAAACCAAATAAAATGACAAAATGATTCGACCTTTTCAATCCTTCATAGTGAACTCGAGCAGCTAACCCAGCAATTATTGTAAACTGACTAAATGTTAATGAAAGACAGAAATTAGTCTTCACACAGTCTACTGCCATTTTTCCTTCTGTTCAGTTTCTGCTGGATTGGGCCTTGATAAGGCCGTCCAAATGTGCCCTGATCAACACTAGACAAAGGCAGCGTAAACCTGAACTTAAACACACAACAGGGAAGAAATAGGGGTGCGACTTGTAAGTATTTTGATAATCAATTATTTAGTTATTTGTTTTCTTTAATGATCAGATTATTGTTTTGAAATTCATTTGAAAACAGCAGAAATATCTCACAACACAAAGCAACATCATCAAAAATCTCGTCGGACTTCTGTTAATACAATGATTTTTTTAGCCAAAAATTTGCAATCCAAAGAACTTAAATTGTAGAGCCCATAATCAATCAGATTTTTAATTTAGACAATCAGATAATTATGATTTAATTTCTTTCATTTTAATGTCAATAGTCAAATATCTTCAGCGAGACAAATTTCGTCATTGAGTTTCTGTTAAATCAACTCTTCAGCTCAGTTTGAAATCCCTACAGCAAATAGATACAATCAGACAGGAACACAACATTTCATAGATAGAGGGGAGGAAAAAAAATATGACAGAGGAAGAGAACAGAAATCCACATGGGCCTTATTTTCTCGAAGTTTTGCTGTCTGAGTATCAGAAAAAATAGCACAAGAATGGAAGTACATAGCGTCCATCATTTGGCATTTCTTATTACATTACGTTCTACCAAATTTCTTTGTCCTATAAATTGTGTTAGTGATTGGTTTCGCGTACTGACTAGCTAACAGTGGTTTCGCAACTTCAAAGTAAGCAATATTACAGTCGCATCGAACAAACATTAAAAAATTACTGTAAATTACTGTAAAATAGACACCTTAGAAAATAAGGTGAGTTGTCAAGAGCAACACGTGCTAATTTCAATTTCAAGGTTGTCTCAGTCTGAGCGTCGCTGTCTTACTTTAATGAGTAATATACATCCATTGGTATTTGTGTGTCTGGCGCTCGTGTGGGTCATGTAGAGACAAGCGTTACATTTTAGTCCGCCTGAATTTCCTCCTGAAGATAAAAAGGGCAAAGAATAAGGAGCAGATCTTGTCATCATTCATTCTAATTCACTCTGCGTTTAACTCACACCCTCCGACACCCGCCCTCCTCCTCCTCCCAGCCTGCTTCATCTCGTTTCACCGCCAACCTGCATCACACTCTCGCTCCGCCCAGCCGTCGCTCTCCCCTCCCACATTTCCTCCATTCACTCCCTTCTCCGCTGAACAAGAATGAGCTTAATTCAGCTGTTTCGGAGACGAAGGAGACAGCTCTGCTTTTGCAGTCAAGTCTAAAAATCTTTATTCGTGGCCCGTCTCTCATTTTATGTCTGTATATGTACAGTTGTGTATATGTGTTGTCTGTGTTTTGTTTGTGTGTGTGTGTGTGTGAGAGAGAGAGATAGTTTAACAGTATTCCTGTGCACACAAATTATTCAGAGGCGCTCTTTTATTCATGGACACGTGCATCTTTTAAAGCTTTTCATTTTGGGGAACAATTTTGGTTGAGTGGTTTATGCAACTTTCAGGAGACTGGAAACATTCAGGTGTGAAAGACCACAGAGCAGCTATGAGCTTTTTTTTTGTGACGTTACCATAGCAACCCTGTCAATGAAGACATTTTGATTTATAATATTTTGCAGCCGCTTACTGGATTAGAAACTTTACATGGTGGAAAAGCAACGAGAGACGAGCTGTGACGTGTTTCAGTTCAGGTCTCTGTCATCGTGATTATTTTTCGTAACACTCGGCGGTTGTGACCTTTAACTGTCTAAACACAAATTTGGACGAACTCTGTTTAAACAGAAAGTGTGGCGACAAACACGATAAACATTCACAATGGATCAAATCCTACACTGACCCATGGGCTATTTTCTACATGCAGATCAGATTTCTCTCTCTCTCTCTTTTTTATTTCAGAGCTATATCAGTATGTTATTCTAGGGGTCAAATCTGTCTTTTCTGGCCTTTATCATGACTTTTCAAGATCCTGTTTGAGGAACTCTGAACTAACTCAACAAACTCTACAAATATTGTCAATTCTTAGCCTCTTATTGGTGTCATTTTGTTGTGAAAAAAATAATAAATAGAAAATATTTTGGCATCAGATGTTTGTAAAAGACCTGCCCACTTTAATTCACAAATTTGAAATCTCAAGTGAGCTGCCAAAATGTAGAGAAATAAACATTTACTCTTGTGAATAATATAACCCACTACTGTTGGACTCGGGGGTTTTTTAATTGAACTTCGTTCGGACAAACAGGTGTTGGCATTTATAGAAAACTGTTCATTTCAAGAAGTAAAGAAAAATACAAAACCTAGCCATTTAAAACGTGTTTGACAAACTTCTTCACAAGATTTGCTAGTTGTTCACTTGTAAATTACGCAATTTCATGTTTGCAAATAATTCCAAAAGAAATAGCGTGAAGACATTGTTGAGTAGAGTGAGATCATGGTGTCTCACACTGAATTAATGTTTCAGGCTGTATTATCCTTTATATCTACGTCCCATTTTGTTAATTGCATGTTTGTTATTCTGAAGAAACAACCACAAGTTACGTTAGCTAACAAAAAAAGACATTCGTTGCCCTCGTTGTCGTTTCCTGTCTCCGAAAAAATCTGTACACCACCTGTAACTTCAGAATTGTTGGAAGCATTTTTGGCAGTTTAGGTACACAACTCAACCAACTTTACACAAGAAAGAAAGCTATTATCGCAATAAAAGAGTAAATTCATGGTTAAATTGGACTCAGAGAGGGTCGACCTGCTACGTCATTAAGTGTACTGCAGATCCAGTGTATGAATCATAGAGAGCGTCATCAGTACGGTAGCTACCACAGCCCCTGATACTGTCTTAAAAATATCTTTAATTCTAGTTTGTTCATTTCTTAAAAGGCCAATAGCTGTACACGTGCAGCGATAAAGGCCACAGCAGTGAATCAGAGATCAATCTTGTACAACGATCAGTGTTAAATGTGAGCTTAGCCCTGGAAAAACTCAGTTTCGGATCTATTCCCTAAACAAGATATCATGTAGTTATTCGAAGCCACTTGTCAGAGCATGTAGCCATCAATTTAAAGTGCTGTGGGACTCTCAAAGCATCACAAGCTGCTTACGGGGTTCAAAACATGATGTGCCGCAGGTGAGTCAAGGTGCCGCTCTCCTCCTGTGACCCTCATGTCAGATCATACATCTCCCGCTTCAGTTTCTCGGATGTTCGAGAAAAAAGGAAAAAAAGGAGGGGGGGAAAATCTCCGGAGGGTGAAGCTGAACGTGGGAGAAACAGGTCGCTTTCTCTCCAAGGTCAACCAGCTGCCGGAGTCAATGAGCCTCTCCTGGTGTATGAGTCAACAACAAAGCACCGCATCAGATCCAAGCAGGAGTATGTCACACAGCCCTCCGACTCAAATAAACACAGTCATACATAATAATCCTGTCAGATTAATAGGCGGCTGTTCACTGAGTCACGCAAGATGTCCTCGAAAAACGGTTTACTTTTATCACTTACAAGTTTTTTTTTTTTTCCCCTTGTCTTTGTGCGTGTTAGTGCTCCCAGAGACACCCTCTGGTGCTGTCTGTTTGTGTTTACCCCCGTAGACAAACCCTGCAGCCTTATCCAGGGTGCTATGGAAAGGACAGTGTGTCACCAGGGGCCCAGCAGCACGCTGCCGCATTGTTTTGGAGGCTGGATGAGTCATGGAAGACAAATCAGGGTTGGTGGCATTTGAGAAGGCTGGTCCATTGCATCAGTACTGCACTGTTAAATCAACAGTGGGATTATAATACGTTCCCAGGACGCCTGTTTTAGCAGCTCAGACAAGAAATTCATTAAGGTGTAATGTAACCTAATTACCCCGGAGACCTGACGGTTACATGGCATGGATCTAATTTGTTCCTGAAGGTTAAAAATCACAGTCTTCTCCTGTCAACCATCCCCACAAAAAAAAAAAAAAAAGTTATCCAAAATTCATCCATATTCATTGCACCAAGTGTACAAAGAAGCGGTGCGATGCTTATTTCAAGTAATTTCTATATGACTCACCAAGACATTCAAAAGCTCACACATCATCAAAAGAGCAGACGGCAAATGTTCATCTGCTTTAGTCATGGCTGAACTACTTTTCATTTATGGTGTCGATTTTTTTCCGGTGAGATGAGTCCACACTTTACTTTTTTCTTTTGTTAAAGTCATAAATTAAGATGAAACGCTTAAAAATGTGTGGATTAAAGAGGACAAGGGGACACATACTCACACACAGGTTTTACCAATTTTCTAAATAACACCTCCCCGTATGGTTCAGTCTGAGCGGCTGCCTTTTGATTCTTTTGTTTTCAGTCTGCACTGATAAAAGCACAATTACACAAGATTGCTCATATACAATGAAGTGGCGACGAATGCATTCATTATTTTCTGACTCCCAGCATGCAACTCTTTTGTTCATCCTATATGTGAATGTCAAGTATATGCAGGTGACACAACTCCAAGCATGTTCCCTTTTCCCTGCTCTTTTCCTTCCCATTTTTCCTCCATTTCCACCCTTGTCTCTCTTTGTGTCTCGCTCGCTCCCTCTGACCACCCTCACACACACCGCCAACGTGAGATATCCACATCTGTGTGTCCAGCGCAGTGTGTCATGAGTGATAATATGTGACGTTGAGCGTCACGTGCCGGCGGTTTTTAGGGTTCCACTAGAAGCTACTTATTATTGTTATCATCTTTAGGCATCATTATTATCAGCTGGAGCAGACACGACGAGTCCCTCTGCGTCATTGTTCCCTCCAAAACCCCCCTAAAGCTCTTGCTGCCAAACGTAACCAACAAAGGAGGGAAGTGAACATGTCGAAAATCACTCTGGCACTCTTTCAACGTCCCTCCCCTCATACATCCTCTCATCCACAGCCTCCACCCCCCTCCTTCAGCGCTCTGTCTCTCATTTTGCCTCTCTATCAAATGTTCGCGTCTTTTATTTCATTCACTCTTTCTTGTTTCATCGCGCTCTATCTTTCTGCTTGACATGTACTGCCCTTATACGCTCTCTGCGGCCGCCATTATCTAACCCACCCATCTCCTCATTTTTCCCCCGCAACTCTCGTTTCTTAAATGAAAATTCTCACACACACACACATACAGTGGTCCTGTGCGTGTGCAAATAGTCATTCCCCTCCCAAAACCCTTTTCCACGCACTCGCACCCCTTCGCCACTACCACCACCTTCTACTCTGTCTCCCCCACCCCTAATCCTAATCACACCACCACAACCGTCATCAGCCCTTATCTCACTCCACCAAATCTGCTGTGACTCAAAACAATTTCCTCTCATTTGCGATTTTTACTGCCCGCCCCCGCCCCTTGCACCTCCATCAAACCCACCTACCCCGCTCCAATAAAATCCTCTCCACCTCCTCTATACCCCATCGTGACCCATCAGGCATGGACCCCACCCAAATGTACATGCACACAAGCACAAACACATATACAAATGCACTCACGTATACACACACTCTGACCAGTCGCCATAAGGAATGACGACGGCTCATCGTGTGTAAGCGGCGACTTGCCACTGTCATCCAGTGGAGCCGGAGAAGAACTGCAGTGTGACGTCACAGCGGACGCCACTCCTGCTGGTTGGAGGAACATATCTACGTGTGGGTGTGTGGGTGTGATTCTGCGTGTGTGGTTGGGTTGGGGGGAGCCGGAGGAGCACAATTTGGTGGGTGGGTGGACCTGGTGGGCCTTGCTGCATCACTGAACCAAGAAAATGAATGAGAGCCTACGCTAGGTGTCACCCACTTTCCTCCCCCCGTTGGCCTCCACCCATCTCTTTTCTGTCCCTTCGCTTTCAACCCTCAGGCTGAGGAAACTGTTGAGAATGGGAAAATTAAAATGTTTGACAATATGTTTTACGCTTCCTCGACTGTGTTTAATGACTTGAATTAAATGAGGGACAGACGAATAATTTTAAAAGTTGATTAAACGATCAAAGGATTCATTCGAAGTTCAGAAAAGGGTTTGAATTTTTAGTGGGAGCAAAACAGCACCACCCTATGGGACGTTTTAATACCTGCAGCCAGAGAGAGTAACGCCTCACAGAGAGGTGTTACTATGGGAGGAAGAATACAATGTACTACATGATGAAGAAACAGGATACCGGCATGTGTGTCGATTTAAAGTGGCAGACTCAGTAACACGCTTCAGTGAGGAGAAAATCAGGCGTCTGCTTTTGAGTGAACAACAACAGCTCTTCCTGTGCCCGGGTCATGAAACAGCACAAGTGTGGTGTTTTCCAGCAGACAATGTGATAGATGTAACAAGTATTAACTTTGTTGATCAGTCAGTTTAAATAGTTGTTTTTTAATGACATTCTCATGTTATAGTTAGAAAACAATCACAAAAATTGAAGCTGTCGTAAGTTAAAGTGGTGTTGACATAATTTCATTAACAAATATCAGTTGTTCGAACTCTACGGCATATCTTCTAAAACAGATGTCCAACATCATGAGCTGGAACGATATGCTTTTCTCCCAATTCGATTCTTCTACGATTTTTTTGAATGCCGATTTGATTTAAATTGCGATTCTACGATATTGTCGATTTTCTCAATCTTTAGTCTGCATTTTTAACACCAGTGAAACAGTTGAATAATTATGATTGTCTACTGATAATTCCAGGAACCATTTTTCCCCCAAAAAAAATACACATCACATGTAAGTCAGTTTTTAAGATTTATTCTTAAATTTGAAAAAAAAAAAACGATTTTTGACCATAAAAATTTATTTAAAAATTGTAAAACAAAAAAACGTGATACTTATGTGAATTAATTTTATTCTCCCACCCCTAATCATCAGATTCAATCTTAGAATTTCACATATGAGGTTTTGGGGCGCTGTAAACTTGTGATGCAGTTAACTTGTTAAAGGTGCTGTAAGGAACTTTTAGTTGGTGTAGGTTACGGGGACTCGTCTCTTTTCCTGTTCATCTGAAAGTAGTGTTGACAGACCTGAAGCTGATCCTGTTATCTTTTAACTGTGAAATGCATTGTTACAAGTGTGTGCCGTGGAAAAAGAAATAATACAAAGCCTGCTGTCAATCATCTGATCTGCCCCCGCCCTTTGCACCTCCATCAAACCCACCTACCCCACTCCACCTGCTCTATACCCCATCATGACCCATCAGGCATGGACCCCATTCAAATATTGTTGCTAGTAGTCATGTTTGCCACTGAATTGTGTCTAAAACCGGATGCAGCCTCAGTGGTGTCACCCACTGGTACCTGAGGCAAAGTTTTGAGGTCTCTTGATCGCAGCTGCCACATGAAAAATACCGACTCAACCTACTTTCAGTCCACTGAGCATGAGGCAAGAAGCTTGAGCCGCAGCAGGTCCTTATCCTCCCCGCCTAAAGCTAGATGTGCCTGCCTTTCAGTCAAACATTAAATCTCTTTGTGAACCTGACCATGATCGTGTTTCTGCCTGCTGGAAACATGAGCTCTTAAGAATGGGTGCTTGTGAGGCCTCAAGAGGACTTTTGAGGAACTGCAGTTAGCAGCGCTTCTGCATTGGCCTGTTTCTCAAAAGCGAGTCGACTGTTTAGTATCATGGCATAGGAACATATCTATTAATTTTAAATAGTCTTTGGCTGGGTAATGAGTGTGTGTCTCTGTCTTGGCTCTGTTGTAATAAGCAATCGATCAGATGCTTCTGATTTTTACTGTTTACCTGCGAATTACTTACTATCCTATATTGACTGAGCTTTTTAAGTGAGAGTGATTTAACGATTTACTTACTGAGCAGCTAAACAATGGACAACATTTACAGAGCTCCTTTAATGTCAGGCTCAGGGCAGGAAATGGAAAATACTTTTATATAGGGTGACTATACGTCCTCTTTTACCCAGACATGTCCTCTTTTTGGGGGGCTGTCCGGCTTTGTCCGGCTTTGTCCAGGGAAGTTTATAAAATCCTTCAAATGTCCGGAGTTTTGTATGGAAGTTTCAAGTTTGTGTCACGTGGATCCAACCCAAAAAACTCTCAAAATTAACTTAGTGCGACTGTGTGACTCTGTCCCCATGTAGTCGTGTCCTCTTTTTGGTGATTCAGAATATAGTCACCCTACTTTTATTATGTAAAATGTATAGCAGAAACTTGTTACATGAGATATTTGCCCTTCTAAAAATTTAACAAAACATGTTTGATACTGACTATGAAACAATAACTAACTAGGCATCCGTTAGCTGGATATTAAACTTCAGAAAAAAATTGTTGATGTACCTTTACACTTTCGGCAGAAGTGTGGAATGAACAAGATGTACATAGCAGGTAAAAATCATCAGCGTGAGGTATTTAAGCTTTCAATGTGTAATTTTTAGGCATTGCAATTCATGCCACACAGCAAAATATGTTATTCATTCCCATTCTGGTGAAACAGTGATGATGTGACATGCTGCAGAGAAAAGCAACCAGCCTTCATTTTGCAGCGTTTCAAATCCTGAGGACAAGTCTTCAGCTTGTTGGTGGGTTGAGGGTGGAGAAAGATGATTTGTAGCAAAGCCCCAGTATACTGTAAATACCCGTTTTCACAGACAGAGAGCAAGGTGGGCGGAGGTTGCCTTGGTTATTGATTATTATCCAGGTAATTGGTTATCGATTCACACCCTGCCTTCTTGTCTGTGTTTGAGGGAGAATTGTGGTGGATGAACATCATTCAGTTTGGGATTGAGTTCTGTTTTCTGCTGAATCTCATTTCAGCATGGGAGATTTATACACAAAAGCTGAAAATGGAGGAGTAAATGGACATACCAAAACAGACGAATCACCTCCTGCTGCTCACAGTGTTGACTCATGCTGCAGATCTTTGCTGAAAAGACTGAAGCTCTGGGTACCTGCTGACTACAAGAATGAAACAGTTCGATTCCTAAAACTGGCAGGACCAGTGGTAAGATTGTACGCAGACGTGACAGCCGAAAAGAATCTAATCTGAATCCACAAACAAAGTGATTAAGCGTGACTCATGTAAGAGTAGTATGATTTCTGTGCAGAGGACAGAAAAAAGATCAATTTGCGAATCAGGGAGGAAGGATCGGTGATTGATCTGACCTCAGACTGAAACAAAGTGATTGTGAAGCAGTGGAAAGGATCATTTTGTTCTATGTTTGAAGTGTGCCAAAGTTCTTCACCCTCGTGAGTGGACAAGTTGTAAAATTGTTCTTATGATAGGCCCAAAGCACTGGTCATATATTCTGTGTAAGTTTCTGCTGCAGGGCTGTAGCTCCAGTTACAGGCAGATCCCATACTGTACCATGATGCCAAACTACCTGGTTGGAAACAAGCACAGATGACCAATGGCTTCATGTAGAGGGACCATTGATTGGCATATTCAAGAAAATGAATGACCACATTTAGAAAAGATTTTTTTTTTCTTGGCTGCAGAGATCAAAATGTCTCAGGAATAATGTATGAATATTTTCCAAATGACGTGGTTCACTTTTGATGTTCGTTAAGTTAGAGCAAATATCAAAGCAGCTCAGAGGACTTTTTTGTTATTTAGCATCAAAAATGAGGTCTGAACAGCACACAGTTGACCTCATCTGCTTTTTTACAATTTTATCATTTTTTGACCATTTAGTGATCGTAAACTGTAAATGTCCAATGACACTTTTGATCTGAAAATGTAACAGATGCTTGTGACTAAATTTCACCTGCCGAAATGATCCCAAGAGCCACTGAGGTGTACAATAGCCAGGTATACAGTTAACGCATCCTCTGTGCCGTGTAAATAAAACAGTTAGTCCAAGTCATATTTTCCTTGTTTATTCTTCCTTTGTTAAAAAACAAAAAACAAATGTAAAATAAAGACAAAGGCAAATTCCAACAAATGGCGATGACTTTGATGATGGTCAAAAAACTGTTTGCCTCTCCAGCTACCAACACACTTGCCACTAATTGCGTTTCTTCTTTTTATAGCAAACAAAACTCAGGACTTCACACCGCCTGGTGTGGCACCAGGACAATTACAAATGAAATAGGAAATAGGTACAAAACACAAACCCAAAGAAAATACAACAAATGGCTCTAACAATGCTACTTGAATTCTTTGAGAAAAACATATTTTAACAGTACTGCTTAACAATTTTTTAAATATTTTAAGACAAAACAGTTGCATATATTCCATAAGCCAAAAATGGAGGTAAAAACGATGGTGTCTCATTTAAAAGAAATTAGTTTTCTGAGGTGTACCCATTTTCCGCCAACTCCCATTCATTGCACAAACCTAAGACTTGATGGACGCAGACTTTTAGTTGCCTTTTGTGTAAACCTTTTGATGCCAAAGGCTGTCAAAAACCTACACCGGCAATCACTAGAGCTATTTTCTACAAAAAAGAGAGGTAGTAAAAGAGGTTTAGAAACACAAAGGAGCTGCAGCAAACCCAAAGCAGAGCACGTCGGCTGCCAGAGCAAAGAACAACTCTTTCATGTCTGGGGGGCCCTCTGAAATCGTCTCAATGCTTGCTTCATGTTCAGCAAAATTTGTTTGTGTCTTCAGAGTTTCTGAAAAGGAGTGAGCTCTGTTTTGTTTTTCAGTTTATTTCACAGTTAATGAGCTTCCTGATCGGCTTTGTCAGCATGGTGTTCTGTGGTCACCTGGGGAAAACGGAGCTGGCAGGTGTAGCGTTAGCAATAGCGGTACAATTCTCTTTTTGTCTTCACTGGCATTTCATTCTCAGATTACTGACTTTTTCTCTCACAGCACTGCTCATGAATTCATTATTATTTAAGTCAGGGTGAATCTGACTAACTGTTGTGGTGCTTTTCATTGCAGGTAATAAATGTCACAGGAATTTCAATTGGCTGTGGTTTGGCATCAGCATGCGACACTCTAATATCTCAGGTATTCAATTCATCTTCTCCTTATAACCAAAAACAAGTTGTGCTCATTGTATGTTTAGTCTGATGTTTAAAGGGATATTCCGGCGTAAAATTAACTTAGGGTCAAATACACCATAACACCGAGTTAGACACCCCCTTGAGAGATGAATGTTGCTGACCGCTTGCTTCTCTAGTTATAACAACTTTAGTAACAACCGCACGCTAGCAATACACAGCGGTCTCAGGAGCCACACACAAACCTCAATCAAAACGCCACAAATAATGTTCAGAACAGCACCTAACTTCATCAACAGTACATATAGGGTCCCAGCCACAGCACTAGCCACCAAACATCTTTTTAACTTTGCCTAATTTCTTTAGCATAAAGACTAAACACAACTCACCTACTCTCTTCCAGCAGCCGCTTGTTTGTAGCGAGTCCTCGGGCCAGTCCATCATTATTATTATTTCATCATTATTTCTGTATAATTTCCTTGGAGTAATAATCACCATATTAATCATTTTGCACTGCAGACGCAGTAGTTCTTCTGCCTTAGTGTCTTGTCTCGGTCTGTTTGCATTTCCATGAAGATATGATCATAAGTGTTCTTCCTTGAGCTGCGTCACCCCACCGTAGTCTGTGATGGACTGGCCCGAGGTCTCGCTACAAACAAGCGGCTGCTGTAAGAGAGTAGGTGAGTTGTGTTGAGTCTCTTTGCTAAAGAAATTAGGCAAAATTAAAAAGATTTTTGGTGGCTAGTGCTATGGCTGGGACCCTATATGTACTGTTGATGAAGTTAGGTGCTGTTCTGATCATTATTTGTGGCTTTTTTGGTTGAGGTTTGTTTATGGCTCCCCAGACCGCTGTGTATTGATATCATGGTTGTTACTAAAGTTGGTATAACTAGAGAAGCAAGCGGTCAGCAACATTCATCTCTCGAGGGGGTGTCTAACTCAGTGTTACGGTGCGTTTGACCCTGAATTAAGTTTATGCCGGAATATCCCTTTAACCTCTTTTTACAACAGAGTATCTTTATTTTATTTTCCTGTAGACTTTTGGGAGTGGGAACTTCAAACGTGTGGGAGTGATACTCCAAAGGGGGGTTTTGATCCTGCTCTTAGCCTGCTTCCCGTGCTGGGCGGTCCTCATTAACACTCAGCCCATTTTGCTTGCTATCAGGCAGAGTGCAGAGGTCGCCAGGTGAGCTATTCACACTTTGAAAACAGAATGTTTAAAGCTTAATAAACCGTTGTGACGTTATCCACCTCAATAAGCGGTTCATATTTCTGTATTCTTGATTCTTTGTGTGGCAAAGACTCTCCCAGCTGTATGTGAAGATCTTTATGCCCGCCCTACCAGTAAGTTCAGCTTCCTCAATGACTTTACAAATGACGCTTTTGCGCTTGTATCCATATAAACTGTACTGAATGGTAGTTTTATTACATTATTGATCTAATTAGCTCTATTCATTGCCTTGTGTCGGGTTTCGCAGGCTGCCTTCATGTACCAGCTGCAGGGGAGGTATCTCCAGAATCAGGTGCGTTTAATGACGGGTGTGAAACAGCTATTTATGAATGAAAATCTGTCTGGAACAAGTGTTTTTTTTTTTCTAGCCCCCCATGGGGAGACCCAGAGAGTAACAAACAGCAGCTGCACTTGAATGGTTTGTTTTTTTACATGCAGTTTGCTTTGGCTCACAGGGAATCATATGGCCTCAGGTGATCTGTGGAGCTGTGGGGAATGTTTTAAACGCAATCATCAACTACGTCTTCCTCAACCTCCTCGATTTAGGGGTTACGTGAGTATTCATAAAAACTCATATCCTACTTTGACCTGAGTGAAAGTTATCTTTAAATGAGTAACTGGCGATAACTATGTGATTTGACTTGTTTTTATTCATTTCTGGAATTTAATCACCGTGACACCCTTGCAGAGGATCAGCAGCTGCCAATGCTATCTCTCAGTACTCCTTGTCTGTGTTCTTGCTGGTGTATATCTGTGCCAGGGGACTGCATAAAGCCACGTGGGATGGTGAGTAAAGGTGGTAGAAGTAGATACTAAGATATTTAGACCATTACTTCCCCTTTGGTGTCTGTAGAGATTATTTATTTTTCTAATTTGTTTCAGAGGTTTCTCTTTATTCTTATGTTTTAATTTTTGCTTTTTATTTTCAGCTGACTTGTCTGTGACCTTACAAAATGACTCATGGTTTCAATATAACACTGTTTCATCTCAAATTATTTTGCAATTTATAGAAACGGTTCAGGAAGCATTTCTCTGCATAATAAACTACTTACATTTTGGAGTACTTGAACAATATCACTAATCAAACTTTTTGTCTAGACCATAGACTGTATGTTGAATGGACGCTCTCTGCCTCCTTGCTGGGTGAAGCCATTCCAAGAACAGCACCCTCTGGTGGCGGGCTGCAGTATAGGTCATAAATCCCACCTCCACCAGCAATCCAAACTTTAGAAATTTATTACACGGAATATCATTTTTTCTCCCCCCAGCTTACGATGTTGATATGTAGTTACTTTAAGACTGGTTTGTGCTCAAGTCCTCTTTTTTCTGTGAAGCTCCGTTTTGTAAAAGTTATTAGGGGGTTCATGTTTTCTATGATTGACACTTGATACAGCCTGTGGGTGTACAAAGATTACGTAGCTAACCCGGGGGATACGCTGTTTGAGCCGAGCGACTCTCGGTGACTCTCCCGCCAAATGTGTACATTGCTGCTGCGCAATGTTGGTTTTTTGAAGTGGAGAAAAAATGCGGAATTACCGAGAGCTTTTCGGCTTCAGATCTGTATACTGGTGGAAGGCGGAACAAAGTTTTCCATAGTATATACAGTCTATGGTCTAGAGTGCATCGAGTACACTTACTACTGCACTCGATGGAAAGACACTCACTACTTTTGCGAACAATTACAGAAAACTACATGATAACTTGAAAGTAAATGTGTGAATTTGTCTCTGTAATCGTGTTGGCATGCTTTGAAAAAGCATTCAGCTCAAAAGCAGTCCCAAAAAAACCTGTCTGTAAACTCTTCATCAATCAGTAATGCAGGAAAGACTTTCACTTATTCCTTGGGTCAATTATTAGACAGCACAGTGATATGGCAGGGTAACATGCGTGTCTGTTGCTATAATGTGTAAATATGCACTTCACTTTTGTATCTTTGATCTTATAGGTTGGTCAACAGAATGTCTGCAGGAGTGGGGTCCTTTCCTCCACCTGGCCCTCCCCAGCATGCTGATGCATTGTCTGGAGTGGTGGCTTTATGAGATCGCAGGGTTTCTGGCAGGACTCATCAGTGAGGTGGAGTTAGGAGCTCAGTCTATAGTTTATGAAGTGGCTGCTATCGCTTACATGGTAACTCCTGACTTTGTGTCCTTTAGCTGTATCAGTTTGATACCTTTGGCTTTGTTTCTCATATACTGGTTATGTTTTTATGTGAAAATCTGATTGTGTTAGGAGTCCCACTACAGAGAGTATGTAATGGGATTAATGTCATCACCCTTCCTTGTAGTTTCCTATGGGTTTCGCTGTTGCTGCTAGTGTTCGTGTTGGAAATGCTCTTGGTGCTGGAGACAAAGAGCGGGCCAAGCTGTCCAGCAAGGTCTCCTTCATCTGTACACGTAAGAATAAAGACGTAAAGTGGCAGATGATTAAATACAGGTGGTCATGACCATTTTCTTTGAGTCCTTAGATATACTCTGAACTATGCTCCAAACTTTTCACATGTCATTTAGCACTTTATAATTATCAGTTATTTATACTTACCACCATTTTCTTAAATTATCATGTTTCTTTGGGCCATTCTAGTGACTGTCTCATGTTTTATCGGAGTTTGTCTCGGTGTCTCTAAGGATGTGATCGGCTACATTTTCACCACAGAGAGGTAAGCACAGATTTGAAATGATTCAAAGGTTTTTGCTGCTTTGCTTTAATTATAATGATAAATAGGCAGACCTTTGTACAGAAAGAACAGAAAGCACATCCATGGTCAATGTTTGATTCGTCATGTTTTATTCATCTCTCCGAGTCTTAAAAAGCAAATGTTTTATTGAGCATGCAATTAAAACCTTATCTTTATTCCAGGGACATCATCCAGAGGGTGGCTGATATTATGAAGATTTACTGTTTTATTCACGTTGCTGATGCATTTGCGGTGAGAGCACTTGCTGTACAAGTGACTTTGTCTGTCTTATAAGCAAAAGAAGTCTGATATGCTGGATCAAGCTTAAAGGGATATTCCAGTGTAAAATTAAGTTAGGGTCAAACACACTGTAAGACTGAGTTAGACACCCCATCAAGAGATGAATGTTGCTGACTGCTTGCTTCTCCAGTTATTGCAACTTTAGTAAGGACCGTACGATAGCAATACACAGCAGTCTGAGGAGCCATAAACAAACCTCAAGCAAACCTTTTTAATCATTTCTTTATCATTTCCTTGAAGTAATAATCATCATATTAATCATTTTGCACTGCAGACGCGGTAGTTCTTCTGCCTTAGCGTCTCAGTCTGATTACATTTCCATGAAGAAATGATCATAAATGTTCTTCCTTGAGCTGCAACACCCCGCAACAGTCCGTGATGGACTGGCCTGAGTTGTGTTTAGTCTCTTAGCTGAAGAAATTTGTCAAAGCTAAAAAGATGTTTGGTGGCTAGTGCTGTGGTTAAGACCCTATATGTACTGTTGATGAAGTTAGGTGCTGTTCTGAGTATTATTTGTGACTATAGTGTGGCTTTTTGGTTGAGGTTTGCTCGTGGCTCCTGAGACCGCTGTGTAATGCTATCGTGTGGTTGGTACTTAAGTTGTTATAACTTCAGCAACATTCATCTCTCAAGGGGGTGTCTAACTTGGTGTTACGGTGTGTTTGACCCTAAATTAATTCTACGCCAAAATATCCCTTTAATTGTCTTTTTTCCTCCACAGGGTGTAACAGGAGGAATCGTCAGAGGGACAGGGAAGCAGATGATTGGGGCTGTATGCAACTTGGTGGGGTTTTATGTCATTGGGCTCCCCATTGGAGCATCCTTGATGTTCCCTCTCAAAATGGGCATAAAAGGTGAGAAGTGATCAAATTTATGATGAATTTGTTTATATTCCTACTAAATCTGATAGTCTTTCCCTTTACAATATCTCTCTCAGGGCTGTGGTTGGGCCTTTTGATTTCTGTTGTGGTGCAGTCCGTATTTTTTACAGTTTTTTTGTGTAAATTAAACTGGAAAAAAGCCACAGAGGAGGTGAGGAAACCTGTTAAGTGTATTAGTGAAATGATGAAAAACTTTAAACTTTACCTGAGCAGTTTCTATATTGAAGCTTGCATCTGAAACCAGTTTTGAGGAGTGTGTTTCTGTGTCACATGCTGTAAAACATTTTGGAAAGGATGATTCAGTTCTTGTTTTACACTTTTACATAGGCACTGGTGAGAGCAGGGGTCCATGTGAAGGAGAAAATTGACGTCTTCAGGATAGAAGACAAAGGTAAAAATCAAATACATCTGTTAGTTTGCCTACACGAAACTACACGACTCATGTTAACCGTGTGTTTAAACTCACCCCACAGCCCTGGACTCTGATGGACAACAGACCCATGTGGTGATCAGTCAATCCAGTCCAGTCAAGGAGAAGCCGGGAGCGCTGGGTACAGGTCAGCAGACATCAGATGACGCAGCGCTATCAGTCAGGCAGCTGGTGGTGCGACGTGGGCTCACTGTGCTGCTCATGCTCGTCATCCTCGCTGCTGGAGTCTTCATCAGCGAGCTGCTTATCAGGCTGCTGGAATAAGGCAACAAGTGACCGTTATTAGACAAAACAAAGAGCTGTGATTCATCAGAGTTTAGATGCATCCTCATGTTTAGCAGTAAAGCTCAAAGAAAGAAAAAAAAAACATACGGACACAGTGAACCAACAGAGGAAGGATGAAATAGTACAGTCTGTTCTTAAAGGTCAAACACATTCACAGTTTTGGTTGTTAAATTTTAATATAATCACAGAGGTACGACAGTTTCCATCTGACAACTCAAAATCCATTCCTCACTCCCACTTCCACTAACTATCAGGTCATTGAGTTTGCACTGATGGTGGGAAAACAGCTGCTTTAGCATGACTGTTAATTCACTGACAAAGTGACATTAAGTTTTGAAATATGAAAACATTAGTTGGAGGTGAAAGAGTTCAGATTTACCTTGATTACTTGCTTTGTTGTCTGCATGTGATTGTCTCTAAGTGCAGTTGAGTTGAAACAGGAGTCTATTTTGATAGTGTGTTGTGATATCTTTCTGCCCAGCTCTTGCTGTCACGTATTAAACTGATCAAACCCAAACACGTTTAGTCATGTTTTGGAAATTCTAAAAGAAAATATGAATAAAAAGGAGCCGCCGGTGAAAAGCACTGTATAAAAAATGGTGTAGGCATATCATCTTCATAAAAACACATGCTGTGTAAAACCGGCTCCAAACAAGACGCTGACAGAATATGTATTCTTCGTATATCGTCTGAATGGATGCTACAATTAGAAATAGTATGATTAAGTGCTAAATTTAGGCTGCAGCACTCATTGGATGTGAGCTTTCATCATCAAAGAGAGAGGCTGCTCTTATTGCTGTGGTTTATTTCTCAGCGCTTTGATCTTTCCTGCCAAATCTGATGATAATCAAAGGTCTGTGTGTGCTCACGCTGCATCTCGCTGTCTGGATGAAGACATGTCAAACTGAGCAAATCAACCACCTGTTTACTCTGAGCAGGAGCAGATAACTAGCTAGTTTGGGGTTTCAGTCATAGCCAGCTCAAAAATTAGGAATTCAATTTTTTTTTACAGCCGCTCTATTCTGATTTATGAAATACCTACATATACTGCAATGACTCCATATTTTGGGCCAAAGGTTGTTTTGATTTTATGATAAGAACCAGTTATGTTTGTCTTTTGAATATGAACCACAGCCTGATGGTTTTATGGGTCATTGTTGTCTTTTACAGCAGATCTTAATCTAATTCCAGAAGATTTATTTTTGCTGAAGGGGTCCAGTCAGAACAATATGAATGTTTTAGTGTCAAAGTGGGGCTGGCTGTCACAGAAAAGAAAGACAGAAGCCATAACTGTGAACACCATTGGTGATTCACAAATCACAGCGGTAACTCTTTACCAGTTTGTGTGATGACATTTCTGTGCCTTATAGTGGCTTACTAAACTTTCTTTTGCCATTTTTCTGCCATTTCTGTGAGCCTCCCAACAATGGTAAAAGGTTGTAGCTGGTTCCAAATTGTCACCCTATGTAGTTTTTCGATTATTTAAGCAGTCCGGGAAGGGTTGCTTGGTAAGATATCACCCCTGTGTTGGAGTTAAAAGTAAAACAAAAGCATGACACTGTTATGGTTAAGATTTCAGACTCTGTGAATTCACGATGATCAGGTTTGGAGAATCAACAAAATCACTCCAGTCCAGGAGCTCAAAGTTTGAAGATACATCAATAACATTAAAGACAACATCTTCTTCTGTTAGGGGTAACGACGTTTGGCACTCACATTGTTGCAGCACTGCCACCTGATGAATTTTGGCAATTTAACAGTGGCATGGTGACATATATAGTTGCATAGTCCACTCAAAGTATTCTCTTTCAACAACACTGTCCATGACATGGACAAGTTCTTTTTTACAGTTCTATCCTGCAGGTTTCTTGATCTTTCTCTGAATTGCAGGGATTTTAGTGCACCCACATCTCCACGTTGTAAATTTCCTCTGTACACAGCAGCGCCATGCCCACATACGGCAGCAGGAGTTGTTAATGAGGCAGCGTCAATTAAACATGAACCTTAAGTTCTTTCTGTTTATACCACAGTTCTAGTAGCAAGTGGACTTTGTTCAGTGTAATAGGAGCTATGGAAAAGTAAAAAAAACAAAAAGAGAGAGAAACAATCATTATGTCCTCCACTGTCCCGAAGTCCAACTTGGTACAGTCCAGATTGCCAACACCTGGTGGAGCATGGGGCATTCATGTACGCATGTTCATGAGGGAACTCACCTAAATCAAGATCAGAGTAACAAATATAAATGGAAGAAAGAGGAAACAAGTGGGCGACAAAACAAATACCTGAATAAAAAAGTACAAAGTGAATGCTGAAAATACCTGATAAAGTGATGATTCACCGAACAACAGCTCAATATTAAAGCAGATAGTGAATAGAAGGGACATCATTTAATCACGCTAAACAGACATTACTGACAGGACTCCTAAATAAAGTTCATATATGCCATTTTTTAAATTATTTCTAGAAAAGTATGATACATAACCACAGACGCTCCACTTTGCCCAGTGCACCCACTTTCCAGTTCTACTACCAACACCAGCCCCGACTTACGTCACATTGACGTTTGCAGCTAAACTTGCATGTTAATATTTGTTACCCAACATGTAAATCAGGCTTGATTCATACATGGATACATCGTCATGAGCTTCAAGTCTTGCTCATCAGTGGAGACACATCCTCCGGCTCCTCACAGAGATTGTAATCTTCGCCTGCTCACCTCCAGAGACTGCAATCAGTGTCACGCTGAGGCATCATCAACAAGTGACTCTGTAAGATCTGCTGTCACTAACGTTACTGGCACTTGTGATATTTCAGCTTAAGGATGCTCATTCATATGTCTTCATACACTGCCTTCAAACCTGTAACCCTGTTTCAGCTCTGTAAATAATGTTGTTGATTTAGGTGAAACTTAGATCTTTATGTGAGCAATATGTACAAGTAATGATAGGTTTACAACTGGCAGCCATATAATGGAGAGTTCAGACCCTCTAATTCTACTCATGCAGGTCAATTGTCAAGTCATCAATTCATGAGAGCTCCATAGCTATCTCTGTTACACAAGCTTTGTCACGGAGATAACTATGGAGAGACAGTGGCCCCCTCCCTAATGCCATCAACACAGTCTAAATCTGAATTTGAGACTTTAATGTTAAAGTACCTGTACACACGCAGCATGTCTGGTAGAGCCAAAGTCTAGTGAGACCATCATATGTGAGAGGAGCTGTTTAAGCAGCTGTTTACTGACATTAGCAACTTTTGTTTTTTACTACAGGTACAATGTTGGTATTGTAGCCTATAGTATTGGCCGATACCGATATTGATCCAATATATGTACAAACTTGTGTGTGCATGATAAATTTTGCACTCAGCTGCAATGTCTTTTTTGTAATTAGATGAAATATACTGCCATATGGCCGACATTACTCCTACTCCTTGCTACTTTGACCCAGAGGGTCACTAGGATGGCTGAGAAGGTCTTCGGGTGCTCTCTGCCCACAGTGGAGGACCTTCACAGCTCTTACTGCCTCAGGAGAGCCAACAACATCATTAAGGACTCATCCCACCCGTGCCACCCCCTGTTTGAGCCACTGCCATCAGGCAGACGGTACAGGGCCATCACAGCCAGGACAAAAAGACTGCAAAACAGCTTTTTCCCAAAGGCTGACCATTCCATCAACGCCTCCATGAAAGCCAGATGATGTGTTGCCTATGTATTTATTGGTGTAGTTTTAATTCTAGTTTCTTCTAGTTAGTTTTAATAGTTTTAACTCTGCACTGGTTTTACTGGTTCACTGGTTTTTAAGAAGAACAAGAAAAAACAGACAACATTATATTTTGTCTTTTTTATGAAACCACTGGTCGGTTTCATCATGATAAGATTTAAAGGCATTTATTTTGATAAAGTAAAGTACATGACATTACATCAGTGGTCAGATATAAAGTAAAAAAGTAGTTTTTCATTCACAATTCACTCCAAGTACTAAAATAACAAAAGTACAAAGGGACAGTGATACAAGAAGACACGTCTGTTATGTGTCACTGGCTCATAGTTATACTCTGGACATATTTACATGTACCGTACACATGCAAATTTTACATTATATAACAATTCACGAGGCCCCTCTGATGACCTTTGAGAAAAAAAAATCTTTGCCACAAAAAATTCACGAGAATTCAGATATGTAGATAAAGACCATATAACAAAACTTGATTTCACAATAAAAGTCTGTAACTTTTCAATTTTGTGCTTTGCAGTGATGCAACTCCAGCATATTCCAGCGCTGTGCACCCAGTCACAGATACACAAGCACTCACATAACTAATGTAAGGATCTATTATAATGCCCAAGCATTACCACCCGTGCCATCGGTCTTATATATTAATTTATGGTTCCATCCAATGATGTGTTTATTGGAGCTTTACCAGTGGGCTGTGAACGGTAAACGGCCTCTGCATGGAGATTATTGACAATTACTATTTCATGGCCACAATTTGATTGTTTTGAAATTTCAATGGAGGTGCTCTTTAACTTTATACAGTCAGAAATGAACATAATAATTGAGGCTCAGTTCAAATGCAGAGTCACAGAGCAATATGTAAGGAAAGATAAGGGTATGTGTAAAAAAAAAAAAATCAAGCTGTCCGGGATTTAAAAAAAAAAAAAGTTCCTCACGTGGGCCCTCAGTTAGAGATCTATAGAGTTATGTGACCCTTTTGTCCTCATCTCAGACTGGGCAGGTTAAAACATTACCTTTAGTGGAAGACCTTTGTTCACTCTGCAAGTCTCACTATGGTTTGTTCAAGCTTTCGATGCATTTGCACAGCAGTAGAGAAATGAGGTGTATTTTTTTCTAGGTAAAACAGAGCTGCTGATGGCTGACATTAAAGTTGTACATAAGAACAACAAGAGTAGACAAGTCTATGGTGGGGGGCGGGCAGGATACCGATACATTTCTCTCTCTTTGAAACCTGAAAAAGTCTGTTTATGAGAATCTATCATTTACTAGCCATCTCCAGTCTGAGGGCTTAGAGGTCTGTGGTCATGTCCAGTAGAGCTGCTGGAGCTGGAGTGGAGTCGTTTGCCCAGTTTAAGGTGAAGTTGTTCATGCTTTGCACTGAAGGCTCTGGAGGAGGGAAAGCAAAATGAAAGCAGATTCCCGCAACAAGTGTGAGAATTGACACTATCAAAACGAGTCCCCGGCGCAAAATCAGCTGAGTGACAGAAAGTGGGGCCTCTGGTTTGGTGTTTTTGCTCTGTTTGCTGTCCCCCTCAGTCCCTCCTGCTGTTGTGTTGTTGCTCTCGGCCTTGAGATTAGCTTTCAGCTCTTGGTCCTCAGTGTCCACAGCACTGTAGCCTTCTGCTTTAGGGATTTCTTCACCATCCAAATGGGCCTACAGAGTGCAGAGATTACAAGTAAACAGCTTGAGTAGGACCAATCCAACATAAAGAAGTCATTGAAATGCATGACTCACTACAACCCAAACACTTGTTTTGTATACTTAACAACTTGAGATGACATTTGATTGGTATACTTACGGTAGCAGGGCAGTCTGGGATGTCAGGCACCATCCCTTCATTCAAGCCTGTACTCATACGACGCTTTGGTAGCACTACTGCTTTCTTTCCAGCTCGTTTTTGAGCCTTGAAACACAGAGTGAGGTTCATTAAACACAAAAAAACATTTATTTTATGAATGTTGGCAAGGTCTACTTAACTGTCCAATTCCTTTTGAATGTTTGAGTGTGTTTTTGCAGTTTACACCACTAAAATTTAATGTTTTTGTGTTTTAAAGGTGAGCTGAGACAGATATCTGAGAGCAATACAAAAAAAAAAAAAAGATCTGTCATTAATTTTAATGTTACTGAATCAAAACTAAACTTTTGAAAATGGCTAAATCCTTATTTTGAGAGGGAAAATGCTGTCAGGCTGCTAGACTTTATGAGATGTGAAATTTCACCCAGTAATGGCCTTGCACTAAACCCTTTTTTGGAGAGGTATTAAAGCCAATTAAAGTGAAAAGAAAGATAAAGATACTACCTTTTGTGTGACTTTTTTCCAGTTCAGTTTGAAGATAAGAACAAAAAAGAAGCCCGCCTGGAGGAAAACACATATGAAGAGACCCAGCCAGAAACCTAACAAGAAAGATACAAAAACATATTCATTGAGGAAGATTTGCACAATTTTCTTTAAATATAATATAATATAATATAAATATATTAGACATAATAGTGGTGATACAAAGAAAACAAACTGCCATGTTAAAGGTAATAAGAAGCTATACTTGGATACAGTTTTATCTTGAGCCAGAAGTTCAAACCAAGATACTCACAATGACAGCACCAACATTATAGTACTTTTCTATTTTTAAAAGCATGTTTGCCACAGCTGAAGAAGAGTTCAGCGATTTTTCTGGTCACTTATTATTAAAGGGATATTACGGCGTAAAATTAAGTAAGGGTCAAACACACTGTAACACCGAGTTAGACACCCCGTCGAGAGATGAATGTTGCCGACCGCTTGCTTCTCTAGTTATACCAAGTTCAATAACAAATACACTACAGCAATACACAGCGGTCTCTGTAGCAACGTGCACACCTCAACCAAAAAGCCACTCTATAGCCACAAATAATGCTCAGAACTGTGTGTTAATAAATGTTCTTCCTTGAGTTGTGACACCCCGCTGCAGTCGATGATGGACTAGTCCGAGGTCTCCCTACAAACAAGCAGCTGCTGGAAGAGAGTAGGTGAGTAAAAAGATGTTTGGTGGCTAGTGCTGTGGCTGGGACCCTATGTGTACTGTTGATGAAGTTAGGTGCTGTTCTGAGCATTATTTGTGGCTATAGAGTGGCATTTTGGTTGAGGTGTGCTCATGGCTCCTGAGAACGCTTTGTATTGCTTTCCCTTAACTTAATTTTACGCCAGAATATCCCCTTAAGTTCTTGGAAAACTAACATTTTAAAGTCAAGGGATCCACACAGTGATAATAAATGATCCAGAAGAGGACTTGAAAGATTGAATCATATTTCATGGCTTTACCCCAAAATTACACTTCCAAGCAGAAAGCTAACACCACTGATAAAAGCCAAGAGTTAACTAGAGGCTTCACATACATAAGTTCAGAGCCACATCATTACTGCACTCAGGGTTCATTTGTAAATGTTCATCACCCAAAGAATACAATCACGGACCTTCACAACTCACAAGGTCAAATCTTTGGTGCATATTGTGTCTGAGTGTGTGCAGGGGGTACATTTATCAAAACAGGCACACTTGGAGTTGACAGCAAAGATCCACTCTGGTAGGGGGTTAATGGCAGACTGAAGGGAAATAAATGAAAGAAAGGATGGTGCAGAAAGGCCAAGTGGGTTTGTGGGTTTAACTAATGGATCTGGATCCAAATAAAGACACTCCACCTCATCTTATACTTCAAGTTTACTACTCACTTAACATTTCAAGCAAAATTTATGACAATGTCAAAGCTTCAGTCTGTTGTGTAGTCCTGGGACACAGAGGCAACACTCACAGCTGCTGAACTAATGATTCAGATCCTGTTACCAGCATAAAAATAAAGGTGCTCTTGTTTGATGTTATATTACAAACAAGGTTACGCTCTTACTCAGGAGTGTGTCCAGATTTATCAGATGGGGTGCGTAAAGTTTGCTTGCACTCAAATATCTGCTTGAATAACATTTATATTCAATTTCCTCCTCCACTAATCATATCTATTTTAGTGACCCTACAGGGTGTAGCTCAAAATCTTGCCTCTACCGATAAAAATGGGGGAATTAACTGAGCAAAAAGGGGCTTTTTTTAAACATATAACTGAATATATTTTATGCTATATTGAACTTCCAAACCAGGACTTCACTGGTGAGAGAAAATGCACCCTCACACATGAACATCGTTATACATGCTGCGGTTTAGATTCAGTACCACCATGACTGTGGACTAATAGTGTCTTAAAAAGGCTCTCAGTCATTTAGAAATTGTCCAAAGAAGAGACATGTATACGTTATTAACATTTTGGGCTCTATTTTCATACTCCGCTGGAGACGTGGCACAGGCGTGGCGAAAGTCAGGTCCACCGCACCGACAAGGCGTTCCCAAGCACAATTCGGTATTTTGGTGAGCAGCACAGCCCGGCGTAAGTATCCCCCCTCCCTAACTCAGCTCCTCCCAGTGGCGTAAGTTGTAGAGAGAGAGGAGAGAGGGCGTGGAATGGGTTTAACACAGCCGAGACCTGTTTTCACCAATCACATCAGCTCCTCTCCTCACCTTTAAATCCGCCACTGGCGAGGCGTATTACAATTTTCATGAAGTAGTCAAAGAGATCAAGAGATGTCTGAAGACAGCAATGCCACACGATGGCGACAGAAGGCAGCACCTCAACAAGTGTCGCTGTAAGTGCTGCAGAGAGCGTCCTTCACACTCTCTCATATGAGCACAAATGGATTTGGTGTGTGTAATGTTGGAGCCACTGGTAAGACAAACATCCTTTTCCACAAGAAAGTCTACGAAAATACCAAGCTGGCTGTGGGCCGGGCTCCGCCAGACGAAAATACCACTGCGTGGGGTCCGCCACCCTCCGCCGCATCCTCGGCGGACACGAAAATAGAGCCCTTTGGGTCTACAACGGGGGATCATGAAAAAGGGTTTGTATAAATCCTAGACTCACTATGGTACTTGCTGTTTGTAAAACAAAAAACAAAGACTAAATGTGTTTAATTACCGAGTATCCTGAGCTCGGCAACAAACATTAAAGCCCATCCTACTGGCAGACCGATGCAGTAGTAGCTGACCAGGTTGGACAAGGCAGCAATTTTCTGCATCCCAGCTCCTATAAGAATCCCTGAGCAGACACACTGGGAAAACATTCACACAGATTGTGATGGTGAATTAAAAAAAAACAGGTTCCCATTAAACAAGACAAGCCAAGAGCATAAAACAAAAACTTTTGTTGTGTCATGTAAAAACGTACCAGAATTGCATCAAAAAACTGAACAAATGTGTTAATCGTGAGGTTCTGTGAGACGATCTTCACAATTTGCCTGCAGAGAGAAGAAAAAAACCTCACTATAACAACAGTCTTACCTTCACATGGTACAGAAATTAGGGTCTTTTAGTCAGATACTCACTCATCTGAGGTAAATATGTAGCCAAGGACAGACTTAGTGCTAGCAAGTAAGATACCCTGAAACACAGCAATTGTTCCTATAACAAAGACATTACATGAGGGTTGAAACCTGAAGAGCTGTACCAGAATCTGGTATTTGTGCTAACAAGGATATCCACAAATGTGCTTCTTCTGTACCTGTTACAAACAGGGCCACTTTGCAGGTGATTAAAGCCCTGGATGTATTTCCAGCCCCCAGAGCATTTCCTACACGCACACAGGCAGCTGCACTGACACCTAGAGGAAACTGCAAGGATGGTGAGATATGGTTGCTTGCTTTTTTTGTATTTTTTAAAGCCAGGGCAGCTTTCTGTTAATGCTAAGCTAAGCTAACCGGACTTCTCATCTGTGTCCTGGTCTAACATTAGCACATAGAGCGGGAAGGCATATTCCTACATTGAACAAAATGAATATCCATACCATGTATGTTATGGCTCCTAATTCCACCATCACATGCTGGGCAGCGAGATCCACTTCACCAAGTACACCTGGTTTGAAAAAGTTTGGTGTCACTCATTAATAGACCGTTTCACACCATGTTGACTAAACTTCATGTCCAAACTGCAAACATAACCACACATCAACTGCATTTGCACACGTAATGCTGCTAGTTTGAGTGGAATAAATTTTGTTTTTAATTTATCAATGAAGATGAGTTAATTTTGTACTAACCAGCAAAGAAACCTCCAATCTCCCAGATCCACCACTCGAAGCAAGTCATGAAAGCACTTGGAATCGCTAGCTTCATGTAGGAGCCCCACTCCTGCAGACAATCTGTGGACCAGCCTGCACACAGTTTGACATCGAAGAGTTATGAAAGGGGTAAGAAAATACCGACATGCATCACTTCTACTTGGCAGATTTGTTTATATTGAGCGTCTGATGTGTACATTTGCATTAGTAACTCACCTCCCCATGTCTGCACATGAAGCTTCTTCCATCTGATGTAGCCAAACAACAGCAAGCAGATCGTGATTTGAGAGAAGCTGTTAGCCATGGCCGATCCGCTGAAAACACACATGAATAAATCTTGTTACTTTAGAAGAAAATCCTAATTTGCGTGTAAATTAGCTACCTCTCCATTTCTAACTAAAGACCAAGTGAGCAGTTTGAAACAGTCTTATAGCCCCAAGTTTCCTAGAGACCCATTCTGATGAAAATTATGTTTTTCTTGTTGTCTATATGTCTATGTCTGTAGATCTCTGGCAGACCCAAACGGCAGGTTCAGAAACAGCCAGATTTCCTACGTAGTAAAGCTCCAAGCTCCGCCCCCGAGCCCCGCTATGCAGGCCACACTCGCTTAAATAGAGAGGACGATTGCGGAACAAGCGTGTGCGTTAGCTGATTGCAATGCTCGTAAGAAAGTTAATTATGGTGTTAGCTTTCATCATGTCCCCAAAGACATTAGTGTCCAAGACCTGAATGGCGCCTATGTTACCTACCACGTCTACTACACCGACAATGTTAGGCTGCAAGCTAACGTGAAGACGAGCGTGCAAAGCAGCGCTGTCTCCGCCCACAACTCAGAGACGAATTGCTAATGAGCTACTGCAGAAGAAAAGCCCTTGAAAATGACACAGGTTACGTGATTTTGGCTAAAAACTTCATAATCACAATTTAAAGACCTTTGAGAACACTTTAGGTAGTAAAAAAAAAAATGGGAGTGTGACTTTAAAAACATAAAAATAAAGCAGTACTTTTTGCATAGTTCCTTATTTTCGTAAATTCAAGTATGATTCTTGATGAATAAACAGTGTCAATTTAAGTTGCATCATTTCACATTACTCTAGGGTTAAAAAAAGAGTTAGACTACCATTCAAACTGCCCTGAGAGGGTTAAAAGAGGTCAGCATTGAGACACTTCAAGTAATTATGGTCTGAGTATACTGTATAATGGTGAAAAGGGGCCTTAAGAATTTGAAACACTCCTTGTGGAGAGGGGAGGGAACTGACCTGACCTGACCTGACAATAGAAACAGAATTTTTTGAGTTGACTGCCTGTTGAAGAAAGTGTTTGTCCAGCTGGGCCACAATAGTCTCTCTTTCTCTCTCTTACTCTCTCTGGAAACACTGCCTCCCTCACTAAGTAAAGCACAAAAATAATAAACATGAGCGTACTGCTGACTCTGTTTTTAACAAGAAAACATGTTTTTGTTCCCTGAGAGACTTAAATATATTATGAGTTCTCTAACCTCCTTTCAGTTTCTTTCCAAGCCCCGTAGCTATGAGGCAAACCACAGCCCTCTCATTTTTTAGTGAAGTGAACAGGAGACTCAAGAGTGTTTCTCTGCATTAACAGCTGAGGGATGTCTTATAGGTTATAGAACCTGCGCCTGAGTCCATCTACTATTAAAAGGTGAAGAAGCACTCACATGACGCCCAACTGGAGGCTGAAGATTAAGACGTAGTTGACCGCGGCATTGATAACGTTTGCAGCTGCTGCTGTGTACATCTGAGGCAGAATGATCCCCTGACAGAAGAGAAAAAACAGCCACGGTCAGCCTGACCCTTACAATTAAAACTTTAAGAATATTATTCAAACAAGTTCTGGAGAAAAACAATTCAAGACAATCATAACACCACTTCATTGGTAATGAGGCTTAGAGGCCACAGCCTGTTATAAGGAGACTTGCTCACAGCTTAATGTGAGTTTACAAACACAATGTAGACTGATGACCGTGTGGAAAGTCATCATATTTTGAGTCATCCAACCAAATACTGGACTGATTAATCCAACAATGAATACCTGAGTGGTGTTGGAGAAACTATTCAAGAGTGGTTTTAGTCATGGGTCATTGAAGGTGAATAAAATGTGACCAGAGGTCGAGGTTTTAACAGTTTGTTGGCAGTTTTGGAGCTCAATCGTTCATAAGTGAGACATCTTTTGCATCCTTATTACCTTCTCTGATGTGTGGCACATGCAAAACAGGAACTGTGAGGCAACAGGTAAACAAAGCAGGGAAACATGGGAGTAGCCAATGTATGGTAAATTCTAAAGTCTGGTGCTATTTTACCCTCAGTGCTGCAAAGAAAAAAACTGCCTGAAAGATCTGTAAACCGGAGTTTGCACACCATGGGAGCTCGTCAGTAATGCAAAGAGAAAAAATTAATTCAGTGATTAAATATCGATATCTCATTCTCTCTCTACTCCCAATACTACTAAGAGGACAACACTTTTACCGTTATACCATGGCAACAACTTAATCCAGTTGGTCTTGGTCTTAGTAAGTCCTCTATTCTGGTTGGCTTGAAAGAATTAACTTATGATACATGTACACCTATGAGACTTCTCAAGTACTTGCACCTTAACAATCTATTCACTGTGCCAAATTAATATGCTGCAGACAGTATTTAGGATGGTCCTGCAGTGGAGTATCTTCTCAATGGCGCTCATAACACACAAGCTGCCATAAGTAGTCCTACACTCAGATTCACAGTCAAATAAAGTGGTTAAACTAAGTGTACACTGGCTAAAATGTGAAGCAACAATCATCTCTTGAAAAGGCGAGTAAGCCCTTGTTTGATTTGAAAAGATCAGTAAGTTTCAGTGTGTTAAGCCCATTTCACCGTCCATCTGAGCTTTGTTCAGCCCTGTAACATAACTCTAAGCTGCCACCAATAATACGGCAATGACCTGTTATTTTCTTGGCCAGCTAGATCTGCTGTTAAACATGTTGGCCATTTACATGTCATCTCTCTGTCTCTCTCTGGCTGAGCAGACCAGCTGACTTTCCATTACTACTTCATACCTGTAGCCCATCCATTGTACTGGAGCACTGGACTTGGTTTTCTTTACAAAAAAAAAAAAACCTCCTCAGATTGTAATGATTAGCCCAGGTATCAGAAAACTTGACCAGCTCACCTGGTTTTGGAGGTAAGCAACTTGCAGCTGGTGCAGGAAGAAGGCCTGCAGCAGGGAGAGAGAAAAATGACAGTAAGAGAATAAGACTTTCATGTCTTTCATGTGCTTAATGTGTAGCTGAAATTACAGAGCTATATTGCAAAATACAATGTGTATTGAAAAATTAGACTGTTAAATATTTCCACAATAGTCCACACTTCATTTCTTAAGATTATGAGTTGTTTATTGCACTCACTGGAACAGCTGGAATAAATGCCATCACATAGATTTGGGCGGTTCTGTGGGGGAGGCATACAGAGTGAAATTAACTTGTTGGAAAAACACAAAACAATTTACTTTTATGTTCAGATATCATCCTCTTTAATTTCTCCCTAATGAAATAAATAAAGACATACAGTGAAGTAAATTAATCTGCATCCATGATATTCAAACAAAATGTGTTTTATTTAGTAGTTTATGCAAATACATGAGTGAATGTTTCAACCTATGCCCAATATGAAATATTACAACATATATGCTGTACATGTCAGCACTGCTGTTAATTAAAAAAGATCTCATTCTGCTGCTCTGCTGAGCATCTCCTACAGCGCCTTCTTAATGGCGACTCAATATGCCACAATTTTCTCTTGTGTATGTTTGTGTGTGGTTGAATTTGAGAGCTGTTGTATCCATTGTATAATGGCAGTCCATGCAAAGCTGTAGCCTTTTGCTTAAAGGGATATTCAGCGTAAAATTAAGTTAGGGTCAAACACACTGTGACACCGAGTTAGACACCCCCTTGAGAGATGAATGTTGCCGACTGCTTGCTTCTCTAGTTATACCAACTTTAGAAACGACCGCACAATAGCAATACACATCGGTCTATGGATCCACGTGTACACCTCAACCAAAACGCCACTCTATAGCCACAAATAATGCTCAGAACAACACCTAACTTCATCAACAGAACATAGAGTCCCAGCCACAGCACTAGCCACCAAACATCTTTTTAACTTTGCCTGATTTCTTTAGCAATGAGCCTAAACACAACTCACCTACTCTCTTCCAGCAGCCACTTGTTTGTAGCAAGACCTTGATCAGTCCATCACCGACTGCAGTGGGGTGACACAGCTCAAGGAAGAACATTTATAATCATTACTTAATGGAAACACAATTAGACCGAGACGCTAAGGCAGAGGAACTACATCTGCAGTGCAAAATGATTAAAATGATGATTATTACTTCAAGGAAATGTTAAAGTTATGATTATAAATGTTCTTCCTTGAACTGCGTCACCCCGCTGCAGTCGGTGATGGACTGGCCCAAGGTCTCCCTACAAACAAGCGGCTGCTGGAAGAGAGAGGGTGAGTTGTGTTTAGTCTCTTTGCTGAAAAAATCAGGCAAAGCTAAAAAGATGTTTAGTGGCTAGTGCTATGGCTGGGACCCTATATGTACTGATGATGAAGTTAGGTGCTGTTCTGAGCATTATTTGTGGCTATAGAGTGGCTTTTTGGTTGAGGTGTGCACGTGGCTCCTCAGACGGCTGTGTATTCCTATTGTGCAGTCGTTACTAAAGTTGGCATAACTAGAGAAACAAGCGGTCGGCAACATTCATCTCTCAAGGGGGTGTCTAACTCTGTGTTACAGTGTTTTACGCTGGAATATTCCTTTAACTTTCTTTTTTTTTTCAGTATGTTTCAGATGTTTCTGTTATCTAGTGAAATTTACAAATGTGTCTTTAACAGAACATGAGAATAAATGGCTACGTAGCATCAGCGCAGACATATGCAAGGTTTTCATTTGTTTGAAATTTACCTTGCTACCTCGTTATCTTGTTGCAGCATGAGAAGTAAATTATGAGTGTTGAGGAGAACACCCCAACAGGGCAGACAAAACAGCAGCAGGATTAATGAGCTCCTCTGTAGAATAACTCCCACACGCTTCATGTTTTTACTGCCAAATGTCTGTAAAGTATAAAAGAAAACTCTTAGGATGAAATTCCAACTTTTCTATTGATAATACACAATAACAATATGCCACTCCGGATGCGGTTCGCTTACCTGAGAAATGAGCGTGTCACATGCTAAGGCTAGGCCATAGCCTGTTGCAACTGTGGTCACATTAATCGTCTGAAAGGTGCAGAATTGTACAAGAAAACACTGCAGGTTAGCCTTTATTTCTGAAGTTCAAATGCACTATGCTAACTTCGTCTTCCTGTCTTTGAATACGTAAATTACTTTGACACTAAGATCTCTTAGCTGCTTCTGTGACTAATGTGTGATTTTGTATTTCCTGGAAACCGCGCAACAAAAAGGACCGATTCTGAGAGAGGCGGTCCAGGGGGGCCCTGTTTTGTCACACATGTGGATACAGTCAACACGTTCTTTTTCAGCAACAACAGGTGGTCTTTATGGAGAAGAGCAACATCTTTAAAAAAATGTGTGGAGAAAATGCTCCAGAAGCAGACAACAGGAAGCCCACCGTAGGTATAAGGAGTGCACACACTGGAAACTTAATCAAAATCACTGCAGGTAAAATTTATGATCTGCTGTTGTCTCTGTAAAATTAAAACCCATATCTGTGAGGGGACCATATCTGATTTTACTTGCTTTGATTTTTCATTTACACATATTTTTCCATTAAAATGTTATTCATGTTGTGTACACAGGGTTGGAGTCTCCCAAAAATGAAGATCAAGAGCTAAACTCTAAAGGGAAGTGGAGTTATGATGCTGGATTTGCACAATGCATGCAACAAAGCTTTGGAGGTCACAGTCAGTGGTCCAGACTCTGGATTACCATGCAGTGTCTTTCCAGATGTGAAAACGAACACAGTTCTCGACTCACATAAACATCAGAAAAGCATACATTTAGCTTTTCTTTTTCACACACTGAAACCGGATCGATTGCAAATGCATTGTCTAATACCTAATTGTGTTTTTTACATTCTGTGCAATGCTATGTTTAAAATTTTGCTTTACAGATCAGCTTATATTTATCTATTTTTGTAATTATTGATTTATTTAAACTGCTTTCAGGGCTCGTGTGGGTTTGACTCTGGTGTATATTTGCAGTGTGTGCTGCATGCATTTGAAGGCCAGTGAAACCCAGAACACATGCGGGCAAATCTTCATTGCAACAAATCCACACACACAAACAAACTTACACAAAATATTCTCAGATGATCTTTTCCTGAACCGCAGACAAAATAGCAGCAGAAATAAAAGCAGATGAACAATGAGAAGAGCAGAAGCTAAACAATTAGCAGAAACGGTAATTGTACTTCAGTGGAAAGAGGTATGATAAATAAATAAATTAACAGAAAAAACTCAGTAAACATGAAGACATTACCGCTGATGCGAGTCCATATCCAGCCAGCTCTGCATTTCCAATGTGACCACAAAATATCGTGATGACAAACGGCAGGAGGAAGTTCAATATTCGAGACAGCAGCTGCAAAGACAAACAGAAAGATTTGACTCATTTCCAAAATGGTTCATCGCAGATCAGGTGGAGCTGGTGAAGCAGATAAGAGTGTATATACACTAGAAAGGTTATATTAAAGTAGGCAGCATTTTGGATAATAAGGTTTGCATGTGCATGACATGCTCACCTTAGTTCACCTTTAGCAGAATCTCTACATACATTTCAGAGTTTTAGGTAGTTAAATGCACAACATGATCGTTGCCTGTAAAAACCCACATTTGACTGTAACCCTGTTAACAAGAGTGTACAGCCCAGCATTAAAAACATACCATCCCCCGCTTCCAACACTTCAACTTTCCCCCACTCTACTCACCAATGGGCCTGTGAGTCTTAAGACCTGGTAGAGTTCTTCTCTGTAGGCCAGAGGTATCCAACGGACCAGGCATGGACATCGAAACAGTTTGGAGCTGACCGCTGCTGACGCCTCATTTCCCTCAACTGCAGCAGACTTGGCAACCGAATCCTCTGCAGTGGGCCCTGCACCCTGAGACGGGTATGCAGGGTCCGAAGAACCCAGCTTATCCATTCAAACACAGAAAAAAGAAGAGTGTAGAAAAGAGGGGAGAGAGAGCAAGAGAGAGAGAGGAGGGAGAGCAGCTACAGGACAAGAGAGGGAGGGAGTAGAAAGGGGGGAGAGAGAGAGGGCAAGGGTGAGAGGGGTAGTATGTATGTCTGAGTTGAGAAACACAACATGCAATTCTTTCAGGTTATTGATTAAATGATATGGCTGAGAGAAGAGGTAAGGAGGAATAATGGAGAGAAAAGAGAGGGAGTGACAGAAGGAGTGTCAAAGGAACAAAAGAGTTACTCTATAGATTCAAGGGTTATGTTTCTCTTTCGGGAGGAGCCGTAATAGTGAGCTGTTGTAATGCATATACAGTGTGTGAATGCTTGTGAACATGTTGCACTAACATATTCTACTGTTTGTGTGCTTACAGGGCTCAGGAATAATCGGATGAGGAATGCCTGCTTGCAAGGTGCACACAAAAAGCTCTGATGGCCTAAACTCTGCAGGATTTGAGCAACTCACTCACAAAGGAGCCGTGCCATTTGTGGTTGTGTGTTTATGTGTGCGTTAGCTGATGATCTTATCTAGCTCTCTGAGTGTACTTCGACCACTGACTTTTTTTTTTTTCGCTGGGTAACCCTCCTCATGTGACCTACTTGTCACATAAACAAACATGGTCACACATACCAACTAAGTACCAGGTGCTGTTTTCTTCCCAACTATATATTGACAATTCGCAATGAAATATTGTCAGATCACTGATACAAATATTAACATTGCAACATATTTTTAGCATGAGCAAAGTCAACTTCAACTAGTGCTGTGTCAAAGTCCAGGTGATCAAACAGTTCACCAGCTTTCATATCTAAATAAAGTGGCTGACAACAGTCTGTGACGGCTTGGTTGAGAAATGTGCCCCTAGTTCGGAAACATGCACAAAACGGCAAAACAACTGTATTCACAGCAAACACATAGCAAATACATAAACAAAACAAATCTAAAAAACAAGACATGACAATGCAAGTCAAGTCAAAGTTCATTATTAAAGCATGTTTAAAAAAACAACCTTAGTTGACTTAAATGCTGTACAGGGGTACAAGGGCTCCAGGCCTGTGCTGGTGCTCAGTGCAACAGCTTATCAGTGACCTGAAGTGTTTTTCCCATAGACCGTATATACTATGGACAACTTGGTTCCGCCTTCCGCTAGTATATAGATTTGAAGCCAAAAAGCTCTCAGTAATTGTGGGTTTCTCTCCATTTACTAAAACCAACGTTGCGCAGTAGCATTGTGTGCATTTGGCGGGAGAGTCACAGAGTGTTGCTGTGATGACGCTCGGCCTACCCTCAGATGAGCTACGCAATCTTTGTAGGCTGTTTCAGGGGTCAGTCATAGAAAACATGAACCCCCTAATAACTTTTAAAAAAAGGAGCAGTACAGAAAATAAGAGGACTTGAGCACAAACCAGTCTTATAGTAACTATATGTCATCATCACAAGCAGGTGGGAAAAAAATTATGTTCTGTGTTTAAATTTTAAAGTTTGTCCACAGCTCCATAAGGTTTGCTGGCGGAGGCGGGATTTATGACCTATACTGCAGCCCATCAACAGAGGGCGCTGTTCTCAGAGTGGCTTAACTCAGCAAGGAGGCAGACTCTGTCCATTCTATATACAGTCTATGGTTTTTCCCACATATTACGGAATAGTATAGCTTTCTGCAGAGGGCATTATAAGGTACTAGTCAGGAATATATGTGTCAGCCACAGGAGATCCTGGTCAAAATGAAAGCTAGGCTATCTTCAGCCAAAGCTCTACTCTCTGAGCGTACACTTTTTGGGAAATCGCCAGCATTTTACTTTGCTTTGAGAAAGCCCGTTTGATTTCCCAGTGTTTTTGCAGTACATATGTGTTCTTTTGCCTGCACCACAGTAACATTAATAGCTATGATGAGTAAATGAAATGGAATAATAGCAAGTGAAATAGGTATAACTCCGACCCTGCCAGCTGTCAGGCTGTCACTTGTTTATAGTGTAAATACTTGTATATTATCTCTATATTTTCACTTATTTTACTTATTTTATCTATTCATCTCTATAATTTTACTTATTTTATCTATTTATCTCTATAATTTTACTTATTTTATCTATTTTATCTCTATATTTTATCTATTATTTATCTCCTCTTTACTGTATTTGCACTAGGGTACTGTAACGAAAGCAATTTCCCCCCAGGGATTATTAAAGTATTTCTGATTCTGATTCTGAGTTACTCCATAGTGTAAGCTGTGTTCTGTAGATAATACACACTATATTCAGAGCCTGACAGCTGGCAGTGTCGGAGTTATACCTGCTGCTAGTAACGTACAAAAAGTCATGATGGCTGCCACATGTCTCCAGCATTGGTTGAACAGGAACAGTAAAAAATTAAATGAAGGGTAAAATATTTCACTCAGACTAAAACAGAGAGGTGTGTATGCTTGTGTGACTGACGTTTAGATTGAAGAGATCCCTGTGTGTGTGTGTGTGTGTGTTTGTGTTCACCTGTGCAGATAATGAGCTTGTTAAAACTTTTTATCAGCACATTTTCTTCCTCAGCAATTTCTGCTGACCTTTGATCTCATTCAGTACATAAACAATTGTGTAAGCTTGTATAAGAAGTTGTCACACTCGGAACATTACACACAGATTATTAACAGTTTAAGCTCTGTACAGAATACAAATACATAAGAAAGAAATTTTAAGGTTTTAGAGAGGCATAATTAATGCCAGAACTAATAATAAAAATATCATTGTACAATATTTAAGTTGGTGCTACGTCTGCTTCTTTAATTAAGAAACAAGTCATCAAATGGTATTGTCATCCGAATCATGAATGAATTATAATAACACCCTGATGGATGTTGGAAACACCCTCCTAGAAAATTAGTATAAGCTGTAAAATTTATTTTCTTCCGAAGTGTGTCTCTTGAAGTCAAAGAGGACAAATCACTCGAACAGCATGCTCAAACGCATTTTCATTTGCATAGAAAAAAAGTACCCATAAGTAGATGGCTTACCTGCCTGCCTACCTGCACTCTGCAGCAAAACAGGGGTCTGCTACAAGTTAAAACTAGCAAACCTGCAGGGAGAGAATGACAGAGAGAATGACACAGCGCATTCAGGTGTATTGAGGGAGTGGCTTTGACATTTCTAAAGCTTGACATTTTCAAACATCTATCTTCTCTCCCCAAGCTCTTCGGTGTGTTCAAAATCATGACTTGTTCATCAGTTAAAAGTGTCAGAAATGTTTTTCAGCAGGTGAATGCTTCTCTCTAGTGGGTGAGAGAGGGAGGACTGGACACACACACACACTCAGACCTTTGTCCTCCTGATCCTGTGTACTGCTTGTTTCTAGTTACAGTTAATCCAAACTTGTTGACACTTTGCATTTTTACCTTTATCTGCATCACTGCTGTATCGATGAAATTGTTAGAATGTACAGAGGTTTAAATCAGGAAAAAACAGTTTATCCTAACTTCAAATTAGAATTTATCAAACTTCTATCTTGGATTATATGGGGAACATCACAATTGTTGCAACATCAGACACATCCTACCAAAGAAAAAGGTCAAAAATTAAATTTGTTACCCAGAATGAGTTTATATTTACTTAAAAATAAAAAGGTTGCATGAAAAAGGCTTTTTCGATAATCAACTTTATATTGTTATGAACAAAGCACCTGCATCTCCTCCTAGTGTGAGATCTGACGCCACAATCTCGCCTCAAGCAGTCATCTAACTCATGACTTTTTCTGATCAGCAACTGAGAGGTTTACAGAATGTGGTGAATAGCATAATTTTTAAAGACACTATTTCCACGCATATTATAAATAAGTGTACTAATCTTTTCACCTTACATATATGGTTGGCCAAGAGAAATGGTTACCTATGATGAGGCCAGAAAATAAAGTTTTATAGAGGAAGACACTTATGTACGGAGATAATACAGTTTCCTCATTTTAAACAGGAATTTCCCCATTTACTACCACTCATTTTAAATGGACTGCTTTGGGAGCAGGGCTACAACTTCAAGGTCACAGGACCCAGACTGGCGTCACAATGGCATCACAGTATAAGTATAAATCGCTACATACTGTATGTATAAACAGAATTTATTCCACTTTGTATTTTTACTGAATATTTATTCACTCCAAAGGGAATTGAGCCATCAACAATTGTGTAATACTCTTGTACAGGACTTATCAATTTTATCAATATTATGGCACTTTTACCAATAAAAACCTGAGCAAAGAACTTGTAAAATGTGTATTATTGTTCTTAGTTCCACACCCAATGGTTTAGTACCTCCATTATGACTCCAGCCAATAAAATGATTCCTTGTCTGTACACAGGTATGCAACAATAAAAAAGAGAAGTGGGAGGACTGACTGGAATAGTGAAGTAAAATTATGAGAAACCCATTGAGAAATGGTGAGAGAGCTATAAAAGAGTCCTGTGAAGTATATAAGAACTGCTGGAGATCAGAGCAGTCCTCTACATCCTCATCTTCTCACGTACAGAGAGCACTAAAGACAAGGATTAACTAGATTTCACCAGTGTTGGGTAAGTACCCTCTTGTCAGGTTAGGATGCAAAGTATTTTTTCTGAGAACACAACTGTAGTGCTATCTTAAGATTTGTTTTTTTATATATTTGATTTCATAAGAATCTTCTGTCAGTCAACTTGTTTATGGGGTTAAATTGAAGCGCTCAGGTACTTAAAGCTTGAATGGCCAACTTCAAAAGAGTGAGGCATTTGAAACACTTACTCTAAGTAAAGCGCTAACCAGCAGGAGTTTACTTTTAACTCCAAGTTAAAAATGACGGACAGAATAAACAACAACTGCGCCAAAGGCTGAAGCTCTATTCAAAGGCATGCAATTAATCTCAACTCGACTCAACTCAACTCAAAATATTTCACACACTGCGTAATTTAAAGTTATCCACTATTAATCACAACATGTTGAAAACAGTTTCGTTACCGTTTGTACTTTGATTAAAGCTGCTTTATTGTTACATCATACATTACATAAATTATTGTTCAATAGTTGAACAGGAGCTGTTCAGTCTTTGAGGCTTTGATTTTTTAAACTATTTAATTGTTTGAGGCTGATTATAAATGATCAGAAGAAAGATTTAGCTCCAAGATTAACTGTGATCAGCTGAAAAGTGAAAATTTTGAAACTGAGTCCGTCTGAGAATAAAAACAAACGACCAGTTATGTTGGTAAAAAATGATCAGGAGTAGTACAAGAATAAATTTAAGAGGAGCGGATTTGTTTCTGCGTGTTTCAACAGGACAATCAAAAGTGCAGTAAAAAATATCACAGGCAGAAAACACACTGGAAGGAATTGCACAAAGAGATATGAACATGATTAGTTAATGTGAATAGATTGTCGTGTTTCTGATTGAGTGAAAATTAACTTTGTATGATTGGGTTTTGGATTATTTTTCCAGGTATATTCTGCAGAGATTAAAATGAAGATGATATTCAGACTTCCTCTTTTCCATTTGCTCCTGCACTGTGCGACCCAGACATTAGGTGAGCCTTTGGTTTAGGCCTCATACTTTGACTAATTCAACAAAACAAACACTTATGTAGCTTAAGCCTTCTCTTCTCCACTAAACCATGTCTCAAAATTACACCTCATTTCTCTTTCTGAAGGCGTCAAGATTGAGTCTGTCCCAGCGTTCAATGGTGAACGTGTCATACAGACGGAGCTGGAGAAGACCGTGTCTCTAGTTTGTCAGCCTGAAGGTGGACTTGAGAGTGAGGAAGAGCTGATGTGGCTGAGGAACGATGCTGCAGTGACTCTTAAGGAGGGAAACACAAAGGGGAGCAGCAAAGTGTGTGTTACACCTGTCATCCATGACGACAATGGCGCTACTTTCACATGTCGCCTCAGAAAAAACGCCACAATCAGCACCTCAGTCACCCTGGACGTCACATGTGAGTTTAAAACAATGCTTAAATTATCTGCTAATGATATCAATGCTATGAAACAGTATATAGATGTTTGATTAAACATTTTAAGCTTCTTTGGGGATCATCTGTTTTCTACTTTGGTCCAAACTGAACATGTTAACTATTTAATGAGCTGCAGTGAAATGCAGACATTCATTGTCCCCAGAGGATATATATCATGAGTCCTCAGTTAGCCTATTGGTCATGCCTCTCTAAGGCTGAGATTAAAGGTTTAGTCAGGAACTATACTACTACTATAAGTGACAAGTCAAACTTTTGTCTGGATTCTGATGTTCCCATTTGGATGAATTTTAATGACTTGTAGCCACAGTGGTGTCCCTCACTCGTTCCAAAAGAGACATTTTGAAGCCCAGTGATGGTGTTTTGTGTTTCCAAGTTGTGCCTCTCATGCTTCAGTCGTGGCATTATACGGTGTAAATCATACACTAGGATACCAATATTACGCCATTGTGGGATCAATTAAACAGGGCAAAGGTATGATGATGGTGGAGCTTTGACAAACTCATGATGTGAAAAAAGACTTAAAGCTGCAGGGTGTAGTATATGAACAACATTCAACTGAAAAAAGTTATTAAACCAGAGTATAATCATTATAAGTTTGGTCTAATTAGAGTAAAAAAATCACCTGAATATAAATATTGTTTTGTTGACATTCATTTAGAAAAAGTCTTTTCTATCTACATAAAGAGACGGTTCCCTCCACAGAGGCTGCTGTCCTGCACCAACATGTTTCTTCACTGTGGGTATTTAGTGGGTTGCTGTGAATGCACTGATTAAAAGACAAAAAAAAGGAGACCCCCAAGAAGAAGCAAATAAAGAAGGGGAAAGGCAGGGGAGCATTTCAATCTTAAATCTGCCTGCTAGATTTTGCAAAACGTTCAACTAAATTCTCTTTAGAACGTGCAATATACCAGTATTGACGGAAACTTTCTTTATTAAAATATTCATTAAAACTTAAGTTTGTAACCGAGGTCCTTGCACTGTTTGCAGGGGACAAAGACAAAGCAGCAGACTGCCTGGGGACAAGCATGAAGAAGCTCCCCAGGGATAATTTGTACTTTTGAAAAATGAAATGTCAGGATTTTTGTAAATCCAAATGCAAATTTACCTCTTTTGGTTACAAATTTGTCGTTTATTCTTAATAACTGTTTAACTATTTCAATTCAGTTCCTTAACTCATGAGCTACTGGAAGTTTATACTTAGTTTTACAATGTAGAAAATACAGCAACCTAAATAAGACAGAATAAATTTCAAACTAAAATCATGCCAAACCGCCATTTTATGCGCCAATGTCTTCTAAAGTTTCAGTTGCACAACCAGTGATATCATAAACTTAAACATGGATGATATCATGTAAGTTCACCGTGTTTGTTAGTCAGATTTGTGGAGTTGTAATATTTATGAACACAGGAACCCTTGTTTTGCCTTTTTTCAAATTTAACTCACTTTTGGGGGCATGTTGAGCCAATTACTCATCACCATTACCTCAAACAGCCAGATGCACCTGCACCTGCACTTGGCACTGGGCTATCAAAATGGTGAAAGTTGGAGACTTGATCACTTTTCTGCGGTGGAACTTTTTTTTCCCCTCAGCTTGACTTTGTGCATCAGTAAGCCATAACAGGAGCAGCAGTAATCCAGCAGAGCTCCCTGAAGCGAAGCAGGTGAAGGAGGACTGAGTAGTGAGTGTGTACCCTTCATCCATTGAACAAAGATGAAAGTAGTTCAGAAACGTCAAAGATTTCTCATTATGCATCTAGCAATTTTTCACATCATGCCTTCATAGATGTGTCAGACATTCTGATTCATAGGCAGGAAAACATTCACATGTTGACTGTAGACCTGGATGGTAGGTGTAGAAAAGCTATTTCAAGCTCAACAATGCGTCTACACCTCACTCAAGACCAACATGCCAAAGGGCTCTCAGATGGATGTTGGACCACTGGCTGTTTCCACAGCACAGAGCTGTGCGTCATCACACTGTTGGTCAGAAATAAGCTTTGACGATTTGTGTGTACTATAGGCTGATTTACACCATTTACAGTAAGATGGGACCTTCAGAGCAACTAATGCTGCGTTTAGAGGCTGTTGATTGGTTATAGGACAAGACATTGAAGGAAACTGTCTGGGAGCTTTTGTGCAAAATTTCATTGTGCAAGCTAACCTCACAGTCACAAATTAACCAAAGTGCACCTTTATGTGGGTGTGATCCAGGCATCCAAGGTTTCAACTGATTGGTCAAATAATACATATAGATCTCTGGAATCTGGAATCAATCTGAAAAAGATTGATTTCTTTGTTTTGATGTCTTCCTTATCAGTTCCCCCTCAGCTCTCTGGTTCAGAAGAGGTCACAGTAGAAGAGGAAGCAGTCCTCGCCCTGAGCTGTGATATCTGGGCCAATCCACAAGTCTCATCGGTGTCCTGGACACTCAATGGAAGTGCTGTTGATCTTCTCGCGAGTGGCTTCACCGTTACCAATGATGGATCCACAAGCCAGCTGTCCACCAGCAGTGTTGAGGAAAGCTTGCATCAAGGCACCTATCAGTGCACAGCAAGCTCTCCCAAGTATGGAGAACACAACAAAGTCTTCCGAGTCACAGTAACAGGTCAGCACACATTTATTATAAAAAGTCCTATTTTCACAGAAAGGTTTGTGACTGATAACATCTGCTTGATCATCTTCTTTGTCCTCACATTTAGAAAAAACCATTAAGTTCCCATTGATGCCCATCATAGCAGGAGTAGTGGTGGTGGTCCTGACTGCACTTCTCGCTGTTGCTTCACGATGGAAAAAAATCGCAAAGGTACGATCAGAACATGCATACTGTACATTCAACCAAAAATATAACCCTGATTGACTGTAAACTCAACCTCTTGATGCTACGTTTTTTCTCCTGACAGTGCTGCAAGTAGGCTGGTCGAAACAACTGCTCATCTCATCAGGCTTCTTTAAGAAGATGTGAAAGCTTCACCACTCTGTTTGGAGCACAAATGTTGTAGTTTTTATTTAATTGTATTTTACTCTGAGTTTAAATGGTTTCAATTTTAGGGAAATAAGAGCTTTTAGACCAATACCAGACTGATATTCATCCTTTTTGGGATGAAGCTAGATAGCTTAGCTTAGCACAAACAGCTGAATCAAACCAAAGTAAGCCACCTGAAAACCACTCTCTTTGGTTATTGAACGGCTCAGATAAACAGGCATGAAATGTCCATTTATGAGTTTCAGGGGAACAGTTGGTGGATTTTGGTCACAATGAGGACATGTTTCCCTTTTGTTTCCTCAGCAAAGCTAAACTTATCCCCTGCTGTAACTGCATATTCAGTGTATAGGAGTCTTTTTTGACTCTCGATGTGTGAGCAAATCTGTATGATCTGGTAAATTTGTGAAGTTTTCCCAGCGACCTTGAAGAGCGTACAGAACCGTGACCCTGAAGCATATTTTGAGTACTCCACTCCCATTTTCTTGTCAGTATCTTTGCAATAAAGCCTCTCTAAGAACACACGAGGATTTTACATTTGCTCTGAACTTTAACTCCTGACTCAACAATAAAACCCGGGCTAGTTAAAATCGTGTTATACATTTACTCTTATTGAGACAAAAGGATAACCTTGTACTCATCAAGGTCAAGGTCTGTCTCTGTGTTCTCACCAATAAAGTAACATTTAACAGGATCACATAAAACAGTGTGATACCGAGCACGGGTGCAAGCATGTTAAACAGGGATAGGAAGACAGGTCTGAGATGAACTTAGCGTGTATATTGGGAAAACTTAAAGCATTATAAGAAGCATTTTGTTGGAGAAGGCTTTTATTTTGAAATAATATGTTCCTGTAATGTAGTTATTTAACTAATTTTTGTCTCCTATTTTCTTGTTTAAGTGGACTGTGCATAAAAATCAGTAATAACTGACAATTTCAGGGGTAACTTATCCTGTAAAAATATTCTATGATTCTTATTAACAGGTTTAAAAAGACAGACACCACTTGAACCCTAATGTTGAGTAAATACCAAAACCATATACATTTATTCACTGTATTGCAAATGTTTTTCCAAACTTCTTTGCTGCTTGTTATATGTTTAGAAGTGGTTTAATCCACATTAATCTGATGATTTACTTATCTCTCGGCTTTGTGAAACAGAAATAAAGGCTGTGCCTGTAGAAACTGGTTGTTTTTTTCTTTTGTTTGAAGTATTTTTTGCATTTCAGCAGTGACATTATTTGTTTACAATGCAAAAGAAGAACACATTAAACAAATTACAAGTCAATAAAGGCTGAAACATAATGTTGTTGGTGCCTTTTTATAGTATCTGGGACCTTCAAAAAATATGTGGACATGTCAAGGGCCTCACGGCTCCCGATATGCAAGTGTGGAGTGCCATCTGCTGGTCACTTCCCTTCAAACCATACTTCTGAGAAAGTGTGGGTAAGGGCAGCTTCTCTATGTATTACAAAAGTTATCATACCTGGCCCTTTTCACAAAGACACTTCAATCTTTCTGTGGTTTTTAAAAAAGCAGAATCCAACTGGCAGGGTGATACCTAAAACTTTGTACAAATTCTTTGTATTTCCACAGTAAACGATTTATGGGAATATCTGGCACTACATGAGTATGTTAAACTGTGCTCTTTTTCTACAGAAAGAAAAGAAAAAAAACTATCATGAACATCTGGGCATATTCACAAGCTACATCAACTTCATTAATCAATCCCCAGACCTACCCAACTGTATGAACACCTACACCATGCTTAATCAAAATGAAACCCCACATAGATAACTAAAATAAAAAAATACAATAAAATTTTAAAAGACATATTACAGACCTTAGGAGCGATCAACTTTATTGTCAAAGAGCTTTTAATTATATTGAGTTATAAAATAAATGAGTTTCACTGGTCTAGACTTCATCCATAGAAAAATCTCTAGTTAATGCAAGTGATGGTGAAATGTTAGTGGGAGAGATTTTTTATATATTTAATGGTCCAGACAGGAGGATAATGATGATTATGATGATGATGATGACAATATTCAAGAGCATAATTAGCTATCACAAATTTAAAAAAAGAAAAGAAGAAAAAAAAAGGATACAAAGAAAAAAAAAGCTGAAAGTTTACAGCTGGCTTAGCACCTTGGGTTGTGCACATACAGGGCACATACAAGGCTGAGTCCCTGTCTAACTACAAACTAAAAATGTACATGAGAGCTAAAAATTAACGTTACAATTCTCAGGAATTTTTAACTTATATGACTAAAAAACATGTTTGTAGTAATGTAGTAAGGGTCAGTAATGGTCATAGAAGTGTAGTATGTGTACTTCTTTCTACAGGAACTAACAGCAGACCCCCTCCCTTCCATCCCCTTCCGATGCACGCCGAGACGTAACGCCTTACGTCATTGAAGGAGGGGTTGTGCGTGAAGGGCGTGGTGATGTGTGTGTGTGCGCGGTTTGGTTCAATCCGGAGTCCGCCGCCAAATTCAAACATTGAAAGAAAGAAACAAGACGAGCAGCAACCGAGGCAGAGATTGGAAGGAGATTTTTACCATCGCTACAACTCTAGGTAAGCTTTCTCTACGGTAGATGATTAGATAGCTGATCTCCTTTGTTTTGCTCCGTGTAAGTATCATACACTTTATTTAGTGTGGAGAGAGACGATAACATTAGCTCACACTGCTAAATCGTTGTTCATGGTTGACAAAATAGATCTTTTAAAGCTAGAATAAAACCTTTAAGTTGTTTCTTTGTCGGGTGCGTAAAGCTACCTCTTGGTTTTTATTCTCCCTATGTGTGATAAATCACTGCACAGGAAAAGTGAAATAGGACAGAGACGCTGCAGAGCAACAAGTCCCGATCAAACAACAGACACTCATCTTTCACAGACTCAAGCTGTTTTTACACCATCGGTATTTATTCAACGGAACAGATAAATGTGATGTTTGCACGTTTTTCTAAAGAGTCAGGAAATTTCTCTGTGAATATTTTTCGTATGCTTTGTTCTTTTAAAGTGTGTCTCAAGTCTTTGTTTACGATACTTAATTGTTCTAACAATACTACATGTAGGACTTTCTGTACTTCCTAAAAGTTGAATGTTTCTCTAAGCTTCTTTTGCCAAACCAACAGTACGGGAGAGTGGGGCAAGATGAGCCATTTTTCATATTTCAGATCACTACATCAAGGCAATCATAGTTTTGTCTCTAACTAGTGAATCTGCATATATTTCAAGATGTTGTGCATCCCTGCAAACCAACAGAATGAGTGTAACCATAACCGTCTTAATGATATAGCATGCCAAAAAAAGCGGTCTCCTATGGTCAACTTACCCCCATGTATGGAATAAGTTGACCTCGTGTTGTAGCTCATAGATACATCGATTGATGTATAAAACAAATTTAAAATGATCATTTTTGGTCTGAACACAATTCTAATAAAACTTATGACAGACTAAATTCACTTTCAAGAGTGAAAATTTATTTTTGGAAATAAATGTCTAACCCCTTTGCCATTGTGCTTCTAACCTTCACAGACTCCATGAATTGATGCCCATCTCCTAAATATTTGGTCACATGATCAATTTATTTTACCAATTCCCAGCAACAGGGGGTGGCTCAACTTACCCCACTCTTCCCTAGAAGCAATGTAAAGTTAGATGAGACAAAGAACAAGAAGTAGCCTGATTTTATCTATCATCAATAATATTCAAACTCTGTTGTTCCCTCCTCTCCCCCACTTTTAGGTAAACATGTCATCTTCTGTTATGGATGGAGTCGGTAGAGCTGTGGTGGGAGTCTGGAGAGCCCACACGGTCCTGGATGAGTCGGACGGAGCAGAAAGCTCCCCAGAAGCCCCTGACCGTTTTCGCAAGCTGCGATCTTCATCTTCTCTAAATTCTCTGCGAATGTCTTTACGCAAGCGTCTTCCGCTGCGCACCGTCCAGAGTAACTCCCTCCCAGAGAATCCCACCTGGGAACCAAGAAAAGAGCAACCAAAACCCAACACAGTCCACAAACTCACTCGCAGTGCCAGGAACTCTATCAGTGGAGTTTATCAGGTACATGTAACACAAGGGATGGGGATTTTATGCACATAGAGACCCTGAAATCAAATGTCTTTCTACACACATTGGCATATAGTAAAGCTGAGATTCAAAAACCCACCAGAATGTCCCTCAATTAATTTATGTTAAAAGTGTGTAAGATAATACAATATCTGTGTTGATTTTATACCTTCTCATTGGTTGTCTTAATTGTGCAACCTTTCTTTCCGACCCATTTCCAGAGGCTGCAGAGGAACAGAGAATTTTCACGTGAGGAGTGTTTGGTAGAAACCCCAGGTCGGGAACAAGACACAGAAGAAGCTGGTGTATCAACTGCCCGCACACCAAAGCGAACACCTGGCAGGGCTGCAACACCAAGACGCACCCCTAGAGTGGTGGCCACACCTGGTCGCACCCCTGGGTCCAGAGGAAGAAAGACTCCTGAGGCGAGTGTACGTGGGGTAAAAACAGGAGGTGGGAGGAGGCAGCTGGTCCGCATGGCCGCTTTACGGAGTCCATTTGCCTCCCCGAACACGCAGAACCAGAGAATGTAAGTCTTCAAGAGCCACATGATAACGCACATGACTACATTGACACATGATATAGCTGGTGTTTTTCAGCTTTGTTTGCTAGTTTAATAGATTTTCTCTCAACAACAGAAAGTTCGACCAAGATTTAGAGTCTGTGTCCAGTGGACTCAGGAGGCTCAAACATCTTTCCAAGGCCTTTGATAGCCTCATTGGCAGAGATGACAGGTAAGAGTACCCTTATGTACTTCAATGTAATGACTAGTAGGTATGTGGTAAATGTAAGTGCTGATCAAATGTTTAGGAACGTTAATTTTAGCAGTTGTTTACATAAAAACAAAAGAAATGTCAGTTATTTAAGAAGCCGTCTCCTTTAGTTTATACATATTCTGCATGGAGAAGACCTAAGAGGCTTTTGACCACCCCAAGAATCCCACTTCACAGCACAGCTTGAGGGCCCCTGGACCTCCTTCCCCTCCCCCTAACTCACATTCTTCCCAGCTCGGTTCAAAACTGGGTCTGTGTTTATGGTATTCGAATGAGGAGGGGGTGAGTGGGAGACCAGAGGGGGAGAGAAAGTGCAGCTTTGGGAATTGGAGTCATATGAAATGTCAAAGCCGTGCTTGAGAGAGCTTGCATCACTTCCTGTGTTAACATTCAAAAAGTTGATTCGTGACCAGCCCATGAGGAATGAGACGTGCTGCGGAAATCGGAGGGGCGCATGAAGAGTGACCTTGTCTGTTAGAATCGGCGCGCATAATAATCAGCCAACCGCTCCCCTCACTGTACAGCAAACTCGTCTGTTGGGAATTTATGCATGGGTTTGTTTCCCTCCCAAAACAGGCGGTTCAACTATTCACTTATGGTGGAGTAGGAAAGCAGGTAAACCAAAGTATCTAAAAACCCTCCTCTGACATCGTATCAGTCGTGAAAAAGTGCTCCAGCTGTTACTAACTGAGTGACATGGATGTGCATGGCAGCACTTGCCTTGTGCCTGTATTTGAATGCATGATTTGAGCTATGAGTAACATGCCTGTCTTCAGCTCACACTCCCCTCACTACTCTTTGCTTTATGTTTTGACTTTTGGATGTTTCTTTATTTTTATTTCTTCAACTCTTACTAAGATTTCAGCAAGATTAAAAATGGCAGTGTTGTCTAAATTCATGATGTTCACACTCTATAACATTATGACAGCATGCGTGAAAAAGTGCAAGCAAGTTTAAGGACTTTTACAATTAATAATGATTAACACTGGTTCATACTCTTGCATATGTTGAACAGTGTTCTCCTTTTTTTCTTACAGATCCTCTACAGGAGAACGTCCAGGAGGAGCAGTGATGAGAAAGTTGGACCCCAATGGTAAACTCTGTCGCTCAAACCTCTCACGTCGAGCGACAAAACTCTCGAACGCTTTGGGAGGTTGGGCCAACACAGCTGTGAACACCGTTCGCAAATCCAACTGAACTACTCGTGTGCATATGTAAAACACAAGCCCTCCTATAGCCATGTTACACATCTTATCAGTGGGGTATCTATGTTACATTAGAAGTAGTGTTGTCATGTTATTGGGAGGCTGTTACAAGCACGTGTATTGTCTCTTTTCTATAAACTGTGTGTTCTTAGCAACAGTTGAGATTTCTTGTGTTTACGCGTCTCAGGTTAGCTGGTTGTGGATACTTGTCCTCAGTGAAGCTGCCAAAAGGATTCTTGCATTGTGATGTTATCTACCTATATTATAGCTGCTACAACCAAATGTCTAAGTTACATTGTCATAATACTAACACTTAAGTTTATTTTCTTACTTTTTTAAATAGAATTTTATTCCAGTTTGAAAATGTACACAACACCAAAACTATAGCTGTCACTAACACTAGATTTACTGACTGAGGAACGATATGTTTCCTCTATTTAACAAGTATGCAATAATGTTACTAACATCCGTTGTGCATTTCTATTTGTTATTTGATTATGCCAAATTTTTAAGTGTATTTTCTATGAAACAGGACTTTTTTTATACAGCTTAGGCAGATTGATTGGTATGTTTTTTATTACTGCTTTTGCGTCACAGGGGCCACCCTGTTAATAGTCTGTGAATGATTCATGGACCAATGCTGTGAACATCAATCATGTAGTAATGTGATGGGGAAGATGTAATGACTCATGACATGATGATGATGTTATAAAACCATATCCGGCAGGTTATTAGCATAATGACAAACAACCTGCATTGGTGCAAAACAGTCTTCTCTCTGCAGTTTGAGTGCAAAGGTATCCCCTTTCTGCAGACATGAAAATTGTGCCTGAAGTATGAAAATAGCAATAAAACCTGTAAGATTTGGAAAAAATACATGTTTGTCATTTTTATCATTTTTGTAATAAATGGTCATTGTAATTCAGCTCACACAAAATAATTGGTGTATTTTATCAGGATTGTTAGCATCATTCTTTCATGTATGGAGGGACCATTTTTGTAAGACAGGAGCCAAATCTTGTTTACACACAAAAATCTCCCACTATATTAAGTTCGACAAATATGACTCATCAAGTTGAGGCTGAACACAAGGGTGTAATTGAAAAATGTTGAACTTTTTCTAAGGAGGCATCATGAAGTAAAATGTATTTGAAAATATTACTTGTATGAAGATTAATACACTGTCATATTTTATTTACATAATCACGAAATTTGCGTAGTTACCATTATTTTGGGGAAGGTGATGTCAAGAGAAAAAATCATGTCAGAGAAAGACAAAACTGGAGGTTCAACCACTTACTTGCAATAGCAGATAAATCCCACTTGATGGCAGCAGGTGGAATTTCTTTCATTAGAGTACTGGTTGCTGTTAAAGATGAGTGGTACCAGTCATAATACAAAATGTTTCGGCCGTCTCAAGCATAGTTTGATGTTGAGAAATGTTACAAATGATAATAATTAGCTAATGCTTTTTGAGCTTATCATATACATTTTTTTTTTTTTTTTTTTTTTTTAATTTGCCTTTTTGTAAAGAGCTTTAGAAAAAAAAAACACATTAGACCTAAGTGCTGAATTTGGAAAAATGTTTTTCTTTATTGTACTCAACTACTTTTGTAGCCAGTTTAATCATAAACAACAGCACAATGCTTTCTTATCTGAGTAATCCAAAAGAACACGGACTACACATTATGTGACATAATGTGACACATTCGGGTTGCTCCAAAAAATTTTTTATTTAAAACCTGAAACTGCTGTGAGAAGGCAGTTGTCAGACCAGATGACTCACAGACTGCTGAAGAAACAACCTTTTCACTTTCATAGAAATAGGGATCTAAATCTCAAAGGGCTAAAGGACAATGTTTGCCAAAAATACACAACTTGAAGTACCAACAAAGAGAAATACACCTCACTAAAATATGAGGAAAGTCACTGGCTTTGCAGCCTGGTGCATCCTGTAGTTGCAGTGAATTTGAATTTAAAGTGATATTCCGATGTAAAATTAAGTTAGGATCAAACACGCCGAGTTGGACACTCCGTCGAGAGATGAATGCTGCCGACTGCTTGCTTCTCTAGTTATACCAACTTTAGTAATGACCACAGGATAGCAATACACAGAGCCACGCGCTTAACCAAAACACCACTCTATAGCCACAAATTATATCCATTATTTTGTTTATTCATTAATCTAATCGATACCTCAGCATGGCGTTGGTTTAAGAAATGCGTAGCTCAGAATTTATTTTATTGCGTTTTAAACTAATAAAAATCATTCAATTTGTCCCTTTTGGGTACCCGTCCCAGCTCCACGCCTCGATGAAATCGCTCCTCCTCTTTCTCTCCGGCTTTGTACCCAGAGCTGAACCCACGCCGCGGCTAGCTTCTCCAAGATACCGGGGCTGTTAAACAACGGAAAATGGCCCTCCACGTCCCCAAAGCTCCGGGCTTTGCCCAAATGCTGAAAGATGGCGCAAAGGTGAGCTTAAATTACTTCTCGGGGAGAGTTTTAGTAGTTTAGAGTCTGTTCCTGTAGACGGGTATGCTAGCTCCTGTTAGCCGCTCAGATAGCACGCTCATTCACAGTCATGTGGGAGAGTTCTAGAAGGAAGACAGGCCGCGCGAAGACGATGGAGCCACAGGAGCCGCAGTGGGTCAAAAACAGCTCGTTTTTGTGTAATTTTACCGTAGTTAAACATGCTGTGCATGTCTGCAGTGTTGTATCTGCAGTAATAACTCGGGCTTGTCAGCAGTCACACCCAGTAAGCCTTTAACTGAGTGTCAGGGCTGAGGCTCTGACTGTCAACCCTCTTTAGTCTTAGCTGTTGATGCTTCCTGTATGATGTATCTCTAAGGTGGTGACAAGCTTCCTAGAAATCATTGGATGTCATTAATTCATATTATATTTGGCTGAAATTCAAAATTTTTATACATACTTCAGGGATATTCTGGCGTGAAATTAAGCCAGGGTCAAACACACCATAACACTGAGTTAGACAGCCCCTTTAGAGATGAATGTTGCTGACCACTTGCTTCTCTAGTTTTACCAACTTTAGTAACGACCGCAGGATAGCAATACACAGCGGTCTCAGGAGCCATAAACAAACCTCAACCAAAACGCCACTCTACAGCCACAAATAATGCTCAGAACAGCACCTAACTTCATCAACAGTACATATAGGGTCATAGCCATAGCACTACCTTCCAAGCATTATTTGTGGCGTTTTGGTTGAGGTTTGTTTATGGCTCTTCAGACTGCTGTGTCTTGCTATCGTGCGGTCATTACTAAAGTTGGTATAACTAGAGAAGCAAGCGGTCTGCAACATTCATCTCTCGAGGGGGTGTCTAACTCAGTGTTACAGTGTGTTTGACACTAAATTAATTTTACTCCGGAATATCCCTTTAAATACTGTGTCTGTTTGAATAGCCTCCACAGTTTATGTATTATTTTCTTTATTTCAGCACTATTCAGGCCTTGAAGAGGCAGTCTTTCGTAACATCAGAGCATGTAGAGAGCTTTCTCAGACAACACGTACTGCCTATGGACCAAACGGTAAGCACATCACTTCCACAATAATTTTACTGTGTGTTACTGTATTATTAATTAAAATTTCATAAGAAAGCCATGTTTTATAAGTAACACCATTGCTTTGTAGGTATGAACAAAATGGTCATCAACCACTTGGAGAAGCTGTTCGTCACCAATGATGCCGCAACTATCCTGAGAGAGCTGGAGGTGAGGAGACTTCACATTCCCCGGAAACATAAAGCATACAGCTATGACTTTGATAAGAAAAATTACGCATTTTTTTTTTTCTTATTTTACCTGAACAGGTGCAGCATCCAGCAGCCAAAATGATTGTTATGGCGTCACACATGCAAGAGCAGGAGGTTGGAGATGGTACAAATTTTGTCCTGGTGTTTGCTGGAGCTCTGCTGGAGCTGGCTGAAGAGCTGTTGAGGATGGGCCTGTCTGTGTCAGAGGTAAACAAATGTTGCCACATCCTGTCATTTTTATAGATTTTTGTTTGTCCTTATGATATGGCAAACACCATTCACTAAGCGTTTGTACAAGACAAAGCACAGATGAGTGAAAACAAGTTGATGCAGTAATGCTTGAAGAGCTGCATTTAAAGCCTTAATCCTACAATAAACACATATGAACTGATCAAGATATATGTTTTGTATCAGTTCTAGCATCTGCTCAGTGACACTTTTTTTGTTTTGGCCACAGGTGATTGAAGGCTATGAAAAAGCATGTCAAAAGACTCTGGAGATCCTCCCAGACTGCGTGTGCTCCACAGCCGAGAACCTCCATGATGTTAAAGAAGCAACAGCTTTCATCCGTACAGCAGTCATGAGTAAACAGTATGGAAATGAAGACTTCCTTGCACAACTTATCGCAGATGCCTGTGGTGAGTCAGCAATCCAGATTATGGAAACCAAACCAGAGCTGTGATTGGAAGTTATTGGTGGTGATTTTCTTTTTTGGTGTTTGTCTGACTGTCTTCTCTTCACTGTTTATTTGTTGTAGTGTCCATCTTCCCAGAGTCTGGCAGTTTCAATGTCGACAATGTCAGAGTGTGCAAGATTCTGGTGAGCAGCAAAATCCATTGTGTGTTATGTCAGGATGTGATGTTTGAGCCTTGAGTTGATACCTTTCTTTTATTTTTCAGGGTTGTGGGGTCACAGCGTCCTCCATGCTTCATGGCATGGTGTTTAAAAAGGAAGCTGAGGGGGATGTCACATCAGTTAAAGATGCCAAGATTGCTGTCTTCTCCTGCCCCTTTGATAGCATGGTGACAGAAACCAAGGTACTAATACTGCAGCCTTTCTTAATGGATCAGATTAATGCAAACCTCCTCGCTCCTTTGTATCACATAGTAAACATTTCCTTTTTGGCTTTAAGGCATTTTTTCTTTTGCAGGTGTTTTAATCTTTGTTCTAACAGTAGTCTTACCTGATTCGCAGGGTACAGTGCTGATCAATAATGCACAGGAGCTCATGAACTTCAGTAAAGGAGAGGAGGACATGATGGAGGCTCAGGTGAAGGCTATCAAAGAGGCCGGTGCCAACGTGGTGGTCACTGGAGGAAAAGTTGCCGACATGGCGCTGCACTATGCCAACAAGTACCAGCTCATGGTGGTCAGGTAAATCGGAAACTAGCTATAACAATTCAAAGGAAGGTTGATTTATGTGGCAATTACAGCCAGGGTGCCTGGAATAAACCTGTCGATAAAATGTAGTTTATAATAACACTTGGTACAAACTTCAGTTAGTCGAACCCCACACTGTGTGACTTCAAGCCAGGATAGACGTTGTGCAGACTTCCCACCGTGAAAAGAAGTGATTGTGCATTTGAAATAGTACCTATCAAAGGGAATTAGTTTGTATATTATCTGTCTATATAAAGAATGATTAATCTAAGAATTACATATATTTTAAAGAACCTTGTGGGGGTAAGTAATGCTGCAGAAACATCTCATTTTCTTAAATAAGAAATGGAAATATTTTATATCTATCATATTCTATTGATATCAAATTGTATACAGTTAGTTTTTCTGTCATAAGCCTTTTTTGGGGTGTTATCTATTATTATTGTCAGAAGTAGGTTGCATTTTTAGTCACTATAATGGACAAGTTTATGTTTCCCCATCATAAAACTGTGTATGTAGAGGTGCTCTGGTTATATCAGGAAGGCTTTCTTTTTGTGGACCTTTTGTCAAATCCTGCTTTTTTCCCAATCAGACTCAACTCTAAGTGGGACCTCAGGAGGTTATGTAAGACTGTGGGAGCCATAGCTCTGCCAAGGATGGTAAGAGTTGACTTGTTCTCTTCAGATCTGGTGTCCATTGTAAAGCTTATTTATGTAGCAATTTATGTATGTATGAACATGTTCTTCTGCTTCATAGACTGCTCCAACCCCAGAGGAGATGGGTCACTGTGACAATGTGTACCTGACAGAGGTCGGGGACACTCAGGTGGTGGTCTTCAAACACGGTAAGTCAATCTTTTCCCCTGTGGATCTTGGTTTTCTTTTTTTAACCTGATCTTTGTGTTAGTGGCTTGACATGCGGCTGTTTTTTTCTTTGAATAGAAAAAGAGGATGGGGCCATCTCGACGGTGGTGATCAGAGGCTCCACAGACAACCTAATGGACGACATTGAGAGGGCTGTAGATGATGGAGTTAACACCTTCAAGGTTCTGGTCAGGGTAAGTCAACACAATAAACTACTCAGAGATTTTTTACAGCCTTGATGGAAAGAAAATGAAAGAATTTGTGATGTTATTTTGTGTCAATATGCTGCTTTGAAGAACATCTCCTTATCTGCTCATATTTTTTTAAAATAGTTATTTTATTTAGTTGCTTCTTTAAAACGCTGTGTCATGCTGAGAGGGTTGCTGATAATGTCTATTCTATGAATGAAAAGCCCTGGAGTTTAAGATGAATGCTTTAGCTCACTTCATATTGATTGCCCTCCACCTGCACCACAGTTACATCATCTATGTCATTTATCTTCGGCAGGACAAACGCCTGGTACCAGGAGCAGGGGCTACTGAAATCGAGCTTGCCAAGCAGATCACCTCATATGGAGAAGTAAGACGATTTGACTACGTTACCTGAAGAGCACCAGGCTTGGTCTTGGTGTTTTTCTCTTGCTTTTGCCCTTTTTTGATTTTACTATATGACGGGTAATAAAATCCATGAATGTGGCCTCTTTTGTTCCCTCTCCTCTCTGTAGTCCTGCCCTGGTTTGGAGCAGTACGCCATCAAAAAGTTCGCCGAAGCTTTTGAGGCTCTGCCACGTGCGCTGGCTGAGAACTCTGGAGTGAAGGGTAGCGAACTCATCTCCAAACTTTACTCTGCACATCACGAGGGAAACAAAAACATGGGCTTTGATATTGAGGTATGAACTCGAAGAGACCTGAATGAATAATTATGATGAAGAGATTTTATTGTATTGTGTCAAAATTCAACACTCTTAAAGGACACATTCAGTGTATTCAAGCATCAGCATGTTGTGATCTAGCTCGAGTTACACCCCTGACTCCCACTATGCTTTTGTCTTTAGGCTGATGGCCTTGCAGTGAAGGACATGCTGGAAGCCGGGATAATGGAGCCTTACCTTGTGAAACACTGGGGCATCAAGCTGGCAACCAATGCTGCCATCACAGTGCTGAGGGTGGACCAGGTGTGTACACAAACCACAAAGACAATCAAAAGCATCCACTCAGTTAATATTCTACTGAGTATTTAAAAAGCAAGTCCCAAATTCATCTTTAAATCTTTAAAAAGGTCAAGTTGTTTCCTGAAAACTGTTAGGTTCTGCAGTATTGACCAAACATGGCACAAAAAGAAGTTAATATTTCATGTTATGGAGATTTGTTCAGCTGCAGCTTCACACACATCTTTAAGTAAATGATGAAGTCAAAAGTACTGGTGAATGAAAATACCCTAATTTTTTGGATTTCATCATAACAGATCAGACTTAACATTTTTTCTGTCCTATCAGGCAAGAGGTTTCACAGGAGGTCAGTCTGAGTTAATAATGTTTTAGAAAAAGTCCAAGTTGACCCTCAGTCGATCAGATGAAGTGTTTCCCGGGGAGCCTTCATTAAATAAAAGTCTCCAGGATGTAACATTAGTATGTGTATATGCATGTGTGCGACGCAGATCATCATGGCCAAGGCTGCAGGGGGACCCAGAGCTCCCAAGCAGAGAGGCCACTGGGACAAGGACGATTGGGAGGAAGAGCCTGATAAATTTGATACCCATCATTAGAGGTCAAGCACACACCCTCAACCAGTAGGTCCAGGAATGAAGTGTGTGGCCTAAACTCACCTTGATATGAACTGAGACACTCACGGGAGACTGGAATTGTTGTGACATATTTATTCCTGCCTGTCACTACTAACACCGGGTGTGATACAAAACTCACTACAGCGACATTTTGCCCAGCAGAGGCAGGTGTGTTTTAAATACTGCCAAGTTTGTCACTGACGGCTGACTACCTCACTTAAAACTTGCACAGAACACATGAGGTTTGGTTTGATGGCATGCTGCATGCATTAATGAACTCTTTCCATTTCAGTGGGCATCCAAAGGCAAGTGCAGAATTTGAAGTACATTGCATGTAATGGATTCATTTTCTGAAGGAACATGAATGTGTGATGAAGTTCAAGTCGCAAAAGGATACATTTTGGCTTAAGGGGCCAAAAGATTTCTCAAATTCTTTAACAACCTCTTCTTCATTATAGACTATTAGTCTGGGATTTTATGATACACATTAGGAAGATTGAGAATCACTTCAGTTTTAGTGGACTTTTTCTTATGTAGCTATGCAGCAGTGTTGTTTTCGTTGACGAAAATATTTCGTCAACGCCCCTTTTATTCCACGACGAAGACGTGACGTTGACGAGCTAAACATAAGTCTTGGATGACTAAAATGTGATGAATGTGCGTTTACGTTGACGAGACGAAAATGTTAGTGGTGGAAGACAAACAGTGTTGCAAAATTCATTCATCAGTCCAACGCTAAACATATGTTCTGCAGTGTTGTTTCCATTGACGATGACAAAAATATTTTGTCAATGTCAACAAAAACAACACTGCCATGTAGGAACTCTTGATTTCTTTATTGAGGGCATAACACTGCTTTGATGCCATTTTACATCATACAGGTTTTTTAAGATTTGAAGTTATAGTAAATGTGACAAACAGTCTTGAGCACCATAATTTGAGAGGTTTAAATAAGTTAAGATATAAGCCAAAAAGACTGATGTCTTAATGTCACATTTTCATAATTGTCCTTAAATCCAAACATTTTCCCTTCCTTGATATCAATCAACTACAGGAATATTTTTGCGTCAAGGCAGATAATAATCCCGCCTGAGAATCTACTGCTGCATGGACTCTGGTGTTCATTACTTCTAGGCAGATAAATCTCACTGACTTTCATCTTTTTTTTTTTCATTTAGATCATCATGGCAAAACCAGCAGGGGGACCTAAACCACCACAGGGCAGGAAGGACTTTGATGAGGATGACTGAACCTGATGCAGTCCAGCTGATGCCCCTGTTAACCCTCAACGCTCCCACACGGATTCATCAGACCCTTTTCTACTTGTTTATTTAAAGCTCAACAGTTTGGTTTATTTTGTAGGATTGACTGCACATTGGTCAACAAAGTGTTATGTGAAAGTAAAAAATGTAAGGATGGCACTGTTTGCTTTTTATGTTTTTGTCCCAAATAAAAGGCACTTGCGCTGTCATGTCATGGTTTATGCTGTATTTCATCTTTGTGTTGGTAGTTTTTAATATAGTGACGCTAAATTGCTTTTTTTCAAAGTCATTTAAATCTGGAAAAGAGTTGTCATGACCCTGTGTTTATTGAGTCATTCTGTTACAGCTTATAAATCAGCATCATGCAGGGCTCTCTGCTGTCACTACAGTAATACCTATGATGCTGCCCCGGGGGTTTGCTCTTCACATTATGTGGAAGCAGCAGAAATTATGCATGCCCTGGTTTATTTTTAGAACAAAGTGAACGGCAGGATCGAGTGGGGGTGACTGACCGGAAGATACACGAGTATGCGCCACATGATGCAGTGATTGATGGATTGACACCTTTGAAAAAGAAAAAATTTATATACTAGGCCTGCTATGCAAATGGTGCAGCTGACGTCAAACATGGACGCTGATTTGTTCGACTAATGTGTGCGGTTTCGAGTACGGAAAGCAGCAGGGGGAGCTCAACTCAACAAGGTTGCCGTCTTATTGGATGGCAAAGCTGTGGGCGGATTTGCGCTGACGTTGCCCCATACTCGGGATTAACTTGTTTTTTTTATGTCGCCATATCTGTCAAATTTTGCTTCGCAGAGATCACCTGCAGGCTCTTGTTTAGCTGTAGAGTATCTGCTCACTTCCCCACACCTGACATATGTGTGAGTGCAGCGCGTGAAACCGTGGATGGGCTCCCGTGAGGTGCCTGGATGAGGAGATGCCGCAGCCGTAGTTGCAGCGCTGATGTCCCGTCGCACTGATGGGGTCCGACGGCAGCAAAACCAGAAAGGTGAGTTCACAGAAAATACCTGGTTGCCTAGGTGCAACGAGCTTGGTGGGGTTCGGTGTTTCCATGGCAATGATATAACTGGTTACCGATATCACTAGGCAACGATAGGCAGTGTTTCCATCCGTTTCTACTCCCGTATTAAACTACTGTATGCTGAAAATGTTCATAGTTGATAGTTATTAGAACTGGACAAACTTAACACGCATTATTACCCCATAAATATTTGTGTTTAAAAAAAAACACGGTATGAGTTTGTATGCTTTTACTTTGAAGGCGGGTTCGAAACGCTTCTGTACGGTGGCCGAGAACCGCCACTGCTGCAAATTTAAAAAAAAATTTAAAAATGCAAAAAAAATAAAAGTCACAACCTAAGTTACTGAAGCAAAAAAACAAACAAAAAAAAAACAAAGCCTACTTCAAATAAAAAAGGAATGGTGCAGATAAAAAAAAAGGCACAATGGAAGTTAATGACACACAAAAAAAGTGGTGATAGAAAAAAAAAAAGTTACTTACTGTGAAAATAAAAGGATGCAAATTTTAAAAAAGCCATAACGGAAGTGAGCTGCCAGGGACCAATAATAATGATACACCGGTGTTTTACAATCTAGGTACAGAAGACGACGGCGAGAAGATGAGCAAAGAAGTTATTGGAAAGGTTATTGTTTAATTTAGATTAGTGTGCTTTTTAATGTGTCATTTGGTTAGGCCATGTAGCACCTGAGTTGATATGAAGGTGAATTTTAGGATGGCTGGGTAGTATTAGCTTCAATTCAACTTCATATCGACTCAGGCATCATCATTATTGGTCCCCAGCAGCTCACTTCCGTTGTGGCTTTTTTTATTCACATTGTTTTATTTTCGTAGCAAATAACTTTTTTTTTTTGCCATATTTTTTTTTGCCATATTTTTTTTGCGTCATTAACTTCCATTGTGGCTTTTTTTTTTTTTTTTTTTTATCTGCACCGCCTCTTTTTTATTTGCAGCAGGCTCTGGTTCCTTTTTTTTCCATCAGTAACTGTTTTTTGCAGTCTTTTTATTTGCAGCAGTGGCTGTTCTCGGCCACCGTACTTCCAGTATTGATATGTATTTTTTGAGACATCAATCGAGGGGGACAAAATAGCATGTCCCAATTAAATCCCAGTATCGACCAGACGCTTGACAGATCCAGGTTAGATATTAGATCGTTGTCAGCCATCATTGAGAGTATATATCGAGTTGTGCTGGGCTGTATCCTAGAGTGGCTCATGATGAGATAACAACAGCATTCTGCATGGCTGGTTGCACAAATTTGCACCACATAGCATCACATCTGCTGTGCTGCAGCCCAGGGGGAGAGGGCCTGTATGACCAAGTGTATGCATATTCAATGCTGACCAAAGGGTTATACTTTTCCTTCCAAGTAAATAACAAATGAAAGCAAGAAAAGTTTGTGAAAGTAATGTGTTAGCCACTGGACTTTGCTGGTGCATTTTGTTGCCTTGGGCCATGATGGTTTGAAGTTGCCAGGAGTTGAGAGTTTGGACCATTAAGTCTAGCATTAAGTTTAGGTTATCTAGGTAATTTTATGAATGCAGTTGGAAAAAATACAGTGGGGAATCATTTACCCTTTAATGCCTTTTGTATCATATTTGATACATATTTTTATATACTTCTATCAAATCAATATGATCAACAAATTACTAAAAAAACACCTGAATACAGTCCAATCAATGATAAAAATGTCCTCTTGTAGTTTATCAATTTCCAAAAACATCTAATGTATCAAACAAAATAAATTTATTTGTTCAATTTTAAGGACATTTTGATTTTTTTGGTTTTCAGTAGTAAGTGAAATGAACATTTCAGCTCCAAAAAAATGTGAATTTTCTGGCTATAATTTGTGGTGTCAGGCATTAAAAGGCTACAAACGCAAAATATATTGATATGTATTTCCATAAGCAACTAATGACACATTGGTAATGTCCATTTTTTTTTTACCAATGTATGTGCTGTTTGATTCTTTAAACAGTGGTGCTGATGTTAGCCACAAGACATAAATAGGAAAAATCTCTCTGAAAACATGTAATAACTCAAAGTAATATGCTTGCAAATGTGCTTGACTTTTTGGGTCATTCTTGTCCCTCTCTCTTTTACAGAGGCCCGCTGAAGGAGAGCAGGCGGCTGAGGATTTCTCGTCTGGATGGCGTGGATTCCTCTCCAGCATGGGTCTCTCCATCCCGGCAGGTCTCTGTCGCCTGGCTCCACCTGCCTTCCGTCTGGGCCAGCGAAGAATGCTCCAAGGCAAGCCCCCTGACATCCCAGAGCACGTGCTGAGGTTGGCTGGGGTTGGCCCAGAGAAGCTAAGAGCAGAGTGGAGCCTGCCGGGGTTCATTACCATGTTTCTGCCCGAGTTCCCCCACAGAACAATTCCTGGGCATGAACACTTTCAGGTATACTTCAATTTCAATGAAACCACGAATCAAAAGGTAACCTGTGGGGCTGCCCATTTGGTATTTCTCCCTTATCTCTGCCTCTCCAACAGGTGCTGAGTTATATCGCCAAAGGTTCATTTGGACCCATTCTGAAAGTGAAGGATAAGGCCAGACAGAGAACATATGCTGTCAAAGTGAGTCCTGTGTTTGATGTTAGAGTATTTAGGCTACTGGAGATCAAATCAAGAGTCTGGTTTAGGAACACAGCCCTCCATGCTGGTGAAATATTTATGAATGTGCAAAGTAAATTCATTTATAATATGCTGTCCCAGTTAATGATTGAAGCTTTCAACCTTTCTGTAAATGAACTTGGAGTAAAAAATTTACAAGGAAATTAGCACTTCTTGGTTTAGTCAAATGTTTTCTGAATCAACCTCGTGTTTTTATGCCAACAGGTCATACCGAAGGCAGAGATTTTAAGGCTTGGGGTGTTGGAACAGTCCAAAGAGGAAGTCATTGTACAGGTGGGTTTTAATGATAATGTTTACAAATTAAAGAAATCATGATGTTTTGGAAGTTTTTTGTTAATATGGTATCAAGAGATTTTAAAGAACAGCACCCTCATAGATTAAATTTAGTACCAGTTTACCCTGAGCTGTCTTTTTTATTGTCTGTATTCTGTATTCATCCCATAATATGAAAGAGTATATCCATTATTTTGAACTGCCTTTCTTTTTTTATTCAGCTGCTACTCTAGCACATTTTACACATGTAATGTAAATCAAATATTCAATGAGAGAAATGTTTAAAATACAAATATATGTGCAGTTGACGTGTTGTCATACATGGAAATGTTGTTTTATGTTCCCAACTGGAAATTACAAGGGCTTTCGTTTGATCAACACAAGCAGGAGTTGCAAAGGTTGTAAATGAATTTAAAAACTAAAAAAAAAAAACTAGGTTTGAATAAAACAGAATGGGCCTTTTCTTTGATCCAAGGCCAAAAGTAAGGTTTTTCAGGCTGATCTTGAACCTTTGCCCACAGCGTCAGGTTCGCCATCCATTTGTCCATGACCTCCAGGACTGCTGGCAGACTCAGCGCCACCTCTACATTAGTGAGTCAGCCAGAGAGCAATGACCCAGTCCAACCCAGATCCACTATCTAAAACCCCTTACCCTCACTCCACCTATTCTCTCCTCGACACCATAGTCTTTGTCCAGAATCTCCCCACAATTCTCAACCTTTCACCCAGAACCAAATGAACAAAATACAGAGACTCCCTTCAAGAACCCCTGCACCGACCCCAATCTACCACTGCCTGAGTCCTCTGTATCTGTTTTGCCCCTTTTCCCTTTCCTCCACAGCAGTTACCCTTTATTTCCAAATCAACCACTGACTCAGAAAGTGTGACCCAGTTTGTTTGCTTCCCCACCCCCTGTGAAAGGAGAGCATGTTTAGCCCGGGGACCAGATGCTGAATGTTGCTGCTGCTGCTTAGAACAAGAGCATACGTGTCACATTCAAAAGGGACGCTCTTGCTTGCTTTAACAGTGAATCATCACTGAATCACAGAGATGTTAATGTAGATAGGGTGCACATTAGGAGCAAATCATCACAGCGGCTCTTTGAAACTATAAACAACTGAGAAAAACGTTGTTCTTAGTGGGTCAAAACTTGATATTTGCTGTATCCCTGTAATTTCAAAGCTTAGGCAGTTGATAATCCACTTTTCTTGACACAACCGCCTATTTACATCTGCACTTTTTTGTAACTTTTTTTGGGGGGTTACCCAGCAGGCAGTCTCAATAGACTGCTTTAATTCACCTGTGTTTGTAGAGGATGTTAGTGTTACACTCTCCTACACTTCTCTTTCCCTATTTCTCTCACCAGTGTGTGTTTCCTATCCTGCTGGCCTTCACTTTCCCCCCTCGCACCTTGTTTTGCATGAGAGTGGCAGGATTTAATGCTGTCTCTTCTCCCCTTGCAGTGTGTGACTACTGCAGCACAGGAGACCTGTACACTTACTGGCAGATGATTGGTCAGTTTACAGAGGACACTGTCCGAGTGTTTGCCGCAGAGTTGGGCTGTGCACTTGGTATGTATGTATGTAAAGTAAATCTGTTGTTACATTCAGAGAGATAGTTCAGCCTGCTTATTTAGTGTTAACTTCAACCTTTTTATCAAATAGCTTAATAAAATCTAGTTCAGAGTCATTCCAGCAGTGTTTAATTTCAAGTAACAGGTCCTATTTAAATGAGATGAACCCCCAGAGGCATCCTGAACAGTAACAAAGTAGTGTCATGTCCTCTAAAGGACATAAATCAAATATTAAGGTAAAATGTTGGATGTTATGAGCAACATCTCAGATTGCAAGCTTCATGTATGTTGAAGAAATCCCCAATGGAACTACGGGGTGCTCTTAATGACTTGTTCAAAAAGTGAAAATCATGTAAAACTGCTAAGAAGCTATTAGAGAGAAAATATATAGCCAAAAAATAAGCATACTACCCTCCTCTTTAATTACGTTTTTATGTTGTTAAGCACTTTGTAACTCTGTTTTAAAAAGTGCTATATGAATACAGTTATTACTATTAATAATTATTACTTTTAAACTGGTTTTCTTTAGGCTTTCTTCATGACTTTGGGATTATCCACAGAGATGTGAAGGTAAGAGAGGGACCTCATTCACATGCTTGGGACCAAAATGTCAGAAAAGTTGTTTTTAGCTACAGAGTGTTTGGCAAGACACATTAAAAAGGAAATGAAATTAGTCCTGACAAAACTGAGTTCATCCTCAGGCATTTTTTCAACTAAGGTTATTTTTTGAAGAAACTGGACAGTACAAGGAAGTTCAACATTCTTTAAGTCTTTTTGTTTGTTTTTATTCTTATAAAATAGTATCTCTGTTTTGTTTGTGTTCATTTTGTGAAATTTAACCCTGCAGAACTGTATTTGTGCAGTTTAAGTAAGGTTGGTGGTACATTAACAAACAAGTTTGTAATTTAGTTAGTAAATGATTACTATCACAGGTAACAAAATGACTTGATTTGACTGATTTTATATTATAGTAAATTTCTGATCTTGTAAGCATAATAACAAAGATGGTTAACTCTTGGATTTTGGCACTTTTGTCTTTGTAGATGGAGAATATCCTTCTGACCGATAATGGTGAGTACCAGCTAGTCCCCAGCAGAGAGCAGCATAGCTTTGGTATTCAGAGAACCTTCCAGATGACATAATGTTTGAGCACAACTGTCCGCTGATTCAAGTTAATACAGGGCATAAGTTTGCGAACAGCCAATCACACAGTTCCTTTCAACCGCAGTATATTTGTGTGTTTTACCTCAGTCTAAACAATAACAGTAAGAAGACTTTAAATCCACAGATTCATATCATGTCCACATAGTGATATAAAGAAAATGGTTTCTTCCAGGACACCTCCGCTTGGCTGATTTTGGTTTGTCCCGTCGCCTAGAGAGAGGAGGAAGAGCTTTTACCATCTGTGGAACAATCCAATACATGGGTGAGAAATATTCCAACACATCATCCATGTCCACATCCTTATTGCAACACACTGACAAACCAACATTTTTTTAAATTGTGCAATTATAACTGAACCAGTTACTAAATAAATAATAAAAATAGGTGACTATAGGACTATGTGGTAAAGTACACATTGTCTGTCTGATCTGCAGCCCCGGAGGTACTGAGTGGTGGACCTTACAACCATGCAGCTGATTGGTGGTCGCTGGGAATCCTGCTTTTCTCATTGGTAACAGGGAAGGTGAGGTGTTGTCGTCAGAAGACTCAGTGTGTCCTGCGTGTTAAACAGATGTAATGTTGTGACACAGCTCAGCTTACATTTTGCTGCAAAAAAATGTGAAAAGGAAGTAGACATAGGATTTATGAGGCATTTATAACATTAATTACACTAGTGAGGGTTTGTTGAGGTCGTAAAAATATGTCTAGTCATTGTGTTTTTTTTACCTCCAAGACTAAAGCCTATGTTTCTGCAAATACCAATGCTTTCCATTATACCCTTTTCCTTATCTCATCCTCTTATTCAGTTCCCCGTGTCTCCAGAGTCCGACCACTGCAGCATGCTGAGAAAAGTGAGGGGGTTCCCATATGAAATGCCCCTCAGCTTCAGCCCCCCTTTTGCCTTGCTAATAACTGAGGTGATTACACAAAGTGAATTTTTTTAACACAAAACTTTCGGTTCTATCATTTTTATTTTTTTGATTATGTGCATAATTATTTGTTTTCTACTCTGTCTAGTTTTATGTCAGGTTATAATGTTTTCGTGTTTCTCCTTTAAGCTTTTGTGTAAGACTCCTACCCGCCGTCTGAGGACCTTTGAGCGATTCAAGCGCCAAACTTTCTTCTTTGGAATGACCTTTGACCTCGCCCTGCTCCAACGCCAGCCTATAGAGGTAGAGAATGGCTGCATGTATTTATTTTGTTCAAACATAAGTCATAATATCAGAGAAATATAATGAGTGATAATCCCTCGTCTCACTGTCTAGGTGATTCTGGAGTTAAGAGAGAGACCAGACCGAGCTGCCAAAGCTCGACGAGGCCTCACTCTGTCTCTGCAGCCCCTGAAGGGCTTTGACTACGACTTGTTCCTCAGCCCCCCTGCCACGCCGGACACCCAGCTGGATGTCATTGCGTACACTCACACAGCTGCACCGCTCCCTGGCCCTATACTCACGCTACAGCCTCCTCAGGGGAAAGGCCCACGCAGGGAAGTATTTGTGTGACAGACTCAGAGTTTACAGGAAGTTTTCATTGACAAAGTAGGTTATGATATGTTTTTCTGCACTCTTATTCATCCTCACACACAGGTGTGGTGAGCCTTCTCAGATGTTTTATAATTTGAATTCACTGGTTAGAATAGAAACACGAAAACTTCATCGTTCGTGATTTTTTTTTTGACATTTGTCATTTTGTAATGGACACTCTGTAATTATTTTTTGTACTTGTTTGCCTTTCTCCATTGAGCACCTTTCCAAGCCTGCTGTATTTGAATAACAGCTTTGCAAGAACGATTGCGCTTTTGTTCCTTTACTTTCAGTTTTCCAGACTGGTCATGTCTGCCCTGATAAAACATGAAGTTCAACAGCAAACTTATTCACCCCACAAGGCAAAGTCATGCAGATAAAATACAATGCACTGTTTTTTTCAGCAAGTTATGTCAAGTTTAAGAAAAAAAAAACGAGTGTTTTTACTCAATTTTTGCCTTTATTCCCATTTGTCCAGGTTATGAAATTGTTTTAGCACAAGTTTTGTTCCCTCATATCTGTGTGATTTCTGCTCTATGACCTACACTTACCTTTGTTAAATTGTATAACCAAAACTTGACCTTCACTGAATATAATTAGCTGCAAGTTTTTTTTCCTCCTGCGCAACATGAAATGCAAGTTTGATATATCAGACTGAGAAGAGTATGCCTTCAGCATCTGCTCTATTTTTATCATATGACTCAGGGAAGAATTAGCTGGTTTTCCCAGGTCAGCCTTGATTTTGTCTCAATGAGCAACAATTTTGTTCACCATCAGTTTATAATTCGATAGATTCAGGGCTTTTTTATTGGCTAAGGCTGCAGTTACCTACAGTAATGACACACTCATGCACTTACCTGATCATCACTTTATGATTTTGTAAAGTACACCCTGATGTGTACCTTTAATGCCTCACGTGTCACCCTAAGCTTGTTATCTTGTCACAGAAATACTTGTTTGTAAATTCCTCTTTATAAAGTTTATATGAAGATTTTGGATGCGATTCGATGTTCTGTTACAATGTACTTTTGAAATAACCTTGTAACACAGATGGATTATTAAACTCTTACTGTATAGAGATCTGATTTGGATGTTTGTGTCTGTCTTGAAGGAACGGAGGACTTCTTACATCAGTTGTCAAAATCTCGGGCTGGAACAGAAAATCATTGCTTCTCTTTCTCCATTCTACTTCTACCTTCACCAGAATTATCCAACTCCATTTGATCCGCAGAGTCTCTCTCTTCCTTCATAAGCTAGTTTAAAACCCTGCTCTCCAGAGAACACAATGTACTCAACTAGACTAGTCTCCACTGTTGTCACCAGTGGTTGAATAAGTCGCGCATTTGGCCGCACAGTCGTTGAGAGTCGCCGTGATGACGCTCGGCTCAAACAGCGTATCCCCCCGGGTGAGCTACCCAATCCCTGAACGCCCATAGGCTGTATCAGGTGTCAATCATAGAAAACATGAACCCCCTAATAACTTTTAAGAACGGAGCTTCACAGAAAAAAGAGGACTTGGGCACAAACCAGTCTTACTGTAACTACATGTCAACATCACAAGCAGGGGGGAGAAAAATGTATGTTCTGTGTAATAAATTTCTAAAGTTTGTCCACAGCTCCATAAGCTTTGCTGGCGGAGGCGGGATTTATGACCTATACTGCAGCCTGTCACCGGAGGGTGCTGTTCTTGGAGTGGCTTCACCCAGCGAGGAGGCAGACTCTGTCCATTCTATATACTGTCTATGAGCTCACTTCTGTTGTAGCTTTTTTTATTTGCATCCTTTTGTTTTCACAGTAAGTAACTTTTTTTTCCATCGCCACTTGTTTTTGCGTCATTAGCTTCCGTTTCGCACCGCTTCTTTTTGTATTTGCAGCGGGCTTCGGTTTCTTTTCTTTTTTTTTGCATCAGTAACTTCTGTTGTGACTTCTTTTTTTTTGCATTTTTTTAAAATTTTATTTGCAGCAGTGGCAGTTCTCGACCACCGTATCAGCCCAACAATTCTATATCAGACTTCTAAATCATGCTTTATCAAGATTTGGTAAGATATTTGTTGAGTAATGAGAGTCTACTCTATTAAACTGGTAGCTTTTACCTATTGACATGACAACTTTCAATTATTCCAAAACAGGCTGAACATACGCAGTCATATTATTGACTAGCAAGGCTCCATTCCAGTGTGTATAATCACTGCTACCTCCTATTTGATATGAATTCATGTTGAGAAAGACACAGATTGAGAAATACTTTAGTCACGTCGAGTTTTTCAGGCGTCGTGACTGACTGCAACTTCCCTGTAATCTCTTCTACAACACATGAACTGAGGACATCAACAATAAGATACTGGATTGTTTCATGAATTCTGAGGATGGTACATCACAACAAAACTGTGGTTTTACTCCACGCAGCTTTACATGAGAGAAAATACTGAAAAATTAAGACTTTTTCGGGCCTTTGCTTGTTTTCTGTAAAGATGCAACATCATCATGCTGCAAACGTGCTGAGGGGCCGGGCAGTGATGCTACCCTGCGCATGCGCATCAAGTAGCGAGCGTCTTTCCGTCAGGTGACGCAAAGCGAGAGCTCCGCCCCCGAGCTCGAGGCTTTTGTAAAGGGTCACGTTGCGCTGCAGCATTGACACAGAAGACTCGTCTGCATCCTCTGCCTCTCTCAGCTCTACCTGCGCTCTGTACGAACAGACATCCACCTCCAGGTAAGAGTGGACTCCTCATCCGGTCTATAATGAGACTCCCTGTAGACATTTAATGTTGTTTAATTCATAAAAAGAAAGGTTAATGATAAAAGAAGTGATGCGGATGTGATGCTGCTCTATGCCACTCTAGCTAACTTCATCTCCCGAGCCCACTAATTACTAGTGTCAGACTTTAAATAGTCCCTTCAACTCATTTGTTGTTGTTTAATATAAGCAGAAACAAGTTTAACTTTTACCACTTGTTGGTTTTTTGTGTATGAATTTATATATTTAATTCTGTCATCGAAATACGCAACAGGAAGGGCGTGAAAACCGTGACCTTCAAGGATGTAGGCGGAAGAAAAAAGAGCCTGTTGCGTTTTTTCAGTCTGAATGGACAGACATCTTGTTTTTTATACATGTTTAATCTCTGTATATCGAGTTTAGTGGTGGGGATGGCAGCTGTGGTTTCCTGTTAGTGTGGATCTGTGCCTGTCTGCACGTACACCTCCGATGAGATGAGAGGAGGGGCGGGATCAGGGGGAGGACACAGAGAGACTTTAATGCGTATTAAATGTATATAAGATATATACGTTTACAAACCAATACATTCATTTAATCTCACTTTATATCATCATGAGGGAAAAGGATTCATTTATTTCAGTTTATTTTATATAATTCTAATTGAACATTTGCTGCAAAGCTGTGATGACTGATGAATGAATGAATCATTTGCTGACTGCTGGTGAGAAATCTTTTCCAGAAAACGTGCTCTCACATAGTTTCAGTCTCTCTAACGTAAATTTCCCTCCAGCTTTCTCAGTTTCCTTTTCTATCAGAAATATATAAACTTGTCATTTTAAGCAGTTGGTCAAACCCTTCGAGAATAAAGTGGGGGGCACATTTTCACATAAATTGAAGTATTTATTAACCAAAGGATACAAACATTGAGCAAAAGAATCAATGATAAAAATTGATGTTTCCATGTGGAGTATGGAGTTGCGAAAATAATTTCCATCACCTATAACGTCCAGATTATTTCCTGAGTATACAAGAACAAAATGTTCCCAAACCCAAAGATAATCATTATATTATCAAAGGAGACAGACTGAGTCAGAAAAACAATGAGATTGTGCAGAATATAGTCAGACAAACTGCATTTTTGTTTTGTTAAAAGTTACACTAATCATTTGGAAAATAATTGCTCATTAGTTTTTTTGGTTTGTCATGTAATTAATGTATGACACATTGTTTTCGTCCTTTTTAAAATAATATGTCTGGGAGTTGCCTCTGACAGTTTCATTTTTGCCCAAATACAGAAGCATGGCACAGTAGTTGCTGGTTCAACTCCCGGCTGCAGCCATTTGCAGCATGTCCTCCCCCTCTCTCTCTACTCCCCAGTCAGAGTTAATGTGTTTTACATACACTTCATGAAAACATATAGACTGCCTTTTTTAAATGACAGTTTCCTTGTCCCTCAAACCTTGACATAATAAAACATGTATTAAACATATCATACTTGTTTAAGATTTTTTTTAAAAAGAGCAGACTAGTCAACAAAGTTACAAAGATGGATAACTTCTGAGGGTAGCATTCTCATTTTCACAAGTGTCACCCTCCCTCTGAACTGCTGTGCACACAGCCTTGACTTTTGCCTTACATAGACTCCTGCATCAGTGTGCTGCTGGATTGAGGCCCAAGGAAAGCGAGTCCAAACACACAGACACGTATCTGCTGCCAAGGCCAGCAGAAGCAGCCGCCTGTCTGCTAAAGAGACACAGTACAGGGAGCAGGCTCCTTGAATGTGACTAGCTTCCCTCAAGGAACTGTTTCACCTCCTCACAGAGGAAAAATGAAGGAGACCTGACAAGGAAGTAACCAGTTGCAGCATGAAAATTTCCAAACTTCCTTATTCTTACAATGATCATATCATTACTAATGAAGTATGTCCAGTCTGAGTGTAGGTATTGACACATAAATCATCCACTGCATCAGTCTGAGCAGCATCACCATCTTATGGAGAAAACATGTAAGACTGTTAGTGGGACAAATGTTCACCTTGAACCTTTTAATGCTTGTTTACAAGGCTGCATCACAGAAATATCAGAGACCCTGCTATGAGTGTGTCTAGAGGTTACGTATGACGCCACAGCAGGGAGTTGGCTGTTGCATCTTGATGTCGCAGTGCAGAAACCTGGAGGCCGACCACTGTGCAACAGGCTGCAGTTAGGAAACACGCAGAGATGTGGACAAGATTGAAACAACAAATTGTTGCACTCTGATGCCCCTTGAGTATACTTGTTTAACAATTTCATACTTGATCCACTTCAAACTGCCTTATTTATCCTTTTTTAATAAACACTCCAAACTCACAGACTAAATCAGGCAGTGATGTTATTCATCAGGAAGTAACCCTGCTCAGTCCTTGATAACTCATTTTGTCCTCCATGGTTCTCTGATAATAGCATCTCAAGGCTGCTACTTCAAATCATATCAGCGTGACATTCCTGTATTTTTGCTGATAAAGATAAGTCTTCAGACTGCTGCATCAGTACGTGCATTGTTGGAGTGCCCTTGAGCAAATCAAGACAAGAGTATCTGAAGAGGAAGATAAATTCGTCTTTAAAAACTTAATGAAGTTGTTGTGTGTGTGTTACATCAGCAGCCAGCCCAGTAAAAGCAGAAATTCACTCAACAAGTGCTGAGACCTGTGACAAGCTCAAAGCTTTGATTTATTTATTCAATCAATTTATCTTTAAAAACATGTTCAAAGCAAAAAACTAAAAGAAAACTTTTGTATAGTTACATGGAATTTACTGTGCATTGCTGTTGTAGAAATGCTGGTAGGGATAAGATCCAAGTTTTCGATTTACAAAGACTATTTTTTGTAACTTTCTCCATTAAGTGATTTGATATCTGCAGAACTCGCCATTTCGAACTGGTTCTGGATCTGCGCCGCACCCATTTTACTGGTGACTGTTGCTGATGCATTTGTCGTCTTTATTATTTAATGGCATCTGGCCAACAGCTTTTAGGTACTAGATGTGCTGGCGGTAATGCAATGCACCAACTGAAAAACAAATGTACTGCGTATGACAGGTGATTCCCTTCTAGACTTTTCTTTAGTTAACTATTATTTTAATATTTAGTATTTACTGATATTAACACTATTCAAAAATAGCTGTAACATTAAATCAGACGATTGTTGCATTTGTATTTTTAGCTCCTGATTCTCCATCCTGGACCTGATTTTCTCCTCCAGACATGAGAGGAAGTCAAACTCTCTGATCAGACTGGACAAACATAAAATAAGCACGATCCTCCATTTTGTTATCAAAATGGCGCTTGAAGTGAATCAACAAATTAAAGGTTTAAAATACTGTGGTTTGACTAAAAGAGAAAATTCCTCTTCAAATTAAGCTCGATAGAACTAATGCTGGGTTTTAGGTTTCACATCTGTGGTGTGAAGGCCTCCCCGCAGGAGGTGATAATTGTATGTCTTGAGACACAGATTGGGCCTTGGTGTTGTCTTTGCGGACATGTTCCCTGTGGATGGAGCATTTCACGGAGACGAATGAGAATCTGATACTGAAATAAAAGTCACAGATATCAACACTCCTCTGATTGGTTGAGACAAAAAGCTTTTTTTCTGTCATTTACTGTAAATTCCCAGCAAGAGTCTAAGTCAGGGTTGACGGTCTGGATACCTGATAGTCACCTGGTGGTCACTGTTGCTGCCATAATATACCCTGTAGTGACAGGTACAAAACAACACTGCTTCTTAAAGCTACAGTGTTGAGACAGAGTTGGGGGAGATGAAGGCTGGTCTGATTCGTGAGTTAAATCTGAGGCAGTGTTTCTGTTTTTCTTTTATTCCTGCCAACAAAGTCAGACATTCAAAGTTTAAAATAGCTGCCTCAAGGTTTTCATAGCGTTTTGTAGTGTATCCATGAAGTGCCCGTCATATTTTGGTTTGTGCTGAGTCACAGACTAGCCCACCCAGACTGCTCCTGTGTCAGAGGCGGGTCTCATGAGAACAGTGGGGGCATTGTCCTTCAAGGTCCTCTTTTGATCCCATCAGTCCATATTCAAGATGAATGTTAGGACGGCTCTCCAAACTTCATTGTCTTGTTTAGCCTTATATTTCATTCCTTTATTATCATCGTTTTTATAAGCTCTGAGATAAGCTTGCGTTTGTTAATTTCCTGTTGCGCTTGACTCAACATTGCATAAACTTCTAGTCTCCCATTGCCTCATTCATCATTTTGCAACATTTCCTCTACAGACAACCCAGCACCACTGGAGCCAGAGTCAATGAAAATGTATTGTTGAAGCACACATGTGCTGCACAAACGATAGCAGGTATTTGCTGAGCATGACTTTTGTGTGGCTAACAGTGAATGGGAGCTGCAGACACACAAACATACATCAGCCCCGCAGACGTAAAGGCCCTCGATACGGCCTTTATCAAGTGTAAATACCCCTTTTGTGGGATCGTCTGCATGCAGGCTCTGAAGAGACACACTGTACTCTGCAGGTCTACTCATTCGTAACTACACCTGCATGTTGAATTTGGCTTTATCCAGTGAGCTGTACCTGACACTTGTGGTGTCATAACCGCAGCGCTGTCATTGACAGGCCTGCTGAGATCAAGTTTGTAATCTCATAGCTTTAAGCTGAGGATTAACACCAAGGACATAGGTGGTGTCCTACATCAGCATGCCAGCCTGGTTTGAGAATTCAATATCATATAAGTTTATTGTTGAGTTTTTCTGATGTATAATGCACTAACAAGATGCAGGATCTAGAGTACTCACACTTGAACCCCTCTTGCTGACAAAAATCGTGTTAGGTTGAATTTGATTGTTAATACTCAGTTTAGAAGTTTAATTAGCCCTTAACATTCAATCAGTGTAGATAGATAGATAGATAGATAGATAGATAGATAGATACTTTATTGCTTCAATTGATCATTTTAGTTTAACAGCATGTCCTTCTTTCTTTACACTTTCTCATTGACTAAAACCTGATGATTTAGAGTAGATTACTACAAAGACTAGTACAGTGGTTCTCAAGTCCAGTCCTCAAGGCCCACCTTCCTGCATGTTTTGGATGTTTCCCTGCTCCAACACACCTGATTCAAATGATTAGCTCGTTAGTAAGCCATTCCAGATCTTGATAACGAGCTGATCATTTGAATCAGGTGTGTTGGAGCAGGGAAACATCCAAAACATGCAGGACGGGGGCTCGAGGACTGGACTAATAAATCATTGTATTACAATATACTCAAATGCTAAAAGCAAGGTAGTATATTTTATTTTTTAAATCTAATTTAAGAGCAAAAGCCACATAGAGAAAAAAAAAACAAACACTTGCATGAAATCTGGGTTATAGTACCCATCAAAACTGGCTCTACTTGATGCAAAACTGTGGCACAGTTACTTGCGCTGTCGAACAGACTTTTAGTCATTGACTGTGTGAGCTGGGAGCGGTTTTGCATTCGGGTGAAGTCGGTTAGAAAGAGAAGTCACAGCTTGTTCTCAGGCATTTAAAAGGGGTGAGGTGTTTTAGGTTGTATGTAATAGTGGAAATTTACAAATCCCAAACCATGTTCATCCTTCATAAATGAGCAGTAGCAGGAAGCCCATAGGGAGATTTGAAGGACACAGCAGGGATGACAAAAAAAGAACAGAGTCACGAATAAAAAAAGAATAATCATGTTTGCATGCAGTGCAGAGAGAGTGCTTTAATGACATTAGGTGAAACAGGAAAAGTGTTGCTGAGGAGAGAGAATTGAGCCGTGCAGCATCCAGTCCTGCAGCCATAATGAGGACTGGCAGCAGAGCATATAGGAGCTCTGTTACATAATGTCCTGCTCTGTCTACAGCGCTTCAATGGATGAGAAAGGAGAGGGGAGGGGCGGGGTTACGTAACTGCTTATTTACGGTGGAGCGAGGAAGGGAATGGGGAACAAAATAATCTGGTTTGAAGCATGTGTGTGCATGTCGGCACGTCGTTGATAGGACGACTGATCCCACCGGTGCAACCAGACAATGTAGCAGAGAGAAAATGATCCTTTGAGCTAAATCAGACTTACTCGGACATCTTCTTTAGACATTTTTTTTTTTTTTAGGCTGCATTACTGTCACTTACAACGTTTGATTTGGAAAACCGGTTCACATCTGCTGTGATCTATCGTACTGAAACATTAGAGCTGTCTCCATCTTCGTCTCTGGTTTCTCTCATGCTGGCTCTAGTTTTATCACATTTCATCACATGCCACTGAGCCCTTAGAGGCAGCCATGTTGAGGGACAATAGAGTGGGGAAAAAAAAAAGAAATGGGGCAGGAGCCTGGCATACCTCCAGGTCGACATACTGTGAAACAATTTGATCTCCATGGCTCCCTCCCTCCCTCTCTCTCTCTCTCTCCCTTCTTTCTCTTTCAGCCACCATGACTCACCAATATCCCGCACTGACTCCTGAGCAGAAGAAGGAGCTGCAGGGCATCGCCCAGAGAATAGTCACTCCAGGAAAGGGCATCCTTGCAGCTGATGAGTCCACCGGTATGCTTGAGTTTGAATTACATAGTAAAACTGAAATAACATTTTGTCACACTGGTTTTATATTCATACGACCTTAAACATGTCCTGCTCCAAACTTCATTTTTTCACACATACAGATATCAGTATCAAACAGAGCCAGACTGACCAGTCAAACCTGTTTGTTTACGCTCTTATTACAGTGTTTCACCGTTAACATCACCTTCAGCTGCATGTTATTATTCGCCATACATTACACAGCTCTGTCCCATTAATAAGAAACTTGTATTGCATCAAAAGTAGTTCACTAGAATGTATTCGTGCCTGATGTTTGTCCCATTAAAATTTTCATTGTGTTCATTTTGTTAACAGGCAGCATGGCGAAGCGTCTGAACCCCATCGGGGTGGAGAACACAGAGGAGAACAGGCGGCGTTACCGCCAGCTGCTCTTCACAGCCGACCAGCGCATGGACAACTGCATCGGAGGAGTCATCTTCTTCCATGAAACCCTGTACCAGAGCACAGACGACGGCACCAACTTTGCTAAGCTCATCAAAGACCGCAGCATTGTTGTTGGCATCAAGGTACACTACGCTTGCTGTTGTACTTAACTTACCATCTAAAGTGAACATTTTCAACCAGGAAATAGTCGGTTTTATCTGGTTCTGCAGCCTTTCACCCACATATTCCAACCACTTCCTGGTTTCAACAATTGTCTCTTTTTGTTCAAATTCTGTCTCAGGAAAGAACTGTAGTCTGGGAAGTTAAACTCAGTTTATTCGCGTTAAAGTTTTCAGACAAATAAAATCCTTTTTCGTTTGTTCAGCTGCTAAAGCTCAAAAGTAACCTACAAGGTGCAGTATATGCAAACACGGACTGACTACCAGCATGTTTAGGTACACACAGACCCACTCCCAGCAGTAGGTCAGGTTTACAGGACAAACTTGGTGAAAGTTTGAGACACATGTACAGATGGATTACATTGAGCTGCGCCTTGTGACATACAGAACCAGTATTTCATTTAATCTCAGTAAATGAGGTTGACTGATCACTTGTATGACACTCCAAAGGCTCTAAAGGATTTATTTTCCCTTTTTTCACAGGTGGACAAAGGTGTTGTGCCCCTCGCTGGAACAAATGGAGAGACCACCACCCAGGGTAAAAAGAATAATGCCTTAAAAATCCACAAACATTTGAAAACCTCCTGCTGTATTTCTCACCATCGCCTTTTATATGTGTGTGTGTAGGTCTGGATGGACTGTCTGAGCGCTGCGCCCAGTACAAGAAGGATGGCGCAGACTTCGCCAAGTGGCGCTGCGTGCTGAAGATCAGTGAAACCACACCATCTGAGCTGGCCATCTTTGAGAACGCTAATGTCCTGGCACGTTATGCTAGCATCTGCCAGCAGGTGAGTGTGAGATTACTGATGATCTGAGGACACAGTTAAGCTTTATAACATCATGATGTCTGAATAAGTGAAAATATATCTTGGTTTGCTTTCTAGAACGGTATTGTTCCTATTGTGGAGCCTGAGATCCTTCCTGATGGAGACCATGACCTGAAGCGCTGCCAGTATGTCACTGAGAAGGTGAATTTATAGACAAATGAGTAAAAAGAGTTTATATTAACTAAACTGGCTGATTATTTTCTCACAATCCTTTAACATCCATGTGTCTCTCACCTGCTGTCAGGTCCTAGCTGCTGTGTACAAGGCTCTGTCAGACCACCATGTGTACCTGGAGGGGACTCTGTTGAAACCCAACATGGTCACAGCCGGACACTCCTGCCCCACCAAGTACAGCAGCGAGGAAATCGCCATGGCTACCGTCACCGCCCTGCGCCGCACTGTGCCTCCTGCTGTCACAGGTAACAAGACCCCCACAAATACTTAGATTTTAGTGACACTCTCAAAACAACTATCTTAATTTAGACACTGTGGTCTGCCAGACTGATGTTATAAAATACCAGGCTTTCGCAGATTGATCATGTACACGTGTATTTGTTTTTCTTAGGAGTGACCTTCTTGTCTGGTGGCCAGTCCGAAGAGGAGGCCAGCGTGAACCTTAATGCCATCAACATCTGCCCGCTTGCCAAGCCGTGGGCCCTGACCTTCTCCTATGGCCGTGCCCTGCAGGCCTCTGCCCTGAATGCATGGAGAGGAGATCTGAACAACGAGAAGGCCGCCACTGAGGAGTTCCTCAAGCGTGCTGAGGTGAGCCAAAACTACAGACAGTTGTTAGAAAAATCAGCAGAGGAAAAATGATGCAGCATTTCTAACAATCTCCCTTTTTTCTTCTCAGGCAAACAGTTTGGCTGCACTTGGAAAGTACGAGTCTTCAGGCACTGGTGGCGCTGCAGGACAGTCCCTCTACGTGGCTAACCATGCCTACTAAACATCTTAGGACCCACATTGAGCTGTGGTGCCTAGTCGTAGTCTTATATCTGCTCTGCTATTTCCCTCTTATTCCTCCATCAATCACTGGCCTGCGCTGTCTGCTGTACTTTAAATTGTCAGAATTATCAAATTACTTTATTAGATGTGTATTTAAAAACATTAATGTGAAACTACAAGACTAAAGGGAACATGTTTGTTTTTCTTTAATTTTAATCAGACCAATCAAAACCGATAAACAATTCATGGCTGAAGTGGATTTTAAGTACTTGTCTAGCTATCTGTCTCTACCAGTCAGTCTGGTCAGAGACAAGATGTTAGAAGCTGCAAATTCTTAACAGTGGACCAAGATAATCAGCCAGAATTTAACTCATTCCTCTTCTTAACTGCACCTGTTGCTGCGCATGGTGCTTTGCCCCTATGTGATAAATCTGGAGCCCTTTCCAAGCAGGGAGGGGGTGTGTGTCAGTGTTTCGCTTCTGTCTGAACGCAGTATTGCCTCATATTCAAAATGTGACGCTAATATCCTCCCTGACAGTGGGACCAACTGACTACTAGTGGCATCAGTGAATCTGTTAAAGGGCAAGACTTTTCAGATTGAGTCGACATTTTGAGCGACTTTCCAGACGTGCAGAGTCGTACTTGGTTGTACATCCAGACAGCTGTAGCTCCAGCAGAGGTCAGCAGATTCTCTGTTATAAAGAACAACACACCAGGACTCATCCTTACCTTTTTTTTCACGCTTCTAATCACCACTAATTAGAAAAACATCTTGTGTGTCTAATCTCAGTATAACATTAGCTTTAAATTACACACAGTACCTAATGTATTCAGTTGTGTGAAGTTGTCAATATCATGTAATGCTTGTGTGTTATCCCCCTCCTGGTTCCCCCCCCGGCTCGCCTCACAGGGAGGGGAGACGGTTTGTTTTGACGTGGACCATCATGTGGGGTTGGCGACGGGGGAAACAGTCACTGCTGTGTTGGATTACTGTGATGTTTGTGATGTTAATATTGTTCTTGAAGCACTTGGTGTGTCAAATAGTGGAGACCAATAAACTAAAATAGAAAATTAAAAACTCTTTGTGTGACATTATTGCAGCCAGCATCATCATATTTTAAATCTGAAATTATTATTCAGGGATGCATTTGTGTTGTATTTCTTAAAGGGATATTCTGGTGTAAGATTAATTTAGGGTCAAACACACCGTAACACTGAGTTAGACACCCCCTCGAGAGATGAATGTTGCCAACCACTTGCTTCTCTAGTTATACAAACTTTAGTAACGACTGCACAATAGCAATACACAGCAGTCTGAGGAGCCATAAACAAACCTCAACCAAAACGCCACTCTATAGCCACAAATAATGCTCAGAACAGCACCTAACTTCGTCAACAGTACATATAGGGTCCCAGTCACAGCACTAGCCACCAAACATCTTTTTAGCTTTGCCTGATTTCTTTAACAAAGAGACTGAACACAACTTACCCACTCTCTTCAAGCAGCCGCTGGTTTGTAGCGAGACTTCAGGCCAATCCATCACCAACTGCAGCGGGGTGTCGCAGCTCAAGAACGAACATTTCTGATCATTTCCTTGAAGTAATAATCATCATATTAATCATTTGGCATTGCAGACGCGGTAGTTCTTCTGCCTTAGCGTCTCGGTCTGGTTGCGTATCTATGAAGACAAAGAAAGGTGTAGGTTATCACAATATCACAAGATCTGAGCTGTCACATTTCTTTTAAAGCAATGAGAAGGATTTTTTGAGGGTTAGATACAGTTAAAAAAATTTAGGGACATTAAGTTTTCTATCTTAATGATGTTTTTCTCCAAAGGTGCCGGGATACTCGGTATCTTTTTTTAGAGCCTGCTTTGACAACACCCCAAGGGAGTTTTGAGGCAACAGTCAAAACTAGCAGAGGTGGCTTAAAGGTTCATTCCGGCCTTCACCTCACCTTATGATTCTTAGATCAGCTTAAATAATCAAAGTGAAAGAGCAGCGTCTGTAACCACCGAGGTGCTCTTAGGCAAAGTCATGATCTCCCGGCTGCTGCACATTGGCTGCCCGGTGTCAACAGAACACACTGCAGAACTACAGACTACAGCTGACACTAAAATGGACCTCCTTATTTACAAGCTGTCTATTGGAGTTCACTGAACACTTTGAGCAAAGCTAACATTCACCTGCAGGGTGTGTTTGTTCATCTTTATTATAGACACTTATTCTCTGCAACAGCTACAAACAGAAACACCTGGATAATCATACAGTTGTATTAAAAATCAGTTCCTAGTTAAGAAAATTGGCAAAATAGTACAAATAATGATAAGAATAATTGATCAATTAATAAATAACACCTGTTCATCATGATGAAAACAGAAACCCTCGTCCTAATAAACACTGACGGCAACACACTGTGATATTTTGCAATCACAAAACTCAAAAGTCTTAGGTTATGTCATTAAAATAAAGGATTTGACCACCACTTGGGGGCGCCATTTGCAAAAACGTCCTCCGCCCATTGAAAACGTCGCGATATTACATTTGTTTGTTTAATATATTCACAGGGGTGGGCCGGTGGTATAAATCATGACTGTGACTTGCTTGTCTACAACTGGTTTATCCACTCCAAACCAGCTCCCAGTCTGAGCTGGTCAGGAGTAGATATGCGCAGTTTAATTCATTTTTAAAACTATAGATACGTATTTGAATGACAAGTCTCCCCATTTGTATTAATTACCAAAAAGACGGTCACATGACCCGTGACTGCGTATTGTCGTGAAAATAACAAACGTACCCCAGTCCTTTCATTGACAGCCATGGCTACCACGGAAGTGGGTGAGTGGATTTACAGCTGAATTCTTCCTAAATTATCCCTCTAGATTGACAGAGTTTAACATTTAGAGCATCTAAAAGCTAATGTTTTGAGTAATTTCACATGTTTAGCTGTTGAAGCAGCGTTTGCCGTTTTAAGCATGTTAGGAGCTTTCTTTGGAGCTAACAACGAGCTAACCTTAGCCTCTGCAGCAGCTGCAACAATGATGCTCTAACTAACAAATAAACTGATGTTTCACAGTTCCTGGACTGGGGTTTTTTATGTATGATATGAGGATACATTACTCTTTGCTAATTGCTATTAGGGGGTACAACTTAATAAAAGAACTGCCGGCAATTCGTATTTTCAACACAGTAATAAGGCTCCTCCAAGAATCATCCTCAACAGCAGTGCTTATTTTTGCAAAATATCCCTTAGTGGCTTTATCTAGAAAAAGATATTCATCAAGGTTGTGTTACTACACTCTGTATAAACAGTACAGCTCTGAGGTTTCCCTGTTTCTGTCTCTTAGAGCGCAGACGAGGCCAGCTTGCTGCTTTGGCTATAGCAGCTGTGGTCATCGTCTTAGGAGTCCCCCTGTGGTGGAAAACCACAGAGACATACCGTGCCTGGTTGCCAGTCAGTCACATAAAGGAGTTGGATATATTGCAGGTTTGTATTTCTTCTTATCATTACCATTACTTCTTATAATTACCATTACGGACTGCTGTGGGGTGACGCAGCTCAAGGAAGAACATTTATGATCATTTCTTTATCATTTCCTTTAAGTAATAATCACCATATGAATCATTTTGTACTGCAGACACAGTAGTTCTTCTGCCTTAGTGTCTCGGTCTGATTGCATTTCCATGAAGAAATGATCATAAATGTTCTTCCTTGAGCTGTGTCACCCCTCAGTCCCTTTAATGGACTGGCCCGAGGTCTCGCAACAAACAAGTGGCTGCTGGAAGAGAGTAGGTGAGTTTTGTTTAGCCTCTTTGCTAAAGAAATTAGGCAAAGCTAAAAAGATGTTTGGCGGCTAGTGCTATGACTGGGACCCTAAATGTACTGTTGAAGTCCCACTGTTTTAGTTGAGGTTTGTTGATGGCTCCTCAGACCGCTGTGTATTGCTATCCTGCGGTCGTTATGAAAGTCGGAATAACTGGAGAAGCAAGCGGTCGGCAACATTCATCTCTCGACGGGGTGTCTAACTCGGTGTTATGGTGTATTTGACCCTAAATTAATTATATGCTGGAATATCCCTTTAATCCTCGTTCTATCGTCCACACTATCCACAGTGTGTAATGTCTTTTAAAAGGTGTCCCTTTTTTAATTCTTTCTAATGTAGCTGCAGCTGAGTGCGGATGTGGAGGTCGTGTTCGCACGTGGAACTGTGACTCCTGAACAGCAGAAGAAGGTCCCACTGACACTTACACAGGATGATGAACACATAATAGATGGTAATTTACCAATGTTTTCTGTCCATCTGTCATGTTTAAAGGTTATGTTTAAACGTTGAGGTAAATTCTGTGTCAAATTCTTCTTCTTTTTTAGAGAGCACATCTTTGAGGTACAGATATGAGACTAAATATCGCACAGCCACAATCATGGAAGAGGATGCATTGAACCAGCCCACAGCTGCAGGTGAAATGACACGTCTTCAGATGGTAACATTTCGTTTTAACAAGACAGTAGAAAGTAGTTTTTCTCAATCTCTCTTGTTCTTTTTCTTCAGAGGCAGATCTGTCTCTGCACACCCTCAGTGAGAGTCCTTGTGGTTCTCTAGTTGTGTATGTGATCCCAGAGACATCTTCACTTCTGCCTCAGGTTCAAACACGTTTATTCTTATTTGTCTTTTGTTAAAACTTGTATCCAATTTCGCGTCTTTAGAAAGAGTGAAAATTACTCTTTTGAATCAGCTAATGGACATCTTTGAGGTCGAGTAGCATCTCCACTAAGAGGAAGATAATCCTAAAAAACATCAAAAGTTCTGAATACCATCATACTGCATAATAAATATAGTGCACAATCAAACTGAATAATTGTGGGGTTTTTGCATCTCTAATTAGGAGAAGATAACACAATACTCTGTACCTTTCTGTCTGTCAGGATGATGAAGTATATATTGGTCAGCGGCGCACGGCCTTGCTGCGCATCAGTGCTCAAACAAAAGTGGGCAGGACACTGGAGCAATTGCTAACTTACCTGGAGCCACGGATGAAGCAGATCCTTCAGGTGATGTCTTTCAGCCACAATGACATCACCGCTGCCCTCAGTGACCGAGTCCGCCTCAGCCCTGGCAACAAAGAGAGCATCCCAGACAATATGAGAGCCTTTAAATCCAGTCCAGGTCAGTGTTTGTTTCAGCACAGACATAAAATGAATCAACGTCTGTTTTAGTGTGTACTTATTTACATCTTCTCCTCAGGTTATGAGATAACTTTCAGCCTGCTGAACCCCGACCCACACTCACACCGGCTGCAGTGGGACATAGAGGGTGCAGTGGAGACCTACATCCAACCTTTGCTGACAAAACTGGCCCCTTTGGCCAATTTCAGCATTGACTCACAGGTACCTGGTCTGCAATGTTTACTTACAACTAACGCCACAACGGCATGATTCCCAGATGTGTGTATAAAATGTGTTCTTCTCATAGATGTTGTACTACACCATGCTGGGTGTCAACCCTCGCTTTGACGGCAGCCGCGGCACTTACACGATCAATTCTGACAGCCTTGCACATGTCATCAACCCTGTGGAGGCTAGACTCGGTAAAAAAAAAGAGTCATGCTTTGATATTTTAAATGTCAGCCTGCAGTAGGAACATAGTTTTCAGGCAGATTTAATCTAAATAAATATACTGGTTTATTTTCCCTTTTTACAGGCTCAAATGCTGCGTCTTCCAACCCGGTGTTGAATTTTCTTCTGTATGTGCCGGATGCTGCTCATTCCCCACTTCACATTCTTGACCGCCAAAAACAAGAAGTGACCTCTAATGCGTTTCACTCCCCACGGTGGGGTGGAATAATGGTAAGATAATTTCATTGCAACACTGTGCAGCAGCAGTCTAAATATTCTGAATGGTTATGGTTAAAAGTGAATATTTTACACAACAATTTATGTCTTGGCAATGCAGTGTTTACTCGTTTAGGATTAGATTAAAAAAAATGTCCTTTTTCCATTTTTATTTAGGTTTATAATGTCAATGGTTTCTATGAACCAGAAGCAGCATTACCTGTTGACATCAACATCAACATGGCCAAAGTCATGGGAGTGTTCCTTGCACAACTCCGGTAAGTTGACACCTTTAGTGAAAAGTATTTCTTGTTGCCAGCAGATGAGCTAATTTTCCTGTTCACAACCTGACAGGCTGCTGCTGGGTGTACAGTCGTCCTCCCCTCCTCCTGGCTTCCTGATGGCCCCGTGTGGCAGTGTGGGACTTGCTGATTGGGAGCTGGACCGTCTCATGTGGAGTCGCAGTGTTGAAAACGTTGCAACGGCAACCACCACTATCACCTCATTGGCACAGCTGCTGGACCAGATAGGCAACATTGTTATTAATGACAACATTGCCAAACAGGTGGGATACTCCAAGAGCTGATATGATGTACTGCTCTTACTAGTTGTGTGCACAGATGAGTATGTACCACAAAGGAGCATGTTCTCATCCTGTCTCACCAAATCTTTCATTTTATTCCTTAAACATTTGGATGCCAAATATTAAAAAACTGAGATACCAGGGTGTCAAATTTGAAAGTTCTCTGGGGATGCTAAACTGACTATGTAGAGATTTTATAAAGTTCATCTAATCTGTCCAGGAATCACCCAATTAGCATGATCGATTATGAGTATCTCTTATCTGTAACTGAGCATGTGTCGTTGACATCACGCAGGTATCAAGCGCCGTCACTTCCCTGCAGCTGGCTGTGGCTGAGTTGGAGGCAGGGAACCTGGGATTTGCCCTGCAGTACAGTAAAGAGGCCATCTTAGCGTCCGAGAGAGCCTTTTTCGACCCCTCTCTCCTCCACCTCCTCTACTTTCCTGATGACCAGAAGTTTGCCATCTACATCCCACTCTTCCTACCAATGTGCGTGCCGATCCTGCTGTCTCTGCTGAAAATTGTGTCCGAGGCAAGAAAGAAACGCAGAGAGAAGTTTGCAAAGAAGGACTGAGGGACACTTGAAGAAGAGACATAAATGTTTGAAAAAAGGGGAAAAAACACATTTTTAGCAAACTGTTAAATCCAGTGTTGTCATTCGAAGGTAGAGGTATGTGGAAGACTCATCTAAACATTAAGGGTTGGGGTTTTTCAGTTGTATGATTTTCTATAGTTTCATATTGTAAATTATTCTTTTTATAAGACTGTTCTGAATGACTGCCATGGCTGTATGACACTGTATACTGGGAAGCTTGAATTGTTTTGAATGTATCAAAGTTTTATATTTGAATTCCACTTTAAGTTATTAACAAATTAAAGCTGAAGTTGTTGATGCATGTTGGAACTTGTGGTTTTGCTCTTCAAACTTAAAAAAGGTTAATTCATATTATTTGGAGTCAAATGGAGTAGAGTATTGACAGGGTACCTAACCCCGTGTTTTGGTTCTTGATCTTGCAAATACCAAACCAAAAAACATGATTTACATGTACTCTTAATCTGCCATTTGATTATACAAGATTACTGTCTATCATGAAATGTTCAAACTTTGACGGTACTCTAGTGATGCTATTTAGTTACATTGATAATATTGTACAACTGGGCTTGAGTCAGAGGATCAGATTTTTTCCTGTGGCATACAAATCTGATAATGAGGGTTGTGGTTTGGATAAATTATAAATGCATTCTTTAATTGGTGTTAAATTCAACAAAAGGACATTATGGGTGATGGAAAATCATGCTCAAAGACAAACACAACGAAACATAATAAGGAAGCTTAATGTTTCTGACTATATTGTGCCAATCTGGATTTTCTTGAAAACGAAATTTACAGTATCTGATATTTTTGCCTTTTAAATTCCAGAACAGCTTCCAGGTTGAACAAGAAGTGAATTTTTTGTATGATAAATTCTACTAGATTGGGATTTAATTTTCGGTTTGGTATACAGCAGTGATTCTCAACTGGTGGGTCCTGATTTTATTTTGAAAGGCACGCATCATGTCGTGGTTCTCCTTGGTTTCTCATTGATGTGGCCTGAATGCAGTAAAATTACATGTTTTTTATGGTCTTTATTTTGTGCAATTTGATATTTATTCACTTTTGTTCATGCTGTTGCCTGGTCCTTCTCAGGTTCTTCTGAATATGCTCTGAATGCAAAGATCCAAATAAGTCGATTTTTTCATTTTGCTGGTCTCCATTGTGTGCAATTTGGTATTCGATTTTTTTCTGTACGCGGAACTTCAGCAGTTGTCGCCCTCAGTTCATGTGCTCTGAAATACACTTTACTAAATAAAATAGCAGTATTTATGTCGAAGATTTGAGTCTGTAAAGGTTTGCGTTTTATAAAAAAAAAAGGATATAGTTCTCACTCCGGTAAAGTGGGGGCGCTGTGGTCTCCTTTAAAGATAAGTGCTCTCCGTCACTTCCCCGAACCAGCGCATTGTTTGTTGGAGCAACCGTGCCTCACTGCTTTTAGCTAGCAGTCCTCATATGTATTTTTATAAATGAAAGTTTGAACATATTTGCTGACTTTTTCGGCTGCGGTTAAGTATCTGACGCTCTATTCTACTTCTTTATTTCACATTTTGTACACTACGCACGAGTAACTGAACTTTTGACCACGCTGAGGAGAACCGAGCTTGCTAACTTCCTGAACAGTTTCCTAGTTCAGTGCCAACATGTCTGGTGGAAGAGGCGTCCGTGGACCATCGGGGAGTAACGACTGTCGGATATACGTGGGGAATCTCCCTCCCGATATCCGCCAAAAGGACCTGGAAGACTTATTTTACAAGTATGGACCCATACGTGATGTGGATCTGAAAAACGGACGTGCAGGACCACCGTTTGCCTTCGTGCAGTTCGAGGACCCGAGGTGACCCGCAGTAACTCCCCACCCCCACCCCCCACCACGTTAACTCAGGGATCCTTTGTTACCCCCTAAAATGCTACCATGCGTGTATTTTCTGATTTGGATGTTTATATTTGTGCGATTTTTCTTTAACATGTCTAAACCTGTTGTAGCTGCGCACGTGCTTTAACGCAGCTCATCCGGAGGGCTGGTGATGCGTTTATGGACGTTTTTGGCGCCAGTACTCTGAGGTGCTTTCGAATAGTTATGCATGACACCGAGATGAGTTTTCAATCTGTAATTTCACCCGTTACGGCTGTTAATTTGAGCCGGATAAATTGAGGTGTGATTCTGTTTTGTTAGGGAACCAGTTTCATGTGGCACACACCTGCCATACAGGTCTGCTATATCAAATCCCTTCGCTTAAAGGACAGTTATCGGATACTGTTCCGATTAACCGGCAAACAAGTCGGTTAAAGGCATTGTGAGATAATCGTCTAACCTAGTGGTTCTCAACTGATCGGTCCCGACCCAAAATGGGTCCCAGACACGTTCTGGATGGGTCGTGAACAGCTGGTCAAAAAAATAAATATTTAATGCGATATTTATTAGATATTCGATATTTTTGGTTTAAGCAACTTCAGTAGTTGTCCCCTTCATGTGCTCTGAAATGCACTTAACTCAGTAAAACAAGTGGATTTATGTTAAAGATTATAGTCTTTTAAAGGTTTTTTTTCAACAAAAAATAATTTGCTTGGTTTGAATTCTGTAAAAGTGGGTCACGACTGAAGGACCATGGGAAAATGTGGGTCCCAGAGTTAGACCAGTTGAAAACCACTGGTCTAACCTGTGTTCAATGAGATCCGTGCCTCTGCAGACAGTGCAGGCAGCCTCGCTGGTATAGTTGCCTCAAAGTAATGTCAAGATAAGATGTTCCTTTAATAGTCCCACAGGGGGAAATCCACAATTTTAGCCATGTGCTGAAATGAATTATGAATTTATTCATAACCTGCCTTTGACTAGGATGTGTTTTACAATAAAACGTCCTCACTTAATGTTGATTTTTTTAATGGTTTGATGATTATCAACCACTGAAGTTGTAGTGGTCAATAGTAGTTAGCCATTACAAGCTTTTTTAAATTACACTTGGTGGTTGAATAGTTTTGATCTTAAAGAAAATGTCTCATTAAGCCAAGAACAATGTTTAATTTTTTAATGTACCGTATTTGACTCTATACCCAACTTGGTGGTCTTTAAACCCCAGATCTCCATCATGAGAGAAAAATGGTTTCAACAACTCAGCAAAAATGATATATTTCCTATGTTTCATAAGCGTGATCCATCAGTCCTTTTGCGACCACAAACCAATGGGCTGACTCCAGAGATGATCTTTCAGGTCTTGTGAGTCGGCCTGCATTTTCTTGTTAATCTGAATTTTCTAGAAAGTAACCATTATTTTCACAGGGATTCTGAGGATGCCGTTTACGGACGTGATGGTTACGACTATGATGGCTACCGCCTGCGTGTTGAGTTTCCTAGAAGTGCAAGGGGAGGTGGAGGAGGAGGAGGTGGTGGTGGTGGTGGTGGAGGAGCAATGGGACCACCAAGGGGAAGGTATGGTCCCCCCTCCCGACGCTCTGAGTACAGACTCCTGGTATCAGGTAAATTATGGGGGCCTCAGCCTGTATCTGACCTCAGATTAACTGATAAATACACAAGTCCTGATTTACCTTTTTTTTTTTTCCCCATCAGGTCTCCCTCCCAGTGGAAGCTGGCAGGACCTAAAGGATCACATGCGAGAGGCAGGGGATGTATGTTATGCTGACGTGTACCGTGATGGCACTGGGGTGGTGGAGTTTGACCGCAAAGAAGACATGAGCTATGCTCTTCGTAAATTGGACAACACCAAGTTCCGCTCCCATGAGGTATGCAAATATTAACGGTCTAATACATTCTCGGGCGTAGACTCTTGAGACTATTTTTGGAAATGAAGAGTTTCACAAATGAAGGATAGAAACAGGGTAGTAAAAAATGGTCCATAAGTAAAAATGTTGATGAAACGGGGTTTTGATCTTTATTTCATGCTGTGTCTGTCTTTGTGGACTAATGATTGCTTCCCATGATGGTCATATGGGGGGTTATTTTTAATGATTGTCTGCTGTATCAGATCATTCAACTCATTCTGATGTATTTTGTTCTCGTGTAAGATCTGCTACTGGTTGAACAGATTGTTACAGAGAAAAGAAAATCTATTTGGACTTGTCTGGCTTTCTGTACAGTACTTGCACATGCTATCAAAATACGTTATGGGTCTGTAGCATTCTCAGCCCATTCTCAAGATTTTCACAGAAGTTTTGAAAAATATAATATTTAAGTTTTTATTAGGGGAACATCACATATCACCAGAAACAGTGATAGCAGTCAGCGTGCCTACAGGAGAGGTCTGGCTGTTCAATAACAGAAAGTGTGAACTCTAAAATTTTACAATGTCATTTAGCTGACTCCAAAGTGAAGCACATTTGAGACTCTATAAAGTAAACTAAGGACAGACATAAAATCATCAAATGTGTTAATAATTCAAGAAAACTAGTCCATGCTTTAATTCAGAAACTGCTTCTGCAGGTGCTTTATCACCAGCACTCCTTCAACATAATTAATGCCATTACTCACCTCGAGCTGGACGTCTACTAATGTGTTTATCTTTGTGTGTTAAGGGGGAGACAGCCTACATCCGTGTGAAGATGGATGGTCCTCGCAGCCCCAGCTACGGTCGTTCCCGCTCCCGTAGTCGCAGTCGAAGCCGAAGCAACTCCCCTCGCCGAGGCAGAGGGTCTCCACGTTATTCTCCCCGGCGCTCCCGTTCCCGATCCCGCTCCCGCTCTCGCACCTAGATTTCATCTGAACCAAAGCGAACCGTGCCTCAGAGCCAGAGATGAAATCTTCACATCACACGAAAAAAATCCTGTGTACTTTTCAAAAAAAAATTTCACGTGTTACCTCTTTACTTCAGCCTCTTTTTGGGTTTTTCTGTTGCCTTCGCTTTTGTTGTAGTTTTTCAATTTTTGCAGAAGAGGTGCATTTTTGTGTGTGCGTAGCTCACTTTCACCCATTCTTTCTTTCTTGTCTTTTTTTTTTTTCGCTAACCCCTCCAGCCTCTCTTACCTTTTGATTGTCCTCGTATGCTTTATGTTTCTTATACAAAAAAAGAACTTTACCTCTTTTTAAACATATACTACTGTCCTTTGACCTTCTTGTGTGTCTCTCTGTAGACTTCAAAGGAACAGGCTAGGATGGGAGGAATCAGTTCTTATTAGGATAAACAGGAGGAGGAGTCAAATATGGCACCAATGGTATGATTGCTGTGCCCTGTTGACGATTGAGTGCTGATGTTGGGTGTTTTTAGTTTACCAGTTTGTTATTCGAGACCCAATTTTTTTGTTTTGTTTTGGTTTTTGTTCATCTTTCAGTATCCAAAGTAAATCTGTTTTGGGGTCAATAATAATTTAGTGTCCAAGTTACGTTTATCTTAGATGCGTTCATAGATGCATTAATAGACATTTTCTGAAGGTGTGATTCTAACTTTCCTCCTTCTCTTTGGTTCTGCTGGTATTCTGAAGGTTTGGACTGGGCTCAGTGCCTCCCCATTCCGGAGCCGGATCAGGACTCCGGATCAGATCAGGATTAGTTTTAGGCTTCTGGATGGAGTCATGGAGCAGTAGCACAGGAGCATTGTACTGGGAGAGGATCCCGAACCCCTTGGCTCTTTCCAAATTACCCCATCAAACCGGAAATGTTTTTAAGGAATCGATATAGACTCAATTGGCTTTCAACTTATCCTTTTTCTTTGATGACTTCTTTTGTTTGTTTTTTTAAATTGTGCTGGAACAGAGAGACAGAACATCTGACGGCACAGCAAACGTTCATTTTTCAGAATTGTGTTCAGTAAATCATAGACAAGCCAAGTTTGGCGCAAAACCAGAAGGAGGGCTGTGAGGTGCGGGATGGATCCACACGCTCAAGGAGAGCAGTTAATAGTGGAAATCTTTCAGTGGAAGAGGGAGGGAACTGGGAGGACCAGAGGCAACAAAGGAATGTGACTTGTGGTTTGTATTTTTTTTTTTTTTTTTTTTTTTGTCATCGTAAGTTAGTATATTTTCTGAGAATTATTTCTGCTTTTCCTAAGTATATTCTCCAGCATCTAAAAGCTTTATTCTCTTTTAATAAATCTTTCAGTACCTAAGGTTTGAATCTGTGGTTTTCTTTGCCTGCAAAAAACACCTGCGTACATTCATGAAGAATCCCTCAAAGCGTTTCTGCGAACACTTTAAATCAATTTAAATGGTCTGACTACTTTTTTGTCAAGTTTATAAAACAATGACTAAGAAAATAATGTTAAGTTGCAGCACACATTTGTACCTCTGAAAAAAAATAATAAAAATGAATTTTAAAAAAAGTGTAAAATTAGGTATATCACCTAGTTGAAACAGTTGCTGCAAATCAAGTGCAAATTTATTAATTATTGATTTGTATATTAGAAAAAAATTAACAGGAAGTGAAATTCTAATGATTAAGTTATTTTTTCAGCTTGAAAACCAATTTTGACTTTAATAAATCAGCTCAAGAAAAGTTTTCATTGGAGGTCGAGAACACCACACAATATGATAGAAATTGATTGGAAATTAAAAGCTAAAATGCTTTTAGATACAAAATAAAACTCATTTTAACACATTTTGTAATAGAAAGCTTTTTTATATTAACACTTGTTTTATTGGAAACACTCTAAACACAGCAGCGCCGATCAGTTTCAATCAATAAACCCAATCACCTGGATCGATTATTTATCCGAGCGTGGGAGGGGAGGGAAAATGGTGCATTCTGGGTTGAAACAAGATGCAGGCAACTATCCACAAGTGAAAAACGCCGTCACCAGGGTGGAGGCTCGTGTTCACCCAATCAGAGAGAAGAAGTATAGAAGGGGGCGGAGCAAAGGCGCACGCCGTCCTTTCTTAAATGAACGAAAATCCACAGTGTCGCCCATCACGCACGCTTCTTGAAATCGCGTTGTAGCTGAGATACGGTAAGAGTTCCGTGACAGTCTATTTGTATGCGTAGCATAATATGTTAATAGGACCCGTGTGTACTATCTACAGGTGAGACTGAGGCTTCGGTTACTCCCATGCTAGTCTCGTCTGCACCTCCTGGATTTGACCCGAGGAGCTGACTGAATGCTCCCCCCACTTAATACTCCTGTTGTTTGCACACAGGGCAAACTGGATTGTGTAAGGGGATTTGCTTGTGCCTGCAAATGCTTACGTACTTACCAACAGTAAATGAAAGTAGTGTTGATCTGCATGGTGGAAGTGCACCTCTGTTATGTTCCATTACTCTTTACTGATAGTTCCACACCTGCAAACAGCACCCACTGTGTCTGTGGTTAACCAAATATGTTTCACAAAAACTGTCAGTGTAAATATGTGGATACTAATGTTTTCTTCTTAAGTTTTCACAGGAACTTTATGTAGGCAACTAGTTTGGATAAACTGCAAGAGTCAATTTAGCTGGCTTGTGAATCATGCAAACTTCAGCTGTAAAATGCAAATGAGTGATTGTATAGCAGCAATGTGACTTGTGTTTTGATGTCAGCCCACTGAGCATTTTTTGGTCTAAATGAGGTCTAATAGATGTGTAAATGTAGCCTAGATGACTGGTCTAAAATCAGGCTACCACAGGTCTAAAAATGAAAGTTTTCTAGATGTCTAAATTTAGACCAAGTCTAAATCTGGGCTGTATTTATACTACACTGTATATTGCTCAACGGCTATCATAATTATTTTGGTTAAGTACTTAGAGATCAGTTATACAACTCACAGTTGCTTTTTGAAATAGTTATCAAATAATGGGTTGAAATGCAACGTATAAAAATATACAGAATCTAGACGGTCGAAATTTGGTCTAAAAAAATACTAGACATCTAATAGTGGTCTATTGCTCAGTGGGGGGGTCACTTTTAAAAGTTAAACTCAGTTGGGTGGAAACTCTCTGATTATGACTCTGTCCTCTTTACAGTCAAAAAGCCAACATGTCTGAGAAGAAGGCCGTAATAAAGAACGCTGACATGTCTGATGAGATGCAGCAGGATGCAGTGGACTGTGCGATGCAGGCCATGGAAAAGTACAACATTGAAAAGGATATTGCTGCCTATGTTAAAAAGGTATGTAAGAATCGGCTCTTTAGATAAATCTCCCATTCTCAGATATAACATTTATTCAGGTCACATGAAAAGTAGTACAGTGCTGGGCTCACAATAACAGAGCTCCCAGGATCTCCATCACAACGAGTGCCCTTAACCTTAAACACAACCGAGTATCATTGGCCAGCTATCTCCAACATGAATAGGCCAACCACTGTTCACACAGTCTCACTAAACTGTTCTATGAAATATATGTGTGTGTTGTTGACCTTGAGGCATGTAACTACTGTCGCAAACCTGTCCAACAGAACAAAGAGAGCCTTATGGCACATCAGGTTCCTCCTTATCAAATTAGACGTCATAGTGTTCTGATTAAATGAAAACAACCTGTGAGTAAATGGAATTGTAACAGGTACTCTAGATCTCTTCAAAATAACCATCAGAGCTTATTTGTTGGATTTATTCCTTTTTAATGTGCTAATAATTTTTTTTTCCACCTGTAGGAATTTGACAAGAAGTACAACCCCACATGGCACTGCATCGTCGGGAGGAATTTTGGCAGCTATGTGACGCATGAGACGAAGCATTTTATTTACTTCTACCTGGGTCAAGTGGCCATTCTACTGTTCAAGTCAGGTTGAGTTCAAAACCATGCTGTGATTTCACTACTTTTAATTCAGCCTTTACTTTGTGCCATTCTGTGCATTTTCTGCGCACCCTTCTCAGACATGCACACCTCCTGGTCATCTGCATTTTTCAGCCAGTTAATGTCTGTGACCTTCAACTCTACCGCAGCCAGACAAACTGTGCTTTAGTCATGATTAGTCTGTGGATGTGCTGTTCATGTAGAGAATGCATATTTGTAACTACTCCTTGTGCCAGCTCTAAGTGCGAATTTGCACATGTGACAGACTCATCCTAATTCATCATTTCTGAGGGTTCTTTTTGCTGTGCTTTGATGCACCGATTGTACATTTTTTTTCATATGGATATATTGTATAATAATTTATTTTCTTGTAATTAAAATAAGCAACAGAGTTTTTGTTTAAGTGTCCTGTAAGAGATTGAATTAGATGCCAAGGCTGTTGCTTACACTTAATAATAAAATATGACCTGCTAAGATGTCAGGTTTTGTATGTGCTTGAACATTCCTGTTTTCACTTCATTTGAAGAGTAAATGTTGAACAATTTTGAAGTGTCATCTGGTATGGGGTTTGGTTCTGTGATAGTTAATCATGTTAAGCACAAAAGACCTTTTGAGAAAGTAAAATTGGTTAAAACGTGTTTATGTTTGCTTCATTTGTGTGTGTGTGTGAAATGATAAAATACCTTGACCCCCTGTTAAGGCAGCATGTTTATCCTGTTCTGATTCTGATCTTGTCGGCATACTTTTCACAGGTCTGAAGTAAGTAGGTTCTTGCATACTTGGATAGTAGTTTCTAAATGCAGAAAACCTCTGGCCTGGTCAGAACAGATTTACCTAAGCCAGTGGTGTCCACAAGAATTTAAAAAAAAAAAAAAAAGCAACTACTATCATTAAATATAGAAGGATAGTCAAAGAGGTAAGGTAATATAATTTTCTGTAACTGTATTTATTAGCTGTGAGGAAGGGAACAGCTCAAGCTAAAATGTCCTTATAAAGTTTATTTTTTACCCCTTATTAAATTAAAAAAGTGAAACTGTAATATGATCCAGATTTATCACACATTTAGTGAAATATTTGAAGATTTTTAGTTTGAAACTTTATATTTATGATTTACAGATCACAAACAAAACTGACTTTCTCAAAACATTAGGATATTGTGGAGAAAGTCCAGTTATCAGTAATTTCAGTCCCGAAAAGAGCTCTAATCTAATCTAAAAATTTGCCAAAGCAACACAGCCAAACACTCAAACAAAGCTATGAACTGAACTGAATCCTGAACCGTTCAGCTGGTATCAGTTCAGGAGGTTGGCTTCTCCTAGCCTGGCACGCTAGGCTTCTCCCGCCAAACGCTACATGATTCTGTGATTTGGTGAACGAATCTTTCGAACGAATCTTTCTAGTGAACTGATTCTAGTGATTTAGTACATCTAAAAGAACTGCCGTGCCCATCACAACTAGGAGCAGAGTCAGAAGACATGCTCAAGCATTTGCTGGCATATTTGAAAAAAACAGGGTTAATGGAGAGGATCTAATTTCCTTATTTAGTTTTTTTTTTGTATGTATTTATTGTGTCTACCAATTTACTGTCCCACACTCCTGTCCAGTAGGTGGCGTTAATGCGCCTTCAAATTGGTTTGCCAACCGCCAATAAACTCCAATGAAGAAGAAGAATCCAATCACATCCGAGTCAGAATAAAAATATGGCGGCTCAAACCGGGCTGTCAGCGGTGGTAAGCCGCAGTGATGTCCCCGTTTTCCCCCCGGTGGCTCTGTCCGCGGAGGCCGCTCCCTTCACCCCGCTCGGACGTGACGCCCGGCAGCTCAGCTCATCGTCGGACGCTGAGAAGCAGTTTTCTCGCTGCGCCACGAAACTCAGATCTATGCGGGGAGAGTCAGGCCAACTCAGGGAGGAGCTCAACCTGCTGTTTGACCAACTCCTGTCTGAAAACTACAACAAAACCTTCGACCCAAGTATCAACATCCGACCAGAGGTAACAATGTCAGTGTGACTAATGAGCTGGTGACTCCTAATCTGAGCCCACATGTGGAGTTGACTGCTGGTTGTGTCCATTTCAGGATGTGTGCAGTCTGCTGAGGCATACCAGCTGTATGGTCCCTCTGAGTCAAGAACATTTGGTCATCAAATTCTGCCAGCTGATCCATCATCTACTGAACCAGCTGAAGGTAACAGGAAATCTAGAGTAACAGTTGCAGCCTATTAGTTTGTGGAGTGATAATGTCTGAGCTGATCTCAAATTTCTTCCCTGTTTGAGTCTTGTGCTTATTTTCTGTATCCACTGTTGCTTTAGGTCATCATGGATGAACATACATTGGATGTGATGGTGAAATATACCACCAGTGCACTGAGAGTGTGCAGCACGTGGACACACTCAGATGTCCTCTTGGCTCTCTCCACAGTAGTGTACGGTAATGGACCCCAGAGCCACCAGGTAGACATTAGGTCAAGCTTTTTTTAAAGCATTTTTGTGTGTTTGATGACTGATGGATATTTGAATGAGTTGTTTTTACAGCATCTTAGCAGCTTGCTGGGTGAAGATGGACTGCTGCTGATGTATAGTTCCCCATCTCAGCCAAATATGGAGTTGCAGCGTGTTGCTCTTACTTGTATGGCAAACATTTGTCTCAGGTAGGCATCATGGGGCTTGACATATAGTCTGTTTATAGTTGCAGTTAGGGCTGGGCGATAAAACGATAATGATATGTGTCGAAAATTAATTTCCCTCGATATCAATATAAAACGTGGTCAATATGCTTTTCGATAGCCGGCATTCTGCCATGTTTTGGTAGACTATACAAGTAGTCAATGAAAGGGGGAGTTGCTCCGGGTCCGCTTCACGCTGAACCAATCATGTGCTGAATTAGAACCAAGTAGCAGACAATTGCGTAGTATCAGGTTGCAGCTACATGCAACCATAGAACTTTAACACGTGAAGCCGACAGGGCTGTCGGTGAGAAAAAAAGGAAAATAAGTGCTACCCCTGGCAGAAATGCAGATGAAGGCTCAACAAATGATAAAATCGTCGACAACACTGACACGAAAACGTCGGTGGTGTGGAGGTATTTTGGTTTTTTGAGGTCGGACATGAAGCAGAGTAATATGCACTGCAAATTATGTCGAGTACATGTTCTTGCAAAGCCAGGAAATACCTAACCATTCAGTCCGCTTTCTCTAGCGCAATGACTTGCGGCAAAATGTCGAAGAGACACGAAGACCTCACAGATACAGTTGCTTATTGTGTTGCAAAAGACATGCTACCAATCAGCACTGTTAAATTTAATTTTTTATATCGTGATATATATCGATATCGACTGATATGAAAAAAATATATTGTGATAAACTTTTTCCCATATCGACCAGCCCTACTTGCATTAATAAATGATTATATTTATATTATCAATTAAATGTAATCTTATTTTGTCTCGTTGAGCTGTTGACAGTCTCCTATCATCCTCTTTTCTGCAGGATCCCTGGTCAGCCACCTCTGGATGATCACTACAGAAGTGTATCATTCAGTGTCTTCTTGAAAACACTGCAGTCACCAAAACCTCCCGACACTGACGAACTCTTCTACTGCATGGTGTGTATAACTGGTGCAATGTTATGAGGAAATTTTCAGCATGGAAAATGTTAAAAAAAATTAACAATGCTTCACCGTGTGATCTCTGTGCAGGTGATCCAGGCAGCGCTGAAGGGACTGCAGTGTTGTCTCTCAGGTGGAAAGTGGAAATTCGGTGGAGGGGAGGAGCTCGGGTCTGTGCTGGCTTTGCTGAAGGTGCCGGATTGTTACACAACTGATTTGATTTTTACTTTTAATGATATTTTATCATGAAAACACACAAGTCTTCATTGTGGTAATGTGTTGTCTGCAGAGGCTGATGTTCCAGGGGGCTCCAGGTGTAAGTGTCGAGTGGCCAACTGTTCTTTACCCGGCAACTCTTCCCCAGTACGAGGGTCTCCCTGCACCGAAATCAGCTGAACCACAAAAATCTGCAGAAGGACCAAAAGATGCTGCTATGCCAGGAAAAACCACAGGGGTATGTTAATCCAGTGTTGAACTGCCCTGTGATCTGAACTATTTGTACCCCTTTTTATTCATTTTCATCTATGTCTTAATAATAATCTTTAATAATGTCTGTCCTCAGAATAAAAAGAGAAAATCTAGAGGAAAAGGAAAGAAAACAAGTGGAGAGGAGAGCCGAGGTCATGATGTAGAGGAAGATGACAAAGATGACAAAGGTTTGGCCACACAGAAAAGAGGAGGAAGAGAGGAAGGAAGAGGCGATGCAGAATCCTTATCTAGATTCTCCTCCTTGTCCCTCTACCCCTCCTGGAAGAAAAACAGCTCAGACTCTGAGTTTTCTGACCCGGAGGGAAATGCGCAGACCAAACTAAGGTACATAGAGACACCACCACTGTTCCCACCCAGTTTGTTGCCCCTCAGCCGTGTCTGTCTTTCAGTTTGTGAATCTCCCTTCCAGACTTTACCATGGCCGTGTGCGTCAGGGAGCCCTGCACTGTCTGCTCGCAGTGGTAAAAAGTGTAGAGAAGAGGACTCTGTATGGCTTCTGGTCCTCCTTCATCCCAGACTCTCCTATTGGGGGACCACCATCTCTCACTCTTCTTACAATTATACTGAAGGACCCCTCGCCAAAGGTACAACACACCCTCTTCTACTGTGGGTTATATGTAGGTTTACGTCACAGTATTTCTCAGTGTGTGTGTGTGTTTCCGTGGCATCCATCTCTTTCCTCTCTCTCCAGGTGCGCGCCTGTGCACTCCAGGTGTTGTCAGCCATGTTGGATGGCTCCCGTCAGTTCCTGGCGGTGGCTGAAGACACTGCATCTCCTCGAACGTCTTACACCCCTTTCTCCTTTTCTCTGGCTACAGCCGTAAGAGAGCTGCACCGTGCTCTCAGTCTGGCTCTGCTGGCTGAAACCTCCTCTCAGACACTCACACAGGTCATAAAGGTATGATTAAAACGGCCAAACAGTTTTTCTCCGTTCTCATATTATCCTTTTAGAGTAAGAGAATAGATGTCCTTACAGCTTATCTGCATTTTTCTTGTTTGTTAGTGTCTGGCGTACCTGGTTGCAAATGCTCCATATCACCGTCTCAGACCTGGACTGCTCAGTCCACTCTGGAAGCAGATGCGTCCTTATGTGCGCCACAGAGGTCTGTTTTTGATCGTCCCACTAAGCTTTCTATATTCAAAAGAAGATTCAACAAGCTTTATTTTAACAAAGCTGTTCACTGTGTTTAGATGCAAATGTCCGTGTGTCTGTCCTGACACTGTACGGGGCCATAGTGACGACTCAGGCTCCTCTCCCTGAGGTGCAGCTCCTCCTCCGACAGCCAGAGAGCAGCAGCAGCAGCACTGGTTTGTTCACGCCCCAAGACTCGACTCCCATTTGGAGGCAGAGAGATGGAGTGTCCTCTCCTTCTCATTCATCTGTGACGCTCACCCAGCGGGGCTCCTACACACACTCACCCCGTCTACCCCGTACGCCTGGGGAGGAGGACAGCACCTCACCGTGGCTGCTCCAGCTGTGTGTGTCGCTGGTGACCCAGCCCAGAGAAGACCAATCAGACAGTGAGGGAGCGGGGACAGGAGGAGTTTCTTTAGAGCCCTCACCTGTCCGACTAGAAGCCCTCCAGGTGAGTGGGACAGGAAGTATAAGAAAGAGGTCAAAGCATGCAGTTATGAAACCTGATGGGCGTTGACTTTGTTTCAGGTCATGTCCCACCTGGTGAGGGGTTACTTCTCTTTAGTGCAGACATGCCTCTGTGAGATCAGGCAGGTGAGTGCACGCTGCCTCAGGGAGTCTGACCCCTCCATACAGCTACACGGGACAAAGGTAATAACAACTTCAAACTCTCTTCCTGCATTTCCTCCACATCTCATTGATCAGAATAAGATTTGCTCACTGATGTCCTGCGTTGTCTTATGTCGTAGTTACTGGAAGAGTTAGGGACTGGAATAATCCAGCAGTACAGAGCAGAAAATAACGTTCCTGAAAGTTCAAGGGTCCCTATGAGCAAGGTGAGTATGAGGAAAAGCTTTTCGTATTTCTCATTGCTGCTTTTTTCATCATTATTATTATGATTTCTTTCCTTTGACCATAATTATTGGAAGTAAACAGCATGTATTATTATATAACACTTTTTCCCCATGGTTACAAAGTGTTAGGGAAAAAATCTAAACAAAAACAAAATGCGACAAAAACCATCAGATAATTCAATGATTCATAAAAGACAGAATCTGGGGTCTCTTTGGTTACAAGCTGGACTCTTACAAATATCCCTGATCTCTACAGGTGTTCTCTGTTGCCTGTGAGCTCGTGTTTTTTTGGTCTTTTGGGAAATTAATCTTGTAGATAATACAATAGATAGATCGTAGCTTTTTCAAGGGTTGTAAGTGAGTCTTGGTAGGGAGAGCGGGTGATAATCTAAAAGGCAGAGAGAATCAAGAGCAGGAAACATGCAGACAAGGGCTCAGGCTTAGTGCATGGGTTGCTTGTTTTATCCGGTGAGCTACGTGGTTTTACCCACAAGATGTACGGTTTAATTTTTGAATCTTCTCATAGTTTTTCATCCTTGTGATAAAAGGATCTGAATTCCAACTTCTAACATTTGTAAACTTCGATGAATGAGCATTTCTTCCTTTCATGCATATCTTGGAATCATATAGGTGGTCCTGTTTTGGTCTGAAGTTTTGAGTGGTCCCTTGAATGTGGCGCTGCAGAACGAACAACACCCCACGCTGCAGACGAGCGCCTGTGAGACGCTCTCCTCCATCCTGCCACAGGCCTTCGCACAGCTACCAGTAAGTTTTCTATATTTCTATATTTTTTTAATCTATCTTTTTACAATGTCTTGCACTGATTTGGGTGGCTTTAATCTCATTGTACTGCATATAATGACAAAAAAAGGCATTCTGATTCTGATTCTGAAGTAAAGACCCGACTATCAACCACAAACAAAGCATTTTGTAGTATTTAGTAACACTTACTTGCAAGGGAAAAAAGGCTTTTAGCAGGCAGAAACCTTGAGCAAGACCAGACTTGTGATGAACAGCCATCTGCTGACAGCATGTTGACCCAAAAATTTAATGTTTTTTGTTTCTTTTTCTTTTTTTTCTTCTGTCTTTAAGGACAAGACTCAGCTGATGTGCATCACAGTTCTGCTTGGCTTGACCTACAGTGAGAACTATCTGGTGAAGACTGCAGCTGTCAGAGCTTTGGGAGTCTACATTGTGTTCCCTTGTCTGAGAGAGGTGAAGAATTGAACCACTGAATAACATGCCTCTAAATATGATACTACAAGAATCTGTTTTTTTTTTTTTAACAATGGTGTTTTTATGCTCTGTCTGTACAGGATGTGATGTTTGTGGCGGATACAGCCAACACCATCCTTGCTGCCCTTGATGATAGATCCCCAAATGTACGTGCCAAGGCAGCGTGGTCCTTAGGCAACCTCACAGACACTCTCATCGCCAACATGTAAGAGAAAATAGATGCAAAGTTTTGAGTACAATACAGCATTCAAGTGTTCTTTGTAATCTATTTTTCCTTCTGTCTTTTTTTAAGGGAGAGTGTAGGTGTGGACTTCCAGGAAGAGTTATCAGACATGCTTCTGCTCAAGATGTTGCAGGCAGCCACCCGAGCAGCAGACGACAAAGACAGAGTGAGAGCGACACAAAAACACTCACATTCATCTCTCCCTCCACATTTTTGTTCTGACACACCACTTCCTTGTCGAATCACGTCTTTGAACTTCCTCCCTTCTTTCAGGTGAAGTCTAACGCTGTGCGAGCACTCGGAAATCTGCTCCATTTCCTTCGTCAGAGCCAGCTGACCCGGTCTGCGTTTCAGCGCCCGCTGGAGGACGCGGTCCGTGCTCTGATTAAAACTGTCCAATCAGAGGCCACCATGAAGGTCCGGTGGAATGCCTGCTGTGCCTTGGGGAACGCCTTCAGAAACTCCTCCCTCCCACTTGGTGAGCATTGGATGAGCCTTAGCTGTGTATTTCTTTTGTGCGGTCGTTTCTAAAGTTGGTATAACTAGAGAAGCAAGTGGTCGGCAACCTTCATCTCTCAAGGGGGTGTCTAACTCAGACTTAATTAATTTTACGGCAGAATATCCCTTTAATTAGATCACAAAGACGGGCGTGCTGTGAGGCTTTGTCACTTCAAACTTACAGCTCATTTTTCTTTCTCTTTGTCAGACTCTGCTCCTTGGTCTCATGACGCCTTCTCCGCCCTCTGCCATGTTGTCACTTCCTGTAAGAACTTCAAAGTACGGATCAAATCAGCAGCCGCTCTGGCAGTCCCCGCCCACCGAAGCTGCTACGGGGACACAAAGCGGTTCAGCTGTGTGTGGCTTTCCCTGGCCAAGGCCCTGGAGAACAGTGAGGACACAAACGACTTCTTAGAGTACCGCTACAGCGCCAGCCTGCGACACACACTGTCACAAGCTCTCCTGCACCTGCTCAGCGTCAGCCAGTCCCAGGACATGCTAGTGCTAGGATCATCACTGGCCGGGGATCAGGGGAGAGGCATCAGAGAACACTTAATCAAATATGTCAGAGAGGAGGACGGAGGAGGAAAAGGAGGGGGAGGAGGAGAGGAAGGAGAGGAGGCACAAGGGGGTAAAGACACAGAGGGAGATAATTTCACCCCTCAGCAGAGAATCAGAGGTCTGCAGCAGACGCTGATGAGACTGAAGGAGCTAAAAGCTGAAGGAGAGGAGGAGGAGGGAGGTAAAAAGGAGTTGGTTCATTTCCTCGAGGATTTGCTAAAGACTTGTGAAGAACCTTAAAACTTTAATTTCCTGCTGCAGCACTTAAAGCAAGTCTTTCAGCTTGGACTTGGAAACGCAGGGAGGGCAGTATGAACCTTTTCACCCTCTATATTTACACATTTTGAAAAAAAAATATGATTTTGTTATTTTTGCTTTGCTAGATTGTTTTCTGTTCCATAATATTAACTCCATCTCCTGGAGGTGGTATAGTAAGATTTTCCTGTTCTTAACATGGTGTCATAATGCCATGACTGTATCATGGAAGGGCCACATGTCTGTGAATGAGAAGGCAACCCAGACTGAATGCTGTGCTTAGCCAGGTTCTGCAGATGAATTTGGATTCCAGGAAGTAAGGAAGAAACACAGCAAGAGGCAAGAGCTTTTGACCTGAACAGCTGCTTTACCTGTGAGAAGGATGATCAAATGAACCATGTAGAGATTAATTTAATCCATTAACAATGTGTACATAGAAATGTTGCTGATGTGCTACAAACATTTGATTCGATCTGCCTCCTACGATGCTGCTCCCCTTAAGTTTAGCCAAGATTTCAAACACTATGGAGAAAAAGTCACATAACCTGAATGAGTTATTTTCTCTTTGTAATGCTCTCTCTGTAAAAACTGTCATATCTGAAAGTGCATATGACCAGAAATATGTTTGACACATTTGTTTGATGGAAAAATACTCCTCAAAACAAAAGCCATATGTATATAAATAGTGATATTTTAACCTGTAGCTTTGTTAGTCCATTTACTCAAGTGCAATTTTGAGCTACTTTTAACTAAAACATTTTTATTTTCTGCCACTAACTGTAGATTCATTACATTTTCAAAGGACATGGTTCACTTTTCTCTTCACTTATCTTATTTCATGGTTTAAATCTCGTCTGTAGTTATTTTGAAGTTTTCAAGACATGGTTATCCCAGTAAAGCAAAGTAAAAGTGTACAAAAACACCGCTTGAACTGAAAAGGCAACATTAAGACTACCTGTTTAATACTGAGTGGGCCCTCCTCTAATCAAGTTAAGACCCAAACAGTCCTGACCAGATGAGGAATGGACTCTGCTCGACATAGGCAGGTGTGTTGTGTTATCTGCAACCATGATACCTTAAAGGCATTAGATCAGGTTGCATGATGGTGCCTCCATGTATCAACTCGGTTGCCAAGCCAATCTTAGAGCCCCTTTATTGGACTGAGATCTGGGGAACCTCCAGGCCATCTTCCTCTATAGTTCCATGGTCCAGTTCTGATGTTTACATCATAATAACAATAATCATGTCATGAAAATATGATGCCTTTAGGATTAAATCTGACTGAAAAAATTAAAGATCATTTGTAAAAACTGTTTTCTTTCACATTTATTTTGATTGACTGAGGGATTTCACACAGTAGAGAATAAAAAAACTACATACCAAGACAACAGGTGAAACTGCTCAGACAAAAGTACAACACCATACAGGCTGAACTGAACTAACACTCAACGGCATCATCCAGTTCAACTTCATATCGACTCAGGCGCTGCATGGCCTAACCAAATGACATATTGAAAAGTTTACGAAGTGAAATTCAACAATAACCTTTCCACTTCTTTGCTCGTTTTCTCACCGTCGTCTTCTGTGCCTAGATCGTAAAACTATTTGCAGCAGTGGCGGTTCTCGGCCACCGTAGCATCCCTTCAAATCTGTAAATCGTCATTATTGCCCCGTAAATGTGAACCACAGACAGCAGGGGGCGCCGGAGTTCAGGGTAGAGAGTAGCTGCCGGTGGTGAATGATCCGGATGTTGATTAGTGATGCCTGGATCCAGACAGACCACGCTGCTCTTGCTATAGAGATGGACGCCTTTGACTTGTTTCGGAAACTCGGGGCTGGAGCTAAATTTGACCTGAAGAGGTTTGGTCAAGACGCCGCCCGGTTCAAGGTAAAGTTAATAATTGTAGCCAAAGATGTAAGGATGAAGACAGCGAGTGATGAGAGCGGCAGCAGTCGTTATTCAGCTACGTATTTTAGCTAACCTTCTTTGGTGCCAACATGAAAGTGAACGGCATGTTTGATTTAGATTTTCTTCCATCCTTAAAATTTAAGGAAAGTTTTTTGCGCTAATATGAGATATTGTTCATACAGTCGTGATGTGTCTCTTAATACAGGGAGTTAAACCAGGAGGGACAGCGTCGCTGGATCCTCTCTCTGCGATCGACTTTTTCGGCACAGGAACAAGCAGCAGAGCCCAGAGCAGCTCTGCAGAACTGAGGGAGGATGAGGAGGATCTGGAGGAGAGTGATGAAGAGGAAGATGGGAATATGGAGAGTGATTCTGGTGTTGGAGGCAAAAGAAAGCGAAAGGATGAGGTTAAAGACGTCCGGACAAAGAAGAAGAAGAAAAACAAAAGTAACCAGGCAGAGGTAGAAGGTAAAAAGTCTGTCTCTTTGCAGAGGTTCACTGTTTTTTGGGTGAATATGTCGATATTTCTTTGGCTTTTGTTATGCATTCATGCAAGACTCTAAATTTGCGTTTGACCCTAAATTAATTTTACGCCGGAATATCCCTTTAAGGAATGGATTTTAATACCTTATTCCTTTTGCACAAATGTGTGCTAAAAATGCACAGCTCATAATTTTGTGTCTGTGGTATACATTTCACACAGATGCAGTCTTGTGTTTTGTACTTGAAATGATGTAAATGTCTAAAGCTAAAGAGTCAGTGCTCTGCCTATCCTTTGTCTCACTGAAGCTGGTGGTAAACCACTGAAAACAGAAGGAAATGGCATCACCTGGACCTCCTCAATGGACAGAAAGATGCAAAGCCTACCTGAGTCTGGGAAGGAGAAATCCTCTCTGAAGAGGCTAAAGCAGCTTCATCAGGAAAAGGTCCACATTGAAACACAAGTGCAAAATGATTACAAAAAAATATGTTTTATGCTGTATGGACTCTACTTTGTCTTTTTTATACCCCATATTCAGTCTCTTGTTTCATTTTTTTAATCCAGGTGAACCGTATTCGCTCTCAGCATCGTATAAACGTGCACGGCTGTGATGTTCCTGACCCTGTGTGCACCTTTGAGGAGCTGCAGTCAGAATACAGTTTAAACCCACGTATCCTTCAGAGTCTCAGCGAAGCAGGGCTCGATACACCAACCCCAGTACAGATGCAGGCAATACCCCTCATGATGCATGTGAGTGCAGAACCACACTAACTTTCAGTGGCTACAACAAAACGTGCAAATGTGTGTGTAATGGTTATTTCCCTGTGTCTGCTTTCAGGGTCGGGAGCTTCTGGCTTGTGCTCCCACAGGATCAGGGAAAACTTTAGCTTTTTGTCTGCCGTTGCTCGCCCACCTCAAGCAGCCGGCAAATCTCGGCTTCAGAGCTGTGATCATCTCCCCCACGAGGGAACTGGCAAGCCAGGTACACACACACACTTAAAGTTTGTTAGGTACTACAGTCAAATTATAGGAGGATAAGGTAAGAATTTATCAAGGAATTTAATTGGTGAAATAGTTGGTACATGTTTTATTTACAATGTTGTGGGATGATTTTAGCTCCAACCTTCAGTGTTTTACCCCTGTCTCTCTTGAGCTGCCCCCTCAATGGAAGGCAGGCAGTTTGTTGTTGACAATGTTTTACTTCGTTCTTTCTGCTTAGACTTACAGAGAGCTGCTGCGTCTGTCAGAGGGTGTCGGATTCAGAGTTCACATCATTGACAAAGCCTCTTTAGCAGCAAAGAAGTATGGACCACAGTCTAACAAAAAATACGGTAAGAGGAGGAAGGTTTTTATCACAGGAAAGGTTAGTGAATAAAAATGTGACATTATGATGAATCAATCTTTCTGGAAATGTTTTTCTCTGCAGATATACTCGTCAGCACTCCGAACAGACTTATTTTCCTGCTAAATCAGGATCCTCCTGCTCTTGACCTCAGCAGGTACGATGACAAAAACTTTGCATGCAGTTACATAGAAAGGTTGATGAATGTGTAAACCATAAAACCACAGAACAAAAATAGAAAAGAAGCCTCATAAACACTGGAAAGGGATGACAAAAATCAAGTACATACCTTTAAAATGCGCGAGAAGTCGTGACAATGGTGCTTTTTTCAATTAAGAAAATGTGTCAAATGTCATATCTGTTATAAAATAAAAACAAAAATACAAGGATTAATTGTCTTTTTTTGTCTTCAGTGTGGAGTGGCTGGTTGTAGATGAGTCTGATAAGCTGTTTGAGGGCGGTAAGACGGGCTTCAGGGAGCAGCTCGCCTCCATCTTTCTTGCCTGTTCTGGTCCAAAGGTGCGCAGGGCTTTTTTCAGCGCCACCTGTACAACCGATGTGGAACAGTGGTGCCGCCTGAACCTGGACAACTTGGTGTCGGTCAACATTGGACACAGGTGACTATCTACAAGTACAGCTCTGTGCTTCTGGAGCTCACATTGTTTTGTTTCACACCAGAGACTGATTTTTTTTCGATGTTGTCAGAAATACGGCAGTTGAGACGGTGGAGCAGGAGCTGCTGTTTGTTGGGACAGAGAATGGCAAACTGGTGGCCATGAGAGACATCATCAAGAAGGTGAGGACACTGACAAGGACATTGAATCAAGCAATGTCCCTGTTAAAAAGCAGTCTACAGCCAGACTCTTACTGTGAACTGTTTTATAATGGGGGAAAAAGAAGTTCAGAAACAAATACAGATCCTGCTTCATCATGTTACTGTGAATAAAAATATCCCCTCCCTGTTGCTTTCAGGGCTTCCTGCCTCCCATGCTGGTGTTTGTTCAGTCCATAGAGCGAGCGAGAGAGCTCTTTCATGAGCTGGTGTACGAAGGCATCAATGTGGACGTGATCCATGCAGACAGAACGCAGCAACAGGTGCATGCTCGCAAATTTTTTCTGTATGATGTGGATGAGGCTTGTGTCACACTGAATCAGCTTCATCTTCCTCCTTAACTTCTGTGATAGAGGGACAATGTGGTGAACAGCTTTCGCTCCGGTAAGATCTGGGTGCTGATCTGCACGGCTCTGCTCGCCAGAGGAATCGACTTCAAAGGGGTGAACCTCGTGTTGAACTATGACTTTCCCACCAGTGCTGTGGAGTACATCCACAGAATAGGTTAGTAGGTGACAAACCAAGAAATTTCTGCTCCAGTTACTTTCAAAAATCAAGAGATATTTACATCCCCATGATGTAAATATCTTTTCATTTTTGAAAATAATCTGTGCTGTCAAGTCTGATGAGTTGCAAATAACAGACATGCACCTCTTTCTATCAAGTCATTTGTGTGTCATTCTGTTTCCAATTCATCAGGGAGGACTGGCAGAGCTGGACACCAGGGGAAGGCCATAACCTTTTTCACAGAAAATGACAAGCCACTGCTGCGGAGGTACGTGAGATACACAATACTTAAGAGAGTCTTGTGAGTATTATTATTGCAAACTCCTAGTTTTTAGTGTGTGACAGTGATTTAGCCTCTACATATAAAGGTCTAAGTGGTGCCATTAGACACAGGCTTATGAGGGCATTAAGCACAGTCATCAGCTGTTAAGATGCATGTACATACCACAACTTTCTTGGTCATGTAAACTAGTGTTGATCAGCATTTACTACTTTATGATGTTTTGAAAGTAGCTGAAAAGAAAGGAAGGTAAATGTTGAGCATAGTGAACAATAGTAATGTAGAACAGATGCGGCAAAGAGGAGTGAGGGTTCTCGGTATTTATTATAGCTTACCTAAAAGAGGAAAAAGTGTCTGAACTTTAGTTGACACCGGAGTAAAATTCATTTGATAAAATATGTTTGATTTAGTGGACTACTGCTCATTCATGCCACATGTATCTTAAAGAAAGATATCTAATTGTTTAGGGTCGTCATGAGATGTTTTACAGTAAAAGTCTGTATTTGATTGTTTCTTTTTGCATCTCTTTGTAACAGCATTGCTAATGTCATAAAACAAGCAGGCTGTCCTGTTCCTGACTACATGGTTGGCTTCAAGAAGATACACAGGTAAGAAAAAAATAAATACATCTAAAGGTCTTACTTTTGCGGTTAGTTCAACTTTTGGTTTACAGTATTTCAATGTTGTTGTTTTTTTAGCAAACAGAAGCGGAGACTTGAGATGAAACCACCAAAGAGGAGCACCATCTGCACAACTCCCCGCTTTTTAATGAAGAAAAAAGGAAAAGCAGCAAATAAAGGAAAGAAAAGTGAGGGGCAGGTAGAGGGTGGAGAGCCGAAAGGAGAAAGCGGATCTGAAACAGCAGTGCAGCAGCCAAAACTGGAAAAGAGGACAAAAGGACAGAAGCTGAAGAAAAGAAATAAAACACAAAAGGAAGCAGGAACAGAGAAAACGAAGAAGTTGGCTCAGAGGAAAGGATCAAAATTGTCAGGAGCCAAGTTAAAAAAGTGAGGATGTGTGTTGATATTGGTCTTACTACATTTACCTTGTGCCATAACAGCTAATATATGTTACAGTCTAATGGTATTTGTATTATGGTTCATTTTCCACTGGATTCAACCTTGTTTTTCTGTATGTGTGTTTAGTGTGCTTTCTGTTGGTTTTTTATGTAGAATATGTTGACAGCTCTGAGTTAAAATGACTATCTTTGCTCTCTATTACTTCAACATTCAACCTTAAGATGACTAAAATCATGTGTAGTACCTTCCTACAGTGATATCCCCACAATAAAAAAACTGCCAACCCTAAAAAACTTGCTGTCCTCAGTACAAAGTTCTTTACAGATTTATTAAAAAAGTTTGGAGTTGAACTGATTCGTGTTTTTCTCTAATCTGTCCTGCAGGAAAAGGGTTGAGAAGTAAACCAGAGAAGGCATCCAGGAAAACAGGATGACGAGTATTTTGAAAATGGATGTGAATTTTTTCATGTTTTATAATTATATCTTGCTGTCTAAGAAATGCAAATTTGTATGATGTGAGATTAAAATAAACAGTTTTATACACAAATGTTGTCTTTTTCACATTTGTTACACCTGCATGCTCTGACATTTAAATGAAACACTGCATACTGATGAAATGGAAAAAAGCTGTAATAAATTATATTTGTTTTATGTGTGAATGTTGATAACTTAGGTCTTACTCATGGCCTGAGTACTTCTCAAATTTAAATAATTATCTACACTCTGCTTATTTAGCTATTCGCTTGGTTTAAAGGTGCAGTCTGCTAAAGATAAACCGCCAACAGTTGCACAGTGGTAAAAGGAGAGCATCTCGGCCACATTAAAGGGAAATGACACATTTTTTTCAAGTCTGGCAACCAGTCTTACTCTTATTTCCCCATACAAAAGTACAGATTTGTGAAAGAGGGGTGGGTTACCTCTTGGTGTGAACACTCATTAAAAAAAACCTTTCCTACTCTTTCTATGACCATCTATTAGAGTACTATTGATCTCGTCTTTATGTGTGTTGCACTAGTTTTGTAACTAAGTAATGTGAAATGTTCCAGAGGTTAGGTGCTGTCTTGATTTTGTCTATTATATTCTATGTTGTTGTGATTTGCCCCCCCCCCCCCCTTCTTTTTTTTTTCTCTTTTTCCTTTCTATTTCTTTGTTTGTTTTGATGTGCCCTTTGAAAATGAATAACTACATTTTCCCAGCCTTCTTCCAAAATGCATTAAAATATGTTGTAATGTCTCACTTTCTGCTGACAGTATTTTAAATTGTATATTTTTATCAATTATATTAGTGATCAACTGTGGATGCCAAGCAGTTTTATACCCAGTTACAGGACTTTCTAAGATTGTTATCCTTTATACCTGTAGGTTTTATTTCCCATTTAAACTCGGGTTAAAGGGGTGTATCAACTCCTCTTGGAAACATTAAGGTCAGACCTTTTTGTTCAAATTAGACACTGTTTGTCCTATAATGGTTAAAGGCCTAGCCTACCCTGAGAACTATGAAGATATAATAAACTATTAACTACTAATAATTCCCTCTCGTGTAATACAACTGGCGCGGATAAGGTTATTTGTGAAGTTATTTTGAAAACTTTTAAGTTATTGAAACTGTTTAATGGCATCTCAAAGAAAGCAAGAGGTCTTTTGTGGAGATTGAGTATAAGAATAACTTTGTTGATCCCCGAAGGGAAATTCAACAACATAAATGAAACTGAACAGGCGTGAAGCTTGAAGCTGCCTACGGCTTCACTATCGCGATGTTTGCTTCAAATTCTCGCCCATGCATTATACTTGAGGAAACCCCGCATGCTCTTCCTTTCTCAACATGGCACCGAAGGTGAAGAAGGAAGGTTTGTCAATCTAATAGTTTTCTACTGAATATTCGTTGTAATTAAGCTCACGTAGACTCCTAATTTCAGGGAACATATCCGACTTATAACGACAAATCAAACATTGTTTCTACACCACGCAGTTCATCCGTTAATATGTCTTTAATAAGCAGCTAACGTAAACGCTGGCCGGCATGTACGCTGTAGCGTGATGCTAAGCTAACAGCAGCATGTTAGCGCTGACAACCCACAGGGTTGTCTATTTACAGACATCACCTCATTATTTCTCTCTAGTTGTTAATTCTGTCCATTGATAAAGTCCCATTTCTTAGGTACAGTTCGGTCCACCCTTAAACGCACCTTCATATTAATGATAGCCTCTCATTAGCATCTCAGCGTCGTTTCACCAGCTACCAGCACGTGAAATAGTGCGTTTAGTTTATGTGGTAATTCAAGCAAATAGTCGTTGCTTCTTTAACATTAAATTTCCACGTGAATTTGTCCATAACAGAATATCACAATCTCTATATATCCACATCGTTCAGCCGAACATTCGGACCATTCAGTTCAGTCGGAAAGAGCAGCTACACTACGAACTCTGCTGTTAGGTAGCGTTTATATGTTCAGGGTCTGTTGGTATTATCATGTAGGTAATCATCTTTTTTTCCTCTGCCTGTCATACTATGTCATTAAATCTTAAAGTGTAGACACTTATAGAAAATGTATGATCTATGTTATAGGTGTTGAGTTGCATTAGGGTGTCGTTATGGCTGATCAATTGGATAAAGCAATGACAGGTTAACTGTCATGTTATGTGTATTTAAACTGAGTTGGTAACGTATGCATTTTGATTTACGTATGAATTGAATTGTTATTTACAACTTTCAGCTAGGGCTGGGCGATAATACGATAACAATATATATCAAAAATTTATTTCCATCGATAGAAAACATGGTCTATACGCTTTTCGATGGTCAGCATTTTGCCATGCTTTGGTAGACTATACAAAAAGCCAATGAACATGAATGAATGACACAAAGACCTCACAGATGCAGTAGCTTATTGTTTTGTAAAAGACATGCTATTAATAAGCACTGTTAAATTAAAGAGTAACAGGGAACATTTAAGATGGACAAGGGATTTTTTTATATCGTGATATATACCGATATCGGCTGATATGAAAAGATATTGTGATAAACTTTTTCCCATATCGCCCAGCCCTACTTTCAGCCTATTTAAGTTTTAAAACTGTGAGTGCAGTCTCTGTAGCTGTACTGTTTGGAGGGTTCATTGTGTGAATCTGGCTGTTATTGACTAGTGTAATTGGCCAGAAGTGCCATGTGAAAGTTCTCTGTAAACTGAAAATACTTATTTTTGCTGTCAGTATAATTTGCAGTAAGGGTTAACACAACAAATGTTTGACACTTTGGTTTTCTTTTTTTGTTTTAAGCTGTCCCTGCCAAGACTGAGGCCAAGTCAAAGGCCCTGAAGGCCAAGAAGGCTGTGCTCAAGGGCGTCCACAGCCAGAGGAAGAAGAAAGTCAGGACTTCTCCCACCTTCCGTCGCCCTAAAACCCTCCGCCTCCGCAGGCAACCTAAGTATCCTCGCAAGAGTGCTCCTCGCAGGAACAAGTGAGTGACTAAACTGCTGAAATATCCAGAGTTTACACGGTGCATATGATGTCTAAGCGATCAAAGTATGATGAAGCATGATTCCAGCTTTATACCACTGATGCACCCTTTTAAAGCAACTGAAGTACATCAAGGAAATATACAAATGTACTCAAAAAGACCATTGTGTGGGGGTGTGTATCATACTTTTATTTGTATTGGTTCTAATAGAGGTTGCTTCTCTGTAGGTTGGACCATTATGCCATCATCAAGTTCCCCTTGACAACAGAGTCTGCAATGAAGAAGATTGAGGACAACAACACACTTGTATTCATTGTGGATGTCAAGGCAAACAAGCACCAGATCAAGCACGCTGTGAAGAAGCTGTACGACATCGACGTGGCCAAAGTCAACACACTAATCAGGTACACATCACAAGTGTGTCTGTTTGATGTGACCCTTCCAGGAACTGAATTTTGTCATGGTGCCCTTTGTGCATTGCTTGTGTTAATGACTCGGGGTAGAGATAATTGGTATTGGAGGGTCTCTATAAAATTATCTTTTTTTTAATTGGATTCAAAAGTGAATGATCAATGATTTACTTTTCCAGACCTCAGCAGTTAAAACGAATTAGTCTGGCCTGAATTGGTGGTTACACAGTCCTTTAGTTTCCTATGTTACATGTCAGTCTTGACTGCAACCACCTTAAGTTCACTATATTTATGGTGTGTGTTTGCTTATGTTTAGGCCCGATGGTGAGAAGAAGGCGTACGTTCGTCTTGCACCAGATTACGATGCGTTGGATGTTGCAAACAAGGTGAGTCCACACAGTCTGGTTCTATAAAAAGGTGTATTAGCATTTGACAGCTACCTCATTTCAATGACCGCTGTTTCACTCTTAAAAGTCATTTCTGTGCAAAGGATGAAAATTTAAACTATGCCTGAATGTCTGTGATTGCATTCAAAGGAACCACTGATGCCAGATCTTGTGCGTTCAGTACATGCTGTTCAGCTGCTGGACATTATTTAATTTCTTGTCCTTTTTTCTTTGCAGATTGGCATCATCTAAAAGGTGGCGTAAAAGACTTGTGGAAAAATAAATATTTGTATAAATCAAAAGTAACTGTGTTTTTGTTTCTGTCCACACATCAAACATATAATATATGTAAGTGGCTTGGCTCACAATTTTGGAAAATGCTTTAATATTTTCATGGCTATTTGTCTTTAATATTTTAAACATTTGATCCTCTATTGGTCTTTCAAACCTTGGAGTTAAATTCTACTCACAAACTAAAACTCAAACTGGGGCAACTATTAAGAACTCTTTGAAACTTTGTCAGAGTTTCTTTTAACACATTTAATGACTCAAGTCTGTAATGTTGACAAACTGCTTATAGAGTGATTGAATTTCACTCAGAAAAGCAGCACATTCTCTGCTGGAAAAATATAGGGTCTGTAGTTTGGACATGGGCAGCTGGTAACTTTCTTTTAGTAGTAAAATTATTTTATCTCAAACGTTCAGGTGATCTTGCCAGTTCTGCACCTGTATAAAGTAATTCAAGTTTTTCTTTTTTAGTGTAGGTTTAAAAATCACATCTCATTTTTATACCTCAAATTAACATGATTTAAGTTTCTGAATTAAAAAAAAATCAAAAAGATGCCCAGTTGAAGTGAAATTTCAGACTAATATCCCCCCTGCTATATTTTAATTTAACTTGATGCCAACAGAGTATAGGGGTGTGTCATTTAGAGCCAACCCATTTACAGAAGTTCTAGTAGTGTGCATGAGTGGAAAGAGTCAAGCTTCCAGCTCAATATTCACATCGATTCAACTGATTTAAAAAAAGAAAAAGGATGTTACCCAAAACACTTAATTCCAGTTTTTCAAACAGACTTTAATGAATCATTCTTACATCATATCCTGTACCAGAAACAGAATCCAAGTATGTATGCAGAGTTAGTGCAATGTCACCAATGTACTCATGTTGAATACTTTCCATTATGTGTGATTTCTATGTACCATATGAGTTACTGATCACAAGATAACCCATTTATACTTAGATACTGAATAATGTAGCTCTGACAGTAAAAGCTAGATTATGAAATTAAGTGTCAAACTAGAAGCTGTTCACCATTGTAATGACATTCTTTGTGATACATTATCTCTATAAGAGAGGACTATGTCTATGAGCTTGATTAATTTACCTTGAACTATCATGTGAATTTTGTGTCTGTTAAGAAACAAAAACAAAAGCACAACAACCTTTCTGTGACCAGTGGGTAGTTTTTCACATTGCGTACATTCATTGTGAAACACTAGACTGATGTGAGTGCGGCTCTCAGCGTCTTGTCTTCAGGAGAGGAAGGTCCTGACTGTGCCTTTAACCAGGCCTCTGCAGATGGGGCACTTTCTCAGTGATGGCGCACATTCTTTACACACCACCAGGTGTCCACATGGGATGAAGACGATGTTGACTTCTTTGTCCATACATACCTTGCAGGTACGCTCCTCCTGCAGGCGCCGCAGCTGCTCCTCCATGGGAAGATCTGTGAGGACAAAACAGTTTTATAGTCCCTGAAGTCAAACAGGCACGGGTGTTTTAATGCCAGTGAAGCACACGCGTGTACATACCTGAAAGATCTTGACTTGGTGATGCAGCTTCGTTTGATTGGGCTGAAATCGAGATTAACATTCAGTGAGCTCATTCTTTGATTAAATATAAACTACACTAAAGAATGCATATCATCATAAAAGTAACAAAGCCTGAAACCACTCATTTACAGTTTGATCTCAATGAATTAATTAAAAGAAATACCCATGAGATCTCTGAGGAGGTGGACATCATTTTTCTGGATCCAGTTGCGGAAGACCTCAGCTGCAGCGTTCCCCTTGGTGAGGACAAGCTCTATCAGTCTGGCGGTCTGCTGCTGGGCTGACGTCTGAGCTTTCAGGCCGCTGTATTCCTCTGGAGCTGCATGTAAACTAAGAGTTACTCAAGATGTCTTGACTCAAGATTCTGCAGATCCAAAAATTAACTGCAGAATATTTTTTTGAGATAACATTCTTACACATTGTGAACGAAAATAAACTACACTGATGAACCAAACATTACATCAGCAGCTTGTTGAAATCAGCATGTATATACCATAAACAATGGAGTCATATTTCTCTTATGACCAGTGTTTCAGCCAGCAACCACTTTTAGAGTTTCTCTTCCACAGTCAGACAAGAAGTAGCTCAATCCTGTAACTTACATAACACATTTTGCTCTCGTAGATGCTCCAACACTGGCTCAACGCTCTTCAGACGCTGGATCAACGCTGCTTGGTGTCTCTTCACAAATGTGAAGCCATCTATAACAAGAAAGCACAGAGTAAAAACTCAAACCTCCTACAATTTATGTTCAATATGGTGCGTGTTTCTATCTTTTTATGGTCTCATGTACCTGATGCCATGGCCTCTGCCAGCATCTCCCGCTCCTCTTCTCTCTTTTGGTCTTCTGCGCTTAACAGATCTGATACCAGCTCCTGAACCGTTCTGTAGTTCTCTCCACTGGTCAGGATCTTGCTCTGGACAGTTTGCTTGACTAGGCTCCGCTCAAAGCCCATCTCTAACGCCGATTTAATAACAGGGGTGTTCATCATTACGGCATCCTCAGACCGCTCCTCTCCTGGAGCGAGGTGGACCACTGAAAGGAAGATAGGGAGATGACAATTTTATCTATTTTTTTTAATGACACGTATAGAATAAATAGTCTTTACGTTTTTGAAGGCCAATATTCTGATTTTTACATATTTAAAACTCACCAGGCGGATCCACAAATTCTCTGGAGCTGCTGTCTCCATTTGTTAAAAGCTTTTGGGGATAAAACGAGAATCTTAGGTGATTTATTTAGAGACAAATGTGTGAACAGAAAGAGTGTAAGACTTTTACCGCAGTTACCTGCTCAAATAGGCGAGGGAAGCGAGCCTGGATCTGGTGAACAAACTCTTGTCCCTTTTCCTGGAGTAAATACTCACATCTACAGTTCACCATAGGTACAAATAAATAAAATATTAACATCTTTTACATGTTAGTTGGAAAAATCATTTTTGCAGTGTTGCACTCAGGTACAAAGCACTTGACTAACTAATTCTGTAAGCATGGGCAAAGGTTTAGAAAAAATGCATTTACCGTGGAAACCATTTAGCATGTTCAACCCAAGGATCATCACCGGACTCCCAGCAGCGCAGGCCTCCATCACAGCAGAAACACTTGACATCATCGTTACGACCTTATAGCCAAACAAAGAAGTTTCTTTTTAACAATGGGTTTGAGTGGAGGAAATGAATGCGGCTGATTTAACCAATGAAGTGTTTGAGACACTATGTAGTTTTTCAAATCTCATTTCCTCTTTTGTTCAAAACCTCAAGCAGAAGGTAGATCACGCTTCAATGCTTTGTCTAGCTCTGACATGTGATAATGAGACGTCATCTTTAAGACAGAACACCCTACGATTTGGGTCAGAACTTTCCAAGTTAAATAAAAACAGAAAGACTTATTCTGATAATACCAGCCTGCAGCTGGAAACCCCAAACTACAGGGGGAATAACTCTTCAACGTCGCCAGCAAGGGAAAACAGAACTTAATGCCAACTTCTCATCCATGTGTTAGGAGTAAATGTTTTGTAAGGATGAAATGACAGTAAAAAAAATCACCAAAATTTAGAGGATTAATTGTCTTTAAAAAAACAGTCTTCCCTTAAGAAGTATCTGTTATGAAGAGAAAACGCTAAACTCAATGTTTTAGGGTGTTGGCTTTGACTTTTGATAAAACAGACTTTGATAATCATTAACACTGATTGATTGATTTTTTGTTCATGACCACCTGATAATTTCTGTCCACTTCTCTGACTTAATCCGAGAATACCTGATTGTCATATTAATTTTGTCCGTACCGACATAGTAGAAGCCAGCTTTAGACAGCTGGTCAGGCCGCACAGGGATACGAGACGGCCAGTTGACAAAAGTAAGGAGACGCTCTTCACTCTGCTGCATGGCAGGGTTGGAGACGTTGCTGAGTGTAGGAACTCCTGCGGACAGCTGAGAAGTCCCTGCACCTGATGCGGCTCCTGCGACTCCAGCCAGCGACACGTTGTCGGCTTTGTCCCCGCGCACAAACCTACAGTTTGGATAATGCCTCTGGTGTTCAGACACGGCTCTGTCTCCTGGCTCCCAGTTACTCAACTGTGAATGCAGACAAAGACGAAAAACACAGTCACATGCACTTCTCAGTCTATATAACAAAAGAAATCAGTCACTACTTTTAAAAATCCCAGTCACAAGTACACACTACTCTATTATCAAGCTGTTTATATGTCCTCTGTGACGGCACACACCTGCCCTCCGCAGCTGAAGCAGGCCACTCTGTCACCCTGGCCCAGGTAGTAGAAGCCAGCCTTTGCTAGCTCAGCTGGTGTTATGATGGAAAGTGTCCAGGGGTGGAAAGAGTCCAGGCGGTCCTGCTCTCTACGCATGCTAGGGTTGTGGCACGTTGGCCTCTGGTGGGACATGTCCTCTACACCGCGAGAGCTGAGTGGGCTAGAAGGTGGTGGAGCAGAGAAGCCCATATTGAGGTAGCCCACAGGCTCCTCACCTTGTCCTGCTGCAGGGTTAGGGGCAGCTGGGCCAGGAGCAGAAATCTTAAGGAAAAGAAAGTTAAGTGTTCAAAGTTTACCAAAAAATTAGAATTTTGGAGCTTCTTGTTGAGCTTGCCAAGATATAGGGGCAACAGAGTTTTATGAGTTGAAGAGACCTCTTTGATCTTACCGGTATGGCGGGGGCAATGCGAAGTGGAGAGAAGGCGGAGTGGGAGGAAGAAAGCAGGTTGGCTGTAGATGGGAGGCTCTGAATGAACGAGCAGGATGGAGACAACTGTCTGTGTTTCTCTGTTGGACAGTCTCCGGCCTGCCAGCCCTCTGCTGTCACGTTACACCTGAAACACTGAACACGGTCACCGACACCTGTGTAGAACCATCCTGCCCTGGCCAGACTTCGCTCTGTGACCCCTGAGGCCGGAAATCGAGCGAAGGTCGAGATGCGAAAGAGCTCTAGAGACAAAAAAAAAATAAAAATAAAAATAAAAAATCAACACATTTCCTTGGAATTACAACATCACAGAGTTCAATGTGAAAATGGATGCATGTCATTTTAAAAATAAGAGAGAAATAACAATTCAATTGGTACCTGAGGAGTTGTCATATTGCAGGTCAGGCGGGGGCCCATTGCGACACAGCCCCATTAAAAACTGGTTATTTTTCAGCTGCACAAGAGTTTCCATTTTGTATTTAAGAAGAGTAGTTTAAAGGAAAAAGAGATGTCCTTCAAAGGGAGAGGGGTTTGAGACAACCTGAGGTCTGGCCTTTTCACAGACACACTCACTCATACTAAGACAAAGAGAAGCAAATCAATGAGGGGACAGAGGAGGCGGGGAAAGTAAGAGATCTGACAAAAAATGAGGCTCAGTTCAAAGAAAAACTTAGAGTTCAGATGAAACAAAACTGCCTGTCAATTAACCACCATGATCACACCACGATGGGGGGGAACTAAAGGTGTGTATTGATTTGTAATCCACTTTTCTATAAATGGATTTATAGAAGCAAAAGTCAAAGAGTTCCGAAAATAAACAAAACTTCAAACTTATCAACCAGCATGATCACACCATATTAGAAGCAAACTGCAGGTGTGTACTAATTTATGATCCACCTCCATAAACCTCACCCACTCTCTATGAAAGGTGGCCAATCTTTCCTCACAAAGTACAGCCGCAGACTAGAGATTCATCGTGTCCTTCCAGTGCATACATTATCAATACAACACCTCATGTGCAGTAAAAAAATGATAAACAATGTAGTGGTTAATGGACAGCACCCTTAAATATCTGCTAAATAATGTAGCCATATCTCAGATCACCCAGGGTCTGCACACAACTGATGATGTTGTATCTTAAGCAAAGACATGTCTAAAACATCTAATGATTCAAACTCAAACATAAGGTTCATGACAATGTGTGCAAACATAATGGATTAAACAAATGTCTCAAGCCACACACAAGCACAGACACAGACCAGGGTCTGCATTCTCAAACCCCTCCCCCCGTTGTGGACATCCCTTCTGTAGGTGTTTAAGCCTCCATAATTTAATCCCTAAAAACCTAATAAAATGTTTTTGTCAATCTCTTCAGGTAAGACTCTTCTTCAGTTTAACTGCAGCAGAATCTGTGGACAGAAAGAGAGAAAAAAAACTCATTATTGTGGATTCAACTTCTCTCAAGTATAGGTTGTTAAAAAGCGTGAAAAATACAATCTGTTTCTGTTGTATATGAGTCTCAATAACTGTTCATTTAAAAAGCTGGGAACTACGATTATTGTGATGTACAATATTTAGGGGTAGGGCTGGGCGCTATGGGAAAAAGTTTATCACAATATACTTTTTCATATTAGTCGATATCGATATTTATACAAAAAATTCACTTGTCAATCTTGACCCCTATAAAGGCGACTATATGGGGGTTAGCGGGTTGAGCTCACTACATAGTCAGCTATATAGTGAAACCCCATATGAGGGGAAGGGATTGAGTGACTCATTTCGGACACAGCCCATGTTTCGTATTGATATCGAGGGAAATAAATTTTCAATATATATCATTATGGTTTTATCGCCCAGCCCCTGTGGCAAATAATCACAGTATAATGTCGACTCTCATCATCTAACTGAACCTTAAGACCGCAAGTCCAAAAGCAACATTATGCACTTTGTCTCAGTCAAGTAGCGCTTTAATGCCTGACACCACAAATTATGGTCAGAAAATGTAAATTTTTGTGGAGCTGAAATGTTAATTCACTTACTACTGAAAATCAAAACAATCAAAATGCTCTTAAAATTTAAAAATATATTTATTCATCTCGTTTGATACATTAGATGTTTTTGGAAACTGATAAACGACAGGAGGACATTTTATCATTTATCAGACTGTTTTTAGGTGTTTTTTTTAGTAATTTGTTGATCATATTGATTTGATAGCGTTATATGAAATTGTGTATCAAACATGATACAAAAGGCATTAAAGGGTTAAGTGTTGAAACCATGTGTTTGCGCATGTTTGTGTCTCAGACTTTGAGTTAAAATGTACAGAAACAGAAACAGACCAGAAAACTGATTCAGATCACACTTTTACTCGATATGAATGTAATTTACCGGTCTGAGGACTGCTACAGCTGACAAAGGGGAAATTAATTTTTTGTTAAAAGCCTGTGGAATTTCCCTTTAGTAATATACCATGTCAATTTAAAACATTAAAAAATAATAACGCTGATTTTCCTTCAAACGTACAGTTGTTCTCCAGGCACTTCCGGATTAGCTCTTGCTCTCAGAACTACATGTAGCTCCAGCTTACGCAGCTGTGTCATTTCATGTTAAGAGGAGTTTTATTCTCTTTTAAAGGTTTTCAGCTGTAATTTGATAGTTATATCATAAAGGGTGTTGTATTTCTCGACATATGCTCTCCAGCAGGGAGACCAGTGTGACTGTAAACACTAGCATGCTAGCGCTGGCTAATGCTAACGCTTTCCCTCTCTCCTCCTCGCAGTCACCTCGGAGACAAATCAGTGGACACCTGTATTTATTTAAGTGTCCACATGCGAGGCAACACATCGAAAAGCCGGGTATCCTGTCTTTACCCGAGGTTACATGAAGACACTCACCGTCAGTAGGTATGGAAAGTCCCCGTTGTGTCCAGAAAACAGACGTCACGGACTCCACCGCCTCTGGCTGCTTCCGGTTGAGACAGAAACGAAAACGAAGCGGAGAAATGAAAAAGTGATTATCAGATCAGAAATTCCTCTCATGACATCAATATCTTTCTCCTGAGTCCCTAAGCCCCGGTAGATTCCGGAAACAACGCCGTGGTCATACTTTCCTTTAGTTTTGATCCATTATACGGTACATATTACCATATATGGAGTGTATTATTAAACCAACCATGACACGCGCCATATAAACTGTCGTTATATTTAAAACACATTCAATAATTTACTAAAAGTTATATTTTAACACAAAACTAGGATTTTAAAGTACAACAAAAGAATACTCCTTTAACAAAATTAAAATAGTGCCTTAAAATAGTCTTAGACCTGTGAATCTCATATATGTATGTATGTATGTATGTATGTATGTATGTATGTATGTATGTATGTATGTATGTATATATATTTAAAAAAACATCTTTCATAAGCGTAATTTATTTATATTACAAAGTTTATTTAAATGTATAATTTAGTTGGCTATTTTTTCATTTTACATAGTTTTCCTTCTAAATAAAAACAAATAAAACCTCCAGAACACAAAAATTCGCTTTAAATTTGTGTGATTTTAAAATCTCGAGATTGTTTTAATATCTACACGAGCTCACACGATTGAACATCAGACAAATAAGATTATTAGCTACATATTATTGTTTTACCAGAGCAATTATTCAATGACAGTAGTTAATATTACAATTCAAGCTTACACTTTCGTTCCTGCTCTTAACTTGTTTCTTTAACTGCAGCAAACACAGCTCTTTTTGTACAATACTTTACATTATTAAACATAAAATAAAGGCGTAATGTTAATAATATGATCAGACACTTACTCAGAGGGCTTGTTGAAGATCATTCAGAAGGTTAGAACAATGTGAGTCAGCGGAGTTTTAATTTCAGTGACCAAGATGAGACTTCGGTATTTCCCTAAAAGTTCTTCCCCTTTGCCACTCCCCCTCTACGTCGGCCAATAATCTTCTTGTGCAATTCCCTCACCTTTTGCCTCGCAAAGGCTATATGAGTGAATGATGACTGATCTGACATTGTGATATTTAAAGTATTAAATAGAAACGACAATGGCATCTTTGGGGAAATTACTTCTGGGAAATTATTAGAAAGAAATTCATTTGTAAAGAGAAACATTCAGATGTTCATGAAATGACGCTGTACTCAAGAACAGGTCTTAAGGGAACAACTAAAAAGCCTTTAAGCGTAGGGGAGAGTGGGGTAAGTTGAGCCAAAGGGTAAGTTGAGCCACCCCCTGTTGGTAAAAGAAATTGATCATGTGACCAAATATTTAGAAGTGGGCATCAGTTCATGGAGTCTGTGAAGGTTAGAAGCACATGGGTGAAGGGGTTAGACATTTATTACCAAAAAATTAATTAATTTTGTTTTATACATCTATTTTGGTATCTATGAGCCTCAACATAAGATCAACATAAAAGTCCACCATTTTAGCTTAGAGGACTAATACAGTCATAATAGTAGTTCTGGGGTAAGTTGAACCAGTAGCTAAATTGAGAAAGAAAAGAGGTCTGATGAGAGGATCAGAGTTTCAGTTCAGATTGTTGAAATGTGTTACTTTTTCTTTTCAAAAATACAGCTGTGAATGTTCTGAACCCCTTAAGACATACTCATGTTAAAATTACTTTTTACGAAACAGCTTTTCAGCAGTTATTTAATAATAAAAATAATTATTGTACCGGTTGAATAGTGTATAATAGATAAAAATACACATGAATGTGAAGAAGTGACTGTTATTTAGGGAGAGAGAAGGTGAAGGAGGGCTGTGGTGGAGAGTGAGGGGTTGAAGAGATACGGCTCAACTTACCCCGCTCCTATGGTCAATTACCACAAACACGGGGTAAGTTGACCATAGGAGACCATTTTTTTTGCATGCTATATTATCAAGACAGTTATGTTTACACTTATTCTGTTGGTTTGCAGGGATGCACAACATTTTAAAATATTTGCAGATACACTAGTTAGAGACAAAACTATGATCGCCTTGATGTAGTGATCCGAAATATGAAAAAAGGCTCATCTTACCCCACTCTCCCCTACCTTAAACTAGTTATGTGGTTATTTTAATACAAAACATGTACCACATCCAGGACTCCAAGAAAATATTACAAACCCTAAAGTATGGTGATAATATTTTAGTCCATTTGTTTTAAAGTGATTACTTTTCAATAGAATATAAAAGAAAACAGTCTTTCATATTAAATACATTTATATAACCTACGATTAGCTGTATTAGTTAACTGAAAGCAGTAGAAACCAGTAAAACCACTAAGTCATCAAGGTGTTTACATTAAGGGCAACCCACTGTATTGACATCAATACAAACTACTACTTGCCTTGTGGTGCATTTGAAAGTTTATTAATCACAAACTCCTTTTAAAATTATTACAGTGAGAGTGAGAAGAAACATATTTATTAAAGCACATGCATAAAAAGGTACAAAACAAGCCTGATTGCCTCCAAACTCTCTGTAAATAGGATAATTAGCATTATTATATGTAACATACATTGCAGGTCTCAAGCATGCTAAGATAAATAATAGGCTAGGTAGTGTGTTGTATTATTTGTATGAACGATATGACGCAACAGGCCCATGGTACTTTCATTTAAAGAAGTTCACTTGACAATTTATTCATGATGTTGCAAGTCTTCATGAATATATATGTTTATATAAAAAGAAAGCTGGTTAAAAAATGATCACCCACCGATGATCAACAGCTTCAAATTCATACAACTTTAAAACACACACTGCAGAAACAACCCAGCAGAAAAAAAATACAGGTTATATACTCATTATATGGTTTAACTATTAGAGAAGAACTGAAGGGCTCCCCTGATGAATGATTGCTTTTGTGTTACATCACCACTTAAAACTCGCAGATAGGGCAAAATACATCGAAACACCGCATCCGCAGTTAGTTTGTTGCATTTCTAAGGAGACTCAAGTTAGGTCTAGTACATTAAATGGTCACTTTCAAAAGCACGTTTTCCTCTGTCCCATTAAAAACCAACTGGTCAAGAGTGGAAAACTGAAGCCAAGGACAGGGGAAATTTAAACTCTGTGGAGTGGTAGTGAATTAAAACACTTCATTGGCACATATTTTCATGTTTTGGCATGTTTTTAAAAAAAAGTGATCTCATAGACTTTTCATAACCGCTGGACATTTTGCTGTTCTAATTTAGAAGTTTTCAATGACTTATTATGTTTGCTGACCACCACATCAAATCCAGTCATGTACATACATCTATACGAAATATTGGTACTTGATACAATCTATAATCAGTTTCAGTTATTTATAATGTCACACCATAGAAAGATATGGATCAAGTGACTTTTGAATTTGGTGTAAAATACTCTGGACTGAAAAAGGATTTAAAGCCTTTTATCCATCAACAGTTAAATTAAGGATTTTATTGTTGGTGACAGTAAAATGTTTGTAAAATTCACGCTCCTTTTATTTTGATTACTCCTATAATTTTGATATCAGTAAGGAGAGATATTTTTTAAATTATGTTTTAAGAAAAATATGAGGACAGTGTGATCTATTAAGCAGATTTGTTTTGTTTTATAGGTCACTGACCAATAACTTAAACATGTTTTATGAGTCTTCTGACTGATTTTAGAACATCAACAGAGAGCAACAGAGGCTTTTTAGGAAAAGAAAGCTTGTGTGAAAATCTGAATTTGTAAAACTGTCCTCAAAATACAGTCAGTGAAAGTATGAAGTGCAGACCATTTGTTGTGACAGGACTAAAACTCAGGAACTCAGCTGTGTGTCTCTTGTGCAGGTAACTGAATAAAAGAGAAAATAAACATCAGGAATGTCTATAAGCTAATGGTAAAGCTAGGAAAAGGAATAAAACCATTTCATCCCAAAGTCTCTGGCTGATTAATTGAATACTTCTGATTAGTGTTTGAGAAGCCACTTTAGAGCCGAGTACATCTCCACTGCACACACAAAGGGGGAAAAAACAAGCTTTGACAAGTGGACGATGATGTTTAAGTTGAAGAACAACACCAACCAATACTACCAATCCTCAAGTAACACTACTCCTGTGAAGCTCAGAATCAATGCTGGAGTGGATCAAAAGACAGGAACTTTCACAATAAAATACATTCAAACACAACAATGTGAACTAAGTTAAAAAAAAAAAACTGAACTTATGAAATAATGTTATTTTAGTTTGAACACAGAGATGGGCCAATATTCTGAAAAAATAATACACTCCTGAAATCAAACTAACCACAGAGAAACAGATGATGCTATTTTGTACATCCCTGTGTATACGTAGTGAAGCTTGTGTGTCAGACCACATGCGTGAGGGTTTTAGTTTCCTGGAGGAAATCCTGAATTGTGTTGGACTGCATCACTCTGGACATGTCCTCATTTCCTGTAGACATTCTTTGGGAACTCCAGTGCTCATTTCTGTAAAGAGAGACACTGAACCCACACCACACTGTGGTTTTAGTGCCATTAGTTTAAGCTACAGAGGGACACGCCTGTGGTCTTTATTTCTCTGAACCTGAAGGGTTGAGATGTTTTAGGGTTCAGGTTGTCACGGTTACTTAAGATACAGCTTTTCTTCTTCCGCTCCATTCTTCAAAAAGCACACATTTGTAAATCCTGGTTGTTAGCATGTGTGTTTTAATACTGTTTTTGGCTTATGAACATTTTAAAATATAGCGTCCCAATGTTTGAGAGTAAATACATCTCCTTTTAGTGTTCTTCATCTTCCTCTGAGTGCATCCTTTGCCCCTGCTGGTCTGTAGCAGCAGTAGTGTCAGCTCTGAGACATAACATGATGCAGTGTAGTGTATATCCAGGTAAACTATTTCATTCATCTTTTAGTGTCACAGAAACCTCCGAAGCACATACTTTGGACAACCATCTATCTTGAGTTCAAGCCAAAAGTCACAGGCTTTTTAAATGTCAAAGCACTACATGTTGGCCTTCCGCCCCACAGGCTGTGTATTTTCTGTCATTCATTAGTATCTTGTGGGTAAGGATTGTGTCTATTCTTGGCATAACTGCACACTTTCTTGACTTAACACAACTTTTTAAAGTGTAACCCCAGTGAGAAAATAATACAAATTTGCACTTTAAAATGACACGTAAAGCATTTTACCAAAAAGATGTTGAGCAGTCTGAGGTGCATGACTAAAAGGAGTAATGTAAAATCGGATGGTCCGTCATGCATCACTGTAAAATAAGGCCAAAGAAGAGGAGAATACCAGGAGCTTACCACCCTCCATGTGAGCCAGGTTTTGTCTTTCCTCCTGCTGCGAATAGCGTTGTTAGATCTCCATCACACAACAGTATTCTATTGGTAGTGTTGTTCTGTACCACGTAGGAAGCCAATACTCCTTCAGATTTCTCAGTCTCGTTATGCAGATTTGTCTGGGTGCTGTCTATAGCCAGGTGAGCAGGCTGTCTCTGTCCATGTGTGACCCAGAGAGAACAGTTTCCATGTCCATCAGAAGGTCTGAACTGAGACCCTCGGGGATGCAGGGCATCAGCTCTTCGCCCTCGGTCATCGGGAGCACAGGCATCGACTCCTGTAAGGTCATGGAGGTTTCACCGGAGTCACCTGGAGAAGTTAAAGAAGAAAAGGAAAATAGTTAGAAAGTGGAAATCACAGGGTAACTGAGAGTAGATTTTGGCCACCAATAGCACAAAGACATGCACATCATATGTCCAAACTATACTGATTTATTGTCCAGCTAATAGATGGCAGATTTGAAATTTCACCTTTCACAACAAGGCTTTTTTGTGTGTACTGGATTGGAATCTTTGACAGAAGATGCCTGAATTATTTAAGTTCTGCTTACAACCATAATAGCCAGGTCAAGGAAATATGAATACACTGTGTAAAGATCTATTCTTTCTAGGTAATTCAGAGGTAGAAATCTTCTTATCACAGAGAGTTTAAATAGATGATCCCTTATAGATAGTGAGGTGCAGTTAGTAGGAACCTCCAGCAGAGGGTAAAAATTCCACTCATACTGTGTGTAACTGTAAGCACTTGTGTTTGAGATTTAGACCTTTTATGCATTGAGGTCTACTTGCTAAACAAGGCAGCAGTTTTGCAGAACTGAATGCATGGCTCATTTCAATAAGTGCAAACAGCATATTTGGACAAATGCTACAACTTTTGCAGCACAGTTCAGAGTTGTATTTCACCCTTTTGCAAGCATTTTGTGATATCTCTCTGTCTCATTTGCACAGATTAAGCAGCAAAACCCTTATATGAATCAGCCTGTGAATGTACAAAAACATTGTAAGCTAAAGAAGTGCACCAATAAGAGATGAATTCATAATAATAACTGAGACCTCACTTGGATCCTACTTGTAAACTTTTTGCCATCCAAGGTAGCTGCCGCTTAAGGCTGTGATCTATAGTGCATGACTTTGTATAAATAATTAACTTTTCTGCAGCTCCTTCTTCTGTTATTGCTAGCATTATCACTGACTCACATTCATAAAGCGTTTCCATATATTTCAAGCAGATTTAAAGACAATAGCTGGGAGTGCAAAGACTGTGTTCACCATCAATAAGAGGATCATACAACGGTTCTTGGTTCTATAATAAACAATGTAGATACATATCAGATATACCAATATAATGTTAATAAGATGCATTTAGGCCAGGCTAAGTCAACTATGTGTTTTAAGCTCTATGCTCACAAAATAAACAGCATCCTATTTACCTCAAAGTAGATTTTGATCAATAAAGGTCGCGTCTGTGCACAGTGTTCATCATTTTTATTGTGGTAAAACTGAAGTTATTTTACATAGACTACCTTGACTTTGGTGTGTGTGTTTTTGTGTTAGTGTGTGTGCGGTATTACCGGTGTCCATATGATCCACAGAGCTCAACATGTGGTCAGACGTCCGGGGTAAGCTGCTGACGCTCAGTCCACTGTCGGTGCTCTCGTTGCGAGAGTGAGCGCTGAACAAGAACAAATATGAAAAAAAAAAACATTCCTTCATATATGATTACAATCTACTATGGACAAATATCAGCTGAACTTACAATGAACCTTTATGGGTGTTACATATGCAGCATTTCCTCCTGAAGCCATTTTTGAACTACACAGAAATGCATTTCATGAAAACTGATGGCAGTGAAAAGGAGTTATTGTTCAGGGAAGCTTTGAGATTTTGCCTGGAGAGACTCACTGTTGCTGAGTTGTAAAATGTCACTTCTCAACACTTTAAGCTGCACAAAAGGGACTGAATAATTTCAACTGAGTAGTAGTGGCAGCACAATGCATGACTGTACATTTTTAACCTCTTTTTGAGTAGATTTTTGCGCAAAAACTCAAGAAATGAAGCTCTTTCCATATGATTTATGGATATCTTTAGCTGATTTTACTTAAATAATAGTTTAAATAATGATAGTTACTCACCCATTCAGAGTGGGTTCATGGTTCGAGGATCTGATCCTCACATCCAGAGATGGGACAAGCGTCTGTGTGTTCCTGTCATGGTCCATCCCACCATGCATCTGGTTCCTTCCTCCTGCATCCTGTAACACAAACATTTATATTTCTGTCAAATCCAATCTCAATACTTCACATGTTACAACAAAACAACACTAGAAACACCTTTATTATAAGTTCACCAAGGTTCACTTTAGTCAGTGTCTGACCTGTGGTGGTATTTGTGGAGGGAGGCCTTGTTGTTTGATTCTGAGTCTTTCCTTTTCCTGCCTTTGCTGCAGTGCCAGTCCGAGGAGACCAGGGTTCATCTTCTGAACTGAAACATAAAATTCATAGGAGGAGAACTTTTTGACAGGACAGTCAGTAAGTCCACTGGAGTCAAGCATTTCTGCCATGACACATACAAGGAACATGTAGTCAGAACTTTGCGATCTTTCTAAATTCTTTTGCCAAAAAGCAACTTTTGATGGTGGACATTGGAACAAAATATTTTCTTATTGACGAACAAGAATTGTCAACTCAGGAGACACAAATTTGATGGTTTGCTACCTAGACACGGGTCGACCCATGAGGTGGTCTTATTTATGTGATCGATGTAGTACACCTCTCCTTCTGCAGTCACAGCCTGCTCCCAGCCTTCAGGCAGTGGACCTGAACAGCAGTGAAAGTACACAGTGAGAAGGCAAATGGTGGATGGAGTGCATGGAGAGTTAAAAGTAGACCTGGCCCACGTCCTTAAATGTCTGTGTAGTTTCTAGTTTGTAGAGTTATAGAAGTAGAAGTGAAAGTTAGTGGGTAAATAGCTAGGGTATAGTAAAGTCTGCAGGATGAAATATTATGAACCTTTGCATATATCTCTGGAATTCAGTGGGTGATCATAAAACACTTCAGCTAGTTAGTTTAAAGTATGCAAGTAATATGCACTGCTTTTGATAAAAAGAAGTATGTTCTTTAGGGATCTGTTACAACATAAAAAAAAATCAACATTTATTTCTCTTGACAAAATTTTCTTGGGGTCTGTTTGTATATAACCCAGAGTTACACCAAAAGCATCATCATAAATTCACACTGAAGCCACTTTCCCTTTTCTCTCAAATGAATTAATAATGTTGTTTTGCTGCGTTGCAAGCTGTGCATTGTTTACATGCGCAAAACATGATAGTATGATTTCACTTTTATAATCAAAACAGCTGAAAAGGCAGGGATTGGTGAAAAAAGAGGGGAGGATAATAGGTTATGTTTTAGGTCTAGCAACATATTTTAGTTCATGTAAGGAACAGTTGGACAAAAGCTAACGTTAGCCTTTTACAATTCCCTGGCTAATAGTGTTAAGACTCTATAACATGAAAAGCAAAACGCCCAGCTGCTTTTACTGAAAGGATAACAGTGCAAGAACTCATTTGCTAACACATTAGCTACCTTTAGGAATCAGCTAATGCATCCACTAGCCTCCTAGCTAGCATTACTACTAGGCTAAAATGTACACAGCTCTGTTTAATAAAACTAAACTAAACTAAACTAACTAAACTAACCAAACTATGAAGGAAAGTCTTTCCCTAGCAAACAGTAGCATTAGCTTTGTTTCAAGCGTCTTGTAATCTTTGATTTTGATCGCCTTTTTTTTGCATTTTAACTGTGTACCATGGAAGTCAGATCAGAGGAAATAGTCAACTAGTGAATTTGATCAATCACCGTAATTTCACACCTCAGACAACTACTAAGGGTTGACATAGACATTACCAATGAGTCAATGGAGGTGAAGGTTGGCCAATCAATGAGTTGAGTCTCTTATGATACATTTGACATAAATTGAAGGTTCACAGTTTTTGGTGATTCTGTCTCTAAAATGATAAATACACATCACTTTCATGTATACATGCTTCTACTGTAAGCCCAAAACTTCAAACCTGCCCCTTAAGAGGCTGAAAAAGTCCAACAGGAGACCTCATCTGTAGTATCATCTCACATGCCTGCATCCTCATTTTATTTTTGCATCTACCCACCACTAAAAAACAAACAAATACTAGAATCAAGTAAGTGTTTTTAATGGGTGGACTAACAGTTCTTAAATTAAAAACAATACAAGTCAGGAAACTTCTTACATTTTCAAAATTTTGTATCTTAAATGTTTGAATTTCTTCTAACAGGATTTTTAACAATTCATTTCTCTCAATCTTCAGGTTTTTCCATCATAAGCCAATCTAAAGTCTAATTTATTACAGTTAATTCCTCGCAGCACAAGAGTTGGTGGGGTGATGGACACTGACATAAAGAGGGAATCCCAAAGAAGACACGCACCCAGCAAGAGACCTCGTCTTAGTTGTCAAATTAGTTCAAGCATGAAAAGCAGGTCCTGTCTTGAAGAGATAAACTGGATGTTCAGAGGGGGGCAGAGTGATACCTGTGTCTTGATTGATGTTTTGTGGTTGTGTAGTAGGTGCTGGGTTGCTGAGGGAGTGGGCGTGGATCGGAGTGCCGGCGATTGGAAGCTGAGCCGCGGCAGACTGGAGCTGCGCGAGTCGGGGGTCATGCCAAGTTGTTGTCTTTTCCAGGTGACTGCAAACACACAAGTCCAAACATATCTGTGTCTGTTTAACCAATACAACCTGATAGATAAGAGGCGCAGGGCACGTTTCGCTCTAGACCTGCTGTACCTGTACAACCTGATGTGCGTGTGCGTCTACACGCTCACTCAGACGAACTACGGTAGCCTTTGACAGGTGAGTGAGCTGTCAGGCCATGTGTTTTTATGATTTAAACCGACTGACTGCAAAACTAGTTAAAACAAATTCTGTTTTATTGCAGCTGACAAGTCTGAGTCCTGGTAATCTCTGCAGCACTGCATGTCTCTCTCCTCTATTTTCCTCTAGTATAGATGATATTATCTGATTAGAAGGGTCATTTCAGAAAAAGATGAGTACTTTAAGACTGAACTCTCCAAGTAACCTGCAGAGTGATAAAGGTTCAGCCTTACTTGAGGAAGTAACGTTGGCCAGTAGGCGTTTTGGCCATTTCCCAACCGTGGGGGAGTGGCACATCATCAGGTATGATTGGTGTTGCTGCTACATCAGCTGCTTGAGTGGAGAGGGAGTTCACCGGGAGGGAGGCAGGGGAGGAATGGGCGCGGACATGATGGGGAGTGAGGGAGCCGCACACACCTCCATCTGAACTGGCCTGACGAGAAACAAACAGGGCTCTGATGACTGACACAATCAACAATAAGGAACATGAATCAGGAGAGAAAGAAAAGATTTAGATGGAAAGCAAAATAGAAACATGAGCTTAAAGACAGGTTTATAATTCACAACAAAGTAGATTGATGCTGTCGGCAAGATTGAAAGCCCCTCCAGTAGATCAAAAGTGAAAAAAGGGTGCTCTAGATTTAATTGAAGAGTTACATCTATCTCTTTTCTACATCTAAAAAGAAACTCTGTGTTAACTCTGTGCTAACAGAGTCGGTAAAAGGCCGTCTTGTAACTGTTGTTCCTTTTTGTTATTCTTAAGATTTTCCCACAACCTCCCATCATGAGTAATCTTGCAGTTTAGACGGTTTAAAATGTATCATGATTAGAAAAACAGTGAGGTGTGTCACTTTTTGGCATTTGGATAGTTGCTGCCTGAGTAACAGATGCTCAGTTAATCAAGAACTGCTCGATGACGAAACAATGTACCAGACAAACATAGATGTATCAGAAAAGGCGCACGAATCAAAAGCCCTGAACAGAACACTGCACGTTTCTTTTTTAAACCAGTTCAGAAAAGATATCAGGGAAGTGGTGATGTTTGCTGGAGGCTTTGTGGGACCAAGGAAGCCAATCAATTTCATATTTTCTGGGACTGCCAGATTATTAAAAAATACTGGGAGGAGATTTATGAACATATTGAGAATTTTTTTGGTACAAGCGTCGTATTCAATTTTGAATCAATGTACTTATGTGATATACAATATGAGAGTTTGAATTTCAGTGACAGGAAACTTCTGAGTATTTTACTGGCAGCTTGTAAAAAATCTATCACAAGAAAATGGTTTAAGGCAGACCCACCGACCATTGAGGACTGAATGGATGTTACACATGAGATTTATATTATGAAAAAATTTTCATTTTCCCTCAAATTACGAAGAGAAAAATTTTATCAAGTGTGGTCTAAATGGACGGAGTATGTGAAGCCTGTAAGATCAGATTTTGTCTAAATTTGTGATGAACCCTTTTTTTTCTCTTTGAAAACTAAGATACCTTTAACCTTTAATGATGTCTGTGTGGGCTCCCTGTTAGGTTCAGTTTTTGTTTTTGTGATATGTGTTATAACGATGAGAGAAAAAATTGAGAGGCACCATGGGTTAAGACATTGAGACTTTCTTCAGTTAAACATCCAGGATCAATGTGGAAGGAATCATCGAAATGTGATGTGAATACTTGTAATGAATTTTGCAACATTTTAACAGTCACAAGAGATGTTTTGTGCATGTAAGGAATCTAAGTTCCTTTTAAATAAAAAGTGAATCTAAAATTAAAAAAAAAGAATTAGCATAATCATAATCAGAGATCAGGCAAAAGCCTAACAAGTGGACACTTAAACTTACGCTGGAGACAAAGATTATTAACAGTCAATTATTTCTGGTATTGGTAATCCTCTTGATTATTTTACAAAACGTTACTAAGTAATGTGCATTAGAGTTTCTCCAAAATGAAAGTGATATCTACTTTATACTCAGAACTCAGAAGGGGTTTTATTGCCATAGTCGATGAACGGCTATGTACAATGCTATGTACATTGTACAGCAATGAAGCAATGTAGCAATATATTATATATATTGTTCGTATAACTGTTAGAGACTACCTTGAGCTAGTATTATCCTACAGGGCTGATTTTTTTGAGTAAACTCTCGATTTACATGCCTTTATAAAAGTATGACAGTATTTAATTTAGCTTCAGATGGAGGGATCTTACCCATCCTCAACAAAGTTAATGAAGTGCCAACTTTTGTGAGTAGTTTTGTTCTGTCAATCTGCTTTACCTGACAACTTCTTTTCTCGTATTACAGACTGAATAATGTTTAAACAAGTCTAACAAGTGCCTTCCTGATAGCAGTCACAGACGAAAAAAACAAAATCACAAATGAGGAATTATTCATGTTTTCGATCAAAAGACTGTAATACAGCTGGAATATTTGAGCTTTTAGTTAAATTCAAAATGTTTTATGACATTACCTTATGTTTTAGGGGGACAACCCCTTTCTTCGTACATTTCTCTTACACTTGTGTGGTAAACAAATACTTTTTCCAACTATAGAAATAATCTGCAGTTTCATTAAAAGTGGATACTGTCATTATTTTCATTATTTTGGATCAGTGTTTGTAGTTTCTAGTTTCCAACAGGTAGAGATGGACAAAAATCTAGAGAAAGTTAACTTCTATTTTAAAAAATAGTATTGTTAGCCTCTTCATATTTTATGGTCTCTTAATGTGAAGCCTATGTGAGGGCAGCTGTACAATAAGTAGTTTGTATCAGGACACATGAGGGTCAGAGGAAGTACTTGTCTGGAGTGTCCCCGGGAGTCCGGCTGCCTGAAGAAGGAGTCCGGCAGCTTCCTCATTCTCATGGGCAGAGAGGCCGGCTGTCTGGCCGACTTGCTGGGGTTCATCACGGCGCTGAACAGGGCCTCCAGCTCTGTCTGCGAGTCCCCGCGGACGTGCACGATCTGCTGCCCGGCCGGAGGCGCGCCGCCGCGGTGCGCGTCCATGTCGCCAAAGTTTAGTGTCGCAACAAATCTGAAGAAAAAAAGTTCAATCACACAAACAAACAAACAAACGGGGAAAAGACACACACGGGGAGAAAGAATAAACGCGAGGCCTGTTCAGACTTGATGCGTCTGGAGTTATGATCGGATTTGTTTACACTTCTCAACCCCACTCCCCACCCCCCCACCCCATTTGAACTTTTGTGTCCTTGTGCGTCTGTTTTGAGTTGTTACCGCTCGGAAGTTAATTTGCTGTAAACAGAAACGCAACGTCCACGTAAAGAAGTCGAAAGAGTGTGGTTTTAAGCCCGAGACGAAGACTAAAATCAATGTGAGAAGTGCACAACACGTTACATGCCTCCCACATACCTTCAAGCAGCCAGACTGTCCCCCCCTCCTCTCCCTCTCTTCAACTCTGTAGTCCTGCAGAGGGGAAAATACAACTGGAAAATGATCAGCCGAGAGAGAAAATCACTCTGGTGGACGCTGATTTCCGATGCAAAAAAGCCTCTGGTGGTGAAATTAAAAACACATAAATGAATCTGGCTTAGAGAGAAGAGAGTTGAGCGAGACCTCCAAACTTTTTTCACATCCAGTGTTGAGTCCAGATTCATGTGATAGTGCTGAGGGGCGGGGTTGCAGGGTTTAAAGCTGCCGCAGTTGCAGGGGAAAAATCTCAGAAAGACACTATCAACACAAGACTTATGAAACAAGTTGTTGTAGGATATATAATTCAAAATCACAGAATATCTCTAGAATTAAAAATGATCATCTTAAAGATCATTAATAAGTATTTAACACTCTCTAAAAGTGTGTCTGCTCTTTCCAGTTTGAGTCTGTCTTGTAAGCAGTGACAGATCTAAGGGGAGAAGTGGATCTGGACGCATTTTTCTCACTCTGGGCCTGGTGGTCTGGGTTTTGGTGGTGTTGGAGGTGGGGCTGGTGGGGAGGGGGAGATTGGGAAGTTGCACTGAGAAAACATCCGCCCCTGATGAGGCCACAGTCAGCCTGTTTGTCCATGCAGGGAAACCAGCCGCAGTGTGCTGCCCTCTAGTGGAAAACATGCGCCCGGAGCACCCAGGCTCAGCTGGCGAACAGATTGAATTCAACAAAAATGTGTGGCAGGACTTTTTATTTTTTTATTTTTATAATGATTACTGCATTCAATACGCTATTAATCGGCCAGTTCAATCAGCCAGGGCTATCCAAGGCTGTTGTGGACTTGAAATAAATTCGTTTTACTCTATGAAAAAAGATATTTACTCAAAAATGACTCAGTATTCATCAAGCTCAATAGCTAAATAATAAATCCACAAATTAGTTCAACTTTGCAACCAGAAGACTCTAGCTGCCCAAGGGTCAGAGGCTATAAATGAATGAATAATGATAAATAATCAATATGCCACAGGCAGAGCCGGCCAAAGCCTCAATAGGGCCCTAAGCAAAATTTGATTTTGGGGCCCTCTATTTCTGCCAATAATATTGATCGTTGATCATTCACACACCTTCACAAATCTCTTTGGTTAATATTCCATGACATGCAAACATACCTCTTGGTATTTTTTCTCTTCTTCCTCTTTCTTTTCTCTGCTCCCGAAGGATATGTCCTTTTTTGCGACATTATTTTGCCCCACAACTACCTGCGCTCTGGATGTTCAGTGCACATTGCACAGCAAAAGGCACATAACGGTAGCAGAGCTTTGACATATCGGCAGTAAGAATCATAGGCCTACATCAGCAGCAGCACTAAATTGTTTTTACGTTAATTTTATTTTTACAATAAAATATACTTAAACATACACAGAGCATCACTCACTCATGCAAAAAAAAAAAAAAGATTATTATTACTATTTTTTTTATTGCCCTTGGGGGGCCCCCTATTGGCCTCTGGGCCCTAAGCAGGCGCTCAGTTCGCTTATGCCTTGGGCCGGCTCTGGGTACAGGCACCACTTTGCACCACCAAGCAAGTATCTGTTGTAAGATCTCAACAGGGACTACTGACTACTTTATTATTTAACTCTAAAGGATGTTATATCAACCTTAAAAGGTCTACTCCAGGAGTTACTCCTCAATGTGCTGTAACATGAATGCAGAACTTAATGTGGAAATGGCAAACTTTCCAAAGATACCAGCTATATTGGGTTGAATTTAGAAAAGCTGCACATGCACAAAAAATACAAAATCTATACAGTGTTTCTATTGAAATGAACCACAGAAAACATGCAGCTTTGGCTTCAAATATTTCACCCAGTGTACATTCTTATAAAATTCAATAAAGGGTTGAGACAACATGATATTTTAACATTTAACATTATTCATTCAATTACCTCAAGTCTTTTGGACCCAATCTTGTGACCTTTAATCTAGTGGTCTCTCAACATTTTACGATCATATGTACTTCACTGTGCTACTGTTTTTGACTGGTTTGAACATTTGACTCAAAATTAAAAGACTGGCTGTTTTTAACAAAATTGATCCTATTGATTCTGTCATTTGTCACTTGTTATGGTTTTCTTGCCACTGGATAATAAGTCGACTGCAAGAAATAAAAAAAAATCCTTTTCTTAACTTGTAAAAAGCTGAAGCTCATTTGGGAACATACAACTTCTAAGTATAGAATCTGTGTTGCAGTAGTAGTGATATCTGACTGGGATTGTGCTTCAAAAGGTTCACTCTGAAAGTGAATTGCATGTGTGCTTGTGTGACTGTTCTGTGTTTACATCCTTCGATTGTACAGTTCCTTTTGCCTCCTCCGCTGCCTCTGATGTTTCAATGAATACATTTACCATACTGCGACTGTTTAAGTCCCGAGACTACTTCCTGTCTGTACCCTGTCTGGAAAAGTTGCATAAGTTAGGGGTGAAGAAAAGGACAATAGACAGTTCCAGCGGCTGTAAGGAAATCATCAGTCTGAGAGGTGCGATAATGAAATATACAAATGTCCTGTGACTTTAAAGTTTTTATTATAATCAATCGATCCTGTTCATGAATACTCTTAAAATATCAGTTTGGTTTTTTTACAGAACAAACACACATTTGTCTGTAAATAATGGCCCTGTCAAAGTTTGAATCAGTGGTGTATATCTTGATTCTATTTTAGGAGCAAAACTATGGTTCTGAGACTGAAATAATCCTGTCTGGAAAAAATGTGGGCACTGGTTTGGCACACCAGCAAAAGCTGGTCCCTCATTTTACTAGTAGCTATGATCCCCCATTTGCAGAGGTTGCTTGTTTGACCCCTGGCCTTGATGCTTTGCTGCACAGCTCCCCTCTGCTCTCTACTCCCTACATTTCCTGTTACCTCCCCAAAAAAGCAGTTAGAGAAATCCCTCTTCTTGAAGAAATCAGCCAAAAATATTTTGACTGAAGCTTCATGTGCCATGTATATTGTTAGATATAATGAACATGGTAGGGTTGAAGAGGCTAAAACTAATCTTACTTTGGGTCTTTTTACAAAATAAAATAAAAGGTATGATCTAGGCCTACCTTGATATTTGCTGCAGAGAGGTGCTATTTACATAAAGACTGATAAATGGATAAAACATGGACTCATACTGATCGTATGAACACTTCAGATGCTCAGAGACAACAAGCCAAGATCATCATAAACATGGTTGTGAGGCACGCAGTGGATGGCAATGCAGTACCCTCACAGCTGGGATATTGTTTCTCCTTTAACAGCAGCAGGATTTTTTCCATTGGATTTTTTCACCCACATTGTTTCAATTCTGTTTTTAAACACTTCCAAATCAGGGCCATCCATAATATGCGGAACGAGTGATAAATAAGATGTGTTTGTTCACATAACAAGAAAGTTTTTTGCAATGAGCAATTGGTCTCATTTAATCTGATTCACAACAAATCATTTCATTATCAAGTGTACCGTAAATCTACTTATTTACTGAGTTAATTTATGTATTTTCTGGGGTCAGTTGCACTTCTTTTTGCTTTGGCCTCCCCTTTTTCAGATGAAAAACAATCCTCCTTTATTGAAATTTCTGCTTATGTTTAAACCAAAATGATTGAAAGAAAAATAATATGATGGATTGCAAGGTCAGACCAAATAAAACGTGTTAGTCAGTTTTAAAGGGTGGTGAGTGAATTTTGTTACCTCCAAACAGAGCCAGACTTGCTTTTTTTCCCTTCTACAACCAGCCTCCTACCTGGCTAATAAACATTTAGCTGGAGTCAGCAGTTGGTTAGCTTAGCTTGGCACAGCCTAAGAAAAGAAGTCTATGTCAATGCACTTCATTCAGCTGGTCTAAGAGGATGACTCAACATGTTATTTTTACCTTTAAAGAGGGCTAAGTGTACATTTGTGAGTGTTAGATGTGTCAGTAGGCAGACTCCCAACAGACTGAAGTTAGCTATTTTCTTCTGCTGTCTGAAGGCTAAGCTAGGCTAACTGTCAGCTGTCTCAGGCTTTGCCTCACAGGCATGAAATTGATAATACTCTGAACTTATCAACAAGTTTGTCAAATATTTTATTTATCCATCAAACAGCGCTTTTTTACCATCACATGGACACATGCAGAACATAAAATGAACAGTTAGCACCAAGTCTCATGTCCAGTCACTCACATGCACAGACTCCCCTATAAGAGAAGGCTCTGTAACATGGGACAGATGTGGGGGCCCCAAGGCAGCGGCACCAGGCTTTTCACATTCCTGTGACTGACTGACCACTGCTGTAAACTCACACAGATTCAGAACAACAGCAAAGCTTTCCTTTGGCTTTCACTACAAAGTTTTCTTTCTTTTTTTTTTTTTTTCCCAGGGAAGCAACGGATCAGCCGGCCCCAGCTGGACCTTCAACTGGAATGTACCGCTGCCCTTTATCGCTTTTCACCTCCCTCACTGCTTCACTGCCCAGTTAACTGGAGTAATTGGTCTGACCCTGTGGGAGGTTGGTTTTAGATGTATGAGTCACTTGTCAGTAAGAGAGGGAAAAGAGGGTTTAACATCGGGGTGAGAGCACCCACCTTTGAGCTGCAGCTCTCACGCAAAAAACACAAGCAGAGAGAAAGTGTTCCTCTATTAAACACAACCTGCCCACTTCCCTTTGCACATCTGCTTCTCATGCTGGTGGCAGAATAAAACCTGTAAAAAAACAGTGGGCGGTATTAGAAAAACTAAGGGTAATGTAATCACCCTTTACCACAAATCTTGAATCAGCACATGCAGCTCCGAGCCCGAAATAAACCAAACATTTATCACCTTATCATTTACAAATTTGGCCTCCTCTTAGAAGAGATGTTGTCAGGGGAATTTTACGAGAAAAAGTGGGAGTGACCGGTGGAGGTGGAGAAAGGGAGGCTCCAAGAAACTGAGGAGGGAGTTTGACATCTGAGAGACAGCAGCAGATGCAGACCAGACCTAAAGGAGAAGAGAAGTAGGATGGACGAGTGAAGGAAAAGAGCACACTCTGTGGAAAATTAAAGAGTGGCTGCTGGTGACGGAGTGGAGTTCAGGAAATAATCACAGTCAGACGTCACTGACATGATGTGGAAAACAACTGTCCTCCTGCTTCTGTTTCATCTGCTCTCCTCCACAGTATGTATGATATATTGCATTCAAAAGTGTTTTAACCTTTTTTCCAGCCATCTGTCCTATCTCTTAAATATGTGACACACAAAATAATAATTGTCCAAATGAGAGTATAAAAAATTTGATTTTAGAAGAATCCAGGTAGGTTTTAGGAAATTTGAGGAAAATAGAAGAAACTGAAATAGCTGCAAAAGACTTTGCTCTGCAAAATGCTGATGCAATCAAAGATGAGAGGGTTCAACATTCTGCATCAGCTTTAATGTTTCATTTTCTATTATTATCTTGATGTGTACAAACAGGCTTGATAAAATACTTGGGTCCTTTTTGAAATATTCTTTAAAATGAAAAATGCACTTAAACTCATTATGACTCAAAGCAGTTAGGCATCTAATGTGCCTAAGCTGAGAGTAAGAATCACGCCAAAACTAAACTTCACAGGGAAATTAATACTTGGACATTGAGCAGTGTGATAGGAACTTCAGAGGCCATGTTTGATGTTTTTCTTAAGTATCTTGTTTTAATAGTTTGACCCAAGTCCCATCTGTTAAGATGGAGAAGGGTGAGATGTATCACCTATACTGAAGCCAGTCAGCAGGAAGAAAAGCTCCAACTGTTTTGCCTCACCTCCGTGGACCTCTCTCACTGCATTTCTCTGTCAATTGCCAGGGTACAGAGAACAGCAAGCATTTAAATCAATCAGAAATCAATGAAGAGCTCTCTGACGCTCCTGTCAAAAGCCAGAAACCACCAGGAGGGGCCAAAGGTTGGGACTCATGCACCATCCCATGTGACATCACTGTCAAGCTGCTGCGAGATGAGAAACATTCAATCTGTGGTAAAATAAATAAATAAATAATAATAATAATAATAATAAAAGTCCTATTATTTTTTATGGTGCAAAGTGTGTGTGTGTGTATGTGTATGTGTGTGTTTGTATTTCTATCTATGTGAGGACCATGTCATCATGACATACCAGTGTTTTGAGGACATTTTGGCTCGTCTTCAAAACGTACAGTTAGGTGACTGTTTAAGTAATTACCTGGTTTTAAAGTTAAGGTATGGCAACAGGCAAGGCTAAAAAGGGGCTAAGTTGACGACTCCACTAGTGTTAAAAACAAGTCTGTGTGTGTGTGTGTATGTAGGCCAGTTACAGCAGTCTCTGTTGGCATTTGGACGTAGCACCAGGAAGCTGATGAGGGATGTGATGGAGGAGCAGCAGAAAGCTCTGGACATCCTCAGCACCCAGGTAAAGTGGAGACTTCTCCTCCTCTCCCAGCAACACAGTTTCCAACCCGCTGGCTATATGTGAAGCAATGTCATTTTTTCCAGGTAACAGAGCTGATGACCAAAGTGCAGGCGCTAAGCTTTGAAGTTCAGAGAAGCAATACAGAGATGTACTCCGTCAAACCTGTGCAATCCCATGGTAACTCACACTTAATTCTGCTACCAGATAAACATTGTTCTGTATCAAACAACTGTAGACATACTGATCCACTGAGGTAGAGGTCAAGTTAAAATCAAGTCAGATATATGATTGTTTTTCTTGATGACTTCTGAGTAATAATCTTCTTCAACCAGTGAAGTTGCCTCCTGCAGGCCATGGAGAAAAGTGCAGCTTTAAGGCACCTGTACTTATCAGATCTGGGAACAATAACTTCCCATCTTAGTCTGTTTTTCAGCAAAAGTCAAATGAAATTTGTAGTAAGGGTAATATTGAATACAGTGCATTTGAGGCTTGTCTAGCACAATGACAAAAGAATACTTGAGAAAAAAAGAGACAGAAAATTGTTTTCCCTTTTTTCCTAGGATGGGTCAGGATTCACGTGTATATTGTGCCATATATTGTTGATGAAAACCAAAATATGTTTGCTTTGACCAGGAAGAGACTGCAGTGATATCAAGGAAAGTCTCATGACAGTTGTCCCAAAGATCCCCAGTGGCATCTATATCGTCCACCCAGAAAACACAGACTCCTCATTTGAGGTATAAAATCAATCCTCTGATTCCTGTCAGTCACTCAATAATCAGTCAGTAATTTAAAAAAGTGTGCTGCAGGTCTTCTGTGAGATGGATTACATGGGAGGTGGATGGACGGTGATACAGCGCAGGACCGATGGACTGACTGACTTTAAACGACCCTGGGCTGATTACGCAAATGGCTTTGGAAACCTTGCAGGTTGTTCAAATGTAAAACAGTGTCAGTAGCAACGACAATGTTAGTATTTAGTTTTAAACCTGGATTTTAAGATGATATTTAAAAGAGCACATTATCAGACAGAGAGTTCCCTGAGCTGCTGAGGCTCCATCACCTCTTTTGATCAGTCAAGATAAATCTAGGTTTATTTACTGATTTGTAACAATAATTGAAACGTAATGACATAGTCAATTAAAGGTATCTTATTCAAAGGGCTCTCATACCATTCATCATGGTAACAGCGGTATCTCTCCTCTTTTGAGTTTAGGAGAACACTGGTTAGGCCTGAAGAAAGTGTTTCATTTAGTAAACCAGAAAGATACTCGGTTCCAGCTCCACATCGCCCTGGTCTCCAGTGATGACGTCACCTCTTATGCAGCGTATGATGACTTTTATTTGGACAATGAAACCCAGTTCTTCTGTATACACCTGGGCAGATATGCAGGCAGTGCAGGTAAGACACAGAAGTTTACCCCATTTTCTTTAGACACAGTGCTGGGGACAAATTACTCTACGTCTTTGTGTGTCTCTGTCCAGGTGACGCCTTTCGAGGCTACGAGCAGGAGCAGAACCAGGACACAGCTCCATTCAGTGCCTCAGATGTGGACAACGACGGCTGCAATCCTTTTTGCTCCATCGAGAATCGTACAGTCGAGAGCTGCAGCACGCAGCAAAACCACACTGGGTGGTGGTTTAACCAGTGCGGCCTGGCAAACCTCAACGGCTCTCCTGAAGATGCAGAGCTGAACCGGGACCAAAGGATGCACATCCTATGGGACACCTGGAGACAGAACGGGATCCCTCACACGATTAAAGCTGTCACCATGAAAATTAGGAGGATTGCGACAAATAACTGAGAGTAGGCGGTGAAAGAGGACAAGAGAATAAAGAAAAAGCACAGTTTGTATAAGTCGCGGTGCATCTTTGTACAACTTGGAGTTTTAATCAAACTTGACATAAAGTTGGGAGAAAGTTGGGAAAAAAGATACCTGTCATTATAATTCAGTCTATCAGAGAAACATATCAACAGCAAAATACCATCAAAAACATCACAATCTAGTCAGTCACAAATCCCCCCTTTGTGGTGTGAAATTAAAAGCATGTCTATCAAATGTTTTGCAGTAGTAGTTCTTCACTTTGGTTTATTATCATTGTGTAATTTGCTTTTTTTAATGCTTCAGATAAAAAGCTTAAGATTGAGACATCTACAAATTGTAAGATACTGTGGCCTGTTGTTTCCAGTCTTTCTCTTGTTGGAGATACAGTGAATATGAACTGGCAGAAAGATCAGGACAGGTGGTGACTGTGTCTCTGAGTTGAATGAAGTACCAACACAGTCCACTAGACGGTGCTATAAGTTTCATTAAACTTTAACATGCTATCGACAGTAACCTTCTCCACTGTAAGTGTGAAAGTGTGTGTTACTCTTCTAAAGCACTTCTATGCTTATTATGACATATTAATTTAATCTTAATTGGAATAACTCTGTCTATATATTCTATGATGAAGATTTTCTTTCTAATGTGTCCCCGAACTTTCACTTTCTTGATGAAACTTTTTGGGTTTGTGCTGCTATGACAAGAAGAGAAACTCAGGGTCTCCACAGTGGTGACAACTGTCAGGTTGTAAGTGTAACTAGTAACCTTACTAGGTATTGATCGCTATAATAAATACGGTACAAGTAGAAACATATGCATAACACAAGCACAGTGATGAATTTATTACAGGACTTTTATGACTTCCACATTAGCATGTCAGCACATGATTTTGATCATGTGATGATTTTGAACCAGTTTATACGCAACAAAAGGAGTTTGTTATGCTCAAGGGTCAACTGGGCTTCTGTACCTAGTTCACACCAAAGACTGCAAAAACAAAAATTAACATTACTCTATTATGTAACTTACTGGTTTAGCTCAGCATCAAGGCTGTAGCCATGCTGTTTTTTTATGAGCCAGAGGTGGTCATGTTAAGGCAAATGGATGGGGCAGCAAACTAATTACAGATGGGCTAGTTTTAATTTGAGGCCCAATGAGGACCGGACTGAAAACAGTACCTGTAATGTAGTGGTACAGGATTAGGCTAAAGGTGGGCCACTTTTATGCCTGCAGCATGTCGTGGTCATTGCTCTTAAATTTGAATATATATATATATATGTATGTATATATCGATTTTTGAGCAAAAAAAAAATGATTTAAAAATTGTAAAACAAAAAATTGTGATGCTTATGTGAATGAATTTTTTCTCCCACCCCTAGAGGATAGAATATAGTCCAGCATCATTGAAACCTGTACCCTTGGGAAATACTTTAAATGGCTAATCCGTTGTAGAGATAGCATTTTTTTAACCTGTGTGTATATGATTTGCTTAGAAGTTGGGCTGCATGTGATGATTTAATGGCCCATTAGACCCAGACTGTCTCAAACCAAGGTCATTTTACCTCAGAGGTACCAATCAACCATACCAACCATCTCAAGACGGACAAGAGAAACATGCCTTTATGGTTGTCAATAAAGACCAAAAAGTATCATGGCATACCGCCGTGAGGACCAGCACTCTGGTCTAGCAACTGTTACATGCTTCTGGCTTAATAGTGGCACACTGTTGGCCACGGCACATGTTGCTAGAGCACTGACCTATGCTGCCAATCTGTTGGCACATGGTGTGGCATGCCATGGCTACTATAAGATGGAGTCCAAAGAGCCAGACTGTAATACAACAACCAGGACAGAGGCAGAAGCACATACACATATATAAGGTTTGGTTTTATAAGGTTTAAGTCGACTTGTGCAATCCTGAAGGCATAAAAATCTGCACATCCATTGAGTTGTATTATTTATTATCATTTTGCCAATTATTTCCAATGTGGGAATAAGACTTGGCTGAATATGAGGTCATAGTTTAAGCAGATTAGAAGGTACATCAGAAGGGGGTCAATGGCTGACATTAAAGCACATTACACTTATGAGCTTGGGGGAAAAAAAAAAAGGGTGAAGTGTTATTACTCAAAAACAAAATCTATAATTAGCTCAGTTATTTACATCTTTTAAGTATGAATGAGGTCTGGCCAAACCTCTGCTTGCGTATGAGAAGAATTTACCAACCATTTCCCTTTCTCATATCTGTTTATAACTGTTTATTTCTGCACAGTAGCATGGACAGATTAGTGTGTGTGTCATTGTTTAAATATTTGTGTGTGCTTGTGCATGCCTGTGTTTAACTGATGCTGATTTTGCTGATTGGCATTAGGACCTCTTGCTCTTTGTGTGGTCTTGTACGTGTATCTCGACTCGGTCAGTGGATCCAAACAGACAAACAGACACACACAAATAGAACAGAACCATCCAGGTGCTGGAGTGTGTATGTTGTGCTGACAGTGTTTACATCCACGATCTTGGCTCTGTTCTGCTCTGAAGAGGAAGTCTCTACAGAAAAACCAACACTAGTGACATTTGTCAGAGTTTACCCTCTTTCACCCTGTCATCCTCCTCGTAAACTGTAACGCTCTTACGTCATATACTGTCTAAAGTGGCTAATCTTCAGCAATCAAGACCTTAAAAGGCAATTTTCAGTGCAACAAACATACACGAAGAGGCCCTACTTTATCAGATTTTAAAGGCTGACATGCCTGTTTCATGCATCTATAAATGTAACATAAACGCAGCTTGAAAAAAAAGAGGAAAAGGTTATAAATTCAGTGAAGATGGACAGCTCACATGAATAAGGATAAAATTAATGTGTGTCTTAAAAATTTCATGCTGAATGCCATGATTCACCTTTGACCGGCTGTTGAGGAAAACTTGCTTTAATGCTCACAGACGCGTACGATTACTCGTATGGTTTGTGTATTTTTACGTCCAAAATTGTGTGATTGCGTGTGTGTCTGGTGGGAAATTGTTTTCCCACACTTAAAGAGTTTAGTAAAGAGAAGAAGCACACAGGAAACAAAGTCTTCTGGGAATTGAAACCCTGAGGAATCTCATCTGCTGTTCATCAGCCATCAGTAACTCCTGCATGCATGCACACACACACACTGACAAAACTCTCAACATGTTCTCTAAACAGTGCCGTTTAAAATAGCTTTTTTACAGCCAGATCATAAAAAATGGTTGGCAAAGAAGAGTGTTTTAAGAATATTCCTCTTTTGTTTATTTTCTTTCTAATCAGCCTATATTTTTAAGACTGAGGCTGAGCTTCTTTTGAGGAATTATTCTGTAGATTTAACCAGAAAAACTTGATTAAAAATGTCCGTACATCTCCAGTATCATCAAATGTGTTCAGCTATAACACTGAGCTGCCTTTCATGTCTGAAGAGTTCAATAAGTAGTGTAGATATGTGAAGTGGGACCCAGAAGGACACATTCTTTCTCAAGGACAAAGAAGGACCGGAGGGGGAGGGAGTCAGAGAGAGGGAGTCAGAGTCATGCCACACTTGATCACTCTTTCACATGAACCGGGAGCAGACCCTCGGCCGCTGATCACCTCCGGGATGAACCACAGACCACCAGGGGTTCATCATAACAGTCGACCTGTGGGTTACACTGATAGCCCCAGAGCTCGGAGCCGTGATAACCTGCTGATGTACGATGACTTCGGAGAGGAAAACTGTTGCTCCGGACGATGTCTCGGGTAAGACTCGAGTGTTTTTGTCTCCTGTGTGGTTTGTGTTCAAATCGAATAGGTCTTTTAGGAAAATGATACAGGTAACAATTTAACTCCATGTTTGTTCATGAAAGTGAAAGTCTTGAAATTCACTTCAGATTTTTTTTAGTTAAACTTAAAGTTGAGTATCCCAGCGTAGAGCTATTACATAATCAAAAATGGCACTATGCTCTTAAAATTTCACGTTTCATTTCACAAAAAAATGTCAGAGAAAATGTAAAAAATATTTATGGTTATTATACTAATATGCTATATGGCAAAAGATGGAGAATAAGACCTCCAAAAGTTACTTTCAAGCTATAATAGCTAGGATTTGAGGGAGGTTCAAATAAGAATTTAACTTGATCGATGTTTTTAACAAGTATAAGTTTAAGTTCCTTTGAATTATTTTACACTACACTCATTTAATTCTGACTCCAACATTTCAACCTACTTTTTCTTGATATATTTTTAGTGTAATTGCATTTTCTATGTAACAATGTGTAAAACCACGATTGCTATTCCAAAACCTTGAGACACAGTATAAAATATTCATAAAAACAGATTTTAAGGGCTTATATATTCTTGACATGCTGAAATTGATTTTTTAAAATTGTTTTCTGAAAAATAAAGGTACACTTTAATTGGATGCCAGCCACAGGCATCACAAAAAAAGTTGTGAGGGAAAGCAAAATGCCAACAAAGTTGTTTAAAGTAAAAAAAATACTTGGAGGAACTAAGTGGGTTAAAGCTGTGGTAAGGGACTTTTATTTTGTGTCCTGTGTGGACAGAGTTGTACCTCTGACCTGTTTGCTAGTTCTTTCCTATATGTACACAGAGTTACTTTTAAAGACAAATCTTGTCTTTCTTACTTGTAGTTGTCAAATGTATAATTTACAATCGCTGCTGTGAAAAATGTTAAACTACTTTTTCTGCAGCATGAAGATGACCCCTCAGTCTGTCGTCCTGCCCCTCATGAACTCTTTTAGAGACAATTTATAAGAATGATGAAAACCAGTCATGCTCCTGGTGGTCTTGTTTGCTTTAGCAGGTCAATAGAAGCTTCACTATAAATTTCAGTCTCAATCATAACCAGCCAAAAACTCTTTACAAGAGCTTTACTTTGCAACATGACTGGGTATAAAACGATATTCCAGAGAAACTGAATCTCTTAAAAGTAAAGATGGGAAGAGGTTTGTCATTTTGTGAGGGACTGTGTGAAGAACTAGTTCAACATTGTTGAACAAGACCAAAAACCTACACAACGGCCATGACCTTCAGGCTCTTGAGTGGCACTAAACTAAAGCAGACATGACTCTGTAGTACAAATCACTGCATGGGCTCAAAATCACTCATATTCTGTGACTACAGCATACTGTTTTATCAAAAATGCAAAAGTACCATCAAATAAAGATGATCCATAAATGCCAGAGACTTCTCTGGGCCTGAGCCTGTTATAGACTGAGTGAAGTGGAAAACTGTACGGTGCTCTGACAAATTGAAAGTTGACAATATTTTTGGAAAGTATTCAAATGAAATGGTGCTGGGTTCAAATTCAGTGAAGGGAGAGATCAAGGTTGAGACAGGGACAATTTAAGGTTAAGACAGTGATGGTTCAAGGCTGAAGCTTGGAAAGAAGTGACAGAAAAGAGAGAAGGAGGAGATATAAAAGAAATAATAGATTCCACTTACATTTGGTCCTTCATCATTTCATTCAATCATCTGAATTTCAGATACCTGGTGAGGAACATGTAACCAGAATGTGCTTTCAAAAAGACTGTGTGTGTGTATTAAATAACCACGTGGACGTTATATACTGTGTGTTTATGTCTCTTGACTCTCTGGCAGCCACAGCAGCTCTGAGAGACAGCTCTTGGCTCCTCTCAGCACTGTTAAACGACGCCAGGCCCTGCGTGGTCCTGCCTACATGTTCTCTGCTCCCTCAGTCAGCCTGTCAGAGGTTGAGCAACGTTTCCTGGAGGCTGCAGAGTACGGCAACATACCAGAGGTGCGGCGCATGCTGCTCCACGTGCCAAACTTGAACGTCAACGCTGTGGACTACATGGGCCAGAACGCATTGCAGCTGGCTGTGGCCAACGAACATCTGGAGGTGACAGAGCTGCTGCTGGGGAGGGCAGATTTGGCCAGAGTGGGTGATGCCCTCCTGTTAGCCATCAGTAAGATTTGTTTACATCATCCTAATAAATGTCAGACAGGCTGTAGAGACTCACCTACCAACAGGAAGTACATTATGGGAGTTAGCAGTGAGCATCAATGAAGTTGAAATGTGTGCAGATACACAACTTCAAAAATAACAATCAAAGTAAATCTCCCATTACTGTGATCATTTTAGTGTTTGGTATAAAATGTCCTGTGAAATTTGAATTGAAACTTCTCCGAGGATCTTTTGTGTTGACTTTGGTGCCCCCCACAGACAAAGCAGCACCACCTCTCAAAAAATTCTCAAGGATTTTACTTTGTATGAGCATTTACAACAAAACACTGTTGTAAACCTAAAACAATAATAAAAGAACTACAAAACAACAGAACCAGGATTTTCACCAAGAACTGATTAAGGATTTCAGAGTAGGATCAAACAACATTAACAACATGGCGTTTGTGTGTGTGTGTGTGTGTGTGTTAATGTTTCGTAGGTAAAGGTTATGTTCGAATCACAGAGACCCTGTTGAGTCATCCTGCATTCAGAGATGCGCATCGTCTGACAACGAGCCCCGCTCAAGCTGAGATGTTGGATGACTTCTATGCTTATGATGAGGATGGAACAAGGTAAAACAGATTAAGGGCTAAGGAAAAAATGCACTCAAACCCTTCTGATTTTCATTTTGTTGTGACGTTTTTGCTTCATTTTGGGAAAGAATAGATTATGTATATTCAGACATCATATATGTCACTAAATTTGCAGATGTGACTATTCTTTCATGTCTATTTGAAGCAGGGAGAAAATTACTTGAGGAAAAAGTTGTGTGTTTTGATTGCGGTCCAAGATCCAAACATTTTACCAAACTTTATCAGACCACCTTGTATTAAATTTGGAAATTGTTATCATTATTTGGTTCCTCTGTAAATTGTTTGCAGTCTCACTCGTGTTTATTCGTACATTCCCACAGGTTCTCTCACGATGTTACTCCATTAATCCTCGCCGCTCACTGCCAGGAGTATGAGATCGTTCACACCCTGCTGAGTAAAGGGGCTCGCATCGATCCTCCTCATGATTACTTCTGTGGCTGTGACTCCTGTAACTATCAGCAGCAGTTTGACTCCTTTAGCCACTCCAGATCTAGGATCAACGCCTACAGAGGACTCGCCAGTCCTGCTTATCTCTCCTTGTCCAATGAGGATCCGGTCCTGGCTGCTCTAGAGCTCAGCAATGAACTAGCCATGCTGGCTGATATTGAGAAAGAATTCAAGGTAAATGTGACCTAAAATACTGGGGTCCAGATGTGTCTTTTTGCTGTAACCCCAAACTCTAAAAACCCTGGTGTTGGGTGAAAAACAACTCAACATGGGTTGTTTTTAACCCATCACCAGGGTTGAAAAGGGACAGACTACTTATTTGGTTATTTTGACCCAAAATGTTGGGTTATTCAAATTAACTCAAACTTTGGATTGACTCAATAACCCTTCTTAAGGGTCAAGTTAACCCAATGTTTGAGTTAATTTGACTCATGATCTTGGGTTACATTGATGTATGCATTTGGGGAGCTTTTCTTTTAAAACTTATTTTCCCATGTACTTTTATCTAACTGATTGTAGGCCATAGCACTAAGGGCCTATTATTAACCCATTCAAAAAACCCTCAAATTGGGTTACAATAGAATCCATATGACCAAAGAAATTGGTATGGATCCGAAAAATAACCCAGATATTTAACTCAATACGTATAACCCAGGAATCTGGTTGAAGAAATAACCCGAGTTTTTACAGTATCACTGACACTTCCTGTCAGTGATACTGTACACATGCCCTCTATACCAGTCTATTGTCAAATACCCAAAGTACAAGTATATTAGCCATGTTGCTTCCAGCCAGCCAGCGGTAAAAGCTGCCAGTAAACGAAGTACATTTTATGAGCTCTGGAAGAGGAAGCAGAGACAGATAGGGTGCTAGATCCTGGCGACACTGTTGATATTGAAGGTAGACACATGTATAACAACTATAATTATCATTAGACTTACAGCGGGGCTTACACTACCGCCACTGCACAATAAATCAATAGGACTATCTGAATTCACTAGACACTGCATACTTTGACACGACTATTAGAGCCAATAAGACTGGGAGGTTTGATTTTGCACCAGTTCCGCTCACACTGCTTCTTTAAGTTAGTGGACTGCAGGCTTATGGACACTTTTCTTCCCTGTGTCTGTAGCATGATTACTGCTGCTTGTCCAGCCAGTGTAAGGACTACGTGGTGGGACTTCTGGATCTGTGTCGCAGCACCGAGGAAGTGGAGGCCATACTGAGCGGGGAAACTGACGCTGAAGACTGCTATGATATACCGGGTCGACCCTCTTTAACGCGACTTAAACTAGCCATCAAGTATGAGGTGAAAAAGGTGAGTAACCCTATTTACTGCATCATTTTTTCATCTCATATCTTGTAATGAAGTTTTCAGTAAAGGCCTTGAGCTTCACCTTCGTCCTCATTTCTCTGTCTGTGCTGCCTTTCAGTTTGTGGCTCATCCAAACTGCCAGCAGCAGCTTCTGAGTATCTGGTACGAGAACCTTCCTGGCCTGAGACAACAAACCACAGCGATCAAGCTGCTGGTGGTGTTAGCCGTGGCTATAGGTCTGCCTGGACTGTCTGTAGCTTACTGGATTGCTCCATGCAGCAGAGTGGGTAACGTTTATCATCACATGACTTCTTACTCCCTACATGACATCTTCTCTCAACTCCCGGTTGCTTCATCCCTCTTCTTCAGGTGGGGAAGGTGATGCGTAGCCCCTTTATGAAGTTTGTGGCCCATGCGTCCTCCTTCACCATCTTTCTGGGTCTTCTGATCCTGAACGCTGCTGACCGTTTCGCAGGCACCACCTTATTAGCAAACATGACCCATCTTGAGCACCCAGAGGGACTCCAACTCAACTCTGACCCTCTGCTGCTTTATCGCATGACCACCACGCCCTTCACCTGGATGGAAATCCTCATCATTTCATGGGTCATGGGTGAGCATGTGGTGTCTACTTTTCTGCTTTAACAATAAAAACACCAGGCCATCTTGTGAGTGGCATCTCCTTACTTGTCCTGTTGTAGGTATGATCTGGGCTGAGGTGAAGGAGATCTGGAGCCAGGGTCCGGGCGAGTACCTGCTCGAACCGTGGAACTTTCTGGACTTCGGGATGCTGGCGATCTTCCTCGCCTCCTTCAGCTGTCGCTTCTCTACCCTGAGACACGCTAACTTGGCCCAGACCCTCGTACATGAGCGCTACAAAACACTGATTAATGTCACACTGCCCCCAGAGTTACACTATTTCACACTGGGTAAGAACAGACACACAACAACAGACGTACACACAGACTCCACACTTTAAAAAGTGTTTAAGAAATATTTACTCCACGTATAAACAAGTGTGGTGAGTTAAGGCGGTACTCTGCAGCTGAGATCAGGCCTGTTGGCTTTGGACAGACTCATAGTAGCCAAACAGCAGGAGTCTGGGTCTGATTATTTTCAGAGAAAACAGACCGTATAAAGGCACTTATAGGATACACAGGACATTTTGACCTGTGCCCTTCAAAATACAGAGGCTGCTTGCAACGTATTAGTCCCAAATGTTACTTTTGGTCTATCTGTGAATCACTTCAGACAAGAATAAGTAAAGTATGCAAACATTTCCCTAAGATTACAGTAACATAATCATGATTTTCAGTTGTCCTGTCTCTATAATCTTCTCGGTAGCTCGTATCAACTGGCTGCCATCGGATCCTCAGCTGGTGTCGGAGGGCCTGTATGCCGTCGCCGTGGTGCTCAGCTTCTCTCGCATCGCTTACATCCTCCCTGCCAATGAGAGCTTTGGTCCTCTGCAGATCTCTTTAGGGAGGACCGTGAAAGACATCTTTAAGTTCATGGTCATCTTCATCCTGGTGTTTCTGGCCTTTATGATCGGCATGTTCAACCTGTACTCTTATTACCTGGGGGCCAAACAGAACGATGCCTTTACAACGTGAGACATTTACTCAACACCTGCATCCACTCTCACATGTAGAATATCTACTTTTTATTTCTGGTTAGAATCTACTATAGAAAATCTATAGAGAATCTCTAGTTTCCATAAAGTGATGGTCAAAAGAAACACTTTGTGCTGTACGAAACATGATCATTTATTAAGGATTTTTAACATCTTTGTGGTGATGATTCATAATTTGTTTGAACTGAAAAAATAACTCTCTCTTTCATTTCCTTCCCTGTTTCCTTCCAGCCTAGAGGAGAGCTTCAAGACCCTGTTCTGGGCTATCTTTGGACTGTCTGAGGTCAGGTCTGTTGTCATCAATAACGGACACAAATTCATTGAGAACATCGGCTACGTGCTATATGGGGTCTACAACGTTACCATGGTGATCGTGCTGCTCAACATGCTCATTGCCATGATCAACAGCTCCTTCCAGGAGATTGAGGTGAATCAACCTGTGCTCCAGATTCAAGCTCACAACTTAAGACTCCTGAGAAAACCTTTCCTTCTGTGCATGAAATGAAACGAACAAGATGACCAAATAAACAAACATCCCAGGGAGCGACAATCAAACAGTACTGACCTGTATTTTTGCATATTAGGACATGTTTGATCCAATCACATCTATTCTGGTGTGAAATACAATAAAACTTTGTCAAAAGATGATAAGTTGATAATTTAGTTGGCATGAACTGTGAAGATAAGAAAAAATAATTCATGATTCATCTACAGAAAAAACACTAACATTGTTTTAACATTATTTTCTATTTCTGTAAGTCAGATAGGGAATACTTTAAAAATAAAATAAGGAGAAATAATTGGACATTTTGGGAAGACCTGACTGACTAGATTAGATAAAAAAAGAACAAAAATTAGCAGCGAGGAGCGATTTATTATAAATAAATAAATCAGCAAAATTTATTCTACAATTAAAAGCCTTATGTGCTACCAAATTTGGCCAACCATACAAAACAGTGTGAAAATGAGCTGAGCTAGAACGGTGAGGTGCCAAACCAAGACACTAATGAGGTGATCACCCCTTTAAACCCACAGCTTGTTTTATTTCTTACTTATGTTGATATGAACTAAAGTGAATGATAAAATAACCAGCTCCCTACCTCACAGAGCGGGTCCATGATTAAAGGTTCTGCTGTGTGCTTTGGTCTTCATGTACTGCTGTTTACAACTACACTGTTTGCATACAGAGTAACATCAGCCCCTTTTGTTATACATTAGCAAGAAAATCTACAAGCTCCTTGCCCATAATGTCTATTAATTTCAGATCATTATGGTTTGATTGTGCTTGTATGTCAAACTCTACTGTAACTTGTTGCTGGTGCTGCGATTGTCCTTCCTCTTCAGTTTATTTCCCTCATTTTTATCTTTTTGTCAGGATGATGCTGATGTTGAGTGGAAGTTCGCCCGAGCCAAACTCTGGTTCTCTTACTTTGAAGAGGGAAGGACGCTGCCTGTGCCTTTTAACATAGTCCCAAGTCCAAAATCCATGCTGGGATTGGCCATGGGCATCAAATCTCTGCTTCTGCGCATTGTGGAAGGACGCACCGAGAAGAAAACAGAGACGCAGCTCAATCAGGTATGATCTAACGTTAACTTCATGACTCTGCTAGAGCTAGAGCACCTCCAAGTGGTTTTATTGCTTCACCACAAGCCAAAACTCAGACCTGAGGATAAGTTTGACCTGTGAAGTGTCTCAATGCTGCTTGATTACAACTAACTGAGTTTAATTTTACAGCTTGGAGAAAGCAAAAACTCAGGATTTGTTGCTTCTACCAGCCCAACAAGGTATCAGGTAAGCATTTTGTGGTGTATTACTTCTTATCCTCGGCCAAACCACTTCTTATTTATGACTGTAGTAGCTTCTTAATTGATTAAGACGGTGCATGACAGATTTTCCCGATGAAGTTATAGCTGCACACACTCCTAGCAGAGTATTTCTGAGTTTTACTCTGAAAGTAAAACATTAAATTAGAAAACCCTTTTTTCCATTGAAATATTGTCATCTCTTATAACAAGCAGAGTAATTTTTCTTCTTTTTGCAGAAAATCATGAAAAGATTGATAAAGCGATATATCATCAAAGCCCAGGCAGACAGAGAGAGTGACGAGATCACAGAAGGTACAATCAACAGAGATATATTTCACTTGTTTTGACTGAAATTTTCATTTTAGCATTCAATTTTTTTTTGTCTTGTCTGTGTCTCTTCAGGTGAACTTAAGGAGATCAAACAGGATATCTCCAGTCTGCGGTACGAGCTGCTGGAAGAGAAATCACAGAATATGGAGACAATGGATGGACTCCTGAGGAGGCTGGGAGAAATCAGTACAACTGCAGATTAGCACCACGAGTCACCCTCACATGTAGATAAAACTGTACAGCTCTGTACCTGTGGTCCACTGATGTGGATGCAGTATAAAAACACTGATATGATATTAAAATTATTCTCTGATTGCATGATTACGTCTCATTTTATCTCCACAACACCCCAGTTATGGTGATCAAACCAGGGGACAGAGACTTTCAGTTTATACCACAAGGTGAAATCTAATGAAAACCAGGATATGGATCTTTTCTCCCTTTAGTTCACAAAAATACAATCAACTGTGATTGCTTAAATGTGAACAAAAAATGTACATGGATGTAGGTATTTTAAAAAAAAAAAAAGATCATATAGAAAGCTTTGTATTTGCAATATAAAGAACCCTCTAATAAATCTGCAAGATGGATTTGTTGTCTTGTAAAAAGTACATTTTTGTCATAAAAGTGTAAAAAACATCCAAAATAGCAAAACCCACATATAAAAGAGTTTATTTAGACAGCATGAAAACTGAAAGACAGGAAGAGTAGAGGCAGAGTTCAGTCATAGACAATCAGTTCATACTGTTTAAGGCACTGAGGTGTGGACATATCAAATTAATACGATTATTTACAAACTCAAAAGTGATCAATGTTGATTGACAAACACAGTTTTACTTTGAGGGCATGTCATTGAGAGCTACTGTGAGACCGATGAAAATATAAAGCTGACAACTCATGGCAACTGGAGGAAAAGTCAGAAAACCAATTAAATTTGGACAGTAATTAAACTGTAAGATGGTTAATAACACATAACATGGTTCACATGTAGTAGTCAGATATACATACAGTAAATACATTAATCATTAACAGCCCCAGTGGTTCAGTGATAGCAGTCACAGTTACATGATAAATATATTATGTCTTTGATCAGCAGCACAGAGTATTGCTGGACGCACTGAAACGCACTAAAGTCGAACTTGTGTTACTCGATGATGATGCGGTGACGTCACATGTATGAAATGTAGTTTTCAGGAATGAGGCCCGTTCTACCGTTGTATGTTGCCTGAAGCCAACCGGGTTCCACAGATGGGTACACTATAGACACAAACCACAAGACAGGATCAGGACCCTCATATATATTTACTGTATACACTTAAATCCCTGTGTCTGAAGTTATAAAATATCTGATAATGACAACAGTCACAATATTCTGAAAGTACATTTCAGAATATATCACATCAAGTATGAAAACTTCATAACGCTTATAAGATACCCTCTTCCAAAAAAGTGTCATGGTTGCATAACTACTTTGATTAGGAATAAATCATAGAGAATTATCAATAAAACCTAAAACATGGAGAATGATATTTTAGACAACATTCAAGTATATCTTTGCAGTTTTCTTACCATTTGAGAACAGCGCCCCCTGAGGAAAGCTAAGCTCATGGCTGTGCTCTGCCTCGCATGAATACAGAGCTTTTGCATCCCTATGGTGTTAAAAAAAAACACATCATCAGTGAAAAACATTTACAATATGAGTAAAGGAGAATTTAGTTCATCAGATTATATTTTGTCTGTAACAATTTCAGATTTCATTAATTTGTCATGAAGTACAACGAATGTTAACATCAAGACTAAAAGTTTGAGTGTCAGTCGAACTCACCGTCCAGAACAAATGTCTAATGCAGAGGAGAAGACTGAGCTCTCTCGCTGTGATAGTCTGGTGGATATTCTGCAACATAAAACCACAAAATCAATGAAAATAAACTGGGTGTTCAAAAAGCTGATCTTCCTCAAACTATCCAGGGACTCAGATATGTTCTGTTCTCCGGTCTCGGGGGGCACAACACAAATTTCTGCATCAGTAGCGACCCTAGATTACAGATTTCTAACTCGATCTCACAGACACTCACACTGATGCAGGCCTCTGGTATCCGTTGCTGGATGTAGCGGCTGCAGAGTGTTTCCCGGTCATATCAGAGCCACAGCGGACATGCGACGTTCTTCGTGAGTGTGCTGTATCAGGGGGGTCCAGTGACATGAGACTCTGCACTGAGCCGTGACAGCTTTTATAATCTACAAAACAACACAACACAAGAAATCAGAACACCACGACAGATTGACACTTTTGAGAACATTTAATGCTGTACTTACCCTCAGAGATGTGCAAGGAGGTGAGAGAGGAAGACGTAGAAAGCCGGTAGGGGAATAATGAGGAAGAGGAGGAGGAGGAAGAGGAGGCAGTTCTGTAAGTTCTTCTGTGTTGGCGTGAAGGAGAGGTAGAGTCTGTCACTTTTGTTTCTGTAAGAGTAGATGAGAGGGTTCCTTGATCTACAGATTGAGCGCTTTTCGGAGAGGAGACCAACGACACTCTGGGCACGGGTCTATCCTCCCTGAGAGAGGAGGAGCGCTCCACGGAGACGAGCTGGAGGGAGGCAGTGGACGAGGAGGCTATGGAGGGAGATCTGGATTCTTTTATAGATGACAAAGACGCTGTCGAGTTTCCTTTGGCGGACAGAGTCCTGTCGTCAGACAATAGAGAGGACAATGAGGAGGACACAGAGGAAGTCTTTTGGGCAGGGGTAAGCTCTGTGGACATCTGTGGAGAGGCAGGAGTGCGGCGAGGGGAGGCAGCATCATCTGTCTTCTGATCCTTCCCGTTTGGAGAACTATTGGATGGGGAGAGGAGGGAGGCTGCAGGAGGGGACAGCTGTTCTGTGGAGGTCGAGCTGGGCTCAGCAGCAGGAGAGGACGGAGGAGAGGTCTGAGACAGTCCGTTCTTTTCAGAGGAGTGAGAGGACAGAGACTCTTGGCTTCCCATTGGAGTTGTGCTGGGGCTGCTGCTGAATGTGTCACCTGGAGGGAGAAATTAAACACGATGAAGCAACAGAGACAGAATGACATTCAGATGACTGTCTAGATCCTGCTGATTGATCTGAGGGCCAAGAAACATATCTGTGAGTTTGTCATAGTCGAGTGTTTTCCAAAGTGAACACTTATGAGACTTTTTAAAAACTGAGGTGAATGGAAGCTTTAATATCCTCTAGGAGTACAAAACTGAAAACAAAAGTTAAAAATCACAAGTTTTCTTGTATTATGACAGAAAAAAAAATTTGAGCTGTGAAGCTCAGTCTAAGAGAAATAAAGATAACTTTACTGAGATAGCACCATTTTTATAAATCAGAAGTGCTGCAGAAAAAAATCACTTTGGTTCAAAACTTCTGTTGAACAAAAAACCCACAAACCATTTATCCTGTCTGCCAAAGCAAGTCTTTTTGTCACTGTATTGTTTGAATCTGAAATCCTAAAATCAAACATTTTCATCATTTGAGATGTAATATGATACATATATAGAGTAGATTCAGATGGGTTTATAAGGGTGTTTGTGACTTATAAGACTCAGGGGCTGAAAGCTGCAGAGAGACTCACTGTCATTGTCTGCCAGGCACAGAGTTGGCGGGTAGAGGCGAGCCCTCCTCTTTCCAGATGACAAACAGATGGCTTTGTTCCGCCGAGGAGTCGACCGAGAGGATGAAGCCTGAGGTAACGGCACTGACAGGTCTGGGGCCTCACCAAAAATCTGGCAAGAACACATAGCGCACATGTATGTTCTGTATGCTTGTGTATGTGTGTATAAGTGTGAGTCCATATACACAGCTGCCTACCTTGTCATGGTTTTCAATGATAATCTCCACCACGATATTCTGAAACTTGATGTTCATCATGGCAGCCACAGTCTCCTCCTGAGACCTCATCAACGTGGGACCAAAAATCATTCCAAGGTTGGAAACGGTCATCAGGTTCTGGTCACTGTGGGAGGACACCCTACACAAACACAACGATAAAGAGATCATCACACACACACACACACACACACACAAGCAAATGTATGCAGTTTTAATTCATACGACAGCAAAAGAAGTGTTTGCAGAAACTGTAAAAAACAAAGATTTTAGCTTGAATTGTAATCTGTGAAAGTATTTACAACAAAGCTATTTTGGATGAATCATCTTCTCATAATATTTTCCTGTGTGAATAACCATTCTTGCAAACCAAAAAATAGCCCCACCACACAGTGGTGTTGACCTTTACTCACTTGAGGAGATGGTTGGTTAACAGATCTAACATCACTTTGTTTTTCTCTGGAAGTTTGTGGACGAGAGCGTGAATCGCTCTCACTCTGTGCTTCTGGTCGTCGTACTCTTTTAGAGAACAAGGAAATGAAACATTTTTAGAGACTATTCACCTGTGAGAGGGTGACATGACTTTCTGCTTTTTGCATTAGGTAAAGACACCACAGCTGTACACCGATTGAGTGGTGTGGTCTACTGTGTTGTCTGTGTTTCGAGAGGGGCTGTGAGGGATCTTACTTGCAGCCTTGATGAACTCTTTATGCAGTCTGTAGGTCAGGAGTGGTTCTGCCAGACACCTGTATGCCCATGAAAAAAAATCAGGACTTCACATACCAAAGAAGTGTTACTCAAAGAGACTAGTCCATGCCGTATGTTACCTAAAATAATTCTTGAGGCCACTGGTGATGGTCTTGTTGTCCCAGGCGTCTCCATCCAGCTGCATGTCAGCTGGAGCTGTAGATGCTAAAACACAACCAATGAGAAGTTAGTGAATGCACCTTCCCGTCTACTCATCATATTTGTAGCTCACAGGGCTTTTTCTTACCGAACACGCTTGTCATCAAGCGCTGAACTTTGGAGTTGACTCCCCCAATCCTGTACAGACCCAGGGTGGTAATACCTACAAACACAAACCCACATGTACTAAGACACTTGACAGACCAAGCGCACAATAAATTCATAAAAAAAGAGGAGGAATACCTCTTGTTTCAACCAACTCAATGCACTTCTTCACAAAGCTGAGGCCTGCCTCATTCAGGAAAGCTGTAAAATACAACGTGTTCAGCAGCTGTTGTGATATAATGCAAGAAATATTGATATAGATTGTGTTATAATATAAATTACATCAAGTTGAAAATTGGATTTCTCACAATACTTACTCTCTTCCTTTTTACTGAGCAATGATGGCAGAGTGTAAATCTAAACAAGGTAAAAAAATATGAGTTAATCAAGAAGGTTTGTGAAAATATGACTGCATAACAACTTCACGTTTGAATATATTCATTTGTCTGCATTTTCTTTCTACCTAATGGTACTTTTATTTCCTGAAGTGACTATTTATGTACTATTGTTCTTTTAACAGTTGTAATTTTCATACAGGTTCTTTCCCATCCATTGCCTCCATCCACAGCCGTCTATTTGCCTCAGAGAGAGCTTGCAAGGTGATGACGCCGTGCCTGCAGAGAAACAGACATCGTTAACCCAAACACGATGAAAGGCTATCGAAATGCAAGAAATAGACGAACAACCTCGCAGTCATCTCCCCCTCTCACCTTTCAACCACTTCGATGTCAAAACAGAAGCGTTTGTCGATTGAATCCGTCTTCCTTCTGACACAGGAGCGCAGCTTGAACACCTCAGGAGGGACATTCATGACGCCGTTCTGTCAGCAGAAAGATGAGAGATGAGGACTCCATGTGTTGTATTTAGAGTTTGTCCTTCCCAAAGCAACATAAGCATAAAGTATGGAGCCAAATTCTGGAGCTCTTAAGCTGATTTATGTTGAGTTTTTTAATGGTATGACAGGTAGGAGACATTGACGCTGTGGCCTGGTTTAGACAGTGCGGTCATTGTGTGATTCAGACTCACCTGTCTACTGGCTGGCCTGGCCTCAATGTTGCTCATGCTGAACATCTTGGAGCTTTTTTCATAAGTGCAGTAGTACCTGGTCCAAACACTACCTAGTGGACCTATAATATAAGAAACAGATCCTTTCATGTGAATTTGTGTTTAAAATAGTTCATCTGTTTGCTTATCTGCACATTAGAAATGGCGGCAAAGAACTCACGCTTCTCTTGTATGTACAGATATCCCTCCATGGTAAAGCAGCCGGGGGCTTTGAAGTCTTCCTCTGCAGAGCGGATCCTCTTCATCAGCCTCTCAACCTCAGCGCGGGTACTTTCAAAGTTATTGCGAGCCTTATCAATCACACAGGTACAAGAAAGTACATTAAAAGAAAGTATACAGGACATGTCACAACCTTTGCAAAGTAAGCCACTAAGGCAGTACTTTATGTCTTTGCCTTGTCAACTATGTGGCTAATAGTTATTTGAATTATGTTAGAGCATGTTAGGTGTACTGGGTGTTAAGTCTTTTCAGGAACTGCAAGTTGCCGATACTTTTCTTGGTACAAAACTTAAAAAGACTTCAATAAATGAAATATATTTGTTCCAGAAGTCTGGAGCGACCAGAAACACTTACGTTTTGAAGGTTGAACTGTAGCTGTTGCTTATAGGGATCAAACTCACTGGCCTGCTCGTAGCCCTCATGGTAGAAGGTAAACAAACCCTGCAGGAAAGCTAATAACTGAAGAACAGAGGGAGTAAAATAAGCAGGAAAATATCAGCTGAGAGCGTAGGAGTGTCAAGTATAAAGTGAGGATTAAAAGACAATGGCTGTCACTCATCTGCTTAATCACTCCAAAGTTACAGATGGAGGAAAAATCCCCAAACTCTGACTGTTGTTTGGTTTGCTATTCTTGTTTACTTTATAACAAAGCGTTTCCCTCTGTGTTTGGTGGAAGAGATCGCCGTACAGGAAGTGCTTCTACAGCAACAGGAAGAGGGCTTTACTGATATCTATCGCCAAAACATGTTTTATCACCAGCCAAACAGTGTGTGTAATCCATGTCTTTTAAACTCTGACCTAGCTGTGTTTCCATGATCTTGTCTGTTTACACACACACATGGTCATTACTGGCTTGGCTGCAGTTATGACCTGATGTTTACATCGCTGTTTACAAAACAGACTCGTCTGGCATATTTTCCTGTGGTGAAACAAAGTTTATTGTTGACAGCTTTGTCTCTCTCGTGTTAGAGCCGTTAAAAGGCCGAGCAGCCAAGGAAACAACATGACAGCCTGACGCAGGTGGCACCAAAGGCTGATATCAACAAAACTAACTGACAGAAATAAAGTAAATGAGATAAAAACAGCTGTGAGAGGCAAAGGTTGCATATGGACATGATCATATTTGTGAACTCACCGGTTCCACAAACTCAAACTTCTTTCTCTCCTGCACTTCTTGGATCTTGAAGACATACTGCAGCGATGCATCATAAAACACCTGCCTGTCCTTACTCATCTGCACATCAGCCTGCAACAAGAACAGCAACCCTCGTGAAAAACTTATTGTTACCTGATGAACGCTGAGAGAACTTTGGGATGTTAAGACTTGAGGGGTTTACCTCCAGGAGGTGTGATTCCTTCTTTTTGGAGGACAGGCTGAGGTGTTTCTCCAGAACAGAGTAGTACCTTTCTGTCTCTTTATCAAACTGCTTCTTTCCCTCCTTAGAAAGATGGAGATGAGACAGAAAATTACATAACACACAAAAATATCACACTTTCACTGTGCCTTTTTTATTGTTTTCCCCATTCCTTCATCTGTCCTTCACTGAAGTTTGGATTGACTGTTTTTTACTTTAAGTTATATGGATCATTATTCTATGATTATTTTGTTCATAACCATCTGTAGTGTTATATTTTTACTGTAAATGCAAAGTACAACCAGGCAGCTACTATGAAAAAACAGCCAATATAAGTGCAAAAAACTGCGGTTTCTGAAGTGTCCTCTTGAAGCTGGCCCCACAGAACAATGAATCCCCATTAGGCCCAATTTTAAACTTTACAGCAGAATTAAACATTTACAGGGGAGTGCAGTTCATTCATTTATTTGTACACATTGTGGAGGAGGTGATTTTTTATTTTTTCACAATGCATCTGTTGATATAAAGAATATAGGTCATACATAAATTTGAATAATTAGGGGCTTGAATTTTTGACAGACAGGGGGGTGAGTTATAGTCCCTTGCTCAGAGGCCACACCTCTGCCTGTTTCTTAGTGTGTCTGCCTGTTGGTGTGCTGAAAGTTATACAGTGTTGAAGCGATTGGGCTTCATAATGCCTCTCCAGAAACCAGTGAGTGAAGTCGCAGAGATTACGTTCATGTTTTATGCAGTCCGAGTCCAACATATAAGATCTACTATAGCATATTTCTATATCCCATTATTTAACCAACATTAAATGCTCATAGAAACAGTAACAAAAACACTCTATGCAGGTGTTCTTACCTGTAATTTCATGTGAAAATGACACAGTGGCTTGCTGTAACCAGTAACCAGCACTTGAATCGACATGCAGTCAAATACTTTTTGTAGTGCCAGAAATACTCACTACAGTTTTTCACAAATGTGCTTATTTTTGATTAATACTTTCACAGAATTAAAACTACAGCAGGCAGGTTGACAATTAAGGTCTAAGAAAACTAAGTGGCACCAGCGCTTATTTCAGGGGTTGTTTCTGCTGTTACCACCTTGTAACATTGCTGCAGCTAAGTATAATAAATATCCAAGTACGGTTATGCTACCTGCAGAAAGTGTTATTTGACTAGAACTGCTTAACAAACACAAATAAGTCAGTCCTTATCTGTGAAAAGCATTGGGGTCTGGTAGCAAGTCCAACTTTAGATCCCCTTACATGTAAAAGCTAAAGGATGTCTACAGCCATGCTAACAGCTTAGTGAAACACCGCACAGCTCTTAGGTAGAAGGCTGATAATAAGGTGCTAAAATCCTTGCAGCGACCAGTATGTCAGTATTTTCCTGCACAAAGTATCTGATTTTTCATGGAATTAAAACTTTTGGGATGAGCAAACCGGCCCTGAAGTACCAAAACGCTGTAACCCAGTGCTGAAAACCCGTTAATAATCTTCACAAAGAGACATGCCAAAATATTCAGGACAACAGATATTTTCCATAACAGCTGCAGCTCTACTTTCCCCATGCAAAGCCTCACTCTTCACTGTTTTGCTCACAAACACCAGGGTGAGGATGTGCTGCTCACACACTGCTGCCACATTCTGCAGGCCCAGAACACAAGTGAGCTGTGATTTCACTTTCAGGGTTATTCATAGCTTTGACCGGCTCTACTGTTTTTTTTTTGAATGCTGCCTTCTTCTTCTTCTGCTTTCCATAGGACACCCTTATCTCTGCTGGTTTTTCAGTCTCAGAGGACAAAGAAGACAAAAATGAGATAAACTGAATCATAAGGTTGGAGACAGCTGCTGAAACCAGACACTACACTCACTTAGTGTTTATACTGCCTCACTGAGTTCAGCTATCTCTGTGTCTGTGACGCGCTCCCTGTCTTCCCTCTCAGTGTCCGTTCCCATGACCTTAATACTGACACTGGACTGTGATCCACCGTTTATCAGAGCAAACTGAATTCTCTGACCGCTGACTGAGAGATCGACTAAGACCAGACCAGAGAAGGAAGGTCTTTTGGATCAGCACCCACACTGTTGCATTGCTAATTTACTTAATGAACTGAACTTCACTTACTAGCCTCAGCGGAAAGGTAAAAAGTAAATAGTGTAGTTACTCTGAGTAGATTATCGCCTGAAATATACCTTCACAGCTCCGATCTGCTCCTTACGAAACCTCTCCAGTGGTGAGATCAACACGTCATCAGCGTTCTGGATCTGAGAGAGGAACAGAGAAAACACAACTGAGTTAAAACAGTAAACATCAAGACCAACATTCTGGATCTGAGAGAGGAACAGAGAAAACACACAACTGTGTTAAAACAGTAAACACCAAGACCAACATCAACAGCTCAGTCAGTGCTAGCGCTCCATCCGGGCTGCAGTAAATACCTCACCAAACATGTTTTATTGAATAAGATGATAAACTGATACTCCTCTTTTGTTTTCTGTCTATTATTATAGAGAGACATCATTCCTGACACTCCTACTTCGTTTGAGAATCATTGTTGACATGAGACAATAAAGTGAAGGTTCAATGAAATCTTAATACTGAGATCTCTCTTTGCTTCTAACTTCTGAATAAAAAATCTATATGATGTCAGGTTTCCCAAATGAAAACATCATAAAGGAAATAAGGTGCCTTGATAAGATATAACTGTATTGGGATATGTGTTTGTCTGATATGAACTGTTGAAAAAAAAAACTATCATTGAAAATGACGTTTGGCATTGTCATTGATGATAAATTTAGTGTCATTGTGAACTCTGTCCAGCAGATTGTGTTCCAAGGCCAGGGCTGTTAATACTCTCAGCACTTTCTGTAGCACACCTGAGCAAAAGGTAGTTCAGCAAAAATCAGCGACAATTAAAGAAGTTAAGGACTTGGGGGTTTTAGCTGTCTGTTTATCTACTGGGAGAAGGCCAGATTAGTAACTCCAGATTACTGACCAAACATCAACATATACAGAATGATTTTACAATAGATCTGTTGTCATTGACATTTTACAGACTTTCCTCAATGTTATTATCCCCGTCAAAGGAAAGTGGAGTTTTCATTAAAGGGTTATGCAAAGATTAAGAAGAAGAGATTGTCCACTAGTTTATTAGTAGTTGACAGTAATCTTAAATATGCTAACATGTTGAGCAAAAATACTTTGTGGGGCCCTCCAGTGTGTTGGCTGTTGTGGGATACACTGGTGGTGCACCCTTCCCGTTTACAATGCAGTTTATCTTTATGATTTTAACCGCACCACACTACCTTAACATGGTGATACTAATCCATAGGAATGGTTTAACTAGGCTTTATTGCTGGCAAAGTTGGCTAACTGTTTCACCTCCCTAAACATGTAAATGTCCACAGAACAACTGCAAACCTAAAATAATGACAGTATGTTTATGGTCATATTTGAGCAGCTTGCAGTACAGTATGCATGAGAAACTTGTCATATGATGCTAATGTTGAGTCAAGTCATAAAAAGGAAACCTCCAGACCGTTTAACAGCTCTGGTGTTTACATTAAAGCCCAGTCCACTTTAGTCATAAATCTATACAGTATTAGCCCAAGTTTGTCACGTCTGGCTTTAGTCTGTCTGGCTGATTTAATCATCAGACTCAAAATAGCTTCCCAGTCTCACATCATGACCTGACTTTCACTTCACTTCAGTTTAGTTCCACTTCAGTACCGAAGAAAAAGGTCAGCTTTCTTTCCTCACTCCCTTTTCTCTCTGCTACATGACAACATACAGGATGAAAGTGAAGACTAACAGACTGAGGGGCATTGTCAAAACGCTGTAATGGTTCTTTCAGGTTGAATAGGTAGGGATTTACCATTTGCTGGATTTGCTTTTTAATGTAATAATGAGTGTATTAGAAAAGATTCAGCAGCATTGCAGAGGAAAAGTGTTCAATTAAAATACACACACACACGGCGCACGCACACACACACACACACACACACACACACACACACACACACACACACACACACACACACACACACACACACAGAACCCATTTATGGACTTTCCCAGGCAGTCAGAGCTCTGTTCAAAGTCTCACAGGGGAATTGGCAGAATAGGTTCCACATGGTTCTTCTGTAACCAGACCACGCACACAGCCACAAAGACACAACACACACATACACACATTCACACACACACACACACACACACACACACACACACACACACACACACACACACACACACAGGGCTATGCATTAAGGTAGCACACTATACACATACACTTGCAAATGTACAGAGGTATGCCTTTTTGCAGACTGTGCCAGACTCCAGTCACTCCCACATAAAGTCCTGTGTTTGATGGAGGGTCTGTGAGTCCACCATGGAGCACTCATCGACGCTGGCACAACTTTTTTCCCAAGAAAAGTGTGATTCACTCTTGTGGATTATAAAAACAAAACCATTTTGAGAAAAAGTTTCATAAAAGGCTGTGTGACTTTCAATCTAAAATCCAGATGAAATCCTGTTGATGTCAACAAAGCTGTCCGTGCAACACAAATGGAACAACTGATTCACACTTGGGTTTGAAGGCTTTTGGTCCAGATCAAGATACTTAAAGCAGGGAAAACTGTTAAGAACTTAAGTGTAATGTAACTTTAAAACTAAGACGTTTCTATTTGTATGTAAAGCAAGAATGCTGCAAAGAGAGAAAATCTGACACGGTTAAAAGCTAATAGAATAAATATAAAACTATCTTTTGTTAACATCTTTGTAGTTTTTCTTCTGGACGGAAATAAATGTATTTATAGAACACTCATAAATCTCATAAATTACTGAGTCAAAGTTTTATGGAGCTAAACGCCAAAAACCCCAACACAGTCCTTAAGCTCAGCTCCACTAAAAGGGCCCCTCTAATCGCTCCATATACGCAGGTTTCAGTTGTTCTCGTTTTAGTTTTGAACCTAGAACTCAATGTTGTGCACATCTCTCCTCTCTCTTTCAACCCACCCCCCTCTCTCTTTCTCTCAGATACAAAAACAAATATGTTTCTTTTCTTACAAGTCGTTTTCTCTCTTCCTCCATGGTGCTCAACAGCTGAGAGAACTCCTTCAAGGACTGAGCTGAAAAAGAAAGAAAGAAAGAGACCTCTGTTGTGAAAAGACTCTTCGACTCGACTCATCTTACCTAATTCTCTAGATCATCGGGGATGTTTTCATCTCACCTATGCTGATCTCATCATCAGTCTCTGCATCTCCAATACATTCAAACTGGAACTCCTGTAGAGACTGGGAGAACCGCTGCACAGCCAGAGAGAGGCCTGAGAAAAAAAAAAAGAGGGAAAAATTTGTTGTCAGCAACTTTTCAATTTTTAGGATTGAGGTTTTCTAACGCTGTTCATGTTTTAACACTCGCTTGGATACTGCCTCAACTGCAATGGGATAAGATTGGTGAGTGTGGCAGTTTACATATCTTTAAGACACAATGATCACAGGTTAGTCATGGTGTATCAGTGCTATGCAAACAATGAGAGTAAAACAGCAGAATGAGAGTAATTGTGTCATGCATATTTGTTTGACTGGATTTTCAAGTGGCAATTTCACAATTTGCTCAACAATGTTCTTGGCCTGAGCTGTGATTATCCCCCCCCCCAAGTCCCTGTAACACTCCCTCCCCTCTGCAAGCAACTACAATCACTTTGCACTTATTCTTCCTCTAACAGACTCCATATTTTCCTAGGAGACTCCTGCATTCCATCCACTTTGAGTTCATAAGGTAACGAGGTTTGAAGTAAAGCAAATGGCACGACCTGCACAAATCTCAGAAAGCTGTGTTTATGTGTCCAAACAACACTTAGACATCAGAGTTTAGTATCACCTTTTGTTCTCTAAGGTGTAATAACACTTGGCATCAAAACACCGGCTTCTCTCACTAATATATCCCAGCTGCTTTAAGAGTGCATTATACACATAATAAAACCATTTAAGTTTCCTTTGATGGCACTTTATAACACATTCTGCCTGGTGATTAGAGTGGTTAGGTGAGTGTTAAAAACAGCTGGAAATCAAAGTATCAGCTTTGTTATTTAAGGCAATAGATTTGGACAAAATATTTAGACAAAAAACTTTGCTTAACCAATCGATGACTGTAAAATGTTGTTTTTTGATACTATAATATCTGAAACTGAAATGGTCAGCATTTTTTTTAAGTTTCAGAAATTAGCTTGAAGAACTTCTGGAGTAAAAGTCAAATTTCTCTGTGTCTAACATCCAGACTGAGAATATGTTAAAGTCTATTAATATGATATAGATTTGTCTATTTGTTTAGGCCACTACCACATGTCTGCCTGAGCTCTGATTATCACTGACCTTTTTTTATGTCCAACTTTTTTTAAACCAAACACTGATAAAATGTCTGAAAAAAGATAAATTAATCAACAGTAAAGCTATTTTTCATTACAGTCTCCATCAGCAATCCTAAGAGAAAAACTGGGTAATTCTGGGTGATTGGACATTATAATCATTATAATCAGCTTAATCAATCACCAAAACACCTGTTGCTTACAGGGCCACCAAACAGGACTTTTAGTTCTTAACTTTTTAAAAAAAATTTTTTTATACAGATATCAAGAAACATCACATTTTAGAAAGATTAAAGATCTCTTTGTCACAGCTATATCATGTTGTGGTGACTCTGGTGGTGACAGAAGTGTGAGGAAACAGTACAGTCATCATGTTCTCCACCGTCTGGTCACTGTTTGGTCAAGATTAGGCCAACATAGTCATTGTCATGTGTGTGTGTGTGTGTTTCTGTGTGGAAGGCAGCAGCAGCAGCTTTCACTCCAATGACCTCAAATAGGGGCTGCGCAAAGGAAACCACAGGCCAGCACATGGTGTAGGTGTGTCTGAGCTTTCACCTAGTCAGGTGGAGGAGGTGCTGCTGTGAGTTCTCATCAGCTGATTACACATAATAAAAGAAACACTCAAGCAGTTAAACAAACAGCATGTTTGTATTTTCTGTTCAGCGATTTCCTATTAATGATATATTTCTTTTTTTAAGATACCGTTCCCCACACGCTACCCTTCATAGCCACAGTTATGAACTTTTTGATGAAATAATCATTGAAACAAATAAAAACTTTTAAAGTGGTGAGAAATGTTTCATTACAATCTGAAAAGTCTTTACAGTGTTGTACACCTCATTGTGTACCACCGTTCATACAGGGCTTTTAGTTCTTTGTTTAATGTTGTCAAACCCACCACGGGGGAAGCCGTAGCAAAAATTACCTACTAGCCCTTTACATACCCTTTCTATTGAAGACATGCAGATACTTTTTCATTAGAATAATAAATATAGGTGTCCACATATTTAATATTGCAGTTGAATTAAACATGACTGATGTCTGCTGGTTTATGCAACATGCAGTATAAGCATGGTAGTAAGATTGGTTTTGTCTTAAAACTATGTTTTGGCCCTTTTGTAAACTCAGCTTGGTAGAAAAGCAGCACACTTTCCAAGGTCTCCACTAAGTCTGTTAACAAAATAAGTAAATAAATCAGCTGAAAGATTGCCCGTCAGCTGTTTTTGTCCATTTTCAGGCAGCACACACAACTTAATATAATTCTAGTTATTATATCACTATGTTGTTATGACAGTTTGGGTGTATGAAAACAACCCATAATCCTTTCTTTAACCTCTTTAGATAACACCACGTGAGTTATAAATTATTGAGAACATGGATCATCAGATAATTAAAAATGATCAGTTTCCTCATTACCCTGGTCTCCTTGTTTGATACCTGAACCTCTCATAAACCAGACAAAGACAGGCAAGTCTAATCTGTGGTACTACTTTTTAATTGTAACTCAGTGGTGCTGCTCTTACTATCTGACATCAAACAAAAGCAATCAACTCTGAACCACAGTGTGTTTGTGTCATATAGGCCAAAAGCTGGCTCTGCTTGAATTGATGGCCTTGGCTCTCTCTCCTCTGTTATCATGCAGCAGACCGTGCAGCTGGTTAAAGTGACAAACTGTAACAAGCACTTACAACCAAAACAAGTTAATAACCACGGTGTTCTTACTTCTGAGGGCAGAGACGAGCATGTTTCCATCTTTGATGAGATCTTTGATAAACCTGTTGGTGCGCTCCAGCTCTATTTCATGGCACTGCAGTCTCTCTCTGAACTCCGGACTGTCCAGGAAAGAATCACTGAACTCCAGCGTCGGCAGACCCATCGATAAATTAATGCACGCACTGTTTTAACACACGACCAAAGAAAGACGCGAGATATGTCCACTCGGCAACAGGAGAAAACAGAGTTTCAGTGGGCTCGGAGAAAGTTGGAGAAAGGCTCCTTCCAGATCCTTTTTTTCATGCCTTTCTTACTTTTTTCCCCCGAGAACTTCCGGACACTGAAACACAGCAAAGTCTGACACAGACACTCGGGCTAGGCTACACGACGAGCTGAGCGCTGCTTTCTCACCATTACAGTCAATTAAGTCAATTATAACGTCCCTTTCACCCCTCACTGACTTCTAACATGATATGAAAACACCGAGGGTCGCGGAAAAACAGCAACAAGGGTCCCTCTGGAAGTCTCACAACTGTGGGCAGAACCTTTGTCGCTAACTCCGTATGCATATAGCTCTGAATGAAGGCTTGTTACTATGGGAACGGGAGACTCCTGCTGGCGCGTGCAGAAATCAGTGCAAAGATGACCAAAGTGTTCCCCACGAGACTCACGTAATAAAAATTACTCCCGTATGTTGTTAAAAACAACCACAACAACAGCATCGTTAATAATAATAATAATAATAATAATAATAATAATAATAATAATAATAATGATAATAATAACTGTAATAACAACAACAACAACAGCATCATTAATAATAATAATAATAATAATAATAATAATAATAATAATAATAATAATAATAATAATAATAATAATAATGATAATAATAATAATAATAATAATAATAATAAGAAAAGTAACAACATCTTTAATAATAATTACTGTAATAATAGCAACAACAACAACAACAACAATACTACAACAACAACAACTACTACTACTACTACTACTAATAATAATAATAATAATAAGTAGTAGTAGTAACAGTAATAGTGGTAGTAGTATTAGCGGTAGCTGCAGAAGAAGAGGTAGAAGTAGAAACAAAAGAAGACTGTCACTTTGGAATAGTTTAAGTTGAAGATAGTAAACTATTTAACATAGGTTAACTTAGGAGTATAAACTCTTTTTAAGAGTAAAATTTAGTGGACTGATTAAAGGTAGCAGGGTGTGTCCGCTGAAAGTCACTTATTGACAGCTGAAGTATCGGTCAAAAATATCAATAACTAGGCCAGTAATTTAAAACTACAGTAACAGTAACAACAATGTCAACAACGTCAACAACAACAACAACAACAATAATAATAATAATAATAATAAGTAGTAGTAGTAGTAGTAGTAGTATTTGCAGTAGTTGTAGAAGAAGAAGTAGAATTAGAAGCAAAAGAAGACTGTCACTTTGGAGTAGTTAAAGTTTAAGATGATATTTGATATTATTTAACAAAGGAGTATAAACCCTTTTTTACAGTAAAATTTAGTCGACTGATTGTTAAATAGAGCAGCGTGTGTTTGCACAACTGAGAGTCACTTATTGCCAACTGAGGTAGCAGTCAAAAATATCAATAACTAGGTCAATAATTTATGCTGGTTAAAGTCTTGACTTGACAAACACTGAAATAATTGACAAATGCTTAAAGTGAAGGGTTGAGAGTCTGACCAATAGACTGACTATTTAATGACAATCTTTGCATGAGAAAGAAGAATCCAAAGGGTTTTACACATAAAGAAACTTAAACATTTAGAAATCTGAATGCAGATTATAATAGAAGAGAAATTAATGGCATGTTGTCCAACATGAGGTTAGCGAGTGTTAAGTCAGAGGCAAGATTCCTTCAAGGGAAAATACTTAGTTGTGGTTAAAATAATCTTCAATAAAATCAGCCCTTCCAGTTAAAGTTCATTATTTTGCCTTCAACTTGTAGTTTATCTTGTGCACAGATCTTTTGAAAGGCATTAAAGTGGATAGCTATCTTGAAAATGTTTTTTTTTTTTGACAATGTAGTATTTGACCCCTGGTAACAAGCTGTCTCTTTAATCAGCAGGATATGATCAGAGTAACTCTGACACGCTCTAGTGAAAATATGTACACACAATACTCTTTACATGTAACAGATAAGATAAAAGTCATGTTGTTCCTCCTTCTATCCACAACACACTCTGACAACAGGATAAAAAAAAACGTTCAAACGACTATTTGAAGGAAAATTCCCACCACTGAATTCTTTAAAATGCATTAGCGTCAGTGATTTATGTGTGTGTATACAAGTCTAGGGTTCCCTGCTGAAAAGTTACAGGCTGAAACAGGCCCTCTAATGTGAGAGAAATATAACTGGGATGTTTGCCAGCTGAACACTGAGAGGCACAGAGCATTGCTGAGCGCATGCCAAATGCTCTGGGGCAACCACTGAGTACACAAGATGTTTTCTTCTCCTTTTTAAAAAAAAGAAGAGAATAGTTTATGTGTCTCACTGCAGTTTTACACCATTACACTCGCTACTGAACACCCCACTTAAATCACTGATGCAAGACATTAGAGACCAGAGTCCCAAACTGACAGATGTTTTTGTCTTGTTTTTCTCATTGCCTTCCTCAAACTTTCCATACAAAACCATGTCCTTCTTTAAACTCGTCTTTCTCTAAGCTGCTGAAAGTTGCAGCCGTCCGTTGGTGGTCTAGCTGCCTTATTGTCTGGGTTGTTAACTACTGTATCTGTCAATCACTGTAGAAGAATAGAAGCCATGACTACTGAAGTAAACAAGCGTTAAAGAGCTCTGCACTGAGTCTCACACATACAGCAAATAGACACTGTGTAGAGATGTAGATGTACATGTAGACACACTGTAGGACTGGATCACAGCGTGAGAATTTCCAACATTAAAGGTAAGCTTTAAAAATAACTCCTCTCATGCCGTTTTAGAGGCTGTATTCACAGTTAATTAAAAATTGTGACACTTGTTAGAATGCCTACAACTGTATTTGATTTCAGCAGGTCCTGTGCACATTGAACCTGTGATAAAGCTACAGTTTTTGTTGCACCAGGAACCTGAAATTCTAAACTGCAGGTGATGCTAGTGGGTCAACAGAGAAATGTTCGTCAAAAATTTTAACCTTCAACACCCCCGACGCCATTATGAACTCTTTCTGCCCAGTCGACCCTACAGGGGAGAACCTCCAACAGTGGCAGGTAAGGGTTATTTGCTTATCAGTCTCAGCATCCTCTCCATTTGTTGTTTTGGAGACGTTATTTTACAAATATGTGATGGTTTAACTAAGAATGAAATCCTCATGATATTTTGGAAATACGTGGTCAGTACGACCGTTGGCCATCATCAAAACAAAAGTTAAGTATCATTTTTGATATTATTTCTCCATGATACTCTTTTAAAGCTCATTTTTTGATGTCCTGACATCCCCAGGGTTCCTCCTCTACCCAGACACTCCTGCTAAGATGGAGACAACATCACGTGAAGCTTTCTGCTCCCGTCCTGCACTTCAACAAGAGAGAGGCAAAGGTCTGCCACCTTATCTCAACTTCAATAGTAAACTCAGCTTATTTATTTCTAGATAAGCTGTATATAGCGTTGTCTGAATGTATGTGTCAGAGCTGAAAGCAAACTTGCTATGTAATGTGCTGTTATTGGTAGATAGTGTTTATGTATGTATATTTTTGAAAACTTGGGGTTTTGTGTGATGTGAGGAAAGGGCAATAATATATGTTTCACTTAATTTAAAGGTTAACTCACTAAAACGGTGATCTGGTTTCAATACTGCCATTAAACTGAAATTGTGATATTAATTTTTTGGGGTAAAAAAATGTAAAAACATTCATATATAGATGAATAAAGAAAGACACATTTTAGTCTGCTCATTGGTTAATGATTAAAATGGTAACATTCCAGTGGAGCATCTATCAAACTCAAATAAGACTTGAATCAAATACTGCTATGATATTATGGTAAGGAACAAATCTATTTCCTGGTATAATTTAATTTATTTTAGAACTGTACAGGGAACAATAGACGTTTATGTTTTGGTACAAAGTTAAATTTGAATGATCATGTCTTGATTAAGAAAATCGAGAACTTGAGGAGATGAAAGTCTGTAAATCTGATTTATGGGAATGACTAAAATGATCAATGATTGTTATTCTAGATGTTGCCTTCAGTTCAGAAAGATGTGTTTTTCCTGTCTTTGAAATAGAACTCTTACCCAGCTTATGATTTCCATTCAGGAGACCATGACGCTCTGAACACACAGCAGGAGTCGCGTCGTTCCTCTCCCACAGCCTCCACACAAACAGGAAAAGGAAACAGCAGCAGGGAGGACAGAAGAACACAGAGGGACAAGGGAGATCAGACAGCTGTGAAAAAAGAACAAGATGCGGCAGAGATGGTGTCACAGTATCAGAAAGATTTTCCTCCTCCGTTCTCCTTCTACAGGAGGGGAACACCTGCTCGCCCACAGCTGGACAACATCGGCATCAATCCTGCATTCAGGTTTGTCTGTCAGCATCACCTGTTGCTTTTAGACCTTTTGAATTGAAACTCATTCTTGTGTTTTCATATGTTCTGATTCACAGGATTGAGTTTAACACAGTCCAAAGAGAGACTTACCCGGGATGGCCCATCATGAACTCACAGTGTGCTGGCAGGTTGAGAGTGGCAACATCTGGACATCCAAACATGACATCAGAGTAATAGCGTACGATAGATCAGCTATCCGTGTCAATATCCAGGGAATATGTGTTTGGAAAGTTCCTGGTTAATCTGTGACCTTGAAAAGTGGTAATTTATTTACACTACCAACACAGACATCAGTGAGCGGAGAAAATGTGTAGTTCTCACAGACATACTTCAAACACCATTTGTGTGGAAAAGAGCACACAAGTAAAGGTTTTGTGTGTTTTGTAGACGTCTCTGCCTCAATGAACAAAACTATTTACATTTGACTCCTTCATCGTGTTTTGAAATTAAAGTTTAAGGTTTGCACCAGAGTTCTCCCTTAACCACAGCACAGTGTGTATCTATCTTTAAATATACTGTCTTTTGGTTCAGCATGAATGAAAAAATGATTTATAACCAGATTTTAGAGCTGCTCCTGTTTGCTCCATTACATCAGCGTTGCTAAAGAACAAACCCTTCTCTCAGGTTAGGCTTCTTCTCAAGTAACAGGATGCTTTTAACAGCATTTACCGCGACCAGTGAGCTAACAGTTCAATGATGCAGATTTCATGAGTTAATGCAAGCAGCAGACCTTTCACATTTTGTATCAATGACTTGTGGTAGAAAATAAATCCACTCTGTGACTCATATGAAAAACATCATCCACTTCAACGGATCGGCCGAGACTCAAGCAGATGTACAGTCAGTAAACTTTAATTCAAGCTACATGCTTATCATCAGAGCAACAGTTTGAGTTTGCTGATGGTACAGCTGTAGAAAAGTTCATTTATCAGACTCTTTCAATATGATAAAAAGTTTCAACACTTTTAAACAAAAATTAGGTTGATTAACTTTTATTTTGGTGTATAGAGCCAATGTTACACAAGTGGCCAGTGTTTTTTTTACTGGGTTTTGATGCTCAAAAAAGTCTTTCACCTAAAAAGCATGTGTAAAAAAAATAGAGTTTACCTAAAAAACTGTTTATAATAGATTACCATACACTGTTTAAACTCTGTCTAATAGGGGTGGGAATCACTAGGGGCCCAACGATTTGATATTATCACGATACTTGGGCCACGATATGATATTATTGCATTTTTTAACATTTAGCAACACAGTTAGTACTGCGAAACAATATATTGCGATTTATACTATTTTTTCAACTGTTTAGCTAATTTAGCATTTATCTTTCCTTTATGTTTGTCTTATTTATACAGTATTTTATTTTCATGTTGCACATCTTGCAAACCTTATATATATTTGTTGTACTAACCTTCTCCTGTTCTATGATGTCACCTCTGCCAACCTCACTGGACAAACAGTTGATTTTATTTTTCCGTTATCATAGATTTGACTTCATGTTAGCAACTGATTTGAAAAAAAAAAAAAAAAAAAACGATACTTGGTAAATGAGAAGATACGATATGTATTACCAGACAAAATATTGCAATACTATGCTGTATCAATTTTTTTCTCCCACCCCTATTGTTTAAAGGTCCCTTAGATTTTAAATCAGAAACTGAATTATCACACCCAAACAAAACAAGCTTTAGCCTCATAATGGGCAATGACATTTTAAAACATATTACTTCATAGTTTTGACAACTCAGTTTAACAAAAGCATGTTGAATGTGAAATGTCCCTGAGAAATCCCCCAACACTACCAGCTTCATGTGGTCACTTCAGGTTGACGGTCCAATACTTCTGTTTAAAGAACATGAAACAGTAAATCCCAATAAAGTCATGTGCAACTGAAAAGCTTATTTTCTTATGTGCAGACCAACATGAGTCACACTCCTCCTCACAGCTGCTCTACTTGGCTTGATACCGAGGTAGACGGCTAGATTGTGGGTCACACATTTCACAGATTTCTATTGAACCGGGTGAGATCAGTCCCGTGGGGTCACCTCCTGTCCCTCTGCCTGCTCCTGTCTCCATGTCTGCGGTCGTCCCTCTCTCGGACCCTGTCCCGGTCGTCTCTCCCTCCTCTACTGCCCCACTCGACCTCTCTGTGTCGGTCTCGGTCCTCCCTGTCTCTCCCCCCGTGTCTGTCCCTCTCCCTCCAGCCACCCACGCCGTCAGCACCTCCTCCTCGCTCCTGCACCGGACCGACCCCCAGGTTAATGGGTTTGCGGAAAGGTCTGTCCCTGCCGCCGAACCGCAGCTGTCCGGACTCTTTCTTCCCTCCCTGCCCGCCACCGAGCCGTCGGGGGACCCAACCTTTGAGGGTCCTCTCCTGTTCAAAATCCACAAACACCTCATGCTGGTCGACCACCAGTTTGTTGGCGTCTCTTCGCGCTCGGACGATCGACCTCTCCTCCTTGTACTCGATGAAAGCGTACCCTTTAGAGAACCCCGTCACGATGTCCCGGACCAGCCGGAGCCGCTGGATGTCTCCGTACTTTGAGAACACTTGGTGGAGTTTGTCCTCTGTTGTCTGCGGGTTTAGACGGGCCACAAACAGAGTGAGCAGGGGGTCTCCAATAACACCTTTGTTGGGCTTGTAGCGGGCACACATAGCCCTCCATACCGCCCGGTCATGGGGCTCCACGTCTGTGCTGTCGATGCTGCCAGCTTTCAGCGGGTCATACGCCCTCGCTACCGGACTCCAGTCAACCATTTTATCCCCGCAACGGTGGAAAAATACCAACAACGACCTTAAAATGAAGTCTTCACTGACTGTCCCACTACATGCATGAGGACCAGAAACTTTCCTGATTTAGACGAACACGAGTAACAATAAAAACATTCCGCCCTGAAACAAATCAGGACGCACTTTTAGGTGGTTCCTACCTACTCGATTAGTTTTCTGAATCGTTTCACGACGGCCAGGAAAAGTTAAAGCTGTCTGAAAAATTTACAACACCTCAAAAATGTTTTCCCCTCATTTATCATACGAAAAATAAGTTCATGTAAGGAATTTTGGCTGAATATGAAACAAACTAATATAAACGTTGATTCCTTCTTATATCGATTAGGGCATTGGTACAGTGCGGTGGCCAAGAACCGCCACTGCTGCAAATAAAAAAAGAATGCAATAACAAAAAAAGAAAGAAAAAGAAGTCATAATGGAAGTTAATAAAAAAGAAACAGTGCAGATAAAAAAAAAAAAAAAAAAAGCCACAACGGAAGTGAGCTGCTGAGGACCAATAATGATGACCAGTGTTTTACGATCCAGGTACAGAAGACGACGGCGAGAAGACAAGCAAAGAAGTAAGTGGAAAGGTTATTGTTTATTTAGGTTATTTGGCTTCTTGAAACTGGTGGATTTTGGTGTAGTGTTAGCTAGGTAGGAAGCGCCTGAATGTGCGGCTAACGGATGCCTAGATTGTAAAACACTGGAGCATTATCATTACTGGTCCCTGGCAGCTCACTTCTGTTGTGGCTTTTTTATTTGCATCCTTTTATTTCCGCAGTAAGTAACTTTTTTTTTTATATCGCCACTTTTTTTTTCCTGCATCATTAATTCTGTTGTGGCTTTTAAAATTTTTTTTAATCTGCACCGTTTCTTTTTTAATTTGCAGCGGGCTTCAGTTTCTTTTTTTTGCATCAGTAACTTCCATTGGGGGTTCTTTTTTTATTTGCAGCAGTGGCGGTTCTCAGCCACCGTAGCATAGCTTTTGACTTCTTATCTTAATGTCTGAAACTGCTTCCAGGAATTGGTACCATTTCCATGGCAGTGTTAATTAATTTAACAGGCTTCCTCCACTGGATCATTCAGTTCTTCAACTCTTAACACTTCCATGGTATGGAGTTGTTGGTTTCCATATCGCATATCAGCAGATCATCATAGATGATCTGCTGATATGCGAGCTCAGTGGCTCTTACTGAAACCTCAACCTTTTATGCACTTAGAAACAAGCTTCCTTGAATGTCTTCTAAGTGTCTGGTGGTCAAGTCTACTCTTTTCGCCCTTCCTGAACAATAGCAGTACATTTCATTATATGAAGGCCCAACAGCAGCATTTTCTCTCTTGTGTTGATGTGACATAACTGATACTTGCTTGATATTAAACTGGATTTGGAGTTTTCTTGTTCTCTCTAGTCTGATAGCTGCTATGTCAACCCTCCAAATGATTCATTCAGGTCTCAAAATAGCACAGAGATATAGATTCCATCATGTCATGTAATTCTACATGTTAGTACAATAGATGAACTCATATGACACATGGTTACAAAAAATATTTAATAAAATGGTGAAAACACATTTCTATGTTGAAAACTGAATCAGTTATTACAAAATTATACAGACATCATCACCTAAGACGTCAATAGATGTCACTTCATCACTATGCACAGGAGGTATTGAAGTTCATCAATTTGTTACAATGTGATGTCTGCTCTGCAAAGTCAAACTCAACCAATTCTTCAGGTCTTTTTAGGTGACATGTCCTCTTTGCAGTTGTTTTAACCGTGCAAGTAAGATTTTTCCCATCAACTTATGACTTCTGCTCCACAGCGAAACTCTCGACAGCAGTTTCTGTTTGCCATTACATGTCCTCCACACTCCATTTATAGGCCGCTTCCTGAACGGCTTTTTTATCTGCAATCCGCGTGTAGCGTTTCTTTTCGAAACCATTAGACCTGTGAAGCACACAAACCAAAATACGGTGTTACTTTTAAATCCAAATCCTTCCCTTCATCTTTCATCAGACACACCAGTACTTTAGATTAGGCAACTGCACGAAATTAACAGAACAGTTACAGCTACATATGCGGTGTGTGTGTGTTAAAAATGGACATACGACTGCATTCCTGACACTATAAATGCTGGTCACAGAATCCCACAAACTTTACCTGTTAACGCCATCCCAGCGATAGCCTGGTAAAATATTGAAACGGTTTGGAGGAGGAGCTGGGCCTTTGTATTGAGGTTTCTCTGCAAAAACAACACAATGAAGCGTCAATATATGTTCTGTGTAAAAATAATAAGAAATCAAAGATAAAGTCAACTCAGGTAACATGATACACATATCTAACACTTCAAACCTGCTTTTGTATTGTGGTCTTTTTTTCGTCGGAGCATGGCGGCCATAGGATCTCCCTCTCTTTCTTGTTCTCTCAACATACGGTCAAGATCCTCATCATCGCAGTGACGCGCCAGCGGCTTCTGAGCTTCATGCAGCGCATCTTCAAGTTTCTGCTGTTGCATCTGGCTCTGGGCCAACCTAATTACACATGTTGACTTAATTATTGAAGAAGTTGGCGCACAACACACTTCAGGGTCTTAATGTGGTCATAACTGCAGCTTACACTGAACAATTTCATTTAGACTTACCCTTTTCCCCACTGAGAATATTTCTCATCCTTTGCTGCTTTTTCTCCAGCTTTCCTCTTCTGTTCTTCTCTCTCTGAGTCCAGATCCCTCCTTTTGCCACTCTTGTCTCTGAACACTGTCTCGGCATTGCGAGATTCATCTGGCCATAACAGTAAAAAAGACACATAATGTTATCAAAAACAAACGCACCCTTGACAGACCTAATTAAAATTGTGACAGACATTTGAGACCTTGAGGAAGTCAGTACATCAGCTAAACTATGTGAAATGCAATGGTTAAGTCCTATAACCTGTTCATCTGATACAAATGTAATCTGGATTTACCTTCCAGTGGTCTGTTGTTTCGCTCTCTGCGTCGGTTCTCCTCCTGTTCCCTCCTTAAAACATCCACAGAAACCAGACCCGCCTTTCCACCAGAAAGCATCCTGGTCTCCTAAAAAAAGTAAAGAAGCATGCATGTGAGTGAGCTGACACCATGTTAAACAGCAGTTGGGGGTGTATCCAACCTCAGGTTGCTCTTTCGACAAAATATGCTGACCTGTGACTGGCCAAGCCTACGAGGTGGTGACAAATCTCCATCAGAGTCTTTCCCACTCTGCTGTCGCCTCCTGGGGGGTGACTGGTCCGAATCAGAGCCACCTCTTGTTTTTGTGTGCCTCCTCGGAGGAGACTGGTCAGAGTCTGAAGCCCCTCCCTTTACAGGCTTCTTCCGTGGAGGCGACTGGTCAGAGTCTGAATCATGCCTTTTCTGAGTCTTCTTTGACAGTGATGGTGAATGTTTCCTTCTGACTGGGGACAAATCTAACAAAAAGTAATTAAGAGTTTGGTCAACTGTATATATTAATAAACATTTGAACAATAAAAACTCTCTTTGTGAGTGTCAGAAAAAAAGACTTGTTTTTGGCCTGTTAGTTTCAATTAGGCCTGTCACGATAACAAATTTTGCTGGACGATAATTGTGCTACAAATTATCGCCGATAAACGATATTATTGACACCGTTTTTTAAATTATAGATAATGATATTATATGGCATAATAATGCGAGTACACGTGTCAAAAGTGATAAACTTTAATTTCCACTGTCTGTCAGCGCGCACCATTTTGCGCTGTTTTGTTTATATTTGCTTTGCTTACCAAATGCTTCAGTAAGCGGTACCTGTCGGGACGATGGCTCCGCAGCACCTCCGGCGGTACTTTTTTTGCTCAGTTGAGAAAAATGGAGGGGATGATTGTGCTTGAGGTGCACATGCATGTTCGTCTTATTCCCCTTCTTTGTCACCACAACTTTGGAACAAATACGACATATCGGCTCGTCTGTATTTGTGGGCTCACCTCTTTCATTTGGTTTAAAGCAGTGTTGTTCTGTCATATTTTGTCAAATATTTTCGTCAACGCCAGCGTCCAAAAAGGGAAATATTTTCGTCAACGAGAACAACACTGGTTGTTTTCGTTGACTAAAATATTTCCCTTTCTTCCACGACGAAGACGTAACGTTGACGAGCTAAACATAAGTCGGAGATGACTTAAATGTGACGAGACGAAAGTGCGTTTACGTTGATGGGACGAGACGAAAATGACAGAGTTGCAAAACTCAGTCAATTAAACGCTAAACATACAGGAGCTGCTTCAGTCCGCTCTGACAGCTCTCATCAGCCTGCTGTGCTCCTCCAACACACAGAAACACGCGCTCGCGCACACACACACGAGTTTTGTGGTTGACGAAAACAAAACTGGTTTAAAGCCGAAATATTCCCACACTTGGGCTGTTGCGTTCGGTTTAGACACCAAAGCTGTCGTGTTCATTCTGTTTGCTTGCTTTTCACTCACGACGCTCACTTGCAGCACTGTATCCAAAAGTCTGTGTCTGTGTGCCTGTGCGCGCCAGCCCCCTCGTGACAAAGACACTGAATGACTGACAGGAGGGTTCACTAACTCCGTTCATTCCGCTATAGAGCCAACGCCCCCAGGTGCCGAGAAAAATGCACAGAGTGAGACCTCTTCTCTCATCCAGCGTGTTTGGTAGCGAGAGAGGAGGAAAACAAACGCACGTCAATTATCGAGGCTGGCAAAGTTATCGACCTCGTTTTTATTTATCGAGCGATAAGGCGATTTATTGATTATCGCGACAGGCCTAGTTTCAATTTGTAACATGTGCTCATCAACTGCTCAACTTATCATGCATTATTTAAATTCAACTTCTATAACCAATTGAGTTGACTTGATGTATGATAATAATAATAGGTTTTTGGTTGTTTTGATGGTTTTCTTTTTGGTAAACTTAGTTTGTTAAATGCAAACAGATGCCAGGTCTAGCCTCAAAGTTACTTCTCATCACTCACCTTTGTTTTGCACCTTCCCTGACTTTCCTGACTGTTGCCTTGGAGGTGACAGGTCAGGAGAGTCATGGCGTCCTCTCCTGGGAGGGGATACATCTGGAGAGTCATGTCGGGTCTTTCTAACAGGGGAATCATGTCTCCTTCTCTTTGGTGAAATATCAGGTGAATCATGGCGACTCCTGCTTGGTGCTTCAGTCTCTGAATGATGTTGGCCTTCTCCTATCTCACCTTCTTCATCCTCATTCTCTTCAACTGTTAACAGAGTAAACTTACTGTTATTAAACTCATGACACTGACACCTTGTTCAAAGGTAATCTACACACAAATACCAATTACCTCCTATCACCTTCCATCTGTTGCTGGTTCTGAAGACTTCCAGTTGTTTGATTTCATCTGGTCTCTCATCAATTACCTCAGCTATCTGCACAGGCAAAGACAAAATGACGGTTCAAGAGAGGGTTGACTAAATGACATACAAACAGAGGTGGATTTCTCCATGACTACACTATTTGGTGACCTTGTGATAGTGGCTATCATTTCGTTACCTTAACTTTTATTAAAATATAATCAGTTGTGATGAGGTGACGAAATCAATTGATTATTGATATTATTGATATATGCACTGAAACCCCCCAAAAGTAAAATTTCTAAGCTAAATCCATTTTTTTTAAACCAGTGTATTTGCTCCATTCACTGATCATTTTTGCTTTACATAAACAGATATAAACTAACAAATAAAGGGCCATTCTGTATAGGGGAGAGTGGGGTAAGATGAGCCATTTTTCATATTTCGGATCACTACATCAAGGCAATCATAGTTTAAGCTAAGTTTAAGCTAAATCCAGTTTTTTTAAACCAGTATATTCGCTCCATTCACCGTTTTCTTAGAAATAAAGGGTCATTCTGTATATTTGTTACAAACCGTCAACTAACAACAAGCAAACCTGATCGCAACTAAAGAGGGACATGCACTTATTTCAGGTACACGGCCTGTGCTTTAAGCTGTGAATCCTTCATTTAGGGGTTAATTTGGGGATTTAATCCTTTACTTAATAACTGAATGGACACAGGCTAAAGTGTTAGCATATAAGCTAAGATGAGATCTTACTATTGGTGCTTCCTCTTCATCCTCTTCGGGCTCTTCGTCTAGTTTAACCATTTGCTTCCAGTCTATATCGTCGTCCACTATCTTCAGACTTTGTCAAAAATACAAAGAGGAGTTCATTAAAACAATGTAAACCATCATTTTAAGACACATTTTCAAAGCAGCGAGAGCAATACAAGAGATTCCAGTTAGCTTAAGAGCTACAACACCGTTAAATAAACTATTATCACAGACTCACCCATGTCCAGGAACCTTACGCCGTTTCTTTTTAAGCTTCCCTTTTGATTTCTTCTCATCTTCGCCCCCGGATAGATATCGTTTTAAATATTCTGCTTTGGATAATTCAGCTCCTTTTTTGCTCTCGGTTGAAGCTGCCATCGTGTTTTTGAAAACTACGGAAAGCCGCGCAAGTCAAGAGGAGCCACATCCGCAAGTTTCGCAAACTACTTGTGTTGTGTAGATGTGTGCAAGAGTAACAGTGAAGACGTTTTCAATATAACACACAATACCAAGAATATCGTGGGGAATTGGTTCAAATAATGTATACTGAAAAAATAAAGTAAGACTTTGAAATTTGAGTGTGGATGCTCATTTAAGATTATATTTTGTCATTTAAGAAAATCCATCATGAAATGAAATAAAACACAATTAAACATATCTAGGTTTTGTCCAGGGGTGTCGAACTCAACCACAGCAAGGGCCATAGTCTGGATTTAAGTCTAACCTGAGGGCCCACCAAACAGTGATGATTATAAACCACATGAAAATTCAAAAGTAAAAAAGATAAATTTAAAGGCAATCTGAGATTTTCAAAAAACTTCCCCCAGAATTAGGTTCTATAGACTCCCCGTGCCCTGAAACGTGCTCCTAACACAATTCTGGAAGGTGAAAAATTGGGTTGGCACTTAAAAAATTTTTCAAATTTTTTTCCCCATGCATTCCTATGGGAAAAAATCAAATTTTTTTAGGAACGTCCTAGAGACTCGGGCGTTGGTTCATTGCACTCAGAAAAATCCTAGCTCCAAGCCCAACCCTAACCCTAGCTCCAACACTAACCCTAACTCCAACCCTAACCCTAACCCTAACCCTAGCTCCAACCCTAACCCTAACCCTAACCCATGCATTCTAATGGGAAAAAATCAAATTTTTTTAGGAACGTCCTAGAGACTCGGGAGTTGGTTCATTGCATTCAGAAAAATCCTAGCTCCAAGCCCAACCCTAACCCTAGCTCCAACACTAACCCTAACTCCAACCCTAACCCTAATCCTAACTCCAACCCTAACCCTAACCCTAACCCTAGCTCCAACCCTAACCCTAACCCTAACCCTAGCTCCAACCCTAACCCTAACCCTAACCCTAACCCATGCATTCCTATGGGAAAAAATCAAATTTTTTTAGGAACGTCCTAGAGCCTCGGGAGTTGGTTCATTGCACTCAGAAAAATCCTAGCTCCAAGCCCAACCCTAACCCTAGCTCCAACACTAACCCTAACTCCAACCCTAACCCTAACCCTAACCCTAGCTCCAACCCTAACCCTAACCCTAACCCTAACCCATGCATTCCCATGGGAAAAAATCAAATTTTTTATAGGAACGTCCTAGAGACTCGGGAGTTGGTTCATTGCACTCAGAAAAATCCTAGCTCCAAGCCCAACCCTAACCCTAGCTCCAACACTAACCCTAACTCCAACCCTAACCCTAACCCTAACCCTAACCCTAACCCATGCATTCCTATGGGAAAAAATCAATTTTTTTAGGAACGTCCTAGAGACTCGGGAGTTGGTTCATTGCACTCAGAAAAATCCTAGCTCCAAGCCCAACCCTAACCCTAGCTCCAACACTAACCCTAACTCCAACCCTAACCCTAACCCTAACCCTAGCTCCAACCCTAACCCTAACCCTAACCCATGCATTCCTATGGGAAAAACTCACATTTTTTTAGGAACGTCCTAGAGACTCGGGAGTTGGTTCATTGCACTCAGAAAAATCCTAGCTCCAAGCCCAACCCTAACCCTAGCTCCAACACTAACCCTAACTCCAACCCTAACCCTAACCCTAACCCTAGCTCCAACCCTAACCCTAACCCTAACCCTAACCCATGCATTCTAATGGGAAAAAATCAAATTTTTTTAGGAACGTCCTAGAGACTCGGGAGTTGGTTCATTGCACTCAGAAAAATCCTAGCTCCAAGCCCAACCCTAACCCTAGCTCCAACACTAACCCTAACTCCAACCCTAACCCTAACCCTAACCCTAGCTCCAACCCTAACCCTAACCCTAACCCATGCATTCCTATGGGAAAAAATCAAATTTTTTTAGGAACGTCCTAGAGACTCGGGCGTTGGTTCATTGCACTCAGAAAAATCCTAGCTCCAAGCCCAACCCTAACCCTAGCTCCAACACTAACCCTAACTCCAACCCTAACCCTAACCCTAACCCTAGCTCCAACCCTAACCCTAACCCTAACCCATGCATTCTAATGGGAAAAAATCAAATTTTTTTAGGAACGTCCTAGAGACTCGGGAGTTGGTTCATTGCATTCAGAAAAATCCTAGCTCCAAGCCCAACCCTAACCCTAGCTCCAACACTAACCCTAACTCCAACCCTAACCCTAATCCTAACTCCAACCCTAACCCTAACCCTAACCCTAGCTCCAACCCTAACCCTAACCCTAACCCTAGCTCCAACCCTAACCCTAACCCTAACCCTAACCCATGCATTCCTATGGGAAAAAATCAAATTTTTTTAGGAACGTCCTAGAGACTCGGGAGTTGGTTCATTGCACTCAGAAAAATCCTAGCTCCAAGCCCAACCCTAACCCTAGCTCCAACACTAACCCTAACTCCAACCCTAACCCTAACCCTAACCCTAGCTCCAACCCTAACCCTAACCCTAACCCTAACCCATGCATTCCCATGGGAAAAAATCAAATTTTTTATAGGAACGTCCTAGAGACTCGGGAGTTGGTTCATTGCACTCAGAAAAATCCTAGCTCCAAGCCCAACCCTAACCCTAGCTCCAACACTAACCCTAACTCCAACCCTAACCCTAACCCTAACCCTAACCCTAACCCATGCATTCCTATGGGAAAAAATCAATTTTTTTTAGGAACGTCCTAGAGACTCGGGAGTTGGTTCATTGCACTCAGAAAAATCCTAGCTCCAAGCCCAACCCTAACCCTAGCTCCAACACTAACCCTAACTCCAACCCTAACCCTAACCCTAACCCTAGCTCCAACCCTAACCCTAACCCTAACCCATGCATTCCTATGGGAAAAACTCACATTTTTTTAGGAACGTCCTAGAGACTCGGGAGTTGGTTCATTGCACTCAGAAAAATCCTAGCTCCAAGCCCAACCCTAACCCTAGCTCCAACACTAACCCTAACTCCAACCCTAACCCTAACCCTAACCCTAGCTCCAACCCTAACCCTAACCCTAACCCTAACCCATGCATTCTAATGGGAAAAAATCAAATTTTTTTAGGAACGTCCTAGAGACTCGGGAGTTGGTTCATTGCACTCAGAAAAATCCTAGCTCCAAGCCCAACCCTAACCCTAGCTCCAACACTAACCCTAACTCCAACCCTAACCCTAACCCTAACCCTAGCTCCAACCCTAACCCTAACCCTAACCCATGCATTCCTATGGGAAAAAAATCAATTTTTTTTAGGAACGTCCTAGAGACTCGGGAGTTGGTTCATTGCACTCAGAAAAATCCTAGCTCCAAGCCCAACCCTAACCCTAGCTCCAACCCTAACCCTAACCCATGCATTCCTATGGGAAAAAATCAAATTTTTTTAGGAACGTCCTAGAGACTCGGGAGTTGGTTCATTGCACTCAGAAAAATCCTAGCTCCAAGCCCAACCCTAACCCTAGCTCCAACACTAACCCTAACTCCAACCCTAACCCTAACCCTAACCCTAGCTCCAACCCTAACCCTAACCCTAACCCATGCATTCCTATGGGAAAAAATCAATTTTTTTTAGGAACGTCCTAGAGACTCGGGAGTTGGTTCATTGCACTCAGAAAAATCCTAGCTCCAAGCCCAACCCTAACCCTAGCTCCAACCCTAACCCTAACCCATGCATTCCTATGGGAAAAAAATCAAATTTTTTTAGGAACGTCCTAGAGACTCGGGAGTTGGTTCATTGCACTCAGAAAAATCCTAGCTCCAAGCCCAACCCTAACCCTAGCTCCAACACTAACCCTAACTCCAACCCTAACCCTAACCCTAGCTCCAACCCTAACCCTAACCCTAACCCTAACCCATGCATTCCTATGGGAAAAAAATCAATTTTTTTTAGGAACGTCCTAGAGACTCGGGAGTTGGTTCATTGCACTCAGAAAAATCCTAGCTCCAAGCCCAACCCTAACCCTAGCTCCAACACTAACCCTAACTCCAACCCTAACCCTAACCCTAACCCTAGCTCCAACCCTAACCCTAACCCTAACCCTAACCCATGCATTCCTATGGGAAAAAATCAAATTTTTTTAGGAACGTCCTAGAGACTCGGAAGTTGGTTCATTGCACTCAGAAAAATCCTAGCTCCAAGCCCAACCCTAACCCTAGCTCCAACACTAACCCTAACTCCAACCCTAACCCTAACCCTAACCCTAGCTCCAACCCTAACCCTAACCCTAACCCATGCATTCCTATGGGAAAAACTCACATTTTTTTAGGAACGTCCTAGAGACTCGGGAGTTGGTTCATTGCACTCAGAAAAATCCTAGCTCCAAGCCCAACCCTAACCCTAGCTCCAACACTAACCCTAACTCCAACCCTAACCCTAACCCTAACCCTAGCTCCAACCCTAACCCTAACCCTAACCCATGCATTCCTATGGGAAAAAATCAATTTTTTTTAGGAACGTCCTAGAGACTCGGGAGTTGGTTCATTGCACTCAGAAAAATCCTAGCTCCAAGCCCAACCCTAACCCTAGCTCCAACACTAACCCTAACTCCAACCCTAACCCTAACCCTAACTCTAGCTCCAACCCCACACCTAACCCTAACCCTAGCTCCAACCTTAAAGTCAAAGTATGACTTAAAATTTAAAATTTAAATTTTAAGGATTAAAATGACTTAAATCTAAATACTAAGTTGGAAATAAAAACAAGGCACAAAATACAAAGTCAAATCATGTTTGACTTGTAATCTTGAGATGCAAAATTAGAAATATGGATGAAACACATTTTATTCCTCTCATTCTTGACTATTTATCAAATCTTCCTTACTCTTTACTTTCCCAGATTTTCATGGTTATTAAGGATATTTTAAATGACGGTGCTAAAGTTTACATTATCATCCTGGAGGAAATCTGCAGACTTCATACAGATGGGCTCATAATAATAATACAAATCTGATATGATCTCGTGGGCCAAATATAATTGTTCAATGGGCCGGATGTGGGCCCCGGGCCTTGAGTTTGACACCTGTGGCTTAGGCTATACTTAAAGGAGGACGAAATCACATTTCATAATAATTTTCACCGTTAGTTACATAATTCACAAACTTTTTTAACTTTGTTCTGTATTTTTATTGTTGTTTTATTTTATTTCATAAAAAACTCTGTGGGTCCAACACAGAACTGATAAAGTAACCAATAAATCTATTTGTGCAACAGAAACAATCATATTTAAACCACTGAGATGTTATTTTTGCTTCTAAGATCACATCAAACTAAGAGAAAAACAGTCTTTTGGTTTTCCAGAATTTACGTGGGATATTGAGTAAACAGATTTCTTCAAACACACAAGATTCAAAATTCAAGATTCATGATTCAAGCTTTTTTATTGTCAACTTCTGCCATATCTGAGCACATACACAGAAATCAAAAAAGATGTTTCTCTCCAGCCCACGCTGCAAAAATACAGAGAATAGGCCTATATAAAAAATACAAAAACAATACAACAGAGAAAAGTATAATACAGCAGAGGAGTGGTACATTCTCACATCTACCCTTATGCCTTTTGTGTCTACGTACAAAACACACAAAAAGATCTTTAATCCGGGTTTAAAATTATTCTGACACTTTCAAGGATATCAATATTGTTGATCTTAAGCCGTTCATGTAGTTCCAGTTTTTTTGTGCTTGTGTAATGACCTTCATTTCTCTCTATCCAATAACCCCTCTGTCTCATATTCACATTCCACTCTGCTGACTCAGCCACTGTTTATGAACTGATCCTTGTTGAATATGACATTTAAAAAAGTTATTAATATTTTCAAATAAATAGCTGCAAATTACGAGGGCTAGAACATCATGTAATATTCACTCTAGAGAAATGCAAGAACTAATAAACATACATCACATTGAGATGGAAATCATGTGAAACCACAGTCATCCTCTGATATTATAATTATTGATAGACCACATCCAAGACCACGTCTGGTTCTAATGTGCATCGCTTTATTGAAACCAAATACTGCAGTTTCAACAGCATTATTTAATCATTTAAGCAGCATCAGTAATGTTTGGAAAAAGAAATTCCAACATTATTTGGTGCTTTTGAGAGGAAGACAGTTGACAACATGGATGTTACTGTGGGGGAGTCTGTGAATAGGGAGAGAACTGTAGGCATGGTTGAATGTGTGTAAGATGAGATAAAAAGCACTGTATTTATCCCCAAGGGTAAATTCGATATAATGTACAGTAGGTGCATTGCAAGCCTGCATGTTTTTTTTTTTTAGTTTGTGTTTCTTTTACTTGTGGGCTTGAAAGAAAGAGAGCAGCAAAGAGATGATCCAGAAGCAGGAGCTTTTCAGGAACAGGCTCACAGCAGAACATGGAGCAAGTTGCTCTGTGGAGGAAGAAAAGTAGGATGAAAATAGTTTACAAAGTCCTTTAGATTTTCTAGTATTCCAGTGCTCACTCTCTCACACCCACTCGCACTCACACCTACCTTTCTCCACACTAATGTGGGCACCGTCCCCGGACAGTTTGCACATGTAGGTGGTGTTGTGCGGGAGTTTGTCTAAGAAGCCAGGCAGGGTCATTCTGTATCCATGAGGCTCAAGCTCCTCTACGTAGCTGTCTTTGAATTGACTCTCTGCTGCCGAGCCAGACACATTAGTGTTAATGATGAACTGTTTGGATCCAGACGTCCAGGAGAACTCATAGCTGTTGATCCTGTTGGGTTTGGGCACGACCCGACAGTCCACTCTCAGGTCGCTGTCATCTTCCAAACACACTGAGATCAGCTCACACTGTGCTGGGATCAGCAGGACTGGGAGCAAACACAGAATAACACATCAGGAATAAAAACAGATGTTTGCAATCTCATTCAGAGGATATTTGGGTGGGGATAACCTCTCAAGAATATTCCTCACCTCCCAGCACTCCAAATACAAATAGAGTCTTGATCATGATAGAGTCACTCATCCAACTATAACAATAAGGGAGGGGATGAGAGGCAGAAAAACAAATTACAAAGTGAGTGTTGAAGCATTAAACATACAGTCAGAGGTTTTTTAAGTGACATACCATAACCCATTTAAATCAGGGACTCTGAAACAGTGCGTTATTCTCTAAGTGTACAAGTTCATGGCATAATTTTGAGTATCAAGACAAAAAAGTACCACAAGTAATTGAAAGATAAAATGGACAAATTGAAAAATCATTCTAACTTCACAGCAGAAATCATGAGCTTGTTGTTGCGTCACAAGCCGACAAGCTTGAGCTCCTCTGACCACTTGTGGTCAAATCAAATGACTGGACATTTGGAACGAAATATGACTCAGTCATTAAAGCATCACTCTTGTTCTCGACTCGGGTGTTTTCCCTGTTCTGTTTGTTTCCTGTTTGCCACAGAGTTTCCCACTTTGTCCAAGGCCCTTGCCAAACTTCTAAAGTTTTCAGCATCACAAGCCTAAAACTAACTAATCAGACTGATGCTTGCATATCTCTGCATGTATAACTATCTCCTGTTATCATACTCTGTGTCTGTGCATATTCTAGTATAGTCCATTTAGTTAACTTTATTTAAACACGTTAGTACACTGAGGCAAGCCTCATTTACAGTTCAGACAAGAGTACAAAGCAAAACATACAAAATACAGAACAGATATACACAATCAAATACAGTAAAGCACAGAACAGAAAACCTGACGGGACTCTAAAGCTTAGTCAGTGCAGCTGCAGCATCTTGTAGCAGTCTTACCTCCAGTCGGGGATGGATGATGATGCAGTTCCTGCCTGCTCTTGTTTTGTCTGGCTTTTGGATGGTGGTTGCCTCTGTGAGAGTGCAGCAGCGCTGCAGAATATCTGACTTCTGAGACAAGGTGGGGGAGACACAGAGAGGTGGAGAGACGGTGGGAGGGATGAGGGAGGAAAGCAGCTTGCTGATTCGCCTTTCTCCTCTGCAGTGTCAAGCAGCGGACACAGGATGGGTATGAGGGGAGATGGGCAGGCAGAGCAAAAGCACGGTCAGCATCGTCATTTATACCAGCACCTTGCCCGACCTTGTCTCCTCTCCTCTCTATTACGTTCTTCACTTTTGTTTCCTATCCTCACTTGTCCTTTCTATGTAGTTGATACAAACCTGCCTAAAATCTGCTCTCATACATTATTAATAACTCTCACAGGGATGTTTAGGTGTTTTGCACAAACAGCATTAACCTGCACATTCCCATCATAAAAGGGGCTTTTAAAAAGTCTTCTAAGGCACATTGTCTCATCTCAAGGGCCTGCTTACAAGAGATAAAGATGTGATCCACCAGAAATTTCTAGAACTGACATACCACCATATAAATGAGAAACAGTGACTCAGTGTCTCCATCTGAAGGCTGCTCAAAGGAATTTTATAAATTCAGTGAGATGCAGGTTCCCTATCTTTATCACTAGGTGCCACTGTTGGACCACTTTTTTTTTTACTTTGGTTGGTTTCAGAGTTCATTGTTCTGACCAAAACAAATGTCTGAGACTGAGTTTATAACATGGAAGCCACTTGTGTCATATATTCAGTCCTTTTTATTTTTGAGAATCAAAGATCCAAATTATCTAACAACCCAAAGTTGTCTAAATGAAGCGAAACATTTTGCAGGTAAGCTCATCAATATTTTTCTAAATTCTGAGCAGGCTCTGAGCAGAGGCAGAAAAACCATCTGGACATTTTTCTCATCCATCTGGAAGCTCAAGGAGGTAGAATTGGCTTGTTGATAATATCAGAGTTTCCGGTCTACTTGAGCTGGTGAATCCAGAGAAAACTTACACAGCAAGAGAGACCATGTAAATGCCACACAAAAGGTCAGGGTCTATTAAAGACCACATGCTGAAACTTCCCTTTAAAGAAATATTGTTGGAAATAGCTGACAAGCTGATATTATGAGTAAGATAAAATTACAGAAATCAAAAGAGAAGCATTTATTGAGATATTGATAGGAAGATTTGAAAAATACTGATGGCTAAATTATTCAGAAACCACTGTGATTCATTAGAAATCCTTTCTTTTGCTTTTTTAAACAACCTCACTGAACAGTGGCAAGTACCCACGTTTCATCTATGCTGTGAGATAAGACGTTCCTCAGATAAGATGTTCCTTTCATAGTCCCACGGGGGGAAATTCCAAAATGTTATGTTTGTATGCTTAGTATTTTATCTAAAAGTAGTAGCATCATCAACATAATTTAAATATAATGTAATCTGGACTGTAGCTCTCTTTTAGAGAGACTTGCAGTTAGCATGCTACAACATCATTTTTCTTTTTCATCGTCGGAAAATCCGGACTTATTCTTAGACATGTATGGGCTGCAGTTTTGAGCTCATTTGACAAAGGATCACAGTGATAGCCTTTGTACTGATGCCACTACAAATCATTTAACCTCTCAACCAAAAATAGTTGTTCTGGTATTCTGCAGTGATATGCTCTCTTAGCATTTGTTTTCAGCAGATGGGAACATCAAAATCACATTAGTAATGCCCTCATTGAGTATAAATAGTTCAAAACGCAACACTGTGTGTTCAAAAAAAGACTTGCTGGTGAGTTTAAGGCTATCTAGCAAATAGCTTCACATGTAGCTTTATACCTTTTCACTCCTTTTTAGTTTTTATTTAATTATTAATTATCTAGTCAGTGCTAGATGTATTATGGGAGACAATTATGCATAAAGTTGATGGTAAATTGATTTAAAAAATGCTCCTATAAGAATCTGTTCTTTAGTTGACTGCTCAAAGACAACCAGAGAAATCTTCAGTTCTTAGACATAACATTTATTTAGGTCACATGAAAAGTTGTACAGCGCTTGACTCAAAATGACAGAGCTCCTAAGATCTCCATCACAACAAGCGCCCATTTCTGGGTATCATTTACATTTATCTTCTTGGGCAGAGATTGCCAGATTTACAGAGGTTGGACTTAAATGCAACTGAGTATCATTGGCCAGTTATCTCCAACATGAACAGGCCAACCACTGCTCACACAGACTTACTAAAATGTGCACACAATGAAAATATGTGTGTGTGTGTGTGTGTTGTTGACCTTGAGGTGTGTAACTACTGTAGCAAACCTGTCCAACAGAACAAAGAGAGCCTTATAGCACATCAGGTTCCTCCTTATCAAGTTAGATGTCATAGTGTTCTGATTAAATGAAAACAACCTGTGAGTAAATGAAAACATTCAGTAAATTGCATTATGCTGTGTTCAAGTTACCTCGGAAGTCAGAAATCTGAGCTGAAAATGACAACACACTCGAGTTACAAGCGTTTCAGCTACCAAGTCTACATCTATGAAAGTTATTTTAGCACTCGCCTTGTCTGAATATAAGGCAAGCGCTAAAATGTAGTTCTAGCCATCTTGTTTTCACCTCCGATTTAGCTTTTTTTCTGACTTGGTAACTGAAACGCTGGTAACTCGGGTGTGATGTCATTTTCGGCTCCGACATCTGACTTCAGAGGTTACTCGAACGCAGCATAAGTTCATTGAAAAGGTACAAATCTAACTGTAGCAAATGAAAAGATGATTATAACACTCCCAAATTAATGATGTTTCAAATTTCTGAATATTCTCCACAAAGGAAATGGTTTTGTTTGACTCATACACTAATGGACATGTCTTAGTTTTTGAATGATAAACATGAAGATGTGTTGTTAGCTTAGGGAACCTCAAAATGCATATAAAGTAGGGGCTCATAAATAGTGATCAATCAATGAATCAATCAGTCTTTATGTATATAGCACTTTTCATGCACAACATGTGGCACAAAGAGCTTTACACAGGAAAAGGAATAAAAGAAACAAATAATACCCAAATCTACCCCAGCCCAACCCCTCATTCCCACCCCACGGTCTAATTGCAAGAGAAACAGTATTAAAATGCATAAACTTAAAAAGGGCTTGATTTCATGGAAAAAGAAATGTGTGTCCTGAGAAAACGTCATTTCAAAACTCAAGATAAGGAAACACTGGAGGTTTAGGTTAAAATCTAAAAACAGAAACATAGAATGAAATTTAAGAAATAATAAATAAAATGAAATAAAATCAACAGCAAGAGCACCAAAATTGCTCAATAAAAGACGATTTGGTGATTAAAACTCGAATAGATAAATGCTAAAACACTTAAAGTTAAGGATATCAAATTTAGTTAAAAGCAAGACTTAAAAGGTCTGGTTTCAGTTTGCTTTTAAAATCATTAATGATTGTGTATGAAAAACAAACAAATAAAAAAGCAAAATTCAAGCATGGTGTCTCTTTAAGAACATAGATTCATGTTTAGGAAAATCAAATATTTGTAATAATTTAAGATCAATCCTTTTATAAATGCAAGAGGTAGAGGGTTGAGGCCGGGAGTCAAACTAGCAGCTGCTTTGACAGAGACTGTAGCCTCGGTGCATTTGGGGACAACTGAAATCACTACCTACCAAAAGCCCCATCCATTTAACTGTTCTAGAGCACATCAGATCACTGCAGGCTCCCATTTACCTAATAGGTTGTGCTGGTGCCCATGTGTTGTTGGGGTGGGGTGGGGTGGTGGTTCATTGATTTTGGAGTCTGGTACGCCCCTGTTAGAGACCCCTTAGTTTCCCTTTAATGAGTCTGCTCATTTACAAAAGCCTGACTGCGCCTTTCCCCCCTAATTTGCTCACGACTGGGGCTTCGCTCGGCTCAGCCTTCACGCAGTCACAGATAGTTGTCGGTCTGGACTGAGGGGGAAGGCTATCTCGGAAATAATCTGCCCACGCGATAAGCTGCTTTATCTCAGCCAAGCCTCGGCCGGACAGGGACGGCTGCTGCTCGGTGGTGTCCACTCACTAGGAAGTCCGAATTAGAGAAAGAAAAAGTGACACAGACTGTGGAGACAAGTTTGAGAATCTGGGGAGCGCGTGCTCGGTGTGCCGCATACATGGAGACCTGATTGGAGCCCAGACAGACAGACACACACACAGACAGAGCTGAAGCTGAACCTGTTGCTGCGTGTTGAGTGTTGCGGGCAGGAGGCAGAAAACAAGCGCACACTGGGATTTTAACCACAGCGAGAAACTGGCACGGGCGGGTTTCGGGCATGGACAACGCTGGATATTGGATATTCCTGATAACAATTTGTGTATTTCCCGGTAGGTTGCCTTGTTTTACTTTGCATCCGGTCTTTTATAGAGATATGATGATAAATTTTGTCTATTTCAAAGGAGGAGGCGAATAGTGAGATTAGAGATGTGCCAAAACACAGTCATATCAAGTGTATGTGGTCTAATGAGTTGGAGACTACAGGACACTGGCTAGTAAGGAAAAAGGCACCACACATATATATGTTTAAATATATATATGTTTATATATATTTTATTATTTTCCAGGGTCTCATCATATTTTTTTCCTTTTATAATAACAATACTACTACTACTACTACTACTACTACTACTACTAATAATAATAATAATAAAGTCAATCTTAGTGTATGTTTACCTGCAGATTAAAAAAACATTTATCACTTAAATTCAACTCTTCACATCTCAGGCGTATCAAACTTCTACTGTTACATCCAATCCTTCGAGATCTTATATGTATTATGTAATGACAAAAGCTATTGTGGCAGCATATGGACATGTTGAGCCGCACAGACATCTGCTGTGATTGCTTTTTTCACTCAGCAAGTGCTAAACCCCCCTTTACCAGTCAAGCAGTACTTAATTTTCTGGTGCGCATGCATGTGTGTATGTGTAAAAACTAAGTGTGAGGTTGCACCATGTGTGTAGGATTGTCATGTTGAAGGACAGAGCTGTGGATTAAAGAGCAGGAAGGGTGTAACATCATGATTGTTGCCAAGATCCAGCCTGGTTTGCTGACTGTTGCTGCTACAGGGTTTCAGTCTCACTTCAGCACCTCCACAGATATCTGTCAGGTGGGCTCTGCAGGTTCATCTGTCTGTGATGCTTTGTAAGCTTGCAGAAAGTTGCAGAAAAGACAGACTGAAGCTGACAGACATCCTCATACTTTTTTTGATAATCCAGAGTCTAAAGCTGGAGCACACAGACGCTACCCCACAGAAATAATCCCGCACAAACACACAGCCCTTATGTCCTCTCCTTTTTTTTTAAATTGTCTCTTTGTGAGCATCTCCCTCTCCAGAGTCGACCCATTTGGTACCAAAAATTTTTTTCGCCTCCATTGTCTCTCAGTTGGAGGGTCTTCCTCTACAGACATTTCCCCTCCATCTCCTCTCTTGGGTTTTGATTTTCCTCTCATGTCACAAAACATAGATGCAGCAGCAGCAGTAGTCGCAGCAGTCATCATAATCCTGTGAGCTGCCCGCTGATCACCAGCCAAGTGCACACTCCATGCCTCAGCAGCGCCTCAGAGATTACACACCCACACAAACACGCACTTAACTACACGCATGTGGACACAGATTCAAGAAACTCATTAAAAACAATAACAGATTAAAAACAAAGAGGGAATTAGTATCATCTCCATTTCAATCAAGTCAAATTGAAAAGGACAAAAGAATTAATTTGGTAAAAGTGGAGGTCTCAGGTCAGTTTGTAAAGTTGGTTTTGGACCAACAAAGAATGGGGATGTGGATACAACAGTGTACAGTAGTGACATTAGATTATGTCATAAAGCGGTTAAACCTCTCCCAGACCACCCAATGTTACACATTCTCAAAGGTTTGGTTTAAGCACCATGCATTGGAGTGTGTAAACACGGTATTTGAGGATTTGTGTGTCTGTATCTGTGTGTGTGTGAGGCAGTTGCTCTTCACTGTGCCTTAGGATAGGAGTCCCTACATTGTAAGTCACAAGGCAAAAGACTCAAACACAGTGAGTAATCCCCGATCAATCACAGATTTGATGGTCTAAAGATTAAACAGTTAATCTGTGCTCTCCTCTTTCTCTCTCTGGGTTTTTCATTTTCTCGTCTGTCAAAGGTCTGAGGCCCTGTGAGCAAAGCTGGAGGTAGACGTAGTCTGGATGACTTGAAATGTAGTTTGTTGTAAAATGCCTTTTACTAACATGTATTACAGAATATCATGAGAAAAATGATGTTTCGTGTATATAGACATATGTCTCAAAATACCTGAAACATGTCGCCTATGTTAGACTGGGGTCTTTAATATTCTATCTGCTTTAATTACCGACTTCATGTCAAATTTAACCAAACACTGGAGATTTTGTAGTTTTTAGTGGAGGCTTTATTGTAAGCTCCAGGATTGTGTTGCAGCTGATGCAGTCTGCAGCTTCAGCTCCTCACATAACACAAAGTAATGGTCCAACAAAGCATAAGGATAATGCTTTTAATGATTGTTTCTCAGATTCTGGGTTTTATCACAAGATATTTCTGATTGTGTTTTTTTCCGAGTACGATCGTAAAAGTGTCACTGACTGATACTTTTTGATTGATAGTTTGTGACAGTGTAATTTGCCAAGTTTTTTTAAACAATAAATTTATTAAACTTTTACAAATACAAGTATACAAAAAAGAACATCAAAAACATGGACAGTTGGACAATGAAATGCATAGCCCAACATCCAAGAAAGTCCAAAAGGGGTCTTCAAATCTTCTCAAATTCGTACTTAGCCAAGTTAGCATATTACTGAAGTCAGTTACATTAAGAGTCTGTCATAAAAATGTCCTTTGCAAAAGTTCTTGTGTGAGCTGGCAAAAGTGTTCATCAGATCCCAAACTCTCTGTCACCTCAGTTGAAAACGTCGTTCTCAGGATATCTTGTGCCCACGATTGTGCAGCTAAACTGAGGGTCTCTCACAACTTAGGTCTAACTTTTTTTTATTTTTTTTTACTATTTTTTTATAGTACATTCAATTTGTATCTAGAATGACATCTTATCTCAATAGCAGGAAGAAGCAAGCTTTGTGAATGGATTCAGAGAGTCTAAGGCAAAGCCTGCCCCTGTCCCGCTGTTGAACTCAGACACACATGTGAAAAGGTTAAAAATGGCCTGTCACATATAGAGAACAAGATGCAGGATATCCTCTCAGGACAAAAACAAAAAAACCATCACCACGCTGCGATGCACCTGCTGTTTTTGCATGTTGCTTTCAGGAGAGGAACAATATTGCCATTGTTTGTTGCATTCCCATGGCTGTATCTCTCCTGTGTGCTGCTGCATATGGATTATTGTCATGAGGACTGCTGAGGTCATTTCCCATCGCTCAAACAATAGAAGAATGTGAATGGTCATGGCAGAAAGAGGAAGGTGGGAGTGATGGGAGGCCAACGAGATAGGGCTGTGTGTTCACATGTGCGTGCGTGTGTTTATGTTTGTGTCAGAGAGGTAGACTCCCTGTCTGTTCTGCCCTCTCCTAAAGCCCCTAATAAGCTCAGCAACTGAGGTCAGTACGTAGACTGGGGGGTATACTAGTGTGTGTGTGTGTGGGTGGGTGGGTGGGTGGGTTGGTAGGTAGGGAAACGTTTAAACACAAGTGATAGGGTATTTGAACTCCCTGGTAGGCAAGCTGATTTTTATTGAGGTCTTTATTAGACAGGACAGCCAAAGAGAGACAGAATGGGGAAAGACATGCAGCAAGATTGTACTGAGAAGTCGAACCTACAACCACTACAATGAGGACTATTGCCTTTGTGTATTGGGTGCGTGCTTGACCAAAAAAACCCTACAAACCCACTTTTGTTTTTACGACTTGGATGCATTTGCTGAATTTGAGTTTTTGGTATTTACAGAGATGACTTCTCCATCTGAAAACATCCGTCTAGTGAATCAGCGGAAGAACATTTTTGGACGTACATTTGGTTCCTGTCTTATTAAAAGTTGGATAAGAATATTAATTGTCCTTTTTAAACCGTTATAGACAGCAGACATTTAGCTTGGCCGAGCTAAGCACAAAGACAGGAAACAGGGAAACAGCTGGCCCAGCTCAGTTAAAGGGTGACAAAATCTGCACACCAGCCATTTAAGGCTTAGTAGACAGAGGTCTCTTCTGGTTCAATGTGAGTTAAAGAAAACCAATATGTTAGATAACACATTCACAAAAGGGGGGTAAGTGCAGCACAGTTTGAAAAACCCTCGACACTATCGGCCGTATAAAACATGGGCTTCGGCTAATATCACCCTGTGGTTTTTGAAGAGATGTGTTGAAGATGGTTTGAGTCAGGCAGAGAGGTGAAATGTAGCCTGTAAGCAATCAACAACAACACATCCACCAGCACTCCTAGCCTTTGTATTATCTTAACAAATGCATTATCAGCATTGATATAGTAAATAAAACAACATATTCTTCCTCTTTTTACATTTTAATTTAGCAATTTAACAGCGCTGTTAAAGAGGATTCCTTGGTCATGAAGAGTCTGAAGTACACTTGGGAATATTGCACCATCTTTAGTTTTTAAGCACCTACAGCTTTTTCTCTCTTAACACAAATGGCATGTAAAAACTTTCATTTAGAGGACAATTTGAGAAATAACACCCCAACTATTAAGATTCAGGTACTGTAATCAGAGTATATGTATGGGATGCTGACCTCCTTTGCTTAATTGTGGGCTGTTTGTTCCCCCCGAGCCCTGACCAGTCTCGTCCATGTTGCTGTTTAATGCACACCCATGATTGGCTCCAATAAGACGAAAAAACAGCAGCTTTGGTTGATGTTGGTTGATGTTATATCATGACAAACAACGATGTTGCATCATGTACTTCTTTGTGAATGGTATGCTGTAAGACTTCACTGTGGAGTTTTTAAAGTGCCTCATTAACTCCCTAAGTGAGCTATTAGCAGCTGATTGTTGATACAGAGTTGAGTCGTGCTCTGGACTTGTTGGTACAAGATGTGGTTGAAAATGAGGAAAACTCGAAAACTCCAAATTCAGGCAACTGGACTGTGTAGAGTTTGAGAAGACATTTCAAGAAGCTTCTTCAGTTCTGAACTGGAGAAGCTTCTTGGATAACATCTTCTCAAACTCTACACAGTCCAGTTGCCTGATTTTGGAGTCTTCGAGATACCATGACCTGGATGAATGAGAATCTACATGGAGAAATTGAGGAAAAGAACAAACTTAGTCAAATACTGGTATGGTGCTCCATCCAATACTCCCCCTTTCTCACTAATGTGCTCTAACAGGCTTGAATACAGTTGTTTCAGTTTAATAAGGCCAGGCTGGGGCGACGGCTCAGGTGGCAGGTGCCTCATTTAAAGAGGCCATAATCTTTAATGCTTTAATGAAGGTTTGACTGCTGGCCTTGACTTCCTGATAAATGTCCACCCCACTCTCTTCTTTCCACATCTGTCATTCCTCCACTTATTTTATCTAATATCAGTATAAAATTCCCCTCCAAACAAACATAAGGCCATCTAATCTGTATTGAGCTAAGTGCTAGCAGTAGCATCTTTTCTTGTCACAAAGATACATTAATGTTTATTTGATATTATATACATGTTTGTGATTAAACACAATAAGTTGTTTGGGTAAATGAATGATGCACTACCATAACGAGTTAGGATGTGTCTGGATATTTTAAAAAAAATCTACGCCCACATGTTGGATTCAATAAAGAGTTTCATCAGTTTGTGTTTTAGTTGAATTGTTAATCCTCAAAATATCAATATGGTCCCTTTATAGGTTTGCAGACTCAAACATGCACGAGTACATTTGTCATGACAGAACCCGCTGTATTTCAGAGAAAACATTTTGTAACAGAGGGACCAAAAATTATCTAATGCAGATGCACTTTAATATCGTAAATGGTGTAATCTACTCTCACTGCTTACCTTCTTACCTCCCCGTGACCCATAGCTGTTTATATAAGAGGGTATGAAAGGCACAGTGAACTGCTCACACATGAAACTATTACACTTATTGATCTCACAAATCTGCTGCGACTCAAGTTATACGCGATAACTCGTAATGACGTAAGTTGTATTTTTGGATGGCTGATGTCAGCGGGGCAGAGATGTGCTCTGTAGGCAAAGTTTTGTGCGTATGTTTGGATGAAAAATAATTTATCATGTACAGATGCTCTTTAGCATATTAAATTCTGTCTCAGGATTCATTTAAGAGGTTTTTATTAAATTTATGCTTTAATAATTATCTAATGGAGGCTTTGTTTTCCTGTTCTCATCATTTAGAGGATGGTACATCTCTCTATAATGATTTTTCTGATGTGCCAATTTTCTAAATATTTTGTCTGTTATTAGTGAAATCTGACTTAAGTACTTCTTTAATAATTTATTATTAGCAATAAAACAAGAAAGAAGACAGATTTATATAAAATAGTAAATGAGCAATATAAGTACAGTCTTCTCCAGGTTAGGAACAAGAATGTGAATTACTTGTGTTTGAATCATCTGCTTAATTTTTGTTCAATTATCAATTATTGACTTTTCAGCAGACCATAAGGTTGAAGGGAGTTGTATTATCTTGATGCAGTTTCCAGAAATGTGTGACAGGTTCAACTCAGTCAATCAGATATCAGATATCAAATTTAGAAGTTTGGGAAAAGGTCCAATGAAAACTGGGAATAAAAGAGAGACGAATACCTTTATCAGGAAAACAATGTTACACTGAGGTTAGAGTGGAAACATGGGCCACACCACATATTTCATATTATTGATGTCTGCCAGAAGAGCAACTGTCGGGCATTTTGAGAGTTCGCATAGACAGTGTCTGGTAAAACTCAGAGTGGTTATCTTTGCAGGGCTTTTATACGTCATACATATTTTGGAAAGTAATTTTTGAGCAGATTTGCTATTATCAAGAAAGTGTAAATTATAAATGCCAATCTAGAAAATATTAATCTGAAATCTTATTGTAAAAAAATTACCTTACTGATTAATTCACATTGCAAGGGTATTACATAACAGGAAACACTGTGGAAACACTCACCAGCACTCCTGAATGTCTGCTCAGAGGTGCAGATGCTCTAAAAGCAGCTAATGTAGCGCTGACCTACAAGCTTTAGTTGGAGTCATAGACGACAGAGTCTGGTAAGATCACTCTTGTTGTGCTGCATGAAAACAGTTTATTTTCTAAGTGAGTCTTCTGCTTGTTTAAATTACATTACTTAAGTTAATTTATCTGCCCCCCGCTAAATCCTTAAATGGCTTTACAGATCTTTTGGATGTGTGCAGTAATGCGGGCTAAGATCGGTAAACACACCTTAAATTGAGAAACTCGTGAAGGTCCCCTTCAAGGTCTTGGGCTAAAACATGACCCTGAATAAGTTTCAGAAATAAGCCTTGTCATTATCAAGAGATAGAAAGAGGGAAAGATAGATAAGGTAAATTGAATATGGTGCTGAAGTTTAGATAACACCAAACACACTGTGGGTGTCGGTTTTTGCATTCGTCACTGAGAGGGGGTTGCATCGTTCCTGGAAGTACTGCAGTATCAGGTCGATGCCCCTATTCCAAAAGGCCGAGAAGTGACACACACATTCACATTCAGTAAGACCTGAATGTGATAAGCAGTAAACCATGACATAATCTGGTGTTATTCTGGCCCTAGAGTATTTACTCAGCTCAAAGGCTTTGTCTTGGACATAATGTAGTTTAAGGGATTTTTGAAAGAGTGTAGTCTCAGACTGTCTTACAGTCTTAATAATGCATACAAACAAGTTTTCAAAACTGTCAATTCAGTTTCAAGTTCTCCTGAAATGCCAAAAGGGAGAGAGAGGAGAACAAAACTCAGAAAGTATGTTCAATCACAGAAAGGCAGAGCTAGAGCAAAGACGCACCGCCCTCTCTTCTGCAGGAAAAACCAACTGTGATAGAAATATGAGAATAACTTCACAAATAACTAGAGGACCTTGTCAGAGGAGGGGAGTGGTTTTAGTTTTGATGTCCGCCTGGGGTGGTTTGGACTGGTTGCTCTTTGATAGCGACGAGACACCCACGGTCCAATCAATATTCATCCATTAATGACTCGGAAATATTGGACAACATGACAAACTGTGACATCTCATTATATTTGTATTTTTAAATACCGTATGAAACATGGAATTCCCCCCAAGGTTACATTCACTCTGTGTGATTCAGCATCATGTTCATATGATTTCTGGTTGTTTGGTTTGAAGGACAACAAGCTGAACAGAAAAAAAAACAAAATGAATGAATAATATGCTATGAAATCTAGTTTTTAAGACTAAAGCTAGGTCAGCTTTATGGTGATCAAACAAGAATGATTGTTTTTTAAAATATAATTCCAATCTATTGGCAAAGTGAGCAATCACCTAAGCCCGTGCTCAGTATTTACAACCCCAATGTCTGTCATTGGATGCTGTGAGAATCTGATAATATGAATACTTCTTTGGGATAAAGTTACTCTTTTTACCAAAGATGAAGCAGACTAAAACAAAAGAAAAAAAAGTCATAATTTTTTGTTCATGAGGTTCATATTTAACGGGTGATAACCATAGACTGTATATAGAATGGACAGAGTCTGCCTCCTCGCTGAGTGAAGCCACTCCAAGAACAGCACCCTCTGGTGACGGGCTGCAGTATAGGTCATAAGTCCCGCCCCCTCCAGCAAAGCTTATGGAGCTGTGGACAAGCTTTAGAAATTTATTACACAAGACATAAATTTTTCTCCACCTGCTTGAGGTGTTGACATGTAGTTACTGTAAGACTGGTTTGTGCTCAAGTCATTTTTTTTCTGTGAAGCTCCGTTTTTAAAAGTTATTAGGGGGTTCATGTTTTCTATGATTGACATCTGATACAGCCTATTGGCGTTCAGGGATTGTGTAGCTCACCCGAGCGTTTGAACTGAGCGTCATCACAGTGAGTCTTGCCGACTCTACTGCTGAATGCACACAATGCTACTGCGCAATGCTGGTTTCAGGAAATGAAGAAAAAAATCATGGAAATACCGAGAGCTCTTTGGCTTCAAATCCATATACAGGCGGGAGGCGGAACCAAGTTGTCCACACAGTCTATGGTGATAACCTGTTGCAGGCTGTGATTAAAAATGAAATTTAAAAATATATATTTCCCCACAATGAGAACGAATCTTTAAAGTGTTATGTCCATTAGGAAGTGATACCTTTAATAATAAGGGAATAGCAGTGGTTTTAATGAATGTGGATCCCTTCAGCCCTCTGCTGTGTTTGGCTGCGCCTAGACTAAGAGGAAAAAGGGTCTTTGAAAAGATTAACCATAAAGATAAAATGATTTCTTCACAAATAAGAAAATAAAGTTTAAAAAGATTTTGAATTATCTAGTCAAAGATGAACGAATGTAACTGACTGAGGAATGATGGTTGATATTAATCCAGAAATGCTGTTTGTGGGTGGACTGAGAGCAGCTGTTGTTCGGGGCCTTTTATCCAGTGTATCAGAAATATTCTCTATCATGCAGTACAAGTGAATTCATTCCTCCTGAAGCTGCCAGGTTAAATACAGTGTCCCATGATGTATATCTAACAAACACACGTGAACACACGTGGCTCATGTACACTCAGGAAGTGGGCGTGTCTCTGCAGTGGATTTGTTAAAGGGGATCAGTAAGTCAGTGGGAACAGTAACCAAACAAATCGTGTTTATTTATACCTCGCTCTAATCCGAAACCTTTGACCGCAGCTCACCTCTCACGCTGCTAAAATGTATCGCCTTTGACAGATCAGCTCACTTTATCTGCTCAACATGCTGGGCTGACTGTGAACAGCTTAGGGAGTGCCAGTTTGATGCTGCCAACATGTGTTTATTTGGGGTTTGTGTGTGTGTTTGCATTTAGAAATGTGTACAGGCATGTGTGCCAAGCACAGGTGAAAGTGTCTGTCTTTAACTTTTGTGTTTTACCTCCAGGGGTGAATGGCCAGACTGTGGAGATGGATGATGGGAAATGGGGCTATGTTGGCTCAAAGGTGGATCTCCGCTGTCGGTTCATCAACAGCTCCCCGCCTGTCAAAATCTCACAGGTAACACAAACACTGATCCATCTGAACGTATGGATTACACAATATCATGACATAAAATCAATCAGAACTCATCTTTTAAATCCAGATAGATCACCATCAACACTGACAATACTTGAATGTACAATGTTAGGTATTATGTGGGGTTTTATACCACATAGGGTTCTCGATTTACCCTACTTTTTTGGGATAAGCAGGCTCAACAACACCTGAAGTTCAGCTGAGAGATGTACGGTATCACCAAGCTGCTCATGGTCTGTCTCTGTTGACTCAGACGTTCTGCTTTAGGCTCAGCGGGTGCTCAGATGAAAGGGATGTTTAGCTCGTTATTTTACGCTTCTCCCGCACATAAAAGGAATGACTTCTGGCAGTTTACTTCAGTTGGACTGACGATAAGAAGTAATGGTGAATATATAAAAACTAATGCAGTGATAAAGCATTAGTAACCAGACCAGCTGTAAAGGCGAGAACTTCAATCAGGTTGGACTCTCTCATATGAATAAAAACAAACTCAGCCAAAAAGAGGTTAATCGATTAATTGATGTGATTTAATAAATGATAACCTAAATATGTTTTGGCACATCAATTTAATCATCCATTTTTGGTTGCAAAACTTAAAGGGTTTAATATACAATGTGGGATTTTAAGGCCAAACATAGAAAACGTAATCCAATCCATTGTGTTGCGCTCTTATATTTGTTTTACTCTGTTTAAAATCTGTATAAATAAGAATTCATGTTTACCTGGAGCAAATAGGAGAAAATGTGATCAGGGTGACACCCATCAGCAACAGAACTGAATAAAATTGAAATATCTGCATATTATTTCCCCTGATGTGAATCATATGGCATGTGTTACTGTAACAGTTTTGTTTCATTCTGTGAAGTTAAAAATGAGGATTTACAATTCCCAAAAGTTTCTCAACAGACCGATTCACCCTTTAACTTTACTTCATTTTAACCCTGTCCTCTCCAGTAAATGAATAATAATTACTGATACATCAATGTTAATATAGCTTTACTTAAAGACTTAATGAAATTCAAGAGGGTCTATATGGAAACATCTTTTTATTCCTCCATTGTCACACCGATGCCACTGCCCAGAAAAATGCTCATTATAGCACTGAGTGTTGTGTTTGGTGCTTTGTAACACAAGGTGATAAAGGAAAGATTGAAATTCACAAGACATATAAGCCTGAGGGAACTAAATGAAGTAGCTGATATTATCACTTTGAGACAGCACAAGCTCACCAGCAAATCAACCATATTAGCAGAGAAGCTAAGATGATCTGAGACCCCCCCCCCCCCCAAAAACAAAAAAAAAAAAAAAGAAATAAAATAAATAAATATATAAAATAAATAAATTGATAAATAATGCATAGGTATGAATAAAATGCTAGGCATATGTTTACCTTTTTTCATGCCTGATGTCCGCACCATCATTTAGTCAGGCATATAGGGGAAAAAACATTGCTGCGCCTGACTGGACTCAGTGTGGTGTTTGACCGCTGTTGCTCATCTGTATCACATTAAATCCTCTGGATTTTCCAGCACGCTTCCTAATCCTTGACACAGAAAACAGTTACCTAGAAACACAGAAAATGTCTTTTTTCAGTTCAACATGATTAATACATCGTAATTACATGGTACTTTAAGTTTGCATATTTTTAAAGTTAATAAAAAACTTTATTTGTTGAACACATACCCAGTTGGCTGAAACCTACTTTTACTGATATATTGCTGCAAATGGTGTAAAAATGACCCCCTTTGAGTTAATTCAGCATATTTTAGGCTGTTCAAAGAAGAGGTGATGCATCAACATGGTAGACATGCCTCCGGCCAAATTTTTGTGAAATGTGTTGGAAGTACCTATGGAGCCCCTCTGGCGACATTTGAGGAGACAATAACGGATCGCCCCTTGATATTAATTTATTTCATTTTTCCTGCAGATTAAAACAACTTCAGTTTTGAGCTATGTGTGTGTGTGCGCATAAACACAAGCACTCACACAATCAAAAGCTATGTATAGCATAATCCTCCAACAGTACCACTACTACTGTCAATCAGATTTTAATACAAAGTACCCTGATTCATACTGTAACAGAGCGTGACTACGTGGTCAAGAGGAAAACCATAAATATCTACAGCCTGGCACTCTGAATGTTATTTCACTCAGAATCCTGTCCGATGCTGGGTTTTGATTATTTTTGAAAAAAACCTTAAAATAACTTCTGAGAGAGTGATTACAGTTATTACATTCAGTGATAACATCACATGGGAGGAAAAACAGGTTATCTACCACTGAGTGTGTACAACGTGTTATGTCTCAACCTGACTCTCATGCAAATTCACAAGCGTCACACTGATGACTTTTCAAACTAAACTGATTTTCATTTCTGTTGGGAAATGCTCTAAACATTTGCTCTGAGCTGCATTACTGCTCAACTTTGAAGTTACTTTGAGTATGATGATTGCTCACTCTGACTATTGAATGGAGTCAATTTGAGCTTTTCATTTGAGTGGAGTTAGAGAAAATATGCAGTTTTTGTTTTTAAAGAAATGTAATTTCTTGTGTACTGAAATGTTTTGAAATCTCCAGGCAAATATCAGGAAATAAAGGTTGAAACAGACTGTAAAAACAGGCAACCACTGACACTCTTATCTGTACCTGATGGAAATTTAAGGTCACCAATGGGTTCTGCCGTGACACCTGGCCTGACTTAACATTTCACATGTTGGTTTCTTGTCGTTTTTCTCACCTGCACTATCTAAAGCTTTCATTTTTTCCTCTTTGCTCTCTTCAGGTGACATGGCAGAAACTTGTGAATGGCACCAAGCAAAACGTGGCCATTGCAAACCCCTCCCTTGGGGTATCTGTAGCCCCACCCTACAGGGACCGCGTGGCCTTCAAAAATGGAGCAGTTAGGAGGAGAACACCGAACTTAGAGGACACCACCATCATCTTCTCTTCACTGCGCCTCTCTGACGAGTGCACCTACATCTGTGAATACACCACATTTCCTGCAGGGAACCGAGAAAACTCTGTGAACCTCACTGTCTTTGGTAAGGCATATGTTTGATGATCTGGCCCTCAAGTCGAATGTTACTTAGTTAGTTTATGTTGGTAAAGCCTCTCCTTGCTTTGGCTTTATGTTTAGTTGTTCATATATGTGAGGGACCTGCACCATCTAACTCGTAACATTAAGACAAATGTCTCAGTGGGAATATCTGCTTAAGGTGTTAAATTCCTCATCATTCCTCATTTGTCTATTTTTGTTTCCTAAGTTCGCCCAACGACACAGATGAGTCTGTCCACGCCGACACTGGTGGCTCGCTCCTCCAATCTTAAAACACCTGTAGCCACCTGTGTTTCAGCCAATGGAAAACCACCCGGCACCATCAGGTGTGTGTGTTTATGTGTTAAATGTGTTTATTAGTGAAGGTAAAGATGTGTTGGTCTTGCTCTAAACCTCCCTGTGTTGTAACATTGATTTCTTGTTGATGTGAGCAGGTGGGAGACAAGGGTGCCTGGAGAAGTGACCACCAGAGAGTACAGAAACTCAGACGGGACATTCACGGTTCAAAGTGATTACATTTTGGTGCCCAGCAGAGAAACACACAAGGAAACCCTCACGTGTGTGACCTCGTATAATGAGGAGGTCTTCACTGACAGCGTCACTTTAGATATTCAGTGTAAGTCTATTTTTCTGATGACAATAATAATACAGGCTTAACCAAGTTCAACATCTAATTTTTACAAAAATATATCTTTGTTCCAGATGAACCCGATGTTTTGATAGAGGGATTTGATGGAAACTGGTACCTGAACCGAGAGAACGTCCAGCTGAGCTGCCAAGCTGATGCCAACCCAGCCGTCTCCCTGTATCAGTGGAGACTGTAAGTACATCTACATTTGTGTGTGTTTCACTCAAACCAAGAATCAAAAAGGAAACCACAGTGAGTGCTACAATGGGTTCAGCAGAGCGCTGTCAAAAAGGATATTTAATTCAGAAGGGTTTCTTTAAAAATGCAAAGTCTCTCCTGCTCTGTATTTTCAAATAAAGATATTCACCATGTTCACCATGTTTACAGCAGTTGGTTAACATTGTGTATTTCTCTAAATCAAGTTTCTCCTCCTTATTCATCAGTGTTAATAGCACGTTACCAGCCAATACTGAGATCCGAGACAACGTCCTTCTATTTAAAGGGCCGGTCACATATGATGTGCAAGGAACATATGTTTGTGATGCAACCAACAGCATTGGGACACGATCAGGCTCCGTGGAGGTCAGCATTATAGGTACGTTTACTTGGACTCTGAGATCAGTAATGAAAGAAAATACTTCTATTGGTTTTATTGATGTTTAAAAAAAAATACTGTAAATCTGCTAAAAAGAGGAAGGGCCTTTTAAAATGTTTAACATGTGTTTTTATTCTCTCCCTGCAGAAAAGCCACTACCACAAATTGCAACAGGTGACGTCATCAGTGTCATCGCCCTATTGTTGGCTGCTGGAGTGCTCATGGGCATTACTATCACAGTCCTAGTGCTCAAAATAAGAAGCAGAAAAGATGACTCTTCGTACGTACACAGTCCGGTACTTCACATGCCTGCTGTTCCACTATCTTTCTTAATATTCTGAATTACTGTTCTTATCTTTTATTGTCTTTCCCCTTTGAATCAGAAACGACTCACCATCCAGAAAGCTGTCCCAGCCGATAAGAAAGAGACCAGCAGATGACATTCAGGTATCTTTCAAATGTCACATGTTCACAGAGTTGCCAGTGTGCACTAGTGCATTAGCGCATCAAAAACTGCCAGAGCCAAAGAGCTGTATTCCCCAAGTAGCTCCTAATACGCCAAGTTAGACCTGGTTACAGCCAGTAATCTGCTGCTGCAGGTCATAGGTTTGATGGTGTTGGCAAGTCTAAATGGGAATGAGCTAAACCACATTTCCACGGCTGCCATCAAATAAGAACTAAATCGTCTCTTGCAAGTAGAATATCCTGATAATAATGATAATAACGGATGAGACTGGCTCTCTCTCCCCCATTCTGAGTGCTGAAAATTAAAGTTTGTGTAATCTCAGGGTCACTGTATGATTAAATCTGTCATTAAATTACATACCAGTGTGTTTCAAGTAGAGATTTTTTAACCTAACTCAAATACTGATGTCCGTCTACTTATTGAGACAGAAAACTTGAAATTGATACAGTGCCGTGTAAAAGACTTAAAGTGTGTAAGATGGGATCATGTTGGACTTAAGCCACAGAGGACGCACCTGGTACTATTTTTAAGTTGTTTTGGTGATATTGAGTTTTATCATTCGTAAATGTCATTTTAATTTAAAGTAATTTCAAGGTGGGAAGATCATAGGGTCATTAAGTGGTTATATTTGCTTGTACTTAAATTATGATTCATGAATGTGTATTTTAGACATTAGCAGATTCTACAATAGCCCTGACCTGTAAGGGATCAGGAAGAAATGGAGCAGATACAAAATGGAGGAAACCTTGAAAATAAACTGTGATATTTTGGCTGTTTTGCTTCTTTCTCCTTTTCTCCTTCCCTTGTGTATTCAGTGACAAATGAAGAGGTAATTAAAGTTTATAACTTTATAAAGTTTATAATATCTATAACAAGCTGCCACCTTTAACTAGAGTGAGACAGAATTCTGCTTCTCCACTGTCTAGCCTGACCAGGTGTCAAATATAATGCATTTACTTTCAGCTGTACAACTTTTGGGGAATCTACACCTGTATCCATTTTCTAGGAAATTGTTGTGTGCTTCCCTTTTTTGTTGCTGGGCAAATATTTCCTTTTTCCAGCCTGTTACATTAACTTGAAAATGGCAGGAAAGCCTCACCTAATAAGCTTCACTAATAATTCACTTAACAATAATGGCAGAGAAATAATGAGAGTCGAACATTTAAAAAAACTACTCAAGAAAGTAAAGTATTTTGTCTAATCATTGTACAGTAAGAATGTAAGTGTATTGTTTCTCATAGTTAACCGTCTTATTTATACGTCTGCCATGTCTTCACAGCACTCAGGAAGGTTTTATGAAGAGCTTCCAAACACAGCGGACTACGTGAGCTACAGACTGGCCTGTAACAAGGAGGACTACCCTGAACCCTACTCTCCTCCCATCAACCCTCCTCTCTCATTTCTGCCACAGCACCCTTACCAATCCTCACATACAACCCCTGCAACTAGCAGCAGCAGCAGCAACAACACCATGTCCAAAAACACCTTTTCTCCCCCTCCCCCACACACTACGGCCATCTTTAAATACCCCTCGGTACCGGGCCTGTCCTCCCCTCCCCCCGGTGTGGCGGCGTATACTTTTCCCAAAGAGCAGTACGTCTGAACCAGGACTTCATTTGTCACAAACTCAAACTGCTTCCACGAGGACAAATGAAACACTCAGATTTTTTACCCAAACCTTTCCGAGAAGGAGAATTTTTTTTTACCCTAAGCTATCAGGCAGTGTCTGAACCTTTGTGGACAATTCTGGAAGGTTAAGGGTCGATGCAGTTTTTTTGGTGGACTTTGAATCAAGTCACATTTTAAAATGTGTTCTCTGTTTTGTCCTGTCTTTTATTGTATAACCTGTTCTATGAAAAGGGGAGTTTGTTGGACTAATTTTCGGATAAGTTGTAGGATAGAGAGAGGTCAAGTTAAAAATGATTTAATGCCATTTGAAAAATGCATATTCGACAGATGGACTACATTTGATTTGCAAACGCTTCTGATTTAGGATTACCTCTTGATGCCTGATGTGATTGGCCCCTGACTTTACCTGGTATTGTATAATTTTGTATAAAAAAGGAAATGAAAGAAAAGAATGAGGATTTCCTACTTAATCTCTGAGACCCATTTTCTTTATCCTGCATCGTACACACGGACAACCCTTTTACTGTAGAACAGCGGAACTCACCTTTTGGTTTACCTCCTGCTCAGATGAAAAACTTTTACTGTGTTTGTATTTTATATAATATATGTTTGTTTTTTTTCTTTGCAATGAACAATAAGCACATTTTTATGTACTCAAGAAATGTTATTGTTTATGAATTCTGTGTTTTATTTGTGTGGTATTAGTGGGTTTTAGTATTCATTGACACTGGTTGTTGGATGAGCCTTGAATTTTTAGCATTTCAATAAAAAATGATCATGGTAACTTGTCAAAGTTGACTGAAAATGATAAAACCCTACTGACTTTCTTATAACACTTTCTTCAAATAGTCTCATCATACATTGCATTAAAAATCAAAAGCCAGCTCTGACCTGCCTGATGTAAATCTGAGTGGTGTTTCGGTGTGTATTGAACCTTTGGACTGCATGGGTTGACGTCCAGCATCATATCTGAGTATGGTACTTCGGTGTTCTGGTTCTGGGTCATCCTAGTGAGGAATGATAATCAGCGTTTTAGTCATGTCTAACAATCTGCTACCACATGTCTTGGACACTCAGGTGAAGAGGGCAGCAGAGCTCTGCACTGATTACCATCTAGTGGTGACTCTGATTTGATCAGGTGGCGGTGGAAGCCGGTGGGTAGACCTGGCAAACCGAGACATGTATTACATGAGCCAGGAAACATCTGATGGAGGCCTCTATCCCGAAGGACTTCAACTCCCAAACACAAGATTTTTTGGGGGCATCCCAAGAAGGCTAAGGACAAGGAATTTGAGTGTGTCTTGTTCAAAGCTCCCATTTGGCAAGAAGGTTGTCATTGGCAAGTGGACACAGACAATGAGGGAGCCATCAGACTGTGGAAGAAGGCCTTTTGATCTTGGCTGGAAGTCTCTGGAAGTTGCAGATTGTTACTGGGTGGCACAGAAGACTGGCTTCAGTGGTCGCAGAAGCAAAAGCACAGAAAGAGTGTCAGGGAATAGGACTAACTAGGACAACTGCATTATCTAGGACTAACATACCGACATAATGCAGTTTCTCTTCCATGTATACCTTTCTATGGGATTGACGATGTCTTAAGCATGCTAACCATGCGCCAGAGTTTGCATGCAGGCTTTGACTCAGAAGATGAGTAGCATAAATGCACTCCTAGAAAGCCAGGTAGTAAACACAACCTGATAGAAGAAAGGACTTAAAAAAGATGAAGCTATCATATTGTGAGTACCCAAGGTACAGAGCTATAAACGTGGTGTGTTCATCGCCCAATGTATATTCCATTAGTCATGTTGATGTGTTTGTTGATTGTTTTGGTATGTGACATCGTAGGTCAGCCATGGGACAGCCCAGTAGTGTCGAACTGAAAGGGGATATTTGACACCTACTGTAGTGAAGGCAGACACACTTCTCTCCATAATTTGATTCTCAAAACTAGGACAAGGTCAGAAGTCCATTTAAATTGCCTACTGAGTGTCTGTTAAATGGCAGGCCAGAGTCTGGAGCATATGTCCCAGTGACTGTGATATCGCAATTCCCAGTCTTCCAGAAATAGTTCATGTCCAAACTGGTCTGGGAAAGTCTCAGGATACCCCAGGAGAAGCTGGAAAATCTTATCGGAGAGGAGGACTTTAGGCTATCTGCTTAGTTTGCTCCTGATCCCAGATAAACAGAGGTAAATATATGGGTGATTGTGTTTTTCTCCCCTTGGTGCTGTTATAAAATTAGTTTTCAGTCATCCTTAATGTGATGGATCACAATGTTGATGTGGTCAGTTTGCCATTTTGGATGAGACTGAATTAGCTGTACCTGCACAGTCAGATTTACAGTGAAATTCTATACTGATGGTGATCAAGAGATTCAAGAGACTTAGACCTTCTAGCATATCCACAGACAGCTGGTTGTTTTAAGCTCATTACTTTTACCTTTTTGTCACAGCAGACAGATACTGCGAAAAAAGCTTTATCGACATGTTTTTATAAAAGACAATGTTGAGCATCAAACCACAAAGTTAGCAACTAGTTTGCTGGTCAAAGGCTGAAAGCACGAAGACGAAGGATTTTTTTACTGACAGAAGCAAAACATAAGAAAGTGAATATTGGTTTGCATTGCATCAGTTGGGTACAATCAAGGAAAGAAAAAAAATAACAATTTCACTGCTTAGCGTGTAATTAAACATCTTCATGCTGCCAAGTTTAGCATAGCAACATAAAGCTATAGTATGTCAGTCTGGTGTTATTTCTGCTGCTCCTAAGTGGCAAATAAAACAGTTATGGCCCAAAATCCAACAATAAGTCATCAGCTCGATTGCATCCATTAAATATCCTCTCCTCAGTGACTTCCTACCCTTCTTTGTCACTTTTATTCATAGTTTCTCACAGACTTCATGTCTATACTGATGATAATATACTTGACAATGATTCCCATCTCCCCAAACAAAAAGTACAGTTCCCTCTGTCAATGGGCTGGACTTGTTCTTCAGAGCAAAGTGATTTCAATCTCAATGAAAAGACGCCAGTGTGTCAGAATATAAAGGGACATGTTTTGGACTAAAATGTGATTTTTTTATTTGTTATATTTATCCTTGTATGACTGCTTCCCTGTTCTCTGTTTTTGTTCTTACACCCTGTCAGTTCTCATCTATGCCAACAGAGGAAAGCCGATCTCTGTCCTGCATTCATTCATGACTCACATCTCATATTACATCCTGATTGTTCCCTATAACAGCCTCTCCTGCACTCTGTTTTTTAAAATAAAAACATAAACTCACATAAAGAAACTGAAAAAAACAACAGCAACAATTTTATGGCTGACAGTGTGTACATGCAGAATCAGCACATCATTAACCATACACTGTGGCTTTGCATCAGTAAACTGCTCCCTGCAGAGTGTTGAGGTCATAGCATGTTGCATGTTAAGAGGAAATGCAGACCAACTCTGTGAGATGCCAGATTTCTAAATCTATTTTAATCCTAATCCCATCAGTACATTTTACTCTGCTCTCTGGTCCTCTGAAATTAAAATCTGAGGCCTTTAATTTCACAACTCAACCAAGATCTGATTTAGCTCCAAGTAAAAAGGATATTTTTCTAAGAAAATCACCTTATAAATACATTTTAAACTACATGTTTGTGCAGTTTAGGACAATCAGTCTGTTTTAAACTCTGTATCAAAAAATAAACTACATCATTAAAAAAAAAAGTTAAAAACCCGGTTTGATCTCCTTTTTAATCCCTCTTTAGCGTAAACATCCATTGTAAAGCTGAGTGAGAAGATTGAGACAGTGTACACGCTCTGTCACATTGCATCTCAGTTTAAACACTTAAAGCTGTATTAAATTCTCACTGAAAATATTTACAATTGTGACCACTGAATTAGAGGATTAAAGTGCAGATGAAAATGGGAACCTGCGTTAATGCTAAGAGCATTGATATCTGCTATTAGTTAATGTGAAGGTGTTTTAAGAAGTCGAACCTGTCCTCTTATGCATCTGTCCTGCATAATAGATGAGTTCAGTACCGCTATGTTATTCTAACCCTGCAGGTGAAAGAAAGAAGGATGGAGGGATAGAGAGAAAGGAAAAACACATTAATAATTCAGCTCAAATCAGTTTGGTGACCTACTCTTTTCCTACTCTCAGTCTAATGAGGTAACCACCTGAGACGGGATTCTCCAAGAAACTTCTGGAGACCGAGCGGGACAACTTTAGCCAGAGGATTACTTGTGGGTGGCTGTTTTTTGTGGCTGCATACATGTCTGCAACCTTTCTTTTTTTGTAAAGAGGATTGTTGGACTCAGTATCATCATGATAACATGGTGGCCCACCTGCTAAGGCTGGCTTTTCTTTTCTTACAATACACAATCAGCCAGAGCACTTCTACAACATATGGTAAGTCTAGTGTCTTTGGATTCATTTGTACTAATGTGGCAGATTAGAAAACGTGAAACTATTTGAGTGATTGATGGAAATATGGCTTGGCCAGCGTTGATTAAAATTTGAAGTTATCAGGAGAATTTATTGAAATTCCGCCAAACAAATGTAAAAATTGAAGATTCAAAGCGCAGCATTAAAAATGGCCTTTTGAAGAACTGGACCAACATGGACGACAATGTTTTGTATATAAGTCTTTATGAAGCCAGAATCTGTATGCCAGAGAAACTGAAAAAGAAAAAAACTGTGTTTAAGAATAAGTTTCTGTGACAATAAAGTGGGACGGCTTACATTTAATGTGTAATAGAGGAAGTCAAAGCAATACAACACTATTTCCTACATGCCACAAACACACCTTTCGAACACCTTTTTTTTTTTTCCGTCACACTATGACCCAGTTATGCTCAAATGCAACTAGATGCATTGGGTTGTTGTTAGTAAGTCGGATTCGTTAACCATCTGGCTTTCCCCTTTGTAAGGCCATAGCAAGAAGGATGTGTTTGAAGACTTACAGTATGTTTGAAATGATGCAGAACAATAGAAAAAAGGTTAGCTGCACTGAAAGTTTATTTATTTATTTTTTTATAATTTACTTTGCACAACTTGAGTCATGCTAACAAAACAGTGTCAAGAATTCATTTATTCTGCTTTAAATATGTGTACTTCTATTTTTCAAGTTATGTTTCACGAAGCTATCATTGATTTCTATTATCTGTAGAGTCTTAAAATAGATCGAACACGGATGGAAAATGTGACTGAAAAAACATTGGGATTGATCCAATTATCTGTTTTGAATCACTTATCAAACTATCATGGTGTGTCTGAAGCTCACAGCGTAATCAATCCTGTAACTGAACACTGCCATGGTACACTACACCTCCATCTCATTTACCTGCACTTCATTCCTTTACATGCATATCTGTGTGCGTGTGTGTGTGTGTTTCTCCCTCTACCTGCAGTGAAGATCAATCAGAACTGGGAGGTGGTGTACCAGGACACCAGTGTGTATGGGGTGGTTGGCAGAGCAGTGATCCTGGAGTGCGGTGCCACTTTACCTGATATGTACATATGGAGCTTCACCAAGCCGGGCACTGAAGCTATAAGAGCCGTTGTGTATGATCTGGGCAAAGGAACGAGGATCCAGAAGCTGGCCGAGACGCTCGGGAGGTTCTCAGTCATCTCAAACAGTGCAGCTGTGAGCATTGAGAATCTACTTGTGGCTGCACATGGCCTGTTCACCTGCCAGGCCTTCTACAACATCGAAAAAGAGCCCAAGGTTTACTACTACTACGTGCACCTCTTTGTCCGAAGTAAGACTGCACTCTATCACAACTAAACCTCAAGCGGGGGTACAGCTAAGAGGGTGGGTGTTGGTGGTGGCATAAGGGGAGACTAGAGAATATAGCAAGTTTATTTGTAAAGTACATTTCATTACAGGTAAGCTCAATGTCCTTCCTATCAAGGCTGAAAAAATTAAAAAACCATAAATCCAGCATACTCCAAACACACCACATAGCAATCAAACATTAAAAGCATAAAGACAATAACAACCTAGGAAACCCATCTGCCCATGTGCCACAGAATCTGAAGGCCCTGAGACTTTGACCTGATTCTGGGTACAGTCAACAGTCTCTCACCTGAGCATCAGTGGTGACGCACCTGTTATGCGCTCGCGGCCTCGGCTAATTTCTGTTTGTCCACTGAGTGTCCATTTGTTACTTGCTCCATTAAGTTTAAAACTAAGTTCTGTAGGCAAAAGCTTCATTTGGATATGCCAATCCTTTTATTCTTAAACAAACTCAAGCGCCATAAACAATAAATTCAACACAAATCCAGCCACCAGCCTGTGGTCAAAAAACAAAAGGCTTCCTGTGCGAAACACCAGAAGCAATTAGTGGGCACCTTAAATGTGCTTCAGTGATCTCCACAGCGCCACACAGGTAAACTAGAGAATGGCTCCACCAATGAGGACATGTACCTCTCAAACCACAAATGTAAATCCATGTTTGAGGTTAACACTCATATTCATGATTTTAAAACTGTTCTTGCACTGTGAAGATTTTTTTTCAAATTGAGGCTTTGAAGGAAAGAATGGTGACTGCAAATACGAAGACAAATGTCAGATTGAGTATGAAAAGTAAATCCACTCTCAGGCCAATGTACTGAATAGATAGGCCCACTTCAGATGTGACACAGTTAGCCTCGCTGAAGATTAAAAAATAAGCAGTAGAAAGCTTGTCCAGCTGTGTCCGGAGATTTAAAAAATGACAATTTGCACCTCTAAAGCTCTCATTTTATTAAGTTCATCAGATCTAAACCACTAGAGTAAAAATATCAAAGTATCCTGTGTCAGTTTAGAGGGAAAAGTCAGACTGGATGGGGTCATAGCCTTGAAAAAACACTAATGCCATGTGGATCTTCTGTCAGGTTTGGTCGTCTCTACCTGTACAAGTAACATATCAGACAGTAGTATGATAATGTTATGGTCTTGATATTTTAGCCGAGGTGAACAAACATGTCTTTTCTGTTGAATACAGTCCCAGTTACGAAGCCGTACCTCCTCATGAGTGATGCTTCCCCAGTGGAAGGCTCTACAATGTGGATGCGCTGCAATCTGGACAACGGGACTGGACCGATCCAGTACACGTGGCAACATGAAACTCGCAGTGGCAACATCACAACTTTTGCACACAGCAACACCAGCGTTATCAACGTGACGAATGTCAACCGTAACCACACTGGCTGGTACCGCTGTGTGGCCAGCAATGCCGTCAACAGCGAGAGCTCCAACCGGCTACCTCTGGAAACCATCTGTGAGTACTTTTGGATGCTTTTTACATAAATAAACCATGGCAGTGATTAAAGATTTATACACCCAAAAAGCAAGAATTTCTCATGAGTACTTAAAACTTTTATTCCTAGATGTGTTTTTGTCCTTTGCTTTTGTTTCCTTCTAAAACATTTAATGTGAATAACTAGTAAACCTCCAACATCATATCATCATTTATTTTCTTTGTAAGCAGAAATTGACTCACATTGAACAATAATTTATTCAAATACATGGGTGACAATGTCATGAAAAACGACTAAAGTTTTGCCACCACAAAATGGACTGCAGGTGAAATTATCTCATTTAGTGGTAAGGGTTATTGTTTACATTTTTAACTACACTGCACAGTGCAAACATGTGGACAACATCACATCTGTATTTCTAAAAACAGCTCATAAATATACCACACACATTGCAATAGTAACAAATTCTCTCTAAGGTAATTGATGGCTATCAAGAGAACTGTGGGATGTTTATTAATACAGCTTTTCTTTCCCTCTCGTCCTCAGTCGGCCCTGACATTCCTCAGATAGACGTGTCTCCGTACACAATAACAGAGCGGGGTTATTCTGCCATGGAGCGAGAGACTGTTTCTTTGCTTTGTCAAGCCCAGTCCAACCCGGCCAGTCAATACGTCTGGTTTCACAACAACTCCCAGGTCTACGCCGGGCCTCATTACACCATCACCAAGATCTTCCGAATGCACACCGGGGACTATGCTTGCTTGGCACAGAACACCTACCTCAACACCCGCTCCAAAAAAACCATCAGCCTGACTGTCTACTGTGAGTGTGACCTCTGACCTCTCACCTTAGCCAGTGGCATCGGTCCTCCTGTTCCATCTAAATCTCATTAATCAGTCTCAAACTGTGTTCCTCTGTCTTGGTGCTGCAAATGGCACTGACCCAGATTCAGGTTTGACATTTAAAGAACAAGACTAGGGGAACACAAATGGAGTGGCTCTTAATCACCTTTGAATTTTCATCTTTATTTACACTTAATCTGCCACTGAAATAACACTTCCTGAACTTCCCGATTTAACCTGTCCTATTTTAAGTGTTAAACCAACACCTACCTATCTCTCTCTCTCTCCACTCAGTGCATCAACTCTAAAATTTCTCATTCTCCTGATACTCGTTTACATCAGGACCAAGAGTTAACACTTACACATCTGTCATACACTCACACACATGCACACACACAGCAGAGGGTGGAAGTGCTGCAGACCAATTCTCCTGCACGTCCAGGCTGTCTGGGAAGTTGATTGGATTCTCTGGAAGGTACCTCGCTGTGATTTCACAGCCATGGCAAGTGTTGATTGGCTAGAAAGCCGAATGCTTGCCATTATGCTCTTCTGTTTATCTATGCTTCATTTATGGATTTCTGTCAATCATTCAAATCATTCAGAGAAACAAATACACAACAGAATTGTGTAATTTCACCAAAGGAAGTTTCTCATAAGACAAACGATTTAATAAGACACAGATTCCCTCGTGTTTAATTTTGGTAAGATGGTTTATACCAGCAACCTGACGACTCTCGTTCTTCAGGTACTTTCTCTGGCCCTGATGGTCCTGTGTTAACTTCTCTTTACAAATCTCTGCTTTGTTACACTGTGTCCTATCCCCACAGACCCACCTGACGGCTCTCCATCCTGCTCTGTTGAGCCAGCTCTGAACCATACCTCTCTGAGACTGCTCTGCTCCTGGCCTGGTGGATTCCCCTCCCCCTCCCTCCTCTGGACCGGAGACCTGAAACGACTGGCTCAAAATGACTCAGACACAGGGCAGCAGACAAATTCTCAGACCAGCACTGCCCTCTTGCTGCGGTCTGAGGACTTGACTGCCAACAACAGTTTGTTCACATGCGTCGGCTCGCACATAGCTCTTAAACAATCTTTAGAGTGCAGCACACGCTCATGTAAGAAACATTTACCCTCACGTTTTTTAATTCTGTCTCTCCAAACCTTTCTCTTTTTAATTCACTTGAACCTCTTTCCCACCAGACATCCCCCCAGCAGAGCCAGTGTGTTTTGCCTATGTGACTAACAATAAAAAGTATCTGCTGTTGTCCTGTTCCTGGGATGGAGGTACCCCAAAGGCCTTAGTGTGGTGGGAGGGCCCAGGGGGTCAGGGCAAAGGCGGGGAGGAAAACTCCAACATCCTGATCCTACGCTATGGCAGCGCTCAAGGTGGATTACCCTACACCTGCCATGCTAAGCATCCTCTACTTGCACAAACCAAGACCTGCAGGCTCACACTTGGTCAGTGAACATCACCCAATGATCCCAAACACAAACAAAAACAGCTGTAATTTGTTAATCTACCCATAATTACATTGTTGTCTGCAGAGGCTCCTGTGTTGCTGACACAGAGGAAAGTTGTGTCTGTGTATGAAGGGAGTGATGTCCAGCTCACCTGCAATCTGAGGGCCAACTACCTTCCTGCTAGTGAGATCACCTGGTTCAACAATCAGGGTGTGGACGTCAAGGACACTTTAAAGTACAGGCTGCTACGAACATCTGCATGGGCCAACCTGACTGTAAGAGACACGCATGAGGGTCAAGACAGCGGCGAGTACAGATGCTCTACTTCCAACGCAGTGGGGGGAACTGACATCAATGTTACTTTAGTGGTCAAAAGTAAGAAATTTGGTTTTTATTTTTTCACTTTTTATTTTCCTGCTTATGCTTTTCTCAGTGATTGCTCTACATTTTGAGACATCTGTGCAAAAAGTGAGATAAGAGGATTCATACCTCTCTCATGTCTGGATCAAAGTGTAGTCAGCAGGCCATCAGATGAGCTCCTGAAACCAGGGACCATTGCAAGCCCTCTGTAGTGGGTTAAGTTGAGCCACCTCCTGCTGGTAAAAGAAATTGATCATGTGACCAAATATTTAGGAGATGGGCATCAATTCATGGAGTCTGTGAAGGTTAGAAGCACATGGGTGAAGGGGTTAGACATTTATTTCTAAAAAAAAAAAAGAAACATTTTTCACTCTTGAAAGTGAATTTAGTCTGTCATAAGTTTTATTAGAATTGTGTTCAGACCAAGAAAAATCATTTAAATTTTGTTTTATACATCAATTGTGGTATCTATGAGCTACAACACGAGGTCAAAATAAAAGTAAAAGTCCACCATTTTAGCTTAGAGGACTAATAAAGTCATAATCATAGTTCTGTGTAAGTTGAGCCATTTGGCCAAAAATACATCTGTGAATGTTCTGGATCACTTAAAGACATTCTCATGTTAAAATAGTAGCGATATGGCTCAACTTAGCCCATACACGTGGTAAGTTGACCATAGGAGACCACTTTTTTTGCATGCTATATTATCAAGACAGTTATGTTTACACTCATTCTGTTGGTTTGCAGGGATGTACAACATCTTGAAATATTTGCAGATACACTAGTTAGAAACAAAACTATGATTGCCTCGATGTAGTGATCCGAAATATGAAAAATGGCTCATCTTACCCCACTCTCCCCTACCGGGCAACATTTGAAAATATTAGGTGTTAGTTGAAATTATTTATCTGATCTGGATGAGGAGATATAATGTAATATGGAGACTGAAATACCTGTAGATCACAAATGCAGTAACACCACAGTATTTCTGTTTTTAATTTGTTAGGACACCCCATGCCACCCAATGCGACCCTGATAAAGGTGGCGTACAACAGCCGACACCGTAATGAAGTGGAGCTAGAGTGGCAGGTAGAGGGTGAGGAAGAAAGAGGCTGGACAGGTTTCATCCTGGAGCACCGATGGATGTCAGAGCGACCGGGGAGGAGAGTCAGCAACAATGACTCAAAGAAGGAGATGGAGGAGGAGGAGGAGGAGAGGATTGGTCCACCGGTCTGGTACCGTAACATCATCCAGGACCCAGAAGTTAGAAGTCAGACAGTAGGAAAACTTACCCCGACCGCAACCTACCAGTTCCGCATCACACCTGTCAACCACCGCACCATAGGACACCCCTCTACAGCAAAGTCTCCAGGTACAGCAAGTGATTCAAGTGCGGACAGAGTGGTCGGGTGAGGACTTTTGTAGAGGACTGAGCAGAGACAGGGATTAAAGTCAGTTTTGATGAGCTATATATGACAGAGTTTTAGAGAAAATCAGGAGAATTAAACAATCATGTCAAATGTGACAGTGGCTTATAAATTAGCTGGTTATTGAAATTATGTTGATGTTGCTAACATTTTTGTTTTTTCTTTTTTTGTTTTCTACGTAGGTGAAAGACATACACAAACTCAAAACATGCACACAATAACAATCACACACTTTACACCGTGCACTCACCTTCTCTTGGCCTCCTTCCATGCCTGCTCCTTACCTTTACCCTGACTTGCTCTTTGTCCTTCTTCTCATAAGTTGTCTTTGTTAAGTGTGCCAAGTCCATTCAGATGTGACACCTAAACCAGGTTATTGTTGAGAGTGTAGAAAGGCTTAAACGTCAGGTGACAGGTTAGGAACGGTTGGTGGTTTTCAACCCATGTGCTGTCAAAGAAGTAAACAAAAGTCCAGTGGGATTTAGTGTGAAAAAAAAGCACAAGTTGCTGACCTGCAGCAACAAAGACTAGCAAGGGGTAAAAAAGAAAAAATAAGTCAGCTACAGATGAGAGCCACTTGTTTTAAAAAAGAAGACCAAGATCAGCAAACATGGGTTGAGAACCACAAAACTGAGTTGTGAAATATCACCCACTTGTCTGTGTTTTTGTCGCAGATGTATTATTTTGCAATATGTAACTGTGATGTGTTGCAGCGGAACCTCGCTCCAACGTGCTGCCGGCTGTGATCGGAGCAGCTTTTGGTGGGATGCTCCTGGCAGCTTTCCTCACGGTGCTGCTACTCGTCTTCATAATCCGCAACCGCAACAACAATCCACGTGAGTCCCATAGATGAGCGCATTCATCCTAATAGAGCGATCCACTGTCTTTGCCGTTGTTCCACAAATCTTCATTCATTTTTTCATGTTTTGTCCTCTAGGACTACATGACTTGTTGTTTGGTTCGTGAGTATCAGTGTTGAGTTTATATTTTACACATCAGCACATCAGTTTATGAAAATGTGCACAAAAATGACGGTTCCTCTCATGTGTTCAGGCAGCACAGTCAGTCCAGGGAAAATATCAACTTCCCGGAGGATGAAGTGGTGGCTGAATCAGAAGGAGGAATTGAAGAAACTGGTGGTTCTTCAAGTCCAGGTAAGATCAACCCTTATGAAATATACATGTACAGTGATGCAGTTCTTACGATGAGAAATAAATGATATTAACTTAATTTGACATAAATATCTAGATTTTTTTGTCAAACATGCAATATTATTACTTTGTGTGTTTGTGTGAGTAGATGGTAGTATGTCCCCTGTTTTCAGTTTAAGATTGCTCTGTTTGATGATTCACATTAGTTGAGCTTCACTTGGTATTTCAAAGCTCAGTTATGCAGTTATTCTGAAAGTCCATTATTTCCAAACCTGAGTGGAGTACAACCTCTCACTGTTTGGAAAGCCATTGTTGTGACAGTCTGTGAACTCCGAGTCAATAACTGGAAATCATTAATCATGTTTGTCTCTTCTGAATGTAAATGATTGGTTACTTGACAGTTTTGTCTGTGGGTGAGGATGAATCACTGACGGGTGCCTCTATAGACAATCGCTCATTTATACTTGTGAGGTCTCTTATCAAACTATTAATGCAATTCTGAGCTAATTACACTCGCCCTAACTTAAAACTAGACATCTATATTAGCCTACAGAGAGTTTTTGCTTCAGAATTAGGGAAAATGAAGTCCCCATTAAATCACAGACATAGTGAATGTTCGCAGTGAACCACACCGCAGCCACGATGTAGCAGACTTAGAAATTAATGCCATTACCTCACTGCAACCTTATCAAACTTAAAAAACATGCACTTATATATTTTCCTCTCCTTGGAAAAATATCCAGCTGTTCTTCTCTTTCAGGTCCAGCCATGGCTTTACCACGGGCATCCTCACCACTCCCCACAGCACAAGCCCCTCTCCCCGGGGGGGACAATGAGCCTGTTAATGTCACCATCACTGTGCAGGCTACAGGCTCATAGTGAAAGATAAAGACGGTTTAACAGCAGTAATAGCATTTGACTTAACAGTATATTCAGCTAAAACATACAAGACAGACTATAGACTCCTCAAATATATCTTCTACTTCAAAACTTTGTCAGTCACTAACTCAAAACACAGACAGGAGATATTTTGACCCTGTCTTAAATTTCATGAAAATGTCCTTTTTAGTAAACAACAATGAGCTCAACTATAAACATTAATCTCTTTGTTTCATTCATTGAGGAAGTGAAAGACTCTTACTCCTACTGCTTCCAAAGAGACGAGCCTTTCTGAAATGACGTTTTTAAGGGTAAATTGCTGATTTTAAGTCATCTTCAATACCCTGTAATGATCATTTAGCTTATAGTAAACAGAAACAAGCAGCTTTGCTTTGGAGGAAGGGGAGATTAGTCCAGATGATCAAAAGATCAGTCAAGATCAGGAGGATTAGGTAATTTATTTTACTTTTGTCCTATTTTTTTAAGTAGTTGGATTAAATGTATCTATGTTTACTATTTCAAAAAAAAAACAAATGTGGAGAAGCAGAGCTCTAAATGGATTACATACTTTGCATACAGGAGGCGCAAAACTGAAAGATCATCATATTCACTTTACATCAGATATTTTATGTTTAATATTGAAAGCTATTTGGTGAAAAATTTTCAACAAATTTCTTCAACCTTAAAATCTGCAATATTTGAGCAACTGTAATGTCCACTTTCATTGTGTCATCACAAAGTCACTGAGTTTGAGCCCAAATACAGAAGTCTTAATTATCAATACTGTCGTCAAAATGTTGTCTGACCTTTCAAAGGGTTAATAAAATTACATTTGCTTCTAAACCCCAGTCTGTATCAAAATTTTCAATAATACTAACAGGACATTTTACCCAAATAAAAAATGCTAATATCCTGATCCAATCAGTTTTTATGAACCTCTTTTCTCATGAACAAACCCTCCATAACATTTGATTCAATTTTTAAACCAATCGTCTAACTTTGAATGACTGGACCCCTGTAATTTATGACTGAGACTTACAGGGTTCGACTGAAATTTTTAATTTTTTAATATAGTGGTCATGTTTATTAGAAGCATATAAAAAACAAATGTTTCTCAGATTTGTTTTTCATAATTTATTTATTTATTTAAGATTTTAGCCAACCAAACATAATCAGTCCTCATGTGGGCAGAACAAAGTCTCACACTTTTCCTATACCCCCATGTTTAACTTCTCTGACTGTCATCTTACTCCAACACTGAACTAAAACCTTATTATAACCCCTTAAAAAAGATAGCCATGTAACATATAATCTGGTCTAACAAGGACAAGAAAACAGATATAAGACACTTAACAGACGACTACATGTAAAATATCAACACAACAGATGGGTATATACACGTTCTCTCTCCGACATCCACATCAGTTTTCCTTCGCCAGTTTGCTGAGTAGCTCATGTGAACTTCTGGGTGCTGATAATGTCACCAAGCTTGTGTTTTATTTTCACAAAAAGACGCTTGAACTCTAGACCATCACCCTGGACACACACAAACATGGGAACATGTCACTAAAGAACGCTAACACATGCAATTAGCAAACATCATTCTGATACACACTCATCAGCTCATCAGATACAGGTCTGTTATATTTTAGCTTTGGTGACAATACGATATGATAAGGAAATCTGGCTTGGACTTGAGTGCTGCACATGCTCGGCTGCATCCACAATAAAACCCGTCTTATTTTTGCAGTGCCTCAGCAGATTCAGCGCTAAACTGAATTCCTGAATTGATTTAAGACTAGTTCTTTAACAAGGGGGACACTCAAAAACAGATCAAATTTGTGCTAACTTATGTTAGTATTTCCAGCAAATCAGCACTTCTGCAAGCTCTTGTATTTGCAGTTCACTTTTGTCATTAGTAGAACCAAAAACTGTCTTTCATCGCTTTGATATTAAAGACATTTTTAAATTGTGTTGATGTATCGTGAGTTTTAAGTTTGGAGTCATTAGTTTGTCTATAATGTCGCTGCAGGTTGATTCAGGCTTTTCACAATATAAACTACCATACTGATAGTATCAGGTCTGTGAGTTCAGAATACACAGAGTGAATTCTTTACATGTCTGCTGCAGCAGATGGGGACTGAGGGGCTTTGATAAACCTAAATTAGCCTCATGATCTCCATCGTATTCAACCCCTCAATCATTAAGGGTTGCAACATTTTTTTAAAGATTTGTTTTGGGTTTTTTGCTTTTATTTAAAGGAACCAGGACAGAGGTTTCAGGCTGGAATCAAACCCTGTATGTGGATCATAACCTCCATTTTTGGGATGTGCACTTAGACCACTAGGTCAGTTCGTTTTACTTTCTAATCCAATCATTTCGTACATTTCTGTTAGTTTTGAATGTTCTTGTGCGAAGTGCTGAAACTCACCTTTGACAGCCTGAAGTCGAGCAGCACTCTCTGATTCATCTCCAGCAGGTGGACTTTGAAAATCAGTTTGTTATTGCGTTTGTCCAACGTGCTCACAGTCACCTACAAACACAAAGAGATATTGACTGATTTATTGATTGATTGATATCTCTTTACTGGCACCAAGACTCTAAAATCTGCCTTACATCTTTGAAGTGCCTTGTTGCTGAAATGCGCTCCATAAATAAACTTTCCTAGCCTTATATCATAATCCTCCTTTTACAATACAGAAGACAAGAAACAATGATAGTATCATTGGAGTAAGGGTCCGCAATATTGGTAAAAATTACTACATCAATATTTAGGGGATTTTACTAATAAAGAGAATCAAAAAACCTTTAAAAAGAAACTTTGTAAAAGTCTTACGTTGCACAGACTCGCTCCTGTTCAAAACATACTTTTACATGTTGTTGTTAAAGATACTGATAAAACCACAGTGAGGGGGTGGGTTCAGACCAGATGACTGACAGCCTTCTTTTCTTTTTGCCATGACCAGTAACCACAGTGAGTAACCACTTTCTTACGTACAGGATAAGAGAGAACAGTTATCACGTTGTCCACAAACTTTAAATTAAATCATTAAAGTAAACACAAAACAAATCCCTGGACTAAGAACTGAAACCAAACAGTTAACGGTTTCAAAGCGGCCTACAGGACCAACAAAATCTAGAACAAGGTTCTTAAACTGGTGACTCAATTTCAAGACTAGTTTCCCATTAAGAGACAAATAATTGTAACAGACTGTGACAGAGGCACACTCAAGTTGTCAATCAGTGCGTTTACATGCACTTAAAATAATAATTGTAGTCGGACTGAAACTCGACTTTTAAAATCGTATAAACAACATTCGTCTGACTGAAAATGCTCTGAAATCAAACTTCATGCTTCACGTTTTCCAGTCTATTTACGGGTCTGAATAAACTTTACCTCTGTGCGCTTTGAGTTTTGTAAAATCATCATTAACAATACATGTTGCCTACATCCTAAGACAACATTTTAGCACCAAATAGCATATTCAGAGGCCTTTAACAGACATTTGATCAGGGATTCAGTTCATTATTAAATTGGAGAATTGACTGCTGCTGCTGCACAAAAGTGTTTCAGCCTGACCTTTATAAAGTGTGGGGCGCTGACTCTCAGGTCTGATGGTGATAGCTTATATTTACTGGTCAAAGACAATGCAGTCGGCCAGTCCTAACATGTTTTTCTTATATGCTGATTCATAGTCCCTGAAGTGGCTGACCTGCAGCCGTGTAACAGATTTCCATCTGGAGAAGGATTTATGTAAAAAGTCAAAATTTCAGGTGCTGGAACTCCTTAAGTCCTGAAACAGGGAGCCTGGCTCTAGAGGGCAGCAGATGATTTCTCTAAGCATGAAGAGTGTATTTGATCTCTGTAAACGTTTTCCATCTTGCATATATAGTTATAGAAGTACCTGTTTGGTGCTGGTGAGTTTGAAGCCCAATGCCAGGCCGTCACAGGCGTCTTTCAAGCCCGATAAGGAGGCGTCAGCCTCCACAGAAGTGAAAAAACGGGTCATCCTGCGCACTAATCTCTGCCAGGGTGACTGTGCACAGACAGAAAGAGAATTTCAGGACAAGACTGATGTATCATTGAAGTATTTTGAAGTTGGCATAAAATATTCACGAAAATAAACAGGAAAAAATGTAAATATCATCACTGTTCTTCTGACAACAGAAGATTGAGTAAATGTCAGCACAGAGAATTAAAAATCAAGCCCAGAGTGTGTGAGTTACCTGACTGGCTCCTGGTGTGCCTAGCAGCTGACTACCCAGTAACATGTGCTCCGGTTTGGTGGGCTGAGAGAAGCTGACCTGACCTTCGCTTTGGCTGATCAGCAACATGGCCTCCCAGCCACCTGCTGCAAAGTCAGGCTGAGAGCTGGAGAACTGCATCCTGTCATCACTACAGAAACAGAAGTTTTGGTTTGAGAGAGGCACACATAAAAATGACTCTGAAATTAAACCACAAAGAATCAAAGCTCTGACCTGCTGGTCCGGGATATAAGTCCTCCGTCTGATCTGAGCAGCGTGTTCCCTGAGCTTAGAGGTTTCTTCACACCTGAAAAGACATGCAGAGGAATCCCAGTGTAGCAAAGATCTCACTTTAACTTGAGCAAACCTATAAAACTGATTCACTACCTAAATATACACTACCTTGGGTATACCAGCGGTCTTTTTTAATGTCTGCGATGGTGATGCGCGCATCTGGACAGGCCAGCAACAATTTGGACAACAAACCTGAAGAAAGACGTGAATCACATAAAACTCAGATCATGTTTTGAATCATGTAGCGTTTGAAGTCAGATTATTTGGGACTCACTCAGAGGCAGTGGTTGTATTTTCTTCCAAGGAGGTAGGTATGTTTTCTTCTGGAGCCAGTCTGAATACTCCTGACAGCTCTCGGTGGGCTTGTCCCATGGCAACTCTGAGCAAGAAGCAACACAGAGACGAAACTTTTCCAAACACTGAAAAAACAGTTGCAATAATAGATGGCAAAAATAATTATAGGAAAAATGACACTGCTTTTATGTATACCATCACTATTTTGTGTTGCACGGTAACTGAGCCCTTTGTAAACCATACTTTTCACATCCTAAAATCCAAGATTCGCTTTGGGTTTCTTCTCACCAAGTTAAAATGGTATGCAGATGACTTAAAACCAGCCTTAAAATATGCCTTATGTTTGTATATCATAAACTATCTGTGTCTGTGTGTCCCCACATTTTCTGAGACTGTTTTAAAAAAGAAAATTGCACTCTGTTAATGACTGACAACAGAGGTGAACATGATATTGAGTCAGGTAATCTGAACTCAGACTTCAGCTGTCACACCTCCAGCCAGCATGGCAGTGAGGACAATCCCACAAGCCCAGATATCTGCAGGCTGAGCTCTGTAATCTGTTTGGCTGAGCAGCTCTGGAGCCACATAGGGAAGCGTCCCACAGAGTCGATTCAGGCGACGCTCCCGCCCTTTGAAACGAAACATGGTGGCCAGGCCAAAATCTGACAGCTTCAGGTTATCTAGAAGACAACAGCAGGTGACAGGTTTAAACAAACAAAAAAAAAAAGGCAAAACAAAGTTATTCTTTTTACATCTTCATGTGCCATGTGTGTCATCACCTTTGTCATCCAACAAAATGTTCTCTGGCTTTATGTCTCTGTGGGTGATCCCAGAATTGTGAAGGTATTCCTGCAAAATCAGCAGGAAAGAATTTTAAAAGAGCAGAGGAAAACACATGTAGAGGGCAAAACCATCACAGAGACTTTCTTCACTCACCACAGCAGCTGTCAGCTGCTGGAAAAATCTATGAGCATCATTTTCTGCCATCCCAACATCAGGCTCTGAAAAAAAAAAAAAAAAAAAAAAAATCCTTTAAGAATACTCGGATGAATGTTTATACGCACAGAAGCAGATCAACAGGCATTCAAGAAAGCAACAACAGACCTGAAGGGTCTACATGTTAAACCAGTAGTGCCATCCAGTTTCAATTATTAATGGGACCTATTAAACCAATGAGTAAGATTAACTTTAACTTAAATGGCGGAAACACAATTAGGCTGTTCCCATCTGACAAGCAAAACAAACCCAGAACTTGCCGCCACCATCTGAATATGACTTGGTTAAATTGAAGAGTTTTCTTAATTGTATGCATGTCCCTTAAGAAAACGCATCTCAATATTTTGATGATTTGCTCTTTTGTCTGATCCTATGCCCCATAATGATAATCAATAAAAAACAGAAAAAATCTGGTTAAAATCTGAAATCTAACTACTGCTGAAAAGAGAGGATCACTTTATTTAAGTCAAATACTGAAGAAAATAAAAGAAAAGCAATACTGGTCACGATCTGGAAACGTGTCTCACCTATTCTGTCAAACAGTTCCCCACCGGTGCAGTACTCCAGGAAAAGGTACATAGTTGTACCTTCTTTCCGATTACCAAAAAAGCGCACAATGTTGGGGTGGTTCAGCACCTGCAAAATGTTGCAAATTTCTTAATTATTTTACACCACCAATAAGTCAAAGTCTGATTATTGTTTAAACCAAAAACGTGCACTTTAAATAAAAACATCCTTTCTCACTTACTACACTAAAGGTAACTTTCCTACCTTGTGTATGCAGACCTCCTTCCTGACATTTTCAGCACACTCTTTCGCCTGTGTGGTGTCGATCACCTTCACTGCTACAGCCTCCTCTGTCTGCCTGTTCACCAGCAGCCTTACTCTGTGACCCAGAAAATAATAGAGGAAGAGACTTTAGAAGCTGTTTGACAGATTAAAGCTGCGATAAAGACAGTGTTACATTTTTGCAATCAAGAGTAAATAATAAATAAAACAGATAAGCGTATTAGCAGTGAACAGTGAAAGAAAAAAACTTGAAATGTGGTTAAGGTCAATTTTATCATAAGGGGAGAGTAGAGTAGGTTGAGCCACCCCCTGAAAAAGAAATTGATCATGTGACCAAATATTTATGAGATGGGCATCAATTCATGGAGTCTGTGAAGTTAGAGCTACAACATGAGGTCAAAGACATAACATAAAAGTCCACCATTGTAGCTTAGAGGACTAATAAAGTTAGAATTGTAGTTCTGGGGTAAGTTGAGCCAGTGGTTCAACTGAGAAAGTTAAGGAGTCTGATGAGAGGATCATTAAAATGACTTTTTACAAAACAGCTTTTTAACAGTTATATGCAATAATATTAAAAAGAATTATTGTACCAGTTGAATAGTGTATAATATATAAAAATACACATGAATGTGAAGAAGTGACTGTTATTTAGGGAGAGAGAAGGTGAGGGAGGGCTGGGGTGGAGAGTAGGGGGTAGTAGGGATATGGCTCAGCTTACCCCACTGTCTTTAGTCAAACAGAAAGACTGATTTGATTGTTTCCCAGTTTGTAAGCTAATGATGATGAGGGGTAATACATATATTTAAATGGCATTGATAAAATAAGGTTCATACTCTCCATAGGCTCCTTCTCCAAGTGTCTGAACCAGGTCCCAGTCTTGAACAAAAGGTACGGCCATGCTAAAACCAGAAAAAAAACAAACTGTATCAGCCTGGAAAAGGATGATCTTCAAAGTCCACCTGCTGGAGATTAATCAGTATGTAATTGAACACCGAAAGGTTTAATACGAGGTCAAATCAGACTGTATATCCCACTGTGACCGTAAAGAAAAAACAATGACGAAGCTAAAAAAAAACACGTTTTTGTTGATTCTTCCGTAAATCTTTCTCTTACCTGCACAGCCTCTTCTAAACCAGCAGCGTGTCTCAATATATCCTTAAAGATTACACAAACTTTTCCATCTGTAAGTGACAGCAAGTCATGTACAACAAATTTGGCGCGTTGTTGTTTTACTTTGTGATAACTTCCGCCGGAGTCGTCATTTCCTCTTTCTTCTTCTTCGTGTTGTATGAATGTAAATACTGCCACCTATGGTACCGGAGTATTAAAGGTTTCTATTTTCACAACTCTACTGAGAAAGTAACAGAAAAAAACAACTATTAAAATTAAACGAACGAATTTTCGAAAGAAGAAAAAAACACTTGTCTTCCTATCCCTTTATTTCTACTTCCACAGAAATAGACATAGCAGTATAAATCAATACTTTATACCCGCTGATAAAGTAGCTCTTATCAGCTGTAACTTCTATCTGAAACACCCATACTTTGTCCCCATTTGTTTCCAGTCTCAGCCTGCCTCTCTTGCCTTTTGTCACAATCTTTATCTTTCATCCTTGAATTTTGCACAGCTTGTTGGTACATGTTCAATATTTTCAATCAGATTACAAATATTGCATGTTTTTTTATTAACTTTATTCCACTTTATGGAGTTTTTTTTTTCTTCTTTTTTTTTTAAATCTAAACAAGGCTGATCTCAAACGAGACAGAATCACATCCCCTCTTCTCTGCTTTTTTAAATCTATTTTATTCTCATTGATTCTTGACTTTTTAACATGTTCTGTCAGGAAGCTGAACTGTCTCGCCTCTCTTCCACCTCCTCCCTCTGCCCCCCAAAAACACTGGACTCTGAACCCACTCTCTAACATAATATTTGCTCTAAAACCATGCTGCCTCAACTGAATTACCTGGCTCTTTATTTTGTACTAAATATCTTTATTTTTGAACTACAACTCCACTGTTTGCATAAAATCTTAATCCTGCTAATTGCACTTTATATGGTATGTAAATATGCACAACAGGAGAATAATTTTTCTGGTGGCTACACTGTATAAAAGAATTCTTACTTTTTGTCAGAAACACATAATATCTTTAGTTGTGTCAGTGTAGAAACAAATTTTGTCAAAGGGAGTTAAAACATTACATTGTTCAGACTGTTATAGTAGCAACTTGCTACTATAACAATTTTGTATTTGAGAAAACTTAACATTAGGTATCAAAACTTGGCAAAACTTTATTCTTTGGAAATAATGAAGGAGGAACATTACTTATTTTGTTATTCTGGCCTTTTCTGCCTCCGCTATTTTAATGGCAGCTCTTGAAGTTTGTGTTGCATAATCGGTTTCTGGTGCCAAACTTTCAGAAAATCACGAATCACCTGAAATGTTTCACAAGCCTTCGATAACAAAAATGTGACACACAACACAATCATTACAGTTATCTAATGATATAAAAATATTGCAAATAGAAAATCTGCCTCAGCTTCTGAAAACTGATGGTGGTGTATGTGTTTAAAAATGTATTCCAAGAGCCTGAATGTAGACTACAATCTTTTCATGATATATAATCCACCAAACACTTTGATTTACACACAAATTGGCTCTGTGCAGTTTATCTAGATGTGTCCATATGCAGAAATAAAAGCTTATGCTTATGCTTATTGCTTCGATATAGGTTTGTAAAGTCTTGGATTAAGTCTGAGTACTTTGTTTTGTTTTCTTCAGATGGGTCCACTTAAGAGAGGCCATGAAGTCAAAGAGTCTGTTACTTTGGAGGCCGTTTCAGTAAACTGAGCAGCGATCAACCTGATTTGTGTGGAGAACTAAATGAAACGGTGGACATCTTTTGAAATGTGATCTGAATAAAAAGGTAGAGAAACAATTATAGACATAAAAATTAAGTGCAAATCAACCAAAATAAAAGACACAAACCATAAAAAAAAAACCACAGTGACCAGAAAAAAATGCATCAAATAGATATAACTAGTGATCAGTACTCAACTTGCATGTTGTCCCCTACCGACCCATAGTTTTGAAACGTTTGACTTTCAATGACTTATTCTGACATTTTACAATTATACTAAAGTGCTAAGAGCACATGGCATATTTTAAAAAAAGGACACTACGAGTAATCAATAAATTGAGGAGGACAGAGGTGGTCAAATTATATTATTCAAGGGGCTTGATCAAGAATCAATTTTCAAACCTGCTGTTTGATAAAAAAAAACAACATGCTGTGAAGGTATACCTAACAAATGATCGCGGCTGTAAAACATCAAATCCTGCATAATGTTGTCAGGGGTCAGGATGAGCTGCGACTAAATCTGGACTGTTGGGTGTTCGATCAGTGATTGAGTCAACATGTCAATAAGCCGCACTCGGGTTTGGGGAAATGATGTAGGCATTGTTTGTCTTGGTTTCGCAATAATGGAGTTCTTGTATATCATGTGACCATGTGTACACATGGAGGGAATTCAAGGATGAAAAAAGGTTAGAGCTGTTGCCAGATATGGGAACCAGGTCAGAACACACAGGACACCAATTTGGATCACAGCAGTCAGACTTAACAGGTAAGATGAGCTGAACTGTAATTACTTCAACACTTAAAGACTTTGGTTGGAAATGTTAACTCAAGTAAATCCAAATGAGGTTTTCTCCATTTTTGTGGGTTTGATATTGATAAAGTAGGTCTACAACCAGTAACAAAAAAAAAACTAATTATAAAAGCTTTTTTGATTAGTCATTGTTTGAATGTGTCTGAAATGAGTAATGTCTTATTGTTATTATGGGCTAATGATGGAAACTGGTGAAATTCAAAAGTGGATCATTTCTGTGACACACACATTATTGATCTCCTTTTATTTGTCATTAAGTTAATCAGTACCAAGATGGTCTATGTTAATACAGTCCTACTTTCTAAACATCACTCTCTATTCAGGAACAAATACTGCTCCTGTGAAGTGACTTTTCTGATTGTGATATTTCTCCAGTTTAAAGCTCAGCATGGGGTTTTCTGTCCGCTGGAATTGGCTCGCCACACTTTTATGCCTCCTCTGTATGGGTAAGACACAATAATCTAACATCACGACAAACATGTGCAGATATAAATGGACTTATGCAAACTTTGGCTACCTGTTTATATCAAGATGTTTTCAACTTTATTAATTCAGTTTCTTCTCTTTGATTTTTTATCATAGTTTGGCTGTAAAGGTTCACATTAAAAAGGAAAACTTAAATATTTCAGGTTTTTCATTGACTTAACATGAGCAATTGGTCAATAGAGAAGCTTATTTATAACAACATTGTATCTTGTAATTTGATTCAGGTGTTAAAAGGAGTTATCAGTCAATATTCTATTTCTAGTCTAAATGTTGAATTTCTGAAGTGTACTGCAAATTTCCCCACCATGGGATGAATAAAGGTTTATCTCATCTAATGAGACTGACCATCTGTTTTTAAAGCAATGCTTTTTCATGCAGCCAAAATGTATTTGTCTCTCTAACCTGTTTCTTTGATATTTTTCAGGAGGTGAAGTGTGGTGTGATTGCACAATAACAAACAGAATGCAAATTGAAGGTGGTAGTTACACCCTGACTAAGCAGCTGCAAACTGGCAGTCTGATGATCTACCACTGTGATGAGGGTTACCATCCATATCCTGATTCGTTCCGTCTGTGCCAGCTCAATGGCAGTTGGAAACCAGCACCTAGAAGATCCCAGAGATGCAGGCGTGAGTGACGTGTCAAAGATGTGTCTCACTTTGCATGTAGCTGCCTAGCCCTGCATAGTAACCTAAACACTTTTGTTTGACAGTGGTTGAATGCCCAGACCCAAATGTGCTAGAGTATGGAACCGTCACTCCTCTACAAGAGAAGTACTTTGTGCACAATCTGACAACATATGAGTGCTACTCTGGATACTCAATGCGAGGCTCAGACAAACGAACTTGCTTACCAAATGGCAAGTGGAGCGGCCCAACTCCTATCTGTAGCCGTGACAGTAAGTAACCTGCTGAACAAGAATCAAAGTCAACATTTTCTTGGAGTTTCCACAACTTGAATGAGATTTTGCCTTTTTTCTCTTTTTTTATGCTTTCTTTTTTCGTCACAGCCGATGATGTCTGTGCAGACCCTGGTATCCCAGCTGGCGCGGCAAGAATAGGGAACATATTTGACGTTGATGACAAAGTTAAATACAGCTGCAATGGCAACCTGATTATGGTTGGGTCAAGTGAGAGAGTGTGTCAGGAGAACGGCCAGTGGACGGGCATCGAACCAGCCTGCTACTGTGAGGAAAACATGATTGTTGTTCATGCGCTGAATCTTTCCATCGATCTGAAATGTATAATTAGTCTTTCTTTTTGTCTTTTTGTGGCTTTTCCTTTTGATAGACAAATACACATATGACTCTCCACTGGAGGTTGCAGAGGCGTTTGGCAGCTCCATCAGAAACAGCCTCACCACTTTACAGCCAACAGGTAAGTTACTAACTCAGTCATTGACATTATTTAAAGCTTTATGTTATAAGTTTTGTTGTTAATCAAATTATCAAAACATCTGCCTGTTTTACATGAATAGTACATGCGAGCAGTGAGGCCGATGCCCATCTTTATAACTAAAAGCAATTAATGTGCTTTTTAATGACATACCACAAACAGCCAGAAAAATGAAGGTGCTAACTGGACCCAAAAAATGTTCCTTAGAGTGGTGAACCCAAAATAATCTTTTTCATTAAAGTTCTCTAAAGAATTAAATAATTTTCCCAAATGCTTCTTTAGAGAGCCGACAAAGGTTCTATCAAAAACATCAACAAATGGTTCTTTGAATACAATAAATGATGCTCTGAAGAACTTTAGGAAAAAGGTTCTCAATGGACCCTTTTTTTTTTGCCCAAAATGTTTCAATAAAGAATCCTTTTCTGATGGTTTCAGATATGGTTTCAATATTATTTTCAGTCTATTTCATAAATGTCAAAAAATTGCCTTACATGAGCTTCAACCACCAAAAATGTGAATATGACATAGACTTGAAACTAATATTTTCATTGTTTGTTCAGATGACACACAGGAGGGGAGGATAATCAGGATAACAAAAAATGGGACCCTTAACATTTACATCGCAGTGGATGTTTCTGAGAGTATTGAGAAGGATGAATTTGAAAATGCCAGGAATGCTGTTTTGCAACTTATCAGAAAGGTAAGACACAAGCAAATTTTATTTTTGAAAGAAAATGAGAGAAACAACCCTCGAAATAAATCAGCGCTTATCCAAAATGGAGGATAATTACCATTTTAAGGGATAGGCTGCCCACAATAAACAGAATTTGCAAACAGTCAGCAACAAAGTGTTGGGGTTGGGGATGCTTGTTTGATGATAATTGGTAGTGCTGATAGTGTGCTCAGTTTGAAAGGATGCACAAGGGGTGAAAACACAGACTGCAGCTGATGGATGCTGGCAATAAATCTTCACCGCTTGATCAATGAATTTAGCTCGCGGGGAAAAAATAAGTTGTATTAGAAGTGACAGTAAAAGGAAAGTATTTGGTACTGATCAGAGTAAATACTGAGAAACTGAAGCACACTTGCAGTAAATCAGCAGTCAGTCACTATCCTGATCCTGATGAGACCTTTTAATAATGTGACAGTTTTTGAATAATTAATTGTTGATAATTTGTTTTATTATTGATTAATTATTTGACTGATTTGTTTGTTGCTCTTTGGGTCACCACCAACATCTTGATTTTTTTTCATTAGGTTCTGGTTTTAATTCTTTTAAGTCTTTGTTTTGAGCTTTAATTTAGTCAGTGATTTTTTTTATGCTAGTATTTTTATTTCTTTTGGGAGAATGTTTAGTTTCAGTTTGCTCTGTTTTGGTTCTAGTATCAGATTTTCTTTCTTTTTTTTCTTTATTCTAATACCTTTTTAGAGGAAAGAATAAAATGGTGCAGAGAAGTTATTAGGGAGAAAAAACTCAAGATATCATACAGTTTTAAAAATGTGTTAAAACACAAATGATGGACAACTATAGAAAGATGTGTTTCCATGTGTTTGTTTATCCCTGTCTTCACTCTGTAATACTCTCCATGGGTTTGCAGACACAGCAGGTTTTGGGTTGTATCTGTCATGATAAAAAATCTGTTAGGAAAGGTGTTTTTTGCACTTGTATTTAAAGTTCGAGCTGACAGATGAAGTCTTTTATATCATCTGACACACTTTTAGAAGCACATTTGGCGCAGCACACTCTTTGCATGTACAAACAGAATCTCATCCCACTTGGCCGCCAACAGCCCATTAGGAGTAAATTTAATCATGAATTACCCCGTCATAATCTTGACTGATGCTTCTTGGCGAGGGCCTCTTGGCTAGTTGTCAATGCACACTGCAGGATTCTCTTTCTGCTGATAAATGTATTGATTTCTCCACATAATAACAACCATAAGCAGTTTGGTGCATACAGAGGTGTTACTGTAACAAAATATGTAAGAGCAGCTCCACAAGTTTAGATGCATTCAGAAAAAGTGTTTAAAGATTTTGTAATGCTGTTCGTTTGTATTTAACTGCTATGTTATTTTCCCACAGATTGCATCCTTCAGCGTGACTCCAAACTATGATATCATCTTTTTTTCATCTGAAGTCCAGGAGGTTGTCAATATTCTTGACGCTTTTGGTGGCAATGTTCAACAAGAAAGCAGCGTGACTAAATTGAAAGATTTTCAGATAGGCGGTGAGTCAAGCTTGACCACATTTCAGACATCTTTGATAAATAAACAGTTGATGGATTTCTTGTTTCATGCTGTGTGTTTTGACTTAAAGACAGAAACGCGGGAACAGATTTGAACCTTGCCTTTACAACCTTCTTGGAGCGTATGGCCATCATTAAGCAACGAGTTGGAGATGAAGCTTTCAAGGAACATCGTCACGTCATTCTTATGTTTACAGACGGTGATTTTTTTCCTCTTGTTGTATTTTACAAACAATTCGAAAAATTAACTTAAAAAAAACAAGATGATGTATCATGTGTTTCTATTTTGGATCTAAAGGTGGTGACAGACTAGCTTTGTAATGACATACAGTTTATGCATTTTCCAAAATCAAGCTATCCCTTTAATTTGTTAAAAATGATCAATTTAGTCATTTTTTTTTTCTTACCACTGGTTGACTAAGCATGTGAGAGAATTTGATTTAGCACCTATTTAAGCATTTTACCACAATGTCTTTTTTTTCCTCACAGGGGCTTATAACATGGGTGGCTCACCTCGGTACACAGTGAAAAATATTAAAGACATGGTTTACATGAACCAAGCAGAAGGAACGAACGCTCAGTCTAGAGAGGAATATCTTGGTGAGTTGTATTTTTAAGGAAGCAATGTGTGGGCTTCAGGTGAATAATCGATCAGTGAGATCTGAAACCCCATATAACTGCCTGTCATAAAATATGTTTAACACAACCAAGTTAGCTCTACTGATAATACCACATTTCCCTCTGTTCTAGACATTTATGTTTTTGCCATTGGAAACGACATCTTTGATGACGACCTGATACCCCTCACAACAGGGTCGGGTGGCAAGCATTACTTCAGATTGAGCGACACTAAAGACTTAGTAAAGACTTTTGATGAAATCATCGGTAAGTGATCTCTGAGAATGAAAAAATGTGATTAGTAAAATTTGGTACACTTAAGGTAAATGATTTGTAAAAATAATTTTAAAAATGATGATAGCTGAAACAATGACATTTCCCACTGATATAACCTCAAGTATTTATACATGTTTGTACATGAACAACATTGAATTTGATATTTGTTTTTTTCATTCAGATGAGAGTGAAGTAAAGGGTCTGTGTGGTCTTCATAAAGAGTATGAAACAGAAAACCAGAGGAATAGGTTTCCATGGTGGGCATCTATTCACATCCAGGTAAATATTTCATTGTTTCTTTCAGCATCACATGTTAGACCATACAAGGCTATATATAGTTGGACTGTGCAATTTTGGAGAAAGCTAGTTGATGAGATCACACTTGTAAAGTCATCTCAAAATATTGTTCAGCCAAACATTTGTTTTGTTTTATTTTTTGGATTCCATTAGCTGCTACAAAGGAAGCAACATGAGCAAATGAACATAGAGCTAATGTGGCAAAATTAGGCTACTTGTTTAAAAATTAATTCACCAAAACAGAATAAAGGACAGAAAAATAGACCCAACCAATGCCCAAGAACAGAGCCCTGAGGTCTACCACATTTCAAATCCTAAATTTTAATCTAATGCTTTTTTTCTAATGCACTGTCATCATTAGAAGTAAAGTTGATAAACATATTTAGAAATATTAGGCTCAATATTACACAAGTGGGAAAGTCCATCAGGTTTCATGGAAAATTTGGTCGATTTTCAACAACCACCAATGTTTTTTTTTTTGTTTAACTTTAAAGTGCTGCTTGATGATGTGTGGTGATTGTTTTATTTATTATCTGTTTCAGACCGACAGCGGTCCAACGAAATGCCTTGGCTCTCTGGTGTCCCCTCAGTTTATTTTGACTGCAGCTCACTGCTTCCCATTCGGGGTTACGCCTGAAGCTATCACTGTAGAAATTGGCCATAGTATAGGTAATGGTTTTTCTTTATTGAATATTTTTTTAAAATGTGCTTTAGAAACCTAAACATGACATACTTGTAGTAATTACTCTCAAAAGTTCCTCAGTATAATATCCATTTAATTTATAGAAACTAAATTGAAACTGCCGACCTTTCATCATTTGTCATTTCTACTCCATCGCCAACTATTTTTATTTCTACAATAAGTTTGGTGACATGATTCTCCAGTTCAACAGTTCTGGTCTCTCTTTTACAGTGAAGGGAGTAAGGACTCTCACATTACATCCAAACTACAATGTTAATGGAAAAGCGGATGAGGGTGTGAAGGAGTTTTATGACTATGATGTGGCTCTCATCCAACTAAAGGCGGATGTTGACATCTCTATTTCTGTTAGGTGAGAACTTGTGTACTTTAAACACTGTGTAATAGATCAGTAATATTTATAAAATATTTATATACTTTTAATATTAGATCAAGTTGATAGGAACATCATTCTTTCAAGACTGTTTTTTAATATCTCCTCAGACCTATTTGCATACCTTGCACCCAGGAGACCAGTGATGCTCTACAACTGGCTGGAAAGTCGACCTGCAAGCAACAAGGTGAGGCAACTGTAAAGTGCTGCATTAACACACCGCTTGTGAACCACCCACCTCACTCTAATGCCATCATGTAATGTACTGTCAATATTGTGGGCTTGCAGTAAACCCAAAGGTACAATGACTTGTTTTTGTTTTTGTATTTCAGAGCAGCTTCTTTTAAAGAATCAAAAAGAAAGACTCTCTTTCCTGACCAAGCAGGGGAATACTGTACATGAAAAAAGTATGCACGTAAAGCTTGGAGATAACGTAAGTATCAGATCGTTGAACTGTGTTGTGCAAAACAGAATTTGTCTGTATTGTATGTCTATCTTCATTTTCACTTTAAACCCCCAATTTATGGCTGCTTGATGATGTCTTTCCCTACATAAACACGCAGAGAGACAGCTGTATCAGACACGCACTCGAAGCAGACGGCATAACTACAACGGACCCAAAAGTTCCAGTGACTGATAACTTTCTGTGCAGTGGTGGTGTTTTTCCTGACAGAGATCATATAGCGTGTAAAGGTATGTTCATGTATCCCCCTGTATAAAGTCATTCTATTTCTTTTTTTTAATGAGAAGTGCCATTTAATCATGAAAAGTTCTATGAAATGACTTCAAAGTGTGCACAAACATGTTAAATACATTCATGTAATCGCCCTAGTGAAAGCAGCAATAGTATTCAAACACAAGGTTTGCCTTTCAATGAGGAGTTTTTAAGTGGTTAAGACACAGATTAAAACTACTACTAATGCTTTTTATGATTTTTGAAAGCAAACAAGGCCATCAGCAGACAAGGCAGAAAAAATTTTGGTTATAATTTCTGTGCGTGAAACTGCAGGAAGGGAGGCAGGGCTAAGACAAGATGATTGATGATTGGTACTGGTGTCTTGTTGATTCAGAAAAGCAAAACAGTTTCTTTCATAATTTCAAGACAATTATCTCATTTACTCAGTAAAACATTTTTATTTTTTCAAGTAAATGCAATGTACTTACATCATTTCCCCCCTTCATTTCGTATATATGAAGCTCTGTGGTTTCTGATCAGTGACAGACAACATTTGTTTTGAGCGTAATGTGGGTAACTGTTTTATGTTGGGACAGGTGACTCTGGAGGCGCTGTGTTCAAGAACTACGAACATCGCACAGTACAGGTGAGTAGACACTAAAATAGAGCTGAATGAGTCAACTTTATCTGGTGGTAAATATTTCCTCAAGAGAGAAAAAGCTCCGTAAAAAAAAAACATACTGAGAAGTTCTTGTTCAGTGTGAACATCAACTGTGAATTTCTTTCGCAGGTTGCTCTTGTGAGCTGGGGAACGAAGGAAAAATGTACTTCAGGTGGTGTTGTGGAGTCCGATGAGTCTTCAAGAGATTTCCATATAAATCTTTTCAAGGTTGTGCCTTTCCTCAAATCAGTCCTTGGACAGGATCAGGATTACTTCACACCACTTCAGTTCTTGGAGGACTAAAAACATTCACACCACATGATGGGAGCTGGTATTTCATTTGTGTAAACTTTGTGTGTAAAAACATTGCCTTGTTTTACTGTCAGATGAGATATGGATGATTACATTATTGGTGAAAAAATAAATCCATTTACTCAGCTGTTCATTTTTTCAGCAGGATGTTTTAAAGGCATTATGCTGATTAATAATGTTATAAATATTTTTAGCAGAAAAAACAAGAAAATTTTAAATCACTCAAAGTTACTGGTGGCCAACCAATTTGTGAGGGGTTCAGTTACTGATTGGATCGTACAAAACTGTCTTATGTGAATTGCTCATTGTTTCATTCAAAGTGAGGGAAAAGAACCTATTAATTAAAAGTGACTCAACATTTTCCAGTTCGAACAGTTTCACATAAACTAATAAACTGTATCTGGTTGATGCAATCACAAGTTATCAAACTTTTTTTTTCATGTCTTTAAAAAAATACATAAGATAGGAAAAGACAGAAGGTGGGTTAAAGAATTACTGCAGCACTTAAAAGGCTTCATCAAAACTCTTTTATGGTTCAGCTCTGCTGATAGAGCTGTCCAGCTCCCCTCCAGGTCAGTGACTCAGGGCCCATTTCCAGATCACTGTGCAGGCCTGCGCAATGCGGACACTCAGACTGGCAGCGAGCCAAGTGAGAGTATTTAAATTAAATACAGTGGAGAGCTAGCTTCTTTTTTGGGTTTGTAATTAGTGTTTCTCTCTCTTTTTGCTTCAGGATGGAAATGAACTGGGTTTTTCATCCACTGAAGTGTTTTTACTGCCCAACAATGGGACCATTTCATTACAAATGATTTGCTGTGGTCAGAGCGGGTTTATGATTTCAAATTATGTCATTTTATTGTGTAACTATGATCTGTTGACCATTATGCTGTCAGACACTGCTTGAGTGGAAATGTATTGTGCGTTCAATATTTTTTATTACTGTGTATTAGCTAAATGTCCAAACAGAACAACAGAGGTAGATTTTCAGCATCTATCTACGTCAGGTCTCTCTGATGTGGTGAAACATCTACCTTGTATGGGAGGTTGTGTGTTGGGTCAAGTGATCTACTGTCCTCCCATGGGTACATCCATCTGGTTTCCCTTTAACTAATTGAGAGGGAGAGGGAGGAGGCCAGTGGGATGAGAGGAGGAGGCTGAGCTGGAGGATGACAGACTGTTTGAGAGGAGGGAGTGGCCTAATTGAATGAAACCCTCTCTTGGTCTCAGATGCTGTAAACAAGAAGGAAATTTAAAGCAAAGAGCATTCCTTATTAAATCCCTCATGAAGACTCAGTTACATCCCTGTCTAATCTTATTTTTCAGAGCATCACCTGCTAATGCAAACATCCCATAACTTCTAAACAACCCCTTTCACTGAGATCAATCTGTTTCACCTAAACTGATTAGCAGTATCTGAATAAAACAGCATAGATATATACAGACAGTATATTCAAGGCAGCCCAACCCCCACCCTCAGTCTCTTTACAAAGCTACTCTCAGCATATTCCTGATAAAGCATCCTGCTGTTTAAACGTTGGCTGATCTGTCTCTTTGTGAGCCCTAAATCAACCTTATAGGCCATTTTAGAAATTACTACCATTAAGAACTGCATACACACACTTTCCCCCCCATTTGTGTTAAGAAAAGGGGGTCAGGCCCACATGCATCCATGGCTTCTGCTGATCCTCACACTTAAATATCAAATTATCCAGAGGGTTTTATGGAGATTGATATTTCCCTTGCTGAAATGTCGACTATGAATACTTGTGAAATTAAATGACATTTTTATACTTTCTTGTTGAGAGATGATTAGACGACTGGTACTGCTCTTGTCTCTGTCTTATAGATTCACATCTCTGTTAGTAAAACAAGTATGTCATATATTCAAAAGGCAACCTTACTACATACAGTAAAACGGTCATTTCAGATATCCACAAGACTTCTTCCAAATAATGTCGCTTTTATATCAGTAGGAACTCACTATTTCATTCCTCTCCGCAATATTTTGGACATCTGCAACAGAAAAAGAAAAAAAAAAATCAGATCTCTACAACTTAGCAAAATGTTCATTCAGAATACAATGAATAACATTCACATCCTGTGGATAGCGGGAATCCCATTGTGAAAACTCATTTTGAATAAGAACAGAATAACAGGTATCTGATAAATAGCTGGTCCACCTTTCAAATATTAAAACAGTTAGCCATGGGAAATTTAAATATAATCACTGAACAGGATGGGTTTGGTATTATGTTTTATCATTGGAAAAGTTTTAATGTGCTGCATTTATCCCAGGATGAGACTGTGTCAGCTTTAAGTGATTTCTTCAAAAAGACACACAAGAATCACCTGAGAGACATGAGATTATCTCAGTTTATTACTGAGAATTCAATGGGTGTATCTCCTTAAAAGGGCAGAAGAAATGTATTTCAAATCAAAGAGAAATATCTTACTCTGTCCCTTACTGTTGGATCAGATTCAGAGCATAGAGGGTAACTGGGGGATTGACTTCAGCCTGAGACAGATTTTGAATCTGCAAATCGTGCAAAGCTACAGAGATACCAGGGGAACAATGAGGGAACAGTGAGGTTGGCGTGCAGGTTAGAAAGGATCACTAAAGCAAACTGTCTTTTTACTGTCTTTTACCTGCATTTACCTGGTTTTACACACACACAATAAGACATTTACAGAACGAAATTAGTTAATTAAAAGTAAAAAGAGTACATCAGCTGTTTTAATACAAGAGTTAATACAGATGATGCACCTCACTGTCTTCATTCAGAGGCTCCCGTTAGCATGAAGTCTATGATTTAGCTTAAATACTGGCAATATCAAGAAACAGCTAAACTAGCTAGATTACAAGGTGAGAAAATATACTTATTACTTACTCCATGTATTAAATTTGACCTGTTAAAGCTTGTTTGTTCATTCAGAGATACACCTCATACCCTTTGAGTTAAAAGGTTGGGAGCTAACTCTTATGCTGCTCCTCTGCCCCTGTTTTAGTGGTAAGCTAGTCAGCTGCTTAGCTAACAAACTACAATACCAAAACACAAAAATGCAAAACTAGTGTCAGTTCCTTTAAAAAAAAATACGTTTTTGAATTACAAAAATTATTTAACCATACAGTAAAATGTAACAAGTAAAATGTAACTTCCCGTATTAAGTATCTGTTAGCATCATTAGCTTTTAACTCTTCACTTGCTGTCACTTACTGTTGTGTTTGTCATGGCTCAAGCGGGAAAGCTGAGGTCATGTCCTCACATCCATGGGAGTGAAGAAACATTTCAGTAAAAAAGAAAAGGAAGTCTTAACTTTCAGTTCATCTTATGTTACTGAGAGCTATTTAAAATTCGAGGCTATCTGTCTTGCTGTGTATTGAAACATAGTAGGGGAGGACTGCAGCACTGTCTGACAAAACATTTTAAGAAATTTTTGATTGAGTTAGAGGAGATCATTTTCGAGTAACACTTATGTAATGATAATACCTAAACCTAAGGCAATAAAGGAAGGAGTGAAATCTGCCTCTTGTCAGCGTTTACGATGAGAAGCACTTGCATGATTAGATGTCTTGCGATCGATGCAGCCTCTTCTCCCAATCATTAGGACTGCTCTTAACAGATTACAGCCCCCTCCTAAACACAGTCTTTTCTCCTCCTCTTCCTGCTCCTCCTTCTGTCCCACATATTCTCTCTTTCCCCAGATGAAAGTGGGGCTACCTTCACACAGTTCTTCGGCTTTGCTTCATAATTTCAACCATTTGAAACCTTTTTATTCCATTTTAAGTTGCAGAACACCCTTTAAGTTTTGAGAAGAACCTATCTGATACCACCTGCGCTCCACTGATGACCAGATGATGCGACAGAGGAATAAAAAAGAGTAGACCCATGTACAAGTGTTGGCAATAGACTTCCAACAGTAAAAATGGACCTGCTTTTGTTTCCCTGTCACCTCCTGCTTCTGTTGTTTGATCTCTCTGCAGCCACAAGCCTCATAACAGGTAAGTTCAACACTGAAAAAAAGGACGAGAAAACACATGTAAGGCATAAAATCTTGATGTAATGACAGATTTATGTCTGATCTTTGTCATGCCATGACCTTCTAACCACATGCTGGATGTTTGGGTTTTGAAGCGGACATATTTGAAGCCAGAGGTAAGTGCATGATAACACAACTCCTAAAAGTATCTTCAAAGTAGAGAGCATGAAAACTGGATAATACGACCAGATGATTTTAGAGCCAGTTGAAAGCAGTTGTAGCACTCTGTTTGAGTTAGAAGTATTGGAGAGACTTTTGAGAAAGACAAGTGTATTGGGCAGCAAGAAAATAGCCATGATGAGGTACGGAAGCATCAATGTGAGTTTCCCTGGATCTCAAACTGATAAGAGAGGTTTGGTTTTGGAGACATTTAGGAGTTATTTGGTTGTTTGGACTACTATTCATTAGATAGGATATGTAGTTCTAGCTTTGACAAAGGATTTTAAATTGGAAGATACGACTAAAAGGTTTTAAAAGTTGGAAAGGGGAGAGAGGACAACCTGAGATTTGGTTTAGTTTTGAAGAATTTGTGAGCTGGTTTTAATTGTCTTAAGGTCTGATAGGCAAATACAGTTGAGTGTTGTCAGCATATAAATGGAATTATCATGTTCTATCTTAATGTCATTTCATTATCCCTTAAATGTCACGCAAGCAGTCTTTCTGGGTTTGTTGGGTGGTATTATGCATCAATTTGGTAAGCAGATTGTGTTGCATATCATCAGCATATAAAAAGAAGTTGTATGTCAGTGTGATGTCACCCAGAGGGATAAAAAATTGGAGATAAGGTCAGAGCCAATGATAAATCTTGTTTAGCAGCTGCTCTTGATGTGTGACCATTTCAAAAATCAAATCATGAAAGTAGATGTTTCTCATATGATCCTTGCAGGTCAACGTGTGTGCGAGGCAGAAAAAGGGAAGCCGTGTTACAAGCTGGCTTATTTCTCTGAGATTCGGCGGAGGCTTAACTTTGTGGAGGCGGAGCTCGCCTGCGAACGGGACGGAGGGCAGCTGCTGAGCGTGGAGTCAGCCTCCGAGCAGAAGATCATAGAGCAGCTCATAACAGAGCTCCGCCCCACTGATGGAGACTTTTGGATAGGGCTTCGTCGTAACCATGGAAATGAGGACAGCAGCTCAGACTGCTCTTCACAGTACTACTGGGTGGACGGCAGCAAGTCCACCTTCAGGTGGGTGGGAGTTTGGAAGGCAACAGACGAGACATCTGAGAATTTTTGTGCAATTCAGTTGAGTATAGAATAGATTTTCACAGGTCAAATAAATTCAATTTAACTTAGTTCAGTTCACTTTTACTAAATTCAATACAATTTATTAATGTAAGCTGTACAATATGAGAAAGAAAGCAGACTTGTTAGTGTTTGACATTTTTGAACAGTGCCTAATGTGATAATGGAAATAATGATAAAATGAACAGTGAAGATATGAACATTGATTAAAAAGTTGACAGATTGTTTTAAAACTTTATTTTCATACTAAAGCATTTTAAACGTGTCTCTTCCATAGTCAGCATAAATTTTTGGGTTTGTAAAGGGTTATTTTCTTAAATGGCGGTCACTTTAACTAATGACATAAAAGTAGATTTATATTAACGAAAGGCTATTACACTGAGGCTGAGGATGAAGGTTTTTGGACTTCCTCAAGGTAAAAAATTTTTGTGCATCACAATGGAATTTAATGTAAATGCAAAGACACAAATAGATGTGAAATCTTTTCATATAATTAATGTAGTTCACTTTGCAAACTTAAAAGTCTTGTATTTATGCAAGCTGAAACACAATCCATACACAAACTTTGCCCAAATTAAAACTTGCATCATCAAAATACAGTTAGGGATTTTATAACAAGATTTAAAATCTTAACAAACCGTCACTGCCAGCTTCCACACTTGCTATAGTTTGAAACAGTAGAATTTGCAATAATACCAAAAAATTTTCAAGTTTAATTATTACCTACTTGCACTGTTTGTTATTTTTTTTTAAATGCTTCAGAAATGCTTGCTTTGTCAAGCTAGCTGTTCATGCCTAATGTGTTTTTCCTAGAAACTGGCACTGGGATGAGCCATCATGCGGCTACGAGGTGTGTGTGGTGATGTACCACCAGCCGTCCGCTCCCCCTGGTCTAGGAGGCCTCTACATGTTTCAGTGGAACGATGACAATTGTGAAACTAAAAACAACTTTATCTGCAAATACACTGGAGGTACTGCTGGCTCAAGGTTTCAACCTTTTTTTATTCAAAGATACCAGAAAATTATTGATTGTGAGTTATACTCTCTACAGAAAGGCCACAGATCCCTTCGCCTTCTCCCAACGCCACTCTAACAAGTAAAATATGCTCATCTTGGATTGTGATTAATTTTCAGTATTGTACTTTGAAGACATTGAAGGTGCTTTGAAAGTAAGGATGGTCATCATACAGCTTGCTTTTCTTTTAGATGTCTTCCCTTCATCTGTACTCCCATGGAATCCCAATAACAACAAGGAGGGTGGAAGCACAGGTGAGGTGACTCCAGATACCTGTTCATAAACCTGTTTCTGATCAAAAGAAAAATGACGCTGTCATATCTGAAAGCTCACACATCATTCATTGAACATGTATTCCTCTGTCTATTTGTCTTTGTTAGCTGTGAATTTGGTTTACATCATCATTCCTACCATTCCCCTGTTACTGCTTTTACTGACGGTGACTGGAGTTTGCTGCTTCAAAGTGCTCGCGAGTCGGTGAGGATCCAAAACACATGCAGATACTAAACACTACAGACATACAGTTGTTTTACTGATGGTTTTCAATAATCATTAAAGTGTTTGTTTTAGTAACAAAATCTAATGCCTATTTATATATATTATTGTCTTTTTTTAAACCAAAACCAAAAATGCTAATGGCGTCCAAGCTCAAAAATGCATTGGGTTACTTCTTTAAAAGACTTCTAAATTTCCTGAGTATGTTGGGCTCTGTAGCTGTTAAGAGACTATTTTTGGCTGTGTATTAAAACATGCAGGTAGCCTAAGCATGAAATCTGGACAATAGAGGTAGCACATGTTTAAAAATAACTACATTACCTATTTTTTGAATTAAGAAAATTGTCACAAAGTGCAATAGTATGGATAGTTATTGTGTTTTGATAGTTTATTGGATAGAAATTGCGCTTTAGGACATGAACAAGTAGACACAAGTACAGCTCGCCACTTCAGAGGACCTCTTGAATCTGCAGCACCCTTAAGTCTTTATTGGCATCATGGTGAAGCGCAGGAGTCTGTATGTAAACTGTTTGAGGTGTCTTTGTTGTTTACAGGGGGAGAAAACAACAGAAATCTGAAGTGTGTCAGACAGAACTAGGCCTCGAACACAGCACGGCGCCAGCTGATGTCTACAATGTGATTCGCTCCCAGAAGGATGATGATCTGGTTGGTGCTCGTCCGCAAACCAAAAACACTTCCTTTCTTTGCTCCTCACCTGACACTCCTACAGGTGACTACGACAACCTTGGGGGCCGGGACACAGAGAGCGGCTTTGTGACACTCGCTAGCACAGAGAGCTGCTTCCTTAACTTTGAACTCAATGATCTCAGCCTGGGGCGTCGAGGGACCCGGGACTTTTACGACACTAGCCTGGGCCGCTCTGGAAAGAGGGACCTGAAGGACAGTGGTCTAGGCTACACTGGGCAGAGAGAGTTTTATGACAGGAGTTTGGGTCGTCGTACCACAAAGAGTGAGCACTACAGTAGCAGTGTCTATGGAGACCACGGGCTGTACGACGGCAGCATCAGAGGAGGGAGTGACCTGTATGACTCTAAACTGAGGCCTGGGAGTCACACAGTAAAGGCTGATCTCTATCAGACTTACATCTCCAACGGCAAAGAGGACACCTACCTAACCAGCCTTGGGACTTATGGAAACAGAAAATCCTACCAAACTAATCTGGATTGCTACAGAAATGGTTTAAATCTGGATGGTGGAAGGAGATACTTCAATGAACAAGACTGGATCAATAGTAGAGAAAACTACTGATCCTTAAACATCTACTGTATAGTGTGTATAGAAGCCTGAGTGTGCCTGCAGATAAGAGAATGGCAAACATCTTTGCTCGTTGTTGGCTCTAGCTGTATGTTTGCTGTGACTCTGAAACCTTTCAGGAGAATAAAATCAGGAGTTAAAAATCAGGGCAAACTATTCAACCAGTTGGCCTTTGGGTTGACTTAGCTCATGTGCCCAATAGTTTTTGGGTGTCTATCTTAAATAATACTACAGAAAATGGAATTCAAAAATTGTTACTTTAAGAGTGAAAAAATGGAAATAATTGTTAGGACACCTACATAGTGACTTTCCAGCGATTGACAAAATCATTGCAGACTTAACTTCAACATGTTCAATTTTTCATACAAAAATCTAAAATATTGGACATCATGAGTGGACTATTATGTAGGATCAAATTAATCTATGGGCTGTCCTGTCACTTTTTGTGTGACTGTAATGCCCTTTGACACATTTATTTGATCCCCAAATATATCCGAATTGAAACGCATCATTTATATGTGTGAATATGTGATAATTTTAGCTATAGCAGCAGAGTTCTTGGAGAAACCTGGTCTAAATACGACATTTGATCCACATCTAGAATTAGACCTAGTCCATGAGAAACTCTTAGCTTGAGCCCTCTGTGTGACTTTTTTAAAAGGATCATTTTTGATATGCATCATGTCATTGTGTGCTTTAACATTGTATTAAAAATCCTTTTGTTGAATTACTGGACGGCTTCAGAGAGAGCTGATAAACAAGCTTTGTAAACAGGCCCCTCGGAAACCAGTTCAAGGCTTTCAGCTAAACACAATAAGGTTGGCCAGATGACTTTTGTAATGCTCTTACTTTTTCCTTCATGGACAGCAGTTATTACAATGTACAGAAGCCATACAATATTACTTCTGCAGTAAAAGCATGATGAAGAGTGTTTTAAGAGTAACATTGACCATACAGTTATGTGCACGTGTGTGGCAGTGTGTGTAAACAACTGGTTTGCATGGCCTTATTGTGCTGCCCTTGCTTGATTGGATAACTATCTAAATTTGTGGTAACTGTGCCTAAGACTGTTTAACTATTCCACCAAAGTTGACCTGATAAAAACAGGCTACCTCAAACAGATTAAAACACAAACCCTGACTGTGTGTACGACGGATGGATATTTGTAAGTGCTGCAAGTATGTGTTTTTTGATATGGCTTTATATAATGAAATGTCCAGAACTCTGATGAAGTTTCTGAAATACAAGTATTATCTTACCTTATCCAGTGATGCTATACTGTTTGCTGTTGAATGAGTCAAAGATGTCTAAAACAATGAGTGGAAAGGTGGTTCAAACTTGAGTGCCTGCAGCCTGACCACAGCATTGGCATGTTATTGAAAGGAATGATGAAGTTATAAATTATCGTTTATTCTGAATGTCTTATGCCTTGAAAGCTCTCCTGTAAGTGAGAGTGGTTTGTATGTTTGTTACATGAGGAAAATCTTCAAATAAAAAAAGATTTTAAAATGAGTGAATCAGTTTGTGACTAAGATGTTTCAGTCCAAATTGAACAAAAACAGGAAAGCTACTTAAACATTAAATCATGTTTATTAACATTTCAAATTAAATTAACTACACAACCTCACTTTCATTCTCCGATCACTCACACCCAACAGATCACACAAAAAATACTGTGCAAGTGCAAACAACACTACAAGATGTCATGATTCATATTGTTTTAAGTTCAGACTACGTTTTCATGTTAGTATGAAAAACCAGTTATGTTTATGTGTAACGGCCTATCCTCCGATAAAAAGCAAGTAAAATCTTGTAGTGTGCATCCAGACGTTTTTTTTTATACACAGAAAAACTCAACATTCACACTCACACAAATGTTTAACATACACGACTAGCTGATACCTGCCAGGCCAGCCGACATCCATACAATGGAATCTTCACACACATACACACGCACACACACAAAAGTCCAGAGGCAGACGTAAAGTCCTTAAAGGGTCTTAAATCTTCAAATGTTTCATCAAACATTACAGCACATACATGCACACACGTTCGACAATCAGACACACAAAGACACGAACATGTATACCAGCTGCTTTGAAAGGAAGTGATTGACTCATGTTGCACTTTGGGCCGCTTTGAGGTTCAAAGATCAGCCATGGGTCCTTTTACGAGGCTGCTTATGCCGCCGTGGTTTTAGGATAACATAGCGCCTGTAGGTTGTGTGATGGTCTGATAAAAACGGGATGTAGAACGCTCTGAAAAGACGAGACGACCTGTGAGAGAGAAATAGCTTTAAGTAGCTGCATGAGATTCTTTAAGTTTTCAAAGGCACTTTGAGGAGTTGAAAAACAGGATAAAACTAGTAAAGATGCTTTTCTATGACCTTTAAAAGCAAATGAGACGATTCTGTCAAAAATGATTGACAGAAACCCCAAGAAACTACTTTTTCAAAACTTCTTGTCTACTTGAAAATACAGTGAGTGGCGCATTTTACTTTTAAAAAGACAAAGGAAGGAGGTATTTGTCTAAAAAGATTGAATTCATGTTTACAGGACTAAAGATTAAAGGTATTTGTTTATGAGGGGTGAAAAGTTCCTCATAGCAGCTTTAAATGCAGTTATTCATTAAATTTTGCTCAAGTAAAACAACTTTTCTATTTTCATGCACTCTAGTAAATTATTATGGAAAGTACCTTGATGCTTGAATGAAAGGCTTATAGGCGATGATGTTCCACTCTTCTTTGTTGGCTGAATAGTTTGGCTCCAGGGGCGTCTCCTCTTCTATGTCTAGGTCTACTAGATAGTGGCACTGCCGTAAATCCACCTACCCGAAGTGGAAATATGTAAATCAAAATACTACAATAAACTACAGGATCCACATGTCAAATATTCATGTGTCAAAGCGACTCACATATCTGGTTGGCTCCTCCAGGTTTTGGTCATTCATATTAGCCGGGATGATCTGTGTGGCCTGAGGGCCAGGCGCATATGGTTGAGGCAGTTGCCCTTTAAAATCAGACTGAATGAATTGCAGCTGCCAGCTGGAAAATATCAGGCGAAATTGTCAGTGGGTATCACAGCTGACTGATCAACATATTATTGTTCATAGTGGAGCTGTTACACATCTTGGATACTGACTTGTGTGGTAAAAGAAAGCTGCTTGGAAAGCGGTACCACTCTTTGCCCACACACACACTAACAGGTCTGCCCTCAGGGACGCCATGGAGAGTCGGGTCCTTGGCAATACGATGGAACTCTGGGTACAGATCCAGAGGGGCATGGTAACCTGTGCAGACAAAAAAAAATCTCATTTCATCCGACTGTTTCTTTTGTTGCCTGACAAAGAAGCTGAACAAAAATATCGTCTGCAGTGACACAGACCTCTGAAGAGGGCGACTGAGCGAGACAATGACAACACTGAGAACACCACAACTGCACTCAAGGCCAACCAATTCGAGGAGATGGTGTAGTGCTCTAGTCGGTAGCGCTGAAACAGGAAGTGGTAGCATTTCTGCGCAATAAAAAAGCACAGGAAGAAACACTCAGGATTAATATTTTGTCAAATGCAACAGTCTACTTCCCAAATTGGATAAAAGCAAAACATACCTGCAGTGAGGAGAGGGCTACTGCTCCACAAAGGCAGATAAGAGGGTAGATTGGAAAGAGAAAACGCTCCTCTTTATGGGGTCTGGTGAAGAAAACCAACATCCAGATATACATGGGAGACAGAGTCAGCCAGTATGGACGGCCCAGGTTCTGCACTGCAAAATTATGAGTACATAAGAACATGAAAATGACAATATGTCCATGTAGATTCTCATTCATCCAGGTCGTGGTTTTCTTGAAGACTCCAAAATCAGGCAGAGATTCCAAAATCCAGTTGCCTGATTTTGGAGTCTTCAAGAAAATGAAAATGAAAATGACAAGTTGAACTGCTTTAAAATCTGCATTACAGCAAAATGAGCTCTCTGATGTGTGACTACGTTTTGAATAGTTTTGCCACCTTTTACTTTCAGTTAACACTTAAATGGAGAAGGACACTCCTGGTACAACATTGTATCACCTAAGTGTACGAAACTTTGAAAGTGCACAGTCCTCACCGTTGAACCTGTGTAACAGAGTCTCCATGAGAGCAGTGAGTGGCAGGGAAAACAGTGCCAGAGCAAACACCACGTTGAAGTTCAGGAACCCATTTACAAAGTAGAAATGCCACGGTTCTGTACCTAAAAAATTCCACAACACAAAACATGTCAACTCTTACAGGAAATGCATGATTGTAGCCATGACAACAAAATCTTTTACAGTATGGTACAAGAGTTATACGAGAAGGAAAGACGCAGCAGGGGTAGTTCACAATTTGTCATTCTGAATAAGATTTGAGCCATGATGGTTGAGTGTTTAATGTTAAAGTTCACAAATACTGTGTTGATAATGGTAGTATGCCTCCTAGAGGCTGATAAAAACAGTGCAGCTTTGAATTTATCATATTTTTCTACTTAACTCCCAATCGCTTCATCGCCAAAAAAACCCAAAACTCTTTAGTACATACTCTACACCAGCATAATCACTGTTGGTAATGTATACTCTAACTATCCTAAAAAGAGGTGAATCAAAGCAAAAAAAGTTAATGGTATGTTTAAGAGTAAAAATATACAACATTTCATAAATGCGTATGGTTTTTAGTGTAAAAAAATATATAACACTGTTGAGAAGAAATCACAGAGGTCTGTGTGTATTGGTAATATTTCCCAGCATAATAACTTAAAACGTACCATATAAATCAGGTCCATGTGGTGTGAAGACATTATACAGCAGAATATTGAGTGGAGCAATGACCATTTTTCCATAAAAGAAAGAATCCACTGCTACCAGGGGTACCTGGGAAAGACAAGGGTTAAAAAAATTATTCATAGCTACCATAAACATCCTCTTATACAATCATGAAGATTAACAAACAAATATTCAGTGTGACAAGGTCTCTTATCACATCATTTAATATGACAAATGAAAAAGATACTGAACAAATACAGTGTCGTGTTATGCAACTACATTTATGATTAACTCTTTCACATCTCGACACAAAAAGCAGCTGTGTCACTGTAAACAATCTCACATGCACCTTTGTCCAGCAATATGCAAAAGTCAATGCATTTTGTTTTCAAAAATATTCTTACCAGCAGTAGAAGCAAAGCAACAGCCGACCAAATGATAAAACTTTTCCACTGCTTCTTTAACACTAACAGGTCAAAGGCAATTGGGACCCTACAGAGAAAGTAAAGAAGAATGCATTTGAATAAGTCTTGTATAGGAAACATGTTTTTTTTTTTTTACAAACAGGCTTTCTACTTGTGAATCCTACCCAATCAGAGCAGAGAACGGCCATCCAACAATGGCTCCGGCAGCTACACCCATGATAGCTAATGGCGTTGAGTCCTGAAACCATCCCGTCATGGCGACCAGTGTTGTGTACATGCAGAAAGAGGATGGCAGGAAGGCTGGGAGGAGAAAATAAGTGGACTGCTCATGAAAAATGATTAATCACAATCATCACACACTGAAAAAACCTCACTCATCCCAGCACCATAAAACACACTATTTAGCAATGGCACAAAGAGCTCTTTCTCAAATGTGTCTTGGGTATTTTCCACACTGCGTTTCTGATCTAGGTTTTATTAGCGACCAGATTTGGCACCACCAACAAAGAGGCTGTAAGTTAAGTAGAAGTGTGATAGGAAATGGCAAATCAGGCTGAATCCTATCCAAATTAATTTAAAAGAAAAGTTTGACAGCTTGGGTGAGCATGTAATCCTAACCAACCTGCAGACGAACAGAACATCCCTGTGCTCAGGACGAGAAATGCCAACATCAGACGACCCACATGCAAACCAAACTTCTTACACACTGCCCTGTGTCACATAAAGAAGAGCAAAGAATTAATTCTTTTTCATATCTACAATGGATATATGGTTAGAGGGAGTCTTAACAATCATCTCAAAGCATTTGGGATGCCTACATGCATTTAAAAGGGAAATATATCAACTCACTTGTAGAAATAGAGTTCACATACACAGCAGGAGAATGCTAAGACACAGCGGACAAAGTAAAACACCAACACCTGCAACATAACAAAAACACAAGTCAGAAATTCACTACAAAGACACAACAGGATATTGCTCTCCTTCAGTTTTAATGGAAATACCTTTTAATCAGTGACAGAAAAGTGATTGGTTGACACAAGCTGTTGGTTATGCTAAAGGTAAACTGCATTTTCACATCAATTACATATTTAAAAGAAAGTTTGCTTTGAATAGATACCTTATTTGTCTGCAAAACATGGGCATGAAGACAAGCAGGAAGAGCATGTAACCATAAGTAGGCGTATGACCTGATTGCGTACAATGGAGAATATTCCCATGTTTGCATTCCTGTGCCATACAGCAGGTAATGCATCTGTCAAGAGAGGTCACGACAACAATTGTAAAAGAAGAAAAAGCTGAAAAATGACACTATTTTAGGATTTCTGACAGTAGCGATTAAACTCACAGGCTCCCAGTAGTTGAAAGTCTCATCGCAGTCTGAGATGTTACTGAGCAAAGCTGCACAGAAACGTGCAGAAAGCAGGCACTTAAATGCAGTTGAACCTTCTGGAGCCCATACCTGCCCTCCACGACTTACTGACCTGTCCAAAAATGACAGAGATGAACAAATACCACACACCTCATTAATATATGATCTAGTTACCACAATTTAACTTCTCATCAAAATATATCTGTTATTTCACAACACACCATGTCCACTTTCAGCATCATGAACAGGTAATAGCCTAAATTAAGAGTCTAATAAGTATGACCCTTAAGGATATTGCTTTTTCATTTGTCATGAGTTCAATAGAGGGGGGGTAGTAGCGATACGGCTAAACTTACCCCATACACGTGGTAAGTTGACCATAAGAGACCACTTTTTTTGGCATGCTATATTATCAGGACAGTTATGTTTACACTCATTCTGTTGGTTTGCAGGGATGCACAACATCTTGAAATATATGCAGATACACGAGTTAGAGACAAAACTATGATTGCCTTGATGTAGAGATCCGAAATAGGAAAAATGGCTCATCTTACCCCACTCTCCCCTAACCATCCATTTTTCCCCCACTATATTATTAAAAAAATGCTGTCAGTGCCCATTATTGCAACCTCTCAGATGAGGAGGACAGCTGTGTTCTCACTCAGACTGTATTTGATTACCACTTCATTAGTGTTACTAGTTAGAGTGATAGTTTCTGGCCCAGGTTCCTCCTGGTCACACCCATCATTAGGATTAGTTAGATTAGAGGCTCAGCTGTAGCTTAACATTAATCCTCACCTTACGGTTGTTATGACACGTCACCGATGGATGTGGCTACAATCCAGTAATTATAAATAACTAGAGCAATAAGTCAAAGACAGTAATCTCTGATATGTAACAACCCTTTATGTGTAGCTGAGCATGTGATGATCCGCTTGCCATAGCCCCTACACTGGTGTGATCTCATATGTATATATATCTGGCACAGGTTCAGCTGAGGAGAATGAATGAAGCTGACCAGGGAGCCTCACTGTGACGCTGCTTAGTTAAACAATAAAGTGAGTTTCTAGAAATTCAACAGACAGATTATTTTAAACTACTGGAAAAAATAAGTCTCCTGACTTGTTTGGAGGACTTTATCCATCGGTGTTATGCTGTTATAGTTAAAACTTCCTCCTTGTACCAAAGTAGCTTGTAGCTTGCTAGCTCCCCCCCGTGCTCAGACTGACAGTCAGACCGGGGATGAAGCTCAAAGACCCGGGAGGACTCCCGTCTCTTCTCCCGGCTCATACTCACTCTTGCCGAGCCTCTGTAGTTTTACTGTCATCGACGGCTTTCTCCTCCTTTGATGGCCGGGCTTCGCTGGGGACGCTCACGTTGTTTCCATCTTGTCTGCTGCCTCGTCTGGTCCGCTGCCGAAGCGCCTTGGCCGCCATGTTTTCCGATGATGCTCCCGAGTCGGACTTCGTTCATTATCGACGTAGTCCGATCATTGACCAGACAGCAACCTACTATAGCGCTGCTGAGAATGAAGGCAATGCGGAAGTAACGAAGGGGCGTGGTTGCCATAGGTGACAATTCAGCGCTGCTAGCTATCTGACAAGTGTTTGCTATGTTTACTAAATTAACCCGGCTGACTGCAAATAATCAAATTACCTTACTTAGCTGTGGCCTTATTTAAGTTAACTCTAATATGGTGTCAGTACATTTTTGAGATAATTTAATATTTATTCTAAATGTATGGGAGAGTGGGGTAAATTGAGCCTAAGGTTAAGTTAAGCCACCCGGTTACTTGGAAATGGTAAAAGAAATTGATTATGTTGTTGAAATGTGTTACTTTATTTTCCTAAAAATGGAGCTGTGAATGTTCTGAATCACTTAAAGCCATTCTCATGTTAAAATGTATTTTTTACAAAACAGTTTTTAGCAGTTGTATTCAATAATTATATATATAAAAAAAATAATTATTATACCAGTTGAATAGTGTATAAAAGATAAAAATGCACATGAACGTGAAGAAGTGACTGTTATTTAGGGAAAGAAAAGGTGAGGGGGGACTGGGATGGAGAGTAGGGAGTAGTAGGGATACAGCTCAACTTTCCCCATACACGGGGTAAGTTGACCATAACAGACCACTTTTTTTGGCATGCTATATTATCAAGACAGTTGTGTTTACACTCATTCTGTTGGTTTGCAGGGATGCACAACATCTTGAAATATATGCAGATACACTAGTTAGAGACAAAACTATGATTGCTTTGATGTAGTGATTAGAAATACCTCATCTTACCCCACTCTCGCCTACTTGCAGTCTCCAAAAAGGTCTGAGCTCGACCTTTTTGGTGAGCTAAATACTTGTCATATAGTCCCATTATTACTGATGCTAACAACTACTTCTAACTACGTCAAATTTTCTCTTGGGGTGTTTAAAGGCTCCAAAATTGATTCTTTTAAAACAAAAAAATTGTATTACTGAAAATTTTACCACTGTCCCTCCAAGTAGATATCATTTTTTTTTGGATTTTGACAAATTTTGACCACTTAATAAAGATTTATAACTATTTTTTACTTTGGCAACTGAGTGATCATGGTTCAGCTTGTTGCTGGACCATGATTATGAGAAAGTTCACTGATTCCAGGGAAGTCTAATTAAATAAAAGCTGCTTCACAGCTTTGTCTTTCGTTCAAAGCTGTGAAGCAAGTTTTATTTAGATGCTATGGCATCTATGAAAACCGTCCTTCAACACTTATGTCTTCAACAGACCATCCACTTATGATAAATAACTTGTTTATTTTGAAATTAAAATGAACACAAATGCACAGAACATACAGGCCCACTGAAATGGTAAACAGACTATGTTTATATGCCGCTAATCTCTAGTCTTCAGACCATTTACAACACTTAAACATTAATGTCACTTTCACCCATTCATACCACATTAACATTCACTGATGGCAAAGGCTTCTATGTATAGAACAAATCAATTTTTAACTAATACTGATCACACACCACTGGGGCCCAGCCAGTGTGGGCCAAGTGTCTTGCCCAAGGACACTTCGGCATGTGGTCAGCAGGAGCCTGACACTCTGATAGGAAGATGACTGACTTTACCACTGAGCAACAGCCGCCCAGTTCTCAAAAAAGGCAGGATACTGTAAAATGTAATTAAAAAGAGAATATGATGATGCAGAATAAGAGAATAAGATGCAGTATCCCTAATTTCCAAAAGAAATGTTTAAACTGATTTGTTTTGCTCTTTGGCTCAGTCCATCTTAAATGGGCTTCAACCAAGAGTAGCTGCCTGCGTTTCTCGATCATGTCTGTGTATGGTTTCCTCTTCGCATGTAACAGTTTTAACCTGCTTCTGTGGATACAGCTGCAAACAGAACTGATTTTAAGCCAATGCAGATTTCCACCACACAATCATATACGATATATTGCCACCAGTAGGCCTGAATATCAGGGCCATATTCTTTCATGCGTAACATGTGGCAAAAGGGGCTGGTGAAGAAAATGGGCATTTTGACTTACTCCAGTACATTTACATTTGTAATAAATAAATTGATTAATAAATAGATAAATAAATACAGTATTAGTTTTTGGCCTAGTCTTTTTTGCAGAGATTTCTCCAGATTCTTTCTTTCAATGATATTATACAGTCTTTGATGTAATCCCCCAATTTTTGCAACTTTGTGCTGATGACCATGATTCTGAAATTGCTGTAATTTTACTCATGCGGTCTTTATAAAGAAGTGGTGAATCTCTTCCTATCTTTACCAGTAAAAGACTCAGCCTCAAAGGAATGCCTCTTTCCAATCCAGTCATGTTATTAACTTGTTGCAAATTAGCCTAATAAGCTGAGAGATGATTCTTCAGGTGCTTTTTATGGCATTTTGCATCTTTTTCAATATTTTCTCGTCCTTTTCAACTCGTTTGAAATGTGTCACTGGCATCATATTTAAACAAGCAAAAACTATAATAGAACAATCAAATTTTAGACCAACACTCCATAAACTGTATTTTTACTCTACTTTCACTTAGATGTAGAGTTTAAATGATGAAAAATGTGTTTTATCAACACTCTACACAACGTCGCCACTCTTTTGGAGCTGGGCTTTTAAAACACATTTAAATACATACAACGGTGAACAACTGCTTCAGCTACTGTAAACACTTTTCACAGACAGTTTCCTATATCATACACTTAGTTTTCTCTGGATTAACTAACACCTAAGGTTTAAATCCCTGTTTAAATGCAGCTATCTGATAGTAACTTCTAATTGAGTGGAAAGTAACGATTCCAGCCGTTGATGAAAAAGCAGCGCTTGTGTGTGTGACAGTGCATGTGTGTGCGAACGGTAGGTAAGTCTGTAGCAATAACTGGTCTGACTCAGGTCAGGATGTGAGAACTTGTCAATGAGTTTCACCTGTTCCACAGTCCCACAACTAGCCTCTCGGACCACAGCGTGAAACTTCTTTTCCTCCCATATCGGCCCTGTCCAGAAGCTGATGTCAAAGCTGAAGTGCTCGGGAAACAGGGAGAATGGCTGAAAGGGTTCCCCTGGTGGCGGGCAGCATGCAAACTGTTTTAAAAAGCGTTGGTCATGAGACCACAGGATGCGCCAATCAGGGAGTGTAAAGAAGAGCACAGCTAGGAGGTCCAAATTTAGGGACACAGTGATGCGGATATGGCTTGTGTTATTGCATACTTTGCCTTCAGAGACCCTTCCAATCAAACCCAGTGATGCTGCCATTAGATGCAGACCCCTATTTTGTGTGATGAGGGAAACCCCATGGGGAGCAAGCAGTGTTTCCAGCTTTTGTCCAAGTAATTTAATTGGCTCATACTCCTCAGGAAAAATGCCTGTGATGAGGAGCTCATGAAATGCAGGCATAGCCCAGAGATTGATGTGCACATTCTTGAACACCAGCCCACTAATGCCAAATAAAAAGCAGGGGGCACCATTACAACCCCCACAGAGCTCCTCTTTGTCCTGTTCTTCAGCACTTACATTACTCCCTTCACTCTCAACAAGACCCTTCACATTTGTAGTCCACTCCTCTTTTTTATTTAGAAGCTCTTCTATCTGAGGGAGTAGGGATGGGCGCAGCAGAAAGAGACCACTTTCCTCATCGGGATCAACATCAATGGAGCATGCAGACCTTAAGCACTCTGCTCCTTTGCTCCTCCCTTTATCAGCTTTACTTGAGCCAACACGCGTGGATGATAAGGCACCCTGTGTGCTTGTCTGTTCCTGAATTTCCACAGGTGTAACTGCCTCTTTGTCTGTGGATGTCTCAGCATCAGTGCTGGGATCTTTCTGAATAAGGTTGATCCAGTAGCGGTGAGTACCGTCTACATCACAGCAACTTGCCTGTAGCTGTTTGGCCGTGAGAAGGAATGGAATTGTCTCAGTTGTCATAGAGACTGACCACTTTTCTTCAAGGCCTTTGATAATATAATCTTGCGCCAACCTGACTGGGTGCACAGAACCTGGGCAGAGAAACCCCCTGATGACAGAGGAAAGAAAGTACACATCAGGTTACGTAACATGTCACTGTGTCAAAAGCCTCTTAAACAGAATGAGTGTGTCTGTGGCAATATACCTGAATATGTAATCACTGAGCTCAGCCGGTATGTTGTACTGGAGTTTCTCCCCCTCAATGACCTCCTCTACTGTAAGTTTTTGAGCAGAGGTGTAGGGGAGGCTGCGAGTGAACACGTGGACTAAAGCTTTCTCCACGTGAAAGCCCTTATCCTGGCTCCTGTATGACAGCAACACCATCATTAAATGATAGCATTATGCAAACACACACCAACACACAGGGACACAATGAGCTGCTTCTATTTGTACACTTCAACACTCACCTTTGCTCCTTACCTGTATCCAGTGCACTTGTAGCTCTGGTATTTCTCACTCTCAAAAGGATGGACGTCAGTAAGGATCAGGTGTGCCTCTGCTGCCATGGCAGCCACCTGCCAGCTGTTGTGCCACTCTCGCTTTGGGTGGTCCACTGGTGTCCCACCCTGCCCGTTGCACAGAGACACATGAACCTCTCCATCTTCAGCTAACACCTCAACACAACTGGAAGCACATAAATACAACAAACACACAACATTAATTATTAAATCATGACATAGCACATCTTGCACATTGCCCATAATGTATATATGTTATAACAATGCATTTACATAAACACCCACTTAATGTATTGTAAGTCATGTATTTGTATGATGTCGGTCATTGAAAGTTTCATCCAAAGGGCAACAGGACTGGTCAGGACTAATTCTTCTTGAGTTCTGATCCTCTTGTAATTGTGGATTTCGGTGTAGAGAAATGCAGCTATACATTACCCTTTTCTAAGGGTTCTATTTTTGACTCTTGTTGGGATTTGATGTCCTAGATGACAACTTTTTCCTGTAAATTGTTTTGTATTTTGTCTAAAATATGTGCAATGTAAAACTAGAGATATAAGTACATAAGTATCGTGTCAACACATTATAGGCAAAATATGTGTAATAGCTTATAATTTCATGAAAAGTAAAAGCGGCTGACTGCTGTATTTAAAAATAAAATAATTTAAACAACAATGGCCAGGCACTGGCTGGCCTAATAATAACAGGATTTTTTTTTTTTTTACCCTAATTTAACTTTTCTCCAACAGTTTTTTTTAACAAAGATTTACTGTTTACAAAGAACGCCAAAATGTGAAATAAGGCCCACACAAAAGTTGCCATAAGAAAATATCATTCCGAGAAACTAAATTTCGATAACTGACTGTGAGCATTCAGCAGTTCTTGATGGTAAAACAAACAAATCTTATTAATCATGATGTCAGCTAGCACTTGCACAGATTCAGCTTAACGTTGCTCATTATTAAGTATATTTAAAGTGTAAAAGGTTTTGTTAATAGAAAGTAAAGGACCATTACGCAACAGCACTCAAGTGCTTTTTGATCATTTGAAAATGTCAGCTGGGATACAAAAAAGAGGGTTTTTTTGGTTTAAGAATCAAATCAAAATTCAAATCAACTATTATTTATATCACGCAAATTCACAACAGTCGTCATCCCAAGACGCTTTCCAAAGAAAAAGAGCAGGTCTAGACCACGCTCATTGTTTGATGAATTATCAGGACCCAACCTAAGATGGGATTTGGCCCATCTCATCTAACATGAGTAACAGTGGCGAGAGAGAGAGAGAGAGAGAGAGAGAGAGAGAGAGAGAGAGAGAGAGAGAGAGAGAGACAGGGGACAGCAGCAACATTAAAACAACAACAACAACAGCTTATGTAATAGTGAAATAAAAAGAGTTCAAAAAGAATGAAAGAATGAAGTGCATCAAAAATGTCATTGTTCATTTTAGTCCCCATTGCACATTAGTTTTACAAACTTATCTTATCTTCTTGTTTGTATTTACACTGACATACTTGCTTCATACCCAAACTTTACCTCTGGGTATCACCAAAGATGATTCCATCTTTACATAATGATGCACTACAATCCATCCGAGACTTAAGGCAATAGCTTAATATTTCAGTTTTAGATGGTGTGATGTGCTAATACCTGAGGAAGAACTTTCTGAGAAGTTCTCGGTTCTTTTTAACCCCACTCTTTCTCCCGCAGTGAGGGAAGTTGAACACCACACGGTCAAACACACGGCCCTGGAGAGAGGCACACTCCTCCAGCTTGGTGCAGTCCACACCGAAAAGCACTGTTCCTCCTGGTTAACACACAAGACCAAGTTTTTTTTAAATGTCAAACAATACTCTACGTACAAATAAAAACAGCAGGAGGCCGTACCTGAGTCCTTGATAATCTGGATGTTAGTAGCAGCTCCTTCGTGTCGCAGTGCCTCATCCTGACGCTGCAGACAGGTGGCTGTCACGCTAGTCTCTGTGTCACTGAACTGACTTACAGAAGCAGAAAACGAAAAGTTCCCCTCTCCTACAAGTAACACGGTCCGTGAAGGCGACATGTTCTACTGGAAAAAGCCAAAAGCAACAAAAAGAGCTGAAATCCTCGGAAAGTTGCTCGAAAAACTGCCTCTGAGTGCGCAAAGGAGAACAGCGCGTGGGAGTGAAAATGACCACCTTCTGCTTTCCTCATCACGGTCTAATACGACCTTAACAACGGCGTTTTTTCTTGGCTGACATCGATATGTTGTGTTTCAGACCGGCTCAGATAGTTAAAGTAAAATAAAAGAGCCTGTAATATAGAATAAAGCAGTTGACCTTACCCCGCTGCTCTGCGCTGCAGAATATCAAAGCCGAGCAACATTATCACCTGTAGCGGCTTGGGCTGAACGCTGTGTCACAGATAAAGTAGTCCGACTAGAGACAAAACTCCTTGACCGTTACAGTTAACAGAAGCATTTACAGTACCCAACCGATGTAGATAATGTGTTTAAAATCGACTTAAGATAATTTAAATCACGTCACCGTTACTCTTTTTCAAATTTACCGTTTAGAAGATATTAAACCATAATTTGCCACAAAATAGGGTCGTGCTAAAACACGGACATATTAACAGGGTGACACCTTGCATCTGGAGAAGGGAGCTATTTGCAGCATCAGTTCATCCCAGCATCATCTATCTTCGCTTAACAGGAGTTAATCTCTGCATTTACAGACATGACAGTTTTAGTAATGCCCGTTCTTCAGCGCAGCCGAGAATTTTAAGTCCTGCCCACTGCAACAGAGGAAGGTAGAGTCTAAAACACTGTGTAATTATATGGCTGTTTTTTTCTGATGCTAAGGTCATGCTAGCTAACGGAACTGCTGCACCTGCTCATAAAAACATCAGACAGGGTTACATAGTCGATGCACAGTCGATAAAAGAAGCAATTAAATGCGTGAAAAAAATACAAGTTTGATACTAATTTGTTTCCATTTTTGATGCAATTTCCCTATTTTTTTTAACAAAGGATGCGTTTTAAAAGTGCTCTTATAAAAACAACCACTGTATATTGTATATTTGGAGTATTTTACATGCCATTTTTAAATGTTTTCCAGAGCAGCTCTTATCTTGTCTCTAATGTGTACAGTCTGGTTTTAGATGACAGTGCTACAGACCATAAATGAGATAAATAAAAATGGCTTATTATAATCATTACAATCTTATTATCTTTTTGTTTTTCAGGAAGTTTTGGGCCCACATGGGCAGCGTTCTGGCATTGTCTTCTGGTCCGGGCCATCAGAATTGGCCTTTCTCCACGGACCCCTCTCGCTGGGACGCTCATCCTGCCCACTGGGACAGTCCACCACGCTGGGAGAAGAGAGATGGTCGCCTACCAAACCCCGGCAGCTTCCATTCTCTCCACAGAAGTTGTAAAGGTATGTGTTGTTAGAAAGGAGTAGCTAAATTTTCACTGTGGAGTCAACATATATATATAAATATATTTTAATTTGGAGGCTACAGCTGTTTTCCTCGCTGCCACTACTTAGCAATGCATTTGTTGTTGTCATGAGACACTTGGTGTGGATGTGTGTGGGTGTTTTTTTCCTGTAAACACCACTATCAAAAGTTGAAAAACTAAATTGGGCATTTCTGAGCACAGGCATAGTCACATCACTCAACAAAGAAGTTATCTTGTGGTCTCAATTAAGGCAGTTGAGTTAAGAGTAACACTTTGCTATTTCCCCCCATCTTTCCAGATGTGTTTCCCCAACAGATTGAGGGTGTCAAGATGATTCTCAATAAAACTCTGAGCAGTTTCTTTAAGGTCTCTCTCCCATTCACATTACAATACACCTAGCCAGTGTTTTTGATATGATCATAAATCAATTCATTTTTTAATGGTCTTTGACAAAATCTATGTATTTGATTTCAGGTCAGTCATACTCTACATCTCAGTGCTGTCAGTCCTTCATATTATCGATTCCATGTGGAGCACCTGCAGTCTGATGACTACAGCAAGGACAAGGTCAGGCACCAGTCCTTACATAATAAATAAGTAAACACTACTTTAAGGTTAATGTACTTGTCTTTATAAATTGATGAGAAATAGATGGAGCTATTACCCTCTAAGATAACAATTCGCATTAACTCTTCCCCACATTGTAGGATGCCCCAGCACTGATTGGCGAGATGGACTCTTCGGGGAGTCTAAATGCTCACGCTCTGCTGAATCTCACTGAGCATGTAAGAGCCAGATCGGTGTTTCAGGTGAGATCCTGTGAAACATGTCTATGTGTTATCTGTTCAAGTCACTTGCTAGAGTTAAAAAAACAACAACTAGTAGAATAGCTATTTAACAGCAGTACTGTTGGTATGCAGAAACCTGAATAGAATAAAAGAAAAATACAAGAAGAAAAAAGGCCCAAAAAATTAAGTATGTATAAAGGGTGCCATGGAGGAGCAATTGCAGTTATACAACAGTGTATAAGTAAAACACAACTGGAAATTTGATATGTAATGCTTGAGTCAAGTAATGTGCTCAATGATTTGCATTAATGTAACTCAATGATGGATGCTATATGCTGCAAACAATTTATTGAAGAAATAATTGATTGTGCTTTAGACCCAGCAGTCCCAGTTTGTAACGTGGCAGTTTGAAACAGAGTACAGAGGAAATGATTTCACCGCTGCTGTGACTGTGGCCAACCCGGACGTTCTCAGAGAGTCAGGTGAGGAATAATTTTATAAAAGTCTCATTTGGTTTTCATCCGTAGTTCCTTAAAATACTTTATAGGATATTTGTAACCTAGGTAGAATAAGTACTGAGGTTATCTATCATAAGTTCATTGTTTCATTGCAGTTCCAAGAGTTTCTCCACTGTGGACTCCTCTTATTCAGCAGTCAGTGGATTTTCAGGATTTTATGAGTTGTTCTGAACCTTTCACTGTCTTTGCATGTTTCTGTTGGACAGTCATCCTTGTGGCACACTTCCTTCAGAGTGTGTCCTCTGGACTGGTGTTAGGAGGGGAGCTTGTGTACCATCGTGGTCGAGCAGAGGAGGGGGGAATTCTTACCTTGGCTGGGCAGTACTCAAGTAAGCTGGGTTTTTTTTACTTCTCCAAAGCCATTATCCTCTGATCTGCTTTATGAGATTTAGCTGCCTAGTTTTTCTTGTTTCTCTGTCACACTCATGCAGGACCAAACTGGGTGGCAACACTAAATGCTGGGAAAGGAGGGGCCCATGCGAGCTACTATCACAGAGCTAACAAACAGGTACTGCAAATACCAGCGCACTATACACAACAACCATCCACCTAAGTTGAATTTGAAAAATATTAATTTGTGTGTCTGTGTTCAGATCCAAGTTGGGGTAGAATTTGAAGCCAGCACCAGGACACAGGAGACCACAACCTCTTTTGGGTACCAGATGGAACTCCCAGAGGCCAACATGGTCTTTCGAGGTAATTTATTTTTTGCCATTTGTAATAAAATCTATGTGTTAATGAAAAATATTAAGAAAAGCCCTCATTACATAAGCTTTTTTGTGTGCCCTCAGGTATGATTAACAGTCGGTGTATAATAGGAGGTGTGTTGGAGAAGCGTCTGACTCCTCTCCCGGCCACCCTGATCATGGGCGCCTTTGTAAATCACAGAGGTGACAAGCTGCAGGTGGGACTAGGTGTCAATGTGGGATAACCTTCTTAATCCCATCTGGAATCACAAGCTGCTGACAGGACAGCCATTCAGCAACCTGTTTCAGATGTGTCACTATGACCTAATATATCAATTTTTCTTTAGCTTCACCCAAACACTCTGCAACCTCCCCGGCTACAGAGTGTTTGAGCAATGAAGCCAGAAATGTTTCCTTAACAGGATGCATGTCATCTCGCAACCTACCTCTCAGATCTGCTTTCTGATTGAGTGACAAAAGGACTGAACATAGATGGATACTTTGAGGGACCCAGTAACTTTGACTGGAGATTTGTTGCTGTTAACCTCAAACCAGAATAAGCATCATCTCATGGACAGAGAAAACTTAAAGAATGCACTAAAAACTGTAATTAAATACGTTTTATACTGTAGGTACTCATACAGAAATGTAATGTATACGAAATATATCAGAAGATAATTTTGTTTTTCTATTTTACCTAATTGATTTTGATTCTTGTAAGCCTGACCTTTATGTGACCAGCCATTGTTTGTTGAGATGATGCATATGACCAAATTTACTTCTCCCCCCACAGTAACTGATTTACTTCCATACTGGTTTTAGTTTGCATAGCTTACCAGTGTGATGCTTTTTAGCATCTTACTCCTTGGCTTTGATTTTTGGATACTTTAAATTCCTTGAGTGCACCATCCTGGATGAGTTTTAGAAAGATTACCATGCCATGCATTTCCGTAAGGCAGCGTTTTTCAACCTTTTTTGAGCCATGGTACGTTTTTCATTAAGAAAAAATCCCGAGGCACACCACCAACCAAAATTTTACTCAATGACACTTGGTAGCCCCAAATATAGTTTATATAATGACAATATAGCCCCTCTGTTTATTCATACTCACCATGTGTGAAACCTGGGGCTGTAGGTTACAGCACAGAAACTTGAGAATTAGAAAAGAAAAATAGACCAATAAAGTGAAATTGGATAAGTTCTCAGGGTATACCTGATTGTCTGTCACGGCACACTGGATGAAAAACACTGCCTTAAGGTAATGACAGAGTTAATTTATTAGTTAAATGTCTCATTTTCTCAAGCCAGACTTTGTTAGCTGGTTTTTAGAATTACAAATGGTTGACCAAATTATTAATAGGAAAACAAAGATGTAAAAAATTCTACGATTGTCCTAAAACAGTGTATGAGTAAGTGGTTGTGTGTTGTGTGTTTGATTTGCTCTACTTTTTTTGCCAGTATATAAGCCCACTGAGAGAGAAAGGAGCCACTCTATTCTTGACTCTGGCTGAGGACTGATGTGGGGCTGTGCACTAATTAGACAGGACTGGGCCGTATGAAAATAGGACTAAGTGAAGGCATGTGGAAACATTGGTCTAAACGCATACTGCACTACTCACATGGCATCTAGGCTCTTACAGTCCTATGTAAGAAATGTTCTATATGTATTATTTATACATTATGTAATATAAGCAAAGAGAAATGGAGTAGGGTGACTGCCATTTTGGACTTAATTTATTAAAAGATGTTATTTCTTTCATACGCATTGTTTTCATTTTCCTGATTAATTTCACTTGCAAGAAATTAATATTCTGCAGATGAAGTACTCATAGTTATTGTGTTTAAAGCTCAGATAACCATTGCTTGTATATTAATTATGCATAGAGAGAGTGACAGTGGTCACTCGTACTCACACATCAACAGAATACAAGCACCTGAATTTATAGTAAGTTCCCTTTATTGTTCTCTGTTTAGCATAAACACTTTAAAAAGATGGATGATGTGACTGCTCCCAAAGAGTAAAGCCAATACACCTAGAGCTCCTGCCTTCTAAATGGCTGCGGTATGGGCCATCAAGCCCAGATTTTCTATTATGACAGATGGGACGTGTAAAATACGTAGAATGTAGAAAATACGTAGTCTGTAAGGAAGGCTTCGGTTCAATTGTCAATCACACAAATTTGATCGCAGGACTCATATTTGTTTTAGCTCTTAAAGCTAGTGTACTTCACAGAAGTTAGCTGTAAGCTACCAAGCATCGGACATTCTGACTTCTATCTATCATCAGCCAAGTCTCTGATTCAACTCTGAATGAACTAGAAACTGTGCTTCCATCCTTTATTTCCTTGCAATACATTGCATATCCACAAAGCATCGGTGTTCACACAAATCTTTGTTTTAAAGCATAAATGTGTGTGACCAGTCAGAGTAACCAAGACACACAAGTTTGAAAAAAAATGCAGCTTTGCAATACTGTATTATGGTGACACATTATTAACAGATGGAACATACAGAAACTTGTGGGTGGCTTTGAATTTTTTATACAAGTAAAAAAGTAACTAATATTACTAACAAACAGTATTTTACATTTATTTACAAATACATTCAAAAATGAGGTCTGTAAACATTTATATGCATTGCTGATTTACATGACAGAAACTGGATTATGCAGTTTAAGTCCCAAATATAATAACCAAGATGGAAACGAGCGCTCTGTCCTTTTACTCTGCTGACATCTCTCGCTATCATTTGTCTCTGAAAAAGGAGAAGAAACTTTTCCCTCCCTCTCCTCTCACTCGCAGAGACTTGCTTCTTTGGAGCCCTCCTGTGTTTTCTTTCTCACGCTGGGTTTCCTTCTGTTTGTCTTCTGCTTGTTGCTGCACCTGCTGATTGATCACCAACCGCATGTCCTCCTGGGGTGACGTGGAAGGGTCACATGGTCAAACAATGGGACATTATTCAGCTGAACACTTGGAAATCCCTGAACAAAGACTCACCTGCCATGCATCCAGTTCTTGAGACAGTGCCACCTTGTGTTTGATGGTGTTGAGAAGCTGCTGAGTTAGCGTTTCCTTCTCCTGACGCACAATGGCCAGTTCTTCCTCTAAGTAACTAAAAATCGATAGGATGATTAGAACTTGCATTGCTGTGGGTTCATACTATCTACTGTAGTGGTTCTGTTATATAGTAGTACCTGTAGTTTGGTTTATCAGGCCTATCTTTAAAGGGTTTGATTTCCTCCTTTAGAGACTCCAGCTCTTCTTGTTGAGATTGAACCTGGGAGGGGGAGTGAAAGTGAAAAGCATGAATACCAGAATGATCAGAACATTTGTATGGTTTTCTTCGGTAAACCTGCTGTAAGGATATTTTGCTAATTACAAAGCATACTGAATTAAAGCTGGTGTCTCTTTGGGACCCTCAAGAGACCACCAGCGACAAAGTTGATCATTAACGCTGGGAAACTGCTGCTGCTACATCAACTGTTTTTGCAGTTTCCCTGGTAAAGATTCTTTATGAGTGATACATTTGGATGTTAAAAGAAAGCAGAGGAAGTTTTCTGTCATAAAAAATGTAAATAAATTACTACGCAGACATGAATAGGACAAAATCACTTAAGAGATACCACAGGGGGCAACAAAATCAAGACAAACACAGAGTTTCCTACATGCTTGCTTTTTTCACTTCCTTATTTCAACCTCCTTAAATGGATCTTCTCAAATACCAAATGAACTCTTTAATTGTTCATTTATTTGGATGATTAGACTGACCTGCTGTTTGAGTGATTCGATCTCGTCATCTTTTGCTTGCAGGACGTTTGAGTGAGTTAGAAGATACTCTGTAGCCTGGTTTGCAGAGTAGATGAACATGACAAAACAGAAGAGAGAAAAGCCACTGAGGTCAACCTGCTTTTCATTTGTGTATATCAGTGTGAAAAAAAAAGATACAACAGGAAGTAAAAATGTCAGAGTTAGTCTTAGTGTCAGACAGATCACTGACAAATGTCAGTAAAGGGTCAAAATTAGACCATGCATGAGAAAGTTATTTGTCAGAGCAGTTTATTGCTGTGTGTGTGTGTGTGTGTGTGTGTGTGTGTGTGTGTGTGTGTTTGTGTGTGTGTGTGTGTGTGTGTGTGTGTGTGTGTGTGTGTGTGTGTGTGTGAGAGAGAGAGAAAGTGTGTGTACCTGTGTTTGCTGAATTTCACTAAGCAGAGACAAAGGCTGTGTGTTTGTACTGTCTAGGATGCTCTCTTCTCCCAGGTTCAGAGCCCTCTGCTGCAGAGAGCGATTCAAGGTTCGTAACTCAAACACCACCCCTTGCTCCTGCTCTATCTACATAGGCACACAAACACACATAAAGTAAGAAAAGCACACAATCGCACAGACACACTGGCATTTATAAGTTAGCAGTGTTAGTGACCTCTACTTGTGGTGAGTTGTGTATCCTGCAGCGTCAATCTCTCTCAGGCCCTACCTCTCAGCACCTTAGCTCATGTAAACTACTTCACGGTCACTGACCCTCACCTCTGTCTCTTTTTCACGCAGTTTGGTTTGTAGGTCAGACACTCTCTCTCTCAGTGTCTCTCGCTCTACTCGGCGTCTATCGCTGTCCTCTTGGGAAGCTTTGAGTTGTGCCTCCATGTGTGACAATCGCTCCAGCAAGACTCTGTTCTGTATTTGGAAGAAGCATTGATTAAGTTGTGATATAAAGGCGGAAGAAGAAAGTGCAAACTCAATTTATATGCTTTAATTGTGAGTGAATGCTCTGAGTGTAGGATAAAGCTTCTGCTGAACACATAAACACTCACCATTTATCAGGTTTGAATGGAACAAATTTACAAGTTGATATGAACACCTTCTTATACTAACACTTATGTCCCGGTCTGTCCACTTTATATTCTGCTCTGTATTCTAGACAATATGTTATCTTGTGTTTTCATTGGTTTTCCCCAGTAATTTTTTGTCTTGTAGGTAAGCAGGTTTTTTTTCTTAAATAAGACAAATAAACAAAAAAATTCTTAATTCTGACAGCCAATCATATCACTTACTGTTAATCTTTGTAACAGAAAATATTTAAAGGCTCTCTATGCAGTGTCCACTCACAGTCACTTATCCCTCCAGCAGCAGTGTCAGACATTGAATATTTGCATAGAAGTAAACAATGTAGTTGACTATGGCCTTGTTTGCCTTTGTAAGTCATATAGCGGCATCAAGTCTGTTTCATAACTGGCTTAAAACTCCCCAAAGGGAGCTCTTCTTGCTCCCACATGGTGAGGTAACTTGTAGCAGGCATATAGGCTATATAATGTAGTATGTTTAACCTTCCTCCTGTGTTGCTTTTAATACGCACAAGCTACGTTAAGGGTCGGTTTTGACCCGTGTCTTAAATCAGCTGTAAATTACACTAAAAACATTTCTCTATCATCCAGTTTGGTTCTCATCTCTAGGTTACCTTGTTAGGCTTCAGGATCCATGAAAATATTGCTTATAATATTTTTTGTTGAGGGCTTCTAGGCCTTTCTTTGTCAGTATACCCCTCATACAGTCATCTATACTGAAGTGATCTCACATGTCTAGACATGCCTGACATTGTTTTTTGTGCAGGGAAAAACATGGAAAAATTAGGATTTCCTAAATCTCACATGATTGGACGAGGATCTGACTCAGTGTGGTGCATGACAGTGCACTTATGATTGTAGTTTTTGCTCTAATTATTAGATATTGATCTAACAGTGACCCTAACATGACAAGTGCCATCATTTTAATAAGAGCATTTTATAATTTAGTCAATTTAATTTTTTATTTTTATTTTGTTGAAATAGAGGTTCCTGACAAAGTCAAAAAGTCTTGATGCAAAAAACTTAAGTGGTTCTTTAAAGCATTTAAAATCAAAAACGGGTCGGTGCAGACCCTAACACCAGTGGAGGGTTAAAGATGCAATAACAACCATAGCAGAAAGGCAATTTCTTTTGTATTGATTTGATATGGTGCATATACCTCTCCTTGTATGTTGTCTAACTGTGTGGAGTTGATATTTCTGCTAAAAGATGATTCATCCATCTCTTCTCTGAGGGAACGAAGCTCAGTCCTCAAGGTGTGTTCGAGTGTCACAGCCTGGATGGGAGGAAGATAGAAGAGTTAAGAGACTCTTCCATTGTTCGATGAGTGAAAAAGGTTTGACTCCCTTAACCTGCTTGTCTGCATTTTTCAACCCACACACATGCAGACAGTTCCCACACACACACACTAACTGACATGCACGCACATACTCCGTTTATTATAGCAACACTATGACATAATTTCCCCCTTTTTTTCTATGTGTTATCAGCACAAGGTAGGGGTGCTTGTCTGGCGGCGGTATTTATCCCAACCTCTGACAGCTGCTCCACAAGGCGTTGGTTGTGATTGGCAAGCTGAGTCAGCTGTTCACTCTCATCCCTCCGCCGGTCACGCCCCTGGCTGTGATGTCGCTCCAGCTCTGTCCTCAAGGTGGCTAAATCTGCATTCAGCTCCGCCTCCCTCTGCCCGAAGTCCAGCTGGTTCATTTCCAGTTTCCTCTGTAGAACATGCTTCTCCTGCTGTAGAGCCTGAGACAGCGAACGCAACATGAACTTACCACTCTCTGAAATGCACAGATAATTGTAAGGCTGTATTCTTGTGGCTTTGCACACTGTGTTGAGTCACAAGTTTGGTGGCCTTTTTGCTGCTTCACAGTATGTCTTTACTCATTTTAGTGCTGCAAGTGTCACAGATAATGGAATGGAAGAAGTTTGTTTACATGGAAACAAACTTCTTCCAAGTCATAATACATTCACACAACAGATATTCCTGCAGGTGCAACTTAAAATTTAGCAACATGCCCAAGGATCCCGCTGCACAGCATACCAATCATGGGTAGAGGCTAGAGGGATACTTTGGAGTGCTAGAGTTAGTACTTGGGCTTTTTTTCCAGGTTGATATCAAGTTTTGTCAAATATAATATCTAAAATTATAGCAGTGTCATCAGTTCAATGAAATATGCAAATGTAAGCTCTTTAAATCACATTTGAGGAAATATTCTTATCTTCAATGCTTACATTTACTGCCATAAAGTGCCACTTTTCCCAAACTAATAGATCAACTTCAAGTTTCTGTTTGTTTCGTACTTTACTCACGCACCAAGCCAGTTTTGGAATTAAGTCACAAAAGAAAAACAAAAGGTTTATACCTTCTGAAAATTCTGGAAATAGAAGTGAGAAACTGAACGACAGCATAGTACCATCAGTATTAGGAAGAAAACATTTTGCTGACCTTGGTAAATATTTAGGGGTATAAGTCAGCCAAAGTTGACAGAACATCGCATGAAGTGCTTTCAGTTCTGGGATGTTTGTTTTGTTGAACGATCTGGGTGTTATTGTAGGAATACTTTATTTCATAAAGTTGAAGAACTACTACAAAGCACAGGGTTTCAGAGCCTTTGTGATGGGTCTCTTTAATCTATCTCTGGTCCTGTTAAGGAATTCAGCCATCATTTATTTGACCATACTTGGGCCTTTTCATCTGTGATATGTGGACCTGCTTGACTTTGACTTCATTATTTATTATCATCAATATTTGATATATTAACAAAATTTTGCTTGATAACATTTACATTTGACATGTTTGACTTCAAACTCACTGTAAGTATGATCAGTATTACGCATGTTATCATTGCCAAAGCATCCATGAATCTTGATTATCTGTTGTAGTCATTGTGTTGTAGTTGTAGTTGTAGTTGTAGTTGTAGTCTCAGCAGATGACTTTCCATTTTTGAGTCTTGCTCTGGGCCATTGTTGCCAAATGTTGACATGCTCATGACAGGTTTATGTTGGGTCTCTGTGAATAATGCAACCAAGTGTGCAGTCTACAACTGCTCCTTTACGCTATGTCCTGAAATAACAGTTGTAGTGACAAACCTCTGTTAATTCTCTTCTGTTTCAGGTTTTTCCAAAAGATTGCAATGATTGTAAATTTGAAAGGGAATTATAAGTTTCAGTTTTACAAGTCTAGCCACTTTTACAGTGTTTGCCCTGCAGGCTGGAAACAACTCAAACCTTATTTGGTTGTTTGTGAGATAGTTGTGAGAGCTCCTTTTTTTCACACCTTTGTGTGTTTTTCAGAGGTGTAAGGAAGTTTCACAGTTATGAAAAAGCATGGTTTCATCAAGCAGCATCACCCTTACCTCCACCTCCCTCTCGCTCTGCTCCAGAGTTGCTGCGAGCTCCTCATTCTTCTCCAGTAATGCCTGCCCCAGCTCTGCAGCAAGTATCAGATCTGTCTCTATCCCTCCTCCGTTGTCGCTGCTACCAGAACAGGATGTGGATGAGGGGAGCCCGAAAGAAAGGGACACCGAGGAGGATGAGGAGAGAGGGAAAAAGGAGTCCTCCAAGCTGGGGGAGGGCAGACTGCTTTTCCTTGGGGTGAACATCTTTGACAGTTTCTGGCTGCTTCAGGTAGAAAGCATTGTGCTAGATCCTCGTATCTGTAATCCAAAGTCATACAGGAGGCATGTAGGCAGCCATGGTTTTTCTTTTCTAAAAATGGATCCTTTCCTTTGATTTCGTGTTGATCTGGAGGCGTCCGATAGGTTGAGTTTTCAGTGGTATAATCCAAAATATGTCTTTGCCAAAGTAACTCTTCACAGAGGTGCCAGAGGCCTGAATGCTGGTCCCCTACTCATCTCTTCTTCCCAAAGAAACCCTGTGGGCAAGAAAAGACTGTTAGAAAGACACTTGAGGTAGATCCACTGACTCTAATGTTAGAGTTAATAATGTGTCATATGACGTGTGAATGCCAGACTGGTTGGTTTCTGGTAATATAATCACACAAGACCTTCAAGGAGGTCTTTTGTCTGGCAGGTGCTTTTGTGTCTCTGACCGAAATACCAGCAACACTATTATCTTTTCTCTGCTCCCCTCCCTAAATTCCTTAGGCATTGTGATGAACTATTTCATAAATATACACCAAGCCTTGAATTCTCTAAAAACATCTTTAAAATTTAAAGCAAATCCTTCAAGAGACGCCCACATGTACCTTTAAGCCTTCTTGGAGTTCTTCTGTACCAAAATAGGAACAGTACAGTAGAAGTTCCTGTCACTTTTTCCCGTGAAAATGTATTTTATGTTACTAAAATATTTGTTAAAGTACAGTTTCATTGATAAGCCACAGTCTCCCATGACATTCCTGACGTCACCATCTGCAATCTTACCTGTTCACTCCACACGCTATTATGAAACCACGCTGTCAACCAATTAAAAAGTACCAAAAGACACTAATAAATTCACTCTATCATTGACATTTTCTGAATTAGCTATGCTTTTAAAAAGAACTTGGTCAAGTTTTCACTGACGTAGAAAGAACATAAATAAAGTCTGCCTTACCTGACAGTCCCAAGCTGACTCGCACCAAACAGGTATGGTCTTCCTGTTTGGTGAGTGTGTGAGTGTGAGTGTGTGTGTGCGTTTGGGAGTGTTTGCACAAGAGGAGCTCAGCTGGTTTCCTTGGCAGTGGAAACATACAGTATGTAAATACAGCCGCTGGCTCCACCCCCAGCACTGGAAGATAATAAGGGAGGAATCCACAGAGACACAGAGCACTGAAAAAGATGCAGACAGTAGTGAGGTGAGTTGTCACAGAGATGGTTGCTGCTCTGACATCTAGTGGCTGAACAAGGAGGAGACACTACTGATTAACTCTGAGGAATGTGTAGTTTAAAAAGTCTAACTGTGCTGAGTGAGGACGACAGAGGGGTTAGAGATGAGGAGAGAGGGAGGTCAGGACACAAGCAGGGGTCTGTCTAATCCAGCCCTCCTCCTCCTCCTCATTCCTCATCCTGTTTACCTGCTTGAACAGTTTGAAAGGAGCTCTGTGTGTACTCATTTATGAGGCAAGGGGGCAGGGAGAATAGAAAAGCCTGCTGCTATCACTCCTCAAAGACGGCAAACACTTAAAGGGGAGCGTAAAGCCTCAAGACATCTTTAAAAGAAAGCTATTACATCTTTAGTGCCTTCACGTACAGCACCATCATGTCTTGCATGCTTTGGTTTGCTTTTTCAGTGTTGCTTTTTCTGCCAACTTATGAGGCTGGAAGACAGATGCCCAAACTCTCCGACAAGAAACTCTGTGCTGATGCTGAATGTAGCCGTAAGTAACACACCCACTGACTTCTTTTGCAGAAAATAATTGCTTTGCATGATTCATTTTTTAACAAGTACAGAAAAAAAGCACAGTATTGCTTCTCAGTGCAAAAAATATCTGCATGATATTAAGCAGCCTCTGCCTTTCCTACTCAATGCTTGCACAGATCCTATCCTGATAGCTCGTGCTGTACAGGATTATTACCCCGGGGACTGCAGGTTCATTCCCATCAGACAAGGGCAGCTTATCTATGTCTATGCAATGCTGAAGGACAGAGGGAACCTTTTCTGGGCAGGCAGTGTAAGACATTGGATCATCATGGGATTATAACTTTTGCTGTGGCATGCTATAATGAAGTTGCTTGTATTTTTCTAATGTATACTCTTTCATGTAAATATCCTCTACAGGTCCAAGACTCATATTATGGACAGCAGGAGGCTCGCATTGGTCATTTCCCCAGCAGCGTGGTGGAGGAGACTCATCCTCTTATGCCAGCCAACACTGAAGTCAAGACTACTGTGGGTGAAAACACACATGCACACACACACACACACACACACACACACACACACACACACACACACACACACACACACACACACACACACACACACACACACACACACACACACACAACATAACAGGTATATGTGGTTCCTTTTGTCACATCTTTTCCTTTTTCTCTTATTAACAGAAATGGGACTTCTACTGTAACTGATGAGGGAACAAACATCATGTCAACATGGTACAAGATAACATCAGTATTATCTCATCTCATGCATCATATTCAGTAAAAATATAGGTTTGCATTCTCACTGTTGCTGATACTCTGTATTTTAGAAGGTATAGCTTCAAACAGGGGAAAATTTGCAGTGGTTTCATAATTTTGGTATAAAAATTCTTGAAACATAAACCTTTGCTGCTTGTGTATTATAATATGCCTTCATATTATTCATATCTGCCTTACAGGCATTTGAATGTGTTTGTCAAATTGTAAAAGATAAATAATGTGTTTTGAAAAGAATTAATGTAAAATTCAGACTGTCTTTGTTCTGACTCCTGTTATCTGTTAGACATCTGTCAGCTTTGATTCTTCAAGTCTGTGTTCAACAATAAATGTCTGCTTGTCTGTAAAGGTACAGTGTGTTGGAGTCAGAATCTTGATTGAAATGCTCCCCTGCTCACCCCTCCCCTTAGAGAAGTGTCAGGAGCCCTCGAGGACAGGAAGCTGCTGTGATGCATGATTTTCAAATTTTAGCGGTGCAAGATGGCGATGCCTCTGTTAAAGAGGACCCACTGATATGTGGATTTAAAAGGCTAATTTGGAGTTGATAGAAACAATGCTGTTTAAATATTCAGGTCATAATACAGTAATTTAAATATTCTTGCAACTATTTTTTTTCCATTTCTAACAAATCTGTTCTGTAAATGCCGCCAATTGTTACACACTACATCGCTTCTACTTCTGCACCATGGAAAACATCACCTAGACGCCTGGTGCTATATTTGACAAAACATTGATTTGAAACAGGAAGGTTTTTTACTATTCTTCAAATGTTGACTGATTAAGATAGAATAATGGATTTTTTATGGCTTGCAGCAGGGCAGCAGGACCCTTTATAGTGGAGGTTTTAACTATTACAGTGTATTTATGGGTCCACAGGTGTGGCATGTTTGTTGTTTCATGAAGTGTCTTTGGGAGAAACAGATACAGACAGAAAAAAACACACAACAGGTTGATGACTGAGTTTCAACATTTATTCTATTTGTTAAAAGGGTTGTTGTGTTAAAAGTGTTGTTGCTAGTAAAGGAATGATAGAGCTGTAATGGTTGCCTCTACAAGCACAAATGCATTCACTCTCACACATGACATGCGCAATTTTCTTAGCAGCTCAGAGCCCATCCCATCCAAACCATAGGAGCCCATGTTTTAAAGCTATAATGTGACCCAAAACCACAGTTCCTTCTTCACAAACCATGTTTCCCTCCGACACTCACCCTCTTTACCATTCGCAGCGAGTACACACCTGGTCCCATGTCCTTTGGTGGCTTTTTCACAAATGAACAAACTAATAATATCAGTGTTTGCCTCCAGAAAGTTTCTCCTTTTCACACATACAGAAACTATTCTCAGAGACTGAACGACAGCACTTCTGGCTTCTCACGTTGATGCACTCAGACATTAGTGTATGCAACAGATACAACTCAGTTTAACCATTTTAAACCTGGTTTGATCTTCAGAGAACAATTTGAAGTAGAATTAGTCTGATTGGCATTGTAAAATTACTTAACACTGTAAGCTAGCTTATGCCCAGTCAACAAATGTTTACATTTTTGTTATTTAACTGCATGACCTCATTGAAAATTTGGAAACATTTTCAAAATAAAATTATATCTCACCCTTTGTTGTTAAATAGACCAATAAATTGGTTAAACTTCAAGTATTTGGTTCAACGCATCATTGTTTTGCAGAGTCAATAAGGAATTTTCTTTGGAAGGCCCTTGCACATATTGACATCCACATCAGTATGCCCATCGCACTGCCAAGAAAACTAGAACAGGTTACATTTAAAAACAGACAGGACTTGTTGTTAGTGGTCAGTGTCAGCCTCTGTTCTACATTTTCTGTTTGGCTGATCCATCTTCACAGGAAATAGGAATAGTGCGCTCAGGGCCAGGAGATGACCTGGGTGCAGTGATGGTGAGCACACCATCAGCAGACAGGCTGGAGGTGACTTCAGCACCTGTTGCTCCAGCAGGAAGCCTGTACTTTCTCTGAAACTCTCTGGACACAAAGCCGTGGTCATCCTGGAAGCATAATAGGTCACATGTCAGATATGCATAACCACATTCTGTAGCACCTTTTTCCTGAGGTATAAATATAGAAGAGGTTTCTCTAACCTGTCTGTCTTCATGCTTGGCATGTACTGTGATGTACTCCTCACTGACACTGACAGACAGCTCATCAGGCGAGAAATGCTTCACATCCAGATAAATAACATAGCGATCCTTTTCAACACGCATCTAGACAGACAGAAGAGCTCTTCATTATGATGACAGATTTGGTTGCATGCCTTCAGCTTGAGGTCAGCTTGGTTTAAACACAATAGCTTGTTATTGTTGTCTTAGTGTACTGCTCATACTTGAAATAATAATGATGCTGGCAGTAACTTCTTATTAATCTTTAAGCATTAAGGTTGTGGTTTCATTTGCTGCTGTGGGTCTTGAAAGGCAGTTTTCAGCCTGTTTCATTACATTATTAAAGTAGGAGCTTCAATTGTGCTATTCCAATGCCAATACCAGTACATGGCTGATGAGACAGACTTAAAAGTGATGTGGGTATTGGTGTGTGCAATACAATGAGCTCCATGTGAGTATAATGTTACTCAAAGTCAGCCAAGTGGCAGCATTTGTTTTCTTTTTCCATTTTTTAACCAATCTTATTAAAATTCATTGCTACCGAGAAGGAAATATGGTGTTGAATATTTGTATTTACTGAGATACTAACTATGTAAAGATATATTCTAACAAAGCAGCATCACTGAATATATTTTGATTGGTAAAAATTGCTTTACCTCACTGTGACCATTGTCGGGCCAGTTAAACCAGCGCCAGAACGAAGAGCGACTCCAAGGGAAGGACCAGGGAGCGGGCCAGACAAGTGGCCAGTCAGTAAGAGGTTCAGCCATGGAGAAGTCAGAGAAACGATGTGGGAACGCCCAACGGTACCAAGGATACTTGATGGGAATTTCCATGATCAGGTTCCAGATGAGATACCCAAAATAATCTGTGGTGTCTTGGTTTGTCTTGGTCTCTGATGGGTGCTGCTGTGCTCTCCTGCAACAAATTTATAGGCCTTGCCCTCCCATCAGGGCCTTAACTCTGTTCCCATCCTCTGCATTCCTCTCCCCTCCATAACCCATCATGCAAACTCACATAGTGACTCTGCCAACAAGCTGATCTTTCTGGAACAATGATGTCAACTGTTTATCCCTTCATCGCTTCATTGTTTTATCTGCCCGACTGTGACTGGTTCTCTCTCTCTCTTTCGCTCTCTCTCGCTCCTAAACTCTGTGTTGCTATCTCACTCTTCTCTCAGTCATGAGGTGACACTGGCTCAGAGTACTGCTGATGCCCCCATTCCCATTCCCCAGGAAATGCCCCTGTCTGGATCCCTGTGTGTCTCTTGCGCGTGATTGTGTATGTGTTTGTTTGACGAATAGTTGCCAGAGCATTAGCCTGCTGTACTCTGAGTGCCAGAAGCTTTGGGTTTGTGTGCAGAATAGATGTGAGCTTGAATGAGAACTGATGAGTTTGTATGGGACGGCATTAGGTGACACTCTCGGCGTGTATCATTTCGCTAAGCTCGGATAATAAAACTGTTGTAGGTGTGCCAGCCAAATTTCTTTCAGTCTCTTTCTCATCCTTCCACTAGTGTTGCCTCTAGTGTAGTTTCTCACACTAAATTTGTGATATCTGTTGTAACAGAGATTTGAAACCATGGTACTACCACTGTTACAGTGCATCAAACACCATGCCATAGCATTGTGAAGATGGCTTACTTTTTATTACAAAAAGATTGAATATTGCTTCAGTTATTTTGCAAGACCATAATGAAGACAGCAAAAACATTGTGTGAAACTGTTAAAATTAGTAAAGAGACAGGATATTAAGCTTTCAATGCTTATACAAATTATACAATACAAACACTTATTAAGGATAACTTATAAATGGCAAATAGACCATATATAAATGGTAAGCAGATAGTTTATTAATGTCTAATCATCATTTATGAATAGCATATAGACCATTAATAAATTGTACATTTTACAATTTTATAAAACCTAACCCTAACCCTGACCCTAACCTTAACCCTAACTTCACAAAAACCATCTAAGTAATGTTTATAGGTGGTTTATAAACCAAATATTAACCATTTACAAAGTGTTACTGACACACATTTTAAGTATCAATATCTAAATGTATTGCAAATACATTTTGATGTGTTCAATACATCATAAAAATACTTTAAACAACTTTTCAAAAATAAAATCATGGCTATACTTCAGTTTTATGTTGACTGTGAGAATTAACAGTAGAAACTTTTGATGAGTAGCCTTTAGCTATATTGAGTAGAGTTTAAATTTAGCTTCATAGCCACCTGAAAACTCTACTCAAGTGCTTTAAAATAGCGCTTCTCCTTTACAATAGCGACCATACTAATATATCTTTTTAACAAACTTGTTTCCTTTCCTTAGTTATACTTGAATAAGTGTACAAATCGTTTCAACACCGTCTTTAGGTGGAAAGTGAAAGGACTGTCGGTGAACTACTTCGGCTGAGACAAGTAGGCTGTTTAACCTTGTTGCCATAGTGATACTCTTCGCCACAGTCTTGGGAGCAGTTTGTTGCTAATAGTGAGCTGTTGGCTTACAGAAATGCGTTACGGTTAAGTTAAACCGCGGAAATGGATTTACCTGCGTCAAATTATGGGAAACTTGATAACAGGAACCCAGTTATCGTGGCCTTTGAACGAGACATTAACTCGTTCATAACAGTGATGAAACGAGTCGCTTCTTCAGCCAGCCAGGACAACTCCTGTCATGCTAAAGGGTGAGATACTGACAGACAGTTTAGCATGAACTAACTGTTGCTAGACCAAGATGGTGCTACCCAAAAGACAGCTCGACATTAGAATGAAAAAACAAAACCCTGTGTATTCATCTAAAAATGATATGTTTAAAATGGCAAACGGGCTTTCCAAGAGATTGTTGCCACATCGATGACTAACTAGGCTAATAGTGAATATTTTATATTGGCTTGTGCCTTGTGTCAATGAAACATTTTCTTTGAAGGATTAAAATCCTGGTAGAGATATGGAGGAAGTACAAACATCGGCTGCCATCTAACTTCTACCAGGAGCGCATGTTGGATGTTGCAGATTTTCTCTTTGGAATAGAGGTAAAGTACAGTTGCTAAAATTATTATTGATATTATTGTTAAGAAAATACTCAGATAGATGGAAATAGACTAACTGGTATTTTTGGTGGTGTTTATTGTTTTCTAACCAGGATATTAGTCACCCATATAAAACTGCTGCTAAGTGTCAAAGTTAATGGTTTGTGTTAGAAAAGCCATGTGGTTGTTAGGCTGTTTTTTTTCCATCCTTGCCTCTACATTATCTTTATGAAAGGACAAATGCAACAGTCCATGTTTGGAGCAGTTGTAAAAGATCATGTTTACAGTTGCCATTCAATGCATCTCCCTTCTCCTCTTTTGCAGTCATATCAGCTGGCTCTTTGGCATGGCTACAGTCTCCACCTGTTGCAGTTCACCTCAGTGAAAATAACTGATATCACAGATCTGAACCACTTCATGGCCTCTTTCTTCCCTGAGGGTTTTGATACAGAGCAAAATATCTTCACCATGAAGGTAGATTGTGCTGTGTGGGCGGATGTGTGGTGTAAACTATGCAGAAATTTTGGAATAGAGAAATTACTTCTCTTAAGCTGGATACCATATGCTGTTATTTCTCTCTCTCTCTCTCTCGCTCGCTCTCTCTCTCTCTCTCTCTCTGTGTGTGTGTGTGTAGATTCGTGCTATGCAGGGCTGTGCCCTTTGTATATTTGAACTGGAGAGAAAGCACCGCATCCTCAGCCAGAAGGGACTCTGCAGACTGCTTCGTGTGCTTAACTTTATCAAGATCATGATGCAGGCTTTTCAGCAGCATGACCACCTCAGCTGGCAGATTTATAATGGTATATGAGTACCATTTATATCATGATGTTCACCAATTATTCTTTGTCTGACACAGAACTGAGTTTTCCCAGAATAGAATTTACTTTTTGTTCCCAAAAAGAAGACTTGTCTTATCAGTAAACATGGTGAAATAGACAGTTCTATTTTTACTTGGTATACAAGTTAAGATAATCACATCCAAACAGTCACCTTAGATTCACAGAATCATGTCAGTAGACTTAGGGTTCACAGTCAAAATCATGACTTTTCCTACTGCTTGTTTAACTGTTGAAAAAACTACAATGTGCGTCATATTGCATTATGCCCTTGGCAACCATTTTCTCTCCTCCAGGTTCAATACACATCTACAACATCTGCCGTTATCTGATGACCATGAATTACAGTGCACAGGTACTCAACTTTGTTTTGTCTTGATCAGCGTTCCCAAAAAGCTTTTTCAAAGATTGTTTAGCCATGAATGACTCAGATGTGAGTGTACTTTAAGGCAAATGTTTGGTTAGTTACTTAATGCATGATGTGCTGTAATCACTTAGTGCTTATATTCGTTTAACTGTCACTATCCCTGATACCACTTTAAATAATCCCATCCAGGCACTGGAGTATCTCCTGTGGGCAAGTGTGAGTCTGAAACTCTCCACTCCTCTGATGACATCCAAAAATCTGCCATGGATTGTCACTCTCTACTGTGCTGTCTGCCTCTGTTACTATGACAACCAGGCAGAGGTGCAAGCAGAGGTGAAGGATATACTAAATCCACATCCAGACACATACAAACACACACTCATTGAGATGTCAGCAGATTGTTCACAGTGTAATCTTCATAGATATAAAGAGAAACAGCAGTTTGATGATCTTTGAGTGTTTACAGCAGATGACTAATCATTTTGTTTGGTGTTCAACTGCTGGACTTCTTTTTTTTTTATCAGCTATGATTTTATCTGTGGTAATGAAATGCAGTTATTCACAGGTCAAATAATTAACTCCTTATGCTGATATGTTTCTATTTAATGATAGGAATGTGTTGTATCATCATTTTTTTGATAAAAAATGTGATAATTTATATTTAAGTCACAAATCATTAACATACTGCTAAATAATTTTGTGAGACACTTTCCTCATTTGCAGGATTTCTTTGTGTCTACTGACTCTTTTAGGAGTTTGCCAGGAGAGCTCTTGAAGAGATCAGTGAGCTAGCAAAGATGGAGGAGCAGAGTGAAGTTCCTACCACTGGAGAGACCCAGAGAGCTTACAAAGAAGCCTCAATTAAGGCAGGAAACTTCTTAAAGTTAAAACGAGTTATTGTGCTGTCTCTGCAATCAAATGTTGGAGAGTAGAAAATGTCATTACCTATCAGTGTAACTAAAAAAACTTTTTGCATCCAGATAAAATAAGTGCTCGAATTTTTAACTTTTTAAAAAGTTTTTTTTTCTTTTACTGTGTTGATATGTTTTGGTTTGGTTTTAAAAATTGAGACTGATTTTGAAAATTTTTTTGAAAATTTTTTCAGCTGGCTGTTATGATTTTCAAGCGGGCTGTGTTTGAAGGCAGAAGACGACCTGTGCTCAGAACCAAAACCAGAAGCACCCTGAAGGACATACCCAATGTAAAAAGATCATCTTCACGGCTGTATCATCATTCAGTCTTATTTCCTATCTTGAAGTCTACTGTCACTTAAAATGGAGTACCAATCACATTCTTTCCTCTTAATTTCATATACATAATTTTATAAAAAATTAAGTTGCATTACTGCCATAACTGCCCTAACTTTTGTGCCTTTTTTACATCACCTCCTACAAATCATTAAAGTCATAAATAATTATTGTTGATTAATTATATTCAAATTGTTGGAACTTTTTGTCTCTAGTTCCTATCTGTTGCACCTTATCAGGATTACAATAATAGTTTCAATTGTGGCAAGATGTTTGCTTTGATGGTCAGCTGATCTTATTATTTTTTTTCCTTGTGACATTACTCAAAGTTTTATGTCTGTGAATGTTTCCCGCAGGCTCCATGGCCCCGTAATACGACGGAGCACATACTAGAAGGTCTGTTTGACAACAGTGCAGCACGGTTTCAAGGGATCTTGGAAGCACTTTGGGACAGCAGTAAACACCCTCTGGAGATGAGGATGGCAGAAAAACCAGAGTGTCACGATGTGATCTTGGAGCTCCTGTCAGCTGGCATCATTATATTATCTGGTTAGTAAATCAAACTCACTGAAAAAAAACACCTTGTAGTGATTGCATGAGGTGCACAGTAAGAGTAGGAAACATAGAATACAAGTGCAGCAAATGGCTTTAATCATTTTAGGTGTGTAGGTGAGTGTTTGCTTACTTTGTATATTAAGCAAAGTGCTTTTATGTCTTCAAAGAAATAACAACTACAAGTGAGTCTCTTGCATTGAGCCCAACATCAACTCTAATGGAGCTAGCCATTACAGGTAAGTGACTTTTTCTATTTTCACACATTGGTGACAACCTGATTTCATCATTTCTATGGAGTATCATCTTTACAATTGTTCAGATATCAATATGAAGTGATTTAATGTATTGTGTTGCTAGGAGAGAACAAAGTGCCCATCTTGTCTGCAGTGAGGTTCATCAAGCTGTTGTTTCAGTACAAGCAGTCAAATGAATTAACAGAACTTTCCAGAAAGATGCAACAGGTTTTGTCTGTGAGTATAAGCAATTGCTGTAGTTTTCACCATTTAGCAAAGTTCAATCGAAAATTCTTGTTATGTTTTACATTTGAGCTTGGGTCTGTATGTTCCTGATTGTCTTTTGTATCTTCCTGTGGTAGAGTGTGGAAGGTCAGTCATTCAGGAGGGCAGAACTGGAGCTTACTCTGCTTAACAGTTTCAACAGTCTGCTTTCCTCCCAGAAGACCCATCCGAAAGAGGATAGCATGGTTGATGGTAGCACTAGTAAAACTGTACCAAATACACTAAAAGCCTTTTTAAAAACTTGCTTAATTTCTGATATTGACAGTAATTATCAGTGAAATATGATATGACTGTGTTGTTTAATGTTCCCAGCAGGTACACAAAAAACTATTTTCCAAATGAGTCATGAATTTACTGGCCTGGTGGATACCCTGCACAAGTCTGTTTGTGGCTCTTCTCCTGTAAGTTTCTGTGTTTGTGTTTGTGTATGTGTGGGTGTGTGTATGCATAATTGTGTTGAGGCTGATCTGGCAGGGAATAGGTTTCAAATTGAAATTCGAGGAAGAGTTCAGTGTTTTCAGAATTTGAGTCATTGTGAGGTGATTAAATACCATTCACATCCGTCTGTGTAGGAGGTGCAGCCGGATGAGGACCTGGTTTTGAATGCAGTGTTCTTTCTTTGGGATAAAATCAAGTCGGCATTTCAGAGGCATCAGCTGCAAAACCTGAACATCACACAACACCTTGATAGAGTAGATGAGTATGACAAGGTATGTATGAAAACAGTTAATTTGACCTAAAGAAACCCTTCATATTTACAAAAAGTGTAAAGCTGCTGTGAGAAACTTTTAGTTTGTTCAAGTATTGATGCCTCCTGTGAAAAAGTGATACCTGTTATCTATTGTCCTGTACATGTAAGAGTAGTGTTCTCATCGCTCACTGTGAGTATTTGTTGTGTAAGAAGCCAGAAAAGGCTGTTTTTTTAGTCTGCTGTCAATCATCTTGCCTGATATCTACCGCCTCGCAGTGGTTCAAAATGACTAGTTAAATTATGCCTTTAATGAAGACTTCCAACTTTTTCTCCCAATGTGTAAATGTCTGTGACACATGCATGCAGTGGCTATGGTGTCTGTCTAGGCTGTGTGAAGTGGCACTTGCCTGTGACCTTGCAACTGTCGACTGCATAACAATGGCAGAGATGTTGCACACATTCGCCACACAGCTTGAGAGTGCAGCTGAACGTAATGATCAAACACAAGATCCTGGTGAGCAATCAAGTTGTAAAATTTTCCAGGCTACAGTGTCTGGGATGGTTTTTATTATGTGTTTTTTCTATTTGATCTCAGTTTTATCATTAAAGATCATTGGTATACTGTTATAGTATACTCAAAGACGTGTCATGATTCAACAGCATACAAAAACTGTAAACTTTTCTTATGTTTTAGGTCTAGCTGCCCCTGAATCACATGTAAATGATGTGACGCAGAGGCCCTTCTCTCTTCTTATGGTATAGTAATAAATTATGTATACATCTGGTTATGAAACAAACAGTTTTTGAAGGAATGTGATAAAAAAGGACTGTTTTTGCAGAATTCAAGTACAAGCCTGCTTAAGATGGTGTGTGAGGTGTTGGAGAAGGGACTTAAAGCTCTGGCCAAAGGTGCAGTTTCACTACTGCCCCGTGATTTCTCTGCAACAACAGACTCTGCCTTCATCCAGGTACATGTCTTTTTCTAATTCTCACATGAAATACTAGGAATAGGAAAACCAATTGTGCATGTTGTTAAAACCTGCTCTCTGTATTTCTGGCAGAAATTCATTCCCCACCCTCCATCAGACCCCCCTTTATCTTCACGGACATCATCAGAAGACAAAACCAAAGAAGATGAATGTCAGACGGATGAGGGGGAACTAAAAAATAATGCAGAGTCAGATATGAAGGTCTGCTATCAGACCGAGTCGACACATATGTACCAGCTGATCAAGGACCTTCATCATGAGCTGAACATCATCTTCTACAGGGCTTCCGTCAACTTACTGCAGCGAAATGCAGGTCAGACTCATTTATGTGTGACTTTTTGAGAAATAATTCTGCATTCATTTAATTGTTACTTGTACTTTTTTTAAATAAAAGTGGGCAATTTTACATGAAGTCTATGACTTTATTTGATGGTTAGCTTGATTACATTTTTCAGATAGAACATCATTTAAAAGAAAATCTGCCACCAAACACTCCCTATCTGCAAATACAAATTGGAAGTTTTAAATTGTGTTTAACTGTGTTTGGCTGCTTCTAGTTTCAGAATCCGACTTGCTGGATAAGATTAAGAAGAACAAGGTGTCCAAAGCTCTTTTCCTGATCCAAAAAGCCTCCATGGAGTACAACATGGAGCCAAATAACAGAAGAAAAACAAAGACTTTGCTTGAGGTAACTTAAACACACATATATACTCTGTTTTTAGGACACTCCAGTCTTTATTTCAGGATGGGATGAAAAAAAATTGATGCATCTTATTTTGCATAAGGTATAACATTATTTTGTATTGTTCAGTACATGACAACATGCCAGCTGTATATTTGTTTGCAAGCATAAACACACTGGTATTTGAATGAAAATATACAATATATCATAAAATTTAAAAGTATTACAGATTTACAATAAAACAACAACCTGTGAAAGTGTTTTCAACTGAATGTAGACTTCAGTTAAAGAATTGAGTGGCTTGATTGTTGCTTTTTTGACATCTGTTCTTAATAGCACATCTTGTGGAGTGTAAGTGGAAGGCCTCTGACACCAGTGCTTTTGCAAACAAGTGATTTACGATTTGCGTTTCTTAAACATGTTAAAGATTTAACCGGTTTCTCGATGTGCTCTTGCCAGGAGGCCTTTACTCTGGTAGAGAAAGCAGGGCTGGAGGAGAAAAAACTTTACTTATCCTCCACTAACAAGACTCAACCTGAAAATAAAGAAAAAGGAGTAAAGGAAGGAAAAGAAAGCCCTCCACCTCCTCCTGTCCTAATCTCAAGGACGGACCACTCCATGACCTTTGTTCCAGCACCTTATAAGTTAGAGGAACAAGTAAGAAAATCTTTTTTTTAATCCTTGAGTTATCCAATCTATAAAAAGTAGAAAGAATCCTGGCATAACATGAATACTCCTGATGGTACTGCTTATTTTCTGTCCAGGTGTTTTGGTACCAGCTTTGTGGCCGTGCGGCTGACAGCATTAACCTGAAAGTTCGCCTTGGAGACTGCAGCCTGCCAGGAACAGGAAATATGGTGGAGTTTGTCTCTTTAACAGAAGACTGTGAAGTTGAATGGGATCTGTTTTTGTCTCCTTGTGTAATCAAATATATTCCCTTGATAATAACTTGCTTCATGTGTTTTCAGGTACCAGCAGTGTCTGATGAATGTGTGCTCAGAGTGGAGGGGCTAGTACCCAACCAGAGGTATGTGTTTGCTATTGCAGCTTACAACAGCCAGGGCAAGCTACTGGGCAACAACATAGGGGCAACAACTTCCCCATTGCTGGCATCCATGCCGCCGCCACTACTCTCCACGTGGGCTCACTTGGCACAGGTAAACTCACGCTGCTAAAAACTGATGTTAATACTCATGGCTGACTGGGCCCACATGCTTACATTTGTGTTTGGATCATCTTTCTCAGTGATCTAAAATCATAGACAACTGATAGATTGAGAGGTATGTTGTTTGCAGATTGGTGATTACTGTTGCAAAAAAAGACAAAACACAGGCTTGAAAGATGTTGTCCTTGAGTTGTGGTTCTAAAACCTGTGCAGACACATACTATAAGGATAAACTTGTGAATGCTGAAAACAAGAGAGACATGAACAATGAGTTTTGCTTTTTGACCCTTTTTTCAGGTGGCATTTCAAACAGAGCAACATGCCATAGCAAAGAGAGCCTGCAGGTTGTTGTGGAGCCACTTTACCTCTCTTGGCTATGGGTCCCACAGCTTACAGGACAGACTCGCAACCACAGGGTAAGAAGGGAATCAAATGAATATTCAGTATATTAACATGATATTAAAAATGTCAATGTATCACATCAGATCAACTTAAACAGGACAAATGAAATGTAGATGTTCCGACCAAATACAGACCAAAGATGCAGAAAGTCGAATTTTTTCAAGTCAGACCAATAAATTTAGATAACGTTTAGGATAGATTTTTCATTGCACATATACAATACAATTGGCCCCAAACAGGCCTAAGAATCCTGTGCATCCTCCATTGTCTGCCTTATTTTGACTTATTTACAATTGTTTTGTTGTGTGATGCACTACGTCAACTGGAAGAGGGTAGGAAATTACTGAGGAAAAAGAAATATTGCTGACTACCATAGTGGTGGAAGACATACTTTTGTAGATAAAACATTTCTGGCCTCCTGGTTTTATACCAGGACAAGGACAGTAGTCTAGTTGCCTGATCGAACTCTGACCAACTTGATTTTATGTACTGATTTTAATAGTTCAAATGAAGATTTTTTTATACTTTTACTTTCCTAATCTTCCTTCCACAAACTCCTCATCCACTTTGCTGCAGGCTGTGCGTCTGGACCCTGCAATGTTCCTCTCCTCATCTGGTCCGATTGTTCATCACATCCATCTTCATTGAGACAGAGATCAACATTCAGCAGGGATCACTCTACTTTGACCCGATCAGTCACAATAGACCTTTTATCTGGGAAAAGGTAAAATTTTGCTCTTGGTAGAGAGTTTAAATGCACCATGTATATATTTTCCAAATAAAATGGCAGGAAGAAAAGAAAAGATCACGCTTTTGGGGCCTTTTTATATTAGCAGCACTACAGAGGCACTGTCTGTGTGTTTGCAGGAAGCCAGACTGGCAGAGTGTGAGCGAATGCTGGTGGCTACAGACCTTGCAATGTGGTTAAATGATGGTGATGCCGCTGTACAAGCTGTTGTTGGCTGTTATGGCCTCTTGGCACCTCTGATTTTCCATCAGATCACTTGCAACCTTGTAGTTGAGGTACACAAACTCTTATTTTTGCAATGGCCAACAAAACTTTGATATAGTACTAACAACAAACAATTGCAGATTTGCACCTCAGTCTATATTGTCTGTGTTTGATGTTCAGGTGCTCAAAAAATGTTTGATTGTTTTGGAGGAGAATTCAGACACTCTCAAACAAAGAAGGACTGGAAACACCTCAGAGTCATCAATGCACATAATAACCTGCATTACCTACTATCTGTCAAAGGTTGGTCTGAAAGTTTTTATATTAACTTTTGCTGTCAGTTTCTGTGCAACCTCACCTTGCAGATTTTTTGGTTCTAAGGGCTACTTTTAAAAACACATTTAATCAGTGGCATTCCTTTTGTTTAAAACTTGTGTTCCTTTAAAAAATTCTGTCATATACTTAACAGTGATTTTTCATACATTTACACTCTGCATGTACTATATTATTGTTTTATATTCTTTCGCTAGCTTTTTGTAGGCACACTAATTCACGTGGTCTCACAGCTCCAAGATGTAAGAAATGACTTGCACAAAATAAACTCTTTTCATCCTATCCAGGCTTACCGTGTGCTACGAGAACCAAGGATGGCGTCTGAAGTGATGGAATGTGGTTGTAGTTTGCTCCAAGGAGTCTTTGATTCCCAGATGCAGATCACAAGTACCATAAATGAGACTTTGGGTGTAAGGAAAAGTGAAAAGGTTATCTCATGTGGAATTGTTTTCATTTCTAATTTCCTAAGAACTTAAGTGTGTGTGTGTGTGTGTGTGTGTGTGTGTGTGTGTGTGTGTGTGTGTGTGTGTGTGTGTGTTTGTGTAGTTAAAGACAGATCACAGTGCAGTCAACAGAACGAGTCTTCAGTTAAAGGCAATGCGTTTGAAGAACAAGAGCAGAATCCCAAGTGAAGCAGCTACCACTGCAGACAATGGTAAAAAAAAAATCTCTTTATGAATAACTACTACTCCATGTCAAGAATAATATTTGAATCAGATCCAAACTGTATATTTTCCTAATCCTATATTGTATATCTCTGTCCTTGTTTTTTTTTTTTTAGAGATGTCATGCTCGCTGACTGGCTGTGAGGATCGTACCATGTTATATGATCTTATCTCCAACAGCCCGCTAAAGGATGCCTATCAAGAAGGTAAGTGGTACACATTCCACTTTTGTTTTAAATGTTTCATAATTTGTGGTCATTCACTGTGTTTTGTATGTCCATTCTTGACAGTGACAAAGGTCAGACGTAAGGCATACTTTATTGAATTTGCGGCACTACTTCTCCAGCGGACCATGGAAGAGGGTGAACTTGACCTTGTGTTGAAGTGGGGGAAAAGTATACTTGAATACCTTTCTAGGTGTGCTTTCATTACATAAAATTCATTCGGCAGTTGAAAAGAAACTCAAAATGATAGATCCTACGATTATACTTTTAATGGCAGGACACCCAATACTGTCCTGTTAAATTTTGTCCTGCTTTTTATTACATTTTCACTGTTTTACTTTGACACTTGACACTTTTGGAATGGTTCTCTCTTTGTCAGGCGTGATGAGGTCATGGGGCAGTACAGAAAATGTTTTGATGGAAATGGTCAAAGTAACAGAAGTAACAGAAGTGACAGCGGTCAGGCTGCAAAAGGAAATGAATCTCCTCAGGTAAAAAAAAAAAAACAGCTTGTGCATGGCACAAAATTGCCCCACTTGGCCCTAAAGCTGGTCTAAACATCATGCACATACTCAATAGTTCGCACACCAGGCTTTGATCTGAAAGTCAATGATCATAAATGCACAGAAAGAAGCCTGCATTCTTGTGTGCTTCTGGGTATCACCACAAGCCCTTTGGGGTTGGTTCGTCTCATTTGGTCTGACACAGATTATGGGAACTGGAACTTGAGGGAAAAACTATAGAAAATGTCTGTCACTGTTTAAATGTTATGAAGTATTAAGTCTTCGAGACAAAAACAAAGTCTTTGTTCCCTTTGAAGCAGAACAAGACAAGAAAGAAACTAAAGGAGAAAATGCCACGCAGCATGCTGCAGAAAGTAAAAACAAACAGGTACTATACTGCAGTCATCTTGATAAAGTTTAAAGTTTATCGTTCTGTTTGTAGTCACCATAAAAACAACTCAATGTGCACCTTTCATTCTATGTAGAGAGATGCAGATTGTGGAGAACTTGCTTGCCACGATGTCATCTGTGGTGAAACGCAATAAGAAGCGGCTGCAGCTGAGGATCACGTGCTGTGAAGAGAGAGTGTGGAGGGCTCACCTTAACTATAGCATGGCTCAAGCCCATTTAGCACTGCTATACCAGAACCTGGACAAGCTGCATGGAGAAGCGCTGCTACCAAGGTATATTCAAACTAAATCTGCTATTCATCAAATGTTTTTTTTTTTTTTTTCTTTTTTGTGTGTGTGTGTGTTATTCTTACTGCTATTATGACACATAATCATAATGAAATAGAAGGTAGCTTACTGGTATAATTGCAAAAAAAGAGAGATGCTTTTGGTTCCTGAAGCCAGTTGTTGGTTTTGTACTCATTACTGCTAAGATAAAATGGGGAAATGCCATGATTCAATATGTTTATATGATCGTGTGTATTTCTATAGTAAGATGTGCTGTGTATGTTTTGTTTCAGGTATAGCCACTTCAACACCTCTTCTTTCTCTCTGGCCTACTCTGGTTTTATGGTGCAGAGGAACTTGCAGCGACAGCAGTCTCCTAAACATGAGGTTGTCAGAGAGAAAGACACCCCTCACACCGGTGTAAGTGACTATGTGGCTGCTGATAAAGACAACAGCAAAGAGAAGGGTGAGGAAAATTGCAAACTATTTGAGAAAGAATAGATGAAAATCTATTACCTGGTATGTGATATGGACTTTTATCACTTTTTCAATCCTCAGCAATCAGAGCTGATGACTCTGTCACAGAGGACAGTTATGAAGAGGAAAAGGACTCCTCTCAAACAGAGAAACAAGAGATTGATACCAAGAGACATGCCATCGACTTGCTGCACGACTCACTAAACAAAGCTGCTTTACACCTCCGAAAGTCGATGGTACTGTATTGATACACTTAGCCACACAATTTCTGCAATTACATGTGACTATTTAATACAAATGACTATAAATCCAGCCTTCTGATAACTCTGTATTAATAAAACCCATTTGTCTTTTTCACTGATGGTAAAGTCACACCCCATGCTCCTGTACTTTTATTTCTCTACTTGTCCTTTTTTTCTCAGATCTTGGCCCATCGTGGCAGCCACTGGACCTACCTGCAGTATGTGTGTCAGACTGTGTGGGACCAAAGCTGCAGAATCACTGACTTGGTACAGAGCACTGCAGAGGTCGAACCTCACTCTCCTGTCATAGCTGAACAGCTAAATACTATCTTCGACCCATTGCTGGTGCTGGCTATGGATCTCCTCTTAGACATGATGAATAGACTTGAGGTAAGGTAACATTAGTTTAAAAAACTCAAATGACTTATTCCTATTCTTAAAAAGGGTTGAACTGGACCTTCAGATATTAAAGTTTTCAGTTTTAAGTATGCCACCAGTGATTTCTTATCAGTGTCTGAATATTGTTATCTGAGTAAAAACCATCAAAAGGGAAACTGACACAAACTTCTTATGATTCTTTCTCTCATATTCTTCATTGTCCTTGCCAGCTTTGGAGTTTTTATTATGGTGACCTAACTGGAGATGAACTAGAGTCCAGTTTGCACTTCTCTGCACCACTGGATGACAGCAGCTGGGTGGATCTACGTTGGGTTCATACTTTGGTGTTGCATACTCTGGAGCGTCTACATGAAAATGGCAAATGGGAAAGCCTAGCTCACTTTGCCTTACTTTATAACTCCTACACACGGTACATAGGACAATGCTTTTTTTTAAAAAATCTTAAGCGCAGACAACTGTTTATTGCAATTGTAAAGCCAAGGTGCAGTTATGACTTATTTGAAAAAACTTTAACAATTAAATACAAAGAAACATAATACACAGATTACAGAAACTTTAAGACACAACATTTGGCTTTTATCCTTTAAAATAATGTTTTTATGATTTTGTAAAACTGTTTTTTGCTCTGAAAGAGTCAAGGGAGACACTTTGTTGTTGTACATATCCACAGTTTTGTCTGTTTGTGTCTGTGACATAATTTGTATGCTTACCGTAGGGAACATTATGCCTTGACTATAACTCCTCTGCTAGTCCATGCTCAAAGGAAGTTGCTGGAAAGGATTGGTTTATTTGGAGGACCTGCAGTTCCACAGCCACACCATGTCAAGACAAAGAAGGCCACTGGCAAGGAGGTAGCACATACAATCAAGTACAAAAAAACAAGCAAATAAAACTGTCTCGTGAATACTATGGGTGGTGTAAAATAATACTTCAGTTTCAAACAATTTAGACAATATTAATTAATCGTTTGATTTTGCCTCAGTGGACTTATCCTAATTGATTCCTGAAATATCTTTATTTCACAGCTTTTTATTATTTACATTGTACTGTGTGTTTAGATGTGGTGCTATTGTTTTTTATTCTTCAGGTGACTTATAGGAGCTATGCCACCTGCCAGTTGCTCTGTGGTTGGACCCCTTCTCCTTCACAACAACCAGCCCTTCGCAAAAAAGCAGCACTGACAAACTCCACTCCTCGAGGTTCATTTGACCATAAAGGTTTGAAATGATTACCTTTTTGATGTCATAGCCTAATATTTCAACCCCAATTTTTGTTGGTGGACATTAATGATATTTGCTGGTTCCATAATAGAAATGACAAAAATGTTTTGAACTATTTGAATTGGTAATGTTTTCATGCTGGGATGTTTTATATCTAAGGTTCTGAGAAGCAACACTCCATGTCCCTTGTTTGCGTTCCTCTGGATGTTGAAAACACGCTGAGGTGTTACCGTGAAGTTCTTGAGAGAAGACCACACTGTCTTCAGGTCTTCCAGCATAGCCGCTCATTGAGGCTGCAGCTTCTGGCGTACACACAATTTTGTGAGTTCAGTGCTAACAGACACAATGGTCTGTACATTAATTCACACAACTACTTTAAAATGTCATTGTATGTATTGCTTCTGTCTCTGTACAGACACACAACCAGGGCGCAGTCAGAGCAGAACCCTGGGCCACCCTGCAAGTCTGGTTGATTTCAGTCCAGTAGTTTTGCCAACTCCAAACATCCAACCGTGCAGCCTGATAGAGGAAGATTACAGTTCTCCAGATGCTCTCTGCCAGATGCCTCTCAGCCCTGACCACATATATACTGTCATTTCTGCATACTCCAACTCCATCAGTAAGATCAAATCAGTTTCCAGAAGCTGTTTGCTTTATTACAGATATAAGTATCATAAAATACTAGACAATAACAGGGAATATCCGAATGAGATCAATACATGTCAGTCAGTCAGAGTCATATTACCCCCTTTTTTTTTCTCCAATCCATCAAAATTTTCTTCAGAGTACCTTCAGGCCAACGGTTATGAGTCCCTCAGAGTCCTGGCACTGCATGAATTGGGGAACCTACATTTCTACAATGGAAACAAATGGTAGTTTCTGTTTCTGGGGTTTGTGTGTGTGTTTTAAGAAAGCCTACAGCTGTTAAATTTGGATGCATTTAATTGTATCCGTGCAGCAAGAAAGGCATTCAAGATTTTCCATCTTTTCTGTCCTTTAATCATTTGATTCTTCTCGCTGCAACATCTCCAGGGCAGCACACTCATTTTGGAGTAAAGCTGTAGATTGTGCCTTACAGACCCCAGGCACAGTAGAAAAATGGAATGGGGTGTCCTTTGGAGGTGGCTCTCTGCAACAAACCCTGAAACAGGCTGGCATTTGGGGATGCCTCCAGGCTGCTGTTCTTGTTGCAAAGATTGCACAGTAGGTTCTAGGTTCATGGCTGATTTAATGTGTTTTTATTCCGTGCTACAGACTTGTGCATTTCAAACTTGGTGGTTTCTGAGATATATTTTCATCTACAGGTATGTCTTAACTTTTGATATCAGCAAGAGGACTGATTGCTGTCTCCTGTCAGCTTACCTCTTTAAGGTAAAAATTCCAAGGGATTTTAATGTCAATAATCACACATATGGATTTGACCTTTGGGACTGAATGCACTGTTCAGATTATTTTGTGTGCATTCATGTTGATGAGATGTTAATGGTTTTGTATGTGTGTGTGTTTGTCTATCTGTGACCCACTTCCCTAGTGTGTACTTTCTTGCACCTTGGCCCAGCCTCAGGCCGACCTCCAGTATGCAGATTACAGCATTGAAGATGAGCTGCTTCCTGGAGTCGATCTTTTTTCAGACACCCACAGGCTTCACCTCGGCACCACTGTTGCAAGCCTCAGCTTTATTTGCAGCTGGCTTTTCACCACCAGTTACCACATCACGGTACACTTTATTCTCAATCATAATTCTCAAAATTTACGGGTGACATAAAGTTTAAGCATCCATTTCATTTCAGCTACTGCCAGTACTAGCTCTATACCTACATTTCGTTCGGACTGTGTGTAGAGATGTGCAGCGCACTGTTGAGGCAAAAATACTCAAGGTCAGCACTCGTGTGATTTTCTACATGCACATGTACATTTTTCTACTCTCACGGTTCTGGTGGAGCTTTAACTCTGGCTTTCTGCAGGTACGTGCTCTTTCTGAACTCTGCCTGTTCACTGAAGCTGTGAAGGAATCAGTTCAACTTACACAAGGAACTGGGGTGCCTCTGCTATATGGACACCATATCGACAAAGACAACCCCGGGGTACAGTCACACACACACACACACACACACACACACACACACACACACACACACACACACACACACACACACACACACACACACACACACACACACACACAATGTTCCCTTTTGGTCCTTCCCCTCCTACCTGTATAAACTCTTGTAGCCTGTTTAATGTATTAGGGTTTCATCTTGTTGTAATTTAAGGTACAGAGACCCTACTGTATTCTGACTATATTTTTAGTTTCAGTTTCCCCAGCTTTGTATTTTAAGTGTTGTAATATTGTTTAATAATACATGCCTTAATTTGAGTTGTTTAACAATAATTCTGATGTGTACTTTGTTCTTGTTTTGCAGTCTATGAAGACGTTCTACACAAACAAGTCTCTTTTGGACAATACTGAGGTACTTAATTTATGTTCCCTATATATTTTTTAAGACCTGTGGGTGTTTCTTCAGTGTAATTTTTTTCTAAGTTTCATCATGCTTATTCTTTTTTTGTTTGTTTTGGGTGGAAGAATAGTAACATAACTGTTATTAGATGGGATACCGATTCTTCCCAAATAGGAAAATAAAATATTGATTGGTTCCCCATATAAGCCACATCATGACAAATACTGCATTGTTAATTTTTGTTTTGTTTTTTAAGTACATCTCAAGAGTAACCTGATATTCAAGGTCTAGGCTTTTGAATTCCAGTGTTTGTTTACATTACTCGTTAGTAAAGGGAGTGTATCTCTTTTAATATAGGCTAGCTGTTACTCACAAGAATGGTTATAAGGCAATTTAAGATAAAGATTTACAGTGATATGGTGCAAAAGTAGGTTAGTTTATTCCTAAAATGAGGCAGAGGTAAAATTATTTAAAAAGTGTTCAAACTAATAAGTTTTTATTCTACAAGTGTTTTTTTATAATTTCATTGATCTGAGTAAAGTCATTATCCTAAAAAAAGAAATCTGTCATAAAATGTAAACTGTATTTTTGGCGTTAATATACAGGCTTTGGAAGAACTGGTGAACTCTGAGTTTACCCAAGATGCCTGCAATTTGTATGGATCCACATTGTGCCTTCGTATTAACCTTGCACGAATTCAACTTGTCCTGGCCCTTAGTAACACTGTAAATGGTGCCCCTGTGCCAGGTCTGTAAGCATCTGTTGTTAAATACCTATTTTGATTTTATTGTTTGTTTATGTTGCACATAGTCATGTCATTTACCTAGGAACACATCCCTTTTCCACATTTCCTTGCATGTCCTGCAGCCAAGGAGTCTATGTTCCCTCTTCTGATTACTGTTTCTTTGATGAATAAAACTAACTTTTCTTTAAGTTTGGCAGTTAATGAGGTGGAATATGATATAAAGGAAAGTAATTTTTTCTTGAGGTAGACTGAAATGTTTAGTCAGATGATATTATTTCCTATGCATCCTAAGTAACAAAGTGACCTTTAAAAGGATTTTTTTTATTTTAAGAGTACAAATACAAAAGCTCTAATGCACAATGTGTGAACTACTTTTTTTTATTTCTTTTTATATTCAGAGTCTGCCAGAGGAGAGGCTGATGCAAACTTTAGAAACTGTTCAGAGAAATCAGCATGCCTTGAACAAGATGATCAGGACATTGAGGGTTCAATTTTAAAGACAAAAGAGTTGAACGTGCTAAATCTTGATACACCAAAGGAAAAACTTACTGTTGAAAAGATCAAGGTCAGGCATTTTTTTTTTAATGTATCCTCACATCACTGTATCACTGTATGATTTCTGGCACTTCACTGCAACTTTTGCTGTCCTGTTTGTGTTACATTGTCCAAATCTATCATTTCTTCTGTCATAGTTTCTTTTGCTTGAGGCAGCATCCTCATTGCTGCACTCCGCTGCAGATCAGCTCTCATCTCTGTCCTGTAGTAAAATGGAAAACCTGGAATTGGAAATTGAGATAAATCTTCTAAAGGCCAACCTCTACCTGCAGCAAGGACATTCTGCCCTTAGGTACAGACATCTTTTTGCAGGTGAACTTTGAGTATGTAGTCATGGTTAATGTTTGGACTGTCTGAAGCACTGTACTGTAACCTCTCCTTCCAGCTCTAATATGGCCATTTCTTCCTTGATGCTGCTGCAAAATTGTCCTGTATTCATAAATGGATCAGAACCTGATTCTCAACAACCCACATCTGAGCACCCAGATGCCAAGACAAGAAGCAAACAGGTAATCACAAGATTCCAAAAGCAGAATATGAAAAAACTCAAGGATATGAAATTTCTACCTTTGCGCTATTAGTTTAAAAAAAGTAGCAACATTAAAGCCATACTGGTTGCTTATCAACATTTTGTATTTTCTTAGATGCCTGTGATCAAATAAAAAAAAATGAACATCCTTTAAATTGTGTGTAAATATACTTGTTTTTTATGTGCTTGTTTCTCCATTTTGTTTTAAGTGTGCCAAAAACTACAGTCTGCATGGCGATTGTCCCTGTGCTGTTGAGGCTAATGAGAGAGCTGGAGTATCCCTCTGGCTTCACTGCCGCCTGGCTCTGATTCGCAGCTTAGCTGCACACAACCCTGACTCAAGTTCCTTTTTCCCAGGTATGGGTTTGGGTTTTTCTACACTTTGTTACTCTGGAGGTTTATGTGAATAATAGTGTATGCAGGTGTTTAAGCAGATAAGAATCCCTTCAGATGGCAAAACACAAGAGCAAAGCCAATGGTTCTGATAAAGATGCATTTCTCAGTGCTGTTGTGGTTGCCTGCATTGCAGGACAGGATCTTTAATCTTTAATCTGTAATCGTTATTTACCATGACAAGTTGTCCTTTACTTTTTTAAGAGTGTCTTGTGGAACCAGTAAACCACAGTAACTTAACCTCCAAAAATGCCTGTTGGATAAAAAGGAACCAGTTCTCTATAAGCTGCATATTGATGCATGTATTGGATGATGTTTACTACATACTGAACATGTTTGTTCAAGTATGTGTATATTTTTATTATTGTGTGTTTATGTATTTTGTGTGTATTTGAATTTTTATATGTGTATTTGTGTGTAAATGTGTTCAAATTTGTCTTTAGGAAAAAACCTAAATGAAGAGACAGTTCGGATGTTGCAGGAAGGTCTTGATGAATGTGTGAAGTGGGGAGACCTTGATATCCAGGCACTTTTAATGGTTGAGGGAGCAGAACTATATTTTCGGAGAGGCAGAACTGAAAGAGGGATGGCATCACTGCAGGTATCAACACAAAGAAATATTTTTTTATTACTAATGAACTCTAAAAAGTAAATACATTTATATTTGCGGCAATCATAACTTGGATTTTTTTGCTAGTGTAAGAGCATCTTTTCCAGTTGTCTCTGGTAACAGTCTATGAAAGGACACAAACATTTCAAAAACTTTTTGTACATGCAGCACTGCCCACAATGCATGTGGAGAGGTGGTGTAACTCTCTGTTGGCTCCTAACACTTGTCCAGGGGAAATGCTGGGACGGAGGGACATGTGATCCAGCGGTTAAAATTGGCGACGAGCTAGCCAGGAGTCGAACCTAGAATCTTCTGATCCGTAGTCAGACGCGTTATCCATTGCGCCACTTGCCCCCACGCACGTCTCTTCCCTGCCCCTGGCACTGCTGCATGCAAAAGCATGGGGCCTGCAATGCATGGACGGTGTGGAAAAGGCCTGTGAAGTGAGTGGGCAAGTGGCCAATCAGGGCTGACAAGTAGGAACGGTGGCTTGAGCTGTCCACTTTCAATGTATAAAGAACAAAGGAGAGGCCTATGTGCCCAAGGGACATGATATAAAAGCAAAGTCAGCTCCACACTCTTGCCGTGACCCGGATTCGAACCGGGGTTGCTGCGGCCACAACGCAGAGTACTCACCACTATACGATCACGGCCTCCTGGAAGCTACTTAAGCCCTCTGCTTGTCAGAGAATAGTTTGAGCCCTGAGCACAAAAACCTCCCGCTTTTAGTGTCGGAGAGGGTTTACTGCGTGAGCGCGGCATACGTCAGTCGAGTCACCTCAGGGTTTTCCAAGAGGGCTGCGTTTTTTGGCACTTCCCGCACAAAATGGACCCTAAACATTATGAACCAAAGCAGGTTTCACCACCGCTGTATCTCACTGAGTGCGAAGGGCTGTGGGCACTCTTAGGACATGTAGAGAGGTGGTGTAACTCTCTGTTGGCTCCTAACACTTGTCCATGGGAAATGCTGTGACGGAGGGACATGTGATCCAGCTGTTAAAATTGGCGACGAGCTAGCCAGGAGTCGAACCTAGAATCTTCTGATCCGTAGTCAGACGCGTTATCCATTGCGCCACTAGCCCCCACGCACATCTCTTCCCTGCCCCTGGCACTGCTGCATGCAAAAGCATGGGGCCTGCAATGCACGGACGGTGTGGAAAAGGCCTGTGAAGTGACTGGGCAAGTGGCCAATCAGGGCTGACAAGTAGGAACGGTGGCTTGAGCTGTCCACTTTCAATGTATAAAGAACAAAGGAGAGGCCTATGTGCCCAAGGGACATGATATAAAAGCAAAGTCAGCTCCACACTCTTGCCGTGACCCGGATTCGAACCGGGGTTTGCTGCGGCCGACAACGCAGAGTACTCACCACTATACGATCACGGCCTCCTGGAAGCTACTTAAGCCCTCTGCTTGTCAGAGAATAGTTTGAGCCCTGAGCACAAAAACCTCCCGCTTTTAGTGTCGGAGAGGGTTTACTGCGTGAGCGCGGCATACGTCAGTCGAGTCACCTCAGGGTTTTCCAAGAGGGCTGCGTTTTTTGGCACTTCCCGCACAAAATGGACCCTAAACATTATGAACCAAAGCAGGTTTCACCACCGCTGTATCTCACTGAGTGCGAAGGGCTGTGGGCACTCTTAGGACATGTAGAGAGGTGGTGTAACTCTCTGTTGGCTCCTAACACTTGTCCAGGGGAAATGCTGGGACGGAGGGACATGTGATCCAGCGGTTAAAATTGGCGACGAGCTAGCCAGGAGTCGAACCTAGAATCTTCTGATCCGTAGTCAGACGCGTTATCCATTGCGCCACTAGCCCCCACGCACATCTCTTCCCTGCCCCTGGCACTGCTGCATGCAAAAGCATGGGGCCTGCAATGCATGGACGGTGTGGAAAAGGCCTGTGAAGTGACTGGGCAAGTGGCCAATCAGGGCTGACAAGTAGGAACGGTGGCTTGAGCTGTCCACTTTCAATGTATAAAGAACAAAGGAGAGGCCTATGTGCCCAAGGGACATGATATAAAAGCAAAGTCAGCTCCACACTCTTGCCGTGACCCGGATTCGAACCGGGTTTGCTGCGGCCACAACGCAGAGTACTCACCACTATACGATCACGGCCTCCTGGAAGCTACTTAAGCCCTCTGCTTGTCAGAGAATAGTTTGAGCCCTGAGCACAAAAACCTCCCGCTTTTAGTGTCGGAGAGGGTTTACTGCGTGAGCGCGGCATACGTCAGTCGAGTCACCTCAGGGTTTTCCAAGAGGGCTGCGTTTTTTGGCACTTCCCGCACAAAATGGACCCTAAACATTATGAACCAAAGCAGGTTTCACCACCGCTGTATCTCACTGAGTGCGAAGGGCTGTGGGCACTCTTAGGACATGTAGAGAGGTGGTGTAACTCTCTGTTGGCTCCTAACACTTGTCCAGGGGAAATGCTGGGACGGAGGGACATGTGATCCAGCGGTTAAAATTGGCGACGAGCTAGCCAGGAGTCGAACCTAGAATCTTCTGATCCGTAGTCAGACGCGTTATCCATTGCGCCACTAGCCCCCACGCACATCTCTTCCCTGCCCCTGGCACTGCTGCATGCAAAAGCATGGGGCCTGCAATGCATGGACGGTGTGGAAAAGGCCTGTGAAGTGACTGGGCAAGTGGCCAATCAGGGCTGACAAGTAGGAACGGTGGCTTGAGCTGTCCACTTTCAATGTATAAAGAACAAAGGAGAGGCCTATGTGCCCAAGGGACATGATATAAAAGCAAAGTCAGCTCCACACTCTTGCCGTGACCCGGATTCGAACCGGGTTTGCTGCGGCGACAACGCAGAGTACTCACCACTATACGATCACGGCCTCCTGGAAGCTACTTAAGCCCTCTGCTTGTCAGAGAATAGTTTGAGCCCTGAGCACAAAAACCTCCCGCTTTTAGTGTCGGAGAGGGTTTACTGCGTGAGCGCGGCATACGTCAGTCGAGTCACCTCAGGGTTTTCCAAGAGGGCTGCGTTTTTTGGCACTTCCCGCACAAAATGGACCCTAAACATTATGAACCAAAGCAGGTTTCACCACCGCTGTATCTCACTGAGTGCGAAGGGCTGTGGGCACTCTTAGGACATGTAGAGAGGTGGTGTAACTCTCTGTTGGCTCCTAACACTTGTCCAGGGGAAATGCTGGGACGGAGGGACATGTGATCCAGCGGTTAAAATTGGCGACGAGCTAGCCAGGAGTCGAACCTAGAATCTTCTGATCCGTAGTCAGACGCGTTATCCATTGCGCCACTAGCCCCCACGCACATCTCTTCCCTGCCCCTGGCACTGCTGCATGCAAAAGCATGGGGCCTGCAATGCATGGACGGTGTGGAAAAGGCCTGTGAAGTGACTGGGCAAGTGGCCAATCAGGGCTGACAAGTAGGAACGGTGGCTTGAGCTGTCCACTTTCAATGTATAAAGAACAAAGGAGAGGCCTATGTGCCCAAGGGACATGATATAAAAGCAAAGTCAGCTCCACACTCTTGGCGTGACCCGGATTCGAACCGGGTTTGCTGCGGCCACAACGCAGAGTACTCACCACTATACGATCACGGCCTCCTGGAAGCTACTTAAGCCCTCTGCTTGTCAGAGAATAGTTTGAGCCCTGAGCACAAAAACCTCCCGCTTTTAGTGTCGGAGAGGGTTTACTGCGTGAGCGCGGCATACGTCAGTCGAGTCACCTCAGGGTTTTCCAAGAGGGCTGCGTTTTTTGGCACTTCCCGCACAAAATGGACCCTAAACATTATGAACCAAAGCAGGTTTCACCACCGCTGTATCTCACTGAGTGCGAAGGGCTGTGGGCACTCTTAGGACATGTAGAGAGGTGGTGTAACTCTCTGTTGGCTCCTAACACTTGTCCAGGGGAAATGCTGGGACGGAGGGACATGTGATCCAGCGGTTAAAATTGGCGACGAGCTAGCCAGGAGTCGAACCTAGAATCTTCTGATCCGTAGTCAGACGCGTTATCCATTGCGCCACTAGCCCCCACGCACATCTCTTCCCTGCCCCTGGCACTGCTGCATGCAAAAGCATGGGGCCTGCAATGCATGGACGGTGTGGAAAAGGCCTGTGAAGTGACTGGGCAAGTGGCCAATCAGGGCTGACAAGTAGGAACGGTGGCTTGAGCTGTCCACTTTCAATGTATAAAGAACAAAGGAGAGGCCTATGTGCCCAAGGGACATGATATAAAAGCAAAGTCAGCTCCACACTCTTGCCGTGACCCGGATTCGAACCGGGGTTGCTGCGGCCACAACGCAGAGTACTCACCACTATACGATCACGGCCTCCTGGAAGCTACTTAAGCCCTCTGCTTGTCAGAGAATAGTTTGAGCCCTGAGCACAAAAACCTCCCGCTTTTAGTGTCGGAGAGGGTTTACTGCGTGAGCGCGGCATACGTCAGTCGAGTCACCTCAGGGTTTTCCAAGAGGGCTGCGTTTTTTGGCACTTCCCGCACAAAATGGACCCTAAACATTATGAACCAAAGCAGGTTTCAACACCGCTGTATCTCACTGAGTGCGAAGGGCTGTGGGCACTCTTAGGACATGTAGAGAGGTGGTGTAACTCTCTGTTGGCTCCTAACACTTGTCCAGGGGAAATGCTGGGACGGAGGGACATGTGATCCAGCGGTTAAAATTGGCGACGAGCTAGCCAGGAGTCGAACCTAGAATCTTCTGATCCGTAGTCAGACGCGTTATCCATTGCGCCACTAGCCCCCACGCACATCTCTTCCCTGCCCCTGGCACTGCTGCATGCAAAAGCATGGGGCCTGCAATGCATGGACGGTGTGGAAAAGGCCTGTGAAGTGACTGGGCAAGTGGCCAATCAGGGCTGACAAGTAGGAACGGTGGCTTGAGCTGTCCACTTTCAATGTATAAAGAACAAAGGAGAGGCCTATGTGCCCAAGGGACATGATATAAAAGCAAAGTCAGCTCCACACTCTTGCCGTGACCCGGATTCGAACCGGGTTTGCTGCGGCGACAACGCAGAGTACTCACCACTATACGATCACGGCCTCCTGGAAGCTACTTAAGCCCTCTGCTTGTCAGAGAATAGTTTGAGCCCTGAGCACAAAAACCTCCCGCTTTTAGTGTCGGAGAGGGTTTACTGCGTGAGCGCGGCATACGTCAGTCGAGTCACCTCAGGGTTTTCCAAGAGGGCTGCGTTTTTTGGCACTTCCCGCACAAAATGGACCCTAAACATTATGAACCAAAGCAGGTTTCACCACCGCTGTATCTCACTGAGTGCGAAGGGCTGTGGGCACTCTTAGGACATGTAGAGAGGTGGTGTAACTCTCTGTTGGCTCCTAACACTTGTCCAGGGGAAATGCTGGGACGGAGGGACATGTGATCCAGCGGTTAAAATTGGCGACGAGCTAGCCAGGAGTCGAACCTAGAATCTTCTGATCCGTAGTCAGACGCGTTATCCATTGCGCCACTAGCCCCCACGCACATCTCTTCCCTGCCCCTGGCACTGCTGCATGCAAAAGCATGGGGCCTGCAATGCATGGACGGTGTGGAAAAGGCCTGTGAAGTGACTGGGCAAGTGGCCAATCAGGGCTGACAAGTAGGAACGGTGGCTTGAGCTGTCCACTTTCAATGTATAAAGAACAAAGGAGAGGCCTATGTGCCCAAGGGACATGATATAAAAGCAAAGTCAGCTCCACACTCTTGCCGTGACCCGGATTCGAACCGGGTTTGCTGCGGCCACAACGCAGAGTACTCACCACTATACGATCACGGCCTCCTGGAAGCTACTTAAGCCCTCTGCTTGTCAGAGAATAGTTTGAGCCCTGAGCACAAAAACCTCCCGCTTTTAGTGTCGGAGAGGGTTTACTGCGTGAGCGCGGCATACGTCAGTCGAGTCACCTCAGGGTTTTCCAAGAGGGCTGCGTTTTTTGGCACTTCCCGCACAAAATGGACCCTAAACATTATGAACCAAAGCAGGTTTCACCACCGCTGTATCTCACTGAGTGCGAAGGGCTGTGGGCACTCTTAGGACATGTAGAGAGGTGGTGTAACTCTCTGTTGGCTCCTAACACTTGTCCAGGGGAAATGCTGGGACGGAGGGACATGTGATCCAGCGGTTAAAATTGGCGACGAGCTAGCCAGGAGTCGAACCTAGAATCTTCTGATCCGTAGTCAGACGCGTTATCCATTGCGCCACTAGCCCCCACGCACATCTCTTCCCTGCCCCTGGCACTGCTGCATGCAAAAGCATGGGGCCTGCAATGCATGGACGGTGTGGAAAAGGCCTGTGAAGTGACTGGGCAAGTGGCCAATCAGGGCTGACAAGTAGGAACGGTGGCTTGAGCTGTCCACTTTCAATGTATAAAGAACAAAGGAGAGGCCTATGTGCCCAAGGGACATGATATAAAAGCAAAGTCAGCTCCACACTCTTGCCGTGACCCGGATTCGAACCGGGTTTGCTGCGGCGACAACGCAGAGTACTCACCACTATACGATCACGGCCTCCTGGAAGCTACTTAAGCCCTCTGCTTGTCAGAGAATAGTTTGAGCCCTGAGCACAAAAACCTCCCGCTTTTAGTGTCGGAGAGGGTTTACTGCGTGAGCGCGGCATACGTCAGTCGAGTCACCTCAGGGTTTTCCAAGAGGGCTGCGTTTTTTGGCACTTCCCGCACAAAATGGACCCTAAACATTATGAACCAAAGCAGGTTTCACCACCGCTGTATCTCACTGAGTGCGAAGGGCTGTGGGCACTCTTAGGACATGTAGAGAGGTGGTGTAACTCTCTGTTGGCTCCTAACACTTGTCCAGGGGAAATGCTGGGACGGAGGGACATGTGATCCAGCGGTTAAAATTGGCGACGAGCTAGCCAGGAGTCGAACCTAGAATCTTCTGATCCGTAGTCAGACGCGTTATCCATTGCGCCACTAGCCCCCACGCACATCTCTTCCCTGCCCCTGGCACTGCTGCATGCAAAAGCATGGGGCCTGCAATGCATGGACGGTGTGGAAAAGGCCTGTGAAGTGACTGGGCAAGTGGCCAATCAGGGCTGACAAGTAGGAACGGTGGCTTGAGCTGTCCACTTTCAATGTATAAAGAACAAAGGAGAGGCCTATGTGCCCAAGGGACATGATATAAAAGCAAAGTCAGCTCCACACTCTTGGCGTGACCCGGATTCGAACCGGGTTTGCTGCGGCCACAACGCAGAGTACTCACCACTATACGATCACGGCCTCCTGGAAGCTACTTAAGCCCTCTGCTTGTCAGAGAATAGTTTGAGCCCTGAGCACAAAAACCTCCCGCTTTTAGTGTCGGAGAGGGTTTACTGCGTGAGCGCGGCATACGTCAGTCGAGTCACCTCAGGGTTTTCCAAGAGGGCTGCGTTTTTTGGCACTTCCCGCACAAAATGGACCCTAAACATTATGAACCAAAGCAGGTTTCACCACCGCTGTATCTCACTGAGTGCGAAGGGCTGTGGGCACTCTTAGGACATGTAGAGAGGTGGTGTAACTCTCTGTTGGCTCCTAACACTTGTCCAGGGGAAATGCTGGGACGGAGGGACATGTGATCCAGCGGTTAAAATTGGCGACGAGCTAGCCAGGAGTCGAACCTAGAATCTTCTGATCCGTAGTCAGACGCGTTATCCATTGCGCCACTAGCCCCCACGCACATCTCTTCCCTGCCCCTGGCACTGCTGCATGCAAAAGCATGGGGCCTGCAATGCATGGACGGTGTGGAAAAGGCCTGTGAAGTGACTGGGCAAGTGGCCAATCAGGGCTGACAAGTAGGAACGGTGGCTTGAGCTGTCCACTTTCAATGTATAAAGAACAAAGGAGAGGCCTATGTGCCCAAGGGACATGATATAAAAGCAAAGTCAGCTCCACACTCTTGCCGTGACCCGGATTCGAACCGGGGTTGCTGCGGCCACAACGCAGAGTACTCACCACTATACGATCACGGCCTCCTGGAAGCTACTTAAGCCCTCTGCTTGTCAGAGAATAGTTTGAGCCCTGAGCACAAAAACCTCCCGCTTTTAGTGTCGGAGAGGGTTTACTGCGTGAGCGCGGCATACGTCAGTCGAGTCACCTCAGGGTTTTCCAAGAGGGCTGCGTTTTTTGGCACTTCCCGCACAAAATGGACCCTAAACATTATGAACCAAAGCAGGTTTCACCACCGCTGTATCTCACTGAGTGCGAAGGGCTGTGGGCACTCTTAGGACATGTAGAGAGGTGGTGTAACTCTCTGTTGGCTCCTAACACTTGTCCAGGGGAAATGCTGGGACGGAGGGACATGTGATCCAGCGGTTAAAATTGGCGACGAGCTAGCCAGGAGTCGAACCTAGAATCTTCTGATCCGTAGTCAGACGCGTTATCCATTGCGCCACTAGCCCCCACGCACATCTCTTCCCTGCCCCTGGCACTGCTGCATGCAAAAGCATGGGGCCTGCAATGCATGGACGGTGTGGAAAAGGCCTGTGAAGTGACTGGGCAAGTGGCCAATCAGGGCTGACAAGTAGGAACGGTGGCTTGAGCTGTCCACTTTCAATGTATAAAGAACAAAGGAGAGGCCTATGTGCCCAAGGGACATGATATAAAAGCAAAGTCAGCTCCACACTCTTGCCGTGACCCGGATTCGAACCGGGGTTGCTGCGGCCACAACGCAGAGTACTCACCACTATACGATCACGGCCTCCTGGAAGCTACTTAAGCCCTCTGCTTGTCAGAGAATAGTTTGAGCCCTGAGCACAAAAACCTCCCGCTTTTAGTGTCGGAGAGGGTTTACTGCGTGAGCGCGGCATACGTCAGTCGAGTCACCTCAGGGTTTTCCAAGAGGGCTGCGTTTTTTGGCACTTCCCGCACAAAATGGACCCTAAACATTATGAACCAAAGCAGGTTTCACCACCGCTGTATCTCACTGAGTGCGAAGGGCTGTGGGCACTCTTAGGACATGTAGAGAGGTGGTGTAACTCTCTGTTGGCTCCTAACACTTGTCCAGGGGAAATGCTGGGACGGAGGGACATGTGATCCAGCGGTTAAAATTGGCGACGAGCTAGCCAGGAGTCGAACCTAGAATCTTCTGATCCGTAGTCAGACGCGTTATCCATTGCGCCACTAGCCCCCACGCACATCTCTTCCCTGCCCCTGGCACTGCTGCATGCAAAAGCATGGGGCCTGCAATGCATGGACGGTGTGGAAAAGGCCTGTGAAGTGACTGGGCAAGTGGCCAATCAGGGCTGACAAGTAGGAACGGTGGCTTGAGCTGTCCACTTTCAATGTATAAAGAACAAAGGAGAGGCCTATGTGCCCAAGGGACATGATATAAAAGCAAAGTCAGCTCCACACTCTTGCCGTGACCCGGATTCGAACCGGGGTTGCTGCGGCCACAACGCAGAGTACTCACCACTATACGATCACGGCCTCCTGGAAGCTACTTAAGCCCTCTGCTTGTCAGAGAATAGTTTGAGCCCTGAGCACAAAAACCTCCCGCTTTTAGTGTCGGAGAGGGTTTACTGCGTGAGCGCGGCATACGTCAGTCGAGTCACCTCAGGGTTTTCCAAGAGGGCTGCGTTTTTTGGCACTTCCCGCACAAAATGGACCCTAAACATTATGAACCAAAGCAGGTTTCACCACCGCTGTATCTCACTGAGTGCGAAGGGCTGTGGGCACTCTTAGGACATGTAGAGAGGTGGTGTAACTCTCTGTTGGCTCCTAACACTTGTCCAGGGGAAATGCTGGGACGGAGGGACATGTGATCCAGCGGTTAAAATTGGCGACGAGCTAGCCAGGAGTCGAACCTAGAATCTTCTGATCCGTAGTCAGACGCGTTATCCATTGCGCCACTAGCCCCCACGCACATCTCTTCCCTGCCCCTGGCACTGCTGCATGCAAAAGCATGGGGCCTGCAATGCATGGACGGTGTGGAAAAGGCCTGTGAAGTGACTGGGCAAGTGGCCAATCAGGGCTGACAAGTAGGAACGGTGGCTTGAGCTGTCCACTTTCAATGTATAAAGAACAAAGGAGAGGCCTATGTGCCCAAGGGACATGATATAAAAGCAAAGTCAGCTCCACACTCTTGCCGTGACCCGGATTCGAACCGGGGTTGCTGCGGCCACAACGCAGAGTACTCACCACTATACGATCACGGCCTCCTGGAAGCTACTTAAGCCCTCTGCTTGTCAGAGAATAGTTTGAGCCCTGAGCACAAAAACCTCCCGCTTTTAGTGTCGGAGAGGGTTTACTGCGTGAGCGCGGCATACGTCAGTCGAGTCACCTCAGGGTTTTCCAAGAGGGCTGCGTTTTTTGGCACTTCCCGCACAAAATGGACCCTAAACATTATGAACCAAAGCAGGTTTCACCACCGCTGTATCTCACTGAGTGCGAAGGGCTGTGGGCACTCTTAGGACATGTAGAGAGGTGGTGTAACTCTCTGTTGGCTCCTAACACTTGTCCAGGGGAAATGCTGGGACGGAGGGACATGTGATCCAGCGGTTAAAATTGGCGACGAGCTAGCCAGGAGTCGAACCTAGAATCTTCTGATCCGTAGTCAGACGCGTTATCCATTGCGCCACTAGCCCCCACGCACATCTCTTCCCTGCCCCTGGCACTGCTGCATGCAAAAGCATGGGGCCTGCAATGCATGGACGGTGTGGAAAAGGCCTGTGAAGTGACTGGGCAAGTGGCCAATCAGGGCTGACAAGTAGGAACGGTGGCTTGAGCTGTCCACTTTCAATGTATAAAGAACAAAGGAGAGGCCTATGTGCCCAAGGGACATGATATAAAAGCAAAGTCAGCTCCACACTCTTGCCGTGACCCGGATTCGAACCGGGGTTGCTGCGGCCACAACGCAGAGTACTCACCACTATACGATCACAGCCTCCTGGAAGCTACTTAAGCCCTCTGCTTGTCAGAGAATAGTTTGAGCCCTGAGCACAAAAACCTCCCGCTTTTAGTGTCGGAGAGGGTTTACTGCGTGAGCGCGGCATACGTCAGTCGAGTCACCTCAGGGTTTTCCAAGAGGGCTGCGTTTTTTGGCACTTCCCGCACAAAATGGACCCTAAACATTATGAACCAAAGCAGGTTTCAACACCGCTGTATCTCACTGAGTGCGAAGGGCTGTGGGCACTCTTAGGACATGTAGAGAGGTGGTGTAACTCTCTGTTGGCTCCTAACACTTGTCCAGGGGAAATGCTGGGACGGAGGGACATGTGATCCAGCGGTTAAAATTGGCGACGAGCTAGCCAGGAGTCGAACCTAGAATCTTCTGATCCGTAGTCAGACACGTTATCCATTGCGCCACTAGCCCCCACGCATATCTCTTCCCTGCCCCTGGCACTGCTGCATGCAAAAGCATGGGGCCTGCAATGCATGGACGGTGTGGAAAAGGCCTGTGAAGTGACTGGGCAAGTGGCCAATCAGGGCTGACAAGTAGGAACGGTGGCTTGAGCTGTCCACTTTCAATGTATAAAGAACAAAGGAGAGGCCTATGTGCCCAAGGGACATGATATAAAAGCAAAGTCAGCTCCACACTCTTGCCGTGACCCGGATTCGAACCGGGGTTGCTGCGGCCACAACGCAGAGTACTCACCACTATACGATCACGGCCTCCTGGAAGCTACTTAAGCCCTCTGCTTGTCAGAGAATAGTTTGAGCCCTGAGCACAAAAACCTCCCGCTTTTAGTGTCGGAGAGGGTTTACTGCGTGAGCGCGGCATACGTCAGTCGAGTCACCTCAGGGTTTTCCAAGAGGGCTGCGTTTTTTGGCACTTCCCGCACAAAATGGACCCTAAACATTATGAACCAAAGCAGGTTTCAACACCGCTGTATCTCACTGAGTGCGAAGGGCTGTGGGCACTCTTAGGACATGTAGAGAGGTGGTGTAACTCTCTGTTGGCTCCTAACACTTGTCCAGGGGAAATGCTGGGACGGAGGGACATGTGATCCAGCGGTTAAAATTGGCGACGAGCTAGCCAGGAGTCGAACCTAGAATCTTCTGATCCGTAGTCAGACGCGTTATCCATTGCGCCACTAGCCCCCACGCACATCTCTTCCCTGCCCCTGGGACTGCTGCATGCAAAAGCATGGGGCCTGCAATGCATGGACGGTGTGGAAAAGGCCTGTGAAGTGACTGGGCAAGTGGCCAATAAGGGCTGACAAGTAGGAACGGTGGCTTGAGCTGTCCACTTTCAATGTATAAAGAACAAAGGAGAGGCCTATGTGCCCAAGGGACATGATATAAAAGCAAAGTCAGCTCCACACTCTTGCCGTGACCCGGATTCGAACCGGGGTTGCTGCGGCCACAACGCAGAGTACTCACCACTATACGATCACGGCCTCCTGGAAGCTACTTAAGCCCTCTGCTTGTCAGAGAATAGTTTGAGCCCTGAGCACAAAAACCTCCCGCTTTTAGTGTCGGAGAGGGTTTACTGCGTGAGCGCGGCATACGTCAGTCGAGTCACCTCAGGGTTTTCCAAGAGGGCTGCGTTTTTTGGCACTTCCCGCACAAAATGGACCCTAAACATTATGAACCAAAGCAGGTTTCACCACCGCTGTATCTCACTGAGTGCGAAGGGCTGTGGGCACTCTTAGGACATGTAGAGAGGTGGTGTAACTCTCTGTTGGCTCCTAACACTTGTCCAGGGGAAATGCTGGGACGGAGGGACATGTGATCCAGCGGTTAAAATTGGCGACGAGCTAGCCAGGAGTCGAACCTAGAATCTTCTGATCCGTAGTCAGACGCGTTATCCATTGCGCCACTAGCCCCCACGCACATCTCTTCCCTGCCCCTGGCACTGCTGCATGCAAAAGCATGGGGCCTGCAATGCATGGACGGTGTGGAAAAGGCCTGTGAAGTGACTGGGCAAGTGGCCAATCAGGGCTGACAAGTAGGAACGGTGGCTTGAGCTGTCCACTTTCAATGTATAAAGAACAAAGGAGAGGCCTATGTGCCCAAGGGACATGATATAAAAGCAAAGTCAGCTCCACACTCTTGCCGTGACCCGGATTCGAACCGGGGTTGCTGCGGCCACAACGCAGAGTACTCACCACTATACGATCACGGCCTCCTGGAAGCTACTTAAGCCCTCTGCTTGTCAGAGAATAGTTTGAGCCCTGAGCACAAAAACCTCCCGCTTTTAGTGTCGGAGAGGGTTTACTGCGTGAGCGCGGCATACGTCAGTCGAGTCACCTCAGGGTTTTCCAAGAGGGCTGCGTTTTTTGGCACTTCCCGCACAAAATGGACCCTAAACATTATGAACCAAAGCAGGTTTCACCACCGCTGTATCTCACTGAGTGCGAAGGGCTGTGGGCACTCTTAGGACATGTAGAGAGGTGGTGTAACTCTCTGTTGGCTCCTAACACTTGTCCAGGGGAAATGCTGGGACGGAAGGACATGTGATCCAGCGGTTAAAATTGGCGACGAGCTAGCCAGGAGTCGAACCTAGAATCTTCTGATCCGTAGTCAGACGCGTTATCCATTGCGCCACTAGCCCCCACTCACATCTCTTCCCTGCCCCTGGCACTGCTGCATGCAAAAGCATGGGGCCTGCAATGCATGGACGGTGTGGAAAAGGCCTGTGAAGTGACTGGGCAAGTGGCCAATCAGGGCTGACAAGTAGGAACGGTGGCTTGAGCTGTCCACTTTCAATGTATAAAGAACAAAGGAGAGGCCTATGTGCCCAAGGGACATGATATAAAAGCAAAGTCAGCTCCACACTCTTGCCGTGACCCGGATTCGAACCGGGGTTGCTGCGGCGACAACGCAGAGTACTCACCACTATACGATCACGGCCTCCTGGAAGCTACTTAAGCCCTCTGCTTGTCAGAGAATAGTTTGAGCCCTGAGCACAAAAACCTCCCGCTTTTAGTGTCGGAGAGGGTTTACTGCGTGAGCGCGGCATACGTCAGTCGAGTCACCTCAGGGTTTTCCAAGAGGGCTGCGTTTTTTGGCACTTCCCGCACAAAATGGACCCTAAACATTATGAACCAAAGCAGGTTTCACCACCGCTGTATCTCACTGAGTGCGAAGGGCTGTGGGCACTCTTAGGACATGTAGAGAGGTGGTGTAACTCTCTGTTGGCTCCTAACACTTGTCCAGGGGAAATGCTGGGACGGAGGGACATGTGATCCAGCGGTTAAAATTGGCGACGAGCTAGCCAGGAGTCGAACCTAGAATCTTCTGATCCGTAGTCAGACGCGTTATCCATTGCGCCACTAGCCCCCACGCACATCTCTTCCCTGCCCCTGGGACTGCTGCATGCAAAAGCATGGGGCCTGCAATGCATGGACGGTGTGGAAAAGGCCTGTGAAGTGACTGGGCAAGTGGCCAATCAGGGCTGACAAGTAGGAACGGTGGCTTGAGCTGTCCACTTTCAATGTATAAAGAACAAAGGAGAGGCCTATGTGCCCAAGGGACATGATATAAAAGCAAAGTCAGCTCCACACTCTTGCCGTGACCCGGATTCGAACCGGGTTTGCTGCGGCCACAACGCAGAGTACTCACCACTATACGATCACGGCCTCCTGGAAGCTACTTAAGCCCTCTGCTTGTCAGAGAATAGTTTGAGCCCTGAGCACAAAAACCTCCCGCTTTTAGTGTCGGAGAGGGTTTACTGCGTGAGCGCGGCATACGTCAGTCGAGTCACCTCAGGGTTTTCCAAGAGGGCTGCGTTTTTTGGCACTTCCCGCACAAAATGGACCCTAAACATTATGAACCAAAGCAGGTTTCACCACCGCTGTATCTCACTGAGTGCGAAGGGCTGTGGGCACTCTTAGGACATGTAGAGAGGTGGTGTAACTCTCTGTTGGCTCCTAACACTTGTCCAGGGGAAATGCTGGGACGGAGGGACATGTGATCCAGCGGTTAAAATTGGCGACGAGCTAGCCAGGAGTCGAACCTAGAATCTTCTGATCCGTAGTCAGACGCGTTATCCATTGCGCCACTAGCCCCCACGCACATCTCTTCCCTGCCCCTGGCACTGCTGCATGCAAAAGCATGGGGCCTGCAATGCATGGACGGTGTGGAAAAGGCCTGTGAAGTGACTGGGCAAGTGGCCAATCAGGGCTGACAAGTAGGAACGGTGGCTTGAGCTGTCCACTTTCAATGTATAAAGAACAAAGGAGAGGCCTATGTGCCCAAGGGACATGATATAAAAGCAAAGTCAGCTCCACACTCTTGCCGTGACCCGGATTCGAACCGGGGTTGCTGCGGCCACAACGCAGAGTACTCACCACTATACGATCACGGCCTCCTGGAAGCTACTTAAGCCCTCTGCTTGTCAGAGAATAGTTTGAGCCCTGAGCACAAAAACCTCCCGCTTTTAGTGTCGGAGAGGGTTTACTGCGTGAGCGCGGCATACGTCAGTCGAGTCACCTCAGGGTTTTCCAAGAGGGCTGCGTTTTTTGGCACTTCCCGCACAAAATGGACCCTAAACATTATGAACCAAAGCAGGTTTCAACACCGCTGTATCTCACTGAGTGCGAAGGGCTGTGGGCACTCTTAGGACATGTAGAGAGGTGGTGTAACTCTCTGTTGGCTCCTAACACTTGTCCAGGGGAAATGCTGGGACGGAGGGACATGTGATCCAGCGGTTAAAATTGGCGACGAGCTAGCCAGGAGTCGAACCTAGAATCTTCTGATCCGTAGTCAGACGCGTTATCCATTGCGCCACTAGCCCCCACGCACATCTCTTCCCTGCCCCTGGCACTGCTGCATGCAAAAGCATGGGGCCTGCAATGCATGGACGGTGTGGAAAAGGCCTGTGAAGTGACTGGGCAAGTGGCCAATCAGGGCTGACAAGTAGGAACGGTGGCTTGAGCTGTCCACTTTCAATGTATAAAGAACAAAGGAGAGGCCTATGTGCCCAAGGGACATGATATAAAAGCAAAGTCAGCTCCACACTCTTGCCGTGACCCGGATTCGAACCGGGGTTGCTGCGGCCACAACGCAGAGTACTCACCACTATACGATCACGGCCTCCTAGAAGCTACTTAAGCCCTCTGCTTGTCAGAGAATAGTTTGAGCCCTGAGCACAAAAACCTCCCGCTTTTAGTGTCGGAGAGGGTTTACTGCGTGAGCGCGGCATACGTCAGTCGGGTCACCTCAGGGTTTTCCAAGAGGGCTGCGTTTTTTGGCACTTCCCGCACAAAATGGACCCTAAACATTATGAACCAAAGCAGGTTTCACCACCGCTGTATCTCACTGAGTGCGAAGGGCTGTGGGCACTCTTAGGACATGTAGAGAGGTGGTGTAACTCTCTGTTGGCTCCTAACACTTGTCCAGGGGAAATGCTGGGACGGAGGGACATGTGATCCAGCGGTTAAAATTGGCGACGAGCTAGCCAGGAGTCGAACCTAGAATCTTCTGATCCGTAGTCAGACGCGTTATCCATTGCGCCACTAGCCCCCACGCACATCTCTTCCCTGCCCCTGGCACTGCTGCATGCATGCAAAAGCATGGGGCCTGCAATGCATGGACGGTGTGGAAAAGGCCTGTGAAGTGACTGGGCAAGTGGCCAATCAGGGCTGACAAGTAGGAACGGTGGCTTGAGCTGTCCACTTTCAATGTATAAAGAACAAAGGAGAGGCCTATGTGCCCAAGGGACATGATATAAAAGCAAAGTCAGCTCCACACTCTTGCCGTGACCCGGATTCGAACCGGGGTTGCTGCGGCCACAACGCAGAGTACTCACCACTATACGATCACGGCCTCCTGGAAGCTACTTAAGCCCTCTGCTTGTCAGAGAATAGTTTGAGCCCTGAGCACAAAAACCTCCCGCTTTTAGTGTCGGAGAGGGTTTACTGCGTGAGCGCGGCATACGTCAGTCGAGTCACCTCAGGGTTTTCCAAGAGGGCTGCGTTTTTTGGCACTTCCCGCACAAAATGGACCCTAAACATTATGAACCAAAGCAGGTTTCACCACCGCTGTATCTCACTGAGTGCGAAGGGCTGTGGGCACTCTTAGGACATGTAGAGAGGTGGTGTAACTCTCTGTTGGCTCCTAACACTTGTCCAGGGGAAATGCTGGGACGGAGGGACATGTGATCCAGCGGTTAAAATTGGCGACGAGCTAGCCAGGAGTCGAACCTAGAATCTTCTGATCCGTAGTCAGACGCGTTATCCATTGCGCCACTAGCCCCCACGCACATCTCTTCCCTGCCCCTGGGACTGCTGCATGCAAAAGCATGGGGCCTGCAATGCATGGACGGTGTGGAAAAGGCCTGTGAAGTGACTGGGCAAGTGGCCAATCAGGGCTGACAAGTAGGAACGGTGGCTTGAGCTGTCCACTTTCAATGTATAAAGAACAAAGGAGAGGCCTATGTGCCCAAGGGACAGGATATAAAAGCAAAGTCAGCTCCACACTCTTGCCGTGACCCGGATTCGAACCGGGGTTGCTGCGGCCACAACGCAGAGTACTCACCACTATACGATCACGGCCTCCTGGAAGCTACTTAAGCCCTCTGCTTGTCAGAGAATAGTTTGAGCCCTGAGCACAAAAACCTCCCGCTTTTAGTGTCGGAGAGGGTTTACTGCGTGAGCGCGGCATACGTCAGTCGAGTCACCTCAGGGTTTTCCAAGAGGGCTGCGTTTTTTGGCACTTCCCGCACAAAATGGACCCTAAACATTATGAACCAAAGCAGGTTTCAATACCGCTGTATCTCACTGAGTGCGAAGGGCTGTGGGCACTCTTAGGACATGTAGAGAGGTGGTGTAACTCTCTGTTGGCTCCTAACACTTGTCCAGGGGAAATGCTGGGACGGAGGGACATGTGATCCAGCGGTTAAAATTGGCGACGAGCTAGCCAGGAGTCGAACCTAGAATCTTCTGATCCGTAGTCAGACGCGTTATCCATTGCGCCACTAGCCCCCACGCACATCTCTTCCCTGCCTCTGGGACTGCTGCATGCAAAAGCATGGGGCCTGCAATGCATGGACGGTGTGGAAAAGGCCTGTGAAGTGACTGGGCAAGTGGCCAATCAGGGCTGACAAGTAGGAACGGTGGCTTGAGCTGTCCACTTTCAATGTATAAAGAACAAAGGAGAGGCCTATGTGCCCAAGGGACATGATATAAAAGCAAAGTCAGCTCCACACTCTTGCCGTGACCCGGATTCGAACCGGGGTTGCTGCGGCCACAACGCAGAGTACTCACCACTATACGATCACGGCCTCCTGGAAGCTACTTAAGCCCTCTGCTTGTCAGAGAATAGTTTGAGCCCTGAGCACAAAAACCTCCCGCTTTTAGTGTCGGAGAGGGTTTACTGCGTGAGCGCGGCATACGTCAGTCGAGTCACCTCAGGGTTTTCCAAGAGGGCTGCGTTTTTTGGCACTTCCCGCACAAAATGGACCCTAAACATTATGAACCAAAGCAAGTTTCACCACCGCTGTATCTCACTGAGTGCGAAGGGCTGTGGGCACTCTTAGGACATGTAGAGAGGTGGTGTAACTCTCTGTTGGCTCCTAACACTTGTCCAGGGGAAATGCTGGGACGGAGGGACATGTGATCCAGCGGTTAAAATTGGCGACGAGCTAGCCAGGAGTCGAACCTAGAATCTTCTGATCCGTAGTCAGACGCGTTATCCATTGCGCCACTAGCCCCCACGCACATCTCTTCCCTGCCTCTGGGACTGCTGCATGCAAAAGCATGGGGCCTGCAATGCATGGACGGTGTGGAAAAGGCCTGTGAAGTGACTGGGCAAGTGGCCAATCAGGGCTGACAAGTAGGAACGGTGGCTTGAGCTGTCCACTTTCAATGTATAAAGAACAAAGGAGAGGCCTATGTGCCCAAGGGACAGGATATAAAAGCAAAGTCAGCTCCACACTCTTGCCGTGACCCGGATTCGAACCGGGGTTGCTGCGGCCACAACGCAGAGTACTCACCACTATACGATCACGGCCTCCTGGAAGCTACTTAAGCCCTCTGCTTGTCAGAGAATAGTTTGAGCCCTGAGCACAAAAACCTCCCGCTTTTAGTGTCGGAGAGGGTTTACTGCGTGAGCGCGGCATACGTCAGTCGAGTCACCTCAGGGTTTTCCAAGAGGGCTGCGTTTTTTGGCACTTCCCGCACAAAATGGACCCTAAACATTATGAACCAAAGCAGGTTTCAACACCGCTGTATCTCACTGAGTGCGAAGGGCTGTGGGCACTCTTAGGACATGTAGAGAGGTGGTGTAACTCTCTGTTGGCTCCTAACACTTGTCCAGGGGAAATGCTGGGACGGAGGGACATGTGATCCAGCGGTTAAAATTGGCGACGAGCTAGCCAGGAGTCGAACCTAGAATCTTCTGATCCGTAGTCAGACGCGTTATCCATTGCGCCACTAGCCCCCACGCACATCTCTTCCCTGCCCCTGGCACTGCTGCATGCAAAAGCATGGGGCCTGCAATGCATGGACGGTGTGGAAAAGGCCTGTGAAGTGACTGGGCAAGTGGCCAATCAGGGCTGACAAGTAGGAACGGTGGCTTGAGCTGTCCACTTTCAATGTATAAAGAACAAAGGAGAGGCCTATGTGCCCAAGGGACATGATATAAAAGCAAAGTCAGCTCCACACTCTTGCCGTGACCCGGATTCGAACCGGGGTTGCTGCGGCCACAACGCAGAGTAGTCACCACTATACGATCACGGCCTCCTGGAAGCTACTTAAGCCCTCTGCTTGTCAGAGAATAGTTTGAGCCCTGAGCACAAAAACCTCCCGCTTTTAGTGTCGGAGAGGGTTTACTGCGTGAGCGCGGCATACGTCAGTCGAGTCACCTCAGGGTTTTCCAAGAGGGCTGCGTTTTTTGGCACTTCCCGCACAAAATGGACCCTAAACATTATGAACCAAAGCAGGTTTCAACACCGCTGTATCTCACTGAGTGCGAAGGGCTGTGGGCACTCTTAGGACATGTAGAGAGGTGGTGTAACTCTCTGTTGGCTCCTAACACTTGTCCAGGGGAAATGCTGGGACGGAGGGACATGTGATCCAGCGGTTAAAATTGGCGACGAGCTAGCCAGGAGTCGAACCTAGAATCTTCTGATCCGTAGTCAGACGCGTTATCCATTGCGCCACTAGCCCCCACGCACATCTCTTCCCTGCCCCTGGCACTGCTGCATGCAAAAGCATGGGGCCTGCAATGCATGGACGGTGTGGAAAAGGCCTGTGAAGTGACTGGGCAAGTGGCCAATAAGGGCTGACAAGTAGGAACGGTGGCTTGAGCTGTCCACTTTCAATGTATAAAGAACAAAGGAGAGGCCTATGTGCCCAAGGGACATGATATAAAAGCAAAGTCAGCTCCACACTCTTGCCGTGACCCGGATTCGAACCGGGGTTGCTGCGGCCACAACGCAGAGTACTCACCACTATACGATCACGGCCTCCTGGAAGCTACTTAAGCCCTCTGCTTGTCAGAGAATAGTTTGAGCCCTGAGCACAAAAACCTCCCGCTTTTAGTGTCGGAGAGGGTTTACTGCGTGAGCGCGGCATACGTCAGTCGAGTCACCTCAGGGTTTTCCAAGAGGGCTGCGTTTTTTGGCACTTCCCGCACAAAATGGACCCTAAACATTATGAACCAAAGCAGGTTTCACCACCGCTGTATCTCACTGAGTGCGAAGGGCTGTGGGCACTCTTAGGACATGTAGAGAGGTGGTGTAACTCTCTGTTGGCTCCTAACACTTGTCCAGGGGAAATGCTGGGACGGAGGGACATGTGATCCAGCGGTTAAAATTGGCGACGAGCTAGCCAGGAGTCGAACCTAGAATCTTCTGATCCGTAGTCAGACGCGTTATCCATTGCGCCACTAGCCCCCACGCACATCTCTTCCCTGCCCCTGGCACTGCTGCATGCAAAAGCATGGGGCCTGCAATGCATGGACGGTGTGGAAAAGGCCTGTGAAGTGACTGGGCAAGTGGCCAATCAGGGCTGACAAGTAGGAACGGTGGCTTGAGCTGTCCACTTTCAATGTATAAAGAACAAAGGAGAGGCCTATGTGCCCAAGGGACATGATATAAAAGCAAAGTCAGCTCCACACTCTTGCCGTGACCCGGATTCGAACCGGGGTTGCTGCTGCCACAACGCAGAGTACTCACCACTATACGATCACGGCCTCCTGGAAGCTACTTAAGCCCTCTGCTTGTCAGAGAATAGTTTGAGCCCTGAGCACAAAAACCTCCCGCTTTTAGTGTCGGAGAGGGTTTACTGCGTGAGCGCGGCATACGTCAGTCGAGTCACCTCAGGGTTTTCCAAGAGGGCTGCGTTTTTTGGCACTTCCCGCACAAAATGGACCCTAAACATTATGAACCAAAGCAGGTTTCACCACCGCTGTATCTCACTGAGTGCGAAGGGCTGTGGGCACTCTTAGGACATGTAGAGAGGTGGTGTAACTCTCTGTTGGCTCCTAACACTTGTCCAGGGGAAATGCTGGGACGGAGGGACATGTGATCCAGCGGTTAAAATTGGCGACGAGCTAGCCAGGAGTCGAACCTAGAATCTTCTGATCCGTAGTCAGACGCGTTATCCATTGCGCCACTAGCCCCCACGCACATCTCTTCCCTGCCCCTGGCACTGCTGCATGCAAAAGCATGGGGCCTGCAATGCATGGACGGTGTGGAAAAGGCCTGTGAAGTGACTGGGCAAGTGGCCAATCAGGGCTGACAAGTAGGAACGGTGGCTTGAGCTGTCCACTTTCAATGTATAAAGAACAAAGGAGAGGCCTATGTGCCCAAGGGACATGATATAAAAGCAAAGTCAGCTCCACACTCTTGCCGTGACCCGGATTCGAACCGGGTTTGCTGCGGCCACAACGCAGAGTACTCACCACTATACGATCACGGCCTCCTGGAAGCTACTTAAGCCCTCTGCTTGTCAGAGAATAGTTTGAGCCCTGAGCACAAAAACCTCCCGCTTTTAGTGTCGGAGAGGGTTTACTGCGCGAGCGCGGCATACGTCAGTCGAGTCACCTCAGGGTTTTCCAAGAGGGCTGCGTTTTTTGGCACTTCCCGCACAAAATGGACCCTAAAAATTATGAACCAAAGCAGGTTTCACCACCGCTGTATCTCACTGAGTGCGAAGGGCTGTGGGCACTCTTAGGACATGTAGAGAGGTGGTGTAACTCTCTGTTGGCTCCTAACACTTGTCCAGGGGAAATGCTGGGACGGAGGGACATGTGATCCAGCGGTTAAAATTGGCGACGAGCTAGCCAGGAGTCGAACCTAGAATCTTCTGATCCGTAGTCAGACGCGTTATCCATTGCGCCACTAGCCCCCACGCACATCTCTTCCCTGCCCCTGGCACTGCTGCATGCAAAAGCATGGGGCCTGCAATGCATGGACGGTGTGGAAAAGGCCTGTGAAGTGACTGGGCAAGTGGCCAATCAGGGCTGACAAGTAGGAACGGTGGCTTGAGCTGTCCACTTTCAATGTATAAAGAACAAAGGAGAGGCCTATGTGCCCAAGGGACATGATATAAAAGCAAAGTCAACTCCACACTCTTGCCGTGACCCGGATTCGAACCGGGGTTGCTGCGGCCACAACGCAGAGTACTCACCACTATACGATCACGGCCTCCTGGAAGCTACTTAAGCCCTCTGCTTGTCGGAGAATAGTTTGAGCCCTGAGCACAAAAACCTCCCGCTTTTAGTGTCGGAGAGGGTTTACTGCGTGAGCGCGGCATACGTCAGTCGAGTCACCTCAGGGTTTTCCAAGAGGGCTGCGTTTTTTGGCACTTCCCGCACAAAATGGACCCTAAACATTATGAACCAAAGCAGGTTTCACCACCGCTGTATCTCACTGAGTGCGAAGGGCTGTGGGCACTCTTAGGACATGTAGAGAGGTGGTGTAACTCTCTGTTGGCTCCTAACACTTGTCCAGGGGAAATGCTGGGACGGAGGGACATGTGATCCAGCGGTTAAAATTGGCGACGAGCTAGCCAGGAGTCGAACCTAGAATATTCTGATCCGTAGTCAGACGCGTTATCCATTGCGCCACTAGCCCCCACGCACATCTCTTCCCTGCCCCTGGCACTGCTGCATGCAAAAGCATGGGGCCTGCAATGCATGGACGGTGTGGAAAAGGCCTGTGAAGTGACTGGGCAAGTGGCCAATCAGGGCTGACAAGTAGGAACGGTGGCTTGAGCTGTCCACTTTCAATGTATAAAGAACAAAGGAGAGGCCTATGTGCCCAAGGGACATGATATAAAAGCAAAGTCAGCTCCACACTCTTGCCGTGACCCGGATTCGAACCGGGGTTGCTGCGGGCACAACGCAGAGTACTCACCACTATACGATCACAGCCTCCTGGAAGCTGCTTAAGCCCTCTGCTTGTCAGAGAATAGTTTGAGCCCTGAGCACAAAAACCTCCCGCTTTTAGTGTCGGAGAGGGTTTACTGCGTGAGCGCGGCATACGTCAGTCGAGTCACCTCAGGGTTTTCCAAGAGGGCTGCGTTTTTTGGCACTTCCCGCACAAAATGGACCCTAAACATTATGAACCAAAGCAGGTTTCACCACCGCTGTATCTCACTGAGTGCGAAGGGCTGTGGGCACTCTTAGGACATGTAGAGAGGTGGTGTAACTCTCTGTTGGCTCCTAACACTTGTCCAGGGGAAATGCTGGGACGGAGGGACATGTGATCCAGCGGTTAAAATTGGCGACGAGCTAGCCAGGAGTCGAACCTAGAATCTTCTGATCCGTAGTCAGACGCGTTATCCATTGCGCCACTAGCCCCCACACACATCTCTTCCCTGCCCCTGGCACTGCTGCATGCAAAAGCATGGGGCCTGCAATGCATGGACGGTGTGGAAAAGGCCTGTGAAGTGACTGGGCAAGTGGCCAATCAGGGCTGACAAGTAGGAACGGTGGCTTGAGCTGTCCACTTTCAATGTATAAAGAACAAAGGAGAGGCCTATGTGCCCAAGGGACATGATATAAAAGCAAAGTCAGCTCCACACTCTTGCCGTGACCCGGATTCGAACCGGGGTTGCTGCGGCCACAACGCAGAGTACTCACCACTATACGATCACGGCCTCCTGGAAGCTACTTAAGCCCTCTGCTTGTCAGAGAATAGTTTGAGCCCTGAGCACAAAAACCTCCCGCTTTTAGTGTCGGAGAGGGTTTACTGCGTGAGCGCGGCATACGTCAGTCGAGTCACCTCAGGGTTTTCCAAGAGGGCTGCGTTTTTTGGCACTTCCCGCACAAAATGGACCCTAAAAATTATGAACCAAAGCAGGTTTCACCACCGCTGTATCTCACTGAGTGCGAAGGGCTGTGGGCACTCTTAGGACATGTAGAGAGGTGGTGTAACTCTCTGTTGGCTCCTAACACTTGTCCAGGGGAAATGCTGGGACGGAGGGACATGTGATCCAGCGGTTAAAATTGGCGACGAGCTAGCCAGGAGTCGAACCTAGAATCTTCTGATCCGTAGTCAGACGCGTTATCCATTGCGCCACTAGCCCCCACGCACATCTCTTCCCTGCCCCTGGCACTGCTGCATGCAAAAGCATGGGGCCTGCAATGCATGGACGGTGTGGAAAAGGCCTGTGAAGTGACTGGGCAAGTGGCCAATCAGGGCTGACAAGTAGGAACGGTGGCTTGAGCTGTCCACTTTCAATGTATAAAGAACAAAGGAGAGGCCTATGTGCCCAAGGGACATGATATAAAAGCAAAGTCAGCTCCACACTCTTGCCGTGACCCGGATTCGAACCGGGGTTGCTGCGGCCACAACGCAGAGTACTCACCACTATACGATCACGGCCTCCTGGAAGCTACTTAAGCCCTCTGCTTGTCAGAGAATAGTTTGAGCCCTGAGCACAAAAACCTCCCGCTTTTAGTGTCGGAGAGGGTTTACTGCGTGAGCGCGGCATACGTCAGTCGAGTCACCTCAGGGTTTTCCAAGAGGGCTGCGTTTTTTGGCACTTCCCGCACAAAATGGACCCTAAACATTATGAAGCAAAGCAGGTTTCACCACCGCTGTATCTCACTGAGTGCGAAGGGCTGTGGGCACTCTTAGGACATGTAGAGAGGTGGTGTAACTCTCTGTTGGCTCCTAACACTTGTCCAGGGGAAATGCTGGGACGGAGGGACATGGCTGGGACGGAGGGACATGTGATCCAGCGGTTAAAATTGGCGACGAGCTAGCCAGGAGTCGAACCTAGAATCTTCTGATCCGTAGTCAGACGCGTTATCCATTGCGCCACTAGCCCCCACGCACATCTCTTCCCTGCCCCTGGCACTGCTGCATGCAAAAGCATGGGGCCTGCAATGCATGGACGGTGTGGAAAAGGCCTGTGAAGTGACTGGGCAAGTGGCCAATCAGGGCTGACAAGTAGGAACGGTGGCTTGAGCTGTCCACTTTCAATGTATAAAGAACAAAGGAGAGCCCGCTTTTTGTGTTGGAAAGGGTTTACTGCATGAAAAAATGAGCTAGCCAGGAGTCGAACCTAGAATCTTTAGATCCGTAGTCAGACACACCATTGCCTCACCATGCACCCACACACACCTAACAAGTTTAAACTTTCGGGTTTAATACTATCTGGTTTTCTTTAAAATTATAAGAGACAGTGAATCTGTGAGTCTTCCCTTTGATGATAACTGGTCAATTGAAATGGTGTGCCTTTCATTGGATTTTAGTCCACATCATTCCTTAGTGATTATTTTAAGTTCAGTTTTCAATAAACTTCTTTTTTTTGTTTGTGCTTAGGATGCCATTGGCTTGCTGATGGGACAAACTTGTATGCCTCAGATTTCTAGCGTTACCCTGGCCAGGGCAGTTTATCTTCTTAGTTCCTTGGGGCGAGAACAGATCACCACACTTACTATGGCACAAAAACTACTCACCAAACAGGTACAAATTGTACACTTTTTCTTTGCAGTCTTTAAAAAAATTATTTTTGATTAACCTTTAATATTCATTTGCCTTTCCCCCCCTGTTTTTTAGTTGTGCGCTTTTGGGGAGAGTGTGGCGTTCAACGATGGAAAAGTTTGTTTTTCCCCTCCTGGTCCAAACAACATATACCTCCCTTACCTCATTTTTCTGGAGGAGGCAACTTTGCAAATGGGTAATTTATAAACTTCTAATTTTTTTAGTTCAAGCTAATTTTTAGAGGAGAATTAATTTTTTCCCTCTTTTTAGGGGACTTGTATAATTTACATAATAAAATTTAGAATTAGAAGCAGCGGGGGGTATAAAAAATAATTCTACTTTTAATTTTCTGCTTGATGAGGAGCATTCAGGTGTCTTTTTCTGGATTCATTAAAACTCAACCCCATTTTTTCCTTTTTTTAAATGTGTTTTCTTTCCCAGGTAACATCAATAACACTAGTGCCTTAGAAGTGCCAGTCTCTGCTAAGTCCTTGCAGTCCACTTCCAATACATCTTCAGATGCATGAGGTCTACTTAAGAGTGATATTTCATGCAATTTATAATACAATTTGTACTGTGATTTTTGAGTGGTTGTTTGTTGGCCACAGAGAGAACAAATTTTGTGATTAAGCCAACCAAATGTAAAGACACATCATTATAGATCCTGCTGCCTGTGATTACCAACAGTAAATCCTAATTGATTTATTGCAATGGATTCATTGTTGCATTAAAATATACTCAAAAGCTATTGCACAAAATGATGATTATTGTTTTTTTTTTAAATGTTTAGATTTTTAATTTATAGCATTTATTCTTTAATGAAATTTTGATCCTAATGCTTGACTTTTTCCATTGTAACTGCAAAAAGTTAGTAACAGAGACGTCATACCACAATGAGGCTGGGGGTGAATTTACTTTAACATGTGAAACTCTCTTTAAATAAATTTCAGGTAATGGGGGGGGGGGGGGGGTATGTTCTTTTTATTACATTTCTAAAGTTTGTCCACAGCCCCATAGGCTTTGCTGGCGGAGGCAGGATTTATGACCTGTACTGCAGCCCATCACTAGAGGGTGCTGTTCTCGGGGTGGCTTCACCCAGCGAGGAGGCAGACGGCGTCCATTCTATATACAGTCTATGGTTTCTACAGTCCGATACTGTAGCACACTGATTTTGTTTGGGCTCATGAATGACACAGGGGAGCAGCTTCTGCCTCACAACCAATCAGTACCAAGGAGCAGCGTCAGCTTCACAACCGATCAGGTTGGGGGATGCCGAAAATGGCTTTGTTTACAGTTAGAGAGAGCAGGGGCCTATTCTACAAAGCAAGTTCAACCTAGCGAGGTAGCCTTGGAGCTACCTTGCTCAACTTAGCGCGGTAGCCACCGGTCTCGCTAAATGGTCTTAAGACGCTGGCTATCAACCTTGTAAGTGGATCCAGCTTTGCTATGAGCGCGTGCACCAGTCTGGAGCGTCAGAGCAGGCCAGAGAGCTTTACAAACGAGGAGCAGGAGACGATCATGAAAAAGTATGAAGAATTCAAATCTATCAGAAACCTCAAAAGCAACACTGTCGCCGCTGTAAAAGCACGGAAGGAATGCTGGCGGAAAATTGCAGACAGTCTCGATGTGTAAGTATAGTGCGCAAAAAATCTTTGATGCCATTATCACCCTGAAATAGCACTGTTCAACATGCGCTTTTAACATGCACCAGACATGTCTAATTCATTTCCAAGATGAATTCATTCATTTGTTCATTCCTATCATGTGTGTGATATGTAGGCCATATGAGCCTTTCATAAAGGTGGTCATCCGGAAAACTAAGTGGGTCCGTGCAGTCCCGGGAAAATCTTGTGCGCCAGAGTGCTCCTCGGACAATGTGAGCACCAAGGTCTTTAGGATCCTCTGAGAACGGACAAGCCATTTTTCGAGAGAGCTCATTGGTCAGTGGGCGGGGTTTTTATACTCCGTGAGTTCAATCTGGAACCTAACCTGCCCTGGAGCAGGTTAGCAGTTCAGTGTACGTTGCCATGGAGACTCGCCTCGCTAAGAAGGAAACCCCGAACTTACCCTCGAAGTTACCTCGCTAAGCAGTAATCCTGCTTTGTAGAATAGGCCCCAGGTGCTAAAAAAATTTTAAATGTTGACTACACAGAGATAATAAATAAGCGATATCCTTATATTATCAAATGTCATCAATAACTAATAGCTATTGACTGATATTAAAAGCTTTTTTGTATGTCGACCACAAAAAAGATGCTTTTTTAACGGAATCCTGCCTACCCCACCTTTAAGTGTGATTAATCTCTGAAATTTAGAGACCCAAGGTAAGTCATAAAAAATACAATTTCAAAGTGGCATAGTAATAATATTTAAAATCAGATGTTTTCCATTCTTTCGTTAATATTTTAATTCGGTTTTTTTTTTTAAGTTTTAATGGCACATAAACTGATCTGCGTTATTCCTCTCTCCCGGAAGTGCTTAACAACATGCAATTATATTTTGAAAAACACAACCGGAAGTCTCTGTGAGGATGTGCTCTTTCGTGACTCGACGCCCCTGTCGGAGTAACGGTAGCCTCTCTACGGTCTAGTCCAGCATTGTCTCGGTTTGTTGACGTTTGCTGGGGTAGCTGGTAACGCGGTCCAGCCTGCTCTTTCAGACGAGTGGTGTGGGATGAAGCTAGCCTGCTCGCTGGCTTCAATGGATTTTCGTATTAAAAGATGATCGCCTCACTTTCTAGAGGAAGTTTGCTGGATGAGGTTCTTCATGGGGGCTTTAACGAGGTAACGTAGACCTAGAGTTACTTGTAGTAGCTTTTGTTTATGAAGATACTTTAAAACAAGGTTTGCTACCTTTGTTCACTTTAAGTACAGAAAACCAACTACCTCGGCCAGAGCTCGAGACCATACTCTGATGCAGTCTGTAGTTGTGACAGTAAAACATCATTTCTGGTTGCTCAGTGTGCTTTAGCTCGCTGAAATGCTGGTTTTAAAGTAGAGTATAATGATAGTCAGGAAGTACGTTTACCAGTAGTTTTCAGAAAACAATACTAAAGCAACTTAAATTTGTCATCAGGACTGTTAAAAGTGAGATTCCCCCTGATGATCCAAGCGGGGTGCGTTCTTTGTCAGGTATCCCGGACAACGGGCTGTCACGTGACCTCAATGGCTGTAAAGGTGGAATAACCCTGTGGTGTTGAAGGCAGGCAGCCCCTCGTTACTCCATACTAGATATCAACTCATATGATTTGCCTTTGCAAAGTAAAAGTAACCAGGCAGTAGGACAATTGCCTGGCCCTGCCCCCTCTGTCCTGTCCCAGCATAATGAACAAAGGATCTTATTTGTTATGCCAGGGTCTCAGCCTAATTTTGGCCCTGTGTGTGTGTGTGTGTGTGTGTGTGTGCGTGGTACTGTTTAATTTGTGTGTACTACACTGATGGATTGCAGCAACAACTCGCAGCATATGTTTCCTGGGTGAACTCTCAGCTGAAGAGGAAACCAGGCCTTACGCCAATCACAGACCTCAGGCGGGACCTGCAGAATGGGGTTGTGCTCACACAACTAATAGACATAGTTGGTAAGTACACACTTCCAAAAAAGGACAAATTGCTTACATGATGCGGTAAGAGGGACACTGTCAGAAGATGATTGGTATCTAATCGCAGGTGCATACAGTACAGGCCAAAAGTTTGGACACACCTTCTCATCCAATGTCTTTTCTTTATTTTTTTATATGACTATTTACATTGTAGATTATCACTGAAGGCATCAAAACTATGAATGAACACATGTAGAATTTTGTATTTAAAAAAAAAAGTGTGAAATAACCGAAAACATGTTTCATATTCTAGTTTCTTTGAAATAGCCACCCTTTGCTCTTGATGACAGAAGTACCTTGTCAGGGTTACTTCAGGCACTCCTGTGAAGTAAAAACCATTTCAGGTGACTACCTCATGAAGCTCATTGAGAGAACAGCTAAAGTTTGCAGCGCTATCAAAAAAGCAAAGGGTGGCTACTTTGAGAAATCTAAAATATAATACATGTTTTCAGTTATTTCACACTTTTTTCTTAAGCACATGATTCCACATGTGTTCATTCATAGTTTTGAGAATCTACAATTTAAATAGTAATGAAAACAAAGAAAATGCATTGAATGAGAAGGTGTGTCCAAACTTTTGGCCTGTACCGTACATGGTTAAAACATTTAGTTCTGGTCACAGGTGTGTGCATGCACAGTTGTCTCTTCTTGAAAACCTGCCGTACATGCTTATCGAAAGCATTAGTCCATGAGACGTGTTTCCAAAAATCTCCCAAAAATAAGGTTGACTGATTTTTCCTGTGGTTTTGGGAAAAGTCACAGGGTGGTGGGGTGGTACAGGTTCACATGCACATTAACAGAAGAATACTGGCTACTACAACCTGCACCTATATTTATATTACCATAAAGAATAACTACCATGTATTTCCCTCATCACATAGATGTTTGCGTATTTTCATCAGTCTTATCATGTAGTGCAACAAAACTTCACAAACAAGAGCTTTATTTTACCCATTTTACGATTCACTGAGGCCTGAAGCAGCTAACTTTTGCAGTCAGCAAATACTTGATATCACTATAACTGTTGTTCATCAGAGTCAGCTCTTAAAATATATTTTTCGTAACCACAGACTTCCTCTACGTGTTGTTTTTTTATTTTTTCGCTTTCGGTGAGCGTTTTAAACTAAACAATTAAAGACAAACCTGCAGTTCCAGTTGATAACCAAAAAGGTATTTATTTGTGTTATAAAAGATCACATCACTCCATCTATCTCTGTTTAAAATTAGCATCTGATCAGCTACTTGTAAGTAAGTGCAGTGTACACCATACTTAACAAACTTAACACGAAGGAAATGATGTAGCACTACAGAAAAGGTGATTTTGCAATATATGGTTTCTATTTGTGTCTGACTTGTGCGATGATTGGCTAAAAAATGCTGAACTAGCAGTTGGGGGTATTGCTTTATTGATTGTTCGTTGTCCTTATCTAAAACCTTATTCTAACCCAACAGCTGGGGAAGTGCTGGAGGGAGTTTATGCCACTCCACAAAATAAAGAAGAAAGCAGGACGAACGTTGAGAAAGTCCTGCAATTCATTTCCTCCAGGCACATACGCATGCCACACATAACTGCAAGAGGTAAATAACAGAAATGTCCATGTTCTCTTTTATTTCTCTCTTTATATCAGTTTTTCACAAAGTTTTCTGATTGCTATCTTTATATTTAAGCCATCAGGTTTAACTGTCTCTGAACATGCTTTATGAATATAAAATTATTCTTAAAAAAATAAAATCTCAATTTTCAAAATCCATGTCTCACTTGTCAGAGAAACTGTGCATATGTGAATGACATTAGAGCTTTGTTTCATACCACACTCCCCTTCTGTTTGCAGACATTGTTGAAGGCAATCTAAAATGTGCAATGAGGATAATTCTGGCACTAGCTGCCCACTTCAAACCCTCTGCCAATCACAAGGCTGCCTCTGGAAGTGGAAAGAGTTTAACTAGAGGCTCTACCAACCACAACCCTCTCTCCGCCGTTGCGTTAGCACAAGGTGCTGCGGCTGCTCTGGTATCAGCACGTCACGATGCCTCACAATCTACACGGACCACACGCATCCACAGGTATAACAGCCGCTGTAATCATGAACACAGATGCAAGTCCTCCAACCATTATTTTGTTATGTCACATAAACTCTCCCTCGACACTTTTATCAGTTACATCTGTGGTCTTTGCTGCCCTCTTGTGGACAGACCAATTTAATATCTTCACAACTGCTGCAAGATACATTTGCTACTGAAAATCACATCACTTTTTTACTTTAATTTTGCAGTGGCTGCGGGTTAGATGCAGAAAAAAGTGTGTGTGTCCGTGCTCTGGTTGAGCAGTATGAGAGAGGAGCTCCAGATGAGCAGGACAATCCTCAGCTTAACAGGTACCCTACGTTTTTTTAATTGCTAAAAAAGTTTATATTCCCTTTATTAATGTCGGAACAGTTTTTATAATAAGATAATTCACCAAAAAGGCAAGCTGGCTTTTTTTGACCTACAATTTTTAAAGGGGTTGCTGAGGCTGAATGGCTTAAGGATGAGTGGTATCATTTTATAATCACATTTATAATCTTGTTTGGCACACTCGATTTGTACATCAGGCAACCATGTTACAAACCAAACGAACTTCACTTTTTCACTATTTATTCACTTAAGATCTGCAATTAGGTAGTTTTGCAGAATGTTAAGAAAAAGGCCCTAAATCACCCGGACAGCGGGTGTGTGCTTGATGGTTTTCATTTGTATATTGTTTAGGTAAAGGATCAGACATGTTGATTTTTCATGGATGTCTTTGCGCCTATCGTTGCCAGTAGCATGAACAGGGCATCAGGCGGACAGTTTTCCTTTGAATCACATGGATAGTGACAATAGGTCTTAGTGGCAGAGAGAAAATGCACTTCACTGGCACACTGTGTTAGTGTGTGTTTTTGCTGTGTCCTCATGTGTCTCTGAAATGAGCTGATGTGTCTTTGGTTTATCTCCCTTAATTTTCAGCTCCATCAGCCCTCTGTCTTCTCCAAGAGATCCGCACAGTAGCTGTTCAGAGAGACAGCTGGGAGACCCACAACAGCGGGAGCCCAGCGGTGAGCCCCAACCAGCATGGCCAACACAAGTCATGATTTATGGTTAAGCCTGTGTAAACTTGTTTTATATGTATGTAACTATGTGTGCATGTAGCGGAGTCATGTAACGCTGCAGAGGAAACAGCATGGGACGATTCTGTCAGTGAAAATCTGGAGAAGGAGGTGCAGGAGACGCGTAAAATGGTGTCAGCTCTCCAGGTAAATGCACATGGACACTTTTTTTAGATTCTAATTCTGTAGATAGTAGTACCGTCTTTTTGGATCACGACATTCTCTCACTGATGTTCATATTTATGAGTGATATTTTTGAATTTTTGAAAAAGTTAAATGTGGTTCTGTGAACTAAAACTACTGGGAGAAGTTCATAACTGGTTATGAAACAGACTGAAATTCATATTGGTGTCTCTTTGTGTGACTTCCATCCCAGTCTATATTGTAAGTTACGGCTTCTTTATAGTTATTGTTGACTCTTGTATCCACCGCTAACCCTTTGTCCAACTGCGGGTATCAAGATCAATTCAGATTGAAAGTTCTTCACAGGAGCTTTAAAGAAAAATGAAAAGGATGCAGGTTTTTGATCCCTTTAAGGGAATAGTTGCAGCGTTTGCAAAAATACTTGCAACTATTATGTGCAAGTATATTTCCTAAAAGCATAACCCAGGTGTTAACCTCTATTAACTATCCTGCATGGGTACGTTTCAGTGCCTCTGCTGGTGGGATCACTTTGAATACTGTGACACCCCTTTACAGGAAATCTATGTGAGCTTTTTAAATGCTGTGCCTTGTTACATGTAATACATCAAACGGCCTGCTACTGCTACTTTAAGAGCTTACCTAACACAGACTTCATTACCAGCACAAACTGGTGTCACATGTCATACCCTACTTGTTTTCAAGGCTCTGCTGCTGCATGGTTCGCTGCCTGAGGATGAACAGGATGTGTCTTTGAGTTTGGACCAAGGAAATGCTGAACAGCAGCTGGTAGTGATATTCTTCCTTTTATTTTAATTTCTATTCTAGTTTCAGCTCTGTCTTCTCTCTTTCGTCTGTGGCCTTTTTCCAGCATTCGGGCTCAGTACAGATCGTATTTCTGTACCTTTACTGTGGTTAATGTGGGTGTGTGTGCTTGCTCATGTGAGTGCAGAGGGTGACACGAGTATCAGTTTCCCTTCTTATTCAGCCCATTGTTGTTCTCACACACATCACATCTCTCTCCTTCGTTCCAGGTAGTCATTCGCAGTCGTTTGGATCAGAGTATGGAGGAGGCTCAGGAGCTGAAGGTAAGGTTTCCGGTTTCCTTTTTTGATCAGTCAATTTTTCTCCATTACCTAACCAAAAGACTCACTTGTCTTTAAACTGATAGAATAAGCCTACATTACGTTGGGCTCAGTGTTCAATTCAGAGTGGGCTGTTTGCTTTCTGTGACAGAGGGAACTGCTGTGGTGTAGGCAGGAGATGAGAAACCTGCAGGGAGTCAAGGTGAGATGCAGATAAACCTGTAGTTTACGATCTTATCCCTATGTTGTGTATCATTGCAGTTGTATTAAAGAAAAGTTGCTGGCTGAGGTGATGATTTTCTGTCTGTCTCTGTCTGTGTTTGATGTGCAGGATGCTCAGCAGCAGAGGCTGTGCTCACAGGAGGCTGCAATTCTGCAGATGAAGCAAGAGTTGCTCCGAAGCAGCATGACAAAGGATGAACTCAACAACCAGAATGTATGAAAAAAGTGGCTGATATAAATCTGTTTCCCTAAAGTTAATGTAAAATATTTAAAAAATCCTATTTATTTATGGAATTATTTGTTGTAAACTATCTCCCTCTTTGAAACTGTGTGATAGGCAGAGCTGCAGTGGAAGCTGGAGGAATGTAACAGACTCTGGGCTGAATGCAAGGTCAGCCCCTTCAATCCCTTCAGTTGTTTGTTGTAACCTAGTTTAATAATCCATTGAGTTTGTATTTACCAAGAGTAAACCCTGCCTCTCTGTTGGTTGATTGCAGAAGGAGATTGGACAGAAGGACAGACAAATGCTGCAACTTAAACACAAGCTTGAAGAAAGCCAAAAAAAGCAGGTATATTCGCTAAAGTGAACTAAAAAGGTTCTGTTCAGTTCAATGTCACGGGTTAAAATCTCATACAAAAGGTTAATCATCACCTTTCTTTTGTAAATGATCCTCACACTCTTCTGTTACAGTTTTTCTTTCATCAGCAAATTCAAAATAAAACTGACTTCCAGCAGAAAACAATTTTCTTACTTTTCTCTTGTCCGATTAACTGGTTACATTAATAACTTGGGGGTAAAGATAAGATATAGTATATTTTAAGTTCTATTTATCTTGCAGTTTTATTTGAGTTCTGATGTCTGTGTCTCTGTTAACAGAGTGACTTGCAAAGACAGTTTGAGCATAAAAACAGCGTACAGCAGGTAATAATGTTTTTAAAAAGGTCTTTCTTTATCAAATCCTTATAAACAAAAGATTTCTGTTTGGATACTTTGGATAGCAGATATAAATACAGAAGCATGTTTCCTTGTTTACACTTTTTTTTGTTTGTCTAGATTCCTTCTACCACAGAAAACAATGGATATTCTTACTCTGGAAATGCAGCCCCTTCTTTGTCAGATGTGAGTATTTAGTTAGCTCGTTATTTCCTGGTGCTAAAAATATTTCATAAACACACCCTTGTTACATTTTACAGTAAATGCTCATATTCTACTCCGACTATTTTATCATGATTTTATTCCGTACAGTATGAGAAATTGCTTGTTTAATAACCTTAAAAAGCAGTATAATACCTTGAATGGAGTTGTTTTTGAAAGTTCTGCATCCAAAGGGCATCATTTATTCTTAATATACACAAAGTGCCTTTAATACTTCAACAACTCAAAGCTGTTGATTGTTAAAAAGCACTTTTTGTGTTTGTTGTTTTAGCAGGCAGAGGAGGTTCAGCTGCTCCGAGATGCACTGAAGAGTTTGAGGAACAATTACAGAGACCATGACCCACAGCACCACACACTGGACACACTGGAGCAGGGCATAGTATCACTCATAGACAGAGTGCATGTTCTGCATACGCACAACAGGGTACTAAAGTCTTGACACGCAAACAAAACAGGATTTTTTCAAAGTAAAGACAAAATAGCTTTTTTTCCAGCCATGTGATATTGGGACTGCTGCATAACTGATACCAGTCTGAAGGCTTTTGCAAAAGTTAAATAGTAAAAAACTGACTTATGGTGTTTATGACTCTGCAGGGAAGAGGGAAATCTCCCAGACGCAAAAGTCAACATGTAGAGTCTGACTCTTGGCCTTGCACAAGTAAGTTAGTCTCAAATGCATCCACCAAATAAACAAGGAAGCATTCACAGATTTTTTCCCCTCTACTAACATTTTTTCTGGTCATTACAGAGGTTTGTAACTCCAACAGTGGTTCATCCGGCACCACAAAAATCCTTTATTTTACTGGGAAATCCTCAACACCCTCCATGATTAATATACCGAAGAGGTTAGTGCATGTGCAGACACTGGACTGCTCTCTTTCTGAAACATTATATTATGTTTAAGAACATTTCATTTTCATAATGCGGTTTACTGGGAAGAATGAGTCATGTAACACAAAAAATACAAGGAATAAACAAGGAGTAACAGAAAACTTTTTTACACACCACAAAGGCTGGGTGAGGTAACTCTCAAGGATGTGAAGGCAGCTGTGGATCGAGAGGGAAACTACAGGTACCACTTCAAGGCCCTGGACCCTGAGTTTGGCACAGTCAAAGAGGAGGTGAGAGAGGGAACAAAAAGATAATTTAACGCTTTTCTGCTGAAAACTTTTTGTGTTTTGGGAAAATAGTTACTGTACACCATGTACCCCTAGCTTATATTTTCAGCTGGATTCAAGATGTCCAATTACAAAGTCTGTTGTCTTTGTTTTGCTCCAAATATGTGAACATAAATAATTTGAAAGATAGGAGCTAGTTTGTCCTTTTGTGCTCAGGTATTTCATGATGGAGCAATCATTCCAGGGTGGGAAGGAAAAATCGTGGCCTGGGTAGAGGAGGACCGTGGTGATGAAAGGTAACAACATGTTTATTCTGCATCCATTTTTATGGTCTGGACTCTTACTGTAAAGCAACACGTGATCTTTTCTGTTAAAGACCGTTGTAGGTTCAAGCTGATGGGCCACGACACTTTTGGTTTTTGCTCCTGGTTGCTCTGATCGACGACATCAACACAGCTGCTTACACGAGAAGCACAAGCCAGGATCTTTCATGGGTTTTGATTGAAAGAGAAATGCTCAATGACAGTAAGCAGTAAAACTGGAATGATTATCTGGTCATGTACCGGACTTATAACCTTACACACTCTGAGAATATCACGACTCTGTAACTTGAGTCCAGAATATCCAAGAACTCAGTGCCTTAAAGAAGGAAATCAGTTTCCACCATATGGTTTACATTCCTAATATGGAACTGTACTGTAAACATAGTAGAAGAAAGATCATTTGAATCATTTGTTCCAAATATTTCAGAAATGTGTTTTTTCACCTGTAGTTGAACTCAGAGATTTGTACAAAGTGAAAGTCATTGTTGAATGTTCTGTATTCCTCCTCAAACCTTGTGCAGCAGCAAACAAAAACAGGTATGCAAGTGAATGACTGTCTAAATTTTAATATGAAGTCAATTTACAGTTTTCTGTCTGCTGTCAAGATATATGAAAATTCTTTTGATTGAGAAAATTTTTTTTAAAAACTCACAAGAAAATGAAACAAGCTTTGAACAACATTTAGTTTATCTTAACTGTGATCTACTGCTGTCAAATTGCCCCCCTATATCACAAAATCAGGTTTATGTTGATAGATATCAAAGGAGGATGTTTTTCACATAGACCATTTATACTATGAAGGGTTCAAACCCAGATGTGGATTTTGATGAGTTTGTAAAATGTATATTGACAAAGCACAGTCCAACTGAACTGCTGCCAGTGAATTGAAATGATGCTGCAACTTGTTCATTTTCACACAGATAGGCAGATAAACAGCACTGTTATGTTTTTATTCTTCTGCAAAGTTATATAAAATGGTTTTATTGTAACCTGTATATATTTTTTCATTTTATATCATAACTGTTAAAAGAGAGGGTTATATGAGCTGAGAACATCTCTACTGTTTAAAGAAGATGTGAAAAAAATTTGTCCTTTGAAATTCAAGCAGGCTTTTGCCCTGGAATAGTGGCTGCTGCCTCAAGTTATGGTTTGTTTGCATCTTTGTGTAAGAGGTCAGATATTAATGCCACAAGAAAAGTCATCTCCTGTTTGGAAATAGATTTACAGTCCTAGTTTTAGGCTATTTTCCAAATCCCCAGAGGTCAGTGCAAAAGAAATAGACAGGTTAAAAGTACTTCTTGTTTTGCATTTGCCTTCCTGTTGTAGGATGCATTTGTTTGCCTTCACTAACAAGCCAAGAGAAATATGCATTACTAGATTTATTTGATTGCCATAACTGCCTGTGCTGAAAAAGTGTGGTGTTTGATTGAGACGGTTATTTAGCATTTGTTTTGGTGTTTTTGGAATCTTTTGCAAACTGTGTATTGTCTGCTTGAACAGCCTCTGACAAGTGTTAGAAAAACATTTTACAATAAAAACTCAATATTTTTTTAAACAGATGTTTTTGTGTATTTTGTGTTGAGTCTCAGCTGTTCGATGGAGTGATGTGTTTTTACTTTGTTTTTTTTCAGTTCATGAGTAATAAACAGATATTCGAGTGAGAAAATATATTAACTGTGAAATAATGGGAATGTAACAGGGCTTGACACAAACTTTTTTCACAAGGAGCACATGTGCTCCTGAGTTGAAAAAGTACGGAGCACACAAAGAGCTTTAAGAGCACAATGAAAATTGATCAAATAATGTGTGTCTTATTGGTCAACACAAGTACTGTTATTTGAAAATAATTTTAGGTCAATTGGTCACGTGACATGGAAGCTATTGAGGGAAAACAGCCTTTTTTGAGAACATCAACCGGTAATTTATTGATGGTCCCTTATTCAACACCCGACGTTGACAGCGAGGATGCTGAGATTTAGATTTAACCGTGCTGCTGTTGCTATTCCCGGTAGTGATGGGCACAGCAGCTCTTTTAGATGTAACTTGTTTATAAGTCATGATGTTTTAAGCATACTGTCCTACGGTATGCTGTTTATTAGGTGTGCTCAGTAAATTGGGCTCAGTAAGTGATTCGTTCACTGAATGTTCAGAAGAATTCACCCTGAACATGCACCGCTCCCTCTCGAACCGCTGCAGTGATAGGATGCTGCGGGTTTTATGCACTACTTCTTACATCCTGTGTCCTATTGTATGCAAGTTGTTGTGGTGGCGATTTAGCAGTAAAAAAAAAAAAGTTAGTTTTGTCTGACAAAAATGATTTCAGAGAGTGTAGTTTAATGCGTGATTCGTTTACCATGTGATTCAGGCATCGGTGCATGCAGTCCCTCATTTGCCAGCTGCTTGCCTGGCAATGCTGTGTGCTATAGCAGCTGTGTTGCTGAACTCAACTGAAGTAAGAAACGAACGAATCACTTGAGGAATTTATTCGGTTCAGTACGTTCAGTTAAAAGATTCGGTTCTTTTGAACAAATCGTTCGCGAACGACACAACACTAATTCTCGGTTATGGAGTGTTAGAAGACACCGATAGATCCTTGGTGACGAAAAACTAACTTCACCGCGGCATTTACATAAAAAAATATTTGTTACCACGGCTGATTTTCTTTATAAACAAATGTGCCCCTAAATACATTTTACAATTGGCACACATCTATTTTTAGTCGCAAATGTGAGTGAAACGGTCGCACTGTCGAGCCCTGTGTAAGTGTGAAAGAGTGCTAGGTAAATAAATTCGTATGGTGTTGTGATACAGCAAAAAGTGCTTCATAAATCACAAAACTGGTAAACTACAACAGATTCTAGCAAAGTTAAATAAAACAGAGAGCATATAATGGCCTGGATGTCAAACAATTTACTTGTGAACAATGAATCTATTAGATTTATGCCTGACATGAGGCCATATCAGTTTTTTTTTTAACTCAGATTATTTTATTTGTGATGTGTAGTTATTGGACATTTTGTACTTTCCTTTATTTTTACTGCCTCCAAGTGGTCACTGTTTGTAATTACAAATGAAGTAAAACATAATCTTGCTGCTCTCTATACTAAACTGTAAGAATAAAAAAATTGGGTTAAGACAGGTGTCTCGTTTTTTTTTTTTTTTTTAAATTTTCGATCATTTGTTATTTGTTCTGATCAGAGTGATGGTGCTCATTTTCTCTTCGGACTGAGGACCGACGGTTTACGGCGCCTAATTCGACGGCGCGACAGGACAAGCGGGAGAGCCGTAAAGTGTGGTGTTTTGGACTGGAGGAGGTCATTAGAAAGTGAGGGGTAGGTACGGGCCGGCTGCTGAGGCACAGAGACTTTAGGTACCAGCGTATCTCTGATGCCGGAGTAAGATAAATACATTATTCAACAGCCTCGTGTAGTGTTTCAACCGCTGCGAAATGCTTCGTCTCATCCTGCGGCTCAGGCCGTCCGCCGGGCTCTCCTGTCCCCGTGCCCTCCCGACTGGGCCTGCTGCGCTCAGCTCTCGCTCCGTTCCCGGAACCGGCCGTCTGAGGCGGCTTCACTGCGGAGCGGGGTCCCGGGCGCTGTGCTTGTCCACCAGCCTGAACCACAGAGCGACCCTGCTGCGGTGTCCCCAGCTGGCAGGCAGCGGTCAGAGCACGCGCTTCTACAGCCTGCCGCCGCACCAGAAGGTAACGTTTCCTGACCGGTTGCTATAGCACCAACGTTAAAGGCACAGCTAGCATGACCTCCCCTAGCTAGCATCAGGTAGCACTGACATGTACCAAGCCTACACTGCCACGCCTTCAAAGGTTAAATCCAGCTTTGGCAGGCGTTTTAGACCGCAAATTAAACCTTACAAAAGTTTCCAGCAATAAAAGTCAACAGAAAACTGTCAGTTTCCTGTCATAACATGTTAACGCCGAAGGCTTTCAAGTAACGGGCTACATCTGTCATAAGATGTCAAAGTAAAACCCCCAGTCTCAAGAAAACAGCGTCTTCAGAGTCAGTTAAATTTACTGTCGATATTTCCCTACATTTCTATTTAATTGTTGAATCTATTCCGTACAGCTCAGGGATGTGTCTTTGCTGTTTGTAGGTCGGAAGTTCAGCTGTGGAAGTGTTGGTGGTTTCACCTTCATATTAGGGCTGGGTGATATGGGGAAAAATTTATCGCAATATATATTTTTTCATATCAGTCAATATTGATATATATCACAATATAAAAAATGAAATTTAACTGTGTGTATTGTCTTTTTCAAAACAATAAGCTACTGCATCTGTGAGGTCTTTGTGTCTCTTCAACATTTTGTCGTAAGGCGTTGTGTTAGAGAAAGTGGCTGTTTTGGCTGTTTTGGGCTCCTTACTCCGCTCGGGGTTTGTAACCTTTTGCGTTACGCGTGGTCTGCCGTGTGGCACTGCTTCAGGTGATGAAAAAGATTTGAGGTATTTCCCGGCTGTGCGAGAAAATGTACTCGATATAATTTGCAGTGCACATTACTCTGCTTCATGTCCAACCTAAAAAAAAACAAAATACCTCCACACCACCAACGTTTTTGTGCCAGTGTTGTTGAAGATGTCATCATCTGTGGAGCCTTTACTGCATTTCTGCCGGGCGTAGCACTCATTTTCTTTTTTCCTCACTGACAGTGCTGTTGGCTTCACGTGTTAAAATGCTATGGCCCCCTTTTCATTGGCTATTTGTATAGTCTACCAAAACATGTCAGAATGCCGCCTATTGAAAAGCACGTTGACCATGTTTTATATTGATATTGAGCGGAATAAATTTTCGATATATTTCGTTATCATTTTATCGCCCAGCCCTACCTCATATCATGGCCAGTGTGTCAAACAAAAAGGTGCATTGCAAAAAAATAAGAAAGAAGAAAATACAAGCCATAATCTACACCCTCATTCCAAATCCAGACTTGGGTGTGTCAATCTAATTATCATTATGCATTCCACAGAGAAGGTACAATGCTTCAGCAAATACACATGAAGCTTAAGGTCATTTCACATTTGGCATTCCTCAGCTTTGATATCCTTTAACTATGTCCAATAAACCCCATATACTGTTATTTTAAACAGACTATGAACATGTAGTATGTAACACAATGCCTGGTTGAAATAAAGTATCAGCTGCAGGTGTGCTGTATCTCAGGACCCCTCTCCAAAATTGAGCGGGCCCCTTGAGGCACTGACAGCGCATGTTTGTCTGCTATCAGATGTAATATGACCTCAAACAAAAAAGATGTGGTGAAATGCAGTTGTATGCGGGTCATTTGTTGATTTAAGGAATGAGGTGATGATGATGTAGTAACTGCGGTGACAACACCTGATAGTTACCACTATTTGCAAAGCCCCATCATGAGGCTTCAGTGATGATACTTTGGAAGTAATTGTGGCGAACTTTAATCAAATACTCTTTCTCATCTATGTGTCTGTCACATGACCTCAGTGCTGTATTTTGTTTTGGTCAGGTGGAACTTCCTGCGCTGTCACCCACCATGCAGACAGGAACGATCGCTCGCTGGGAGAAGAAGGAAGGGGATAAAATCGGCGAGGGTGACCTTATAGCTGAAGTGAGGGGCCATAGTTGTGAATCCATTATACTGTAGAGATTCTTCACAACACACTTCTTAAAACATGTTTCTGCCTTCTGTAGGTGGAGACTGACAAAGCAACTGTAGGATTTGAGATGCTGGAGGAGTGCTATCTTGCAAAGATCCTGGTTCCTGAAGGGACCAGAGATGTTACTGTTGGAGCAGTAATCTGCATCACAGTAGACAGGTGAAAACTGCTTTTTCATAGTTGTGCTCTCAGTAATTCATTTACAACATATTGTTCTCATTTTGTTTGGTTTTATTGGATATGTTTTATTTCCCCCCTGCAGCCCTGACCTCATCCCTGCTTTTAAGGACGTCACGTTGGACTCTCTTAAATCAGCAGGTGCAGCTCCCTCACCAGCTGCCTCTGCTCCTCCTCCACCTCCACCTCCTTCTGCTGCTGCCGCTCCCCCTGCCGCCCCTGGCAGCTCTTACCCTACACACATGAAGGTAGGCATGTTCTTCCATAAACACACAACAGTTAGGTGCAGAGTTGTTGCAGAGTTGAGTTTTGTAGGGGCGTGTTTGCAGACACAGAGGCTCGTAGCCACACCTACAGTTTTATCAGGGTTGTTTAGTCTGATGATTTGCTTTTACAAGGTCACGGTGTGTGTCACAGGAAAAGAGTTATTTGGTGACATTGTAGCTTTGTGTGTGACTTTACAACCAAAGTTATCTTCAAAGTTTAAAGACTACTTAGAAGAATCTTCTCAAATCTAACTGCTAAGTGAAGACCACCAGAGAACAAGCTGGACAGCACCAAATTTGTTCAAGGATTGTCTGATTTTCTTGCAGCCATAACAGATTTGGGGCTGTAGAGATTCAACTCATTTTTGGTTTGTATTTGTGTGTGTGTATGTGTGTGTTACAGATCACACTTCCTGCCCTCTCACCCACTATGACCATGGGGACAGTGCAGCGCTGGGAGAAGAAGGTGGGAGAGAAGCTGAGTGAAGGAGATTTGCTGGCAGAGATTGAGACAGACAAGGCAACCATTGGTACAGACTGTCTCTGACACCTCAGTACCAAAAATAAAATCAGATGATGATATTAATGTTATGTCATTTTGGATTTGGCAGATTTGTTTTTATGTATTATGGGATGTGTGATGTGTACCAGCTCTCTGTATTACATACAGATGCATAGTTCACTTTGTTCAACCGGCTCCTCATCTGTATTTGGTCGCAGGCTTTGAGGTGCAGGAGGAGGGATATCTTGCCAAAATCATGGTGGCAGAGGGAACTCGGGATGTTCCACTAGGAACACCACTCTGCATTATTGTAGAGAAAGAAAGTGACATCGCTGCCTTCAAGGATTATGTGGAAACTGGAGTGGCAGAGGTTTCCACACCACCTCCAGCCCCAGCTCCCACCCCAGTAAGATGCCATTGAGACTTACCTCCAAATATAAGCTGACGTTTGACCCTGTTCTACAAATGTGATGGGAATCTTTTATTTTTATTTATTTATTTTTTCTTCAATATTACAGGTTGCAGCTCCGGCAGCACCCACACCTGCACCCACAGCCGCTGCTCCAGCAGCACCCAGGAAGGGTCGTGTGTTTGCAAGCCCACTCGCCAAAAAACTTGCTGCTGAGAAAGGGATTGACTTGGCACAGGTTGCCGGTGAGTAACCAAGATAGAAGTCACTATGAAAAAGTTAGGTTGTGTGATATTCTACAGCCAGAGTCAGGGAATAAAATGACTTAACATTTGTTTGTTTTACCTGTCCAGGCTCTGGTCCTGATGGGCGCATCACCAGGAAAGATATCGACAGCTTTGTCCCACCAAAGGTTGAACCTGTAAGTGAAAATGAAGAATCACTATTCTATCCATTTGGAATGTTAGATAAGGGTCACAAGTACAGATTCCAGAACTAATTTTTTTTGGCCTTTGCAAGTTTCTTACATTCCTGTGAATTTGGACTGTAGGACATCCAAACTGAAGAATGAGGAGACCTTGAATGAAATTTCAACTTTGTCCAGATAAACTGAATACAATACCTTAAAAAGTTAACTCTTACATTGTGGCAAATATTGTCTCCATTTTGGTATTTACTTTCAAGCGCTTCTAAAAATTCTGATTTTTTCCTCTGCTATTCAATTTGAATGTAAAGAAAATGATTTCTGTTGGCAGGCGGTCACTGCTGCTCCTACTCCTGCTGCAGCCCCGGCCCCAGGTGTTCCTGCACCTGCTGCAGTTCCAGCTGCACCAGCCGGCACCTTCACAGACATCCCTATTAGCAACATCCGCAAGGTGAGCGTGCACACGCATATACCAGACCTCTGGTGGCCTCTTTTGCTGTTGGCAGATGTAATGTTCAATACAGCCTCTCTGTGCTGGGTTTGGTGCTGATGTGTTAAAAGATGTGGGAAAAATCTCTTAGCTGGATTTTCACAGTGTAGTTTGTAGTTTGTTGTCTCTAACCTGATGACAGTTTTAAGTTATCGCACTGATTTTGCCTGAAGAAAGGAACTCAGAATTTATCAGCACTATTTTGGACCTCATTTCTATGAAGAACTCCGGATCAAAGCTGAAAGTGCACGTTTGCGTCTTCTCTGCAGGTCATCGCTCAGAGGTTGATGCAGTCCAAGCAAACTATCCCCCACTATTATCTGTCTATAGATGTTAACATGGACCAAGTTCTCGAGCTTCGGAAAGAACTCAATGCCGTGAGTTTCACTGTGTAGATCATAGCTGGATCAGGTACAGTACAATATTTGGATTAGATCATTCACAGTCTTTAAAATCTCACGCCTCTCTGCAGGAAGTAAAGGCCCAGAATATCAAGCTCAGTGTGAACGACTTCATTATCAAAGCCAGCGCTCTGGCTTGCCTCAAGGTTCCTGAGTGCAACTCTTCCTGGTTAGACACGGTTATCCGGCAGTAAGTAAACACACTCTGAGTGGATTGTACAATCACGTGTTAATGTTGTTCCATTACAAGATACAATTAAGTGTTGCTTTCTGAAATTACTACAGCCCTGCTCTAAGATTTGACCTTTTTATGGCATGCAAACTTTAACAGTTAATCCTCCGTTGTCATCTTCAAAATCTGCTCATCTACTACTTAAATTACAACTTTAAATTCAGGAAAAAAGCTTTATGTTATTTGTATTTTCCCCCTCTGTGTAAGATTAAGTTCTGTCAAAATGTAGCTGCTCTCTTGTGCCAGCAGATGGCACAAACAGCACAGAAATCACCCCCTTTCTTCTCAGATCAAAACAAAGTCACTTTTGCCACTTCATGTGCTGTAATTTGTATTGACCTATTTGATCATTTTTTCAGGAGCCACGTGGTGGACCTGAGCGTAGCGGTGAGCACAGCCAACGGTCTTATCACGCCCATAGTGTTTAATGCCCACACCAAAGGACTGGCTGCCATCAGCTCTGATGTGTCAACTCTTGCTGCCAAAGCAAGAGACGGGAAATTGCAGCCACACGAGTTCCAGGTGTGACGCATTATCTGATCCTGAGTTTGAGTTTCAATCAGAAAGCTATGATGTATGTGATTACTTATTTAATCAGGAAATCAAAGCGGCTGACCTTATTGTATGTGGGTTTTGTTATCACCAGGGAGGTACATTCACCATCTCTAATTTGGGAATGTTTGGCATCAAGAACTTTTCAGCGATTATTAACCCTCCTCAGTCCTGTATCCTCGCCGTTGGAGGCTCAGAAAAACGCCTGATGCCTGCTGATAATGAGAAAGGGTTAGTGTCATTACTACAATGCAGCTGTAAATACTGCATCTTTTAAAGAAAAAAAATCAGAGTCCATGTTTTGGTTTTGCAGGTTCGATGTGGCCAACATGATGTCTGTGACGCTGAGCTGTGACCACCGGGTGGTAGACGGAGCGGTCGGTGCACAGTGGCTCGCAGAGTTCCGCAAGTTCCTGGAGAAACCTGTCACCATGCTGTTGTGATTGGACTGTACTGCTGTGAAAAAAAAACAAAACACTGCAGCATCAGGCTCAGGCCTCTCACTGAAGTGATCTGATTCGTATAAAACCAGTCCAGATCCTCCTGTGATTGGCCGGCCTGCAACCAGGTCACTCCCAGATACCCTGAAAAGGAGAGGCAGAACTCACTCCGCTTACCTGTCTGTCTCTCTGGTCTGCCTCTCTCTCCTCAAGTTCTCTCTCTTTCTCTCTCTCTCTCTCTCTCTCTCTCTCACTCGTGTTCTATTTATTGACGCCCCTTCTCATGACAGACCAGAATTAGGCATACTTTATCCTAGAATAGAGACTGGCTATAAGTCACTTAAACAGTGATGATGTTTTGCAAAGGGAAGTGTTACATGTCCAACCAGCGAGCAAATTAATCACAACACCTACTGGTTTGTGTGTGTTTGTGTTTGTCAAACTTTTCTCACTGAGTTTGTGTGAATGTCATAAAGACAGCAGGGATTGCAGCTGATTGCAGGTTCCAGTCTTTGGGTACAGGGATGTGATATATATATTTTGGTCTGCTTGCAGGCAAGAGAACGGCTTTAAATGAAAGTGAACCTTAAGATACACACAAACCAGATCTACACACTCACACAAACCTTTCCCTGTTCAGTGGACTAACACATACAATGAAATATTAAGTGTGTTTTTTGTGGGTTGATGCTACAGTGTGTATACTTCTCACTGTGGCTGCGCTGTAAATACAGAGGTATTGGTTGGAATAACAAAGCTCTGACAAGGCCTTGGTAAATATTGAAGATCTGTACAGTCCAAAAATGACAGTAAACGCTCCCAAAGGAAGTGCTGAATAGTTTTATCCAACTCACTCTCTCTTCTGTGAGGATGTTTTATCGTTCTCATTCTCAAAGTAAAACACTCACCTTCGAAATATCCTGTATTTCACGGCTGAAACGCACAAAGCTGGTGCTGGATGTTATTTGTTTGTTTTGAATAAATTGGGAGGTCAACCTTGAGACACCTGGGTTTGAGTTTTTGTGAAATAATTTTAAGACCCCAAAATTACAGCAGTTAAAAACAATCTCAAGAACATTTTCATTTCAATCTCCAGACAAAAAAAAAACCAAAAAATAAAATAAAAAATGACACGGTCTAACTTTTTTCAATCTGTACCACATGATGAATTTGAAAAGTCAAAATACACGTCTGTAGTTGGCCTTCATATCTACACATGTACTTTCACACAGAGCTAAAATATTAATGCATATTTATAAAGGCACACACAAAATAAAGAAACCAAGCACCGAAAAGGCTGGCTAAAGCTGACTACTTTTTTTGTGACCATTTCATAGTTTTGGTTTAGTTCTTCAAAACTTGTACATGTTGTTATAGTTTAAATCTGTTAGTCCCTTTTTAAATCAGTATCTTAAATTGCTTGATTGAAGAAGGGAAAAGATGAATACGTCATGAGCGCGGACAAGCTGTATCCTTGTAAGGCAACCCTCTACTGTCTATGCAAAGACATATGCCTCAATGAGATTACTACAGATTTGAAAACTTGAGATGATCATACGTTGCTCCCAGCTCAAGCACCATCTTTCCCTGAGCCAGTTTCACCTTTAATGGGTTTTAACAAACATGGTTTTGTAGCACTGGAAAATCCCTACTGCTATTTATTGGGACCAAAGGACATTAACAAGAAACTACAAATTTATCTAGTCTCAGATGTAAAAGTAAATAAATAATGATCGTCCTCGTGCTCTTATATGAGTCACATTAAATCTGACATATGTTGAGTAGCTTGAATTTCAGCTCTTGTGGCTTCACTGTTGGCCAACATGTGACACTGGGCTGTGACTGGTGAGGAGCACCAAACTAGAGCGTATTCAGATTATCACTGGAGGACTTGGCTGGCTGATGGACTTATGTGAGTCATGAATAAGTAACATTTTTTATGTTAATCCATCAAAAGGCGGAGATGATGGCATTTTGTTTAGCCCACAGGTCATAGCTGGATGATGTCTCTATCACACATGAGTGGCTGTGAGTGTCAAAAACTAATCTCTGAACATTTACTTAGATCAGTGACAAACTTGAATCTTGTACTGCCAGGAAAACATGAAGCACTGAACTCATAAATGAAAACATATTTTTGAACAAGGAAAGAACTGATTTGTCTCGTAATTTGGGCGAAATCTCCTCTCAGACAAACATCTTCACGCTCAAAATCACACCCCTCTGCTGCCAATCATGACCATTTCATTTCATTCTTTGCCAACCTCAAGTCACCTCTCTCCCTAAATGCACTCTAGTAAACTTGTAAATATCAGATCTGTTAATAACAAACATTTTTGTGTCGTCATTTGATCTCTAATAATAACTTAAGTCAAAGTTATAAGCCCCCGTGTTAATTTTAATCATATATAGACCATGCAAGCCTATCAAAAAATTCTCTAACCTTTTATCAAATCTTATAACTCTCCATCTCAAGATTTATTCTGTTTGTTTCCAACACTGAACAAATGGATGGAGCTGCACAGCCAGAGAGCCAACAACAGGATAAACATCGAAAAGATTTGCTGGACAAAGTCAGAAGTTTGAAACCCTCAGACGCCCATGATAGGGCCCAAAGTTTTTCTGCTGATCCAGAAGAAAAGGTGATTACCTCAGCCCCCAGGAAAATCACCTGCCCAGCTCCCACAACCATGATGTCTCGCCTCTCAAAGGCCAAGAGGGATTTGATGTAGCTGAGGCAGGTGGACGGGGCGGCAGAAAGACTCCTCAGTGAAAGAGAAAGTCATTAAGAACATCTCAATCCCTGAGATGAGGTCCTCCTCGAGTTCTGGAGACAGCAGACACAAAGGAGACCTGAAGGCTCTACCACCCAGACCTCTTCCAGAAGCTTTAAGCAGGCCTGACTGCAATGTTCTGCTGGGGTAATGGAGAACTAAGAGCTCTTTCAGATATAATTGTTCCTGAACATGGAGAGCTCTATGTTACTCCAAATCATTATCAAATGTTTTCATCATTTTCTATGTAGAAACTGCAGATATAGACAGCACACTTGTTGGACCACAAGCGAACCCCCTACAGCTGCCATTATGGAGGAACTCCGATTACATAATCTTCTTGCACCTGTCAAAAAAAAAAAATCCTCCTTTAGTCACTTAAATCTAGTCAGAAAGGGGGTGAGAATAATGTGAGAGAGAAAATAAATGAGGGTGGGGTTGTTTGGTGGCTACGCTCGATAGATTACTCATGCATGCCTGGTTTTTTGGCCAGCAGCTTGTGCGGCTCTCTGTGTTCGCTCTCAGCGATGGGCTCTGCTGGAAGATGGATGCTGCTCACCCTGTGCGTGTGTTTCAGCACTCTGGAGAACTGTGAGTACGTCTGTGTGCCGTCTTAAGCTTTGACACCAATTCAGTGAGACATGGTGAGAAATATTGCTAAATTTGTTCATGCTGCCACAGCTTCAAGTGACTTCAGGGGGGTATGTAAAGTATGAGAAATTGTTGATTTTGGTTGCAAATCCTCATACCAATTCAAGAGAAAAGAGAGTGTTTTTTTCTATTGCTTGATTGCTTAAATGACATAGGATAATCCAGAATGTGCACTGGAAATGTTTAATGTAGACATTACTCAAAACAAATATGCTCCATATCAAGACTGAAGATCTGTATCTTTCAGAAACATGTTAAAAATGTCCATTGTAATTTTTTAACAGAAAAAAATCTACTGGTAATATTTTTGGATGATGCCAATTTTAAGGTTTTAACCCTATAATACCTGAAACCACAAATTATGGCCAGAAAATGCAATTTTTTCTGGAAAACCAAAAAAATCAAAATTTTACAAATATATTTATTTATCTCGTTTGATGCATCAGATGTTTTTGGAAACTGATAATCACAAGAGGGCATTTTTATCATTTATTGGACTGTGTTAAGATGTTTTTTTTTTAGTAATTTGTTGATCATATTGATTGATAGAAGTATTATAAAAGTATGTATGCAATATAATACAGTCAATAAAGGGTTGAACAAAAAAATAACACTGGACTAATGACCTTTATTAAAATTAGGACCCAACCCTCAAAGGAAGCTCCTCATTTTTTATGAAGTCTTAGAATAAAACTCCCTGACAGGCATTTATTACAGTTTCTTTTGTCACAAAGCCTTTGCTTGTTTTTATAAATGTCTGTTTTTTTGACATTTTCACAAACTGATAATCTACACAGAGACAATGTCATTTATTGACAGTGTGTTTTCATCCCAGTGAAGTAGGCTGTTGTTCCACTCAGTCTGTGACCGGTTTGGCTTACACTCAAAACTGTCAAGTGTAATTAACAACCAATATGCAGACCGAATTCCCACACACACACCACAAAAGGCCTGGGGATGACAGCGAAGAGGGGGGAGGGTTCATTATTTCAGTAATGAAGGAGGAGAGGGAGGAGAGCTGCAGTCTGCACAACAGAAAGGACAACCAGTCAAAACAGAAAATGAAGACATGAATCCTTCATTGAGGGGCTGCTTGTGCCACATCCCAGATACGTGCTGTCTCACTTTTGTCTTCCCTTTTTTTTATGAATGGTTATCCCCACAGTGGCACTCAGGGTGACCATGAGGGAATCCAGTCTCAAGGTGGTCCAAGGAGATTTCGTTATCTTACCCTGTTCCTTCTTCACCTCCAGTCCCCTCTCCAGACTCAATGTCATCTGGACGCTGGCTCCTTTCTCCAGTCCAGAAACCCCAATACAGGTCTGAATCCTGTCACACACTCACATACACTTCTGTTTGGTCCTCTCATGCTCACCAGGCCGCTGCTTTTTAAACTGAATGGATCACAAGTTTTTGGTTACAGATTCAGTGGAAGTATGAGCCAAAAATCAACCTATAACAGAACACAAGTTTTCAAACCGCTTCTCTTAATATCCAAATCAAACACACCACCACCACAGCAAACAGATCATCTGATTATTACGAATCCCTTATTTACCTCTAGGTGATAGTGTACGACCATGGACAGGTGATTGAAGACCCCACCCTGATCGGCAGGGTGGGTTTTACAGGTATGACCAGTGTTACCCTTTTCATATGAATTTAGTTCTGAGATGTTGTTTTAGAACCCTGCAGAGATTAGCAGGAAAAATGATATTAACTCCACGTTCACTATCTGAAGGTATCCCCTGGAGTGCAGACATCGTGCTGAATGACACTCGAGTATCAGATGCAGGTATATATCGCTGCATGGTCAATAACCCACCAGAAACAGCAGATCCCGGCATCGGAGAGCTGGAGCTCAGCATCCTGGGTATGTTGGTGCGTCACATATCACACAAACTAGATAGTAGATAAATAGATAGATACTTTATTTATCCCTGAGGAAATTCATTATCAATCTAGCAGAGGTGGCTAGTTCAGAGGCTATTTCATTATACTGTAAACTCTGAATGCATCAGTGTATCATTTTTAGATTTTAGACAACACAATGAGGACATCCTTAATCCTATCTGCCATGGGGTGTAGTAAAAAAAATTACATTGTACATACACTTCTAAGTTGTACTATCTGTCCAGTATATGTTATAATCAAGACCCAAACAAATGTATTAATCCTTAAAAAGTTGGCCTTTCCCTATTACCCAATTTTCCCAAGAGTTTGATATTTGAGAGAGAGAGAAATTCCTCAAAAATACCTGAACAATTGTCAAACAGTGTGGTGCACAGATCTATTATCTCAAAAGGATCAACCGCTTTAACTTGGTGATCCCCAAACTCAATTTCTGGTGTGTATCATCACATCAAAGTTCAATTTCGCAGTGGTTTTGTTTGACGTTTGATATTCTACAGTGCTAGTTAGAAAGAAAGAATGCTGGTTTATACACTTAAACAGTTTTATTTGAATGGAAATAGTATCACACTTAAGTGGCTTTGTTATCAACTTTGTTATCACAGTGCTAACATCATTTATCTTGAAAAAACTTCTTTTATGAGAATCAAAAAATTTCACGCTTAAGAAATTTGTGTGATTATGTCATAGCACCACCCTCACTTCCTGAGTGTCAGTGGGATGGAGACATCGATGTTGGGGGAAGTGTCACCTTGTCCTGTTCAGTGACCGAGGGTGTTCCCACTCCAGACATTCACTGGGAAAAAGTCAATCCAGAGGAAATCCCACTTCCTGTAAATATGGAAGGTAGGTGTTACACACAATCACACACAAACAAAGAGAGGGAGTCTTTACTTCACGTCTTTCCATGCGTCCAAAATATAGTATAGAAACCAGTCTGCAGTGCTCCAAGTTTCCTCATGTTTAGCTACAGCATATAGCAAATGTAACAAAGACAAAAGTTGCCCTAGTTTTTTTCATAGTTGTATTTTGTTTCGCTTTGATTTTGATTTTGGCTCCCCATAAAAGTTCTTAATGGTCAGGAGTGTCACATCTTAAAGGACTCACAGTGCCCTCTAGTATCCCTCTGGTACATTACACTTCAGGCTCACTCATAGTGCTCATGGATAGTTTACAATGTGGACCATGTCACTTCATTTCTGCTTGTAGTGAGATGTAATTTTTTAAGTAATTTTTTTGGTTTAAGTTTCATTTTTAAAATTGATTCTTATATTTCCTATCAGTCATTCTGCACCGATTTAATACAATTTTAGGTAAATTACCTTTTTCTCTCACCGGTCTTTCATTATGAATTGTTGCTGTCTTTATTCTGTCTGGTGTGCATGAAGCACTTTGAGCTGCTTGCTTGAATGCATGACAGGTGCTCCATGAGGCTCCTTCTCAATTCTGCTAATCTAGTGCAGAACGCTGCAGGAGCTGACATGAGTCAACAGATCTGTCAGTCAGTCATCTTTCTCAAGTTAAATCACTAATTGAAAATAATCCTTTCAGAAAAAATGCACATGAATATAATCTGCATGATAAGGACTAACTACACTGAGAGAAACCATGTTTGAGAAGAAAAATAATAATTTGACTTTTATTTTATTTTTTTAGTTTGATCTGTTGACACATAATGAAGGCAGAGTTTTTTTTATCTATACTCCAACCAGTCAATAGAGGGAGCTCTAGAACTTTTGACTGCACTGTCATAGTATCCATTTTAAGATACTGTTTTCCTCAGTCCCTAAACATAGTATGGGAGGTAGAGTTTTGACCTATTAGGAATCATCAGGGTCAATGAGGGAAACCCTACCTCTATTTTCAGAGGAGGCTTGAAAAGCTCCTTTCTGGTCAAGCTAAAACTTGGTTCTGGTTCAGGCTTAAAACAGCTCTTTGTTATGAGCCTGTCTGTCTCGGACCCCCAGAGTAGCTGGTACACTGAGTTTCTGATCCTTCTGAGCTCTCTTAACTTGTACGCCCCTCTAGATTGCTGAATTCTGCTGAGGACTATTTTTCTTTAAACTTAAATCAAGAACAAGAATAAGAAGAAGAACTTTATTGATCCCTGAAGGGAAATCCAATCGTCTGTCATCTCATTTTTCATGTCTCTAAGAGTCATCTACTATTCACAGAAGAGTTGTAAAGTCTGATAGCTGTGGGTACAAAAGATCTTCTGAATCTTTCTGTCCTGCAGCGAAGAGAGAGGAGCCGTCCACCACCATTGGCCCTTTGATCCATTAAGGTGTTGTGAAGTGGGTGATCCATGTTCTTTAGAATAGTCTCCACCTTCCTCAGTGTAGATCTCTCCACCACATCCTCCACAGAGCCCAGCTTGAATCCAACCACAGAGCCAGAATAGATTTTCAAAAATTCATTTCCATCAAAGAAATGTTGACCCCCACATGTCACATTAAACGACTGTTTTCACAGCCTGTGACAAGCTAAAAAAACAAACATCAGCTCAATGACTAACCCTCTTTGCTTTCCTCTCTATCATGAAGATGATCTGTCTGGCTCGGTCCAAATCATCAATGTGTCATCTCAGACGTCTGGCCTGTATCGCTGCTCTGCCACCAACCTCCTTGGGACAGAGAACTGCTACGTCAACTTATCCATCTACACCAGTAAGTGCATCTCCACCCAGAGTCCTCTGGAGCCTTAAGTACAGGCCGTACACTGATTTCTACTCTAAGATCTACTTTGTGCCTTGGTCTGCAGCCCCTGACAGTTCCTCTGGCATGCTGCAGGGTGTGCTGCTCACCTTGTCTATGAGCCTGCTGCTGCTCGCTCTGCTGGTGCTCGTGCTGTGGCTCCACCGCACAGGGCAGGATGGAAGGAGGTGGAGGGAGCGGAAAGAAGAGGAGGAAGAGGAGTGTTACAATGAGATACGGTACACTCCGTCTCTTATGAAGCGCTCATTTGTTTGATTTCAACATCCTCTGGGATTAAAAATAAATGTTTCATCAGCTTTCAAATCAGCTTTTGTGAAGGAGCCTTGTTTCACCTTTGTTTGTACGATCTGTGCTGCTCTGCGGCATATTTTTCTCTCTCCAAAATAAAGATGTTAATGTTGTGTTTTTGTATTTACATTTGAGGACTGAATATACTATGTATAGGTAGGGTTTCCTTAAATTTCCATATTTAACCATTTGTCCATAAATGTCTTATTTAAGATGTAATCTACCTCAAATTTAAAACTTAGCATTGTGTTTTTTTTTAATCCATGATCATTTTTAACACGAAGACAGACGAGCTCTATGGTGACTATCATTGCATACATACCATAAAAATACCTTACCTGAAAGTCTCCTTCAAAGGGTTGTTTTCACAGCAGACACAGCATACTGAGCACAGGAGGTTAGTCTGTACATCATGAAACAGCTTGAGGCAGGTGAGATGAAACATAAGGCTGCTGACCCTCAGAGTCAGACTGATGTGCTGCAAAGAAGCAGCTCAGTATGGAGAGGGAACAGACTGAAGTAAACGATCAGGTGAGAGTGAAGACCGCCCTCTTCCAGCAAAGACACTTGCCTCTGCAGAACATCCAGGCTCGGTTTGTTACCATGAAAATCTGAAAATGTAAAGTTTAAAAGTCTGCACAGGAGGCAACATTTCTGTTAATTACAGTGCACAGACTGCAAATGCATTCATAAGTGAACTGCTTGCTAAACAGAAAGAGCACTTGGATAAATTCACTTTAGGCTTTAAATATCTATTTGAGGATATTTGCCGCATTGAACCACCAAACTGTGGAGTGATTATAATCTTAATAGTTTTGAGACAGGTAAAGTGCTAACACAAACCGCACACGGAAAAGGAAAATTAAATCACTCACAGCATTAATTTGCAAACAAAGACACAAAAACCTTTAATTTAAATAGGAGAAAAAAAATCACATAAAAAACTGTACAGAACATTGAACAATGACTTAAAGTTTTTAAATAAAAGACCCCTCTCCCAAAATAACTAAAATCATAAAACTATAACCAAGTGGGATGGTGTATGATACATTTTGTGCAAAAGAAGTTTGAATTGATTCTTCCCAAACTGCACGTTTCAATGTGAAGAGTGCCCCTCAGCTCCCACCTCCAATGGGTAAACACGAGTCCCTCCCCCCCGAAGCCTCAACATAGTGTCTTCAATGTAAAAGAACCCAAAGCTCCAATAATAAAATAGATTTATATTTTAAATATATATTTATATACGAAACATGCTGTACATAATATATTAGAGATTAAGAAATCCCTTTTTATTGACACCCAGGTCTGCCTGTGAACTTGTGCTTTCCTCACTCCCAGCAAACATAAAAATAATTACCATTAAAAAGAAAAACAAAAATTACTCCCTGTTGCTTTGGATACAAGATGAATGAGGAGAAAAAGAAAAACAGAAAACAGCACTGATCAGAAAGTCTGTTTTTCCTGAGTAGAGGGAGTTGCAAACAAAATTTTCAGAGGGATACAGATGCACTTTTCACTTTTTCGTATGTAATTTCTTTACAAATGACTGAAATCTTGAAGCTTCGAAAAATAAAAACAAGAAGCTTCATCGATGTGTGACCCTTGTCCAGATTCGGTCAGAAGCTTAAAGTTAAGGGAGGAAACAAAGTGATTTCAGACTAGAAGAGGCCTCTTTTGTTTTCATGTGTAACCCAGTACTAGCTCTTATTTTTGACACTCATCAGAAAAGTCCAGCAGAAGTCGATTTCTCTTTCCCTGTTTCAAACCCTGAGAACTCTGGTCTCTTTTTCAAGTCTCCTACAGGGGGGTACACCACTTCTGAAGGGTTATTTTTAGGGACAACTAGCATATGCAGGAGTTTTCATGTGACATGTTTTATGCAGTAGCAAGTGGTCACAGTAGACTGGGACGAAACAACGCAGGGGGGGACATTTGTGGCCAAATTTAGTCAGTCTTCTTCGACCACTCCTTCAAATCCTTCTTCAAAAATCTCCTTTAGCCCTCTTATCAGTGTTTGAATTTGTCTTTCACAGTGGGAGAACAAAAAGAGTGCAAGAGTGGCAAAGAAACCAAGGTCAAGTGACTTCTCAGGAAAAACTTCCAGTTATTTTACACACCAAAAAGAACAAGATCAGCCGTCGGTGAGATGATACAAACATGATGACACCAAACAAAGGGAGGGAGGGGAGGAGACGGGAGGGGAGTACAGTCGACAGAAGGCAGATTCCCAAATTCCGATATATCAGCATACAATATTGACAAACCCCGTTTAAGATATCTGTAAGACAATATTAATCAAATAAATATTCCACCTTTGCTTTCAGTATTTATTCAGCTTTGTGTGTTTCCAACTAAAACGCTGGATTTAACTGTTGTAGAGACAGCAGTAGTAGTAGTGGGTATATTAGCAGTAGCAGGAGATGCAGAAGCAGTAGTATAGAAACAGGGAGGAGAAAACAGAGCTCCCTGCACAAAGCCACCTGGGTCCCTGCTATTGAGAAAGTCATGAGCTGAGCAGATCTGAACATAGGGGGTGTTATTGATCATCCAAAGAAAACAAACTCAGTGCCCCTTAAACACCGAGGAACTCTTCAAGTAAAGTAAAAAAAAAAGGACATTCCACTCTCCAAACAAAGGCTTTTAGTTTCTAACACTCCCAGTTTGTAAGTTTGTGATCAACACAATTTCACAGATTGGAATTTTCGTCTACTCCATCCTGATATGACCACAGCAGCTCCATCTGAACTCATCCCGGGTTTCCACTTCGCCAGTCAGATTCAGGACTCGTTTCCAGGCCTACTTAGACTGTAAACTAGCGGTAAAAGCACCACATGATGGCCGGGGTGGAAGGGAGTTTTCTTTAAGTATTCCCTGAAACTTGTTCCGAGACAGACCTGTTGAGTGTTGATGTGGTCGGGACCCTCTGTAGTGAATAAGCCAGAGGACAAAGATGACGGGATGGTGGGGTGTGGTGTTTTTTTGTCCTTGTTGAGTATGTTTAATGTGCAGGAAGAGGAAGATGCTGAAGCTTCTGAGCAGGGTGAGTATGTTCTGTTCAATATTGTCTGGAACACAACTCTAGGTCCAGTGAGGGGAGTCAAATGGGGGAAAAGAAAACAAGGCTTCTCATGGTTTTCCATTAATCCGTCACCTGCACATACAGCAACACAAATGTTGTTGTTTTTATTTTTTTTTCTTTTAAACTGTTTATGCAAAAAAAGAAAATCTGCTGCAGACGTCAAGTGAGAGTCAGAGACCATCCTCCTTTTCTCCAATATAGAAAAATAATCAGTCCTCAAGCAAAATATCCCTTTTCATTGCACTGGCCTGTCTGGCCTGTCACTACTGTTCCAACCTAAAGGTTGTCCATAGAGACACTGTGTGCCTTTGTCAGAGAAAATGAGAATACCTTTAAGCCTAGAAGTCACGATGACAGCTAACTTTGGCTGAAATCATTTCACAATCTGATGCGGATCAGCTCAGCATGCTATCCGAAGTTTCACCCCTTCAGCTGACAAGAAGAGGGGCGATGTGGGTTTAACTGAATCTATCCAGTATGCAATGGGCCATTAGGAGGATTTAAGAGGATCAGGTTTACACTAGAGTCAAAGGAGGGGTGATGGAATGAGTCCCAAAGGGCTGGAATGAGTCTGGAGTCTGGTCCAGATTCCACCGTCATGTGCTTTTGCTGCAGAGAATGCCACCCAGAGTCTTCCTGGGGCAGACTCAGCGCAGGTGCTCGAGTAAAGGCAGCTCTGTGGATTCCTCTCGGGGGGTAGGGGGGTCCCCTGCATTGAGCAGGGTGGGGTCCAGCGTTTGGGTGGCTCCTAGGGGATCTTGTGTCAGACTAGTCTCTTGTAGGGGTGCAGGAAGAGCAGGCTTGAAAAAGATGAGAAAGAAATAAAGACAATGATGTTCAACTTTCTCAGAAATGCTTTTAAAATATGGTTGATTTGGGTAAACATTTATCAGCAGTATATCTTTAACCACTCAGGTCAAGATAGTTCAACATTCTGTTCAGTCAACCAAACAACAGCCCCCTCACCTGTGTGCGTATGGTCTGTACTGGTCCTCCTTCCTCCACTGCAGCTGGTCCATTAAAGCCCTTCCTTCCTGAAAAACTCCACTTGCCAAAGTGGCTCTCATAGTGAAGTCCGCTGCCCTGGCCGAGGCTTAGGCCAGCCCGCTGGCCCACTCTGTGCCCCGAGTTTTCCAAGAGGCTCGCTGGGCAGAAGCGCTCTGGACCTGGTAGAGGTGGAGGAGCTACGGAGCTGCTGAAGGAGAGCTGCGAGCTGGACAGCTGCTGGCCCAGGAGCCCCTGGATGGAGGATGTGCGCTGGAGAGATGAGAGCAGTCCTGCCTCCATCCGGCCCTCAGATTGGCTGAGCAGAGCTAATGGGAGGGGCTGGGGGTGATGAGGCCAGCTCTGGGTTGGACCTAAGGGGTTGTCTGTGCCTAAAAGAAAGAAGCACTTTAATTCCTTACAGAAGAGTATGAAAATATCTGACCCGCAACACATGATTGGGAGAGCAGGACATTAATCGATTCTTGTTGAAATAAATCATCGAAGTATTCAGCTGAGCCTGTTGGACGCTGAAATGTTAAGACACCAAGATGAAACGACAGAAGAACTGAGTATATTTATTTTAGCTAAAGACACTATTGCAATAAATTTGGTTCATACAGCCATGTAGAAATTCAATTCAGTAACCAAATATTGAAGTGAGAATATGATCTCAACTGAGTTGTAACCGTGGCAACATCAAAGCTGGTTACGTGTGACAAAGACACGCAGAAACAAAGAACAGATCAAAACTGCATCATACTCCATTGACACTACTTTGTCGATCGTACCGTTTACTTGAGGTTAGGGGTCATGTGACACTTTGAAGTGAATGCACAGTTCAGCCAGTGAACACATACAGCCAACACAAGAGGACACAGACGTTAGTTTTGAATGAACAGACTGAGTTCATAACCAACATCTGCATGGATGCAGGAAATTAAGAGCATGCTCCCACATTTAACTCTGTATACACTGAGTTTCTCCCTTTCCACTGAATTCACTTCTCATCCCCTTTTTTTAAAAGTTGTTGTTTTATTCTTAACAGTGAAGTACCCTTTTAACTCAACTCTGTATTCAAAGATGTCTTTGGCAGTGTTTGTGTGACACTGTAAAAGCTGTTAGTTGTGCAGCCATGCAGAATAAGCACAAACATACTTAAAGGGATATTGCAGCATCAAATTAAAAATAAGAATAGGGATAACATTTATGATCATTACTTTATCATTTCCTTGAAGTAATAATAACCATATTAATCATTTTGCACTGCAGACACGGTAGTTTTTCTGCCTTAGTGTCTCGGTCTGATTGCATTTCCATGAAGAAATGATCATAAATGTTCTTCCCCCCACAGCAGTCTGTAGGAGTAGGTGAGTTGTGTTTAGTCTCTTTGCTAAAGAAATTAGGCAAAGTTGAAAAGATGTTTGGTGGCTAGTACTATGGCTAGGACCCTATCTGTACTGTTGATGAAGTTAGGTGCTGTTCTGAGCATTATTTGTTGCTATAGAGTGGCGTTTTGGTTGAGGTTTGTTTATGGCTCATCAGACTGCTGTGTATTGCTATTGTGTGGTTGTTACTAAAGTTGGTATAACTAGAGAAGCAAGTGGTTGGCAACATTAATCCCTCGAGAGGGTGTCTTACTCGGTGTTTCAGTGTGTTTGACCCTAAATTAATTTTATGGCGGGATATCCCTTTAAGTAGCATCTCTACTCTAACAGTGCCATCTGTATCCAGTAACTGATCAGCATTGAATGGATCATAACTTGTTTTAGGTCTTACCCGTGGAGGGCTGGATAGCGGTGATGTGGGGCTGGGGGAGGCTGGAGGCAGGTGTGCTCTGAGTGGTGTGAATGGCTGGGTTGGTAGAGATGGATGTGGAACCACCTCCGCAGTCAGAGTCCTCAATGTTTCCTCCGCTGTTACAGCCAGCACCACAGCCCTTCTGTAACCTGCAGAGAGACAAACATCAGGTTGATCATGTTCCCATGAATCACAGTCTCTGTAAGTGCACATGTGTGGCATTAAGTCAAGATCACGCACCTGTCCCAGCTGCTGATGAGCCAGGTGTAAATGTTGTGTGGGCTGACGGGTCCTCCCCACACAGACCGGAGCTGGCTGTGCCCCCCAGCGTATGAGGTGGTGAGGGGGGACACATAGATGGGGTACCCGATGGGCTGGTCGCATGAGGAGTTGATCATGTTCCGCAGAGCCTGTTTGGCATTCTGAATGCTGCCTCGCTCCGGGTTACGGTTACGCAGGAAAACCAGCTCCTGCTGCTGCCCTGCCCACAGCCCACGCACACACTCTCTGTTCACCTTTAGTGGGCAGCACAAATGGACAGACTCATTATCAACAGCACTGCACTTACCTGGCTGAAAGTGGCACAGACACATTTTTTTTCCACACGACACATGAACAGGAACAGGATGTACCTTAATGACTCTGAAGCTGAGGAACCGCTTGTTGAGCATGATGATCTTGTATTCATCGCTGCCATCATCCATGATGTGGCGCAGTGCCAGCAGTGAGGGCATGTTAGCTAGAATAGCACTGCGCCATACAGGGTCACCCTCATGAGATATTAACATCTTCTCCTCGTTGGCAGTGATGGCGTCATACAGAACCATGGGATCCTCATACTCGTCAGGAGATGTAAAGTGATCCTGGAGGAAATGAAAATGACAGCGTTTGTCTTTGTTGAGTGACTGAAGTTAATAATCACACCTGAGAGAGTGTTTTTTTCTTCTGTGAAAAGCACTACCTGATGCAATTTGAGAGACATCCGCACTCCTGGTGCCACGACTCGATTCAGCAGGTCCATATCCGCAAACACCCATTCATCCCTGGGAGATGTGATCCGGAAGTCTCCCTTGAAGAGTGCGTGAAGGCCGTAGAGGAACGGCTCCAAGCTGTCACAAAAAATAAAAATCGATTGGTCTTGCATTTTTCTCCTAAATGTTTGGCGAGTGACAGGAAGGGGAATTCACAGAGTGGTAGGCCTGGTTTGTTTTACCTTGCAGACATGCTGTGGGAGGCTGTGCCAAGAGCTCTTCTTCCCAGGATACAAAGTCCAAAACACAGATTAACAAGTGGAGAATCTCTCTCACAGGCCACCGGCTGCAACAGCATGAAGATCGAGATAAAAGGTTACATATCAGGACAAAAGTTATAAAAAATAGACCAACAACAGAACTGTTAACAGATACTAAACATAAAATTGGATGCTGGCCTGTCTTGACATAATTGTGCAGGGCTGATGAAGGCAGCAGATCTAGACAGAACAAGTAGTTTGCGGCCTTATTTAATTATCAGATGTGGAGAAATTTGGATCTTTTGAACCCGTATCAGGTATCACAGTTTTGTTCTGAAAAGGTTCAAACCATTTTTTTCTGCAGAGTCATCTTATGAGAGACTGTTTGGTAGCAGCTCAGAAAGGATCAGAGTGTGGCTTGCCAGTAGAAAAGAAAAAAAAAAAAAAAGGGTTTTCAAGGGCTGACCGTTTGACGCCTGCTGTTGCAGTACTGAATCCAGTCCAGGTAAATCATGCAGAATGAGGAGGGGGTGATGCCTGAGGCCCTGTGGTCATAGTCCTCATCGATATTCAAGTTGAAGGTGGGGTCACTGTCTACATAGTTGGGCCCAAGACAAGGACGCAGAGCCTCCTGAACCGTCTCATTGGTCAGCCACTCCTCCAGCTTAGACGATCGACTAACATAGTAGATGATGCTCTATTCAAGGGGGACAATAAAACACGTTTGAGTCATCAGCATTTAAAAAAATATGAGTAAGGCATGATGTAAAGAGTAGGAAGGTAACGTGATCTATCACTGGCTTACCTTGACATAGTAAGTGATGAGGATCTTACGAAGGTCAAACACTTGTAACATGGAGGCCGCATTGTTGTCGCTGATGCTGTAGCCCTCCAAGACGTACTTAGTGGCAGCCACCTCCCAGGCAAGCCAGCGCTGCCCGAAGGCAGCATTGAACGACAGCATGTGTGGGAGGTGACCAGGCTCACAGCAGCAGCAGCCCTCATCCTCTTCCACCCCCTCGGTGATGGCTTCTACCTCCCTCTGCTGACAGTAGGTACCTGCACAGATGTGAAGCAGATGAGGAAATGCCTGCATATGCAAAAAAAACATCCTTACGTACAGATGTAAGATTTAAATCTGTGACACATTAGGCAAAATAATCTTACATTTAACATAAATTAGAATAACTTTCCATAATTTCACTGGGCTAAATAAAGGACTATAAGAATAAACATCCCATTCTTTTCATAAAAATCCAAATATTCATAAGAGGATTCAGATCTTTATTGTTTAAGACTTGAAAGCCCTGCATTACTGGCGAGTGACGAGCTCCTTTTGGAGAGTGACGCACAGCAGCTAGTTTTTTAAGCTTCTTGAACAACCTTAAAATAAACCTGCGGCTGTGAGAGTGATCTTATTTTCAGATGGATAAAAATACACCATAAGAAGTGGCACAAAAACTTATGTTTGATAAAACTAACAAACATGGGTGCAGATGAGTTGTACCAGCCAATATACAAGTTAGAAATATTACAAGCCACCACAAACCCCCGCAGCTTACCTCTGAACTCCAGACCCCTCAGCTGGAAGGTGACCAAGCCATTGCCGATCTCGATTATGTGCACCAGAGCGTTGAGGTAGTCCGAGGCGAGGATGAAACAGTCGCCTGTGGTGTAGTTGCCCCAGCGGCCGAGCAGCAGGTCTCCACAAAGGCTGTGCTGCAAAGAGCGTGTCAGATGCTCATAGAAAATTGAGTTCAGGTTGTTGTCATCGGCTCCTTTAGGCAAAAAAAAAAAAAGACCATCACCATGGTTACAGCACAAAAATAAGTAAGATTCAAATTGAGATGTTGGGGGAATGTTAGCACATACCTGGGTTTCGGTCCAGCTGAGTAGCAAGTCTGGTGTTGGAGTGATCGACACGCTTGGTGCTGCAAACACAACAAATCATGTTAGAGCCGAAGGAAAATGCTGTTCTCTGACGTTCCCACAGATATTTGATTACTTTCAAAACATACTTATAGTCTCGTTCCCAAAATTTCACAGGTCTGGTGTATGATGTAACGAACACAGCACTCCCTAGAACAGGGTTAAGAGGGGTGGAAAAGATAGCAGAAAAAATGGCCTGAACGAAAAGCACAGCAGAATCTGAAGACACAAGAGTTAAGGATATCACTTCAAATTGAAACTGGCTCTTTGAAGACATTTAGTAGTGATATATTCCGGAAATGTACGCATCAAAGGCACAATAATATAATTTACGATATCCATACAACTATAAGTGGCTAATAATAATGATCAAATTAAAGCTAAGACATGTACAGTTCTTGTATTAGCATCTAGGAAAGTCAGTAAATCAGTAAATCGAACTAAAGGATACGGGGCACAGCAAAGGGCTGGGCAAAAGCGTGGAAGGCAGAGCCCCAGGTGATCTGCCAGGGGGCGATGTATGTTAGCACAAAGCGCAGCTTGTACAGCAGGTCCCACATCTGAGGAAACAAAGAACAAACACAATAAAAACACTTTTTTTGCTAAATTCATATTAACAGACAATAAACTTAGTGTGCTGCAGTGATGTACATGTATCCTCTAAGATCCTGTGATATCATTGTTGGGTGTGAAGCCATCTTCTGAACGACAGTATCAGTAAGTGATGACAGGTGTTACCAGGTGTCAAACCCAAACTCGACAGGACGACTTAGTTCTGCTTGATGTCTTTTAACAACAAGCAATCCGTTGAGCACAGTGCCGTGACAGTGAATAGCCCTGTATGAGTTCACCCTGTGACTACATAGTGTGTCTTACCTTGCTGAAGAGAATGGACATGAAGTAGTAGTCGATGAGGAAAGTCTCTGAGAAGTGCGGGTAGTCGAAGTGGAAAAAGAGCGTGGTGAAGCACAACGTGACGTACTGGTGCGAGGGGGTGCAGAATGATGACCGCAGCAGCTTCATGCCTGCTACTGAGATGAAGAGAGCCCGGCTGCTGCAGGGGTCGAGAACGAGAGGAAATCAGTGACACATGTTGACATGAGCGGCTCCAGGCAAACAGCAACAAATGACATGAGATCTCTGAACCTAAATGCAGGCTGCTGCCTTTATGTGGTAGTTTTATAGAAAGTATATCAAGACTGCTGTAAAGACCAGCTGGTCCATAATCTAAGAAGCGGACAAACAGATAGAAGCAATTTGATGTCTTTTCAGCGGCTGAGTAGGAATGCAGCAATACCCCTCGAATATAATATTTGGCTGTTACAGTTCAGAGCAAGAATCCCTGAAAAGCAGAGATGGAGCACAGTACACAGTCTTGATATGGAACTGTAATGAGTTTTTTTTTTGTAAAGTCTTACTAGATGTCCAGCTCTTTGTGATTCTGGCCCACAGTTCGAGCTTCTGTTGTTAGGGAGTTCAGCACCACAGCTGGGTAGATGAAGTATTTCTCCACACACTGTAGCCATGCATACAGCTTCTCAAACCACATCAGCTGAGCAGCGTCTGTGGCAAACAGAGATAGAAACAAACTTCTGACTTTTTTTCTTCAGAGTTTATGAAACAACTGAGAAATTAGACAGGCGGGAAAAAACAGAATCTATGCCAAACAATTTTAAAAAAGTGGCTTCTAATCATCTGCTATAGTCAGGAACTGAACATGGATCTACTCCGAAAACATGAATAAAAATGCACAGGAGGAGAAAATTCAGAATTATTTTACACAGAGAGAATTGCTTCAGAATACGATAAAAAAAGCACCTTTACTGCGTCTTTATTTTTAATGCAGCTATCAAAGCTGATTTCAAGTCTATTTTTGATATTCATAATATCAATCAGTTGTTTTGAAAAAGTGCACAGCCTTTTATACTGAGGAACTCTGACAAGGCCACCTTCGTGATGTCTTTCAAAAGTGCTTCAACCATTATTTGACGTCTTCCCCTTTCTCTTTGCTTTCTTTCGTGTCTTGTTGTTCATAAAGTAGGTTTATCAAGAACAGTCAGACTCTCACCTCGAACCTCAAACTGGCTGTACTCTCTTGAGCGCAGCACAGGGTGAGCCAGGCAGAACCAAGGCAGCTGTTTGCGAAGCTGAGGCAGCAGATAATGTGTGATGAAACCTACAACTCCAGCCAGGATGTACAGGACAAAGCTTAACGCCGGCTGTGGATAGAGGTAATAAAGAGGGAAGTTAGCACAAGTATCCTCTGGGAAATGTGTCGGAAGAAAAAGTTCATAATCCCTGATCAAACTGACTTGAAGAGCAATGAAAACTGTGCTGGCACTGATGGCGAATGTGATCACAGCCATGAGGGGACACATGACGAGGTCTGAATGCAAGATTTCTTTCTGCAAGAGACAGGGAGAAGGAACGACACTTTGAACTTACAGACACCATGAAATTAAAAGTGAAATTATCTGTGCAGGTGAGTGAGCCGAGATCTTTACCACAGAGTTGCGCAGTTTCTCAGGAAGAGGGTCCTTGATCTCAACAGGGGGTTCTTCTGGTGTTCGGTTTTCCAGCTCTGGAAATAACTTGGACCGGACTAGTGACCTGATGGAAGCGGTACGAAAACATCCAAAAAAGAAAAATGAGAACAGGAGACGGAGCTGAGGTGTAACATCAAAGTTTATACAGGCCACACAGTAAGAACAGCTTGTCAGCAGCTGCTCAGCAGCATCAGTTTTCCATCAGTGTCGACCTTGGGTGTGTGCGGGGTTACTCCAGTGCGTAGGTCACTTGTGTTTTGGCAGTGCTCAGCACCAATTACACAATGCTCAGTCACTTCACTTGATAAATTTAGAAAAATAGACATAAGCCTAAAATTATGTCTCAGGTTGTGGCTGCAATAAAGGAGACAGCTGTGATCTTTTTTTTTTCAACCAGACAGTCAACTAAAGAACTCGCCTGCAGGAAAAAACTGAGGCTGAAATTCAAATTTGTGGAAACAAGCAGGTCTGAAACTACACACCCATGACCGAATAGTTCTTGGGGTATTTCCACCAGGAAGTCCGGTTTTGTTCAGAACTGTTTGGTATGGTTTGGCAAAGTAAACCTCATCTACAGCTTCACTCAGGAAATGTGTTGGCTGCATGGCGGCCTGTAAGTGTCCTAATTTTTGGCGTGGATGTTGAGAGAATAGACCTTTCTGTCTGTCAGCACATCAAACCTCTTTTTTTTCCATGAGCCTCTCAAATTTTGTCCAGAAATACAGACTGAACAAAAAAAGATGAGCTGAGTGCTGTATTTGCTTGGTGTCCGCTATGTTTATGTCACTAGGTAAAATGTACTCTAGCTGTTTTTCCAGAAGCTTTTGAAAGGAAAAAACCTGATCTATTTTATTTATTCACTTATTTTTTGAGGGACCCCTCCATTTACACACACTGATTTATTCTGCAGTTGTGTCTGGGGTAGTTAAATGGTAAAAGATGTCATTTGAATAGCCCTCTATCTAAGCCTGCAGTGAAAAAAGTTATGAATCATTTTGGCTGCAGGTTAGCTTGTGTCTATTTCTGAATAATGTCAGATTAAAGAAAATAATTCATCTTTTGTAACCCCCTCTTCCTTTGCTTCCTTCTCAGCCCAGCTAGTGTTTGTGTTCAATTGAAGCACCTTTTAATAAACCCCTGACAGCTGTATACTATTATTAATAAAAACACACATAAAACTGGACCATGACGCATTGAGGTAAACAAGTTGATGATCAAATTAAATCATATTAGGAGAGATGTGATTTAGTACGTGTCAGTAGTCAAACATCACTTTTTACCAGGAAAGTTGTAAATAAAAAGTTTGAAGACCCGTGTTGCCATAAGTTACTAACCAGAGGATGGTGGGATCACTGCTTTGGCGGCTGAGGTGGTAGGACAAGGCCAGGAGCAGGCCACAAAACACAGAGAACAGTACTGGCACATGGGCGTCTCCCCATGGTGCCTGATGGAAAATACAATCAAAACAATCAGAAATCAAGGACTGTCCATTCAAATTCAAAAGCCTCCTACACAGTTTGAGTAATACTGCTCCTCTTACATTGATGGCACCAAGACAAAATCCATACAGCAGAGCAGCCACCAACACACTGCGTATGAGGCTGAACAGAGATGAAAGGGGGCTGGTTGTGGCTGAGAAAAGAAACAAAGAGAGAGATCCAGTCAGTCGATTTAAAGATGCTGTTACAGTCGGACTAAATTTGCTTACAAAATATTCCATCCATCCAGTCTGTGTCGATATATTCTTACCAGTTCCACCAAAAACATGCATGTCAATCTGCTCCAGCAGACACATCACAAAAGTATTGACCTGAGGTAGCAGCCCAAACAGGAAAATGACCGGGAAACACAAGGCAAACACTGCCGGACAAAAACAGAAATGTAAGACATTTGCTCTAAAAAATTACAAAACAAATAAGACTGATGTTTGAGTCACATAATGCAACTAACCAATGAGCATATCCCTGACACAGAGCAGGAAGTGTGCAGAGAAAAAGGTGACACCGTAGAGGGAGAAGGGCTGTAGGCTGCCGGAGCGCCCAGACAGGTCAAAGATCCAGATCATCACACAGCACAAGCAGAAGTAGACAGGCCGACTGTACACAATGATCCAGTTATGGCCCTGTGCAGTACCAGAGGAAAACAAGACAAGGCACAGTTACACGTTAACTACAAGGTCAAACACACTGTTTTTGTTGTGGTTTGCATAATGTGGTGCATAATAAAATACTAAACAGAGGAGACCAGTACTCACATGCATGGGAGAAGCTGCATCTGGCTGTACACTCTAAAACAAGAAGGCAGAAAAGGAGATCTTTAACATGAGGTATGACTAAAAACATGGGTAAGATGACTCCGTGATGGTGACACTCTGCTGTATATACTTGAAAAAATACAAGTACATATGAAGAAATAAAACAATGCAAATCTTAAAATCCAGGGGTAATGTACCTTCAGCAAAGAGTACTGGCAGCTTGCAATGACCAGGCAGAACTGGAAGACCCAGATGTCCCTGAAGAAGCCCTGGAGCAGCAGTAGGAACCCCAGGAAGGCCACCAGACTGGCCAGCACCACTGCAAACACGTTCTCCCCCACACGGCGATTCCTGTTGATCGACAGCAGATAAATCCACATTCACACAACGAAGGCAAGTTTGAACTCCCTGTTAGCCATCATAAACATCGGATGTAAAAATCAACAAAACCAGATATTCCGTTCAAAACTTTTAGCACTGAGGCAGAGCTATGATGTAAAATAAGCATGCACTAAAGACCGTCTAAACACAGATTATAACCGCCAAAGCATCTGTGATGACGCAGTTTCAATGGCTTTCGAGAAACAATACACAAACAGTTTTGCGTGATTTTGAGTTCGACTGCTTCAGGTTTGGAGATGTCTTTTTTTTGTCCTGGAGCATTACTCGTTCTGCTTGTATATGAAATATTTATCTGAACTATCAAGAGGCCACCAGCTGGTACACTCCCTCTGTTTATAGTTAACTCTCTTGTCTGGTGCTTCTTCTTTTTTTTAAGTTTACTAGTGCTTCACTCTCTAAAAATAGTAGAAGGATTTGGCCAACACAAATGAATAATAAATAAATCATTCTGTCTGGATTTTGCAGCTACAGAAACCAATCTTAAATAACAAAAGACAGAAGAAAACAAAAGATATAAAGGATTAGATTATACTTCAAATACACTGACATCTATTATTTATTACATACCGGTCAATGGTACCAGGGACAACCACGAACAAAGTGTTTTGATTTTTCAGAAAACAAGAGCTCAAATAGAGAACTATTTATCTCTCTGACTCCAGCAGTCTGGCCTACCTGTCCAATAAAGCCAGAAGAGCCAATCGATCATATCGAACCCTGAGCCACTTCCCCGGGAGCACCCAAAAGCGATAGTACTGTTTGGGTTTGGCTTTCTCCTCGATCATCAGAGTGTTTTCTTGGGACTCTTGTAGAGACTCGTGATCCAGATCAAACTAGATATGAAGTGACGAATCAAGAAAGGGAAATAACAAGGTCAGCAAGAGGAAAAAAATAATCCTCACTTTTTTGGATAATCTGTGATATCAAACTTGAAGAAAAAAAAAATCCTAACCTCGGGCATTTCCAGAGGCACCCTGCGCACCTGCATACCCTGTAAAACCACAGGTCTAGGCTGGAGCATGGACAGGACTGGAGCCCCTTCCTGGACCTCAGTGGAGGTGAAGCTTGAGGACTGGGACTGTCTCTCTCTTTCCCTAGGAGCATACATAAACTTTACTACATCTTGTTTTCACGGCTTTCTTGCAGCAAAATTTTATAGTCTTGAAAAACAGCAACCAATTCTAAAAGCTTGATTACTTACTGTACAGGGTCCTCATACCCGCCTCCAGCTGGTCCAAATGTGTAGGACCTCTTCACTCCTGTGAAGAATTTAATTTAAACCATCAAAGGGTCAAATTGGACGTATTTTATACATATCAACTGAGACAATGGTGTTTTTTGTCTTTTGTCAACAATTTGAAGGGTAAATTTTCCCCATAAAATCAACACAGACAGAAAAATATGCAGAGTGGTTTTCTGGCAACAGTCACAACTAGACTCCAGTGGTCATATTCAAAGCTTTCTAGTACTAAGAGTTTCTCCTTGAGAAGAAATTCTGAGAAAATTCTGAGAATTGTGATGTTTTCAAAACACTTTCCCCCAAAGTGAAGACCACATCCTGGTAAAGATGGGCTGTTCACAAAGCATCTTAGCTCTTCAAGGAGCTCCAAAGGTGAAAAACTGTTAGGAGTAGTGCGGAGGACTTTTAAAATACCAAAGAGTTTTTCAACCAGAAGAGGTGCTCACATCTCCAGCACAACAGAGTATTGTTGACAATGAAAGGGATCACAACATACGCTTTCAAATGCAGCTGTTTCATTTCTGGGAGACTCTCTATTACTGCCGTAACAAAACTAAGTGCAGAATACCTGCTGCGACAACAAGCTGCACTAAAAACTAAAACAACATGAGATGTTGCACTGAAATCAACGCAATTGGTGAGAAGCAGATTAGCTGACATCACACCCTCTGTCTCTCTCTGAACACACACAGAGGGATGAAGAGTCGCACACTTATTCTTTTTAAGACAAAGGGAAATGTGAAGGCCAAATCATAAACGTACACCCTCTAGGGTCAAGCAAATATACCCAGGAGCTTGTAACATATAATCTCTCTGTGGGGAAAAAACAGCTTCAATTATCAGCATGTGAAAATGCTTCTGCAGAGTAGGCATGTGTTCTAACCCTTTGATGTGTATTAATATGGCTTATAGTTTACATAACAGAGATATTGATTATAATATAAATAATGAAACACAACTTTAGATCTCATTCGATCATAAGACCATTTGATTTTACCTTCAATGTCCATTTTCTCTCACAAAAGCCTTCTAGGGATGGGTGTGATAGATTCAAATCAGCGTTTGCTATTAACACTATGATACTTGCATTGGGCATCTGCTACCAGCTTATCTATATCTAATGTACCTGTCCCGAACACATCAAGCATAAATCAACAAATAAGTTCCAGGATGACTTGTGTCTTGTTGTTTTAAAGTTGTTTTAAATGTTGAATTTATGGTTTTTGTAGTTTAATGTTTTAGGTGCAGCATGTGGAATAACAGTTTTTGTAAAATACGACTAACGCACCGCTTTCGTCATAGAAATAGTGCACTGCCCCCTCGGATGTGTCGTCGAAGGTAGAGGCTTCATGGATGCCGCTGCGGGGCAATAGGAGTGAGGAGGCAAACTGTAAGGCTGAGGGAAGTGTACGGGTCCGTGAGTGAGAGGAAGTCCGCCCCCGCTGGAGATCTTGAAGGCTACGGGAAACAATGACACAAAACGCCCTAAATCATTTCCTTTATATTTGTGTAAACTGTAATTAAGCTTGTAATCTCCCTGAAAGTGAATTAAATGCAATTAGTTTTTCCTTTTGCCTCAAAAGCTCGCTGTGGATATCAATTCTTTATCACATCTTTATTTTTTATTAAGGTCCATTAATTATATGACATTATTTAGTAACTTTGGTGACTGCTTTAACTACTCCGCCCTTGGAAGAGATTTGGAGAAATTGTGCCGCTGAGAGCGAGGGCATCCGCTTAAACCCTTACTCCGCTCTGCTTTGTTTTTGACTTACCTGGGGGGTGATCCCATGGTGGACGGGGGCGGTGTAGGGTTGCTCCCAGCATTGTGCCTCCTGCGGATAGCCTGGGTCCTCTTAACACTGCTAACCGAGTCGTGTTTGCCTCCATCCTCCGCAGCCATGGCTGGAGGAGGGTAATCAGTTACATCCATGTAGAGGGATACATTACAGTGTCAATGAACGACATACAAGGCAACACTGCAGCACATATGGACACATAGACCTATATTAGCTCGTTACTAGCATTGTTAGCATTTGACATTATTCAACAGTACGTCAGTAGTTAGATTTATCCAGGTTATAATGAACTCAAATCTATCCACATAGACAAGAATTTATTCAACAGTAGGGTGAAATACACCTGACGAGCAACTACCTTACATAATGAGAGGATATAGCAAAAAAAAGTCTAAGAGTAATCCACTTCTGGTAGTATAATAATTTGCTGGGTTAAATAAATTTAATGATGATGGCTGCAGTTCTCTCTCTGTTTTGAAACGGTTTTTAGTCAGGGCACCATGATGTGTTCACTCAAGAGGGCAAGTCATGGAGGTTAGGGAACTAAAAGTGACCTGTACTGTGAATCTCTTCTCTTAAAGTTAATTAAATATTTTAAAAGGTTTGTCATAGAATAGCACACTCCATCCAGCTTTATTTTGTGCTCTGATGCATTGGTGTAACTTTCAGTCGACAAATTCCCAGTTTCTAGTGTTTAAAAGCTGTTTCGGTTAGAAAAGTCACTGGTAATAGGTAACTGTTCCCTGGGCTTGACAACTTACACCTAAAAAGTCACCTCCTCTGCAAAGAGCATGAATGTGCTGGTGGTACGGTTAACATTAGTTGCTGTTGCCAACACTTCATGAAATTATGACTAAGTAGTCAGCAGCAGTGATTCCTCCTCATCTTAAAATCTGCCTCTCCTTTCTGTCATTTGTAAACTACAAGGATGAGTCATCACTCTGGAAAGTAACACTCGTTTAAGGTCAGTCACTGATACGGTTGCTTTCACATTTGTGACTCGTGTTAGTCTTGAAATGATGTGATGACAAATCTCCCTTTTTCAGACAACTTCATGTGGGAACAATCAAGGGCTACCCCAGGCAGCAAATATCATCACAACATGAATGACAATGTTCACCAGTACTGACTATCCCTTCAATGACTATCATCTCTCTCTCTCTGCCCTGACTCTGTTAGGGTTCCAGTTGAATTTATAAAAACATGCTTTTCCAAGTTGTTCTCCAAATTTCAGTGTTAGTTTGATGGAAGGGAATTTTTAAGTTAGTGCCATGCCAAATCACTGTGTCACACTTTAACAAAGGCTGTTTGAAACTGTGGTGCACCACAAAATGTGCCTCAATGCGGCAAAACTGCTAAAAAAGGACATACTTTCTTTGGCATTAATTTGTCTAGAGATGATACAAATTACATGGCAACTTGGCCAATAAATTATTTATCAACAATGTCAGTTTCAGTTTTCTTCATCTTTGTATGCCACTAAATATTGCTAGTTATTCTAGACTCCTAGGAGTTTATTCAATCTCCACTCATAAGAAACAGTGACCCAAATCCATGCCAGGCCTCTGCCTTTACTTGCATTAAAAAAAAAAAACACACACAGTTCATTAGATAAAAATCTAATTCTGGACACACCTAATGCAGTTAGGAAAAACTCACCGCCACCCACAGCTCCCTCTTCAACCAGCTCCTCTGCCCTCCAGCCCATCTGGTTTCCAGTCCAAGAGCCTCCGAGAGAATCTAGCCGATGATGATGAGTGCCAGGGAAGCCATCAGTGTGTATAGTGCGAGCCTCCAAATCAGACTTCGAGATAGTGAGAGTGCGAGGTGCAGGGGTGGAGGTGGAGGGCATGGTAAGCAGAGTAGAGGGCAAAGCTGCAGTGTTACTCTGACCTCCACCAGCCCCGTCCATACTGAGCACTCTGGCGTGAGTCTTGGCGCTCGCTGTGCTTGAGGAGCGCTGAGCAGCACGAGAATGTGAGGGGCCAGCAGGTTCAGGTAAATCCCCTTCCCTCGGAGTAGGCAGTTGAGCAGCATTTGGGAGCGGGGAAGTAATGCCAGTGTTAGCAAGGTCCGGGGAGTAACAGGAGGTAGAGGAACTTGAGTCGTCATCATCGTCGTCATCGTCTGAACTGTAGCGCCTCTGGGAGCCCAGACTAGAACCAGCACTCATGTCACTGCCGTCGTCTTCATCACTAGAATCCTCGAACAAACTTTCGCTGTAGGCCTTGGCTCCCAGTCGGTTTCGCACTGGGATGTAATCTCTGTGTTGTCTATGATTGTGATGACGCCTGTAAGAACCACAGTCAAAACTACTGCTCCCCGCTCCTGCTCGCCTTCGAGGAGCTTTCCTTCGGCCCGGCCTGTGCCCTACACTACTGCCGCTGGCCCGCAGCAGCTTTAAGTCTTTGGGGCGCACAACCTGCTGGGCTTGCAAAGCAGGCTGGTCAGGCAGCAAAAAAGGGGTAGAGGATATGGGCAAAGCAGGCTCAGAGCAGACTAAACTCAGGGCCAGCCCTGAGGGCACTGAATTGGCTTGCCGAGGAGGGGGCAGAGGAGGAACTTGGACAGTTTTGTCTAAATCACAAACCTCTGAGTGACCACTACTTGAAGGGGAAGAGTTCTGGAGTGGAGGGGGCTGTGCAATATCACAAAGCAGAGGGGGCAAATCCTCTCCTTCAACAAGTGTCCTGTCAAGCCCCTGGCTAAGGGAGAATTCTTTGGAGGGGGAGCGCAGTAGGACACTGTCTGACAGGTTGTCAGTATCACTGCCACCCTGTCCTGCTGGGTCCTCTGTGGGTCTGGGGATGCTGGAGCCTATCGCTGGTGCTGAGCCAGAAGCCTGAGCATCTGCAGGTCTCGGCTGGCTGAACGAAGGACTTTCCAGCTGAGTGGAATCAGTCTTTTCACTGCGGTAACTGCTAACAGTGCTTAGTGTTTCACGGTCTGTGGCAGCACCACCTGCACTGAAACAGCTGTCTGTTGATCCAGCAGCTAGTGCTACCCCACTACGGCTGCCAGGGTGCTCAGTCCCTGGTGCAAATGCCACAGGATCAAGACCCAAACCCAGGAGATTTTCACTCAGCTCCTCACTCAAGCTGCTCTTTATAAGGGGGCTGAGCGGAGTATCCCCCAGGCTCTCAGACTCAGCAGAGGGGCCGAGGGGAGAGTAAGCCCCCAACCCATTGTCCTCAGGACTCTGTTGGGACAGTTGTTCTGGTAACTCCTCCACTTCCTGCAGCTGTTCTTTCTCGCCTCCATCTTCTTGACTGGAGGGTGAAGGGGGAATAGACAAGCAGTCTCCAGGTTCTCCAAATCCAGCTGACACTCCAGACACACCCATGAGAGCAGGGAAGTCCCCTCCCAAAGCAGCAGCAATGCAGGACTGGACCACACTGGGTGCCCCTGTACATAAAGAAACCAGAATCAGGCCCAAAGGCTTTTGAAGTCTGTGACACTGGGGTTTTTATTTCTACCTGTCAGGGCACAAAACCATTCTTCTTTTTATAAATGTAGCGCCATGTCCGTAAAATAACGTGTACTATGATTGTATGCTTTTAGCTCTGCCTCCTTTGTGTGACTTGTTCATAAACAGGCTGGACTGAGCTGTGTTCAGTGTGTTTCAGTGTGCTTGATTATGTTAACTGAACAGTGTCAGACTTACTAATAGTATCCTGGGAACTCTGGCGTAGGATGTCACGATGAGCTGATGTGACAATCACATTATTGCTTCCTTGTTCCCGCATTAGTTCTTTGATATCTTTAAAGGAAAAAGCAACAATGCATATTCAGTACAAGCTAAAATGGCAGCAGAAGTCTGATGGATATACTTGATGGTGTGAGGATAATGTAAGAAAAGTTTTTTAAACAACACACCAGTCACTAAAATTCATGATTTAGACATTTACCTTTAGTACCCCCCGAATCCTCCAGCTGGGGCAAGAACTCCTGATGAATAAACCAAAAAAAAAATCACAGTTAGCAGAAATGATAATAGAGGTAGAACAATAAAGAATACATGCTGCTATTAAATCTAGTAATCCTCACCGACACCTGGTTGAGTCCAAACAGAGAGTGCTGGGAGCTACAGCGCACAGGAGGTGTTGAGTTCACCTTTCGAAACACAGTCATTTCCACTCCAACATGACTATCCCTGTGACGATATTGCACATTCAGTACATTGTGAACAGTTACATCGTTTTGATTGAAACATTTTATCCAAAATCAGAGAGAAAAATACTCCTCACCTGTGATGATCCCCATCATGAGCACCTAAACCTTCATCTCCATCTTCTGTTTTTGGTGGTTCGGCTGTAAGTGAGGCCTGCTTCTTCTCCACGATCTCCCCCAGGTCGAACATAGCATGAAGCCGGTAGTTCACCACCTTGATGGCCGTGAAGAAGACGGCCACCACAGCTGAGTACATGCCTGCAACCACCAAGCTTGGAGGAAGAGCCTAGGGAAGAGGGAGAAGACAATGACAGGAGAAAATAAGGAAAAGGGGCAACGCTTAACATTTCAGTGAATCAGAGGCAGTTCTGTGTTAAACAATGGCTGGAAATTGTCTACCTTACGAAAGACCAATCATAATGGAAGCTAATACCTCTTACTAGTTTTTAGAAGATTATAGATTATAACTGTAGTAAATGATGATAGTTGTAATTTTTAAATTAACATCTTGTGGATGATTAGACTACCATTTCTGATTGGAGACCATGCAGCATCTTTGCAGTATGATAAACTGTACAAGACAACCTCAGTTATTCAAGCAGATTTTTTTTTCTTTTTACCAAATCCACAGTTCCTGTATTGTTGAAAATAATGTCCAGCTTACTGAGAGGACAAATGAACATATTTTAAACGCACAAGTACAATAATGTGCAAGCTTTCTGATCCAAATTCCCCTCATCCCCCTGTAGGAAGTTGTGTGTGCACATCGTTTTGCGATAACATCAAATGTTCAAAATGTAAATTTGGTAAGTTCTCTTTCATTTTCACTTTTGCTTCAGACTAAATGTAACATAGTTCCGGTACTTAATGGAAACAATAAATCACTTTTGGAAACAGACCAGATTGTGCGGTTTACCTTCCCATCTCACTTTTATTTGAGGACGTTTCTCAAAATCTTGCAGAGTTTACATTGCAAAGGAACCAAATGAAAGATAATGCCACAATCACATTCATCTGATGTGTCCGTAGCTGTTATGTTGAAGAGCTGAGCTTTTCTGCTGGACAACATTTTTGACATTACAATAATAGTTGTCTGTATTAAGTAATTCTCTCACTCATTCAAAGTGGCAGTCAGCCTGCTAGGAAAATGTGCTTACCATGTACAGCAGGAAGGGGAAGGCCAGGAGGAATATCCACAGGTAGAGGTGGAAGCAGTTTGAGAAGGTGCTCTGATGGGGGTCCACATACCATCCCCCTGTGAGTGAAGCCCACACCCCCTGCCGAAGTATCTGAAGAGCTTGGGAACCCATCTCCACCTCCAGGTTCAATGAGAAGCTGAAATGCTTCCTCCAAGGCTGTAGCTCAAAAAACTGTACAGCAGTTCGAGCCACAGTATCTTGTGTTTATGATGGCACTTCCATTTGGGATGGCAGATTAACCAAGACTGGTTCATCAAGGATAACAGTTTTAGGTCTTGGATATGTATATTTTAGTAGAGTTCAAGAGTCCTTGCATATTCTTGTGCCAGTGTGCGCTCTCTCCTTGCACCGATGTTGCCACACTCGAGCTTAATCCTTGTCGAATAATTAGGAGAGTGACTTTTTGGCACATTGGTAACCCTCTGACTGAATGAAAACACATTCATCTGTAAGAAAGATCAAAACTGGTTTGTTACGCTACGTAATAGGCATCAGAAAATCCATGCTTGGCAATGATCAATTGATACATTTACACTACATATAACAGACCAAATGTGTCTGAAATAGCAAATTAGAAATTTTCCAGCTGGTCACCTTCAAGTTAAAGTACTTCCTTATACACGTTATTAAGAAACTCTACAGTTTTCTCTGGTTTCAGGTGGATGTTGAATTGATTTAGAGGCTCATAGGATGGATGTGACTGAGTTTGTTAAGCTGTTGTTGATCACATTCATTCTTCACATCTGCTGCAATAGTTAGAAAAGGAACATGCCTTCTCCAGCTTCATCAAGGTTGTATTGTATGTGAACTAGTAGCTAAATGGATAGATTAACAACAACTACAGCAGACAGCTGCACGCAATACAGTGTTTTAAATGAGTATGACATCTGTCTGTTGGCGTTTTTAATCAAACCAAAACAACTGAGAAGATAGACGGTATACTGTATTCATCTTTTGTGGTTTTAGACAGTGTGATAAACCTCTTTATCTTCATGTACAGGCCAATGCAGCGTTAGCAAGATTTAGTTTTCTCACTGACATTAGCAAGCTTAGCCTAGCTGGCGAGTATCTCTGCATTTGAGGTTGGTTTAGTGTAACCTGTTCAGCTACCACTGCCTTGAATCAGTCTGATAAATCTTCAAATATGACCGACATTAGCGGGACACTAATGCACACTGAGTGACAAATATTTAACACTATTAGACAGCTAGCTCCAAGCTAATGCTAGGCCGCATACACCAGTATTTGAGCCCGGGTTATGTCCCTGTTTGAACAACAAGCTCCACCGCTGACAGTTCTATGCTCCCCAATAACTAGTGTTAGCTCAGCTTAGCTTGCTATATTCATAAATTATGCTCACAGTGAAGTGTTTTCCACATTTCTGTTCCATCAAGCTTACACTTAGCATTAGCTGTCCAGCTTGCCTCATATCCTCCTTCCGCATCCAGTCCTGGTGAAATCTCAGAGCTCTCCTTCTCGGGATGCTAGCGAGCTAGGCTCTCCACAAACTGTAGCTTCACTTTTTTGGTTGTCGTTTGCTAACTAATCATATTTTTTGCTCACAGTCCGTCTTCGTCTTTGGCGTTAAAGGTTGACAGACATGCGGTGGGAGCGGTGTTCCTCTCTCATGACGAACGGCAGCTGTTTTCTTGGCATAAACGGTGCCTTCTGTTGAAATGTTAAAACAAGCTAGCCCAACTGAGCAGCTAGCGCGAGCTAACAACTAGTTGACACACGCACACACGCGCGCACGCACGCACGTTCAGAGAGCGACCAAGCGAAGAGAGAGATTCCCATGGTGCTGATTGGCCCGTTACAATGACGTCATTGAGATGATGTTTTTGCTTTGGCTGGTAAAATTTACAACATAATAATAATAATAATAATAATAATAATAATAATAATAATATTAATAATGATAATAATAATAATAATTATTATTATTATAATACATTTTTGTAAATGCCAACATTTTCTTGCTTTGTAATACGGTTACTTTAGCTTTAAAATTAGGAAAAAGGAATCATCTTCAAGAATCAAATTTAATGTGTTCTTAAGCTTAACTACACTTACACAGTTTCTTACTCATGTATTTTCTTTGCATTCAATAAACTGTCACAAAAACACATGGCCAGCACTACATAATGGACAAATGTAAAATGAAATGCATAAATGTTAATATAAAAATATGATTGCAAAGAGTGCTGAAATAATATAAATATTTAATGTGAATGAATGAAATAGGCTGCTCTACATAGTGCAACACAGTCTAAAATACCGATTTCTATATATCACAGACATCACATTGAAGGTAAATGGGGAAAAAAAAAGGTGTGTTTCTAAACCTTTAAAATGTATAATTCATCATCTAAAGGTAAATGGGTGCATTTTAAATTGTTACCCTCTTGGATGTTTATTTTCTGCCATGTCCCGATGCTGGATTCCTGCTTTTTATTTTGGTCTGTTTTGTTGAATTTTTCATGACTGTTTTGCATTCTGCTGTCAGCCCACAACTTTCTCAGCTGCTCTCCTGCTTCTTGGACAGTCATAGGGTGAGAATTATTGGATTTCCAAGTCTAATTACGATGAGTTAATCAAACATTTTTACATATGAGCTAATTAAATCATAATAACACTTGGACCATCTTGGTCCCTTCTTTAGTGGACAGTTTTTCCTCACTGTGTCATATTACATTTCCTCAGTAAGCTGTGCCAACTGTAAACTAGATTCAAACTGAGAATTTAATATCTGCTCCACTCTCTAGCTTTAAATATTCTAACATTTATTATTTCCTTTATATTTATGCCTTCGCATGTGTGGGAGGTTGTCAGCTAAACTTTTAGAGAAGGAACATATATTCAACTTTATAGACAACTGGAGGCTCTGACTATCTTTCTGAACTAGCAACTTTATTTTCGCTCAACACCCAATGATATATTTTCAATTGCCACAATCAGGAGATTATTTTACAAAAAGCAGCACTAAGCATTAAGCATTAACAAATAAGTATGTGAATAATACTCACAGTATGAAGGAGTGGTTAGTCATAGTGAATATGACTTGGCAGTTGTCATCTGGACTTCTCTTGTCATGGCTGTTTTGGTGATTTAGGTTGGGACATCCCAGCAATGCACAGAAGTGGCTTATCTTATCCTGTAACCACCCTTGTTGATACTTCATGTCAACGCAGATCAGGCCTTACCTGCACCAGACCTGCACTGACACCACTCCTCACTTAGCCTACAGGATTGCTCCCCATCACTCTCAGCACCAACAGGCTAACAGGACAGGTGACCCTGCTGGTTGAAATACAATCCCTCTAAATTCTTGTCTTTTGTGATAAATGTCTCCTGCGCCTGTAGGAATTGATGGCTGCTTCAGTGACTATGCATCACATCACTCTGGTGCTCAATGATGTGGGCTCCGGCCAACCTTTCTCTCCATTCTTCAGTTCCTTTTGTTCTCAGCAGGGGGTAGTCAAACAACGCACAGTACATGTTAATGCTTGTCAGGCAAAAAGCTAAAGCAGTGTAGAGGAAAAGACTGAGAAAAAAAAATACATCAATACTTTCGTATAAATATGTATTTATACTCATTTCAACACACAACACACAATTTCTGTGACCAAGAAAACTTTGGATTATATTATATTAGGTCCAGACCTGCTCTTCTGGAAAGTGTCTTGATGACTGTTCTGTATATATAAAAATTGATTGATTGATTGACAATAATAGAAGTAGTCAAACATCTGATTTACAAGCTTTCATATCATAAATTCTTTCATTGTTATTGTTATTGGCTTGGCTTGGTGCTCCTTCATGGCTGAGGTCCAGTAAATCAAGGTATTGGCCTTGCTAATCATGTTACAGCAGCAATGCAGCCATTCACTCCTGGACTGCAGTAAAGCTGGGTGGACTTGCTCAGGTGCAGAGAATGACTAAAATCTTCAGGTATGGGACAGAAAACTCTGGCCTCCAGTCCCTTTATATGGGTACAGCTCATAAGCAGCTTTGTGGAGTGCAAAAATAAACGTGTGAGACAAAATAAGTGCAGTTCTGCAGATTAACACAGAAGGCAAACTTCAAGAGGAAGACAATCACTAAAAACTTTTAGAATAAAATGCTTAATATGTGACATAAACAGTCTGATACCAAAAGTTTTTGATCTATTTGGCATGAAAATAGATTGATGCTGAATTAACTAACAGCGCATACCCTTAAAGTTACGCTTATTTAAGTGCCTCACAGGTAGCCTGTGGCCACAGCTGATTTAGGACGATAAACTTAACTCCTGGACACGCTCTCATCAAAATGAGTTCACTTTTCAAAAATTTTAAACTCAAGGCCATCCGAAACATTTAGGCCTCAAATGGTGGCAATTTGATCTACCTATAAACAGTCTGCAAACAATATTCTTGCATCTTTAAAGTCATTTGGAACTTTGTCTGCAAAAACCACAGAACTCTAACTTCAGTGTGTGATATCAAACTAAAAATCCAAGAAGCCACTTGTCCATTCTAGGGAAGGCAGCTTCGAAAGCCTTTGGGGGCTTTTGAGGCTCTTGCACAATTTTCAAACATTTATTGCTCTTTGTTGTTGATGGTGTGCAAATATCCTAAACTAAACTGCGCTGCAAGGAACAAAAGAAAGTGACAGCGGATCATTTGCAATATTTCATGTGTTTGGTATAGACCTAATGTCATCCTTACATTTACTGTTTACTTGGCAGTCCTTTTACCCATTGCCCATGCTTTGCCAGCAATGCAGAGCTGCATGAATGTCTATTTTGCTGCTCACTCTCCTCCTCCAGTGTCTTCTATTCATGACATTCTCTCCTTCTCGACAACAGTAGTATCTTTCTACGATACTATGGTTTTTAATCACAGGATTCAGGTTTAAATTATATCCAATTGTATTTTTCTAACCAATATAAGTAATGCCACAATAAATTCATGAATAAATGTCATTTAATGGATCATACAGTGAAGGAGATCACCAGTGGCCCTCTGAGGTGTCTAACTGGTTTGATAGGGTGTATTTTTAATGCATTTCTGTTCCAATTCAGCTTCACTAAGATTAATATTTTAATGGCGACCTGAACGAGGAGGCAGCAGTCCTGTAAGGTGCAGAAAAAAACCCCTTAAACATTTCATTTCATTATGAATAATGGACATCAAGGCATTACTAACACACCAGCCTGTAAGAGAGGGGAGCATGAGAGGAAGAGAGGAGAGGGGGAGAGAGAGAGGGAGATGATGATGATGAAACTCAAGTGTAAGAGGCTTATAAAAACACATCATGACCTGCAATTTGTGTGAAACGGTGTCTCTTCATGTTAAACATGTTAACTTATCTTGTTAGCAAAGTGTGACCGGTGTTAAATTACATCATTGTGAATTCAGTGCGTTTCTTTTGTCCCAAAAGCTCAGTTATCTGTTCATAAATTGGTGCAGTGAGTGCATTGTGTTAATTTTTAAAAAAATATTTCAATGAGAATACAATTGATTTATACAAAATTGCTGCCTGAAATTCTAATTTGTACCAGTTCACTCAAAATTCCCCTGACCTAGATACTTCTCTTTTTTCAGTATGAGTAAGCGCTGGTATCTGTACTCAATAAAAAGGCAAATAAAGAGGATTTTTGTCGTCAAACTACAAGAAGCAACACACAACACGGGTGTGTACAAAGTATATAATCAAGTGTATTTTCATAATTATCCACGTTCTGTACACATATTAAGATCCATTTCACATGAACACTATACAATAGCAATGAGTGAGGAATGGAATATTTTCTGAGTGCTGAGCAGCTCATGTTGAATGGCACTTTTATAAAAAAAGAACAAGAAATCACAGAGCATGAAGAAGTAAATGTAGACATAACTCAACACAGAAAATGGCTTTATATTATCAGATCCATTGAGTAACAGATTCAGCACATATAAAATGCACAATGCAACAAAACGTCTGTTTGTTTGTTCCTTTGTTCCTTGTATTTTCTCTGCATAATCTGAATTGTAAATAATGCAGAAACTGAAGTTGTTTGCAGCTATCAGAGGAAGGTGTGCTCTTTGTCTGGATTGAAGTAAAAGGCAATCTAAAATGTAACGTGTTAAGAGGAGTGGTAACAAGATACATCGAAATATCAGAGAAATATCAATACAATTCACAAACCTTCAATTATTCATCTCATAGAATAGTCTTTTTGTAACCGATAGTAAAAAAACAATACATGTTTGGCTGCTTTACAAGGAATATCTATGTCTCAAAGATATGTTTACATTTTCCGTGTGCTTTTGAATTATCCCATGACAGTTTGGAGTAAGGAAAAGATCAAGAGAGAGCCGGCCTCTGCTGCAGCCTCTTGGTCCCCCCTTTAATAGAAGAAAAACTCTCTTGAATGTGATTCCCCCAAATTCCCTGTGAAGTTCGGGCTCTGACGGTTATGATCTTGTTGTGGGAGCTGTGGGAGGGTGGAGGGTGGCAGAGCATCTTTGAACGTTTATTTTTCTTCATACTTGTCCCCCTGTGAACACAATGCTTTTCCAAATCCTCTTACCTCTTTATGTACATACAAGCAATGTTTACAGAGATATACCTTCACTGGTGTAGACTGACTTGTTCACAATTATTCCTACTAGGAATGGCATGGCAGATAGACTGTGAAATCTCACATATTTAATGTAAATGATCCATCATACTATAAGGTTTAGGGCATGTTGAGTGGTGTCATAATCCCTTTATAACACTGTACTTTTCATCAGGAGAGCTAAATATCATG